TTGATCGAGTAAAATGACTGACTGACTGACTGACTGACTGAATGAATGAATAAATGAATGAATGAATAAATGAATAAATGACTGACTGATTGACTGACCGACCGACCGACCCGCGGGAATGGACGGGCCACGAGGATCATAAACAATTAGGGCATATGTGAGTAAAGGAGCAAGGAAGAAATAAAAAAAAAAAAAAAAGGTTTAAATTTTTTTTTTCTTTTTTTTTTCTTCATCATCATCATCATCATCTTTTTCTTCGGTAGTTTCCATGAAAAAATAGTAGAAACAACAATGAAAAATGAAAAATGAAAAATTATAAAAAAAAAAAAAAAAAAAAAAAACGGTTTGTCCCACACGGGATGATGATGGAAAGAATGAATTGTTGTTATTAAAGGACCTAATTATGTTGTAAATATGTATGTGTGTGTGGTTAAATTTTTATTATTATTATATACACCCCCCCCTCTCTCTCTCTCTCTCTCTAACCAACAATATTAACAACAACAACAACAGCCCAAAAAAAAAAAAAAGTTTCGGAGGTAAGCGAAACTATGGAAATGGACCTCCGCACTCTATTTAAATACGACTTATCCCAGCCACCATTTTGAATTTTTTTTTTTTTTTTTTTTTTTTTTTTTTTGGACTCTTTTGGAGAGTATCCTTTTAAAAATAAATCAATCACTTTTATTATTATTATATATATTTATATATATTTATATTTTTGAAATTCATATATATTGAAATTTTTTTTTGATATTAAACTTTTTTTTTTTTTTTCAACATTTATGGTTTCTCTCTTTCTCTCTTACACTTTGGTTTCTCTCTCTTTTATTGAAAATGCTTAAAAGGGTAATATCAGACACTCTGTGACAATTACCTTCCTACTATTATTATTATTATTATTATTATTATTATCATCATCAAAATATATATATATTTTTTTTTTGATATTCAAAAAAATTTAAGAAATTTAAAAATATTAATATTCAACAGAAAAAAAAAAGTTTATTTTCCCACAAAATTCCCAAATCATTTCAAACAAACTAACAAAACAACAAAACAACACATCACACACACATCCCTCCATTTTTACTTCATTCTTTTGATCTATTAATTTTATTTTTGGTTGAATTTTATTTTTGTGGGGAGTTACTCTGGTACGTGCGGAATTCCATTTTCTTTAATTTTTTTTTTTTTGTTCTTTTCATCGCTAAATAAATAAATAATAAATAAATAAACTCCAAAAAAAAAAAAAAAAAAAAAAATTTAACATATTATATATATTAACCATTATGTTTTTTTTTTTTTTTTTGTAGATTTAATATCATTTATAAACAATTGGAGAATAAAAAAAAATTAAGTTCTCCAATATTATTTTTGTTTGTCTACCTTGCGTTCCTCTCACCTATGGCCTCGGAGGACCATCAAGATAGAAAGCAAAGCTATAATAGCTTCCCAGATCAACATCAACATCAACATCAACAACAAAACCAACAAACAAACCCTCAACTTTCTTTTCCTCCAATGAGCGCAATAGTAGCACCTGCACTTTCTCAAAATCACCAACAATCAACAATGGGGCTTGCAATCATGCAGCAGCAACAGCAGCAGCAGCATCAGCAGCAGCAACAACAATACCAACAGTATCAACCCCAACTCTCTCTTCCAATGCCTTCCTCTCAACAACAATATCACCACCAACAACAACAGCAGCACCATCATCAACTCCAACAACATCAACAACTCCAGCTACAACAACACCAGCTTGAACAGCGCATGAAACGACGTCGGTTTTCGCGTCGCGGCCGTAAGAACCTAACAACTCGCGACAAACATGATCTAATTGTAATTCTCGAGGAAAACTCAAACCTGGTTCGTGACAATGACTGGGATGCGATCTCCACTATTTTTAATCGTCATGCGTGCGGTGATCAACGACCCTCGCGTACCGGCGCATCTCTCCGAAGTGCTTTCAGTAAACTCCGGAAACGCGCAAAACCTTCTGGTGACAATCATCTCGATAACCTCATTGATCACGCAAATAGACTCCACTCACTACTTTATACACGGACTGGAGGAGCCCAGCCTGGCGGCGGTGCACCTACACCCGCTGGAGGAAGCTTGGGGTTTAACCCTGGGTTGTTTGAAAGTGAAGACGGTGGTAATAATGGGCTAGGAGGATTTGCAACTACTTCAGGTATTAGTGATGCTCCCAATTCTTCTCAAAACTCACCGGAATATTACCATAGTGATGAACAAGATGAAGGATTAAGCAGTAGCATATCTATGAACACAGTCACAACATCAACAGCAACTGCAGTTTCTTCTACAATTTCAAATGATTTCTCACAACAACAATATACTTCTACACAAACTAGTCTTTCTGGACTTGTTCACAGCGCCAGTCATTCATCAGATCTACACCAACACACTCAACCTCATCACCAACAACAACAACAACAACAACAACAACAACAACAACAACAACAACAACAACAACAACAACAACAACAACAACAACAACCCTCGCTTCGGAGCGTTTTAGGGAACAGTAATATTTTACGGTACGAACAACCAGGGAACTTGTTTGCTCAGTCAAACACTACTCAACAAGAAGACAATGCCTTGGAATATCAACAAAACTCGGTTAGGGACAGCAATGTATCTTCCAATCCTTTTCGGTCATTAACTTCTACGTCTTCTTCTTCATCTTCGTCAAGTGCTCAGTTTCTTACTGAAGATTCCAGAATTCCACGGTTTTCTATGGGTCTTTCTTCGTCCTCATCATCATCATCATCAGCTCAAAACAACAATAACAATAACAACAACTTGACTGAGCAAAGCACAAGATCTGGATTTTCACGATTTGCTCCACAATTTTCCTTCAGTTCTGCAAACCCACTTGATCCGCGGGCCGCTGCTTCCTCTCCGCGGCGACACTCGGAAAGTAGCGGTGGTGGAGGAGAAATTTTCACCTTGACAAGTGCAACAACACCTGCAATAGCAGCAATAGCATCAGTAGCAGGAGAAACAGACACAGGTTCTCCTCTTTCAGCTCATCAACCTAATCCACAACAACAACATTTCCGCGGACCGTCCGATAATCATATTTTTAAACGGCCGTCTTCGGTAGTGTTTCAGTTCCCCAGAAGCGGAAATAATCCCACCACTGCTTCCACAAACACCACTTCACCTACCAATTCCGTCCCTAATAATTCAAGCTCAAGTTCGGCATCATCGGCCTCAAATCCTACGGCTATTTCTTCTTCTTCTTCTTCTTCTTCGGTGGCATCAGTTTCTTCTTCTGGAAATGCAGCACCATCAACTGGAGATTCCTCTTCGAACAATAGCAATAACAACAATGGTCCTGAAGACTCTTCGCTGTCAATTTCTCCTCGAATGAGCACTGGGCCACTGGCTTCTTCTTCTTCAGCAACAGTTTCTGTTTCATCACCTAATACACACAACAGTGCAACCTCAGCATCAAAATCTACTGGTTCTGATGGGGCGTCCATGACGACGACGACCACAACGCCGACGACAACTACAACTTCCACTACCAATACGGTGGGGCTTCAGCCGCAGCTGCAGAACTTCCCAAACGAGCAACAGCAGACAAGACGGCGGAGTGCCGCGGCATCCGCGGGATCTCCGGCGGCATCCGCGGGTGAGACTGGATCTGCCAATAGCAGTGCCACAAATAACAATGCCAATTCAACGGCACCGTCAACGGCCACCAGTTCCTCTAATACTACAAACGCAGAAGCAGCAGCAGCAGCAGCAGCAGCAAGTGAATCTTCATTGACACATACAAGCTCAGCAAGCACGTCCAATGACCAGACTGGCAATAACGAAGGCACAAACTTGGGCGGCTCGCCAACGGGAGGAGCGCCAGGAGCGTCTACCGGATTGGCTAGCTCGTCTACATCTTCTGGGTCTTCAGCTTCGACCAATGTTTCTGGAAACAATGGCAATAATAGCAGTGGAACCGGTTCTAATTTGTTCCGGTCGCAATCCTTCAACTTCCATCCTTACTCACACGCCCGCACAAACTCTCAACCAAATTTCCCAAGCCCACTTGGTCACCCATCATCATCTGCAACTCTGTCAACTTCTTCAACTAGCCCTAACAATTCTAATGCGTTGAACCGAAGGTTAATACGTAACAACAGTCTAACGCTTGGTCATGATGGACAAGTGATTGTTGGTGGTGCTAGTTCCAGTGCTCGATTGTTTCAGCAGACATCTCAAGGGTTTACCCATAAACACCGTCAGCAGCAGCTACAACAACAACAACAACAGCAGCAGCAGCAGATTACGGGTGGAGTGATGACTCAGGGTAGCTACGAGGGATTGGTCAAGGAAAACGGCCGGCTCAGTGAGCTTGTGTACGAGATGCGCGAGCGATTACTGGGAATGCGTGGAGTCATGGAGGAGGTGCGCCGCAAGTACGAGAGCGAACTACAAGACCAAGCGCAGACAATTTTGATCCTGGAGCGACGGCTGGCCGACGCTACACGGGAGGGTGGTGGTGGAGATGGGTCTGATGGATCTAGTCCCAAGACTTCATTGATGGTTGAAAACAGTGGGCCTGGAAGTGAAAGCAATGCAAGATTACGGCAGGTGCTTGTGCAACGAGAACGACAACTACAAGATACTCTAGCAGACGTGGAGTATCTGCGGAAACAAATGGCGTACAAGGACCAGGAAATTGAGTCACTCAAACACTTGCATGGCATGGAACTGCGGACACTGCGGATGGAGTCTGCGATGCGGGCCCGGTCTGGGTTTAAAGGTGAAGACTTGGATGTGGATATGAGTTGTGATGATGGCAGCAATATCACCAAGCGAGATGAGAGCGGTGGTGGTGGTGGTGGTGAGATTAACGATGATGACGATGATGACGAAGAGGAAAAACTCAAGAGGGGGTTGGAAGCTGCAGAGATTCAAGAAGAAAATCGTGAAGAAGATGAAGAAGAAAACGAGCAGTTACAGCAAAGTCTTGGGCAAGTCCAGCCTCCTAGTTTTCATCACCACCGGTCTGCATCTATGGTTGATTTGAAACCATCTGGGAGTTTTGGAAGTGCAATTCTTGGAGCAAGTCATAATAGAATGGCTGGATCAATAAGTTCTCGCATCTCGCTAGGCCCCGTGGCTTTGGATTTCGGAACAGTTGGAACAGCAGTGTCAGGAGGAGGAGGAGAGAGAAGTACTAGTAACAACAGTAATAGTAGCAGTAGTACTGGATTAAGGAACCAGACATTGTCATCACCAAGTAAAAGCGGCCGACTGTTTTCAAAGATTACAAACAAGTTTTCGAGTGGAGATCGTGGGAACCGGGGAAATTCAGGAGGAGGAAATGATGATGGTGGGTCTAGTCTTTTAGGAGCATTGATGCGTACTAGCAACAAGTGAAAAAAAAAAAAAAAAAAAAGAGGATAGATATTATTGATGTTTTTTTTTTTTTTTTTTTTTGGGTTTATTATTTGATTTTTTTGACTGTTTATGAAAAAAAAAAAGTGTTTTTTTTTAATGAATTTATGTTTTTTTTTTGTTTTTTATTTAATTTTAATTTTAGTTTTAGTTTTAATGAAAAAAAAATAAAGTAATAGAATATATACGGGTTATTTCTTTTAATTTTCAAAATTACGGGTTTCTTATATTCAATTCAATTCATTAAATGGACTTAATGTTTTAAAAAAAAAAAATAAATAAATAAATAAATAAAAAAAAGGAAGTTCTATATGAAAATGTTTATTAAAAGTTCACCATGAAATAATTTACAAGATTTGTTTATTTATTTTTTTTTTTTTAAAAATAACCAGGATAAAAAAAAAAGTACAAGATCGGGTAAAAAAAAAAAAAAAAAAAAAGAAGTGCATTTCCCAAATAGGAAAGTGGATATTTCATTTGTTTATTTTTCAATCATTATCCATTTATATTTACATCTCCCAAAAAAATAAATAAATAAATAAATAAAAAATCCCCTATTAAAGTCCCGGTTAAGTTTATAAATTTTATATTAATTTTTGTTTTTTTTTTTTCATCCTAAAGTATAACCGATCAAAAGATTTATATATTTATATATATTTACATATATTTATATATATATTTAAAAAAGCTTTCCCAAAATCATATTGTTTATTCTACCAAAAAAGGAAACTCACAAGCGAGAGTTGGTTAATGAATAATTCTGTTGATTTTGATTTTGATTTTTTTTTTTCCCCCCCTCTATTATTCTTTTTTTCAAAATCTACTCTGTTCTTCGCTTACCTTCTCCTTTTCCTTCTACCCCCCCTAAAAATCAATATATATATCCTTCAGGTACTAACATCTGCATCATAGAAGACATATACATTTTTTTTCCCCCTCCTTCATTTAACGATCAAAACTGTTTTTAAAGATCGATGGTGTTAGGACATTTTTTTTGTACTCTTGTTTCTTTTTCATCAAAGTATTGTTGTCACCGTTGAAGATCTTTGCCGAGAATAGTAGGCTTTTTTTTTTTTTTTTTTTTTCTTTTTCTTCTTTTCTGATTCACTGTGAATTAAACAATTATAAATTAATAAAGTATCCAAAGTGTAAAGAATTTGAAATTTCTCACAATAAGCAATTGAAAATTTTATTTATTTTATCTCTTTGCTCGTTTTTTTAAACTTTCAAAATCTAATCATCTTAAAAAAAAAAAAAAAAAAAAAAAAACTCTTCCTTTCATTTTGTATTTTGTCCAAAGTTTTTTTTTTTTTATAGTGGTAAAGAAGAAGAAAAGTTTCTATTAAACGTTATTAAAAAAAAAACCTAATCTGTGCACTTTTTTTTTTTGTGTTTTTTTTTTTCAAAAACGATTTTGGTTGTACCTGAAAATATATTTCAGGTCCTATTAGGGGTCTTTATTTCTTTTCAAGAGTGGGTGCAGTTTGGTGTGTGGATCATCAGTCAGTTACTTAATCTTAATATCTCCAATGTTTACAAAAAAAAAAAAATAGGTCCAGGTTTTTACTAACTAACGTAATCGGTTATTATTTGAGGAATTTTTTTTTTTTTTTTTTGAAAAATCCTAGATGGAGATGAAACCAATGGACTAAAAATTGTCAATGGGACTGGTCTGTTTTTTAAAAAAAAAAATTCCATCTACTAACTTAACTTGGTCTTAAGAAATAGGTAATCAGAGTTAATTACATCTTTGATAAAACAAAAAAACGTCTTTACAAAAGTATTATCATGAAATCATGAAATACTTATAAGTATTTCATAATTATGAGAAAGAATACAATCATCTCGTATAACACACATGTGTAACAGTTTGACCACATCTATTAGTGCACTTTTTTTTTAATTAGAATAACTAGCGGGTCTCTCTTATCTTTCAATATATGTATATATTTATATAACTAGCCAGTTTGGTTTGAGTAGACGTTTAATCATATGAAGCAAACTAGGCTAGTAGCTTAATAATATTAAAACTTCACATCCTTAAAGAAAAATGAAAAAAAAAAAAATTCAGATAGATTAACCAGGTCATTTGGCTGCATATGAAAACTCAGTTGAATCCAAAAGATAATTTTTTTTTTTTTTAAAATGGAAATACAGGTTCAACAAACTAAGCTTATATAATTAGTTAATTAGAGAACTTTTAGATTTCATTTAAAATTTTATATGAAATACCTTGATTTATTAGGGTTTAAGTATTTAAAGAATTAAAAACGTATACTAGACAGTTATGTATTCTGAGCATAAATAAGTTTTAAAAACAGGGTTTTTTTTATTTTATTTTATTTTAATGTTCCATGATTAGCTTTTTTTTTATTAATTTAATATAATATTTTTTTTTTTGTTTGGTAAAACTCGAGGAGGTCTTTTTTTTTTCTCCAACTTTATTATTATAGAACAAAAAAAAAAGATATTTATTATTTTACCACACAAACCTTTATTATTTCCATAGGATGATTATTTTTTTTTCTTCAATCTTCTGACAAGTTCAATTTTTTTTTTCTTACTGGAGGGGGGTTTTTTTTTATTATAATTATTGGATCCGACCTTGTTTGAAATAATCAAAAAGACCTTTCTGTCGCATTTTTCTCGTACAAGTTGGCCCGCTTTCAAATTATTTATTTATTTTTTCCTTCATCTCTATCTCTATCTGTCTCTTTTTCCTATTTCCAATTTCAATCTCAAATTCTAATATGACCTATTTGTAGCTCAATCAATGTTTACTTTTTTTTTTTCCCAAAGCTTTGGAAATATCTAAACCTAAAGGAAAAATAAATAAAAAAATAAATAAAAAATAAACTGATGAACTTGGAAAAGGACATAAAACGTGCCAAATAAATCAATCCTGGCAAACTCCACTTTCTTTCTACTTTGGAACGTTGCATTTAGATTTCCTTTCAATTTTTTGTGTGTTAATTTTAAGTGATCTTCTTGAAAAAAAAAATTGAATTTCATATATCTTTTTCTTTTCAAAAACATTCAAATTAATATATATATTTTAGGTCTTTCTTTTTAATTATTAACTCAGTATGCACGAACGTACAACCACCACTACTACTACTACTACTACTACTGCTACTACCACCTCCTTCTGTTGGAGTTGAATGTTTCTGATTTATTTTTGCAGAACAAAAGACCTGTGACAAGGAGGTTTTCTCTCTCTTGTTAAACAATGAACAAAACCAACAACAAGATTATGAAAAAAAAAAAAAATTAATAATTGAAATAATAATAATATATATTTTTTTCTGAAATTGTCATTGTGCATTTGTATGGTAAACAAAGAGAGAAGAAGTTTTCCAAAAAATAAAAAAAAAAAAGTACGATGAGACCACGGCTGCTGCCCTTTTTCTTTTTTTTTTTTTTTTTTTTTTGGGCAGCTATGAGATAGTACGTGTGTGTGTCTTGCTCGATAAGGTTACAAACCTACTTTTTAAGGTACAATTAGGTCTTCCATATATAAAATTGATTTAATATCCTTTTTTTATTTATATAAAAAGACCCCGATCTGGCCCTTTTTTTTTTCTTTTTTCCTTTCCAAGAACTTTTTTTTCATTATTTCTTCTATATCTAATACTTCCCTTTTTTTTTTTTCTAGTCACTCTTTAATCAAAAAAAAAAAAAAAACTTACTCACTTATACACTCTTTTATATCCATAATAACTATACAAAATGTCTTTTACAAACTTCCACTCAGCATTACCTCCATCTCTCCAGCAAATTCCTATTCCAAGCACTCCTCTTCCAGATAATGACAGCTCTTCCTCAACCGACTCTTCCACTGCTGGCTCAGACTACTCAAGATCTCCTTCAAATTCTCCTCGCCATCATCACCATCATCACAGACTTCTCACCGGTCCTTCTCTCCATCGTAGTGCCAGCGATTTGCTTCTCTCAGCTTCTTCCTCTTCAACTGTTGACAATGTCTACGAGTATCTTTGTGACGACGTTGATGGAACAACTGCTGCACTTTTGGGAACAGACGATGAAGAGTATATGTGTTCATCTGCCTCCCAGACTAACGTCTCGGCAGCAGATCTTTTGATGTCTTCATCTGAAAACAACATCAACAATGGTACTATTAACAGCAATATGACTATTGGTAAGCCCTATTATTCATTGGAAAAGTTGCAACATTACTCTCAGCTGAGTCTCATGTCTGGAACAATGCGTGTGCACCCGCATTCAGCACACAATGCTCTCCAGAGTGCTCTCGAAGACATTTTTGAGATTCAGCTTCTTTCGGAATCGTCGCTGGACGATGATGACGATGATGACGATGGTGATGAAAGCCTTGAAGATGATGAAGAAGAGAAGAATGGTAATGATGACAACGACGACAACGACAACGACGACAACGAAATGGCTCCTCAGGATTTAGAAAACTCGCTCAGCGAAGTTACTCTGAATAATGATGACGACGATGACGACAACAATGTCGATCAAGAAGAACTTTTCTATAAACAGAAATTGTCAAGATCACCATCTCTCCTTAATGCCCCTTGGTCGTTCTACTCAGGTCCTCAGGCGCCGGCGCCCGCAGCCCCCTTTTGCTCAGCACCACACGTGTATCCTCCTATGGGAGCCTCTGCGGCTGCCTGGTGGACAGATTCTAGTGCGGATGAGGCGGACATTTTGGACCATTATTACGATGATGAAGAAGATGATGATGATGGTGACACTGATTCGAGCTGCATGCCTACTCCTTTATCAGCAACAACATTTGGAGTTTTGTCTTCTTCATCTACAGCAGCAACCACAAGAACTGCAAAGACCAAAATCAGAGACGACAACGCCATGGTGGCCAGTCCGTCGCAAACTCAGGCGTACCATGCTGCAAGTGCAATCTTGTCGTCGGTCAAACAGCGCAACGCAGCGGCGGGCGCGTCTCCAAACTGGGTTGCGTTGCGGCGGCTGCACGATGACTACGAGGCTGCGTTTGTGCATAAATTGCAGCCCACCAACAAGTCGGCATTAGAAACAACAACTACAACTACAATAACAGCCAGTGCAATTAGTGCAGCAGCAGCATCAGCAGCAGCAAAAGCAGCTCACAGTGCAGCAGCAATCGCAATTGCTTCCGGGACTCGGAACAACGGAGAAGACGATTTCTCGATCGAATCACCTGAAGACGACGATTCTTCTTCATACTCGAGCAGCTGCTGTTCCACCTCAAGCGAGTCGGCAAATTACTCGCCGGTTTTCTACATTCTAAGTCCTCCAGCAAGAAACCCTACAGCCACTACCACCACTACTTACCACCATTCTCTTGCATCTACAAACCCATATCTCTCTTCTTCTTCTTCTTCTTCTAAAACAACGGCCATTCGTGCTCCCCCACCTGTCCCATCACGCGTCCCAGCTGCTGCCCAGCCTCCAGCTCCAGCTCCAGCTCGACCCGCATACTGTTTACCGACTGCAGTTTGTACTGCTTCTGTAGAGCGTGCTGCACTTCCTGGTCCTTCCTTGAATCGAGTGCTTGCTGTGCAGCAGCGAATTCAGAAGAATGCCCAGACAAGTTTACGTGCTCGCCGGATTCTGAAGCGCAGAATGATTGTTGAACAACAACAGATGCAAAGAAGCCCAAGAGTTCCGCCCGGATTGCCGGTGCCAATGGGTATGGCAAGCCCGGTGCCTGTCATGTGAAGAGGATGAACAGAATACAATTGATTGATTGACCTCTCCAAGCATATATACTAAATGTTGCTGCGGCTGCATGGAACATTTGGTTAAATGTGATGGAAGATGCACGTTTTTTTTTAGTTACGAAGAAGGAAGAACATGAAGACCAAAAATAAACTTGTAAAAAAAAAACCAAAAGCACACGTTATTATTTGATATTTAGCATTTTTTTATTTAGCATTTTTTTTTTAAAAAATAAACCAAGGATTTATTTATTTATATTTTAATATTTGACTTTTAAAAAAAAGAAGAAAAAAAAAAGGTCTATTAAGATGATTTTTTGGGAAAGTAAAAACAGTTTACTGGTAAAATAATTATTGAGGTGCATTGAGTGGTATCAAAGACCCTACTACCTTATTTCGACTTTTAAAAGCGCTTTGAGAAAAAATCGGATTTGACCGAAGGAAATGAACATTTGAGGGAGGATAGTATTAAAATCTCTTGTATCGGAGACATGCGAGATATGTAAAAAGATTTTGGATCAAATGAAAGAAAATAAAAATGAAAATGAAAATGAAAAAGGTCAACTGGATATTTATTTTGACAATTGTGTCCTATAGAGTATAAATCAAAACGTCGCCTGTAACAATTCTTTGATTAAAACCCTTCATAACCAAATTATTTTACAAAATATATATTTTACAAATTATTTTACAGCAGCTCAAAAAAAACATCCAAATAGAGTCTCCCGTACTAATTAAAGCCTAACTCGTCATCAGGTTAAAAATGATGAACGTCATTGTAGGAGGAAGACTAATATTGTTGGCTCATTGGTAAAGCCACATCAAAAGCGAAAAGGCCCAACCTTTACCAGAAAAGGGTCTGCCAAGTAAGAAGATCGACAGAAAAGAAACAAAACAAATATCAACATTAGGAAAAAAAAAAAAAAGTGGAGAACAAAAGAACCCTTTTTTTTTGATTGACGGCATTTGGATTATCTTCATCGCACCCATAGAATTTTAATCTGTTTAATCTTTTAGAGTGGGGAAAAAAAAACGATTTATTTATTTAAAAAAAAAAAAAAAACTAGAGAGAAAAGAGCGTTTACAGAAGCAAAAGTTTTTAGCCTCGATTTGAGTGGAGTTTAAAAGAAAGAAAGTATCTAAATTTTTTATACATCGATTCATCATAAGTCTGCCTATGTTAAATAAGTTTTTATGCTTTTTTTTTTCTCTTCTCTCTCTCTAAAGTGGCACATACGCGTATGAAATAAAAGATTAATTCGGAATTTGGGAAACTGGAGATTGTGCGATAGAAACATGTGTGTTCAACTTTAAAAATAAACCAAAGAGTTTTTTAAAAAAAAAATTAACTAATTTCAAATAGATTTTTATGATGAAAAAAAAAAAAAAAAACCTAGACACCAATTCTTTAAAAACCTAAACTTGAGATTGATTATAACAAGATTTCATGTTTTTTTGAAACAAAAATTACTCGTTTTTGTTTGCTTTTGTATTTTCCGAGAAACATGTTTTTTTTTAAAGTCCCAAAAGAGTGAAAATATTCCACATCTTAAACTTTGTTTTTTTTTAAACTAGAAACGTAGATTTCCATATTCCCCGATAAGCTTAAACAAACAAGCCTATTTTGTTTGTTATATGGTTATTTGTCTCTTTCTTTCTTTTTTCTCTTTAAACAAGCTTGTTTAAGAAGAAAAAAAAAAATATCCGTGCGCAAAGAAATCTTGTTATTTTTAAAAAAAAAAATTGTAAGAAAAAAAAAAAAAAAAAGCTTAGCTTAGCTTTATCAAACTTGCGTATTATTTGAATCTGAAGTTCTAGAGTACACTTGTAAGAGAAGCAGGAGGAGTCTAATATAGTGAATATAAATTAACTTGTAAAGATAAGCCATATAATAAAAAAGAAATGCTTCAAATTATCTTAACCATTATAAATAATCTTACATTTATATGATTATCAATAAAAAACAAAATTTGACATTTGATAAATCGGGGGAAAAAAACGTTGTTCTTTTTTTTTGGTTTTTTCTTTAAAAATATATATCTGGGTCACTAACAGATTTGCAAGAAACCCCAATTTACAATACTCATGATCAAAGATTACTTATTGCCTTGACTTTTGAGCCCAGAAAACACAATATGACATCAATTTATTTTAGATCCCATCTATACTCCTTGTAAACGCCCAATGTTTTCAATCACATCTTGTAATACCTCGTACAAACTCTTCATTTCATACATTTTTCTTGAAAAACAAACCCCAATTCAAAGTGGTGCGATTTTTCTGATTATAAAGAAAGTTAGGAGAAAAAAAAAAACTATACTTCTTTTTTTTTTTATTAATACACTGATTTTTTTTTTCTTTTTTTAGTTTTAAAATTTTTTATTACATATTTTAATAATTGGTTTCATAGTAATCTTCGATACAAAGTATTAGGAAAGCATAGTCCGTCATATTATCTGCCTCTACATTGTTACCAAAAAAAAAAATTTTTATATAAAAAAAATACAAAGGTGTTTGTAATGATTTTGCCGTATATATAAGGCCATCTTAATATTATATCATTAAAATGGTACCTTAATATAAAAATTTTTTTAGGGTGGTGATGGTGGAGACTTGTCTCGAGATTGGTGCTTGAGACCCAAGGAGGTTTAATTTAATTTAATTTTATTTTTTAATTAACGGAAGGATTAAAGGAACGTTTAGTAACGGTATGTCAACTAGGAACGGAAATGTAAGATTTATTTTTATTGGTTTATAATTTTAGCATAACGGTAAGCTTAGAATATTAATATTTTGGTTTAACAAAACGCGTCTTCTTTTTTATTTTATTTTTATTTTAGTCTTTTTGTTTTCTTGTTCTGACATCTTTGTGTTAAACCAACGTCCAGTCAAACCAAAATGATGGTTGTATTTGAGATGCCCCTTATACACATCAAAAAAAGTCTATTAAAAAGTTTTTTTATAAGCTTAATCACTCCTAACCTCGAGGCAATTCTTCAACTTTTTAAGTAGGAGGGGGTTTTTTTTTCTATGAATTACTCTCAAACTTTTATCTTATTACGCACTTCACCAAAAAAAGAATTTCAGGGTTTCTCTTTTTTTTAAATTAAATCATCAGCTGTCCATTGTTTATCTTGTGTTTTTTTGTTTTTTTTCCTTCAATCACATAAAAAAGTGGTTTCTTTTTTTTTTCTCTCTCTCTCTCTATTCTTTTTGATACACCCCACACACCTCCTTGCTTATTCTTGGAAATCCATGTTCCAACTTTATTTCAATTGCTCAACTGATTGAAGACCAAATCTTTTGTTCTTTTTTTTTTAATTATTGGCAGAAAACGCGAAAAAAATCATCATGCACCACCAGGTTTTTTCATTGTATATAAGCAGGTTGGTGTTCATTCATTTTTTTTATTATTTTTTCTGATGTAGTATAATAGTACAATATAATCTCTTTGTAAATTAAGATTGAATGTAATTTTTTTTTTGTTTGATATACAAAAGATCAAACCCCAAGACAATTGAATGTACTTTTTTTTTTTCGTTCAAAATATTGCAGGTTTGATATTACTTAGATTTTCATGATACAATTACTTACAAAGAACTATATAGATTCAATTTTAAACAGAAAAAAATGGGTTGAGATTTCTTAATGGAAAAAGAAATCAACTTTTTTCATTGACTAACTATGTTTTTACGCATTTATAAATCAAAAAAAAACTTTTAATATTTTTTTTGCTTAGACAATTCTTCTTGTATATAATGACCATCACTGTTAATACGACATTGTTCAGAAACAAAGTAAGGAGGGCTAACAAAAAAAAAAAGACAAATGACATATTATGAAAAACTACCACTTTTATACACCTACTAAAGATCAAGTGGTTTTTAATTCAATAATATATGATCATATATATTCCATAATTATAACTTCCTATATATTTATAATACAAAAAGTAGGGGGATCTGGCCTAGTATCAAACTGGAGACTTTCTGGGTCTTGATGAGAAAGGTGGCCAAATGAAAAAAAAAGTTTGACATGTTTTTTTTTGTTAAATGCTTAACTCATCTGGCCATATTTTTGACTCCTCTCTTTGATCAAAAAAACTTTTGCGCATAGTTTCAAAATTTCAGTATTAAAAAAAAAAAAAAAAGAATGCTACAACTGTGATTGTGGCGTGCTGGAAGTAATTGGGCACATTTTGGTTGAGTGTCATTTGCTGGAAGAGGAAAGAAAAAGGTTGAGACGGTTTTTTTTTTTTTTAAAAAAAAAAATTATTGAAATGCTTATCCAATTGTCATTTTTCAGATCAAGCTTGTATAGACATTAACGACCATTAGAGCTTTCTAGTCAGTCACCATTTAATGTCAAAAGTCCTGAAAATTAAACATGACAACAAGCTTAAACATAGATATTCTATTTAGCTTCCATAACTAAGCAATTTTTTTTTTTTTTTAAAGTAAACAACTCTTCCGATCACCATTCTATTTTTCTATCGCGAAAACTCATCACTACCACAACCTTTAAAAATTCCAACTTTTTTTTCTAACCAAATATATATATATATATATATTTTTTTTCAAACATCATGTCCCAGGTCGCACAAGGGGACCAACGGCAGCAGGTCGCCAAGGTTCCGCGGCACATGAAAAAGTATCGTAACAAGCATTTTGAACGCGTACCAGCCTCTGTTTTTAGTGCCATAGTGTACGCGTTACTTGGAATCAGCGACCCCACACTACCCAAATCCTCTTCTTCTTCATCGACCGATTCCACTACAAACTTTGAAAACGAATTTCCATCGCTTCAAGCGCTACTATCAGTACTTAACTTTGCACTGACGTGCACGGCATTTGCACGCGCAGCACTGCCGATTCTATGGCGCGACGTATACTTTGCAATTGCCGTTTGGATTTCTTACCCGGAGTCTCCATTTTATTTCAGAGCTGCACTACCGCAGCTTGCTCGAAGAGTAGTGGAAGGTGCGCACTCACCGGTAGGACTACTACAAGCAGCGTCGTTTCGAGGGTCGCTTCCTCCACAGGTTGATAAAGGAGAAGACCAGGAGTATGCAAAGTTTTTCCCTGAGCGGCCAGGGAGTCCTGCGGCCGCGATATGCACACAGAAGGGGTATATTTTTTCCAAATCATGGTTTAGATTTACGTCGGTAACAATTGAGGTTCAAGACGATACTGGATCGATTCACGAAATGCCGCCGATTCTTTTTGAAAAAGTGCGAATGGACAAGAAAATTTCAATATTAAAAATATTGCGTCCTTGGAAAATGTTACTAGCCGCGACAGATATCAAGGTGATTATGAATGATTCCTTTTTAACTCCTATAAACTCCGAGCTGGCGCGTCGAACTATCCATTCATTAGGACTGAGCGATCCGCATGTCAAGAATGTAGCATTATCGCTACCATTTACTTGGTATACAAACTTGTCTGCGCTGTCTCCGGTTTACGAGAAGCTCACAGATCTGACTTTACAGTTGCGGGGTCGCCATTGTGTGACTGAGACTATAGGTCATATCGAGAAGGTCCTGCATCTGCGGCGGTTACATATTTCATTTGTCGATATATTGCGATGTAATAATCCATTGCACAAGAACGAGAAGGGTGAAGAGGAGTTGTCGCAGTTTTTTGCGCGCGATTCGCTACCAATTACAGACTTTGGGTTTTATTCGACCGACTTGCGCATTACCACAATCCCCCCTCGTGCAACACGCGTGACACTACGCGCCGACAATTCACAACTGTATGCCAAGGCCATGGCTAACTCGGACGATTTGTTTGATGAGGGTGGGGCATATCCGTTGGTCAAACATTTGTCACTGACGGAGTACGGCGATGTGATGGGTAAGGGTTTGATTCGACAGCCTTCCTCTTCTTCCTCTTCGTCGTCGTCGTCGTCGTCATCATCTTTATCATTATCATCAGCATTGACACCTACATCAGCCTCTTCTTCTTCTGGTGACGAGGAACAACTATGGTTCCCTTTTGGGAACTTGGAAGTACTGGAAATTAATAACTTTTTGTGCTCGGACAATCCGCAGCATGAAAGATTGCTGCGCATTGCACTAACTGCAAGCCCTGGGCTTAGCCACCTGCGGTGCTTATATCTAGACTGGACACTATTGAGATTGATTCCAGAATACACACCTACACTTCAATCTCTTGTGATTATGAGGTCATTACCCATGGACTTGGGGCCTGGGGAGCCTGTTTCACACAAGGTACAGGTTTCTGCACAAAAGGCGAGTCTTCGTCCGGCAAGTTTAGGCACAGGTGCCAGTGTAGAGCGGGTAGCGTCTGCGAGTCCGCTTAATGCAATGACTCTTGATTTCGAGGCTTCTGCACCGGATGCGCTTTCGTTACGGATCTTAGAAGAGCTTCCAATGCTTCAGCTGCTTGTGTTGAGTGTGCGCGCGGATGCTTATGTATTGACGGAAATTCACTATGTAGCTAAGGCACTTCAGCCGCTTGGCATGTTATTGGTGAAGGCTGACCGGACACTTCCTGTGGTCAATGCGTCATTTACTGCTGATGAGCAGTATTCTGCGGCATTTGCAAATGTTGCGAACCAGGGAAGTTCCGAGAGTATTTTACGGTACATCAACAAGCATGGGAAGAGGGTCATTGAGGAAGAGGAAGAGGAAGAGGAAGATAAGGGAGATAATGGTAATGGTAATGGTAATGGTAAAGAAAGACAAGTTGATGAGAGCTTAGATTCTCAACAAAAGAAGAAGGATAAGACGGCGAGAATAGCGGCTACGAGAGGGTTTGAAGAAGGTATTGAAGGGGGATCAGTGCTACATGTTTTTGGACGGGCTTCTGGGCTTGCTCGAGAGACAATTTTTTTTGATGATGCAGCAACAGATTTTGGGTCTCAGTTTATAGTGCCTGAGCGGTATGCATTCCCTCACCTCAAGTTTACTACACGGTCGTATATGGAGTCTGTGGCAAGGTTGAACATAGCTGAGTATTTTGAAGAGACGGCATTGACACAGACATTCCCTTATACATTGTATCATCCGGAGGTTTTAGAGTAGTGACATTTTAGAATTTATTTTGGATATGATTAATTAGTGGATGATGATGAATTCAAATTGAGGGAGGGAGGGGGAAGTGTATTCAAATGAATTGAATTGTTGCATGTTCAGGGCCTGTACTGGTGCACTTTGACAGAATTGTGTATGTGTGTGGGGGAGAGAAATTACAAGTCTTTTTTTTTTTTTTTTGTATTTTGGAAAATAAAACTGTACAATTACAGCGCATGTTGGACTTTTTATTTTATTTTATTTTATTTTATTTTATTTTATTTTATTTTCTTTTATTTTCTTTATCTACAGTGGCAGATGATCGACTAATATTATTTTAAGATAAACCTGAGCCTCTTTATGAAATAGTCAAAAATTGTCATCTTGTGTGATCACGCAAATGCCGATATTGCTTGTAAATGGCTGGGCATTCGATATTGGTAATTGTTAATTTAATTTAACTTAACTTAACCAAAAATACAGGACATAGAAATGCTGAGCCGCTAAGCCTTGTGGTGTTACATTTAAAATTGTAATAAAAAAAAAACATCAATATAATAATAATAATTTCTTTTTTTATTTTTATATTATTATTTATTTCTCCACACACACACACACAAACAGTCAGCCACTTTCCAATTAAGAATTTTTTTTTTTTTTTTTTTTTTTTTTAAAACCTCCAAAAACCTGCTGCTTCTAACTTTCTTCTTTTACTTTCTTTTTTCTTATAAAAAAAAAAAGAATTTTAAATAAACAAACAATTCCTTTTTTTTTTTTTTTTTTTTTATTTCTTCTATTTCATTTTATTTATTTTCTTATTTTAAAAATATATAAATCTTTATATATGAAGACATATTAATACAAACCCTGGCGGTAATAAAGAAAACTTAATATAGTTGCAATATAGGAAAGAAAAAAAAAAAAAGCAAATCCTATCCTACCACCTCCCTATATATATATATATATATATATATAATCCTTATATGCTAAAAGTAGCAGCTCAATATCTTCACCACCACCAAATAGAAACAATCAAAGCACCTGATTAAAGTCTTTGGTTTTATGAATACAATATATATATATATATATATATATCAACACTCATTTTCTTAAAAAATTTTTTTTTTTTTTTTTTCAACCTAATCTTTCTCTCTCTCTCCCTCTCACATCTCCCCCCTAAATTGCCGTCTTTCTATCACAAACTAGGGCCCTCGCCGCGCTGGTCTCTAGATCCCTTTAACTCTCCTACAGCTTACAATCCCATGACTGCAGCAAACACATCCCCCTCCGACGCAACTTCTTCGTCCTCAGAAACTCACGCGCAACGATTTGCTAATGATAGTGAGTATAATGATAACAACACTACCGATAACCATCGCAAGTTTTCACTCTGGGATCTAGTTCCACGAACAAAATGGTCCATCCTATATATGCTAGTCACAATCATCTTCACAGCCACAATTCTCGTCTTAGAAGCCCTCATCTTTGCCTGGTTCACGTCTGGCTTTGGTAAAACTTCCATCGATCAAATGTCCACATCAGACAGACAGGAGTTCATTTCGCTTAAATCAACCATCCCAACATACATGGCCCTTTTCATTTTTGCCGGCGCATATCAAATCGGCGTTGCATTTCTAGCCCTTAGCCGCAAAAACACTTTCCAGCTCTTGCTTCTCATTGTCTTTTCCTTTGCTATGCTCATCTATGCTGGCATCCAATACGACCAAATCAGAGACTCTTACACACTCATCAATTCAGACCACACCCTCAAGTCACAACAAATCCGTTCTATCATTATTGCAATCCCATGTATAATTGCTGGCGAGTGCGTCATCCTCATGATTCTCTCCTGGAGACTCTACCTTGAAAATAATAAAAAAATCTTTCAGGAAATCGGTGCGTCAAGTTCCCGCAAGCGTGCGCGCCGTGATCTTCGCATTTTCGAAACAATCATCCTCTTTGACTTCTTCTTTTTTGTCGGCTTCACTCTCCAGTTTGTGCTCATTATTCTTGAAACAAAGGGCGTCGAGTTTGGACTCACCATTGCTGTCATACCTGTTACTGCCATAGTTCTGCTAGTGGCTGTCATTGCTGTCTACAAGGAAATTAGAGCCATCGTTTACCTCTTCCTTGTATTTTGTCTGGCGGGTCTGGCCTATTTCCTTTACAAGCTTGTGCGCATCTATACTACCAAAGGTGAAAAACATGACCAATACATCAAGGCCTCTAAGACCCTTACTGTTTTCGCTGCAATCACTATTGCCTTTTTGATTATCACTATGCTCATGACCTTGAAATGTTTAAGCAACTTTGGCTACAACCATGGCAAGTCGTTTGGAAACATGGCTGACGATGATATTGATCTCGGAGGCCCAGAACCTGTCACAGATGATGGGTATAATATGCAAGAAGCTTACTACTCGCAAAGCAATACAAACTACGACGACGCGACAAGTGTTGGTACAGGACATAGTGGACACAATGGGCGTAGTGTGCATAGTAGCCGAACAGACACTAGTAGTGTAGACGCTCGGCCACACCTCCCAGGGGGCGATATACATACTGATCCCAGTCTAGGCAACAACAATAACGAATACGGCGGAGGTGACTTGAGCGCGGGGAACCGTGACTCTGACCATACAGCAGCCACTGCCAGTTATTATGATGGCCAAATTACAGCAGACAAGCCTGGTGTGAAATACTCATCGGCGCACCTGACAGACGGGAAAGAATACGACTACGGCGATGAAGAGGAGGAGATGTATGATGCACATACAGGGAGTTACGATATTCATCAAGACAATAAAAGTAAGAATAACGGGGGTATCCAATATTCGAAAGAATGAAGGTGGGCATGATAATGTAATTGCCTTTTTCTCTCATTTTCCTCCTAAATATTAGTTTTTCTTTTTTTTTTTTTTTACAGTTATTGAAAAAAATTTTTTTTTTTTAGGATAATAATAATGATAATAATAGTATTAATAATAATAATAATAATGATGATAATGACAACTTTTGTTTTTCGTTTTTCGTTTTTCGTTTTTTTTTTTTTATGGGAAAAAAAAGCGAGATGTTTTCGTTTTAATTGAATGTTTCGAAATAGTGGCATTAAAAGAGGACTTTTGTCTGATGAGCAGAGGTGGAGGGGAAACCTTAAAAAGTAAGAAGAAGTTGAAACATTTTTGAACCGATACACACGCGGCTGAATTTATATATATAATATATTACGTAACATACAATTAAGTAATATAAGAACATGTAATACATTAAAAAGTGTAACACAATTTTTTTTTTTTTTTTTTTTTTTTCAAAACCTCCAAAAGAAGTATCGCGGTGTAGGTCTTGTGCGATCTCTCTCCCCTCAATTGACTGATACACAAACACACACACACACATATATATATATATATAATGTCAGCAGAAATCGAACCACATGTCCCATCACCTACAGATGTCACTCCTAATACACCAAGTGTTCCCATAGACTCATCTCTTGCGCCGCTGCTACCCTTGGAACTGGTTGACAAGGCGATTGGCGCGCGGATCTGGGTGATACTCCGCAGTGGCAGGGAATTCAAGGGTACGCTTGTTGGCTTTGACGATTATGTGAATATGGTTCTTGAGAATGTTACTGAGTAGTAAGTATAGAAAAGAATCTAAATGTTATATATATATATATACAATTTTTTTTTATAGTACTAACGGTTGATTCTATAGCGATGTGAATGGAGATATCGTGGCAGAACTGCCAAAACTTTTGCTCAACGGCACAAACGTGACCCTCATCATCCCAGAAGACCAGTAAATTATAGATGACGAAGAAGAAGAAGAAGAAGAAGAAGAAAAAAAAAACAAGAAATAAGGAAAAATTTTTCTTCTCTTCTCTTCTCTCAACTGTTTTTCATCTCTCCCCTCTCTCTATCTTTCTCAGGTGTTTTTTATTTTTTTATTTTTTTAAAAAATTATATGTACTTTAGTTTGTGTGCCTTTTTTTTTTTCACCTTGTCTTGTTTAATAAACAAATATATATATATATATATATATATATATCCAAATCCGTGATATATATATATATGTTCATAATGTCTTATTTTTTCTTTATTCTTCATTCTTGACCCGCTTTCGTGGGCCCTCTAGGGCATCCATATCCGGCATCCCGCCCAACTTCCACAACACCAGCATCAAGAGACTCCCGTAAGGTGCAAACTTTTGTCTCACGTACTCAAACTCATGTTCTTCCGGCATCTTCCATTTTAGTTTCTTATTCCCACCTCCTCCCCCTGTATTTTTCTTCTTCTTTACATTATTACCAGACTTATTAAGATCTTCCTCGCGTGCTGCCTTGGCTAGACTTACCACCTCAGGCCGCAAAACAAGATACCGCGCCAACCCGCGCTGAATCCCTAAATCTCCTCGACTAAACACATCAAGCCGCGCAAGTCCAAACAACAGAAACATTTCTGCAGACCAAGGACCTATGCCTTTAAGTGCAACCAATGCTTGTTCAATTTCCGTATCAGACCCATTTTTAAACAACTGCACCGAAAACGGTACTATTGATGTTGTTGTATTTTTTGTAGATTTTTTATCTTGTGACCCCTCTGATTCATTCTCTTCGTCATTACCTTCTGAAGATTCACGAATCGAAACTTGACCCTCAAGTTTTTCGTAGGCACCAAGAAACGCCTGTGATAACCCTACAACATATTCTACTTTGCGTGCAGATAACCCTGCGCTACGCAAAAGTTCAGGTGCTGTGTGAACTACCTGGTACGGATGTGGGAATGACAACCTTGAGTCATCAAAATACCCCGATGTAGTTGTCGACACTTGTGTGTCATTGTTGTCATTGTCATCATCATTCCCAGCAGTACTTGACTTACTTGCAGTCTGTGAATTCAGGGTTTCCCACAAAGCCTCATAATCTGGCACAGATGTAGGTATTGCGTGTGTTGTATGGGGCAGCGATGGCTCCGGCAGATTGTGGAACAGGAGTTTAAACTTGCGTACAATGGAACGTGCAGCAGCCCCAGAGATTTGCTGAGCAAGAATTCCACGCGCCATATGTTGGTAGTACTTGCTAAGCAACGCTTGGTCGCTCATAACAATGTTAGCAATGGTTGAGTTGTCGGTGCCAGTATCGGGTTCTGCATTTGACAATGGTGCAAATAGGTCTGCTTTCCATTCAGGACCAAGAAGTGCGGGCAAAGACGGGTCAGTTTGCAGTAAATGGTGGACCCCTTTGAGGATTGTTGGGTTTAGAATAGTACCTGTGGCAACGGCAGTAGGTTCATTTTCATTTTTAGTCTCGGACTTTACAGAACTCATAAGTTCAAGATTTGCAGCCATATGGACCCGGTGAACTTCAACGTCGAGTACAGGCTGCGGAATAAAAGGCGGTGGACCATCAATAGTATCTGATTGACGACGAGAGGCCGAACGTTTCCTGGAGGATTTGGTTTTAGTCAATGTTGTTGTTGCAACACTGGCTGGTGACGACGCCGCACGGGGCTTGCGAGTCGAAGATTTGGTGGTTACTACTAAACTTGAGCTAGTGGAGGAGTTTACGACTTCCTGGGTGACTGCTGCTGCTGCAGCAGAGCCAGAACCCAGGAGTCTAGCTGAGCGTCTGAGTACTACCATTTAATTTATAAGTGATTGAGTGATTGAGTGAATGAGTGAATGAGTGAATGAGTGAATGAGTGGATGAGTGGATGAGTGGATGAGTGGATGAGGGGAGGATTTATTTTGCGGGGAGGGGGGAGATACCTTTGAATTCTCGAGGCGAAAAAATAAAAAAAAAAAAGACGTCAGAATAGGAAAGCCGCACGTTGTTACCCTGAATAAGTAATTTATTTTAACAAACGGCTGTGCATTTTTTTTTTTTAAATTTTTTTTTTAATTTTTTTTTATAATATAAAAAATATTATAAATTAACGGGTAAGGGTTTCCTACAGAAGTTTTGTTTTCTTCTTGACTTTCCACCGCCGCCGCCACCGACAGACAGACAGCCTAAAAGACATTTTTTTTATTTTTATTTTTATTTTTTCAAAAACAGAGTACAGAGAATTATCATCAAACACTTTTTTAAAATACTTTTTACATTTCAACCCGCCACTGAAATTCATTAAACATTAAGACCAAAAAAAAAAAATAAAAAAAAAAATAAACCAAAATCTATTTCCTTTTTTAATATCTATATTCATAATTAAAGAAAATATTATTATTAAAAAAAAATAATAATAATGAAGCTTACACTTTCTTTTGATGTGGAAACATTCCCTAATCTCCAGAATCCTTTGATGGAGATTGATGCTGCTAAAGACATGTCATTCAATGACTTACTTGCTTATGTCGAGGCTGAGTCTGGTATTGAACGGCGGCGTCTGCTTCTTATGCACAATGCAAAGTTTATTGAAGGGAATACTGAACCAGAAAGTGCACACACTTTGGGGAATCTCAATATTGAAGATGGCGATCTTTTGATTGTATTTGACAAACTCGCATATGTAGCACAATCAGGTCAGTCATCAGTGCAGCAGCAACAACAACAACAACAACAACAACAACAACAACAACAACAACAATCACAACCACAGACACCAAGACTACCTTTTGACCAAAATACCGAGACAAATTGGCAGAGACTTTACGAAGACGTGGAACGCGTACGCAGACATATGTTAACAAATCCCGTTCTGCGATCCGGCGTAATTACACAGTACCCCTGGCTAGAAAATGTTGTGGAAGATCCGGTTCAATTCCGCGAAGAAATGATTAAGATTGAGCATTCACGGGTGAGCCAGGAGATTAACAAGCAGGCAGCCATGAAGAAGCTTCAAGATGATCCTTATGACGAAGAATCACAGAAAATGATTTTAAAATCTATTCAGGAAGAAGCTATTATGGAAAACTTTCACACAGCTATGGAACACAATCCGGAACTATTTGCTTCCGTAACCATGCTTTTCATCAACACCACCGTCAACAACAGACCCGTCAAGGCTTTTGTTGATTCCGGAGCACAGGCTACCATCATGTCACCTAGTTGCGCAGAACGTTGTGGTATTGCACATCTTATTGATGAGCGGTTCCAGGGGATGGCTATGGGTGTTGGTACTGCACGCATTTTGGGCCGTATTCACTCAGTTCCCATCTTGATTGGCGACCAGTTTTTGGCCACTTCTTTCACGGTCATGGAGGGTAAAGGCGTGGATTTCCTTCTGGGTCTTGACATGCTCAAAAAACACCGTGCAATGATTGATCTCAAAGATAACGTTTTACACATTGCAGACGTCACTGTACCATTCTTGCCCGAAGCTGAAATCCCAAGCTCCGAGCTGTTTTTCCAGGATGCAAGGTCACCAACAGGAACTGATACTAAATCTGGTGCAGGACCCAGCAGCAGTGACAGCAATTCCGGGCCATCGTCATCTGTTCCAGAAGGTTCTTTTTCTGGATCAGGAAGAAGATTGGAAGGCAGTAACAGTAGTAGTAGTAGTACAACAACAACAACAACAACAACAACAACAGCAACAGCAACAACATCAGCAGCATCAGCAGCATCAGCAGCATCAGCAGCAGCAGCAGCAACAACAGCAACAACTACACCTAAGCCGCGTACTGGACCTTCGCCAACCCCGGTCAAATATACAGAAGACACAGTACAGAGCTTAATGGCCATGGGGTATTCACGCGATAAGGTTCTTGAGGCCCTGACGCTGGCCGACGGCAACCCAGACCTGGCTGCCAATTTGCTTCTGGGTTAATAGTAGTAGACTGGGCTGGAATTAATAGTTGAAAATAATTATATTAATGTAGGATTTCTAGATAAAGAAGAAGAAGAAGAAGAAGTTTGAGAAAAGGGGGGGAACAAAAAGAGAAAGATTATTCAAAATTGTACTTGTATGTATGTTAAATAGTGTATGCAGAAACAAACAAATAAATGGAATAATAAATTAAAACAAAAAGTTCTCAAGTTGGTAAAAATTTTTTTTTTTTTCATGAAATTTAATTCCAAGCAATAGAATAGAAAGAATTTAAGAAAGAAAGAAAGTAAAGTAAAGAAAAAAAATGATCTATTAGTAGTTTTACATAAGAAAAAAAAAACCAAAAGAAACAAAAGAAAGTAAAATAATAATAATAAAAATTATAAAAAAACAAAAACAAAAGTATATACTTTTTTTTTTTTTTTTTTTTTCTTAGAAAAAGGACGGGTTCAAGTATGCATCAATGTTTGTAAAGTCAGTTGAATTCATGTCAGTATCAAAATCACCAAACACCGCCGAAGAATTCAAATCTCCTCCCCCAGTTACCCCAGACCCTGTCAATCCAGAACCTCCTCCAACATCGTCGCCAACTCCCATTGATACTCCAGATACTGCTCCGCTACCTAACCCATCCGTGGGACCCACTCCTGCGCCTGCAGAAAGTGTGTCCATGGGGTCCAGCGAATCAATGTTGGTCATGTTAGCCATCATGGCGTCCACGGAGTTTGCACGGCTTTCTACAGGTCCATTGTTTCCAAGTCCCTGAGATCCGCTACCGCTACCGCTACCGCTACCGCTACCGCTACCGCTGCTGTTGGAGTTAATGCCGCCATTGCTGTTGTTCCCCGCATTATTGCCACCTCCGATTCCTGGGTGCGTCTGTGTGGGGCTTGCAGACTTCGCTGACCCAATTCCTGTCGAGGCCGCTGCAAAATCCATCCCACTATTGCCACCGCTGTTTCCACCTCCAAAATCCATCACCGGAGATCCGCGGCCAGGCCCTCCACCCAGGGTACTTGTGTTCACATTGGTCATCATCTGATTTGTTCCCATCTGCTGCTGTTGTTGTTGCAGTTGCAATATGTGCTTCATCTGAGCTTGACGATACGCTTGCTGCGCAGCCTCTTGTTGCAACATTTGCGGGCGTGCACCCTGAATATTATCGCTATTATTACTATCGCTATTATTATTATTGTTATTGTTATTGCTGCTGTTGCTGTTGCTGTTGCTGTTGCTGTTGCTGTTGCTGTTGCTGTTGCTGTTGCTGTTGCTGTTGCTGTTGCTGTTGCTGTTGTTGCTGTTGTTGCTGTTGTTGCTGTTGTTGCTGTTGTTGCTGTTGTTGCTGTTGTTGTTGTTGCTGCTGTTGCTGCTGTTGCTGCTGTTGTTGTTGTTGTTGCTGCTGTTGTTGTTGTTGCTGTTGCTGTTGCTGTTGCTGTCGTTGGTACTATTATTGTTGTTATTAAGTCCAGTCGGGCTACTAGGAGGAATGCTTGAGGTGCCAGACATGTTGGACATGCCATTGGGTGGCTGCGATTGTGGTGTATTGGCACTATTACCACCGCTGCTAAGGTTCATATTCATATTGTTGGGCATGTTCATGGTATTCATGTTATTATTATTAGTATTATTCATGTTATTCATATTGTTCCCCATATTATTGGGGCTCAAATTGTTGACGTTCCCCATGTTATTCATATTATCCATATTGTTATTATTAGTATTATGACTATTATTCGTATTGTTTATGTTCCCGCCCATGTTATTATTACTGTTATTCATATTGCTTGTATTTTGGCTACCGTTAGGAAGTCCATTTTGTCCAATATTAATCCCCACAGCCAAAATAGCCGCTTGTATCTGGCTCAGTGTAAGACCAAGCTGTAATAGTGCAGATATACTGCCCCTTAGGTTTGTGTAATTACCCGTGTTTTTCATCTCATGCATCGTCTGAAGGACTTGCTGGATACTCTGCAGATTTTGAGCACTAGGTCCAGGCCCGTTATTGGGATTAGGATTGGGGTTAGGATTGGGATTGGGGTTAAGATTAGGATTAGGATTGGAATTGGGATTGGAATTGGAATTGGGATTGGAATTGGAATTGGGATTGGGATTGGAATTGGAATTGGGATTAGAATTGGGATTAGAATTGGAATTAGAATTGGAATTGAGATTAGAATTGGAATTGGGACTGGAATTGGAATTGGGGCTGGAATTGGGATTGGGATTGGGATTGGGATTGGGATTGGGATTGGGATTGGGATTGGGATTGGGATTGGGATTGGGATTGGGATTGGGATTGGGATTGGGATTGGGATTGGGATTGGGATTGGGACTGGAATTGGAATTGGGGCTGGAATTGGGATTGGGATTGGGATTGGGATTGGGATTGGGATTGGGATTGGGATTGGGATTGGGATTGGGATTGGGATTGGGATTGGGATTGGGATTAGGACTAGAAATAGGATTGTTGTTGTTATTGTTATTATTAGTATTGTTATTGTTATTATTATTATTATTATTATTATTATTATTATTATCATTATCATTATTGTTGTTATTGTCATTGGAATTTTTGCCAGTCTGTGTACCAGAAGATGGTGCTTGGTTAGGACCTTGCTGGGACATTTGCGGAGGTCTTTGCTGTTGTTGTGGAATAGATTGATGCTGGATAGGATGCTGAATTTGATTAGGTTGTTGTAGGATTTGTGTGGGTTTAGGACCATTGTTGATTTGTTGTTGTTGTTGCTGCTGCTGAGGAATATTAACTGGTGGTTTTTGTTGGAAACTCATATTTGCAGGTGACGATGGACCCATGCCTTGAGGGGATTGCTGTTGCTGCTGCTGCAATTGTTGTTGCTGCTTTTTCTTGAGCTGCTGTTGCATAAGTGCCATAACTTCTGGAAACAACCCTTGAAGAGCTCTATAACTATCAGTGAGCGAGGGAACTTCCATAGGATGCGTCAGGATCTGTGGAAACAAATTCATAGCAGATGCTGGGTTACTTTCAACAGAGGTTGGGTTAGAAAGTGCTGTTGTGAGATGGATCAGAAATGTAATATTGGCCTGAAGTCGGCGCAGACAGTTGAGGAACATGCTCTCGTTGGCCTGACCGGTAGGAGCTGTGTTTTGGATCTGCAGATTTGCTGACTTGGGAGCTGTTTCAAGTAGACTCATAGCCGGATCCGCATAGTTTCCCGTGGCAATCATGGCAAAACGAAACAATTCATTGTTGATTTCTAGTACTAATGCAATGCGTTGTCGGCACAAAAGGTGCTGTTGTTCAGTGAGCCCAAACATGTAGGACTGTTGTTGATTGTGCTGTTTGTTATACTGAGCTATGTTATCATCGCTATTTTTGCGACTTCCCATAGGCGAGTTTATTGCAAACATATCATTAAGACTACCTGAAGAAGAGTTACGTTCTCTACTCATGAAGGGAGACTGGCTTGTAGGTGTGTTTGGTTGTTGCGGTTGTTGCGGTTGTTGTTGTGGTTGTGGTTGTGATTGTGATTGTGATTGTGATTGTGGTTGTGATTGCTGTTGCTGTTGCTGTTGCTGTTGCTGTTGCTGTTGCTGTTGCTGTTGCTGTTGCTGTTGCTGTTGCTGTTGTGGTTGCTGTTGCTGTTGCTGTTGCTGTTGCTGTTGCTGTTGCTGTTGCTGTTGTTGTTGTTGTTGTTGTTGTGGTGGTGGTGGTGGTGGTGGTGGTTGCGACTGTTGCGCAAATCTCATTTTAATGGCGGCACTGTTTTGGTGCATTCTTAGTCTCTGTTGGTATTCGATTTGTTGTGTAGCCACCATATTTGCTTGTGACTGTGCGGCATTGTTTGTTGCATTGGGATTTGAAGGAGAAGACGCCAGGGGGAGGGCTGAGGCCATGCTAGGAGAAAGAGCCGAGCCAACTGGAGAATGGGCAGTAGCAGATCCAGGCCGTGGACCGATCATGGAGGCCTGAGCCATGGGCCCAAAGCCCGCGTTTGGAATGATTGGTGATGGCGTCGCGGCTGTTGAGAGGATACCTCCAGGCATTGAAGATGAAGTAGTAGTAGAAGAAGAGCTCATAGGAGCCATAGATGGGTGTGGGCTGTGCATGGGCATAGAGGGTTGTTGCTGTTGTTGCTGTTGTTGTGGAGGTGGTGGAACAGTGGAAGTTTGGTTCACCAAAGGACCTGCAGATGTGGATGATGTGGATGATGTGGATGATGTGGATGATGTGGAAGATGAGGACGTGTTGGAACCATTGTTTGTGGCAAAAGACGCGCTATTGAAGTTCCCGAGATTGAACTGGTACTGCTGTGAGCCAAAGTTCATCACGGAAGATGGAAAAGGGGTAGGTAGATTTATTACCAAAAGAAGAAAAGATATGTAGGAGGGCGAGGTTTAACAGGTTTTGAAGAAGGCGTTTTATTTGGGCGGAAAATTAAAAAAAAAAAAATAAAAAAAAATAAACGTAAAAAAAAAAAAAAAAGGTGGACGCGTTTAGGGGTGGTGATGGCTAAGGGAAAGGAGGTTTGATCATGGGAAAAAATGTAATAAAAATGTAATAAAAATGTAATAAAAATGTAATAAAAATGTAACAAAAATGTAACAAAAATGTAACAAAAATGTAATGAAAGATGTAACAAGATGTAACAATATGAAATGTCACATGTTTGTAATAATAAAATGTAATAAAATGGAACCTGAAAAAAAACTTGTAATTAATAAAAAAATTGCAACAAAACTTGTAACAAAAAAATATACAAGAAATTTCACACCAATCAAAACATTTTGTGAATCCACCCAACCGCATCTGGTCACTACGCCTATTATTGAATCTTGTATATATACACAAAAAAATAACAAAAAAAAAAAAGAGAAGGGGTGATTCTTGTTTAAGAATAATAATCATTAAAAAAACATCTAGGTGATAATAGAGTGTATGTTTACTTTGTTTACATGGCAGCAGCAGAGCCGAACTTCTCGTCGTAGCCAGGAGTCTCCCATCTACCCTTGGTGACAGCCTCGGTGACCTTGGCGTCAATGTCGGGTCTGGCCTTGCGGAGGTCGTCAAGAGTAAGCTGGTCAAAGGGTCTGGCGGTCTCAATGTTGGAGAGGGTGGCCTCAAGGTCCTGGAGCTCCTTCTCGATGGTAGCAGAGGTCTCCTTGGCGTTGGCAAGAGCCTTAGCCTCAAAAGCCTCAATGGTCTTGAGCTGCTTGGAAACGTCGTAGGTCACAGGGGTGAAAGACTTGTAGGCGTTCTCAATCTTGTCGACAATCTCTTGGTTCTTGAGGGTCTTGCGGTAGAAGGCAAAGTCAACGGAGGTGGGCTGAGTGCCGAGCTCGACAACGGCCTTGACGGCTTCATCGTGACGCTTGCGGAAGCCGGAGAGGGCAGAGACAGTGGAACCGGTCAGACCGAGGGTGGAAACGATCTTGGCCCAGTCAATCTTAACGGTGCGCTATATAAGGGAGTTAGATGAGAAAGAATAAAGTCAATTGTAGTGTATGTGTGTTTAATTTAATAACTTACAGCAACAGACATTGTGAATTGGGTGTGTGTGTGTGTGTATGTGTATGGAGAAGGAGGGAGGTGTGGTAGTAGGGAAGGTTTTTTTTTTTTTTTTTTTTTTTTTGTGGAGGAGACACGAAGAGGTTAGAAAATCCAAGAGGGTAAGGGAGAGAAAAAAAACGATACGCGGGAAAATTTTGGCTGGCAGGCAGGCAGGCAGGCTGGTAGGCACCGACTGGCTGGCCGACTGGTTGGCAGGCAGTTTGGGTAGGCAATGAATTTTATTTGAGTCACGTGAAGGAAGAAGAACGGCCACTGGTTGGTTGGAATTGGCAAGTGACATTGCAGGAAAGGCTAAGAGATGTGTATGACAAAAAGTTGTTACATAAATAAAAATAAAACATAAACTATATTACATAAGACTTAAATCATTTATTTTAAACAATATAGAACTTAAAACATAAGCTTAAAATGATATATATATATTTTACCCTTAACCACGGTAGGGATAGGTTTCCCGCATTGCTATATACATTTTCTTTTCTTTTTTTTTTTTGGGGAGAATATGTCCATCAACCCAACAGAAAATGAATGAATGAATGAATAAATGAATAAATGATCGTTCATGAATGACAAGACCGCTAGTGCCGGTTCAATTTCCAGCTAAGGTTGAATATATCGTATCATTGAAAGTAAAGAGAGTGAGAGAGAAAAGGAAAAAATAAAATAAAATAAATATTGAATAAAAAAGAGAGTTGACTTTGGGTATCACCGTGTATAATACCCACTCCTTAACTGCTGTTGTTACTCTTCGTGGAGAAAAAGCTGCGTTACGATAGTGTCAATTCGGTCCGATCCGCCCGGGTTTCCTTGAAAATTCTCAATTCCTCACACCACTTTGTGTGCAAATTTTTGTTTTATTTTATTTTATTTAGAAAAATTTTTTTTATTATTATTCTTGGTTTGGTTTTAGCTTATAAGCTCTAATTAGAGAATTCCATATATATTGGAAGGCAAAAATAAAAAAAAAAATTGCAAAGTAAAGAAGATGAAATTTATATTCAAGTGTGTAATTTCAATGGAGTGTTTGTATAAATATTATTATATATACAACTATGAAAAAGACTTTAAGATGTTCATCACAGTTACTGGTATCGTAGTATACTTACTTACACCTAATTATAATATACCAACACAAATTCCAACAACAACAACAACAACAACAATAACAGCTGAACCACCTATAATGATCATTCTTCCGAAAGTATATTTTATATTTTATATATTTATAATAATAATAATAATAAAATATTCTATTTCTTTCGTCTCGATAAGGTTTTTTGGCAGCCCGCTTTCTGTGTCAAAGTGTGAAGGAGGAACAAAAAAAATAAAAAAATGAAAAAAATAAAAAGAAAAAGAAGAATGACGATTTTAGAAAAATGAAGGAATCCTCAGTCCGCCATCATTACAACATTGTAAACCACCCGTAAATTTTTTTTATTTATTTTTAATTCACTTGTTTAATATATTGTTCAACAACAGTGACTTGGTTGAAATATATTGAAAGATATTGAAAGATTGAAGTTAAAGAAGAAAAAGAAAAAGAAAAAGAAAAAGAAGATGATGATAATGATAATGATCCAAGAGTCAAGATCAAGACTAAGATCAAGACCAAATTATTTTTTTCAATTTTTTTTTTACTTGAATTAAATATATACTCTCATATCATTATCTGCATCATCAAAAAAAGTATTTTTTTTTATATTCATCGTAGTAGTTCATCGTAGTAGTTCTTCGTTGTAAAGTACAAGTCATGATACAAAGCGCTTTCTTTTTCTATTCTCGGGAATTTCTGTTCCTTTCAATATAAATATAAAAAATATATATAACACAACAAAATATCCATATGATTTTTTGTACTTCTGCGTCATGGCCATATGGACAAGCAGCACTTGATATTCCGACTTTTCTTTAAAAATATTTTGGCACTCCAAAAAAAAATAAAAGTAAAAAAAAAAAATCTCGTTCTTTTTTATTTTAAATTTTTTTTCTCCTTATTTTTTTTTTTAATTTTTTTAATTTTTTTAATTTTTTTCTTTTTTTTCTTTTTTCTTTTTATTATTTTTTTAAATATAATAATTCTCTCCATCATTCATCTAAACCCATTGTATTTATTTATTTATTTATTTTAATTTATAAAGTTTTATTTTTATTTTTATTTTTTTTTCAAAATTCAATAATTTTCTACATATCCATCAAAACGGTCTTAAAGTCCCCCATCATATTCATCATCATCCTAATCATCCTAATCATAACCATCATCAACATTTTTTCACCTAAACTGTTCCACACTTTAAAAAGGCATTCTCAAACCTAACAGTCATAGTTTTCATGCTGCAACAACAAAAGGGACTTTTCTGCAATGAATCCTAACCACCAAAATCACCATTACTCAGAGCTTCATGAAGATCCAAATTTATTACGAGAAGAGGCCCCACCTTCTCCACCATCGCAGTCCACCTGCAGTTCTCAGTCTCAGGAGATGAACTCAAGAGCCCTAGTATCATCAGCATCATCAGCTAATTCTATATTATCCAATCCATCTACTACTTCTTCTTCTTCCTCCATAACTACAATCACACCAATATCTGTTCCATCAGCTTCATCATCGTCAACATCCTCATCCTCATCGTCTTCTTCTTCTGCTTCAAAAGACAAACAAAATAGAATCACAGTTGCTTGTGAACGGTGTCGCAAACGACATAAGCGGTGTCACGGTGGATCACCATGTCTTAACTGTATCCGCTCAAAAGCAAAGTGTGTTTACGTAGAAGGAGAACGTAAAATTGTTGTCACGCTGCGATATATTCAAGGCCTTCAATCAGAAAATTCTCGACTAAAGGCTCTTGAAAATGGCAACATAACGACTTCTTCAAGCAATCCTGATTCTCAGCAACAGCAAATTTCAGCATCATTACATCCATCACATTTATCCCAACCCCAACCCCAACCCCAACCCCAATCTCCATCTCAATCACAATCTCAATCTCAATCTCAATCACAATCACAATCACAGTCTCAATCCCAGTCCCAATCTCAATCATTACAACGGACTTATTCCTCCGAAACTGAAGCTCTCCAAAGTCAGTTAAAATTTGAAAAAGAACAAAAATCTGCACTTAAAATGCAACTCCAACAGCTCCAAAAACAAATATCACAGCTACAAAATCAACAAAATCACCACTCCTATGGACTCTCGGCCTACCCCACTGAAACCCAAGCAGAAGTTTTTCCAACATCTTCTTCATCTATATCGGCTTCTTCATCATCGTTATCACTCCAAAATCTCCAGCAACATATTCCATCCCACCGAGTTGTACACCCCTCCGCCTCGGCTACCACTTCTGCCCTAAATACCACGCCATTTTTGTCACCATCCTTACCACCAGGTAACTGCAACAGCTACCCACATGCAGCAACCTATGGAACAATCGGGGATTCTTCTTCTTCTCCTTCTTCGAGGTTCACTACTACTACTACTACTACTACTACTACTACCACCAATATCACTTCTCCTTCGACCACTACGAAAAACCTTTCCAAGTCTTGCAATGGTGAAGGAATGGCAGTGAGTCCTTTTGATTCCGTACCACTACCACCTACTACATCATCTGCATCCTTATCTACTGCCTCCATATCTGCTTCTTCTTCCTCCTCTTCGTTTTTGTCACCCTCTGGTCCTGGTTCGGCTTCTGCATCTTCTTTGTCGGCACCCTATTCCGCACAACCACCACCACCACATCTGGCTGGCTCCCACTATGGTTATGGATACTGGCATTCAGAAAACCCTAGCCCACTTCCATATCCATTTCAGCATGCGGCTCGCGAAACTTCCCAGGCTTCTGCTGCATATGGCCAAATCAAGCATTCTGCGTCGAACTTTCCACCGCCTGCCCGCTCTCACCGGCCTACCTTCCCTCCACCACCTTCTTCTACTACACATGCTATTGCTACTGCTGCTGCCACAGCAACTTCACCGGCCATCTCATCATCTCTTGTTAGAAATCCTTCTATGGCTGTCCAGGCAACCATCAGCAACACTTCCAACTCAAACAATACCGGTTCATCGATTGGGTCTCCTTCAATCACTGGGTCCCGAGGTGGGGTCCTAGTGGCTCCACCACCACCGTCTTTAAGATATAAGCATCAATCGCCAGGTCTTTTACCCCCACTTCCTGAGTCCCTGGCGTCAAGAACGTCATCCCCAAACAATTATGCCCAACAACAACAACAACAACAACAACAAATGCCTGGTCGGTTCCGTACTTCCCCGGGACCATCAGCATCACTAAATACGGCATCATCCCTTACATCAACACCAAACCCATTCTCATCACATCAAAACCCATCAGACCAGTTGCCGATGGCTTCTCCTGGAGGACAAATCTCCACTGGTGATCAACGCCCTAACGCTTCTAGTCCGTCTGGTTTGGGTTCCGGTTCCAATACCATGGGAGCACAAGTCTCCCCAACAACTAGGACAGCAAATGTAAACCACCTTCGCCAGCAACAACTTCATCACCAGCTCCAAGGACACCAACAAGTCCAAATTCTTTCTACCCTCAATACCCATCATTCTGGCTCGGCTAGAGTTCAACATAAGCACCAATCACCCAACTTTTCACCAGCAACTTCTGCACCTTTCCCTTTTTCGTCTTCCGCTTCTCAGGGATACGATCTTAAAACTGCTGCAAGAGCCTTTTCCGCAGTCACGGATGATCTTTCTAAAATGCTCTCCGGGTCACCCCGATCCACTACCCACAGAAATGTTACCCGCTTAAAGCGCTCAAATTCCGGTTCCCTTATCACAGGAAATAATGAAAATAACCAAAATGACTCCTCCTCTTCATCTTCTGCGTCTTCAGGGTCTTCCAGATTCTCGGGACCACCAGTTTCACCCCTTAGTCCTTCATTTTCGGGTTTTGAAACCTCAATTGCTTTGCCGACACTTAGCCGTGATTTCCTAAACTACACTGTCCAGATTCCGCGGTTTGGCCAGTCTCCTACAGTTGTATGCTTTACTGTCCCACCTTGCAATGAAGCTATTCGGCATCTTGAAACCTTCCAGCACTATTTGGGACGTAGCTATTATATTGTAAACCCTGGAAGATTCCGGGCAGAAATAGAGCTCTTTTATTCACAGCCGGCTCAAATAGTTAGCGCCTCACTTTCTCCGGATTACATTGCATGGCTAGTATGTTTCCTCATTATTATGGCTATTGGGGAGCTTTACGAATTTGAGGGCGATGGCCCGGCTACTGGTTCTAACTCGGTCCCATTTTTCTCTCCAGACTCTCAACTAGTTCAATTTTGTAATCTCCCAGGGTTTAAGCACTTTATTGTGGCAAATTATCTCATCTCTCATCTTATGGAAAACATGCAAATTGAGCCAGATTCTTTGTCCACAGCACAAGCCCTGGCACTCTATTCTTTTTATTTTATTCTTGCGGATTCACCAGGACCTCAATACTCTTCCGGTGGCTTGACAACCCGTTATGCTATCTGTCTAGGTCTTCACAGCGACTCTGCAGGTGTTACACTTACTCCCATTGAACATGAGCATCGACGTCGCCTTTGGTGGTCAATTTACATGGCAGATCGCTATAGCGCTGCAAAATCAGGATTCCCACCTTCCATTGGTGATGACTTTATTTCCACGCTACGTCCATGTCATGTCACTGTCCCTTCCGACGAGCCTGATACCTTTGAAGATGAAGGCTATGTTGCCTCATTTATTTTCATTTCTCAAATTACTTCAACCATGCTTTCCTACCTTTACCATCCGAACCGAAAGCCTGACGTGTTGGCTATTCTCACCAATGTTTTGGTTCATTTACACAACTGGCGTCGCAATCTTCCCAAAAAAATCCAAGTAGATTATGCCAAAAAAAAACTGGACGTAAAACGCCATATTGCAAATCTTCACTGCGAATATTTCCAATGTATTAACCTCACAGTAAGACCAATTCTTCTTTACTTTGTACGTCAGCGTCTTCTTGCTGCCAAAAAGGGCACAAACAATGCCTCAAATACATCCTCCTCACCTTCAGTCAAACGCCGTCGCATAATAGCTCCTCCCCCAGTTGATCTTTCCCATTATTCCCAGGAAATGCTTGCTCTTCTTAGTGCTACTTTCCAAGCATCTATCCAAACTATTCGCTCACTACAGCATCTCTATGCCCACCACGAGCTGCCGCTTTTTTCGTACTTTGACCGAGAATACATCACATCTTCCGTATCAACATTACTCCTCTTCAATGCGGCTTTTGGCGTCAACGCCTTTGCTATGACTCGTGTATCTGCCGGACTTGTGCTTCTTGAAGCCATGGCAGCTGGCGGGAACATTAAGGCTGAGGAACGCAGAGACAACTTGCTTGGCCTTATAACTGCGCTTGAAAGACATGGCGTTGTTTCGTATAAAGAAGAGCCACATTTGGATTCTTATCAGGGGCAATCGGAATCCATGCAAAATAGCCATACCAGCAATAATTCCCAAGCTTCAGACTCTGGAATGTCAGTGTCGTCACCGTCAACAAGCGACCCTCTTAAACTCCAAGACGGAACAAATAGATCCATTCTTAATACTACAAACTATGATAACATTCAAGGATCATCTCAGTCTCAGAACATTAATGAAGGACCAAGCTTCTCAGATACCCACGAACATAGTGTTTTGAATCCCTGTTCAATTGCTCGTATTGTACCCGATGCAACAGCACCTATGGCTTCACATGCTACTAGATCACCAGGCAGTGGAAATTACACGCCCACTGAACATTCAGTTTCTACCAATACTAATACTGCAACAACGACCAATGCTGACGGGAACCCGCTGGACGGAAAGGCCCCGTTCGAGTCCTGTGTCGAAAACAACTTATCACTGCTTGGTTTGACCGGAGCTGAGCGTCGCGATACATGGGGCACGCCAGCCAAATTCTCTTCATCATCTTCATCATCTTCATCATCATCATCTTCTGCCGCAAGCTCTTTAGCACCGTCATCTACAGTTTTCCCAGCATCTCTGGCAAACAGTATCTCGAATTTGCTTGCACCTGCGTCGCCGCAACAATCTCGGCAACCGCTTGCTCAGCAGCGGGCTTCACAGCAGCCACCAGCTGTCGGGTCCACGCAGAATCAAGCGTGGGTTCCACCTGAGCAAACCCCGGGCTTTGCACTACCAAATGCTTTCCCACATCCGCCAAATGCTCCTGGCTTGCCGCAGCAGCAGCAGCAGCAGCAGCAGCAACCGTCAACAACTGGGTCACCCAGAGTGGAGGGTCTGGGTAATATGACAGCTGTGCGCGGGTTACCACAATGGTGGGCTGACATTGATCGCGGATTGTGGAACGATATGGCTACACATTCGTCTTCATGGAACGCCTTGCTGCTTGGTGAAGAAGTTGATGATTTATACAGAAATTTGTAAAAAAAAAATATTCTTGTAATTAAAAAAATATATATGTACAAATAAACATAAATAACAAAGCTTTCTTATCCTACTAAACTTTCTAACACAGTCACACTAGCACACGCAGTTTCTTCACCCTCAATTTCCCTCATCGACTGTTCAACATGCGCTGGCAAGCCCAGCCACTCTGGAGGTTGTTGTCGGTCTGGCAGTCGTTCAACCCAATCATTGAATGCAGGTAGTCCACTGCCTTCTGGTGCAAGAAGCGATCCATCAGTGACAAGAGAGAATCCAAGGTTATACGCGTCAGGGGTGAACACACTGCGCACCAATTTGTCTAACACTTCACAGTCCTCCGTGCGATCAATCTTTCCACCATAAACAGTGTCGGTCAGCAAACCCCTGATAGCTTGCCAGGGCAATCCGGCAGGAGCCACATTTGTCCTGGTACCAGCCACCGCGTCGACCCATACATCAATCACGTAGGCACCACTCTCAAAGTCTGCATCATTGAAATCATATGGCTTAGTCCATCCAAGTGGCACCAGCCGTCCACGTTCTTGTAGCACACCGTGAAGCCATGCCAAAAGAAAGTATAGTCTACCACGCTCAATCGGCGGCCGCAAAAGACGGGTGGCATTGTTGAGCCGCAAGCTGGCCTGCATGCTAGATTTGATACCCCATGGCGGTTCAAACATGACCACACGAGACAGGCGCAGCAATGTTGTAGGAATTCGTGCACTTGTCTGCATTGTCAATAGTAGTCTAAAGTCAGGATGGTGACGTGTAGACAAAACATGTTTTTCCAACTTTTCAAGCCACGATGGTGACAAGTGCACGTTTTGAATCAATACCCAGGTGCCTTTTTGCGATCCAGTCAAAATAGCTTTGTCTGCATTCAAGTTTCCTTCCTTAGATCCAAGTGCCACAATCTCACACTTTTTGCCAAGTCGGTTCAAAACAGTTTCAACCTTGAACGAGGGGTCACTACCTCTAGTAGCACAAAGGGCAAGTGGTGTGGAACTATCACTGTGGCTTAAAATCAAATCCTCCAAATCGCAATTCATATCCAAAGGAAATGGAAACAAAGAACCGCAAAAGTTGTTCACATACTCCAAAAATTCTTTAGGCTGAACAAGCTTGACCAAAAGAAGATTGTATAGCTGGCGCAACGCTTCGCTGCATGTTTCACCCCAAATATTGATAGGCACAGATCCACCTTTGCGGTTCTTGAGAGCATCTGTCAACGATGGCTCATCGACAGAGTTGATGTCAATGTCAGCAAATTCATCCAAAATTCCCTCAATCTTAGAGAACCACCCAGGCTCGTCAATGTTGATACCTTTAAGATCGTGCTTGTTCAACACCCGAGCAAGCTTATTAGGGCCAATGTCAGAACTGTAAGCCTGAGCAAGCAACAGCATAAATGCAGGCTTATCCTTGTTAAGAAGCGACGCAGAGGTAGCATTGAAGGTGTTGGCATAGATAAGATTTATGAGCTCAGAAACACGAGAAGATGACATGTCTGATTTAGCTCCAGTGGTCCAAAGAGAAGAAAAAATCTTTAAAAAGTATTCAAGCGAAAACTGGTAAAATGGGTTGATGAGATGAAGTTTTTCCAAAATTGCAAAGATCTTACCGCAGTGCACAGCCAGCGGACGGTACTGATTCATTACTTCATCAATTGTCGTCATAACGTTATCTGTTTCTTCCACCTTGGCACTGATTTCAGCTGCCTCGACCTTAAGCTTTTCAAGGGTGTCAATAATCTTCTCATTGTCAAGAATGTTGCCCTCGGATTCGTTGAGCGCTTGTAACAACTGCGATTCAAGCTGTCTAAGGTGAACCTTGTATTCACTCTGCAATTGAATCAATTGTAGACGCTTCTCTTCGACATCAGGTCTTTCTGCTCTCAGAACCTGATTCAATGTCTGACTTTCCAAACTGCTTCGTGTAACACTAAAGTTAACAATGGTGGTGCGAGCGCTAATGTGTGGAGGAATGACAATAGATGGATCGCGTGTAAGCAAATACAATTTAAAGTCTTTTGAGAAATCAATATCTTGATTTCCAAGTTCTATCAAAACACGACCACCTGTCTTTTTGTATTCCTTATTGAGAATCTGGGAAAGAATGGGATCAAGGTATTCAGCATCTTGAATGAGAATTGGGTTGCCAAAACGGATGGCGCTTTCCAAGTGCTTCACAAATGCATCATCAAGGAAACTAGTGACAGTGAGCTTTTTGTTACTGTGCTGCTTCTCCAGAAATGAAATAACACGTGCTGTTGGATCAATAATGAGAGGGTAGCGGTCATATCGAGAGATCATGACCGCGTTCTCAACATAAAGATTGTCAGGAGGAAGATCAGCGCTACGCCATTTAAGACGTTGTTCTCCAGTGGCAAGGTAGTTTCCAAGTGTATTGTCTTTATGGAACGGAATGCCAGAATTTTCCAAAAAGTTCCTCCAGATCATGTAAATGCGCTCACGAACAGGTTGATCATAGTAACCGGCATAAGTCATGAAAGCAGCAGAAAGCAAAATCATCACCAGGTAAACTTTCTTTGCGGGACTCAAATTCCTTCATATTTGTGCCCCAACGGCTTTTCTCGGCCGAAAGACTTTGCAAAAGCTTGACACTACGGCTGACCTTGTTTTCGACAGCAACCATTTCACTCTTGATAGTCTGCACCTCTGTGATAAGAACAGCGTAATCATCTTTGAATTTCTCAATGCTTTGTTCGAGCTCGCCAATCATATCAATAATGGCCTTGGCTTGAGCTTTGGTCTGGTTAGCTTCTTCTTCGAGAGTATAAACTTCTTCACGCAAAGGACCAACACGCTCAAGTATTGAAGCATAGTTAACTTGAGCCTCTACCCATTGTAGCAATGGCCCACATGCCTTACTGGCTCTGTTGACTGTTTCAAAATTGAAATTAGGCAGTGACAAAAACTCACTTTCCATTCTGTGTCGCAGAGTGGGTGTCATTTGTGATTCACTATCAAAATTGACAATGTTGGAGATGAAATCATCACGACGTACATAAGCCTGAATCTCCTTCCAAGTTTGTGCATTGTATCCAAGCAATGTACACACAGAGTCAAGAGCAAGTTTAACAGCCTCTGGGGGGTTGACCATGGATCTCAGCTCTGTAAGATGCTGCTTTTTAATATTGCTGACGCTCTTTTGAGCTTCGATAACAGCAGGTTCAGCAACAGCCAAGTCATTCAAGACGATTTCTTGGCGCATAGCAATTTCTTGCTCTTGTACCTTAAGAGCCCTCTGAATTTTAATTGACGCTTCACGCTTGCGCTCGGCCTCATTCTGTTCAGCAACCATACGCTGGAGCGTTTGCTTGGCTTCATCGCTCTTGATTTCCAAGCGCGATTTCTTTTCTGCCAAGTTGGCCTTAAGTTCACGTACCTTCAGAACAGTATCCAAAAGCTTTTCAACACCCACGTTAAAGTGACGCTGTTGATCTTCCAGTTCTTCACTCTTTTCATGGAAAATTCTAACAAGGTGGTTGACAAAATCTAAAAAATCACTGGGAGAAATAGAGAGTTTGAACGATTTGTTAAGGTCCAGAACGCTTTTATGAGTGTATACCATGGCATTAACCAAAGTTGCACGGTAAGAGCTCAAGGGATATATCTTGGGAAGTAATGCAGTCGCATTTTCAGAAACCTTAAATTCCGAACGGTCAATACTTAAGAATTCAGTCAAAGAAGAAGCAACTTGGAATAGAGAAGCGTCAGACCAGTCACCCATCCAATTCAAAACACAACGGTTGAAAAGAGCTGGGGATGCAACGGCATGTGAAGAAAGGTCATCATCAGGGGGGTTAAGAGTAAAAATGACATGCAGGTTTCGGATGATTTCGCTTGTGAACCACTTGTAAAGCTCGTCTTGTGAATCAAGGTTAAGACTTTGACGAAGAGCTCCTTCCTTGCAAGCAGTCATGAGAGTCGTAAAATCGTCACCTTCAAACAGGCCAGGAACTTCACCATTAGCCAAAAGTGTATTCATTCGTTCAAGGAAAGTGGCCTCACGGATATTAGACTCATCAAGAATAAAGCAAATCTTTTCGCCATTAGTACCCGCACGACGCAAAATGTGGCGCAAATCAGTGTCAAAATCCTCTTGTGTGTATTTTCGTGTTGTTTTAAGTTGAACAACACGTAGGCCGGTCATCCAAGCAACAAATCGAGATAATGTTGTTTTGCCGCTACCACTTAGACCGATTAAAATCAGATGACCTTGGGGTTGTCTAAGAACACGGTCAATGCGAAGAATATGATCAAGAAGATCGTCAAATAAAATGAGTGGCTTGTCAAGATCTTCTTCACAGAAAGTTTTCATGCGAGCTTTAACAAAAGCCTTGAGCTCATCACCATCAACAGGCAAGTAATCCTTGGTAAGCCAATTGGAATACAAAATAGGCATTTTAAGAGTAGTGATAAGATCCACATTGACAAAATGCTTGTAAGCAACATTGTGCAAAAGTTCGTGAGTCCATTTTCTTTCGTCATCTTGAACAAGTCTATCATGAAATAAACGAAGAGCTTCATGTGCCCAGATTCTAACAAGGCCCTCTAAAGAAAGATGTTCAAGGGGATGGATGGCTTCGTAGATGCCACGGCACCAACGAGTAAGTTCACGCGGTGAATAAATGTAGTGAGAATGCTTTGAGTTTGAAAACTGTGCCTGTGAACACATGTAAAATTCAATCATTGCGCTCGTAAGAATGTTGGCATAGCCACGTAGTGAGGGAACGGTCTTAAGGATGGCTGAATTAAAAGTCTCATAAATTTGATGCAGTGATGTTTCACCAGGATAATCAACAAGAACCACAGCAGTATGGCGCAGGAAACGCATGTTGAGCTCCTGGCGGCCAACATCAGTAGGCGGGTTACAAGCACCCACAAACTGAATATGAGAGAGTGTAATCCATTGCTTCTTGGTAGGACTCCAAAATCCTTGCTGCTCAATCATCTGACGAAGAAGTGAAATAGCACGCTGAGTTCCGTAACGATCCCGTTCAGGCAAATTAATTTCATCACAGAATACAACAAGCCAACGGCCAATTTGCGAGGGGCAAAGGGTCATGCCATTCATAGTCTTTTTGTACTCACAATGTTGCTCAAGCGATTTGATGAGCAGGTTGGGTGTCGTAGCCTTGGAAAAATTAAGACCCATAACATCGAGGTTTGGCGACTTTCGAAGAGCACCAAATAAAGTCATTGTTTTACCAGAACCTGGAGGACCACAAAGTACAATAGGTCGATGACTATTAAGAAGGCTGTAAATCAAGCTCTCGTGACGAACAGTGTCAAGCGTAGGCACCACCACATCAGTCTGAATGATAGAGTGTGTTTCAAGATCCACCCGGGGAACCTTATCAATCCACTTTTCCCATTGAGCTGAAGGTAAGTTGACATCGTAGTCAATCAACAAAGTTGTGTGATCAAGGCCAAGAGTAGAAAATGGTGCAAGCGACAAAAGGTGCTTTCCAAAAGCTTCACGGTCTCTAATCAAACAATCACCGGCAAGCGCCCAAACAAGAGAAAGCAGAACTGACCTTTTAATGTATGCTTGACGTTGGTCAGCATCAATTGAATACTCCAAATGTTGGTTCATAAAGAGTAAAATTTTGAGACATGCCGAGTCGATGAAAGAAAAGGCCGAGTAAAGTGCACGCACGTTTTTGAACTCCATAACATGATTGAGTTCAGCTGCAAAAGAAAGAAGACTGTCAATATCAAGTTCATTAAAAACAGACCTGATATGAACAATTAATTCAGCCTGAATATCTGCAGTATTAAGTCCAGAAATATCTTCTTCAACATCATCATAGGCATTGTCCTTGAGTTGAAATAAAAATCGAGAAAGCTGCATGCGGCTTGTAACAACGTTTGGTCCAAACCAAATCATACCACAACGACTGACAGTGGCAGGTGTTGCATACTTGAGATTCTCAACCTCAAAAAGAATGCGGACATTGTCTGGAAGAGAGATGCGTTCACCATTGGGAAGGGTAAGAATCTTATTGTCATCCAAAACAGAGTTCAAATTTTCAGCCCATTCAGGGTCAACATCACCATCAAATACAATCCAGTGGCGTTTCTGGTCTTCACCACGCAAGTTTTCGACAATGCGACGCAAAATCGCAGTAAAAAACCCGTCAGTCCACTCACGTGTTGTAGAGTCAAGACTTCCGAAAAGAACTTCTTTGGACATAACTTTGGGATCGATCAAATGGAAGACACTTTCTGTCTTTTCAACAGTTTGCAACGCATCCAAAAGTGTGCGCCATACGCTTGATTTACCACAACCAGCAGCTCCAACAAGCATGATACCATGGTGGATCTTTTGAAACTGGTAAAGTTGAATAACCTTTGCTAGCCACTCGTCTGAGACAACATGGCCATTGGTTTCTGCAAAAGAACGAATGCTAGCTTCGAGCTCGGGAGAATGTGAACCCTTGTAGGTAATATTAGGGAAAAGAGTTTCCTCAATGGCCAACATGATTTGAGTGTCTTCTGCCACAAGCTTGGGAGCAACTGTTTCACGCAAACATTGCAAAATAATGGAAGCTTCCCAGGTATCAGTATCTTTAAAAGACTGGTCCGAGAGTTGTGCACGCTTAAGAGTACCAGAAGTAGCCAGCACATTTTTAAGTGCACGTAAACCAAAATCATAATGGATTTGTGACGAGAGACGGTTTTGAAGTTCAGTGAAGAAGGGAACAACAATCTGTGCAAGCTTTTTGGCATGAATGAATCCTTGGGAATTGAGAATAACTTCGGCAATAATTTCTTTGTCAGGTTTGGCCATGGAAAAACTGCGGAAAAGGCGTTTTAGATTCTCTGGTAGGGTGTTTCTACCAGTATACTCAGGATTCATTGTAATAAAAATGCCTGTATTATCGTCAATAGAAACAGTTCGACCCACTAGCTCAATCACAGATTGTGTGTTGGTGTTGATGGATTCTTTAATACCGAGTTCGATTGCCTCAATCTGTGTGGAGACTGCAGAAAGAATCTGTTCATTTAATCTGTTGAACTCATCAAAGCAGCCCCATGCACCAACCTGGCACACACCTGTAAGAATGCGGCCAATTGCCTGGAAATCAAAAGACTCGTCGCAGCAAAAAACAACAACGTATTTACCGAGGTTGTGACCCAGCGCCTTTACAGACTCTGTCTTTCCTGTGCCTGCAGGACCAAAAGGCGACCCACCAAGTCGCTGGTCAAGTGCTTGGGTCATTGCTAAGAAGCACTTGTCAACGAGTGGTGTGGAAACAAGACGGTCGGGCATACCGAGATATTCAAACCCGTACTTAAATTCGGCCTTGGCCTGAATGACTGTAAGACGAAGAGTAGGGTTTTCGATGTCCTCATCATAATAATAGCGAAGCTGTGATTGCCAAGAAAAGTCATCGACAGAATTAACGCCAGTATCAATTAGCTGAGTAACAACGTCACGCTGGTGAATAATCTCAGTAATAAAACTTTCGCATTTTTTGCGGTCAATGATGGAAAGATCTTTGAGAACAGACTGTGCTAAATGGCTCAGTATTTGTGCATATACTTCACGTAGTGAACGCAAATCATCGGGAGAAGTGACTGCATTTTCTACAGCCTTAGTCCAAAAAACTTGGGATGTGACAATGGAGATCTGAGATGGCACAGATTGCAACCAAGGAACAAGAGCATCTGTATTATTAAATACACTTGTAAATGATTGGGTGGAGTCGCCGAGAATAGTCGAAAGTGAAATGCAAACATTTTGTTCAAGCTCTAGCAACCAGTCGACCACCTTGGGCGTCTTGGCCAAATTAATTGGCGAAATAAGTTGAACTTCTTCACCCTCTTTAGAGCGGACACCAGTAATTTGGAGGCCGTCATGCAAAAGCCCGGCAATACCAGCAAACATTTTGGAAAGATGTTTTTCAACTCTATTAATATCATTGGAGTTGCCAATAATTTCAAGCAAGTCGTCATCGCCAATAAAGTAAAAGCGAGCAAAACGTTGACGCTCCTGCTCATAGTACTCACCAAGCGCCTTTTGAACCTTGGAAAGAAGATCTGCAAGACGTTCAATAGACTGCTGGACACCAGGAATGTTGAGAACATCAAGGACAAGAGGCGATTTGTATACCTTGCGCAAAATAACAAAAAGCTCTGAATTAATGCTCTGGAAGCGTGAAGATTCGACAGGTAGAATGTGCTTGATTTCTGAGTTGTTGTTAAAAACGCCTTCTAGGTAAACCCACTGGCGCTGGACATCAATCCAGACGTCAAAAAGAACGTGAACGCGGTTAAGCTTCTCTTCCCATCCGCGTGCTTCCTCTTCAAAGACCTTAAAGTAGTGTGAGTGGTGCATGGCGCTCAGTGAGTTCAAATGGTCGCTGCACGTTTGGAACAATTCGTCCCATCCCTTGATAAGACGGCATGTGTTTTTGTAGTTGATGAGTTGGAGCTCGTAGTTGGACCACACTTGACGCACCTGGCGCAAAAAGATCTCAAGAGCAAGCTCACCTTGTGCTTCAGCAACAATGTCTTTGATAGCTGCAGAGTTTTCCAACAGGCCAAGCCCCCAAACGTCGCCGAGTGTTAACGAGTTGTAGAAAATAGTTTGATTTTTTGAAAGACGCTTAAAAATCTTTTGCCAATGACGTTCAAGAATAGCATCACCCTTAAGATCCACAAGCAACGGTTGAGCTCTAATGAGATTCTTAAGCACGGTCTGGATATGCTCAAATGCAGCGTACTGACGAATCCGTGTAGGCATACCCTTAGTCATTTCCACAAGATCATCAAGACTTTTGCGGATTTTACGAGGGACAATGCTAGCCCAAGGTGTTTCCTTAAGGTCGTTTATGGAGTTCCAAATACTCTCCAGTGCAGACCATACAGAGTTAAAATCACGAATTTCTTCGAGAATTGGCTCAAGACTGCTAGAAACTTTGAATGTTAAGTCGAGTGCATTCGATGCTTTAGCCAAAAGCTCAGCAGATGCCAAAAGCGAAGATGCCTCAGTTTCAAATCGTTGTAAAAGCTGAAGAGCGTTTGAAGGATTAAGAGATCCTGCAATAGGTTTGTCCTGCTCCCATTGGCGATCAAGATTGTTGATGCGGTCAGTAAGGCGCTTCATCTCGTTTTGAACGCGGGCCCGAATAGCATCAATCTGGGACTCAATAATGGCTGATTTCTTTTCAAGAATTTCACCGAGTGCTGAAAACTCACTTTCAAGTTGTTCAACGTAGAGCCAGTTAGAGGGGAACCGGAACCGGTAACGTGAAAGTACCGTCTGACCATTAAGATAAAGATTAACTTCTTTCTCCCACTTTTGCAACGAGATATTGCATGCTTGGACTTTAGTAACAGTAGCGACAACCTGATCTGTAAAAGTAAAGTCAGTATTCATAAGTTCAAGATCACGACGATTAGTTTCAATCACACCGCAAAGATCCCGCATGGCGGTATTGAGCTGTTGAGAAAACTTGAGCATGGCTTCTTGCTCCCATGAATCGTACTTTGCATTAATTCGAACTTGCACAGTACGGAAATCAATTCGTAAAAGTCCGAAAGTCTTGTACATTTCTGTCGTGTCGAAAGTGGATCTGGCTTTGCGGATCTCATTGAGAATCTGGAGCCATTTTGGCATACTGTCGCCAAGGAAATCAAAGACTTGAGTAGGTTCAAGGTCCCAGAGAGATTGGAACTGATACCAATTGTCAAGATAAACCTCGGCATTGTGAATGTGGTGTTCAATCAAAACAAGTGTCTTGCTGATTTCGTGGCTTAAGTGATTTGGAATATCAGAGAATGTAGCATTTGATTGCTGCTGGGCTTTTAGTTGGAGATCGAATCGGTCTGATTTGATCATTTTAAGGCGTGATGCACAATTTACATTCTCCTGAAAATTGTAGAGCCATGAGCTTCGTGCAGATTCAATGGGAGGATAAAGCGAAATGACGCGGTTTTTTAGAATGAGTTCATGAACACGGATATCATTGGGAACGCCAAGAGTTTTAGCAAGCTCGGGTTGGTCAAAAGATGCATTCCATTGATTGACCACCGTGCGGCAGCGCTCAATTAGAATCTGTTCAATCTCATTGTTAAGGTTGTGTACAAAATCCCGGATGTTAGCATAGCCGTCTAGATTGAGTTTATCCACTTGTTCCTGAATTTGTACAAGACACGACTGGAAAGAATCGTATCCAAAAGGGCATGATTTGAGCTGAGAAAGAGATGACGAAATAGTAGAGTATGTGATTGCAGCTTGGTCAGTTTTAGATTCAAGTATCTTGACACTTGTCTCGAGCTTTTGAACAAACTTTGTATGGCGAGTATCCTTGTCAAACATCGAATCGTGGATAAAAGATTCCCAGGAAATGGCAATTCCCTTTGATAAAAGATTATAGACATCATTCTCATATCCATTGAGTAGGCCACTGGTTTTTGAAGGCAACTTTTCAATGACAGTCTGGGTATTGAAAAATGTTTTCAAAGTGTCTATGAGGCCAACGGCGAAAGGGTATGCGCATTTTGCATCCTTGGAGACGGCATTAAGAGAATGGGGGACCGGGAACTTGAGCCATGTAAGATTGCGAATTTCTTTAAAGAGGGTGATGATCTCTGGATCAAAGTTAACAGAAAGCTCATAAACAGCCGTTCCTGATTTTCGTGATTTGGATACGCGGAAGAGATGGCCGCTAATGCTAAGGTTGGGTTTTTGAGCAATGGAGGCAAGCCAAGCCTCATATATGGGAGTGCTATCAAGCTTTTGGCGAAAGGAAACACTTTCTGCATGAAGTTTCTGACCCTCTGCATAGTGTTGCCATCCTTTACCTAGGACAGCCTCGACGCGCTTCATATAGGTATTAAGCTGGCGCTCAATCTGACGGATCCAAATGATGCTGCCCGAAACTGGTGGGATATCACGAATCTTGGACATTTCATAGGCTTCAGAGTTGTAGTACTGGAGACGGAAGCGATTTTGAAGTGTGGCAATGTCTGCCTTGACGTTTTCAATAAGGCGTGATTGATATTCTTGAATTGCACCACGGATAGAAGCACGAACAAACAAAGCATTAAACTTTGAAAAAACCCGAAACATTTCGTTTGAGGTTTTAGCCGTAGCTAGTCTGTCCCTCAGCATTGCAATGATTGCATTTTCAACACGAGTAGTGCGTTCTTCGTATTCTTTTTCAGCCTTGTTCCATGTGTAGACGCCATCTAAAAGAAGTTAGAAACTATTTTTTTTCTTTTGTGTTTTCAAAACACGCTAAACTTACCCTGGGTAGTATCCAAAGCATTAATATTCTTTAAAATAGAATATGCTTCTTCAATCTCGTCAAGAGGATCAAGGCCTTCAAGGCCCACAAGTTGGGTTTTTCCTGCACCAAGCACACGTGCAAGAGTATTTCTAAGTTCCTGGTGACGCTTACGGAAGGATGTGATATAATCAAGTCTCTCTTTAGTCTTAAGATATTTGGCATTGAGACGGATGGGAATAAATTTTTCAGAACGCTTGCGAATGACTTCACGAGCAACGTTGGCAAACTCCTTGAACTGGTCGTCCCAGACAACAAAAATGTCATTGGCTTGGTTTATAGTGTAAAGGAATGTGGAATAGTCAAGATGCATAAGACGGGTAGTGTTAAGAATAGATTGTAGAGAAGCGTTGAAATCAGCAGAAATACCCTCGACAAGAGCCAAGGCACGCCATGCAGGGTATGGGGTAATTCTGAGTTTTTTGTTTAGATGAGAAAAAATGAGTAAAAGGGCACGTTGCACCCCATTTAGAGAAGTTGCGGAAATGAGATCGTCAAGAGGAAAGTCGCGCATGAGTTGATTGTATTTTGCAACTGTTTCCGAAGCTTCTTTAATACCTGTATCGGAAAGGAAACTGACAGTGGCGTGAAAACGTTTGGCATTGCGGAGAATAGCAAGGGTAAGAGAAACACCGGGGCCTTGAAGCTGATCATCAATATGTTTTAAAGCTGTCTCCATAGAGAGCCAAAAGTTAATTTCTTGGGTGGCTGATCCGGTGTAAGGGTCCCGGTTCATGCGAGTTGTACCCTGGATCGATTTGATCCAACCATTGACGTTAGACTGAAGAGTGTTGAGAAAATCAGTATCTGTAAGATATTGAGCAGGAATCAAATCGATTGATGGTGGAAAATCATCCTCTGGCGAAAGGGAAAGTAATGCATGTTCGATGGTAGGATGAATATTGAGAGTGAGTTCTGGAATCTCTACATTTTGTTGAAGATGAAGCAGGGAAAGTTCAAGTTCAGCAATTTTGCGGCGAGTTGCAGGAACAGCAGCTGTGGCAGTGGTGGCTGCTTTGTCTGTAGAAGAAGCGGAAGAAAGCTGTGCAGAGGCCTCAAAAAATGGACTGATGGCATAACGGATGATAGAATGAAGGGCTTCATAAGGGCTGGTCGCACCCTCAGCAAGTTGCGCTGCTGGTAATGGGAGGAGAAGAGTCTGTAGACGAGAGTGAAAGGCGTGAGAAGAGTCAATTGGAGTAGGATCCTTGATGACTGCAATGCATTGTGTGGAATCTGTAGTGATTGATGGTGTAGTATCGATTCGGTAGGTGTAGTATGTGGTTTCTATATAGGTTAGAGAAAATGCTGCAATTTTTTTATTAAAAAAAACTTACCATCTTCTGGGTCAATATGAGCATCTCTAATGATGAATATGACAGCTGTAGAAGAATCTGCGGCAAATGCTGAGCAGAGTTTTAACACAAGAGGCGTAGAAGCCGGGTCGAGAATAGTTGCAGTTGGATCCTCGAGAAGAGTGGCAATAACGTCATTGATATATCCTGCTAAAGAAAGAGGATTGACGGGATCAGGAACTTTAGGCTCGGAAAAGACTTCAGAGTCGTCCGGGTCTAAAGCTGTGGCAGAAGCCATGATTGATTGTTTGGTGTTGTAAGATGTTTTTTTATGGAAAAAATGGTGATGAGGTTTCAAGAAGTTTAGGAGGTTTGAATATTTTGTTGTTTTGTTGTTGTTACAAAACTAGAAATTTGTTACAATAATAATCAAGATACTATTGGTAAGTATTATTGTGATACCGGGTAATATTTGTTACCTGGTAACATAAAAAATTCTACTGCATATGTGTTACATTTATTCAGATTGGAACCGAAATAGATCTATTTACCTACTCTAGAGTAGGTGCAGTTGGTGGCCTAATTGAGTATCCACGGCACCGTCTATTTTTAGGGACTGTCTTGGCGGTCCTTATGAAGGCTTCAGTGTGACGAACTGCACCGACAGAACAAGAAAGTTAATTCTCGTGGTTGCGTATGTGACGTGAGACGACTAGCCGAAGACCTAATTGAAACAAAGGAATGGAGTGAAAGGAATGAGGGGAGTTGTAGGAAAAAGAATTAAAAAAAGAATTAATTAATTAATTAATTAATTAAAACAAAAGGTCTTTGAGTTATCGAGATTGCCAATTTTCAATCAATTATTCCTTTTAATATAGATTGTAGATATGGTTATTAATTATACTAAGTGCTAACCGGTCATACGTAGACATGCATAGCTACCATAGTAAGGTTTAGTTTATTTTCTTAGAAAATGCAAAAAAGGTGAGTTTAATATTGGACGACAACGACAACAAAAGCTCATGAAGATCGAACATTTTGATTACAAGAAGCCGCAGTTGTCCTTAGGGTTTTTCCTTCTTTTCTTTTCTTTTCTTTTCTTGTCTGCCCCGCTTCTGATAAAGGTTTTGGGAAAAGACACGCAATAACTTCGTAACTTTAGCACATGCTGTTCTTCTTCCTAAAAGCGAGCCGAGCCCTAAATATTTTTTTACCATATTTCATGATTCATAGTTCATTTTGTGGATAGGAAAAAAAAGGTTTTTGTAGATCTTAAATGTTAAAACAACCTCCTACAGTTGTTTGTTTATATTTCTAATCATTACTGATTAGAAATTTTTCAGCCTATATACAATGTGTTAGTTTGCCCATTTCTCTCACAACTTAAAGAAATGGGCCACCTATGAGTTGCACCCTCGCGTATTAAATACGACTGATTGGCGGATTAGAGGCTTCCAAAACTACCATCTATTCTTAATATAAAAAAATTATAAAATAAAAAAAGGAGCTTAGTGCTTACTATTGTTTTTTAATTGAATTCTATAGTCAGTATCTAGGGTTTTTTTGTCGGCTCGTCGGTTGCTCATCGGCTACAAATGGAGTCTCACAATTTTGGTCTTGGTAATTATTTCAGCTACCAAGCATTGCTTTTTCAACATTGATATCTATTTATTTATTTACTCATTTCTTCATTCATCGATTTATTTATTAATTTATTTTACTATCAGACTCAATTATATGCTGATTATTTTTTTTTTTACATTCCTGCTTTTATTGCTGATCTCTGTTGGTCAATGCTGATCACTGTTCTGCTGTTTCACCGTTTAAGGCTTGAGAGCCGCTCTCCTCAACTTTCCGGTTACTCGGAAGTACGGAACCTGTGCTACCATTAGCCCTAAACGCATGTTTAACCCACACTTATATGCCCACCCGCCGCCTTGGCTAAAAGCAATTAGGGCTCGGCAGCCAGCCTCCCTTCCTTCCTTTCTTACCAAGCGTTGGCAGTTCCCATTTTCTTTTTCTTTTTCTTTTTCTTCTTTTTTTTTTTGTTTCTTCTTTTCCCCAAGATATAATTATATTTTCTTCTTTCTCCTTTCTTCTTTGATTTTTAATTTTTAATATTTTTTTTTTTTTTTTGGAAAATTTTCGAAACTATCATCATTTACTTCTATATATCTTTCTCTGGGTGGGGGATTCTTCATTGTTTAGAGATATCATCAATTCTTACGTCCTCGCTCACATACTAACTTATTACCAATGAACCATCACACATTCCAGTCACCAAGAGATACCACAAACATTGACTTTCAGCTTGTTTCTCTTGGCTCCCATGATACGGTTGCTACCCCATCTCTGATCTCTTCATTATCGCAACCTCCCACGTTTCGAATAGGTGTTCCTTCAAGAGACTCTTCCAGAATTTCCAAACCAGCATCTTCATCATTATCTTCCTGCTCTAGTTCAGTTACTCAATCATCTCATTCCTCTATTTCCTCATCTTCTTCTTCTTCAGCTCGGTCTTCTCATCGTAGACATAAATCGACATCGCGGTCACCAACATCATCTCCATTAAACGCCTTAGGATCTTTTCAAAATACATCCCAAACACCGTCGATGCCACCACAAGTTCTTAATGCAAACCAAGTTTCTCCGGAGACTGATCTACCAGATGACTACGAGCAACGTTTACTTGCTGGCATGGAACTTGTGCGCAGCGGGGCAATTTCTATCCGTGCAGCGGCCAAAAAGGTTCAAGTAAGCCATGAAACCCTGCGTCGACGATGTCAAGGTGCGTCATCTCGGCAAGAGTTTCATGCCCAGCTTATGGCTTTAACACCAAAAGAAGAAGATCTTATTGAACGCATGCTTTTCACTTTTGTCACTTATTCAAACATTCTTTCTTCCTCGTTTCTTTGTAACCTAGTCAATAACTTTCGTAAAGTTAAAGCAACCCAAAAAAACCAGCCACCTCCTAAAGATCTTGGGATTTCTTGGACTGCAGGTTTTCGTCGTCGTCATGACAAAGTATCTGAAATAATGGCTAAATCCATGAATCGTGAAAAACCAGGAGCGAACTCGACATCAGGCTCCTCTTCCTCTCCTTCCTCAGAAACACCTCCATTACCCCCTTCTTCTTCAAAATCAGTTTATGACCATTGGTTTGATCTTGTTATAGAAGCTATTAAAAAGTACAAAATAGCTCCTGAAAGCATGTATAATCTTGTCGAAGTGGGATTTTTATGCGATTCAACCAATCCCAAATCTTCCAGTTTAGTAAGTGTCAAGCGTGCAGAGTCTCCAAAATCTTTGGATTCGTGTACAGTAATTTCTACATCTATGGAATGTATAGGAGCAAATGGATCTAGTCTTCCACCTCTATTCTCTGTACAAACCCCTACGGCCGGCCATAACATGCTTTCAGGACCAAGTCAAGACTATGGGCTTCTATGTGCAACGTCTGATGGATGGCCTAACGATTCTGCCATGTTTGACTGGCTTGTCAAGATTTTTGACCCCCAAACGAAACCAAAAAATGGCGAGTATAGACTCATTTTCGTTGAGTCTCATGCAGTGCTTTTTTCATCGCAAGTCTTGTTATTTGCCCTCAAAAATAAAATTTTATTTGCAGTTTTCCCGCATCAATCATCTCACGTTCTTCAGCCTTTTGACTTTGGCGTCCTTACTCAGTTCAGAAATCAAGTACATATGTTGGCAGAAAAGTCTCGCATATTTTCGTCACCAATACCCTCTATAAACTGGGACTCTTACTTTGGAATCCTTACTGCTGCTAGGGAAAGGACGTTTATACGAGAAGCAATTGTTGCAGGCTGGGAGAAATGTGGATTAGCACCCCTCAATAAGAATCAGGCTTTGGGTCTTCTTTTCTCCAACACACATATACAATCGGTTTCTTACAGTAATCAAGTTGGTTACCATGTCCATAATTCAAAGCGTGGAAGTAACGGCACCAGTTGTGGTGGGGGAGGAGAGGGAGAAGCTGCTGTTGTTGCTGTTGCAAGTGCCTCGAATCGTGAGAACCAGTCTCACAATCATTCCAGAAAATCAAATGAACGTAGAAACAAGTCAGTGGTAAGTGGTCACACAAACCCTCCCTTGACTGAAAACCATTCTTTGCTGGTAGATATGGATTTTGTTGTTTCTGGAAGCATGCCACAAACAGCGACGGCAGTTGTAGCAATAGCACAACCTACATCAAATGCCTTAGGTATAGCTGCTACTCATTCACAGGTTCCAGTAGGTCTATCAGCACCACTTTCATCTCCTCATTTGCAACCGTTAAGTCTTGCTGAAAAAAGCACCACATTACGCGTGATTAATGCGACTCAGCAATGTTTAACTGAGTACTTTGGCAACAGACCGGAGCTCTACTATGCCAACGGCCGCCGGGCGGATGTTGATGATGCAGAGCGTGCTGGTGCTGTGCTTCAAGGATTGTGGAGTCGATTGCTCAATCTCGATACTGCAAACAACAACAACAGTAGCTCTCCGCACTCTTTGCCGTATACTGATGATCACTTGTATACTACGGCCACAACATATTCTACTACTACAGGTGCCTTTCCAGTGACAACTTCCAGTTACTCTACTGCGTACACTACAAGTGTGCCGACGTTTCCATTGACAACGACAACAGAAGCAGTGGCAGGGGCACAGGGAGAGGCAGCAGCGAATAACAATGGTTATTCGATGCCTTCGGCGTATCTGCCGGTGAATATCATGGAGAGGGGCTCAATTTCTGGAAGTGTTCCACCAGAGTCACCCGAAGGTAGTGGTGCGGGAACCACAGCCTCTTCGTCTTCAGGATACTCTCCAGGAATTGATCCTGCAATGCTTTATCCATGAGCTACAAGCTTTTTGAAGAAAATGAATTTTTTTTTTTCATTATTGATGATTTATATTTGATGACCGTATGATAAATGTATTTATAGCATAGAACCACATGAAGTTTATTTCTTTTTTTTTCTTTTTTTCTTTTTTTCTATTTGAATAAATATCTCCAAGTCATGATCCTTTCTTTCTTTTATTTTTATTTTTTTATTTGTAGTAGTAATCATGACAATTAAAGCTTAGTCGGAATGCTACGTACTTATCACTGCATAACAACCCACCAGCTTAGTGCTATTCTAGTACTGACACCCATTTGGGATTTTCTGCCCGAAAACTTAAAAGCCTGTGGAGTGGCTGCGCCTCAAGTTGACCGCAGCGCTTTTTCAGGGTTTCCTTTCAGGGCACTCCACTGGCACACTCAAACTTACGGCTTATTGGGCATAAAATGAAAATAAAAAAATAAAAAATAAAAGAAAAAGGAAAAAGGAAAGATTACCCGGAAGCACAAATTACAATTAATTGTAAATATTTACAATTTACAAAAAAAAATTGTTTAAATATGAGTTACCCGGCCTTTAAAAATTACCCTGTCCAAACCGTCTACTCTGCTGCGGCTGCTCGGTTCTACACCTTTCTTATCCAGCAACAACCCCCTGCCCGAGTACCGAAAAACTGCTTCTTTTAAAATGGATAAAACTATCAATTCCATTACCTACAACCCTTATCTGCCAAAGCTTTTGCTTTTTGGTGATTCTATCACCCAGCGTGCATACTCCTATGCTGAGGGAAAGACGTTTGTCTTTGGTGCAGCTTTCTCAGATGGTATGTTTCAATTGTGTTTGCAACACAACCCATCCCTAACACTATCATAGACTACCTGCGTCGACTGAACGTTGTGCACCGCGGTTTTTCCGGGTATAACTCTGAGCAAGGCAGATATATTCTACCAGGTATCATTGAGGCTGAGACTAGCGGAAACCACTCAATTGCTCTTGCTGTAAGTAAATATCTTAATTATGTCCTCACCTGCTAACCCTTACATATCCAGACTGTCTTTTTCGGGTCTAACGACGCTGTTATCCCTTCAAACTCTCAATACGTTTCGCCCGAAAGATTTGAAGAAAATGTCCGTTTTATTACTAAAGCACTGCTCGACGCTGGTTCCCGCGTCATCCTCGTGGGTCCTGCGCCGCACGACGAGGTCCACCGTAACCAGCTTTTCCCTGGAGACCCAGCTGACAACCCACGTTCCACACTGCGCAATCGCCAATACGGAGATATTGTAGGCAAAGTTGCAGCAGAGCTCAATGTTGGGTTTGTTGACTTGTGGCACGCCTTCCTCGAGAATGTTGGGTGGAAAGAGGGCGACCCTATCCCAGGCAGACTCAAGGATACACCCCCAGAAGACCGTGACAAGCCATCTCGCATTGCGCATCTGTTATGTGATGGACTCCACTTCACAGGCGACGGATATCGCATTTGGTACAACTCAGTGGTCAATGTTATCAAAGAACAGTACCCCGAGCTTGAGCCTCGCAAGCTACCATTTCTTTACCCAGAGTGGCAGGCAGCTACCGTCGAGGACTTGCAAAAGAATGTCCAGAAAGACTAGCTTACCTGGTAACCTTTGAATTTTCTATTGGCGCCCCCACATATCAGTAATTTAAAACCTCCCTCTCCCCCCCTCCTAAAAAAAATGATGCAATTTTTCTCGTAGAAGCCACCAACCAAATGATCTCTTCGTCCTACCGAACCATCCATCTACTCTCATCTAGAATCCCTTCCTTCACTCGTAAAATGTCCACCGGAAAGCTCTTCACCTGCATCATCCCTGACAAGCCCGGCACTCTTGAGCAACGTCTCAAGGTCCGTGACCAGCACATTTCCAACGCCAAGGACCTCAACTCCAAGGGCCTTCTTGTGGCCGGTGGTATGTATATATAGTTATGGCTGTTTGTTTCTCAATTAACATGAAAATTAAAAGGCGGTTACGCTGACAAGCATCCTGATGAGGGTGAGTCCTTCAACTTTAAGGGATCTATCATTACTTTCCGTGCTGCCAGCCAGGAGGACGTTCAGAAACTTTTGGACACTGATATTTACACCACCACTGGTGTCTGGGATTTACCTAACGCTAAGATCTACCCCGTAAGTATAATAACCAATGGTTTACTCCGATCTTTCGACTAACAACCTACAGGCCATTGAGGCGATTCGCAAGGATTAAGCTTCTCTTTTTTTTTTTATGTAGAAAACCCTGTTGTGTAAATTAAACTTGCAGTCTTCCAATTAAAAAGATACTGCGTAAGTTACATATACGTTATTTAAAAAAAAATACCGCTCACCATTTTTTTTTTCCTCACACCACTCACTTCAGTCTATCTTCATTTACTCTATTTTTTTTTTTTTTTCATTTTTCATCTTCCATTCATGGCAGAATTTATAACGTATCCAGATATTGTCAATGCGTCCAAGACCGTGACGACATCGCAAGGGTGCTTCGTTGACGGGCTTGGGCGACAGATTGTGTTGCGCGGCATCAACTTTGCCGGAGATGCCAAAATGCCGACTCGTCCCAAATACACACCGTCCCATGCCCCTGATGACGACGAGTTCTATGATGGCGACGCTGTTTCATTTGTCGGGTCACCGTTTGCTCTCGATGAGGTTGACGAACATTTGGACCGTCTGCGAGCATGGGGGTTCAACACGTTACGATACATTTTTACATGGGAGGCCCTTGAACACCAAGGCCCAGGCATATACGACGAAGAGTTTATCGAATATACAATAGCAATGCTTTACAAGATTCGTGCAAAGGGGTTCCGGGTCATCATGGACCCACACCAAGACGTTTGGGCCCGTTATTGCGGTGGGTCGGGAGCGCCCATGTGGACTCTTTACGCCGCAGGGCTTGACCCCGCAATGTTCCGTCAAACACAAGCAGCAATTTTGGAAAGTCACTTTGCCAACCCGGACCGCGAGCGACCCAAAATGCTCTGGTCGTCCAACTACACCCGGTTAGCATGCGCAACCATGTTTACTCTGTTTTTTGGTGGCAGGGACTTTGCGCCTAAATGCACTCTTAACGGGCAGAATATCCAGAATTATCTCCAGGACCATTTCATTAACGCAGTGTGCTACCTTGCTCACCGCATCCACAAGTACCACCCACAACTAACGCGTGGAAACTCGACTATTCTCGGCTGGGAATCCATCAATGAGCCCGGAGAGGGCTATCTCGGTATCCGGAACATCTGCTCCATTCCAAAACATCAACAAGTCAAGCTATTTCATGCCCCGACTGCCGCGCAGGCCATGGCGCTCGGGTCTGGATATGCTCAAGACAGTATTGCACACTTTGCCTTTACAACCATGGGTCCCAGGCAAACAGGGACAGACCGGATTGACCCAGGTGGTGTTTCTGCGTGGCTTACTCCGGAACGGGCCAAAGAAATTGATTCACATTACGGCTGGACGCGGGGGTCAGAATGGACAGTTGGCGAGTGCATTTGGAAATTGCATGGAGTCTGGGACTTGTACAAGGGAGCTCCAGTTGTCAAACAAAGCCACTACTTTTCGCATGACAAAATGGGCAAACGACTTAACACAAAACGGTTTGTCAATGCCAACTTTACCGAACATTGGCTGGACTACTCGCGGGCCTTGCGTAAAATCATTAATGCAGATACTTTACTTTTTTTGCAGCCTCCAGTTTTGGTTGAGCCTCCAGAATTACTGGCCCGTGGACTTGTTGACAAGTACACCGTGTACACTCCGCATTACTACGATGGGCTTACATTGATGCAAAAGCATTGGAACACCAAGTTTAATGTTGACGCACTGGGCGTGCTGCGAAGCCGGTACCGCAACCCACCTGTGATGGCTGTGCGGCTGGGCGAGCGCAACATTCGAAGCTGTTTTGCGCAGCAATTGCTGGAGATGAAGCGTGAGGGCGTGGATGCACTGGGCCCTGATGTTCCCATGTTTATGTCAGAGATTGGGATTCCGTACGATCTCGACAACAAGCAGGCATATCGGACTGGAGATTTCAGTGCACAAACAAGGGCCCTTGATGCCAACCATTTTGCGCTGGAACGAGCAGGATTGTCATACTCTTTGTGGGTGTATTCAGGCCGCAACACTAACAAATATGGCGACGGATGGAACGGCGAAGACTTGTCGGTATGGTCGCGCGACAAGGTTGTGGGCGGCGAGGTGTACAATGGCGTGACACACTGCCCTGCATCAGTTGCTGAAGTTTACGAGGACGGAGCAAAAACACCTGTCGTAGCTGGAACAGAAGCAGAAACAACAACAGCAATTGAACCATCGCGCAGTAGGGATTCTTCAAAGACATCTTCGTTGACCCGGCGCGCAAGCACGCAAATCTTTCGACGAGCATCGGCAGTCCTATTACCGACAAGCACACCCATCAAAGGGTTCAAAGGTCCGTTGACAGCAGAGTCTAACTTCCCATTGTACCGCGAGCAGCATCACAAGAATAAGCATAAACACAAGCATGACCACAAGGTTGCAGAGCCCAACCATAAGGAAAAGCACAAGAATAAGAATAAAAAGAAGAAGAAGAAGAAAAAGGAAAAGGTTGAGAATGATGAGGAGAAAAACAACAAGAACAAGCATCATCACCACCATAAAATGATCTTTGTGGCAGCAGACGCTGTGCCATCGTCAGGAACACGGACACCAGATACCCCAGGACTTCCGTTGGCGCTTCAGAAAGATCAGGTGCACGCGGAACTCGAGGCCCAGGCAGTACAACATCGGGTTGCAGAGCACGATGCTGTCAAAACACCTACTTCAGGACACAATAGCCCCCCGACTCCTGGCAGTATTCGTCGGTCGGCAACGGCTATTTCAGAATCCTCGTCTGTTTCGTCGTCGGCCTCAAATGCCTCTGTGATGTCGACATCTGTACTGGAGATGCGGTCGCCTCGACGATCACCACGAGACCGGTCACCAATCAGGTCCGTACACTCGGCAGGTTCTTCTGCGGCATCATCGTTCATTGAGAGTGCTGAAAGTGATGATTATGATGATGGAAGCAGTAGCGGTAACGAGGATGGTGAGGGAGTAGTTGGTGGGCCAAGCACAAGCAACAGTAGCGTGCAATCATCGGTAACAGGATCATTCAAAACGGCATTGGAAGACGTCACAGGGCTGGCAACAGACCCAGAAACGGACCTGGATGATGAAACAGAGCTAGACCAAATGTCTGCAAAACAGGCGTTCCATGACCCGTGTGATTACCTGGAGGGCGCGCGAGCTCCAGAAGCATTTATCCGGCCGTACCCCGTGGCAGTTGCTGGGCGGCTGTGTGCTTATGGGTTTGACATGAAAGGTGGGGTACTGACGGTACGTGTGGAAGGTAGTGCTCAGACAGTCCCCTCGAGCGCGGTACGCGGGCTTGCAGCAAAACTGGCACGGGAAGCACGCCATCAAGACACGCCACCAGACAAACGTGCGGAAATTGTAGGGATGTTGAGAAAACATGCGCGGGCTGAACGCAAGGCATTGCGCAAAGCTGAGCGTCAGGAGGAACAAGCTGCAAGATTACGCGAGCGTGAAACAAAGGTACTATTACGTGCAGCAGCTTCAAGTGGATCAGTCCCCGCACATGAGTTTCTCCAGGGCAATGATCACGAGGAGGATAATGAAGATGATTTGGAAGAAGAATTGGAGGATGACGACGAAGACGATGAATCAGTGTTTGATTATTTTTCCACACAAGACGAGGCCACAACCGATGCACAGTTTGCCGCATCTCCGTATAACTCACTCCACCTAGTCCCCACAGTTATTTTCCTCCCCACGTTCCATTTCCCCTGTGCAGGCACCGCCGTTGCTGTTTCTGCTGGACTTTGGCGCGTAGACCGCGCAAACCAGTTGCTGTACTGGTGGCACCTGGGTGGACCACAAGAACTCGAAGTCCGAGGTGTTGGAGTCGACCGTACAACATACATTGTTAACTCCGTGGCCGCGTTACGTCTCCGTGACCGAGCTGCCTCCCAGGGTCCTAATGGACGTAACATGACGCAGGGAATTCCAGGTGCATGGACGGTTCCACAGCAGCAGCAACAACAACAGCAACAGCAGTCAGTTCCACCAGGAAGCGCAGGCTCAAGAGAGCGACCTGTGACTACACGGGAACCCTCATCTGCTTCTGTTGAACCTTCAGCGGCTTCTAAATCAAGATCAGCATTATCACAGTCGCGATCGCGAAGCAACGTGCAGCCAGCAGATTCTGGATATGACGGATCTGCACCATCATGCACGGTTTCTTAATGTAGATTTTTGAAATTTCAAGGTTGGAATTTTTTATAATGGAAAGAAAAGAAAGAAAGAAAAAAAAAAAAAAAAAAAAAACAAAAGAAAGCAAATTATTTATTTGGAAAAAGCAAAGTTTTTTATAAAATATAATAACAAAAAATCATAAGTAGTCATTAGCCATGGCATTTAAGCCTTGTTGTCAAAGTAGTCTTCCATCTCGGCATCAAGTTCCTCAAGAGTCTTCTTGGGTCGTCGGTTAGACTTCTTAGCAGAAGAGCCATTCTTGGAGGAGCCGTTGGAAGAAGTAGACTTGGTGCGAGCAGCAGGAACCTTTTTCTTTCTGCCACCGTTAGAAGCAGCCTGGGAGACAGCAGCATGAACAGCCTCAGTCGAACTAAAAAGTTAGAAACTGGTAAATATAAAAAAAAATGGTGGAGGGTACTCAAACATACAGAGGGTTCAATCTGGTAGAAAGAGGCTTTTTGGAAGGATCCATGACGAGCTCGACCTTCATACGCTTAGCGCCATTGTCAATAGCAGTGCCGTTGAAACGAACGGAAGCCTTGTGAGCATCGCCGGGACGCTTGAAGGTGATTGTGACAATACCGGTGGATTGGCCACGAGCATTGTAAGAAATGGAGCAGCTGGTGATGGGGCCGACTTCGTGAGAAAAGTAGTCCTATAAAAAAGCGAGTGTTGGTATTATGGAAAAAAAAACCTAGAGTGACATGGCGATTGAACATTTAAATTGTTGTTGCCGTCGAAAAAAAATTTCACTTACCCGAACAGCAGACTCGGTGACATCAGTAGGCTGTAACGGGGAAAATAAAGCGTGTTAGTTGGATGAAATAATAAGCTTGATAACAATAATAATAATAAAAAAAAAAAAAAAAAAAAAAAGGGGGGGAGAGAACGGTTCAACTGAGCTAAAAAATCTCTGAAACCGGACGCGTAGTGGTAGGTAGCGATTTTTTTGTTTTGAAAAAAAAAAAAAAACGTGTAAATTATTCTCGGAAGAAAAAAAAAATCACCACAACCACCACAAATAAACGACACGGGAGAAAATAGCCCGTCTGCGCAAAAGGCATTATTTGAAAAGGAACATTAGACCAAGTCTAGTGTATTCATTTCATTTCATTTTTGCAATGAACCCATAATCAAAGCAATAATTAATGCCAAAGGACGCGAGACACTCAAGACAACAAAGGTTAATGATTTAACAAATTCACCTTGTTTAACTTGGTCAAGTCATTAAATATTCATCACAAAAAAAGTGATGAATGTGCGCAGACGTTGAAACCGGATGGGGATAGTGAGCATACAAAAGCGTACGTCAGGATAAAAGACTTTTTTTTTAGTCAATCCTTTGTTAAACCCATTACAAGTTTTTTTTTTTAAAAAAAAATTATTATTGTTGAACAACAGTAAAAAGTTGATAATTTTACTGTTAGCGAAAAAATATAATCAAGTGCATACCAAGTTGGAGATGATAATTCTGTCGGAAAGCTTTGATGCCTCGTCGAGAATGTTTGTTTTAGGACCTTTAGGAGTTGATGCTGGGAGAGCAGAGGCCTTTTGCTGGTTGGACTTCTTTTTAGAAGCAGTAGAGGCAGAAGAGGAGGAGGATGGTTTAGAGACGCCGCGTCCAGAGGAGCGTCTTTTAGTACCACGAGATTTAGGCTTGGACGAGATGATTTCGTCAAGGGACTTGTCAAGGTTGGAAGACATTGTGAATATATGGATTGGTTAGATGGATGGGGTTTTTTTTTTTGATTTATAGTTTTTGGTTTATGGGATTTTTTTCTTTATAAGGATTTAAAAAAAAAAAAAATTGTATATATATGAAAATTTGTGGGTTGGGTTGGGAAAGAATAGAATCGATAGGATGGTAAGAGAAAAGAAATGGAAAGGTGGCAAAACTTTTTTATTTTTTTTTTATTTTTATTTTTTTTTTTATTTTTCAAAAAATTAGCTGGGCTGGCTGGGTTGATATTTTTTTTTTTTGAGGCTATCTGCCAGAGTGTGTTTTTTTTTTCAGACAGATGAACAAAGGGGTAATTTCATTAGTCATGATGAGTAAATATGTTGTCATTATTAAGTAATAAATTTTATTTTTATGTAACTTAATTTTTTGTAATTAACTTATGACTTTGTTATGAATGTTAAATTAATGATGCACGTGGACGCGTCTTTTTTTTTTTTTTTTTAAAATTAATTTTTTTCTATTCAGACCCCACCATAGAACTTTGTGCTCCACACGTTTCTTTTTGTGGAAATAGAGGCGACATTTTTTTTTTTTTTTTTTTTTATTATTGTTTAACAATAATAACAATAATTGTTAGCCCTCTGAATAAAAAAAAAAAAAAAAAAAAAAAAAAAAAAATATGGCTTGTGGATGGTTATGGCTGCACGTACCCGACTTGTTGAGTATTTGTGTTTTATATATACAATGAACGGGTACTTACATCCATTTTTTCCTTCCACCCCCCCTACAAAACTTTATATGGTATATAAAACTTTTCCAAAGCAGAAATAAATAAAAATAAAAAAAAAAACAACCGGAACCGGGCCCTGGATTCTGCCATTTTCATTGGTGGCGTCAGTAACAACCAGCCAGAGCTAGTCAAATGATATTGATTGATGATGGTTGCTATTGTAGACACATAAACACATAAACATATACGCACATACCCTAAATTAAATTAAAAAATAAAATAAAATAAAATATAACAGCCATCCAGCCGGCACGCTCGGAACCGCCCAGATCAATCATTTGCTAAGGCAAGGCTGTGTGGCCAATATATAGATTGATCTGTTGCTAAAGCCCGTAAAACTGTAAAACTGTAAGACCGTAAAACCCTAAGACCGTAAGACCGTAAGATTGACCGTGTATAGAGTTAACCTTGGGTTCCTAAAGAAGATTGGAATAGAAGGATGGGGATCTTTTAAGCAAGTAACATGGAAGCAATAGAATATGTGGGCTTTTGAATTTGACATAAGATCATTTAATAATATATAAATGTCCTAAATTTATTTATCAATTGAATGATTTAATGATTTTGAAAGCCTATATTTTGATTTCTATTTTATTATTATGAGAAAAAAAAAAAAAAAAACGGTTTTTCTTTCTAAGTGCGTTTTAGGGAATGGGAGGCTTTTTTTTTTTTTTTTTTTTTTTCATATATTTACTTGTATTTAACGGATTTCTCCAAGCTTTTAAAAAAAAATTAAAAAAAAATTTAAGGCTGTAACATTTCCGTAAGTAATTAAAAAAAAAAAAAAAAAAAAAAAAAACGCCCCTCCATCCAACCCCACCATTGCTTAATATAAAAATAAAAATAAAATGCGGCGGCGAATGAGAGACCAGCACTGGGGGGTTTTTTTTTTTTTATGTTGGTTGGCATGTCCGTCTGTACTTTCAGCCGTTAGGCGGCCGTCATTTTCAAAGGTTTTTTTTTTTTTTTTTTTTTTCTTCTTTAATTTCAATTATATAATTGAAATTGAAACAATAAGAATTCAAAGAAACAGAGTTGATTCTATTGATGATTTGATTTGATTTGATTTGATTTGAAAAGCCTTTGAATAGTAGTAATAATAGTAATCATTTCGAGGTTTTTTTTTTTTTTTTTTTTCAATCAATTAAAATAAAATAAAATAAAATAACAAACTACTCAAAATTGGAATCGCCACAATCAAAATCTACACAATCTACACAATCTACTCAATTTCTCTACCTACCATTCACGTATCCCGTGACGCCGAAACCCGCCAGCTGTCCCGTCAAGTACCTGCTGTTGTGGTTTTTATATTAAAATTATTTGTGTTAATTAATTATATATTAATTTATTAAATTATTATAAATAATTTCTTTAATATATATATATATATATATATTTTTTTTTTTCCCGCGTCTGCCCGTTGATGATTTGTTTATTGATTAGGCAGCAAAAATACCTTTACAAGGCCTTTTTTTTTTTTTTTTTTTTTTGCTCTCCTCCAATATATTAATATATTAATATAATAAATAAATAATAAATAAATAAATAATAAATAAATAATAAATAAATAAATAAATAATAAATAAATAATAAATAATAAATTAAAATAATAAAATAATAAAAATAAATTAAAATAATAAAATAATAAAAATAAATATATTTAACCCTTCTTCCCCTTCTTTTTCTTTCTTTCTTTTCCTTCTTTCTTTCTCTTCTTCTTTTTTTTTTTTTTCTTCTTCTTCTTCTTCTTCTTCTTTAGTTCGGATTTTTTTCTGTTTCAGTAAAAATACCAAACCGCTCTATTTCATCTAATATCTCATAATACTCTACATCAAAAAATGTTGAGATCAGCTTCCCGCTCTATCCTGAGCAGGCCCTCGCTCAGACAATCCCTCAGATCCTCTCTCGGTGCTTTTGTCCCAAGAAAGGCCTTTGCTGTAAGTCTTTATTGTTCTTATTTTAATTAAATGTTGGATTTTATATTTATATATATACCCTTGTGTTGTTTTGCCAAAAAAAGTTGATGATTATCCAGTCAATGTATCCTCAATACAATTCTCAAATCCAGCATATATATATATATATATAACATTGACGTTTATTATTGATGATTGGGAAATTCTCTTTTAAAAAAATAACTTTTTCAGCTATTTTTTTTTCAGTTATATTAAATTTTTTTTTTATTTTTCAAAATCACCACTTTAAACCACTCAATTTATCTCTTCTACTGGAAAAATATCAAAAAATATCAAAAAAAATTGAAAAAATCTTTCAATTCTATCTAAATCTCATCAATTTCAATTTTTTTTTCCCTCAAATTTATTTTCCTCATTTCTTTTACCATACTTTTTTTTTATTATTATATTATCTTAATTATTTTATTTTATTATTTTATTTTATTTTATTTTTTATTTTTTTTGGCTGCTTGTTTTGTATGGCTGCTCACTCGCGGCTTTTTTTTTCTTTGCATTGTCATTGGCTACCTTAACACAACAACAACACAACACAGATATCAACAAGACCTAAAATTTAAATCTAAATACTAATTTTGTTTTCTTCCCCCCATATAGACTGGCAGTGATGACGTCTTTCTCTCCACTGTCAATGCTTCCTACATTGATGAAATGTACGATGCCTGGAAACAGGACCCTTCCAGTGTTCACATTTCATGGCAATCTTACTTTAAGAACATCGAAAGCGGCACTCCTAGCTCCCAGGCTTTTGTCGCCCCTCCTACCATCGTCCCAGGTAGTGTCACTCCTGGTGCTTCCCTCGGTTCTTCCGCTGGCAACAACTCACTTGCTGACCACATGAAGGTCCAGCTCCTCGTCCGTGCCTACCAGGTCCGTGGCCATGCTCGTGCTAAGACTGATCCCCTTAAGATTTCTTTTGGCTATGACAACAAGCCTCCTGCCAAGGAACTTACTCCCGAATACTACGGTTTCACCGAGGCTGACCTCGACAAGAACATCACTCTTGGTCCCGGTATCCTCCCTAGATTTGCCACTGAGGGCAAGTCATCCCTCACTCTCCGCGAAATCATTGCCGCTCTCGAAAAGACATACTGCGGCTCTTACGGCGTTGAGTATATGCACATTCCTTCCAGAGAGCAGTGCGACTGGATTCGCGAGAGAATTGAGATTCCTCAGCCCTACAAGTTCCCCACTGACGAAAAGAGACGTATTCTCGACCGTTTGATTTGGGCCGTTTCTTTCGAGGCTTTCCTCGCTACAAAGTTCCCCAATGACAAGCGTTTCGGTCTCGAGGGTGGTGAGTCCACTATTCCTGCTATGAAGATTCTCATTGATGAATCTGTCGAGTATGGTGTTGAGGATATCGTCATTGGTATGCCCCATCGTGGTCGTCTCAATATGCTTTCCAACGTTGTTCGCAAGCCCAATGAGTCTATCTTTTCCGAGTTTTCCGGCTCTGCTGGTTTTGACACTGGTTCCGGTGATGTCAAGTACCACTTGGGTGCCAACTACCAGCGCCCCACCCCTAGCGGCAAGAAGGTCAACCTTTCTCTTGTTGCCAATCCCTCCCACTTGGAGGCCGAAGACCCTGTGGTTCTCGGTAAGGCCCGTGCCATCCAGCATTATAAGGATGATGAGGGTGTTGGCAAAAAGGCTATGGGTATTCTTCTCCACGGTGATGCTGCCTTTGCTGGTCAAGGTGTCGTCTACGAGACTTTTGGTTTCCACAACCTCCCTGCTTACTCTACCGGTGGTACCGTCCACATTATTGTGAATAACCAGATTGGTTTTACCACTGACCCCCGTTTCTCTAGATCTACTCCTTACCCCTCTGATCTCGCCAAGGCCATTGACGCTCCTATTTTCCACGTCAATGCTGACGATGCTGAAGCCATGTACTTTGTCTTTAAGCTCGCTGCTGACTGGCGTGCTGAGTTCAAGACTGATGTTGTCATTGATGTTGTTTGCTACAGAAAGCACGGCCACAATGAAACTGATCAGCCTTCATTCACCCAGCCCCTGATGTACAAGAGAATTTCTGAGAAGAAGTCTGTTTTGGACATTTACTCTAAGGCCCTTGTTGAGGAGGGTACCTTCACTAAGGAGGACGTTGAGGAGCACAAGAAGTGGGTTTGGGATAACCTTGAGGAGGCCTTTGGCCGCTCTAAGGACTATGTTCCTACCCAAAAGGAATGGCTTGCTTCTGCTTGGGACGGCTTCAAGACCCCCAAGGAGCTCGCTACTGAGATTCTCCCCCATCTCCCCACCTCTGTTGAGGAGCCCATTCTCAAGCACCTTGGCAAGGTCATTTCTACCCCTCCCGAGGGCTTCCATGTTCACCGCAACCTTAAGCGTATTCTCAACAACCGTATGAAGACTGTTGATGAGGGTAAGAACATTGACTGGTCCACTGGTGAGGCCTTGGCCTTTGGCTCTCTTCTCAAGGAGGGTTACCACGTCAGACTTTCCGGTGAGGATGTTGAGAGAGGTACCTTTTCTCAACGTCACGCTGTTCTCCACGACCAGGAGAATGAGCAGGCTTATACTCCTCTCCAGCATGCTTACCCTGACCAGGCTAAGCTTACCATTTGCAACTCTTCTCTTTCTGAGTATGGTGTCATGGGTTTCGAATATGGTTACTCTTTGGCCAACCCTGATGCTCTTGTCATTTGGGAAGCCCAGTTTGGTGATTTCGCCAACACTGGTCAAGTCATTATTGATTTGTTCATTGCCCCCGCCGAGACCAAGTGGGCTCAGAGATCTGGTCTTGTCCTTTCTCTTCCTCACGGTTTCGATGGCCAAGGTCCTGACCACTCTTCTTCTAGATTGGAGCGTTTCCTTGCTCTCTGTAACGAGGACCCCCGCAAGTTCCCCACTGAGGAGGCTCTCAACCGTCAGCACCAGGACTGCAACATGCAGGTTGTTTACCCCACCACTCCTGCCAACATTTTCCACCTGTTGAGAAGACAGATGCACAGACAATTCAGAAAGCCTTTGATTTTGCTTTTCTCCAAGTCTCTTTTGCGTCATCCTCTTGCCCGCTCTTCTATTGAGGACTTTTCTGGTGACTCTTCGTTCCAGTGGATCATTGAGGACAAGGCTGAGCTTCCTAAGGATCAGGTTAACAGAATTCTTTTCTGCTCTGGCCAGGTCTTTACTACTCTTACTAAGGCCCGCGAGACCAATGGCATTAAGGACACTGCCTTTGTTCGTGTTGAACAGCTCCACCCCTTCCCCTTTGCTCAGGTCCGCGATGTTTTGAACAGCTACCCCAACCTTAAGGACATTGTTTGGGTCCAGGAGGAGCCTCTTAACATGGGTGCCTACTCTTGGATCTCGCAGAGATTCAACACTGTTCTTGCTGAGTCTGATAACTACAAGGATGCCAAGTTGAGATATGCTGGCAGAGACCCTAATCCTGGTGTCGCTGCTGGTTCCAAGAAGCTTCACCACGATGAGGAGGAGGCTTTTATCAAGCAAGCTTTCCAGCTGTAATAAGGGAAAAAAAATGATTTTAAAATTTCCTTGATTTGATGACGATGACGAAATATTCCTTGGTTTTTTTTTTATATATTCTACTACTACTACTACTACTACTACCCCACAATTCACCTCACATACATTATTTGCCACTACTTCTTCATTTTATAATTTTATAACGAATAATTAATTAAAAAAAATTTGCAAAACATTGAAATAAAAAGAATGAGATTTAATTAAACAGGAGGACGTAAGGTTTTTTTTTTTTTTAAAATAAATTAAACAAAATGTTTTGGAGGAGGTGAAAAAAATAAAAAATAAAAAAGAGATTGAAATAAGGTTGTTCCTGGCACGGCTGGAGGATATTTCATAAACCTTAGCTTAGGTAGTAGATGTGGGGAGGCAGAGGAATAAACATATATATAAAGAAAAAAAGAAGTATTCCGAGTGATCCGTGAATATATAACAAAAATAAAAAAAAAATAAAAACAAAGCAATTGATAATAAGAGGAAGAAAGAAGTAAAACATAATTAAAGTGAAATGGATATAGGTGATAGATATAGAGTTAGAAGAATGAAGTTATAGCCAAAAAAATAAAAAATAAAAATTGGACTGGGAAAAGACTTTCTGGGATAATTGAGTGAATCAAAGAGTTAGTTTGAATGTTAAAAAGAAAAAAGAAATAAGAAAAATAGGAATTAATAAGTAAAAAAAAAAAAAAAAGAGTCGTTTTTATTTTTTTATTTATTTTTTTTCTAACAAAATGAAATTTCATATATTTATATATATATAAATGTCTAGACTTTTAAAAGCAGTTTTGAGGTAGGTATCTCTAGTGGTATATTAAATAAATGAATAAATATCTGAATGATAAGCGCGGTATTATTATTATTATTATTATGAAAAAACAAAATAAAAAAAAATGAAATTTAATAATAATAATAATATATATATATATATAAATTAAAAAAAATAAAAGTATTAAAAATAATGGATTGTTCGGAATACCGGTTTTAATGATATTGAAAATTTTCTTTTTCTTTTTCTTTTTCTTTTTCTTTTTTTTTTTGGCAGGTCTTTCTTTCTTTATAAGGAATGTAAAATATCGACATTTTTCAATAAAAAAAATTTTTTTTTTTTTTTTTCTTCTTCTTCTTCTTCCTTTATCTTTTTAATACCAAAAAAAAAAAAAACACGAATATTGTATAAATCAAATCAAATTCAATTCAATTCATTTATTGTATTATTCATTTCTTATTCTCAAAAAAATGCAAAATTCTGCTGTTAGTACTCCAATAAAACAAAACTCTTTACAACAATTACCTCCTCCTCCTCCTCCTCCTCCTCCTTCTTCTTCAGCCACAACAGTCCTCGCGTCAGTCACTACATCATCCTTCATCCCTCACGAAATCTCAACTTGTACAACTCAACAATTATTCTCAAACCCTTCAACTTCAATTTCAATTTCAACTTCAAATCTACCAAGATCTTCATCTCTCTCTCAACTTGCTTCATCTCTTGCTTCCTCATCTTCTCGCCTACTTAACCATCATGGAGCTGCCGGGCCCCCACCAGCCCGCAGTATCCGCTTCCCGCCGGTCGGATCGCTCATCACAAAGCCTACCGAGCCGCTAAGAAATTCACATCCACATTCGCATCCGCATCCGCATCTACAAAACTCCACAACAAACATATCCTCAATGACTCAAATCGAGTCCCAAGTGACCAACGACCTTCCACCTCCACCATATGGCACGCGTGCAAGCTTGCCGCACGATGTGGCCGCATGGCTCGACAAAATCAATGCGACTCTAAGAGATCTCAAGCCGCACGGATCTTCTTCAAATACTACACGAAACAATCAACCATCACGCCACGAACACTCAAATACCATCCCGACTTCCAATAGAACATCATCACCAGGCCTCAGACTCCATCACATCTCACCACCATCTGTCGACATGAATCTAAACATATTATCGCCGCCAGATGTACTGCAAGTGGGGTCTGGAGAAAACATTTACATACCTCCTAAACGTCAAGTCCGACCACTTTCCAAATCCAGTTCTGCAACCACACTCTCATCAATGAACAAGTCCATGGCCCTGCCGCAGCATACCCGCAACAAGTCCGAAACAAAGGACTTGAGTCTTGTGGCGGCAAATTCCGGCACACCGCAATTTGTGTTCAAGCCGTGGACCCCGTCCACCGCGGAGGGAGGCCCCACCACCGTTAGCGGAAACTCAAATGGAGCAACAGGTACAGCCTTACAGAAGAAACAATTGCCGGCCGTACCTGATGATTCAACAAACTTCACCACATCTAAACGGCTGCGACCTTTGGAAGACCCCACTGCATCTTTGCTTCCGACCGGTCGCAGTTTGAAGCCGAGCCATTCAACGTGGTCACTAGCTCATCAAGCAGACGCAGTTGAACTAAGAATCCATATTAATGCGACACTGGCTGGAATGTGCACCGCACTGGAGCGCGAACTTTGTGAGCAACGCGAGTGGATGGCAGCCCAGGAAAAAACGCGAGCTGCCGAGGTTGAAGCACAGGTGGCTCAACAGGTTGCGGAAAAAACTGCAGAACTAAAGGCCCAAACAGTAGCGGCGGCTAGTGCTCGACAGATGGCAATCGAGCAGCTACAACAAGACATGGCGGCAATATTTGTAGAAGTACGCGCCCTGAGCGGGCGACATTCAAGTGGCAGCAGCGGGTCTGCTACCACTACCACTACCACTACCACTCCTCCCACCATCCCTACCACAAGCGTGTCAACAAGCGAACTCGAAGGTCTTTTGGAAGAAACACGGACCACGGTGCGCCAGCAACGGGAAAAACAAGATGCACTTGCACAACGGATTGATGCGCTGGACGCACAACTAGGGGTCCTGAGTGCATCTGCACTTGAACAAAAGGCCAGTGCTTCTGAAACCATTGAAAAGCTGGCGACGCTCACAAAACGTGTTGACGGCACGGAAAAAAGCGTAGCACAAGCGTTGGAACGCGTGGGCGCTGTGGAACAGGCGGTGCGCGCGCAGGACGCACGCGCAGCAGATCTACAGCGACAACTGGGCGACGTCGCCAACAATACAATTCAGCTGGTCGGGTTGCACCAGCGAGCACTTGAGCGGGAAGAAAGGTTGAGGGACCAGCTGTCTGTGAGCACTAAGCCTGGTGGTCGGGTGGACAGTCGTGTTCCGAATGGTGCCAGAACTCCGCGTTGGGCGTCTGTTGGGTCTGAAACGTCGGCAAGTGAGATTCTTAACAGACACATTGATAGTTTTGAAGAAGGGTTTTCAGTGGCCCTTGATGATGAAGATGACAATGATGAGAATAACAAACAGATTGATATTAGTCTGGCAGAAGGGATCGGACCATTGCACAAATTCATGGCCAAACCTGGGACCCAACAACAACAACAACAACAACAACAACCGACCTCAACACAATACTATTTGTCGGACGAACCCCGATGCACTCTTCAAAACCTGCGAGTGCCTGCCCATGCGCGGACCCGTGTAGTGACCCCTCGGGCAGCCATTGATCCATATTTTCTCCATTCTCAGGTTATGCCGACAATAACACAGCATCATGATTTTGCCATGGACACATTGCCGACAAGCTTGCGCACGGGTTCGCCAATGGTTTTACAGCGGCCCGTGGTATTGCGTAATGGGCATCCGAGCCTCGACAAACCTGGCATTGAAGTTGTGTGTGGGAGCGGGAGGACCACGGCAAGTGAAGAAAGTTCACAGAGCACGAGTTGCTCCAACGACGATGACGATAGCTGGGAAAGCACAACGGCGAGCGAGGACACTCTGGAGGCGGCTGAAGCGGCGGCTGAAGCGGCAGCTGAGTCTGCGGGTAATGGAGGATTCGAAGCAAGCTGCAACAGTGAGACTTTGCGCTGTAGTGGTGGTCATGCAGGCGCAAGTACGATAAAGTTTAGCGGGAGCGGCATGTGCGAAGTGGGTCTTGGTACACAACAGTCTTTACCGCATAACAATACGCATCACAACCATCATCGCAGAAACCCGAGCAGCGAGTTGCATCGTCATGCACATGTATATGGCTACGGGCTAAGTCCCTCAGGGACTTCTGCGGTTTCTTCAACAGCAGTTCTTGAGGATCCGCGTGAAGATGAAGATGAAGATGAAGAAGATGTTGGATCTGAAAAGGGAGGAACGGAAGAGAAGAAAAACCATAAAGAAGACGATGGTGCAGGAGAAGAGCACCCACAAGCGTTTTGCATTTACTATGGAGGAACTGGAGACGTTTCAGAACAAGACGATGAGGACGAGACTCAATCCCAAGAGTCGTCGGGGACATCCCAAGATACCATGATTCACCATCGGGCGGTTCTTCGAGATAGCCACAATAGCCACAATAGCAGCAACACAAGCCCCAGCACCAGCAAAAGCCCTGCAAGTAGTTCGCGCAAGAAGCCTGTATATCCTAACCGGGTTATGTTCCGCGCGGATCTTGAAGCTAGTGTTAGTGGAGAGGAGGTCGGGGATGACGATGACGAAACGACACCTACATTTCGGGGGATAGAAGAAACAATAAAAGAGCCGGTATCGCCGGCACACAGCGTGTGTTTGGGGACCGGGTCTGGGATGGCATTGGGGGTTGGCAGTGGACATTACCAGCAACAACAACAACAACAACAACAACAACAACAACAACAACAACTGCAACAACTGCAGCAAACCCAAATCCAGGGGTTTGCGCCAGTGATTGCTCCACGACCCCGGGGCCATATGCGTGCGAGGTCGTGGTGTGCTCCAGTGGGACAGTCCCGGGTACAATTGAGGGGTATAGACGAAAGAACCGGAGCAGTTGGAAGTGAGAGTCATAGAGTTGCAGGTCATACTCGCAACAAGTCACATTCGCATGCGTTGACAGGATCATTGTCTTATGGAGTTGGTGCAGGGGCTATGAGTGGACTAAGCTTGCAACAGGTGCCAGTTCACCAAGTGTCGGTGCACTCAATGTCCACCCACCTGCTGGCCAGTGCTCAAGCGCATGCTCAAGCGCATGCACAAGCACAAGAACCCACACATGCATCGGAGAATGAATATTATCACCACCATCACCACAACCACCTCCACCACCACGGGTCCACGTCTTGGGGTCATTTCGAAGGGCCTGATTTGGGGACTGTTACGGAGGAATCAGCTGGCGAACTTCTTGGGGAGTTTTGCGAATACCTTGATCGAGAGGCCTTGGGAGGTGACGAAAAGTCGAGTGAAAAGGTCTATGAGAGTCACCAACATCATTTGACGATCAAGTTTGAGCAAGAGCAGGCGCAGTTTCCTCGGCCCCAAGCGTTGCACCAGGCTCACACTCATGCACTCGTAGTTGGTAATGGAGGAAGTAATGGTGGTAGTATATCCGGACTGATGTTTAATGAGGTAACGGTACTTCCGGATCAGCAGGGGAAAAAGAATGTCCGGGCAAGTGTGTACGACCACCGGTTGTACTACCACCCAAAGGTTTTGCATGATGACCATTCACGCAGCCTAAACAACCAACACCACCATTTAGAGGACCGATTGTTTGATGCGTTTTAAATAATAGTAGTAATAATGAGAGCACAGATTTATAAAAACAAATTGAATGAATGGAATAGCCTTCCCCCCCCAAAAAAAAAGACTTTTTCGTAAAATTCCCCCGCCCCCTATCTTGGTGAGGGTTTCTCGAACTTTCACACGCTAAAAAAAAAATGCTGGGGGTGCGCATTTTTGGGTATCTGAGCTGGGATAAGCAAAAATCGCAATCCACTATAAACCATTCATTTAGCTGCTCCCTTCTCAAGATGTGTGCAGTGACTGACCCGGCATGAACAGTCCGTCGTGGTTCCCGAGAGGTCTCCGTTTTGCTTCGATTCCTAGCACATCTTCAAACGTTATTTCTTGTTCTTGTTCTTGATTTTTTTCTTCCCTTTCTTTATTCATTATTTTATTTTTCTCACGGTCTTGCAAAACCTTTAAGTTGGCCTCATGCTCGCACCCGCGTAGCGCCGCAACAACGGGACCCGCAGCCAGACCAAGTACAAACTCGTCCAGGTACACTATGCGGAAACGGGCAAGAACAAGGTCAGGAGCACGCAGCAGTCGCCGCCAGTTGCCACTCAGTGAAGCACCAAACGAATATAGTTCCACGGCCCAACCTTCAGCCAAGGCCTTTTCGACGGCTGCCAGAAACCCGAGCGCAGCACCACCGTTGGTAAAGGCAGGAGGTTGACCGTCACCCGTCGCAAGAACAATGGTACCTGGGGTTTGTGTCTGGCGTACGGTCTGCAGAATGCGTACACTAAGAAGTTCATCCACACCGTGCTCTTTATGGTGGTGAGATGACTCTGGATATGTCTCCACACGCGACATGATTGTTACATCATAGTGTAGTTTCCGGGCATGTGCAAACATCTTTCCATAGACAGCATGCATGGGGTTTGAAGCTGAAGTTGGAGTAGATCCAACGACTACTTTCTGGGCAGCAGCACGGCCTCTTAACAAGACTTTATCTAGGGCTTCCATGTCGAGAGGGTGGATATGTTTTGATGAAGGTTTTTTTGCAAAAGCAGCTGCTAAATCTGGGGCTGCGTAGTAGTAGTCGAGGTATGTTTCGATAGTTTTGCATAGACCAATGTAGACATTGGAAAGGTCTACAAAGACGTGAAGATTAGATGCAGAAGGTGCAGATTTGGGTTTGGGGACTAATAATGTGGACTTGTCTTTGGGGAAAATCTGAATGATTTTGGTATAGAGGTTTGTGTAGCGGGCAATTCTTGTAGCTGGAGACTCGTCAAACGGTGGAGGTGGTATTATTGATTGTGGTGATTGTGGTTTACTATGGTGATGGTCTTTTGGTTGCTTTGGAGGTATAAAAAGGCGTTGATCTGGTGGTGGCATTTTGTTGTTTTTTTTTTTTTATAATTATAATTATAATAATAATAATAATAATAATAATAATAATAATAATAATAATAATATTTGATGATATTTGATGATAGTTGGGATTGGAGGTTTTGAAAGTTTTGGCGGGCAATTTTTTTTTTTTTTTTTTTTTTAAGGTTGGAGGTCCCAAAATAACTTTTTGATTTGTTGCCTCCCTAGTAACTCCCTAGTAATTCCATCAAAACTATAAAAACCCAGCTGGATTTCTCTAAAAAATAAATCTCCTTTTTTTTTTTTTTTTTTTTTTTATTTATTTATTATTATTTATTATTATTAAAATATATAAATCAAATTATATATATACTTGAAATATTTCTAAACTCTCGATTCAACTCAAAATGAACCCACTCGATCAAACAGACCGCTCACCCTCTTCAATCAAACTCCCCTATAGTCTGTCTTCAGTCCCGCTGGCCGTCGACTACTCAGACTTTTACGATTCAACAACATCTTGTTTTGATCCTACAACTGATTCCAATGCTTCTACCACACTCTCGGCTGGTCCTGTGCCTGTAGTATCATCTTCCTCAGCTTCATCTTTATCAACTTTTGCATCCTTCAGCTGTCCGTCTCTAACAAATCTGGCCGGCTATGCAGACCATCATCAACAATCTTTGTCAACAGACAATACTACCGCCACAATGGCTACCAGAGGTCTTGAGCAACGTACCCGTAAGCTTTCGATTTCCCCTGGATCGTTGTCAGGATGTGGAGGCCGCAATCATCCAAGAACATGTGCGGCAATTGCCGGCATTTCGTCCAGTAGTTGTTTGGACCAAGAAATAACGCAGAATATCAATTCCACAGAAACTGCTTCTCCTCCTCCTCCTCCTCCTCCTTCTCAACCTACAACAACAAATTTTGTTGCATGTGAAAATCCTTGTGACTCGTGCCGCAAACCATGTCTTGCCCACCTGGCCATGGCATCTAGCATAGCAGCCTTAGAGACCGACAATTCTTCACAATCGGCGTCTTGTTCCTGTTCTTGTTCTTCTTCCTCTTCCTGTTCCTGTTCCTCTTCTTCTTGTAAAGAATCCAGTGGGCCTCAACAGCCGCGCGTAGGAATGGATGGTCGTCATCACTCATGTGGATCAGAAAGCTGCGGCTCAGAATCAATCACTAAAGGCTCAAAGGCCCATCAACAACAACATACAAACAATAAAAATAACAATAACTGTAGCAGTAGCAGTAGCAGTAGCAGCAACAGTAACGGCAGCCGGCGAATGACGATGCGGGCAGCTGGAGAACGAAGTAGCGGGAGTGGTGGCATTTGCAAACAAAGCCCATTAGAATATACGACGGAGATTCCGGAGATTTTTGTAGACCCGCAGAAAGTGCTAGGTAGTCTGATGAGAGGGATTTTAAAGAGTGGAAGTAATCGTCAAGGAGGTCCCAGAAGTGCTCGTGAAAACAGCTGCGAAGGTAGATCTGGATCTGGTACTGAATCAGCAGTAGTAATAGAAGGAGAGTCTATTGCGGACCGTGATAACAAGCGACGCAAAAAGGGTGAACCGAGTATTCCGGATCCAAGCAAAAAAGCCGAAAAAGAAGAAGAAGAAGAAGAAGAAGAAGTTGAAGAAAAAGAAGAAGAAAAAGAAGAAGAAAAAGAGAAACACTTACAAACCACTCAAGTACCGGTCCCCATGAATGAGGAGACTCCGAATAACTCCCAAACTCTTCCACCCGACCAGTTGCGCCGGAAATCGCACCACAATGGACCAAGGAAACGTGCCTGGGGTATGGCCGGAACAAGCGGTGCTCCACCCCCACCACCTGTTCTACCGCCGCATCTGGAGGCTGCGCTGTTCCAAACAGGCTCGTCGCTGCTTCACCCGCCGGCATCAGTGTCTTTGTCTAGTCCTGGATTATCTTCGGCAACCACAGTGACAGCGGCAGCAGCGGCAGCGGCGGCAGCAGCAGCAGCAGCAGCAGCAAATGGCGATACTTTGAGTAGTAGTTCCGGGTCAAGTGCCACAGCGACAACCGCAGGATCGGCCTCGTCGTTGGCAACTACCCCACGCTCGCGGTCCGTGTCACTGACATCGCCATCGACTCCGCGGCCACTTTTTAATGCGTTCAATCTCCCGCCAGATCAGGCATTTTCAGGCAAATTATCACCGGTTCCTGGAACTCCATCAGGAGAATCAGCTGCTTCTTTAGCTTCAACAGCGCCACCATTACAATTACCATTACCACCACCACCACCACCACCTTCATCATCATCATCGTCATCATTAGGGAAAGCACAAGATCCAGCTCCTCCGTCGTACTTCTCAACAATCAACTTTAACGATATTGAAGATCCAGATACGCTACTGACGCAACCAAACCACGTCACACTCAACCACCTGGCCACGTCGAGTATTCGCAACTCCATTCTTGCTGCGGCGTGCACTAGTCGCTACAAGAGTAAATACATTACTCAAATTCTCTATACGCCCATGTAGTAATTATATATATTTTAATAATTTTTTTTTTTTTAACAATAATGATAATACCAATAATAACAATAATAATAATAATAACTACTCAATTAACGTTACCCAGTGACGTGATTGACAGTTCCTTCATGCTCTGGAGCACCTCCTCCACACGATTATCTAGTGCACCTGTAGCATACTCTTCACGCGTACTGGCATCCAAGTACTGCTGGACCTGGGCCAGGCGGGTGTAAGATTCGGTACAGAAACGGAGTTGAATCTTGACAAGAGCTTCAAATGAGGGATCGAGGTAAGGCACACGGAGGTCAATAAGCTTGGGAAGTTCATCCGAGAGTTGGTTGTTAAGTTGGTCGTAAACTTCCTTTGAAAATGCAAGGTCCTTTTCCAGCCTCGGCAGTTTTGTAACGTCATCGCTTGGTTTTTCTGTCAGACGTTTGACCTTAGAACGCAGTGCATCGTAATCCATCATTTTATGGTTACGCTTCTTGATTGCTTCGTTAATGTCCTGGAAATACGCACAGAATCGTGTGATGGGTTCCAGCACTGTTTCTCGGAATGGACCGTCAAGTGCCTTAACCGTTTCGCTGTCAAGTTCTTGTACTGCCTGCAGGTAGTACTTGCTGACGCCATCGCGTGTTCCCGCATCACCGTAAAAGGCGTCAATGGTTTCCGCAATGCGGGTTTGAGAAGCTGTCATGGCACGCAGAGAATCAAGGTACCCCTTGGCTTCCTTTTGCAGTTTGTTACATGCTGTTTCCATGCTGTTTAAAAGTCGGTTAGTATAGTCAAAAAGATTACTGGGTTGTTTCTTTCTTTGTTTCTTTGTTGATTTATCACTCACGTTCTGTATCGTCGTTCTTCAATTTCAAACTCCTTATCGACTGTTCGTTCAACGTGGCCGGTCTTCATCATTACCTGTGGATAATAGTTAGTACTTGCATTATTTGTAGTCTGAAGATGGTTCCATCCATTGCATGACTGCACCTAGCAGGTGTATGATATATATGGATATATAAATGATTAACATACTGAAGTGCCTGCTCTGTTGATTGCTTTTTTGAATCCGTTCCAACTCATTTTTAATTTAATTTAATTTAATTTAATTTTTTTTTTACTTGTAGTGGTTTATGATGATGATAATGATATATGCTACTGCTGGTCTTTTTTTCTCAATTTCTTTTTGAATGACGACACAAAAAAAGAAGAGGGGGGGAAAAAAACGTGAGATATTTTGGTATAAATGAATAGACCTTTTTTATTTTATTTAATAAAAAAAAAAAAAAAACTTGAATTCTCTTTCAAGGTTATTATTGATTGCTATTTAGGCTTTTGAAATGTGAGGGTATTTTTTTTTTAATATGAAATGTTTTAAAACAAAAGGTGTTAGTGTATGTGTGTGTGTTTGTGGAAAAGGAAGGAAGGAAAGGAAAGATAGAAAGTTGGTGGTAGTTTTGATGGTGGATTTTTTGAAAGTAGTGGTGGTAGTGGTGGTGGTGGTGGTGGTGGTTTTAGATGGTAAAAGAGGCTTTTTTTTTTTTTTTTTTTTTTCGCGCAAACAATTTTTTTTTTTTTTTTTTTTTGGTTTTGTTTTGGTTTTGTTTTGTGTGTCACCTGAAAAGGAGAGCGCCTCATCACTCATCTCTGTCATCAGCCAAGGGAGGCTGTGTGTATGTGTAAGAGAAATAAGAAGAGAAAAAGAAAAAGAGAAAAAAAAAAAAAGGCTTCTTTGTGTAATAAATTATGTAATGCTGAGTCATCTTTAAGTAAATTCTATATTCAGTAACTCCAGTAATTATAATTATAATTATAAAATTATATAATTATAATTATAAGGCTGATTAACCTTTTATTTTATTTTAATTTTTTTTTTTTTTTTTTTTTTTTTTTTCATTTATCAAAACTACAAAAATATTTTGACTTTGACAGAATATTCAGAAATTACTTATATATCTAAAGAATTATAAATATCCAAATATCCCATCAAGTATCTATTTATTGGAATACCCCATAAAATTCGCTGTAAACTCAAGATAAGAAAAAGTCTCTGACAGCTTCATTTAATCTATTTTTTTCAAGTATTTAAACTAGCTTTAGATTTCAAATAATCTTCAACGGCTTATTAAAAGTTTCTCAATATATATATATATAACCCTTCATTAAACGTTTATCACATATTCTTCCAATCTTTTTAACTATATAATTATAATAATATCTTTTCGAGATTCTCGTTCTAGTTTGAATTACCGAAATTAAGTTTTTTTTTTTTTTTTATCTTTTGTTTAAATACCACTTAAAATTATTTTGTGCTGTTGATAAGATTGTGACAACCTGATTTGAACCTTTTTAATTCCATTGTGAAAATATCCCAATTTTAGCAATCAATTTTTTCTTTTTTATTTATTTTTTTTTTTGCATGTCTTAAACTTGCAATTTGGATTTTCAAAGAGTATTGTAATTTTTTTTGTCCAATTTTATAGATAAGAAACAGATTTTGATTAAATTTTTTTTTTTTAAAAAAAAAAAAAAAATAGTGCTTTTGCATCAATATTTGGATATTTAATTGAATAATGTGTGGAGGGTAGTGCTCTATAGCATAATATCAGATCAAAGATAAGAATCAGATAACATATCAAATGGTGATTGTCTAAGGATTAGATCAACTCAGATTTTGTGAGCATAAATAAAAATATAATTGTAGTTTTAAGTCTTCCCTCTTTTTTTTTTTTTTTTTTTTTTTTTTTTTTTGCATTAATTTTAAAAATACAATAAAATGCTTTTTAAATCATTTAAATGTTTCCAATTGGATATCTAAACTGGGGTAGATTCTTTTGAATATAGCTGAACCGAAATAAAATAAAATAAAATAAAATAAAAAACCTTTTTTTTTCTAGAATGGTTTATCTTATCTCTAATCAATCCATAATGCAATACACATAATCATCATCATCATCATCACAAAAATCAACTAGAATTGATCACTTAGGTTTCTTTGAGTTCAGTCTTTAGTCTTTAGTCTTTAGTCTTTAGTCTTTAATCTTTAGTCTTAGTCTTTTGTTCATTGACCATCACGGGGGGTTTCCGTCTTCGGGGACTGGTGCTCGCCACTTTTTGCTTACTAACGTTGAAATTTTTAATGGGAAACCCGCCAAAAAAAAAAAAAAAAAAAAAAAAAAAAAAAAGCAGCTTTATTTTATTTTATTTTATTTTATTTTTTTGCATCACCACCAAATTTTCATAAATTTATATATATATATATATATATATATACACACTCAAACAAACAAACACCATTCAAATAAAACAATGAGTTCAACTACAAATCAACAACCACCATCAAACATTACTGAAGAACAAAAACAAAAAACAGATGAGCACGGTGTGCCGCTGTGGATTCTTGCGCCTACCGAAGAAAAAACATTACTGAAAGAGCACCAGGCTTGGACAGAGAAGATGTGTGAAAAGGAGTTTTCAAGTGAGTTTAGTTAAATAGATTCAAAATGAAACAATTACCAAACAGACCTAACAACAATACCTCCCTTCCCTCCCCTCCATTTCCCTCCATTTCCCTACTAATTCCATTGGATAATTCAAAAATAAATTAATAGATTTTGCCGAGTGTTGTAAAGGTTACCCGGTGTTCTTCCCCTGGAGGTGTTCAGACAAAAAAGAAGCAATGGTGCAGTGTGTTGCACACTACGGATCGCCAGCCATGTTTAACAAACTGCGCGAAGCATACATTGAGCGCAAGATTTCATATCGTGAGAAGCTTGACCAAGAGAACAAGACATTATGAATTTTTTTTTAAAATAATGAAAAAAAAAAATTCTTTTTTTTTAAAAATAAATTTTGTCTTTTTTTTTTATTTTTTTGTAAATAGTCTAAATGAATTAAAAAAAAAAAAATATAGTTTGTATATGGATGGGAGAAAAAAAAAAAAAACTTATATAATACAAAAAAAGGAAAAAATCAAAAGGGAAGGAGGGGGGAGGGTGGGAAAGGGCGTGTGAACAAAGATGCATTGTTATTGATTTCTTGTTTTTAATCCACCTTATTGGAAATCTCACCCTCGGCCTCACTGCCGCCTTGGGGAGAAGCACCCTGAAGAGTTTGAGCTGGTGGAGCCCAAGAAAGATAATCTCTGCGGACCTCGACATAATCATAGGCAAACTCACCAATTTGGTCATCATCCATACCACGAAGCTCAGCGTCTTCAGAAGCACGCAGCTTGCATCCTGGAATGTAGTTAACAATAAAGCCAATAAGAACTGTCATGAAGAGAGTATAACCGACAGAAGCCAACATGTAGCAAATCTGCTTGTAAATTTGGCGGTAGTTGTGCGACAGCCAACCACCACGGTGCTCAGTGGCATTGTCGAGGCCAATGACCCAATCGGCACCAAAAAGAGCATTATAGATGAGGCCAATGATGCCGGCGACACCGTGTTCGGCAAAGGTATCAAAGGAATCGTCAACACGGCAGAGGTACTTGATCTTTGTGGCAAAGTTGCAAACAACACCAGCACTAACACCGAGAATAACCGAGGCCCAGAGGGGGATCACACCGGAGCACGGGGTAGCCGCGACAAGACCGGAGATAATACCTGAGCAGACAGCAACGGTAGACCACTTACGTTCAAGACGGTAATCGAGCAAACACCAAGACATGGCACCAAAGCATGCAGTAATATTTGAGTTCATAATAGCATAGACGGCACGGAGGTTAGCGCCGAGGGCCGAGCCACCATTGAAACCGAGCCAGCCAAACCACAGGAGAGCAGTTCCAAGAGTGACGAGAGAGACATTATGGGGGCGGAAGTTAAGAAGGAGTTGTTCCTTTCTACGGCCAAGAACAATGGCATAAGCAAAGCCACCAACACCAGAGCCAATTTCGACGGGCCCGCCGCCAGCATAGTCGAGAACCCCCCACTTTGCGGCCCAACCATTTGCAGACCAAGCCCAGCAGGCAATGGGGCAGTAGACAATAGTGATCCAAACAGCAGTGAAGACACAAACGGGGAAAAGACGGCCACGTTCAGCGATACCACCAGCAACAATGGCGCCAGTGACGGCAGCAAACATGCCTTGGTAAGCGGCAAAGAGGAGTTCAGGGTAAGTGGCACCGTCATCACCCCAGAGAACGTTTTTCATGCCAAAGGAATGGAGGTTACCAATGTATCCGTTTGTTGCAGTTTTAGAAAAGGCGAGCGAGTAGCCCCAAAAGTACCAGGTGAAGAGAGAAACGACGGCTGTCATGTAGCATGCCCAGATAAGAGAAAGGGCAGATTTTCTACGGGCAAGACCCGAATAGAGGAACCCGAGACCGGGGACCATGATGAGAACCATACATGTTGATACGGCAAGGTAGGAAATGTCACCAGTGTCATAAGCTTTAGAAGGATTAAATGTTAGTAAGGGTAAATAAATGGTTGTGTATGTGTGTGTGGAGATGGTTTGATTGGTCTGAGATAAGAGTTGAAAATTTTTTTTCTTGATGATAAAAAAAAAAAAATTTTTTTCTTTTATCTACTAGACAAATCAAAAGAAATCCAAGAAATCAAACGAGGAAAAAAAAAAAAAAAAAAAACTTACTTTCACCTCGAAATTCCGGGACTAAACCTTCTGCTTCTTGTCGTTTTCTAAGAGCCAGTTCAGCTCCGTGGATAAATGGGTAGTGCATTTTAAATGTGACTGGATATGAAGATTTTTATGATTCAACAAAAAGTTTTTTTGAAATATTTATTGTTGATTGTTTGATGAATGAAGAACGAAAAATGATGTTGTTAAAGGATGATTAATATGATAAAGATAATGAATATGATGATAATGCTAAATTAGTTTCTTTTTATTGTTGTTGAGATATGCCGAAAAAAAAAAAAAGAATATTTATAATATATATGTATGTATATATATGATATTGATTCAAGTTGATTCTTTTTTATTTTCAAATCTTTCACAGAAAGAAGAAAAAGAAATGCTGGATTGATTGATTGATTGAATGATATATATATAAAATGATATATATATTTGAATTAAAATTGGTGAAGAATAAAAAAAAAAAAAAAAAAGAAAAAAGAAAGAAAAGAAAGAAGGAAAGAAGAAAAGAAGGAAGGAAAGAAGAAGAGGAAGAAGAAGTAGAAAAAAAAAAAAAGGAAGGAAGGAAGGAAGGAAGGAAGTATTTATATGTAGTTATAATTATATAGATAGTTAGTTATATATATATATATAGTTATATTTATATTTATGTCCAATAGATGTTTGTTATTGATTTTATTTGTATATATAACTGAAAAAAATCGTCTTTTTTTTTTTTTTTTTTTTTTTTGCGGCCAAAAGTTTCTTTTCTTTTTTTTTTTTTTTATTTTTTATTTCCCACACATATAAAAAAAAAAAAAAAAAAAATACCTTGGCTTGCGTACTCTTATCTTTTGTCTTTTTGTCTTTTTGGCTGCCCAACTGATGCTGCGTGGATGAATGCCTGATTGGGTTATCCACAGAGAGGGCTTTGACGACAAGAAAAGTTTAAAAAAAAAAAAAAAAAAAAAATTCAAATTGAAGAATTTAAAATAAAAAAATGAATTTTTTAAAAAAAAAAAAAAAAAAAAAAATCTGGAGATTTTTCTTTTCTATTTTTTTTTTTTATTTCTATTTTTTTTTTCAAGAAAAAGAAGAATTGATTATTATTTTATTGGTTTTTAAAAAGAAAAAAAAAAAACTCATTCATTTGTATATTAAAAAAATAAATATATATATAAAAATATATATTTGAAAATATTTTTTATTCTGTCTTTATTGATTTAAAACATAACAACTACAACCATAAAAACATAAAATAAAATAAATTAAATTAAATTAAAAAAAAACTACTCACTTTATCATATAAACTACAGAATATAAAAAAAAATAAAAAGAGGCTGCTTTTTTATTTTTTTTTTTTCTTTTATCAATGCTGCCTTCTGCTGCCTTTTGCTGCTTTTTTTTTTGTGTGTGTATTCTCTCTCTCTCTCTCTCTCTCTGATGATGATGATGATGATGATGATGATACTGCTGCTGCTACTGTTGCTGCTTCTTTTCAGTTTGCTGCTACTGCTGCTGCTGCTGCTGCTGCTGCTGCTGCTACTACTATTACTACTATTTACTGCTGTTGTACAAAAGAATAAATATAAATAATAATAATAATAAAACTTTGATATCCTAGAAAGTAAAAGTAAATTCAAATATTAATTTTTAATGTATATATATTTTTTTTTTATTTTTTTTTAAAACAATTGTTCAATTATTAAAAGTCACATATCTTTTATCATAAATAAAAATTGTTGAAGTAATTCTAAAGCCTCTTTCTTTTTTTTTTTTTTAATTTATGCTTATATTTTGAGTATATATCCTTTTGACTTTTCCATGTGAAAATATTTATTAAAATAATTAAATTAATAATTAAATTAGTTAAAATAAATTTCCATGTTTTTTACTTTTTTTTTTTTTTTTTTTTTTTTTTTTTTGTGTCTCCCCCTTTTTTTTTTTTTTTTATAATTCTTTTATTTTATTTATTTATTTTTTTTTCAATTGCCGAAATGTAGAAAATTAAGATAAAAAAAAAATTCCGTTAATCAAAACTTGTTGTTATTGTTTATTTAAACTACTTTTTAACTAAATTAATAAAACCAGTTTCTCCACTTTAAATTTTCATTTCTTCTTCTTCTTCTTCTTCTTCTTCATCATACTACTACTACTACTACTACTACTACTACTCCCCCCTGAGTTTTTTTTTTTTTTTAAATCGTTTCATTGTTTATTATTGTTGTTATTGTTGAATAATAGGAAATATATATGCAAAAAAAAAAAAAAAAAAAAACTGCAACAAAAAGAAAAAGAAAAAGAAACAACAAATAAAGTAAATAAAGTAGTAGCAGCTGTAGCATCCGCATTTACTTTTATTTTAGTTTTTAAATCCTGCTTTATCTTTGATTTTAAATGATTTAAGAAATGATTTAAGAAATAAATTAAGAAATAAATTAAGAAATAAATTAAGAAATGATTTAAGAAATATTCAACTTTCTTCAAATCTTTTTTTTTTCTCTCTCTCTCATTACACATTATTTATTCATAACATATTCAATTCAAATAATCCTCAATAAAAAAAAAAAAAAAAAAAAAAAGTCCTACTTACTTACTTACTTACTTTTTTTTCTTTTATTTGGATTCTCTGTACATTAACCATATCTTAATTATCCACCACCACCATCATCATCATCATCATCATCAACGCCGAGACTTTTTTTTTTTTTTTTTTTTTTTTTTTTTTTTTTTTTTGCCGAGACCGTTATGTTGTTGTTGTTGTCATTGGCATTTTCCCTATCGATAACCAAATCCTTGCCTAATCGCTGTCAAATCAAAAATCTTTTTTTTTTTTTTTATTATTTAAAAATAAATTTTTCACCTCATATTTTATATATTCTCTCTCTCTCTCTCTCTCCTGAAAAAAAAAAAAAAATAAAAAAAAAAATAAAGCTTAACTAAATTTCTCGGCGTTGACTTCATTGGGAAATTCTGTTGCTTTTTTTTTTTTTTTTTTTTTTTTTTTTTTCTTTCTTTTTTTTTTCTTTCTTGCTACTCTTTAATCTGCTCTCCTATGTCTCATATTTATTTATATATTTATACTAATTAGTAGTATTACGAATGAATCCTACCTACTACTACTACTACTACTTTAGAAAAAAAAAAAAAATTATATATATATATATATATATATTTTCCCCTAACCCTTCCTTGTTATCTTTGCACACCATTGGTCTAGCTTCCAGCCGTTTCCCCGGCTTATCTAACTGCTTACACATTAATTTCTCTTGTGCCTTGTCATTGTTTTTTTTTTTTTTCTATTTAATATCATGTAATTACCCGCTTATTCTTACAAATCATTCTTATCTTTCACCCGTTAAAATCCGTCCGTCTAAATAAAATAAAAAATAAAAAATAAAAAATAAAAAATAAAAAATAAAAAATAAAAAATAAAAAATAAAATAAAAACCCTTACCCTTTCAATCTCTCCATATAACCTTATTTAACCTTATCATTCAATTTATTATTATAATAATAATTATTATTATTAAACAACAACGATCCCTTCTTGGCTAAAAATCTGGTGCTCCAGAAGTTACTCCTCCTCTACTGGTGCTCATGAGAACCGAAATAATTCCTTAGGCTTTGGCTTGTTGCAAACTACCACTACCACTACTCTTCTTACCTTTCTTATAAGGGGGGTAATTACCATTCTTACCTTTCTCACCTCTCTTGGCCATCTCATTGCTTTTACCTTTCTTGGTCAAATCACCACCACTACCACTACCACTACCACTACCACTATTACTACCACTATTACTACCGCTACCGCCACCGCTACCGCTACCGCTACCGCTACCGCTACCACCAACTTCTATCTCATTCATCAAATCTCCATTTTTTTTCTTATTCTTATTCTTATTCTTCTTATTCCTCTTTTTCTTCTTCTTCTTCTTCTTATCATCCTTATCATCCTTATCCCTTTTCCGATCACTATCAATCGCCCTTTGATATACCCGACTCATCTGTAACGCTCTCACCATCTCTTCCCGACCAGACCGCCGTAACATCCGCTCAGCTTGTAAAACATTAACCCAAACCCGGTCTCGCTTACCACTCTCCAACCACCGCCATCGCCATCCTTCTGGTCCCTCCTCTTCCTCCCCTCCAACATCCGCCCCATACTCTCCCTCGTAGAAATAAATCCAATTCTCTCCACTGCTTATAACTTCCCCCTGACTCCCCCGAGGGAACTTGCGTAGCTTCTTCTTGTTGAAAACCCCTACCCGTGCAAACTGCTCTCCATTAGGCATCCCCTCCAATTCTATCCGCCGCACATACTCCCCACTGCTTGTCACATGATCCACGTCACAAATTGTCCGACCGTTACCTGAAACCTTTCCTTTCAATCCTTTCAATCCTTCTAATCCTTCCAACCCATCCAAGTTATCCAACCTATCCAACCTCTCCTCCCTGCCATCCTTGCCAAGTTTACGTACTAAAACTCCCGCCTCTTCCCAAGTCTCCCGAATCGCAGCCAACCCGTAATCATGAGCCTCGCGTTCCTCCACTCCACCCTTTGGTAGCGTCCATTTGTTGACCCCCTTTTTGACGCTAACCAGCAAAACCCGATGTCCTCCATCGTCGTCGTTGTCATCATCCTTATTATCATTATCATTATCTTCTTCTTCTAATTCTAATTCTTCTTCCTCTTCCTCTTGTTCTTTTTCTTTTTCTTTCTCTCCTTTGGTGCCTGATTTCTCCTGCTTTGACTCATTACCGTTAGACCCATCACTCTCATCACTCTCATCATCATCTTTATCCTCACGCGATACAACTAAACACGCAACTACCCGCGCACCTTCTTTTGTAAATAAATCAGATGACCCCGACCGCCCAGGGGTTTTTACTACTCCAACAGAATGTCCTTCCTCAACTATTTGTTTTGTGGCACCACCAATTATTGACTCGTTTAATGAACCCATCATTTGGTTGTTGCTCTTGTTATTATTGTTATTACCGCCCATCTTTGATTTACTATTCCCAACTGCGCGCGTAAATGATCGTGTATGATGATGATGGTGATGTTGATGATGATTGCTCTTTGATTTAGAGTGAATAATACTGGGTTGTCCTGAAAAAGAAGAAGATGATGATGAATTTGCTCGTCTAGAATTAGATGAAGGACCTGGATCGATGGTTGAAAGTGCTGCTACTGTGACTCCGGCTACTGTGACTGCACATGCAACAAGCATCAATACCAGCATAATGTATTTAAATATATGCTCTTATTAAATGGGTGGGAAAATAAAAAAAAATTTAAAATTTAAAAATAAACATAAAAAGCTATGCCTTTTTTTTTGGTTTGTTGATAGATTGATTGGTATTATTTAGACGTTTTAAGTTCAATGAAACTTTTTTTTGTCACTTTCTCAGTTTGTTTATTTTTTTTTTTTTTTGGTTTCCTTCCTTTACTTCCTTTTTTTCTTTCCCTCTCTCTCTCTCTTTCTCTCTCTTTCTATTTTACTTCTGTCACAGGCTTTTATGATAAAAAAAAAACAAGAAGAAGAGGATTTAAAAAAAAAAAAAAAAAAAGGTGTGGGTTTGTTTGATGGACTTAAAGGAAGAAAAACAAAGGGAAAAAAGATCTTTTAGGGATATCCTCTTTTTTTTTTTTTTTATTTTCTTTCTCAAAAATATCATAAAAAAATAAAAAGGCTATTGTAAAGTGACAAACCCTGATTACGTAATATTTGACTGTTAACTGTTTGTTAATATAAACTACAACTACTATATATATATACAACAACTACAAAAATGCAGCCATAGACAAACGGCTGTAATAATTATTTGTGACAATTAAATAACAAGTGTATATGTAATTGTTAAATATTAAAATTTAATTCCAAACTATCTTAGATAAATCAATTGATCTATCTAAATCTAATCTAAATCTAAAGACATTACATAAACATATCGACGTTTTTTATTTATTTATTTATTTATTTATTTATTTATTTATTTATTTATTTATTTATTTATTTATTTATGTATTTATGTATTTATTTACTCAGTTTTTTTTAAAGATCAAGCTGAAAAACTTTATTAATAAAATGAATTAGATAATAGATGCAAGAAAACTATATATAATTTTTTTTCATGTCTTAAAAACTCCTGTCTTTTTATACTTTAATTTCGTTTCATATCAATCAATTTGAATTTTTTTTTTCTTTCTTTCTTTCTTTCCCTTTCGTTATCAATTTTGAATAAAATTTGTCACAATAACATTAAAGTTTTTATACACTTATGAATCGGTACTATTGGAGAGAAAAGATTTATGTTTTAAAAGAATAAAAAAAAAAAACCAACAACAACAACAACAAAAATAACAGGTTTAAAAGATAACAAATCTAATTATATCTCTACACAGTAAAAATAGAAAACAAAAAAAAGAATAAGAAGAAGAAAAAAATGGAAAAAAAAAAACATTTCTGGATAAATTGAAATGGTTGCTTTAAAAATTTTTTTGTTTTTTGTTTAAAAAAAAAAGCCAAGATTATCAAAACAACCCAAAATAGTGAAAAAATAAATAAAGAAATAAACAAACCAAATTGTATTTAATATATATATTTGATAATCGTCATAGAATATCGTATTTATTCATATTTCTTCTTTTGAATATAAATGTAAACAAATAATAAAATAATAATAAAGAAGAAGAAGAAGAAAAACAAGATAAAATGCTTCCATTATGGGATTGTTAAAAAAGAAAAAAAAAAAGAAAACTAGGCTAGTTTTTATTTTAACAATAGAGTCTTTTTTTTTTTTTTTTTTTTTTTTTTAAATCTACACTAGGAACATTAATTATAATCAAATTTTAAACAATAAAGTCGATTCAAAATTAATTTCAATTTTACTTTAAATATATATATCAAAACCATGTTAGAAGCATTATTTCTTCTTCTCTTCTCTTTTTTTTTTTTTTCTTATTTCAATAAACAAAAAATAAAAAAAAAACTTTGAAATGTCATCAGGTGTGCATCACTCTTTTTTTTTTTTTTTAAAAATTTTTTTTTTCTTTGGCTGCAAACAACTTTTTTTTTTTTGCCCATTGTCTTTGAGATTAACAAGATACTTGAACTTAGGTATATTCGCTCTTTTAGACAAATATACAACACATTTCATTCAACCTTGTTATCTTGTAAGCGCACTTAAATACTTACATCCCCCACCCACCTTTAATAGAATTTTAACTCACCTCGATACTATCCGCCTTTCTTTTTTTTTTTTTTTTCCAAGGCAACTAGGAATAATAATAATAATAAAAAAAGGGGTAATTAATTGTATTTACAATTTACAATATCTTCCATTGTGTGTATATGCGATAATTGTTTAAAGAATTATATACACAACTATTTTTTTTTATTCCGACATATAATAAGACTTTAGTTCTTATCAGTCAAGACCCCTTTTTATTTATTTTTTATTTTATTTTATTTTATTTTATTTTATTTTATTTTATTTTATTTTACTTATTTTTTTTGACTGAGCTCTTTATACCAATCAAAAGCTGGCTTAACTAGCTTGTCTGTACCCTCGGATTATATTAATATGTAGATATTTCTATTCTTTTAAGTCACGTGCATCTTCTTATCGATAATAGATAAGTTTTTTAATTTCTAACATAACTGTAAAAGAAACTTCCAATAATTGAAAAGCCATGCTTTTTTTTTTTTTTTTTTTCATCAAAATCATCAAACCTACATTGAAAAAAAAAAGTTATTAAATAAAAATTAAACTCCAAAAAAGAAATAAAAAACAGGATTGAATAAGTTGAAAAAGATTATTATTATTAGTAATAGTTGGTGACTTTGTATTGTGATTGGATAACAACAATAACAATGACAACAAAAGCTGCTTATTGCTTATTACTAGCTCACGTGACCACTTTGCAGCCTTCCTTCCCCTCCAGGCTTTATTAGATGCAGCAACAAATCTTCCTAAGGCCTCTTTCAATATAATTTTATTATTTTATAATTAATTTTTAATTTTTATTTTTGATGATAACAGCAATTAATTATGATTATAATCTTTGTATATTTTAAGCACTGCCTCGTTTTTATCGCTTAATGTTATCCTTTTGTTAATAAATATTATCATGAAAATAAAAATGAAAATGAAAATGAAAATGAAAAAAAAAAGGTTTCTTGGCAATTGTAACCACTTTAACTGTTGTTTACAAATTGTTTACAAATTGGTTTAGAAATCCATTTGCTTGTGTATGGGCTTTTTTATTTATTTAAATTTTTTTCAGTAATTATTAGAAAATTATTTAATGCATATGAAAATTTTTTTATTTTTATTTTTATATTATTGTTTAACAAACCACAATTCTAGGATTTAATGAGTTGGATTAAATGTGACTAAAATTTGAGATTGAAACAAGAAAAAAAAAAATATGATTGGAAAAAAAAAAAAGAAAGGATGATTTTTCACAATCATTTAAAAATTTAAAAGTAAAAATAAAAAGCAGCCAAATAATAACGTCCCGTTTTTTTTATTTTTTTATGTTATATGAAAAAAAAAAGAAATCATTATCATGAAATCTTTTGAATGATGACTGGGTTAAGTCTTGGTGATATGTCTAAAGGGGCACAAAAAAAAACATTCATTATCATCATCATCTACATTTCTAGAAGATGATTACTTTTTTTTTTTTTTTTTAACAATAAACCATTGTTAAATTTTATGGGCTTATTTTAATGAATGACGTAAACAACAAAAATAAAACATTTCAATTTTGCTTAATTTCATCATCCACTCCCCCCTTTTTCTTTCTTTTTTTTTTTTTTCAAGTGTATTATCAAATGAAAAAATATAAAAAAAAATTAAGATAACCTTAGATTATATTTTAATCTAAATACTAAAGCCAAAAAAAAAAGTTAAATATTTTCATCTTTCCATTTCTTGTTTTTTAAAATTAAATTTTTTTTTATCATTTTTTTTTATCATTTCTTTGTAATTATTCTTTATCACTCACTAACTTTTTACCATCATAGACTTTATACTCACTTTGTTAACTCTTTTTCTTTTAATCCTATCATTTTCAAAATATAGTCTTGCTTTTTTTTTTTTTTTTTGTGATTCAATTTAAACCAAGTCAAAACAATTGTACTTTCTACAAATTGTGCAAACAACCTCCACATAAACCCCCCATTTTTTTTTTAAAATCACATTTTAATTAAAAAAAGTAAAAATCAGAAAAATTCTTTAAAATACACTTGGCTAGCTTTTTTCCTTTTTAATCTGAGAAGTTTTTTTATCAGTGACTAAAAATTGCTTATTGATTAGTTACAATTTATTATATCTAAATCAAGTTTTTTCAGGTCTCAAGGTTTCAATCAATTATTTTTAATATATTTTTTTTTCTAATGCTTCAATTGTTGCAAAATACTTTTTAATCCCATTCACTGATATGTTTTTTTAAAACTAACTGATTACCTTGTCTTATCTTATCTTGTTAAAATTAACCTAACTTTATAAAGATAAATTCTCTTTTCAAATCTTCATTTATCTTTATTTTTTTTTTTTTTTGACTAAAGTGAATAAATTCAAACTTTTTGAAAAATTTCCAAATTCTTTGTCTCTACTAAAGGTCAACAAGCTTTGGGCAACAAAAAAATATATATATATATATACTACCAAAATCAAACTTCACTATCTATAATTATGTCGCATTATTTTCAATAGATTATTTTTTTTTTTTCATTTTACCGCTGTTCTAGTTACTCGTTATTGTTGACTATATTCTACTACACCATTCATTTACACAGTAATCAAACCCCACCTACTGGTTATGTTTGGACCAGTAGTTGATTTACTAGATTTTATTATTTTCACTTTGCAACAGCTTGTAGTCCCAGCTACTTACTAATAACTTTGCAACTAACCAAGCTTCTTTTCATCCCCCACCATCCTCTTCCACTCACCCCCCCGTTAAACTGTATCTGCAACAGGTTTATCCAAAAAAATAAAATTTATCAAAATCGTTTCATATTTTTTTTTTCTCTTCAACCCGTATTGTTGTCACCGTTACTGAACCCTTCAATTGCTTTTTCCCGTCATAGCCGAGTCCGGTGACATGCCATATAATGTTTTGCACTCTCTCTTTATATACACAAGAATCCAGTACCAAATTGTATACTGAGAATAAGATAGTTGCCATGACCAGAACTTGGTCTCAACAAACTACTATATGTAGATTACTCTATTGGATATCTTTGAAAAAAGGATTGGAGAGGACTGGATACTTTGATCTTTTTCACTGCCCTGAAACCTTTCGTTGTCAAGTTCAGGTACGAACTCTTTAATTACGTAGACACTGCTTCTGCTTCTGCTTCTGCTTCTGCTTCTGCTTCTGCTTCTGCTTCTGCTTCTGCTTCTGCTTTTCTTTCTTTTCTTTTTTTATTATTATTATTTTTGATCCCTCACCCCCCCACTTTCGTTCCTTTTTTTTTCTTCAACCCCTACTTTATAATTTGTATTAGGATTCTTATCGCTTTAACTGGTTTGTAGTTTCTGTCATCTCTTCCATCCTATAATAACAAGCTACAATTCAATTGCAATAAAGTTCATAACTTTTTTGTTCTTTTCCCTTTTAAATGTCCTTTAATAGACACTCACAAGGTAGAAAACCATTAAAAAAATTAAGAAAAAGTATCCTTATATATACATCATCAGCAAAAGTACCCTGATACAATTTCCAATTCCCAAACTACAGGAAACACTAACACTTGAGGCATTTGCTTGAAGTATATATATATAATTATCACAATTATATGAAGTTTTATTCGTATTCTCGACAACTATTAATGAACTTTTTTTTTATTATTATTTGTATGGTAAAAAAATGGTGATTGTTCATATGGTGATGTACCATTTTTAAATTTAAAGATAAATCAGAAATCACGATAATGAAAATTTCTTGTCCTCAAAATAAAGAAAAAAAAAATTACCATTTGAAATTTCTCTAATGTTAGTTAACAACTGACAAAAAAAAATACTTTTAAACTTAAACTTTATTCACAATATTTCATGATTAAAAGAATAATCACTCACTCAAATATTCTCCAATAATAATATTAATCTACAATTTACCTCTGTTTTAAATTGTTACAACTCTCTTACTCCACTTCAATTCCAAGCTTCGGCTGCTGCTTGCTGACAAGCCGTCAACAAGCCCTGTTTCCCCTGGCCTGCTAAGCTACCAGGCCCCGTTATCATCATTTTCTTTGGACCATTGGTTGTGAGAAATGAACGAAGGGTATTTGAAGAAAATTCAGACGCAATACGCCACTCGTATCCCTTGTTCATTTTCTCCCCACATGGAATCGTCCCTTCGCCGCGCTCCGTAGCCTGTTGTAGCCGCTCAACGGCCCGCGCCCATCCCACAAGTGCAAGAGTCCGTTTCCCAGATTGTATCCGCCCAACAAAGGGGTTGTTTGGATCCACAGCTCCTGAACTAAACCCTCCTTCCATTAATGCACCGCTACCAGCTCCAGCCCCTCCTATAGACCCAGATAGCCCATCGCCGCCCGAACCAGACACTTTGTCCCCAGAACTTGGACCTTCTCCAGCATCGCCGTCAGAACCTCCCACTGCTCCAGCAGCGCCACCATTCCCATTGCCGTTACCCGCAGCACTACTATTCCCATTGCCATCCTTAGTACTATCCTTAGTAGTTCCAGCAGATGCCTCGCTTATGGCTGCTTGCACATAACGCCGAGGAATATCAAACACCACATTGGTTCTTGCTGAGCCTGGAGAAACATTGATCACACAGTCTTTCAGCACATTACTCTTGATTTGAGACGCAGCCTCCGGGGCTGCTATTTTGGCCAATGCATCTGTAATTCTTGAATTTAACATCAACGGACCACTAAGTGACGAAACAAATTCATCCACAGATTGTTGAGCTTTGGTATTAAGCATCAATGTTCTGCCTGGAGGTTGGTAAACACCAAGCAATGGCGCAAGACCGCCATCGGAAGTGCCCACATACGGCGCCCGATCTGTTACTGTACTATTACTGTCATCCAAGCCATCCAAAGCTGATTCATTGCCAATGCTAAACCTTGCCTGAGCCAAATCAGTCACCTTATTATCGTCATTTCCATTTCGTGATTGTCGTTCTATTAACTGATAGTGACTGTTAAGGTTAATGTCCACAGCTGCTGCATTTAACTCCACATACTCCCCACGCGAGTCCAGTCGCGCAAGTGGCAGCTTTGAAGTAAAAACCAAACTCTTCAGAATCTCAACTACAAGTGATTCCGGGATCTGAAGTGCTGATGCAATTTTAGCAAACTTGATCCGAGTGTATGGGCGCACAAGCCGCAGTACACCAAGGGCTTGAGCTGAAAACTCAATGTCGCCCAAAAACTCGCGAATAAATGGATCCCCCATAATTTCTTCCGCATTCCCTTGGTCCCGGAACAGTTTTTGAAACTCATCAAGATCATTGCGTTGAAATGCTTCCACCAATTGCACCATCACAGCAATCTTAGGGTCGTTGCGGTATGGTCGTGTTTCTTGTGACTCAAAGGGATTGATTTTCGTCTCACTCAGCATGCAGGCAACAACATAGTACTTGAGCACGGCAATTCGTTGTAATGAACCTGCTTCATCGTAATTCTTAAAACTGTCGAAAAATGCTTCCCGTGCAAGTTCGTATCGCTTTTCCCGCATTTGCATTTTGCCCCCTGCTTCACTGATGACACCTAAAATACGAGGATGTGGCACTGCACTCTTTAGTGATTCTGTTTGTCGATAAATCTCCTTCATTTTTTTGTAGTCGCCAATCCCAGAGTACAATGTAATCATCTGGGCATATACTTCCATCAAGTAAGAAGACTTTAAATTGTTTTCATCAGCAGCAGGTCCTGTTCGTCCGGTTTTGCATCGCTCTTGAGTTTCAACAAGTACAGCAAGTGCTTTTTGAACCTGTCCCTGATCAGAATATAGCTTAGCCAACTTCAAGTTAGTCTTGATCCACATTCTCTCGTTCTTTACTGCAACCAGTTTGGAAAGAGTCGTAACATAAATTTTTTCAACAAACGATGAAGTACTACTAGACTCAAGGCCTTTTTTCAATTGTTGCCCAGAGGCACCACTGCCCTTTTTAGTAGCAGTCAGCAAGTCGAGCATGTTGGTGAAAGATTTCTCTGCATAACTACTGCTCAGTTTGTTGTCACCCAAGTAATCCAAAAGCCTGGTGTATTGTTCAAGAACTTGGTCGCGTTTGCCCTGGGCAAAAAGAATTTTGATCATTTGTTTTTTGGCCTTGAACGGCCAGTCGCCACTGCCTTCTGCATCGCTCTGGGCTACCTGCTCAAACCCCTCATAAGCAGCGTCCAAGTCCTCATCCTTAGAAGCTACTTCAAGTTAGACTAAGTTATATAAAAAACCTCTTAATCTTACCTTTAGCATTGTAATACACATTTTCCTTAAATTGTTAGTCCCGTTATCATCATCGATTAAAACTTATCACTTACTAAATCCATATCCCCTCCTTCTTCTCCTTCTCCAGACTCGTCATCGTAATCAAAGTTATACTACAATTGTTAGCCAATATCAATTGTAATATAAATTCACTTACATCTTCTTCGTCGGCCGAAATATCAAAGGCACCGTCATCATCGCTATACGACATTTTTATTGCTGCTTCTTTTCCAGTTTGTTGTGATATTCAACTAAGATAGTGGAGGCAAAACTAAAAAAATGGTAAAAGACATCCACATATCCACACATGTAAAAATGAAAAAACATCAATAAATTACATCATCAATTACATAAACTACACAATATAAATCACCACAGCGGCTCACCAGCATCATTGTAAAGAATCAAGTTGGGTGTAGACGGCCGAAACAAAAAGGACTGCGGAGTAAGCTGTCCATGAAGTCTTAGAGCAAGTATGGTATGAACAGCTCCCCAGCCTTGGTCTCCCATGCCTAAAAAGTAAGCAACCAATCCGGTCCCAATTGCCGATGACACTGATGTCCCTGAAAATTGCACAAATCCTGGGCCCCGGCTATCCAACGAGTCTACATCAACTCCTGGCGCAAATCCATCAACACATTGTCCCCAGTTTGAAAATGTTGCAACTGTTTCTGTTCGATCATCAAAGGCTCCGACTACAAGTACTCCAGGTACGCTTCCTGGCGACATGCGGCATGCCGACGTATCTTGGTTACCAGCACCTGTAACGACAGGAATGTCCATAGACAACAGCGACTGAACTGCTCGGTTAAAAATATTGTTGCGGACAGATGTAAATGACATGTTAATTACTGCTGGTCGGTTTGAAGCTTGCTTTCTCCGAATCACATAATCAATTCCAAGCAAAATGTGCGACAGCTTGCCTTTACCACTTGCCCCAATCACTTTGATATCGATCAAATTTGCCTTCTTGGCCACACCATGAGTATTCGATCCAATTACTCCAGCAATAAATGTACCTAAACAAAATTGTTAGAATTTATATTCACTTAAAGGTTTTCATTACTTGTGGTACCATGCCCGTTACGATCTCCGGCACCTTCCCCAGTAAAATCTATTCCAAACTGTGTGCGATTTTCAAAACTAGGATGTTCCTTATATATGCCCGTGTCAAAAACATAAACATCTACACCGCTTCCTGCCGAACGATCATAAAGATAATCATGTGGACCATTAATCCGCAACTTTTCATTACGCGAAACACGAGCCAAGTGTCGTGGAGAATCGGATTGCACATTGGAAATTCGCACATTGACATCTCGAGATATATCCAAAACCTGAAAAGTTAGAACAAACCAAAGTGTAACCCCCCTTTATTTTTTTTAATCCTTACCAAGTTGCTATATGCAAGTAATCGGACAAATCGGCGATCAAAATTCCCAAAAACTGCTTTAAAAGCACCAATTGAGACATTTCCTTGCATTTTATATTTCAGAGAAGGGTATACAGTCAAAAAACGGTCAACACTAAGCTCAGGAAGAAATTGAATAATGACAGAATCTTCATTAGTTGTAAATGGCGATCTAAATGGTGCCTTTGTTTTTAGTTGATTATCAGCGTTTCGTGCAGGAACTCTGGACATTTCTGAATTCTCAGCTGCTGGAGAATCGTGCACTTTCTCTAGAGGAACACCGATTGAAGGAGTATTGGGGAAAAATAAATTTGCGTCTTCTGGATTAAAATGGGGATCATAATAAGGCGACTCTGTATCTAAAAGACTGCCTTGCGGATTAGAAAGGAATTTGTTTTCAGTATCATCGATTTCAAGTGAAGATACTGGAACTATAGTCAATCCAAGTATGACTATAGTCAATTTGTAAAACATAGAGGTCATTTTAGTTGGAGTTATTGTTATTGCCAATCTTAGGAGTAATACGAATGGTAAAGAATTAAAGTAGATGAAAAGATGCAAGATTTATAAACTGCTAACAACAACTTCCATCATGTTGCCAAAAAAAAAACAACAGATAAATTAAAGGAAATACATCACTGTGTGGCCCAAGGTGCCTTAGTCACAGACTGAGACTCATTGGGATTTCGAATAGTTGTAGTATGGCTAGAAGTTCCACCACCTAAATATTGACTATTAAGGAGACGAATTGCGGCTGCCTTCTTCTCTTGTTGATCGCGTTCCTTTTCATCATTGACATCAGCTTCGGTACTTGGTAACAATTTACCAGTTACACGGTCTGCCCAAGGAAACAGGCCAGTTCCAAAACAAAAATGCTGAACGACAGGGAACTTTCCAAGAACCTCTGCTACATACATTTTAATCATGCCGCGATGAATTTTATGCCAGGTAGCAACCGAAGATACATCGTATAAAATAGGCGAGTGCTCGTAAAAAGGCCCGATCTTGACCTTATTAATGAAGGCAATGGCACTAAAGTAGAGGTTTGTATCCTTTTCACGCTCTACTACTTGAGGACGAAGAACCAGCTTGGGAGAAAATCGCGGTGTTGGGGTATCAGGCTCAGTGATGTTGACAATTTGCGCAGACCCTAAAATGTATGGCAGATGAAAATGATCATCTAACCCCCATACTCCATGACTTCCTGCAGGCTCCAGGCTGTACTTAACAATGAGTTTGCGAATAGTATTGAAATATGTTTCAAAAATAAGCAAAATATCTTCGCCACTAATTTCTGGATCCACAAGGTCAATTGCCCATAAACCACCAAAAAAGGCTAGGAAACTGAGCTCGTGACCAGTTCCAAAGTCTAATCGCTGACGAGACCCAAATCCTCCCAAAAAGTAAGGGACTAGCTCAATATAAGGGTTGTTGGAAACAGGCGATTCAGAGTTTGTACTTTTGGTGATCTCTTCTCTTGGCTGCCCAATGGTCTCAGGAAGCATAGTTTGTGCGTCTTTTTTCAACCTATCATGAAATGTTCGGAAAGCAAGATTGCCAAACCGACGCGGACCTTCCAGAGGAGGAACATCATCAATTAACTCATTAACCTTTCCCAAAACTCTGAGTAATCGCTTGGTTGATTCACTATCAGTAGTCTGTGGACGCTTTTTCAGTGTTACTTTCAGAGAAAGCACCTGAATAAGACTACGGATCCGAACATAGGCTCGAGACTTGAGAGTAAATGTATCAAGGTCTAATGTTGAATTGATGTACTTTTGGAGGTCTGAGTATCCAGCCTGCTGAATCTGCAACAAAAGCTCTTCACGGGGTGTGTCAGGAATTGGCAGCAGCTCAGGCGCAGGTTTTGGTAGATTGGCTTCTGCTTCTTTCCCAAACTTGGCAGGAACCGCAGTTACTCCTGGACCACCAAGAAATGAAGCAGAGTTTCCAGAAGGCCGTGCTCTTGAACCTAATGTTCTAGGGGGAAGGCGCGTGGCAACATGTTGTGGGGGAATAGGTGTTTGGTTTTGGCTAGTAGGTGGCTGTTGTTGACGGTCTGACATTTTCTTTTGTTGTGCAGGGGAAAAAGAAAAAAAAAAAAAAAATCGTCAGTAAAAAATTTTTTGTTTTGTTTTGTTTTTTCTCCACTACCACCATTACCATTACCACCACCATCACAACCAGCATTTTTCAAGTACTTTAAGAACAAGAATTTCTTGACTTAATCTGGCGACAGATACGACGATAGAAAACTTCAAAGATACACAAAAAACAAAATGGGTATTTGGTCGCCTGTTCCTTTTGTGAATTTTCACGATGCTATTTCGGAGGCTTTGGCGGACCCATTACTAGTAGACCTTACAACTCAATCTAAACTTCAAGAGCTTTTCGATGTTGTTTCAGACGACCTTAAGAATCTTTTTGATGTACCGCCAAAATCTTCTGCAAACAGAGAACTTTTAAGATCTGGTAAGTTATATATATATATATATATATATATATATATATATATTTAAATCTATGCTAACTGTTATACAGGTGAAATTACAATCAACAATGTCAAATATAGCGTTAATCAAGAATTTATTAATGAAGCAAGCGCACTTTCAGACGAGCTTTCAATCGACGAGCTAATTGCTTCTGAATTCCTTTTAAATGCACAAGAAGCTTCTAAACAGTCTCATACACAACCAATCCAAGCAAGTATTGCAACTTTTCATTTGCGACGACAATATATTCTCAACATAATTGCTTTTATTATTGGAAACTTTATTGATCAAGGCCCTTTAGCAACAAAGATACAGTCATTTGCAAAAAATCTGGAAAGTGGACAGACTTCATTTTTTTCTCGCGTCTTATCATCACTTAAATCTGTTGAAGCTAATTTTACTTCTCTTGATGAGAAGGAGTCGAGAGGAGCTATTCTTGGCCAACTTGAGAGTTCCGACTTTCGCAACCAACTGAAACTTGAACGAGATTTTCTTCTCATAGAACACCAAAACCTTTCTCAAATTCTTTACAGTATCATTCAAAAAGGTAGTATTAAATACACTACCGATTTTATTACTCTCATACAACACGTTCGCCAGTTAGATACATACAACTCTCTCTTAGTTCACTATATTCCAGCAATCCATGCAATTTCTTTACAGTTAGATCCTTACTTGAGTGCTTCACCACAAAATCTAGATTTACCGGCCATTGCCAACATTGCAAAAGAATTTAAAGATTCCAAAAGTTGGAGACTTGGCTACTGGAGAGGTCTTGTTCAGTTTATTTTTTATACATATGCAACCGGCTTATATCGATCCAAGTATGTTGAAAGTGATGGCTCAAATACTCCTAATTCTGCAAATGAACTTGATTTCAAAGCCGATTTACAAGACCCTATAAAGGAATCAATTGATGATGGTGCTTTAGAACTTTTAATGTTTACTGCTAGTGATATCAATCCTTCTTCTATCAACTTTGAACCTTTTTACGATTTTCGTCCTGATCTTAAATTTTGTGTCCCAGATTTTAAGTCATTAGGTCGCTTTTCAAATGGAATTTCAGATCTCATTTATTCAAACCTTGAGAAACTTACTGAAGGTGTCATTACAAACCTGGCGGACATTCTCCGTGAAATGAGACTGAATGAAGAAGATATGTACTTGGCAAATGCCCAAAGAGAAATTTATGATGGTGCTAATGAAGAAAACACATGCGGTGTGGACTTGGAAAGATTTTTCATCTTCATCTGTTGCCTTTATTACGACCGTCCTGATTCGGCGTTGCCGTTTTGGGTCGACCAAGAAAGCGATTTATATAACTTCGTTTTGTGGGCTTCCCAATGCGATATCGTCTTTATGGCTACTGCTTTTAGCGCAATGTTGGCATCTCTTGCGTCTGGTCCGGCATGCGCCTTAGCGGTTCATAAATTCCTTTCAGAGCATGCGACAAATCCTTCTTTTGCTTCCAGAACAAGGAAAATTGCAAAGCTATCATGGAGCCAAATAATTAAGGCTCTTTCTTCAAGCATAAAGAACCTCAAACCTCCGCAACCACCACCAAGCTCTCTTCTTTTGTCTAAAGCAAAAGTTATTGCTGATATCCCTGAGTTAGACAGCTCTGATGTTTGGATTCTCACCACTTATTTGCAAATTCTTTCTCAGGTTGTAAAGTATAGCACCGAAGCAAGAGACGAGCTGTTAACCAGTTACCTAAGTTCAAGCGGTGATGGAAAACAACCCACAAAGCCTGAAAACGCCAATGGACCCAACGGCACTCTTCCACCCCCAGCACCGGTTTCAGGATCAAATTCTTTGGTTATATCTTCCTCATTATCCAATGGAGCTGTTACTCAGGTTCAACAACCTCTTGCTGAACCACCCAAGGAAAAAGACAATGGCTTGGTTGTTTCAATCCTTTTTGAATTTTTATCATTCTACACACCTCTGTTTGGTCCAATTCTTTACACACTCTCGGGATTTGCACTTTCCGAATCTCAACAAGTTAAGGACAACCTTTGGACAGCTTTAGATCAATGGCTATTTAATACTACTATTGCTTTCCCCCAAAATGAGTATTTAGGTGCCGATGTTGCTTCTAAAGAGCGTTTATTTAGATTAATGAGCTCATTTCCTACTGTATATGGGTTCGTTTCATTTTTAGAGGCTCTTTTACGACCATCATCTACTCAGCAATCTGATCTATATTCTCTTCCTTTTCCTGAAAATCTTGGAGGGAAGTACCGAAGTCCAGGACTTTGGCCTTATGTTGATTTCATTATTAATGAAGTCTTTGTGACGTCCGCCACATCAACAACAATGTCTGAAAAGTCTAAGATGCAAATTCAGTTACCTACAATTAGATTTATCTTGCATTGCCTTCAGCACTTTGATCCTGAAATTCCAATTATTTCTGCTAGTGCTGGAATTGATATCAACGTCATTGTTAAAACCCAGACTTTCCAAGATTTTATCCAAATTCATCCCAGCTCAATTGCCATGAATTATCTTTTTAGCACCAAAATCTACACGCCTTTAATAGAGATAGCTTCTGTTGGAATTGATGCTGTTTCTGAGTTACCTGAAGACAGCCCCACGGTTTCGATTCTTATTGACACTTTAAGAATAATTAATGATATTCTCAACCTTCAAAATATTTTTATTGATGCTGTTAAAAAGGCCAACAGAGCTGGTGACTCTGGTCCTATTCATTTGAGCACTCATGGGTTGTCTTCTTTTGAAGATGCTATTTTATTCAATCTTTCAATAATCTCACATCTTGCATTATACACAAGCTCTCCAAATGCCACATTGGCACGACTTTCTTTATCGCTGTTGGACAGGGTTTCTCATTCGAGTCAATTTTCAACACCTTCTTATTCTACTGTGGATTCTCGAATTCGTGGCAATCGCCTATTAAGCATTTTGGAAGCCGTTGATGATTCTGTTAGAATTAAGGAGGGAATTATTGAGCAATTGACTCGTCCTCTGGATTCATATGTTAGCACAGGCTTGATTCCTGATGCAGGGCTCAGAATTAAAGAGGAAATTCTAAAGTTTTTAATTTCCAATCTTCCTTCTACTTACAAGGAAGCTTCGATTTCTCATCTTCTTTTGGGATTTAAAATTAATAGTGATGGATCTCTTTCTCCTGATTCTACAAGAGGTGGTATTTTTTCAGAAATTTCGATTCTTGAAACCATTATTCAGACTGCTTTTAACTCAAACAGAGCCATTACAGGATCTTATATTCCATATCAACCAGCCCGTATTTCTAGCTTATGTTACAAAATTATTCGTTTGCTAATCAAGAACTCTCTTTCGACTGGAATCATGATCGAGTATCTTCGTGAAAAGAGCTTCTTTTTAAGCAGCCTGAAATCTGAGCCCATTGTTGATTCAAGAGCTATATGGGACGAAATTCCATTTGAAGATGTGCCTGAATTTTATACATCCTATTCTGCTCGTGCTTTTCTTTGTTTTATTGACAAGCGAGCTTCGCTTCTGGAATGCTTATCTATCGAGCTACACGCTGCTGCACTCAGTGGATCTCTTTCTGCAGTTTCTCGGTACATGGAGGCTCTCGCTAATATGAATATTAAAAATGATGATACTTTTGAGACTTCTTCTGCAACAAAGATTTTATCATTTTTAGATGTTGTCGAGTATACGATTCCACCCAAAGAGCGCCTTAATGAGGAAATCACTAGCACATTTGGTGAACAGTTGGTTGCCCATATTCTCAGACGAGATTCAGAACTTGATGATCAGAGTGCTGTGGCTGAGCTGACCTATCTTTTGAGACTCAAGGGTCTTGAACTCATGGGTACTGGTCACATCACATCTCTTAACGACCCCAGCTTTGTTCAAGCAATCGATTCTGTGATTATCAGTTTTACTCGTAACAGACTCCTTGACAGACTGAGAAGCACACAACTTTCTTGCTTACAGGCTTGGAGCAAACTTCTCCTTGTTGTCGTTAATGATTCTGATTTGGCACCTAATGATCGCACTAATCTATTGTTAGAAGTTTTCCAATCTGTTGTCCATAAGCTAAAGCTCTATTCTACGACTGATTCTGAGTATGCTGAAAATTTGGCGTCTCTTTTGGTTTCGCTTTACAGTATATACCTTAGCGATATTAATGCTATGGAGCGCACAATTTCAAATAAAAATCCATCGCTTCTCAAGAAAAACTCCGCCGAGCGAACACACCCTCTTTTTAAGGCTGTCATCTCCTCGATTTTAACCTCCAACTCTACACCTACACTTCGCTCTGAGCTATATGTCATTGCCTACAAGTATCTTAAGAATGTTTTATCTGACGAGTCTTTGACTGCATCTTCATCTATTATTCGAAACTGTTTGCAGACGATTCGTGTTTCTGGTGATAAACTTATTGAGTTTATTTGCAATGATGCTCTTAATGGTGAAGGTACCACTCGACTCACTGCCTACATTTTACTAGAGGTTTTCAGCACACTTTCTATTCGTGCCAAGTCAACATTTTTGCTGGATACTCTTGTTAAATACAATATGCTTCTTCTCATTGTTAGATCAATTTCGCACTGCGACGAAGAAATCGTCAAAAGAGATGATCTTCAATTCTCTTATTTGTCAACGACTAATAAAAGATCTCATCTATCGGGTGTTTTTGCAGCTGCAAACCGTCATTACCAGATTATGATTTTTAAGTCCATTGTATCTCTGCTTTTGCAGTTAGCTCGGACTAGACATGGTGCTCACCAAATTACTCAGTGTGGTCTTTTTGAAATTCTTAAAACATGCAAGTTTTTGCGTATCGATCCTGACGTAGGAATCGATGTTCGATCAGCATTTAATCCTGTTTTAACAAACAAGAAGTTTGATGCTTCATTTTCAAAGGGCGAAAATCTGAGTGACCCAACAATTGCAGGTATCCGCAATTTCCGAAGTGTGCTTTTCCGTGCATTTTCTCGTTCTTACTCTGGTACCAATGATCCTAATTCGCCGTTTTATGACGACCACATTAATGCAAGCAACCATGGCTCAAGCGCTTTCAATAATACGTCTAATGGAGCTGGTCCTGTAGGAGAAGCTCCTGTGCCGTTCTTTTCTGTTTTCCAGTATGACCCGCAGGCGACGTTTTACTATTTGGTAAATCCTACATTCCAACTTATCACAGCTACACTTTTGTCATTAGGAAGTGAGAATGAACCTGTAATTGCTCGTGTGCGATCATTTTTGCAAAGCCATGAACTATTAGTTGTGGCACTACTGCGTAAAGATGTTCTTGCTCGCGGGAAGCCTGCGGATTTCCTGGAAGATGACCAGCTTTTTGACGATGATATGGATTTGCTTCCTCTAAGCAAGAAGCCTACACCGGTACATGAAGAAAAACCACAAATGGAACAACAGGATAGTTTGTCATCACTAGTAAACCACATTGTACTTTTGATATCTCTTACAAACTATGTTCCAGGAATCCAGCAAAACTAAAAGAAAGATGGATAGAAAAAAACAAAAAATAAATAATTTAGGGGATTTATAATTAAATTTAAGTGCAACTTTTGTAAAAAAAAAGATATAACGATTTATTTATTTTATACCATTTTTTGGTCCTATTTCTGATTATTTTCGATTTATTTCCCAAATTTAACGAAAGTGTCTTGCGCCGTACACTTTATTGGAGACGTCAAGATTATCCCGCGTTTGACTCTTGAGGACTTCAATTTGCTCAAGCTTTTCCTGAAGTTCATTTGTATGTGTATCAATCCATTGGAGGGAAGATAGATGTGAGTTCAAAACCTTGACAATCTGTGTCAGCGGATCGTCATCAGTCTTGGTTCCAGTTAAGTCGGTTGAAACGTCATTAATTTCATTAATGACAGTTCCCAAGTTGTTGCCCATACTTTCAAGTTTTTCATTAAGTTCCTCTGCCAAACGATACGACTTTTCACGCTCCTGATCGACAGGTTGGAGGCCATCAGGACCAGCCAGATCAGAAAGCAGTTCTTGTGCTTGGGCTTCATATGTATCTAGCAGGGCTTCAATATCGTCTTGCTGGCGGTTAATATAATCCAGACTCTGGTCAATTGTGCTTTGCTTGCGTTCAGCAGCAACGACATCAGTATACATTTGAGAAATGCGGTCACCGTTTTCGGACAAAACACGGTCCCAGGACGCAATATCAACAGCTTGCGTTTGAAACTCGGAAGTGCGCTTGCTTAAAGCCATTGTCCATTTGCTGATGATGTCTTCCAGAGATCTGCTTTGTAAGTAAACAGCAGTATCTTGTTCTGTGGGAATTTTAAGTTTAGCAGTCTTTTTGGCAGCGAGCTCTGCATCATCCTTAGCATCAGTCTTATTTTCAGTGATGGGCTTAGAAGATTCACTTAAAGGCTCAGCCTTAGCCTTAGAGTCATCTTTATTCTCAGCAGCATTAGCAGACTCAGTCTTAGCAGCACCTCCAAAGAGAGAAGTTCCTGTCTTAGATGCCTCCTCAGGCTTGGAACCAAAAAGTGAAGTAGATGTATTGGATGCGGTGTCAGTTTTCAAGCCAAAGATAGGAGTGGCAGGTTTGGATGTAGTATCAGGTTTAGAACCGAAAAGAGGAGCGGCAGGTTTAGATGTGTCATCAGGCTTAGAACCGAAAAGAGAAGTGGTAGGTTTGGATGTAGTATCAGGCTTAGAGCCAAAAATAGAAGTAGCAGGTTCAGAAGCGCCCTCTAGCTTAGAACCAAAGAGACCAGTTGATTTGGAAGCCTCTGATTGAGAACCAAACAATGGTCTACTAGGTCCAGGAGCATCGGGCTTAGAGCCAAATAAACTTGGCTTTGAATCGTTGGCTGAAGCACCGCCAAAGATAGAACTAGTAGGCTTAGGAGCATCAGTTTTAGCACCAAAAAGGGTGCCAGTGGAATTACCAAAAGATAAACCAGCAGCTGGGGTAGTGGCTGATGAAGAAGAGCCAAATAGCGAAGTTTCCTTTTTCTTATCAGCTGGAGCAGAAAAAGAAAACGCGGGTTTAGTAGCATCGGTAGAAGCAGAAGTAGCTGGTGTCGAATTTAAGGTAAATCCAGCTTTCTGACCAAATGCAGAAGAGCCAGATGACGCAGCAGAGGTATTAAAAGAAAGTGAACCCGAAGGCGCTGTAGTACTTGACATTTGCCCAAATGTAGTCTTTGATGTAGCAGTATTATCAGAAGGAGCAAACGAAAATGATGGGGTAGCAACATCTTTTTTTTCTTCAGTCTTAGAAAAACCAAGACCAGAGCTGAATCCTGGCGTAGTAGTAGTAGTAGTGGCTCCAAAAGCAGAAGCTGCTGGCTTAGTGGTAGTTGATGAATTGCCGGCGCCTATACCAAAAGCAGACTTAGAAGCATCAAAGGCTGAGGAATTAGTGGTGGATGCACCAAATAAAGTCGAGCCGGTTGTTGATCCAACCAAACCGCCAAATGCTGACGGGGCAGGGGTAGTAGAGCTGGCAGCAGGTGCAGCAGTGACCCCATCCTTATTACCGAAAAGGGTACTGCCACCCAGAGTAGAATTTGAGCTAGAGGTTAATGGCGTAGAAAAACTAAAAAGAGGCTTTTCTGTAGATGTGTCGTCTTTCTTAGCTAAGTTGAGAGAAAATCCTGAAAGCACAGATTTACCATCATTGCTACTGTTGTTGTTTAAATTAAGGGCTGGTACTGCTGAAGAATCTGCTCCATTGTTAGCAGAGTTTCCAACATTATTAACTATATCAATAAATTAGTAAAAGAAAAAAAACAATTGAAAAAAAGACGAACATACATATGTTGCTAGGTGTTGACATTGTTGTAAGATCTACTTGAATCGTAGGCTGTGAAAAAAATTTTGTTTACAAAAAAAAAAGGCTGAATATTCATAAACAGGTCAAACCAAACGGTGGCGGCGGGAGGATTTGCAATTGAAAGGTAGGGTAATAAATTGAAAAAAACAACAACAACAACAATAACAAGATCACGTTTATATCATGTGATAAAAACGTGACAAAACTTTATAATAAAATTAAATCACATGATTTGATAAATATTCGGATGGGTGGGAAATTCCCCACACACGAAAAAGTCTCGGAGCCCCTGCCCGCCCATTGGCCGTCTATTCTATGGGCGTAATTGGCCGATGCTGTGAAACAGTTCACAAAGAAAAAAAAACAAACAAGCATTGAGAAAAAATTGGACAATTCAAAATACAAAAAAAAAAAAAAAGATTTTAAATTTGAAAAATTGATTCATCACCTGAAAACAATTGATATCAGTCTATTCAACAGAGTGATTATTCGCAGCCATGTGTCAATTGGATGATGAAGACACTACAGTATGTAGTGGTGTAATAGCATTATAATTAGTACCTTGTAGTGATGCTTACAACATTACCGGAGGATGTCCTTGTGTGAGTGTAGTAGTTAGTGCCCACGTATCCAAACACTTTAAATACTTTGGCTTTTCCCTGAGTTTCTTTCCTTTCTTTCTTTCTTTCTTTCTTTCTTTCTTTCTTTCTTCTTCTTTTTTTTTTTTTTCTTTCTGTATCCTTTTTTTTTATACAACCATATCTACCCTAACACTTTTCAAAAAACCATTCAAAATGCCCCACACACTTATCCTTGTTCGTCACGGCCAGTCTGACTGGAACGAGAAGAACCTCTTCACCGGTTGGGTTGATGTTCGCCTTACCGAGCTCGGCAAGAAGGAGGCTGCCAGAGCTGGTGACCTTCTTGTCGAGTCCAAGATTGTCCCCGACATTGTCTACACCTCTCTTCTTTCCCGTGCCATTCAGACCTCCAACATTGCTCTTGACAAAGCCGATCTTCTCTACCTTCCTGTCAAGCGCAACTGGAGACTTAACGAGCGTCACTACGGTGCTCTCCAGGGCAAGAACAAGGCCGAGACCCTTGAGACTTACGGCAACGAGAAGTTCATGACCTGGAGACGTTCTTTCGACGTTCCCCCTCCTCCTATTGCTGACGATGACAAGTACTCTCAGTTCCACGATCCCAGATACAAGGACCTTGCCAAGGACGAGATCCCCAAGACCGAATCTCTTAAGATTGTCATTGACAGACTTCTTCCTTACTGGAAGTCTGATATCTCCAAGGACATTCTTGATGGCAAGACTGTCATTGTCTTTGCTCACGGTAACTCTATCAGAGCTCTTGTCAAGCACCTTGACGGTATCTCTGACACCGACATTGCTGGTCTTAACATTCCTACCGGTATTCCCCTCGTTTACGAGCTTGATGATGACCTTAAGCCCGTCAAGCCTTCTTACTACCTTGACCCTGAGGCTGCTGCTGCTGGCGCTGCTGCTGTTGCCAACCAGGGCAAGAAATAAGCGGCTCATTAAGGGTTTTTTTATGTACTGCTTTTTTCTTAAAATATATTAATGACTGCTACGATATATGATTTGGTTCAATTGTATTTTTCTTTGGTACCCCGCACCATGATGATGATGCGGAACAGACCTGCCCTCCACTCGGGCCTGACCTGACCGATGATGGAAAAAATAGTATATGGTGTTGTTTCTTTTTAAAAATAAATTTAGACTTTAACTACAAATTATCTATATATACATCAACGGTTTAAGAAGAAATATCATGAGGTGATGTGAGGGATTATAGTTAAAGAACCTTTTAAAGTACGAAATCTTACCTTGTGCTTTTAAAGAAATGATCTGAGAAACATCACACAATCTTTTATTGAGCAAATATTTTGTTAATGATTTATCAATTCCTTGGAATCACAATTAACTGAGCCAATAACATCCTAAATCTTCTTCACGAGAGAATTGTCTTTTGTCTCCAAAAACACACCATCAGTCCACACAAAACAGAAAGTACTGCCTGCCTCTAGTTTTAGTGGTGCGCGGCTGATGTAACCGCTACTCACAGATCGAGACACTAAAAAAAAAGGTATTAGGGTTGATGTTGGGTATTATCGTTGATTTTTTATTAATTATTTTTGATAATAAATGAAGGATAATTGTAAGATAATCCAATTGACTTAATACAAAATCAGGGTTCTGATCTTTTAAAGCTCATTGATACTGGAAATATCAATTGTGTTGAAAACATACTGTACTACAGTATATGTTTAGAAGAGTTCTTATGGCGCTAGTCGGAAATTTAAAAATTAAACCCTTACCCTTTAGTAGATGTTGAAAATGCAACTTCGAAAACCTCTGTTCAGCATAGGGTGAGGGTTTTCCCCAAACAATACTTAGTATTGTTTAATTGATTTTTTCTTAAATCGGGCTCCGATAGGAGGTCCGTCATTACAACGGTAAAACTTGCTTTAATTATGGGGGGTTTTTTTTTTGAAAAAATTAAAATATAAATCAATTGTATTGTAAAAAGAAGAGGTATTAGCTTAGAAAAAAAATTCATTTGTAATCTGGAATTTTAAAGCTATGGTCGCCATGGATCAAACATATTTGTCCATCTCATGTGTGATTTCGACTTGATACTTTGGATCATCGAATTTCAATGTATATAAATAATCCAAATTCCCATTTTTTTTCTATTATTTTTTTTAAAAAAAAGTAAAAATTATTTATATCAATACTATTAAATCAAAATCCTACTTTCGAATAAAAATATAAAATGTCTTTCAAGAATATTCCTAAAGAATTTGCCCCTGCCCCGCGTGGAATCACTCTTTACTCTCTGGGAACATCCAACGGTGTCAAGATCTCAATTGCTCTTTCGTTGTTAAATCTTCCTTATACTTTGCACATCATTGACATTTCCAAAAATATCCAAAAAGAACCCTGGTTTGTTGAAATTAACCCCAATGGGCGTATCCCAGCCATTTTAGATATTGACGAGAGTGGTAACGTCACTAATGTGTGGGAGTCTGCCGCAATCTTGCTTTATCTGGTAGACAAATACGATAAGAAGCACAAGATTTCCTTTCCCCGTGGATCTCCCGAGTATCTTGAATCTCTGGAATGGCTTATTTTTCAAGTGGCCGGTGTTGGTCCTATGCAGGGTCAAGCTGGCCATTTCAAATTCTATGCACCTGAGCAAATTCCATATGGAGTCAAACGTTACACCGAGGAGACTCGCAGACTGTACAGTGTACTGGAGAAGCAACTCACTGACAATGGCTCAGGGTTTCTTGTTGGAGACCATATTTCCATTGCAGATGTTGCAACTGTGGGCTGGGTTAGCGTCAGTTACAGCCTTGGAATTGATTTGGCCAAAGAGTTCCCCGCAGTTCATGACTGGGTTCAGCGCGTGATTGATACCCCTGGTGTGTATGAAGGCTTCAATGCTCATGGAACTTGGCGCGGATTTACTCAGGGTCCGTGGAAAGCCCCACAAACTCCAACATTATCGGATCAAAAGTAAAACCAAATTAGATTTTCGAGTGATACACATTTTTATTTTAAAAGCTTTTGTTCTTTATTATTAGTAGTGATGTAATAAATCAACTTTAGAGTGATAGAAGGTAACAATTATTATGGTTCATATCGATGAATCGATACTGTTTTGATTTTTGATTTTTTTAGCCCATGGAATTTGATAATAAATTGAGAAAGATAGAATTCAAATGACGACATCATGATGGAAAAAAAAAAAAAATTAAAAACAAAATAAAAAAAAATAAAAAAATAATAAGAAAAACCTTAAGTCACATTGTTTAAGTTTTATCATGGTGGCTTGTCCAGTTTAAGCCGACTTTCTGCCAGCTGGCTTGTTACGTCAGCCCTGACTCAATAAGTACCGCCTGTAGTCAATCCCGAATAAATGTCCGCGCGCAAAAAAACTCCATCACCACCACCAGTACTGTGGCCGAAATTTACTAAATAAGCGTTACACTAAGTAACTTCCAAATTCCAGATCCGCCTAAAAGACCTCTCATTTATTTATTTATTTATTTTTATTTTTATTATTTTTATTATTTTTATTATTTTATTTTTTTACTTTATTTATTTAAAAAAAAATCCACACACAGAAAAAAAAAAAAAAAAAAAAAATTCCACACCACCCAATCCTATTTACTGTACCACCCTTAAACACCAGCCTCTACTTTAAAACTTCACCATAGCATTAATATCACACACTCTACAGCTTTTAGCATCGGCATTCTCAGCTTCATCAGTCGCAGAAGCACAGCTTTTGGAGAAATCGCCACATTTACTTTAGTACCGGATTTAGACTTGCGGAATATAATATCAAAATAATAATAACAATAATCACCACTTAACAAAAGGGCGCCGCCATTTTTCTTGTTAGTTTTGTTCACAGCCACCTTGTCATTTATGTCCTGGCACTTTATGACTGTTCTTTTCACCTTCCCTACCATAACCGAATTTTAATCTCTTCTTAAAACCAAGTATCTAATTCAATACTCGGGCCATTTCATTTCTTTATTTTTGGAGAAAAAAATATATATATATACAAAAAAAAAACAGCATACTTTTCAACCTTGTTCTTTTTGAAGAATTACTAAAAAAGAATTAGAAATGCCAACCCCTCCTCCTGGCGCATACCCCCCAGGAACCCAACTTGTTGTGGGGTCACACAATGCTGTCGTTAAGAATTTTCTTTCAGTTGGTGGCTACGCTCAGGTTTATGTCGTTTATATGAATCCTCCTTTTTCCGACGGCAACCAGATTGCTTGTTTGAAGCGCGTCATGGTCCCCGATAAAGTCCAACTTAATCTTTTGCGCGCCGAAGTTTCAGCAATGGTATGTTACTTAATTCATTATTATTACTTGTGGCTCATTTTATTAACTTTTTTTTTTTTTTTTCATAGCAACGTTTGGAAGGCCATCCCAATATTGTTGAATATGTAGACTCACATGCCGCTAGATCCGCAATGGGTCTTGGCTATGAAGTTTTTGTTCTTATGGAATACTGTTCTGGTCACGGCCTTTTGGATTTTATGAATGCTCATCTCAGAGACCTTCTTTCTGAAACACAAATTCTTCAAATTGCTTGTGATATTGCTTCAGGTCTTGCTTATATGCATTACCAAGACCCTCCATTAATACACCGCGACTTGAAGATTGAAAACGTCCTTATTTCTGGGGACGGCGTTTTTAAACTTTGCGATTTTGGCTCTGCTTCGCCTGTTTTGCGCCCCCCAAGAAATGCACAGGAGTACCAGATTCTTGAAAATGATATCCAAAATAGAACAACAATGCAGTACCGTTCTCCTGAAATGGTCGACCTTACTCGTGGCTTCCCCATTGATGAAAAGTCTGACATTTGGGCATTTGGTGTTTTTGTTTATAAGCTTTGCTACTACACAACTCCATTTGAAAAAGAGGGCGACCCAGCAATTCTGAGCGCCAAATATACATTCCCTCCTAAGCCCGCATTTTCTGAACGCTTAAAACGGTTAATTCGCGTTTCGCTCAGTGAAGACCCTCGAAATCGCCCAAATATTTACCAGATTCACAAAGAAATTTGTGATATGCGCGGCACTCAAACTGATCTTCAGAATATTTACGTTAGTCCCACATCTACTCAGCGAATATCATCGGCTGAACCATCTCTGGCCAATTCAAAACCTAACTCGGGATTGACGGCAACAACACCATCCAAGTCTGCAGCACCCCAACTACTGCAACCTAACGCTCAACCTAAAGCAGCTCAACCCCCACCTCAGGCATCTCAAGCACTAAAACTCAGCTCTGTGACTCCTCCAGCGCAACAATCAAGCAAGCCAGAAACTGGTAATGCCAAGATTACTTCAGCAGCCACAGCCTATCTTGCCACTGCGCAGCAAGGCACCGCTACTCCAAAAGAGCCTGCCACCACTACACCTAAACCCTCATCCTCGAGCTCCAAGTCTCCTGTGGACCCATTTTTGATTCAAGATGACGATGATGTCGATATTGACAAGCTGAATGCAGAGGACATTGAGTCCAAGTACCCCACTATTGAGGAGCTTACAATGAACTTGGAACAACAGTCATTTGGTTCAAGTTCTCCAACAAAACCTGCGCAACCAAAGACGTATACCTCGTCTAATCTAAATCTTACACCTAGCATTTCTTATCCATATTCTAATAATGATGGTGTTTTTACCAATGCACCTACCATTGCACCAGTTTACTCGGTTACATCACCTTGGACAATCCCTCAAACTTCTAATCCTTCTCCTGGACAATCTCTTTCAACAACCCCCAGTGCTGCTACCACACTTGCTGGATCTTTTTCTACTACTCTTCAGACACCAGCTAGTAATAGTCTTTTGTACACCTCTTATGACCAAAAGTTTTCTCAACTTCAGCCAAATGTGCAGCCAGCTTCGCAAAAGATTTACAAATCGCAGACTCAGCCATCTCAAGCTCAAACATATAAGCCAAACATGGTTTCCCATAGCACTATGACTTCACCTGTCGCCAGTAGATCTCATACTCCTGCTGTTGTTTCTAATGTTCAGACCGCTATTGCTCAACAACAGCCAGTGAATCCTCATGTTATCAATCAAGACGCTGCTGTTGGAACCTCTAGATCTTCCACTCCTTCTTCATCATCAGACGATGATCCTTTGGCTGATGATGGTTATTATGCATCCACAACACTCAAGTATAAGTCTCAAACACCAGTAAGTGAAACTCCATATACGCAGCAATTATCTAAACCCAAGTCTGTTGGAAATAACTTGGGAGTTCCTTCTGGCCGTTCTTCTGAGGAACGACCTAGCACAAGACCTGTTTCTATGTACATTTCAGGATCTGACTCTATTAATGACTCAAACGACTTTACTTCAAAACAAGTGAACCTTCAGCCTAAGGTTAGCCATCCAACCACTATTTCTCAGCCTAAACCTCAATCAGCTCTTTTGCAGCCTGAGGTGGTCCTTATTGAGCCTATTGATACAGAAGAAAAGGATCGTCTTAAATCTTTGCTTACCGGTCTTTCGGAGAAGTCAAGTACTATGATATTGGACAGTAATGAAAGCTATATTGATAATGGTGTTGATTTTCTCAAATCTCTTAACAGAGAATCAACAGGCCGTTCACGCCACAGCAGATCTCCTAGCGCGTCATCTATTCATGAAGAATCTCTCCAGCCTCCTCCCTCAAACAGAAAGTCTTCTTTCCACAATAAGAAGAGTAGTGTTTCATTGAAACATGCTGTTTCTTCCAAAATCGGAGATGCTTTTAAAAAGTTTGATGGGAGTAACAAACGCTTGGAAACCAAATCTGCCCCCTTGTCAAATCTTAAAAAGAATAAGTTTTCTTATTCTACTGAAAGTTTGGGTACTTATGATGATTACAATCAAGATGAGGATTTTTCAAATTATAGAAACTCGGGAATGACCCGTCACACTTCTGTTCGTGTTCCAAGTAGCACACAGCGAGGTGGGGGTTATGGTGGAAATGGCTCAGTTCACAATAGAATTCAAGCACTCATGAATCCTCGCAACGAACCTCCCCCAAAGACAGCTACAGGGTATGGTAAATACACTGATCGTAATTGGGAAGAGAACATCATGAATGATGAAGAAAACACTGCTTCAACTATTCAACCTATTCGCTCTTATACCTCTATTCCTAACCAGTATCAAAGAGGCCGCACTTCTCTTGATATTCCTCGAAGCGACCAGCGCCGATCTGTTGATTTTTCTTACAACAGAACCACACCAAAGGACGAGAAAAAATCTAAGATTATGATAACAAGCCCATCGTCTGTTTCTTCTATTTCATCTAGTCCTGCTCCTGGTCGTCACCATATTCCTCATCCACATCTTCCTCATCACCGTTTTTCTAGAAACAAGAGCTCCAAGAATAACTACAATGACGATTTCATTAGATACCGGGATGAAGTTAGTGATAGCAGCGGCGATGAGGATGAACAAGGGAACTATATTCCTTCAAACAGAATTGACTTGCGCGATCAAACTTTAAAAGCTCCACCGGAGTTTCACGCCCACAAGCGCCAGTTATCTACTATCTCATCTGCCTCGTCTTCTACTGAAGGATCAAGTTATTTGGGGCTCCCCAAGAGACCTCCTAATAAACCCATTAAGCCAGCTCACTTAAAGTCTCCAAGAAGGGCTGACAGTGATATTAGTGATACTGGTTCTACAGTTTCTCCCGCTTATAACAAGAGTTCTTCGGCTTCGACACCTGCTTTGGGATCTTCTAACCCTGCTATTAATAAGTTGCGATCTGACATGGAAAAGGCAGGCGCTACAACAACTAGTCGCTTTAATACCGATTCCACGTCTCGCTCTAACAACTCCAATTTGATTGATATCACGCCGGGTCAGTCTCCCATTTCATCTACCAATGAAGACTGGAAAGATGTGTTTAACCACAAGTATCCTAACCTAGTTTAAAAACTCATAAACATATTACTTTTTTTCTCTTTCTCTCTCATATTATCACTTTAAGTAAATACTGTTTAAATAAAAAAAAATTCATTAAAACTTTTAAAAAAAACCGTTGAAATTATAATTTAAAAAGAGCTAATTAGCTCTTATAAGTACAGAATGCGCATTAAACCTCAATTAAAACAGTTCAGCTATTTTAAATAACAAGTCTTAGAAAAATTGAACAAAATCTTTTAAATAAAAATACAATGAAGCTAAATAAATTATAAAGGAGAGTTATTTTTGTTGAGGTGTTCAAAGCAACAATGGTTTGTCTGATAACTCTTAAGAGTAGAAAAGCAATCCAGTTATTGAATCGAAACCATTAATAAAATTAAAACTCGGTACCTGGCGTATTATGAAAAAAATGGGTGGGAAAACAAAAACCATATCATATTTACAGTCGTAAAAAAGTTGTGAAATTCAAAGAAAAAAAAGGGGGATGGACCAATATCGACAGTAAACAATAATGAAAACGATTGTATATAACCAACAAAGACTCCCCAATGCAATATAGAAACATGAAAGATTCATGAATCAAAAAGTAAAGGGGAAGATTTGTTAATCCATAACTAAATTATTTCCATAAAAGAAATAATACGCTCGATGGAAAAAGTTGGTGACATGTTGTGGAAGGTAGACAAAGATTGCCAATGCAAAATATACCAAAAAAGCAAATAAAAATGTGCCTAATGGGTTTTTTTATGTTAAAATACTACTCCTCAAAAACGAAATAAAAAATCAGTAGATTTAGAAACTTGTTGATACTTACCGACAAAGAAATTTTCAACAGGAGTCAGCATGAAACCAGGAATCATCTCAAGGAAAAAAACGCTGTAGATCGAACGCAAAGGTTTGTTCTCAATGAGCAACGGTTCACGCATAGACATTTTGAAGTATATTTATATATGTAAAAATGATAATTAGTCAAATAGGTTGTTTTCAGTTTGTTAATATTTGATAAGTCTACTTGTGTATATGAGGTTGTTCACAGGGGAAAATCTGGCGATATCTGGAATCTTACTTAGCTTTTGGAGGTTTTACTTTTGATGATGGTGATAACAACAACAATTTACCCTGCCTAATAACTAGTCACGTGCATTGACCTTTTAAATTGTGTGTAAAAACACCCTCATAAAATTTTTTTTTCACTACCACCCACATTGGTCCCCATTGGCTCTTTTTGATTCACTTCAAATCACTTTCATCAAATATCACTAGCCATGTTTGCTCTACGATTAGTTTCTGAGTCGGTTTCTCGACGCTCCACAACTTCTTTTCAAAAAGCTGCCTTTTCGACTTCTGTCAGTCGATTCCAAGATTTTCCCAAGAGCTCTAAATCTTTATTATTTTCTAGCATTTTAGAGAGTAAAAACTCTAGTAGCTCTAGTAGCTCTGTTGTTTTCACGACCCCTCCTCGCGCTACCGATGCGACTGCTGCTCTTGATGCCCCCTTGAGTTACACTGTTATTCCACGCACTGGTGTGTATGCGGGCCGCACTGTTGAAGTGTTGAGTGAGAGTGATCTTTCTAGAGCTCTTCGCCGTCTCAACACAATGAACAGTATCAACCGGGTGCGCCAAACTTCTATGGAGCAGACCAAGTACGTACGACCTGGTAAGGTTAAGCAACGCATTTTGATTGAGCGTAAGAAGAGAAAGTACAACCAGAACGTGAAGCGCATGTTTGAGCTGGTTGCTGAGGCGCGCCGCAAGGGTTATTAAAGAAATTAAGATCCCTTTTTTTCTGACATGACTAGTGAAAGAAAAAACTGCCAAAAATGCATAACGACATTATTTTCTTTTCTCTTGATTCCTTTTTTTTTTTGTTTAAACCATCTTGTATATATGTATTTGCCTAAAAAGCAATTGTTTTATTTTACTTTTAATGGAGCTTTGTAAATTAAATATTAGCTTTGAAAACAACTTCAAACATTTTTAACCCAAATAACAGGTAATTAAATTTAAATTCTTTTTAAATTCCTTTTAGATTTACAACGCGTTTTTTTTTTGTGAATATTTTTCCGTCTATGATAACTTTTTTTTTTTCAACAATTTGAATTTTGATTAAAAACTAAAAAAAATTTATAAAAAACTAACTATAATGCATATTTTATTTATTCAACGGAAAGTGTTGCTTCGAGATTACATCTATCAACAAGAGAGTGTTGATCAATAACCTCCTTGTGAAGTCTTTTGAAAAATCTGCAAGACAAATCAATCTCCTTAGCAGTCTTAGTGTATTCCTCCTTTTTGCGAGCTTGTTCTTCAACCTTGCTCTGGAATCCACTGCGCACATCCTGAGCAGGATACTTAAGCACTTTTCTGCATTCCTTCGAAATACGTTGAGCATTCGTATCAACGTAGTTCATTTCCTCAATCTCGGCACGAAGCTTGCGCGAAACGTTGCGTGGCACAGCATATGGAATATCACTGACAATGTATGCAATTCCAGCAAGAGCACCAACAATCAAAGCAGGCACAGCCAGCTTCTTGACAACGTTGATGTCCACCAGCTGTGTCAAAGAAAGAACGCTGCGCGCAACATCGGTGCTGCGAATCAACTGGCCTGTAGTAACAACGGACGCCAAAGTAAGTGCACCTGTGATTGTGGAAGAGGAAGATTCTTCTTTGCGTTCAGAGGAAACTTCAATCGACTTCTTAGAAGAGCTAATAAATGGAATTTGAAGGTCAAACAAGTCACTCAATGAGAGCTCAGTGTAAATTGTGCGTGACATAGTGTCATGTCGTCGGCTAAACATAGCCTCGTCATTGAACACCTTTTTGAATGCTGGCTGATCGCCCAGATGCATAATACCAATGGCCTTGAGAGAGTTAACACCGAGGGTAGTTTCTTTGCGAGCATAGGATTCGCATGTCTCAACCTCGCCAAGAATGCGGTCAATCATTGTTTCACGGGTATCAATAGCATAGTTAAATGCTGAAAAAAGAGAAGTATAAGGAATAACTGGCGATTCACCAACTTCATTTAAAACCTTGGTTAAATGATTCTTAGTAAAATCATGAACCTTTTCACAAATTTCCTCAATCTGGGTATCCATATCCTCGGATACCTTAACGTTTTGGCGCATAGATTTTTCAAACTCCGGAGTAAGTAAGTTCAAGTCATGCATAACTCTGTCTTGTTCTGCTTCAGATACTTGGATATTAACATAAGAAAGCATTTCCAAGTCTTTTAATATGTTTTTAAGATACGTCTTTGCAGGCATAAGCTTAGACAGGGAACGCTTCTCTAAAACAAAGTTGCGCAAAGAGGCTTCCAGTCTGTCGAAATCAGGGTGATCTGGTTCATTATTATCATCATCACCAGGGCCATCATCACCACCACCACCACCATTGTTACCAGGCATCTCGTCAAGAATTTGACTAGAGCTGACAAAGTGAATGAAGTCACGAGCATCCTTATGAGTTTCCGGTGAAAGTTTAGCAACTTGATCCAAAATCAAGCGTTTGCAACGATTCTTGTCACGAATGTTGTCAAATCGATTGACAACAATAAATACAAGTGATTTTTCATGGGCTGCACTCCAAATGAATTCCTTGGCAGAAAGAGTAAAATGGTTTTCTGCACTAACGACAAACACAACCAAGTCAATTTCCTCTTGACGAGAAAAAACCTGGGTAGTTTGGTAGGAGTCCATATTCAAGCCGGGAGCATCAATGAGACAAATGTCCACAACGCCATTTCTAAGCAAGCTTTGATCAATAGGTCGGCGGTCATTGACGTAAACCTTAAGAATGGAATACTTTTCGTATTCAGTTACTAAAGATTCAAGATCTTGGAGAGAAAAAATGGTAAAAGTAGTGTCATCACTTCGGTTATAAGTAACACCAATGGGAACGGCATGAACTTCTTCAACACCATGATTTTCACGAGCGTCAATGACTTCGCAAAAAACACTGGTGCAAGGCTGCTGGTCTTCAGGCAAAAGCTTTCGTCGGAGGAGAGCGTTGCAAAATGTGGATTTTCCGGCATTCAAATCGCCAGTAATAAGAACTTTAGAGGTGGTATCATCAATTCTCTCACGCAGCGACAAAAGATGTCGAATAGTTTGCATAATTTTTTCATCTAGAAGAGAAGCGACAGAAGTCTTTTCAAGTTGGTGAATTAGTTCCGAAGAAGACAAACTTCCAACCTTCAGATCAAGCTTAAAGACATTGAAATCATTTACAGCCTGTGCAGACACTAATCGAGGCTCAAGGATTGGTTTGGGTATTGGGGGTTGCTGTTTTGATTGTGATGGTTCAAAAGAGCTAGAGGAACGTCTTTTAAGATCATAGTTTAAATCGTCTTCATCATCTATGGAGGGGAAATGATTCATTGTGGCGCGTCTTAAAGACTTTCGAGCATCGTCTTGCGGTGTCGCGCTTGCGGGATAATATACGGGCCATTTTCTATTCATTGATTGCAGTTCCTTAAGCATAGAAAGAACAGCAGAAATAGATCTGCCCAATGCCACTCTATTATCGTTATATTGAAGCTGGTTAACCTGGGATAAAACATGACGCCGAGTAACAGCTATCAGGAAATTAGTTTATGTGACAAATTAAATTCATAAATACATACCGGAAGGTGATCTGTGATGGGCAATATTAGAAGAGCCTCGCAAGTATGTAGCTTGGTCAGGATTATTGTCGTTCAAAAGAGACGCACGGTCCCGGGCTTCACTGCCGTCGGGATCAGAAAATGTTGAGCCGCCGACCGAGCCGCCGTAGCCTGAATCAGCATAATCTCGCTGTCTGCGAGGCGGGGCGTCTTCATTGTCTTTAGACTTGTCATTATTCTGAAATCCATGAAAACTCATGTTTGCCTGCCTTCGAAAATATCTTGAATAGCTGGGGGTTAAGCGTGTTTTGTAGTTTGCTATGTTTTAGGAACTGACTTTGGCCTTACGAATGGTCGGGAATAGAGTATTAAAAAAAAATAAAATAAAATAAAAAAAAGTCATTTGACGGAACCAAACCACGTGATTAGAATTAGCGTACTTCTTGGTCTTAAGTATATTGTAGCCCATATTTATGAGCCAACCAGAAAACCCAACCACCATTTGCATGAATCACCAAAAATTTTTAGGTAGTTTTTTTTTCTTCACTGCATCCATAGATACATCACAAAGACTAAACACAAGGGCGGTTTTTGAAAGTCCCATACTAATCAACTATCAGAATCAACAAAAATGCTTTCTAAAAATATGATTTTCAGATCCGCCCTGAATCTGGGCACTAAATCTTTTACCGCCAGGCCAGTCTACCGATCATTCGCTACCTCTTCATACCTTTTAAATCAAACAAAACAACCACAGCAACAACAACAGCTTCCTCAATCTACTCCCAGTGAAATCGCCGCTCCTCATGAGCTTCCTTCTTATCTTCCCCGCCCTAAAAATGCTTTCAACTACTTACAAGTCTCTGAGGAAGAACTGTTACCTCTGAAGATTGGAGGTGCTCTTTACGCTACAGTCCACATTCACGATAGAAAATTTCTTGTCACAGAGGGTGATGAGATCGTTTTGCCCGTCAGATTGCGTGATGCAAATGTTGGCGATGAGCTTATTTTCAACCATGTTTCAACCATTGGTACACGTGAGCACACTCTTACTGGTGATCCAGCTATTGAACCCTCTATTTTCAGCATCAAGGGCGTTGTGACTGAAAAGACTAGAGAACCCAAGAGAACCCATGAAAGAACACAGCGCCGAGTAAGACGTGTCCGAACAGTTGTCACTAAGAATTGCATTACAGTTATAAGAGTTAGCGAGCTCAAGTTGAATTAGGCTTAAAAAAGAGGGAAGAAAAAAAGGTAGAAAGCCTAAATTTTGTTATTTCCCTTGACAGTAAGGTTTACAAACAGTGATCAAATTATAAAATCAAACAAATTGCTGTTATAAAGTTTTTTTTTCCTTTTTTTTTTTTTTACATTTAACTATTAAAATCATTTCGTTCCTGTAAATACTAATGTAAATATATATATATTTTTTTAAATGAGTACGTAACTTCCATTGAAAAGGGGTTTTGCATTTTGACCAGTTTAGGAGACATTAATCTGCAAGTGTAAAAGCCAACCAATTTTGATATTTTTATTTTCTTTAACTAAAAATATTCATGTTTACTTTTAAAGTTATCACATTTCAATCACTTTTACTTCCCTCAGCTTTTATTTCCATATAAGTTACCTTTTTGTACATCATTTCTTTTATTCATATTTTTAAATGGCTTGAGCCATGTCTTCTTCTCTTCCTATTACCAACTCTGCTCCTAAGAATACACCACAAGATGAGAAACAGAAATCTTTAAAAAAAAAGTCTTCAGCTGTCAATCTTGTCGAAAACGTTCCTACATTTATTATTGATAGTTCTGTTCCTATTCTATCAGGCTCAGTTGAAGACATTCAAGGACTGGATACTACAGGATCAAATCCTTATCCAGCAATGGCCAGACCACGCAAAAGCCTTTCAGCATTAGACGCTGAGACTGCTGATACCGATCGTGCATCGACAAAACGTTCCGTTTCCGAAGGAAGTGTTTTACAATCGATGTCTACACCCCTTTTGAGCATCACCCCAATTGTCCCCAGTTCTAAAAGTCCCGATTCTGATTTGCAAAAGAGAAGTAGTTCTTTAAATCCTGACAAAACTGTTTTTTTGCAAAACCACCAGTCTTCCATAACTTCCAACATGGAATCTAAAAGCGAAAAAGAGCCTAGCACATCATCATTAACATCAAAAAAGGCGCCATCCTCTTCCACACTTTCTCCAACTATTGAAGCTTCTGATAATTCTTCTTCGCCGACCTCTGTTTGGAAGGAGACAGCTTCTCAAGATCTCACTCCTAAAAAGCCATCTATTTTAACCAATAACTCTTTCTCGACATCGCACCGTAATGTACAAGTGATTGAATCACCAAACACAAGCATTTCACCTAAGAATGATTTTCAAAATAATTCTAGTCAGGAAAACTCGGTCAGCAGCAAAGGAAGTACACCAGAAAAGGAGCACCTTGATAAAAGGCATTCTGTATCAAGTCTTCCGGGATCACCGTCAAACAAGCCATCTAGACCTTCAACGTCAGGCTCTCTTGAAACACTATCAAATCCGGGGCATCCGAGTCAGTACGATTCATTTAACGACTCTCCACAACCAGAAGCTAGCAGCACTCCAAATATTGCACATCAATCTTTCTCACCTCTATCACCTTCTACCAACATTTCTTCAAGAAGCAGAAATGCATCAGGTCAGCATGTCAACTATCCCAATCCTATGCAAGGAATCAACTTTCGTACAAATGATCCAAATGAATGGACTTTAGAGCGAGTTTTAACTTGGCTAGAACACAACAAATTTGGCCGAGACTGGATTGAAACTTTTCGTTCTAGAAACATTCATGGAGCTGAATTTCTCTCTTTGGTGAGCTACCAGAAGCTTAAAGATCTTGGTCACTTGTCTTCTTCCAATGATATTTACAGCACTACACCGTCTCGATTTATCCATATTCTCAGAAAAGTATTCGATCGTTCGTCTAGTACCTCAAACAGTACCATGGACCCTCAACCATTTCAATCAGACATTGACGAAGAAGATCCCATTTCCACTTATAACACAAATAACAGCATAGAACTTTTTTACAACTCAGAGGCCATGTCCTCTGCAGCAGTCGGAACAACACCAGTAGTAGATTCATTAAGATTGGAAACAGATGCTGTACTAAGCATTCCCGCTTCGGCAAATGGAAATTACCAAGAATATTCGTTTAACTCAACACAGACAATGCGTCTCCCTATTAATAACTCGTTAAGTGATAATATATCAGAAATTGATCCGCAACAAGTCAGAATTCGCAATAATAATAGCAATCAACTTCGACCAATCTCAACCTTAGATATATCAACTTTTAAACAGGTAAGTACCTATATTTATTCCGGCTGGAATGGAGAAAAAATAAAAGAAAGATATCAAATTTTTTTGCCGGAAATTATTTTTTAGTGAAATCTAATGGGCTTTTTTTAGACATCTCCTTCATCTCCCACTGCATTCTCCAACATCTTTTCACGAAAACATACAAAGTCAAACTCATCAGAATCTTTCACTGGAAATCCTATTCAGCCAACCCTGTCAGCTAATCTTTTGATTTCACAAGAAGAAAAGGCGGATAAGAAAACTGGTCTTCTTAATAAATTCCGCAGACGTGACAAAGATGGAAATCGTGATCGCCTTAGAGCATCAAAAAGCGCCACAAATCTTTTCGAAGTTCAAAACTCTCAAATTAATTCAATTCCTCCAATGTTTGCAAGTAGTCAATTATCTGACTCTGTAGGTATATTTCCTTACGGAAATCTCGATGTTCAATATGAACCTGTAAAGCCAAAAGAACATCAAAAGATTATTTTGGTAACCACAACCAACGAACATTTTACAACAATAAATATATCAGATGTCACGAATCTAGAAGAATTAAAAACGCTTATTGCCGATAAACTGAACCTTGATGGTTGGTCTCATTTTACTTTTCATTTGACTGAATTTGGTTGTTCTGAAGGTCTTGCCCTAGATGATGTTACATTTAATAATTTGGTTTTCAATCCTTCTAAGCTTGGCTATAATCCCCACTCAGTTTTGAAGATTTTTATTGGAAATGTCATTCCGTTTGGCTCAATATCACCAGGACAATTGTCTATGGAATATGAGTTTTCAACAAACACTTCAAATTATCCGGCCACACCGTCCTATCTTATTCATGCTCACCCGGATGCTGCAAATAACGAAGCCGTTACTCAGCTACAATCAGATGCTGAGCCACCAGATTACTTTTCTCATAAGCCCCTTGAACAAGCAGCTGCTGTATCTCCACAGGCACCTCTTTTAACACAACAACAGCAGATTTCCTTTCAAGAGTATATTCGCAACATTAACCATCATACAAATAAAAATAAAATGGGCCCAGCATCCACTCGTGGAACCTCTAAGGCTAACTTAACCAACTTTGGTGGTCCAGCAAGTTACAACTACAATCAACAGTACAATCATTTTAATAGTAATTTTCTTCATCCATTTGAAGATACGTTGTCGTTTCGCGATCCTAGTCGACTCAGTGTTGCTAGCATTGATTATAGCGGTCGTCGCTCTTCAGAAGATTCCTTCAAAGTTATTCGTCCTGAACGCCGAGAGATAAATTTTGACGATCGTCGCTCTTCTCCTTACGAAAGACGACCTTCAATTAACCCACAAGCTATGTCCTCTAGACCATCAATTACCAACGATCGTTCAATATCAATTCCGTCAATATCCTCTTCATCTTCGTCTTCTACAAGCACACTACCCTTAACCTTCCCAAGCGCTAACAATCCACATGTCAGTAATTCGGCTAACGCCTCACCAGCAATCGGATATGATGAAACTTTAAAATCTGAAAAAGCAGATGACTTTGATCTGACGCTAAGCAATGATGCCACAGGTAAAATTGCGGATAAGATTGAAGAGCAAGAAAAATCAGAAGATAATAATGAATCTTTATCTAAACCAAAAATAAAAATTAATAGGCATGCATCGATTAGAACAAGCAGAATTTACAGAAGTGCTGGGTCTGAAGATTCCAGAAACTCCATTTTGGATTCAAAGAGTGTTGCTGAAAGTGATGCATCTTTTGCTCCCAAAACAACTGAGGGAAGACTTTCTAGGCAATCTTCTAAATTGGATCGCAAAAGTTCAGTCAAACTGGTTCCCAAACGAGCTGCACCTCCACCTCCTAGCTCTAGTCCGGCATCTTCATTGCCATCACCACTTTTAAAATCAAACAAGACACAATTACATCGAACAACAAGTGTAATTACAAGAGGCTCAGGGACTCGGAGTAGTTCTCGTGCACGTTCAAATATTACTGATTCTACTGGAAATTTTGGCTATAGCATTTCCGAATTGCCTGAGGAAACAGCCCATGAAGTACGCAGAGTTAGTGATAGTGCAGTTCAGATTAGTGATTCTACGGGAAGGAAAGTTAGCATTGGCTCACGTCCTCCATTTGTCCCATATCTGACTAATAATGCACCAACGAAACTTGATATCAAAGAAAGTGATCTTCTAGAAGAAAAGACTGTGCCTGATAATGCACTGTATGGTCTCAAAGAAGAAGGTAAACAGACTTATACACCAGCTTTAGGAAGACAGCCATCTTCAAGAGTAAGCAGTTTAACACATTCATTATCTCGCCGCTCTCATCGGTCTGTTGAAGATAATGAAGCAAATTTTCATGAAAATGAAGTTTCCTTTGCTGATGCTCCTGCTTTTGAAGAAAGTGATGATTCTGGTAGCTCGAGTGATGAAGGACTTTGGGCAAAGAAGCCACCCAAGCTCACTGAAGAAAAAGATGATAATAATGATAACACAGAAATTGAGGAAAAGCAAGAAGCTTCAAATGCGCAAACATTCAAAACATCAGTTCCGATGCCTCCAACACAGTTGCGGAGACTGTCTCAAACACTCTCTACAATTACATCGCCACCGCCGTTACTGTATGGATCACCTCCCCCACCTTTACCAACTTCTTCACCTTTGAAGCTGACTATGGATACCACATATTCCCATCCACTCCCAGTCCAAACTAACCCACCGGCGGAATCAAAGCAAAATATTCATCCCAGATCATCTTCTTTTAATCTTTCTCATAACCAAGCACCTTTACAGGGCTCTCAGTTTCAAAAACTTGATGATAATTCTGCTCAACCTACATTCCAACCTATTCTTCTTGATTCATCTTCTTCATCAGAGGGCCGTCCGACGCTTCATCTAGATGTTTCAGAAGCTGGAGCCAATGCTCCAGGAAATAACAATGGAAAACTTAAATCAGCAACGCCTATGACTCCAATTTCATATTCAGACATCAATATGAATGGATGGGCTGTGCGTCCTCCTGCCGAAGTAGTTTACGAAAATCTGGAAAGATTTTTCCCCAATGCTGATTTGGATCGACCTATTATTTTAGATCCACAAGGAATGTCACCACCTGCATCTCCAAATGTTGATGCTCCAGTTAAAAGTCACTATTTGCCTCCGCTTTCTCCAGTTGTAGAACCAAATGTATCACAAGAAGGATCTGCTACTCTAACGAGCAGCAGCAATTTAAATATTGTCAGTAATAGCAGTGATGATCAACAAGACACACTTTCATCTTCGAATGATACCAATACATTGACAGTCCCTATTCGTCATAACTTTTCCGGCGCTCGAAATTTACAAAGTTCTTTGGCAGCATCTGCAGTAGCACCTGCGTCTATAGAACAAAAGCCCCGTCGTCCCAGTGGAAGTTCAACCTTGATTGCACCGTCAATAGGTAATATTAGTACAATTACATGCAGCAATGTTATTCCTAGTTCAGTATCTAGTCAACCAGTAGCAAGCTCTACTAGTGACGATAATATTCCCAAAGATGAAGTTAAAGTTGCACCTAAAAACGATACCAAAAGTAAATCGAACGAGGTTGATTTTGTAAAGTACGTTAAAAAGACAGACCCGGCTATCGGTATAGGAATTGGAGGCAAAAACAAATTGACGATGCGTACAAAATCGCTACGCATAGTTGTACAAGAAGCCACAGAACGCCGCAAGCGGTTTCAGTCATTGGCAAATCTTAATACCAAGGGTGCAATTAATGTTAATGGACCCGGTGGGCCTGGTGATGTTATTTTAGGAGGAAGTCCAGCCGCTTTACTTCGCCGTAAGAGTACCAAAGTTTGGGGCCAAAAGGTTGTGGAGGTCAAACCAGATGAATTCCGCACTGGAAGTCAGCAGCTTAGTCGACTGAGAGATAACCGTGGCAAAGTTAAACAATTTGTTTGGGTTAAAGGTGAATTGATTGGAAAGGGCACATTTGGTAAGGTTTATTTGGCACTGAACGCGACTGCCGGTGAAATGATTGCTGTAAAGCAAGTAGAAGTTCCTCAAACTCTGAGTGACAAAAACTCCTTGCATCAAAAGGAAATTATTGATGCTTTTCATGCTGAAGTGGAAACAATGAAAGATTTAGATCATTTCAATATTGTGCAGTATCTTGGGTTTGAGGCCTTACCAGATGTTTACAATTTGTTCTTGGAATACGTTCCAGGTGGAACGGTTGGAATGGCATTACGGAAACATGGCCGGTTTGAAATCAGCGTTTCCCAGTATTTCACGCGACAAGTTCTTGACGGTCTTTCATATCTTCATTCCTGTGGTATTTTACATCGAGATTTAAAATCAGATAATATTTTGATTGATTTAGATGGAGTTTGCAAAATTTCAGACTTTGGAATTTCTAAAAAAAGTCGCGATATTTACGCTAATGATGCAGCAATGTCGATGCAGGGAACAATCTTCTGGATGGCACCTGAGGTTATTCATAATGTAATCGATAACGAAAAGCAAGGTTACAGTGCCAAAGTTGATATCTGGTCACTTGGCTGTGTAGTTCTTGAAATGTTTGCAGGGCGACGTCCATGGTCTACTGATGAAGCTATTGCAGCCATGTACAAAGTAAGTTTTTGTGTGTTATCATTTTTTTCTATTTTTTTAGCTAACATTTTATAGCTTGGAAATGCTCGTTTGGCTCCCCCGATTCCTGAGGATACTAAAGATTTTGTTACTAGTGTTGGCAAAAACTTTCTTGATTTGTGTTTCAAAATGTAAGTTTTGATGAATTATTGATTACTTTAGAGTATTTACTAACTATTTCTTACAGAGATCCTGAACTGCGACCGACTGCAAAAGAGCTTTTGGAACATGAATTTTGTGTCGTTGATCCTAGTTTTAGATTTGCAGATACCCAATTGGCAAAAATGATTCGAGTAGACGATAAGGAAAAAAAGATGAAGAAGCAAAAGCAGCAGCAAGAGCAAAGCAAAAAGCAAGAAGAGCAGTTGCAAAAGAAGTAAAAAATAATTACAATTAATTTGATTAATTTAGTGTATATAGATGTAATCAGTTTTTTTTTTTTAATAACAGCTCATCGCGATATTGTAATATTGAAGCATTACTTATTTCCATGATTTCAATTTTAAACATTAAACATTAAACATTAAACAGAAAAAGTAATTAAAATTATCAAGCTATATAGAATTATATAAACAATTACGACGTTTGTAGAAAATATTAAATCATTAACACTATTGATTTAATTATCAAAATATAAAAAAATCGCCTTTTATAATTGTTTTTTTTTCACTCAATTTAGTAAATTGAACTTCACAAACATATTCAAAAAAAAAAAAAAAAAAAAACTACATTAAAATTTAAATAAACCCACTTACTTCCATTAAATAGCATCTTTAAGTTCTTGACATTCCAAATCGGCTCCCCCAAGACACATTTGATCTTGGTTGTTCATAAACAGTATCATTATACACAATCCCACAATGGTTGACGTTTTTGACACTGTCGTAATATGCTCCACAGCTCACTTCTCGTAAATCATAATTTTTAGTAAACACAGTAAAAGGGTTAACGTAACAATACCCATCCAGTACCACCTCTTTAACAACATCCACAATATTAGGCTCGCCAATTGTTTTGTAAACAAGTATAACTTTGAGTAATATCGTTACTCCTAATAAGCACAAAAGCACAATTACCTGAACTTTAACATTATAATAAGTAACAGCAGTTGTTGTCACATATTGGTATTTCACAAAATTGTTCAACCCAGAAACATCTAGTAAGTCGTCATCACTATCTTTAGTGTCAGTATACACACTTAACAAATTAACACCAACTCCAGAAGCAATATATCCAGGGCTGTCAGATGTGTATATTGGCTTACGCTGCACCAGCTGTGGGGAAACAGTATCACAATATACTTGTCTAGTCTGGTTGAGCGTTATAATATCAATCATTACACTTTGACTGGACCCCATGCCTGTGGAAGAATACACCTTTCTAACTTGTAGTATGCTTGTTGTGTTTGTGTTGTCAGTCGCACAATTCGCATAATACTTTTCGGTTAAAATGCTGTCTAATGTATCATTGTTAGCACTTATATCGTTAAGAAATCCAGACGCTGAATCATATGCCTCAGAATTATCATTGTAAATTGATATTGGAGTTATCATACAATCGTCTCCTCCCATGTAACTTGTTATTTCGTTATCAGAGCTATTTATTCGGGAATAAGTGCCAGCATTACTAACGCCACCCACATAGTATTCATTAACATCAATTTTGACTAAAGCCGTTGTCAAGCACATTTTGTTATTACCCTCTATTGCACTTCCGTTATATTGTATATGGATATTTCTTAACGTTCTTGAGCCTGTGACTCCAGTACTGCGTAATGTATTGTTTGTGTAAGCTAAAGAAGCAATTTGTGACATTATTTGATCTTGAATAACATTTTCAGGTGGTACCACGTCCACAAAAATGTCTTGAGAATCGGTTGGCCACCCTATCTGATTTACATCGTTTAGGTTGATTGCAAGCTGAGTCAATGTAATTCTTGGAAGACTAAAACCACTCGAGTATTGATTTATCTCATATGTTCCTTGAGTAGTTACATTAGAAACACCAACTTGTGAATTAATTTTGTATGTAATGGCATCAGACATTGAAAGCTTATCTTGATACACTCGGGTATAATTTCCATTTAAGCAATTGTAAAGAAGCCCCCTCAAACTGTTATGATCAGTCTCTAACTGAGAATAGTTTCCATAATCATGGTTACCACAATCATTTAAGCTTGAACATTGTTGCGCACTTATGTATCTGTATCTTATTTCTCTCGATACACTTCGGCTGACAGCAATGTTTATCCCTGGACCTATGATGGCCAATAGTAATAATGCTATAAATACCACGGTTTTCGAATAATATCCATGTCTGTTAGAGCTGCCAAGGGGTTTAATGGTATTGGCTTTTTTTCTTCTTATAATACCATCTCCATCTTCAATATCGTCTTTTTCATTTTGGAAAGCACTTTGAGATTCAATTATAGTATCATTTTTATTTGATAGTTGTTGAGGGTTTGAATTAATGTTGCTGATGTTCTGATCATTGACAATATTGTAACTACTTCTTTGAGGAATCAGTGCACCAATGATACTATAACTACACAATATTGTTTTGATCATTAACCGTCTGGATATAGAATATAACGACAATATAATATCTAGTATAGTATCTACAAAAAAGGTTAGGGCAATTCCGATTAGAATCGTTAATGCTTGGACCAACAAGTATGAGCTTGTCCACATGTTTGCCTAAACGTGAATGTTAATATGTCGGTGATAATAACTTTTGGGTTTGGTCTGGTGTTTCGAAATAGATATTGGATAAGATGATAGTGATAAATAAAGAGATAAAATAAAATAAAAATAAGCTTATTTTGATTCTTAATTACTGAACCCACTTCAATTAAAACTAATAGAACAAATAATATCAAGAACACGAAAGAAAGAAAATAAAATAAAATAAAATAAAATAAAATAAAAATTAGTAAAAAGAGGAGGATAATTTAATACTTTGAAGATTTCTCAAATTCTTTTATTTTAAGCAAATATATTCATAAGCGATTACTAATTTTGTGAAACAGCCAAGCTAAAGTCTTTTGCCAACCACGAATTTGTACTTGGGTGTGCGTCAAGTCAAAATAAATAATTTGATAAAAGGATTTGGAATTAGAAAATAAATATTATTAAAGCAACTGCTGCCGATTTCCTTTCATTTCCTTTCCTTAGTATTTTTAGGGTCTTCATGTAACTGTATTAAAATCGATTAATGAATTTATTGTTTTATTTTGTAAAAGAAAAAAGAAAAAAAAAATCTTAAGCTGATTTAAATCCATAAAATTAAATTCGCTATATATATACTTTATTAAATCCATTGGTCACTTAAACGATTTAAGAGAATCGGCATTTCCATCTCAGAAAATATTGATTAAAATCCTTTTCGTTTCTTTTCAAGCAACAAACACTTTACCTAAATGTTAATGGATTATCCCAGGTTATCATACCTGTAGTTAATGTGATTTATTTCAAGACCAAACCAAAAAATGTTTGTTTGTTTTGTTTGTTTGTTTGTTTTTATTCAAGGGTTATAAACCAAAAGATGTTTGTTTGTTTGTTTTTTTTTTTTTAAACCAAAAGATTTGTTTTTTATTCAAGGTAAACCAAAAGATGTTTGTTTGTTTGTTTTTATTCAAGGGTAAACCAAAAGATTGTTTGTTTGTTTGTTTTTATTCAAGGGTTATAGAATTATATAACATCAGCATCTGCGCTATCCTTCTTGTCCATACTATATATTTTTTCATTTTGATAATAAACTTTTAATTTTGGCTTCAACATTGCATCTCCAACAGCCCGAAAATAAGTCCTGATGCCAGCTTACGAGGAACAGGGGGTTAAAAATAACCAAACCTTCCCAACTTATCTCCACTTGTCTTCATCAACGCTGTAATTGTATTTCTTAATCCCTCCAAGCAGAGATAAAGCTTACAATCTCTTGTAAGCCAGTTAAACTGTTTAAGAGAGTCGACATGTCCATCTCTGGAGATATCCGTTTCAGTCCTTTTCTTTCCTCTTCAAGCAAAGGACACTCAACTAAAATGTGATGAACTGTTTCCAGCTCTCTTTAACCAAAAGATGTTTGTTTGTTTTTATTCAAGGGTTATAGAATTATATAACATCAGCATCTGCGCTATCCTTCAACCAAAAGATTGTTTGTTTGTTTGTTTTTATTCAAGGGTTATAGAATTATATAACATCAGCATCTGCGCTATCCTTCTTGTCCATACTATATATTTTTTCATGTTAATAATAAACTTTTAATTTTGGCTTCAACATTGCATCTCCAACAGCCCGAAAATAAGTCCTGATGCCAGCTTACGAGGAACAGGGGGTTAAAATAACCAAACCTTCCCAACCTATCTCCACTTGTCTTCATCAACGCTGTAATTGTATTTCTTAATCCCTCCAAGCAGAGATAAAGCTTACAATCTCTTGTAAGCCAGTTAAACTGTTTAAGAGAGTCGACATGTCCATCTCTGGAGATATCCGTTTCAGTCCTTTTCTTTCCTCTTCAAACAAAAGGACATTCAACTAAAATGTGATGAACTGTTTCCAGCTCTCCACATTTGCAGTTGTAACTATCCTTTTCAATTCAAACTTTTTAAACCATGCGCCAAAGTTGCCATGGCCTGTGCGAAATTGAGTAATATTACTCAAGATCCTTCGACTATCTTTCTTCATGATCACTCCCGTAACCATTTTGGAAAGATTATCAGTACATTTCGACTCCACTGTGATATTATGATACCACAGATCCTTACTGCTGTTCCAATACATTTCTTGCCATTCTTCCATTGCTTGTTTCTTCAAAATTCCAATCGTCTGATTTTGTTGTTGTTTCAGTGTAAGAGGTTCAACCCTCTTGCATTTTCGTTTTTCATCCTTTTATTCATATAGTCTCTATCATCTTTCGCCAACATGTAAAGCGTGGTTAGCTTTGCAATTGGAGATTTCTCAATCAATGTTAACAAATGACCATTAATAGGATTAGTTTTGCTAATATTTAGGTGTAAACGAATAGCTTTTCGTGCCACCATAAATTTTAGCCTAATACTATATGGCATAATACCAACTTCCTTTTGTAGTACCGCAATAGGAGTTGTGCGATAAGCACCAACAATTCTTCTTAAAGCCATATTCTGCATTACTTCCAACTTGTGGATTTCTCCTTTCAAAATTTTGTGATGCCAAATTTCTAAGCCATATTCGACAATTGGTCTCACGCAAGCAATATACAGTGATCTGACTGCAGACCCTCGCATACCTTTTGCACGCCACCAAGATGCCAAATAGCACCAACAGCTTTTCTTGCTTTATTGATTTTATTCAAAATATGAGATTTAAAATCAAGCAGATTGTTCAAAGTAATTCCAAGCAATTTAACTTCCTTCTGGGGTTCACGAAGTTCTCCATTAGGTAAAGTAAGTTGCACTTTTTCATCATCTTTAGGTTTCACATTTTTGTAAAATGAATAAAACCCAATTTATCACCCAAATCAATTTTGGTCATTCTTGATTTAGCCCAATTACAACATTTTTCTAATATGTTGCTTAAGCTTTTGGTATTTTCTTCAATTTTACCTTCAACGGTAATAGTCACATCATCAATAAAGCCAAAAGGAGTTCCACCCCATTCTTTAATGGCATGATACATTGGTGTGGAATATATCAAAAAAAGTAGTGGTGAAATAGGTGAGCCTTGCGGAATTCCAGTACTAATTTTTTGCACTGATCCTTTTCTTCGGTCCATGAGCATACTAGCTTCTCTTTCACTTACAAATTGGTACGTCCAGTTTATAAGTGCTTTGGGTAGTTTCATATCCTCCATTGTGTGTGCCAATATATTTCTGTTAACATTATCAAAAGCTCCTTGAATATCAATGAGCATAGCTGAAATTTTTTCCTTACTAGTTTCAATTCTTTGGACAAGTTCCAAAACAGCATCAGTAGCACAATAACCTTGTCTTCCCCCATATTGCTCTGGTGGAAGTAAGTGTGTTGTAAGCTTGGTCATTCTTTTTTGTATAATTTTTTCCAGTACTTTAGATGGAATCTTAAGTAAGGAAATTGGTCGGTATGCTCTTGGCTTTGAATAGTCAGGTTTCTTAGGTTCAACCAAAAGATTTTTACTAGTTAGTTTTTTAAGTATTTTCTTTTTTATATAAATAGCTATCGTTATTTACTTTTTCATATAATTTGTAAGGCACTATGGCCGAGCGGTTAAGGCGAAAGATTAGAAATCTTTTGGGATTTCCCGCGCAGGTTCGAGTCCTGCTGGTGTCGATAATTTTTTTGCTTTAAAAAATTTATTTGTTATATTTCTTTTTTTATTTTTCTTTTATTCTATGAATATATTGTATTTCTGATTAAATAGCTATTTTTTTTTTTTCATTTAAAAATAACTATTCTGGTGAGATATTTTGTAAGATGCAAAAAAAAAAACCCCCCGATCCGAAAAACTGATGTGCCGATTTAAACAGTAACCCCCCACGTTTTATTTTATTATTTTTTATTTTTTTAATTTTCCTGGAACGGATAATTTCCATCATATTGCAGCTATCTCTGGAAAATTAAGAAAAAAAACAAACAATAATCTATAAATTATTTAAACCTTATGACGTTTGAAATTCCCTTTCTTTATTAGAAAGAGTCATTGACTGGCAGCATGTGTATGGGTGGGGGGAGGTGTACAATTTTGAAGATTCTAAATAACCGAGCATCGGTTTTTTTTCTTTTTTTTTTTTTTTTTTTTAACTTTTTGTTGGTCAGTTATTTAACAAAGGTTAAATGAGGAGAAAGACCCGTGCCAGTAATCTTCCTCTAAGCCAAAATGATACTCGGTGATTTTTTTTAAAAAAAAAAAAAAAAAAATCCATTCTTGAAATAGTTTATCTCGCTATAAAATCTCAATGAATTTCCTTTTCTCAATTTTTCTTTTAAAAGGGAAAACTCGTTTGTTTATAAAATGACAATTATATCTGTATTTTTAGGAATTCTACTGGTAAGTAGATGTCCTTTTTTTTTTTTTTTTTTTTTTTTCTAAAGATCTTACATATGGTTAATCTTTTGCCCCACAAAATCACTAACCCCTTTTCGATTTGTTGTTAAAGGGTCTTCGCCGCTCTGGACCTCACTTATGGCGCTGCTACATTGTTACAGCTATTGGCGAACTTCTTGTTCTATGCTTCATCTATGCCGTGCATAGGGTGATTCTAACTACCGGTGTTTCAATTCCAGCCTCGGTTGTGTGTATGATTATACTTTTTGCTGTACTCCTGCTGCTGGAAAGAGTTGTGGGGACTCGCCGCACTGCTCGCGTGGTTCGCTTTATAGATGGTGTAAATTTACTCCAAGACGCACCAGTTATTGTGGCAGCCGTGGAACCAGCAACACAACAACAGATAGTAGGATCACAACGCGGCTTACCGACTACAGATACAATTGAGCTGCGTTCTATGAACGAGCTGACACCTGTGGAAGAGTCTCCACCAAAGACTCTTGGATGGTTTGTACGTGTTAAAAAGCACTTAGTATTTGGTGGTCCCGTAGGGTTTTCTTTACGGTGGATTAACATATGTTTCACGCCTGCATTTGTTGCGCTACCATTATCTGAGCGTGTTTCTATTGCAGAGGCTTTCCAGATTGCTGGAGTATTTGTGTTTGGTTACTTGGTCACACTTGCACTTACAGTTTACTTAGTTTTGGGTTTGCAACGGGTTATTGGGAAACCTCGCCGGTCGTATATGGAAGATGCTGCGGAATCAAATGACGATGACGACGAAGGAAGTGATAGAATCACGACACATAGTGAACAACAAATCCAGGAAGGAATAACCAGTTTAGAAAATATTTCAGAAAACACACATGGTCGTGCTCGTGCAGCTGTGGCCAAAGCTCTAGATTCATTACGTCCAGGTAAACCAAAGCAAGTGAATCGTGCGGTGGATAATAATAATAATAATCATGATCAGGATGATCAGGATGACCAGGATGACCAGGATGACCAGGATGACCAGGATGAAGATGTTGACGATAAGGAAAAAGAAGTTGTTATGCGAGAATCAGAATTTGATGAAGGGCCTTCGACAATTAATCCAGTGAATTCAGTTGATGGTGATCTCGGGATGGCAGCAACCATGGCATATGCAGAAGCAACAAATGTGGACCATGCACATGGTGACATTGATATGATTCCAGGTCGTCGGTCAAGTTTAGGGAGTGACATTGGTGAGAATGATCAAATCTCGGAAACTACTATTACGGCGGTATCCACAGAAGTGAATGTGATTGAAGCAAAACAAAAGTTAAGGGTGGCTCAACTCATTGTAATGCGAATAGACTGGGTTTTTTATGGAACAATGCTGGGAGCTGGTGTGATTGGATACTGGGCTGCACCAACATCATATGCCATGCCAGCCCAGTTAGCAGCGCTAGTTTTATGTTTTCTTACAGCCATGAGGATCCCGCATAAGTACCGTGTTTACTTACATCCGATTCTAGTTTCTGCAGCGCTGACAATTTTAGTATTATATTTGTTTGGAATAATCTACACGGCGACGATTCCTGGGTCTCGTGCTTATGATCCGGAGACAGTTGAACAAGTTATTAATGAAACAGTGGCTAATATTTTAGCTTCAGGAGAAACTTCAACAACAAATTTGCCAACGTTTGTTGGATTTTCTATTCTCGACTCAAGTACTAATAAATTACTACCGGTTACAGAGCTTCGTGCACGTATTACGTCAGCCGTTTTATCACATAAAACGTTTGGGTTCACGTCGTTACGGCAAGCGTTATGGCAATTTAAAACAGGCCGCAATTATTTAACGCTTTTTGACAAACAGGTACAGCAGCCATTGTTATACAATCCTAAAAGACAAGTTTTTGAGCCGGCGCTTCCTGGAGCAGGTGACATTATCTCGACATTGATGGATACTAGTATTGTAGCACTTGCAGTTCCCATGTACAACTACCGAGGAGATCTCAAACGAAATGTGAGTTTTGATAATTTTTGTTTTTTTGTTTTTTTTCTTCTAACAATAAAGTTAGTTTCTGGTAATTATGATTCCATGTATAGTCATTGCACTTGCATCTTTCTTTGCCTACCCACCACTTTGTTATGGGGTTGGGATTCAAAGCACACGCGCACTTTCCTTTGTTGCTCGTAGTGTGACTTTAGCTCTTGCACTTCCTGCAGTAGCATCGCTTGGTGGGTCCAGTACTCTTGTTGCTGTAGTTGGTATTTTAAGTGGGATAGTAGGTGTAATTATAGGTGGTTGGTTTGTTAAGCGAGTATTAAGGGTACGTAGCGATGATTATGTGACAATTGGTGTGGCCATGGGAATTAATAGTTCAGCAATTGGGTCGGCACATTTGTTGGTAACAAATCCACGTGCCAGTGCACTTTCATCATTGAGTTTTTTCGTTTTTGGAACAACAATAGTTATTATGGCAGCTATTACGCCTTTGGTTAATGTCATTAGAGGATGGGTAGATTTACAACCTCTGTAAAAAAAAAAGGTGGAGTTAATAGATTGAGAAAATGAATATAGTTACAGGGGGGGTTAAAAAAATTTTATTATTTTTTTTTTTTTTTTTTTGATTTATATGCATTTTTGTTTTAATATAAACTGAATATTGAGTTATTGATTATGCATGATGATAATATATTTGAGATAACAATAATAAAAATTATAAATATTTGTAATCAATTGGAGTATTATTTTTTTATTTTTTTTATTTTTTTTATTTTTTTTATTTTTTTTATTTTTTTTTTTGTTAAAATAAGTGTAAGTAAGTGTTACACATAATACATTATGATTTTTGTAACAATTTGTTGTTACAAGTACTTATTATTATAATAATAATTATTATTAAGAAGAGACAGATAGCCAAAGTTTTTACTTAAATCTAGATATTATTAAAAAAAATCTTCCCCCCAAAAAAGAAAAAAAAATTTTAAATTATAATTTTATTAATAGTTTATAAAGTTTTATTTTTATTTTAATTTAATTTATTGTTAATATAAATTTTTGTAAATATTTTATTTTTAAGAAATAGTTTGATTTTTATTAACATTGATAAAATAAAATTTATAAATATATATATATACATATATATATATTTAAAAAGAAATTTCAAAAAACAAGATAAAAAAAAAAAAAAAAAAAAAAAAAAAGAACTTGAATTTTAAAATTAATTTTTTTTGATTTTTTATTTTTAATTTTTTTGTCATTTTTAAAATTAATTGAGAATTATATTTATTTTTTTTTTTTTTGCCCCACCATATATTATATATATTAACCCCACGTTCACCCTTTTTTTTTTTTTTTTTCTTGGTAGTACATTTATCATACATTAAATACAACATCAAAGTTATTTTAAGCTCAAAAATAAGCTCATATATATTATGTAATATATATATTTATATATTTATATATATGTACCACACTTTGTTTTTTTTTTTTTTTTAAAATAAAACTAAGCCAGCCGTGCCATATTTTTTTTTATGTTTTTCCCCATAAGTCATCTTTAAAAGATTACTAATAAGGCGATGATTTGAAATATTTGAAAGATTTGATAAGCGGGGTAAAAAAATTAAAGAAATTAAAAAAAATAAAATAAAAAAATAAAATTTTTTTTCTTCTAATTATTTTTTTATTTTAAAACTTAACAAAAAAAAAAAAAAAAAAAATTGTAGAAAACCCTCTTTCTAAAGACTTTTAATTGATTTGAATTGAAATATATATATATATATATATATATATATATATAGGACTTTAAATTTTTAAAAAATAAAATAAAAATAAAATAAAAGTAATCTTTTTATTATTATTATTATTATTATTATTATTTATTAAATAGACCACGGTTTCTGTTCTCTACATTTGATTCATCATTCGCAAACATCGCCAAATAATAAATAAAATAAAAATAAAATAAAAATAAATAAAAATAAAATAAAAATAAATAAAAATAAATAAAAATAAAAAATAAAAATTGATTGCCCACCACTTAAATGTGCACCGGATTAATCCCGTTGCTAATCATATATTCCTTCTTCTTCTTCTTCTTCTTCTTCTTTTTTTTTTAATTAATATATATATATATATATATATATAGGATTTCACTTTTTTAAATCATTTATTTAAAATTTAAAATTTAAAATAAATAAATTTATATATATATATATATTTTCTATCCAATAAAAAAAAAAAAAAAAAAAAAAACCTCACATCCTTCCATATCAACTAACTACTAAACAAAACTTTCTTCCGTCCCCCATTCCGCCGGTGCTTCCCACCCATCACATTTTGCGGTTAAAATTTATTTATTTATTTGTTTGTTTGTTTGTGTACGGGTTTGCCTGTCATCCGAGGGAAGATGCACAACCATCATCTATTGATTTTCATTAATTTCATTAATTTCATTAATAATCTCAATCAATTTTATTGATTTCACTAACTTTTATTACTGATTTAAATCTTTTTTTTTTTTTTTTGTTATTCCCTGATGGTTATCCACTTCGTCGTCGTCATCATTTATCATTGATATGCCTGCCACTCTGGAGAATTTTGTTTGTTACCTGTCATTATCATAATATATAATAATTATCATCATCATCATAGAATCTCTCTCTCTCTCTCTCTCTCTCCCTTATAGGAATATCTTTTAACTTGTAAGCCTCAACACATTCCGTCCAAGTCCCGAATAACCTAATCCATTTTTGTCATTCTTTATTCATTTATAACTTTTTTATAAAAAAAAAAATTTATTTAATAATAATAATAATAATAATAATAATAATAATAATAATAATAATAATAATAATAATAATAATAATATCTTCATTCGTCATCGTTTATTTCGTAATTGCTCATTTGTGCTTGTGCTCATCTTCATAGCTCGATATTATATCATCAAGTACTGGCTTAAGGTCTACATCAGAGGGAACCTTGATAGCCTTAAGAGCCTCACTAATCAATGTCTTGCGATCCTGTGATGGCGCAGGTTGCTTCTGTTGATACGTCTTGTATGAGTATCCAGAGTCCACGGCTTCACGAACTCCTTGGATGTATGGTCCCAGGGGAACGCTCGAGTGTTGCTGCAGAGCGTTGACCAGCAACGTGAGCGCAAGCTCTAATTTGAGAGAAATGTCTGAAGGTTCAATGGCACCATAGTAACTAGGATCAAGTTTGGCCTTTTGTGTGGTAGATGATGATGAAGAAGAAGTATTAGAGTTTGTCTTTTCAGAAGAAGAAGAAGAAGAAGAAGAAGCAAGGGGAGCAACAGTAGAAACATTTGTTGAAGGTGTAGCAAGGGTAGTTGAGGAAGAAGCTGTAGAAATGGCTGATGAAGAAGATACAGCTGTAGCGGAAGCTGTAGAAGCAGAGGCAGCGGCAATAGCAGAAGAAACTGAAAAATCTTCAGTCTTTGGCTTAAGGTGATGGTGGTGATGATAATATCTATCAATTTGGTGTTGCTTAAGCTTTTCTTCTTCAGTCAGTTCCATGTCCTTTGTTGAGTTGCACAACTTTACAAGTAGCATCTCAGTATCTGTGACCTCTCTGGCTAGACGCTTAGAGTATTCAGAAACAACATGGTTTGCAGGTTTCCCTGAAGAAGAAACAGCGGTAGTTGAAGCGTCCAAATATTCATCCCACAAGAGCTTATAGGATTCGTAAAGCTGGTCAAAGCTTTGAGACTTGACCAGTAGGGCATCTGCATAGCGGGGCTTGAATTGGGCCTTAGCACGAGCTAGCTCTTCAAGAGTGCGTGTAACGTTAAGAACAGTATCTTCAGTGACGACAGAGGCATTAATACTAGAAATCAAGTCATTGAGAGACATTGCTGCACGGTTAATTTCCTCATCACGATCGTCGGGTAGCAATACCAATGGGAGGTAGTCACGGTCTTTGCCAACAGTTCCAGAGACGGCATCAAAGAATCGTGAAGGTGCAAGGGGATCTTTTGTTGTAAGAGCTGAAGTAGCGCTGCTTTGTCTTTTACGCATGTCTTCCTTGTCTCTGTCTTCGGGGGAAATTTCCTGGTCCAGCCTGCTGGTTAAGGAAGAAACGCTCGATGTAGAAGTGGCCAAGGCAGAAGAGATTGTACCTGAAGAAGTTTGAGAAGATTTTTTAGATACAGTTGAAGAAGATGCAGGTGATGATGATGATGATGATGATGATGATGATGATGTTGATGTTGATGTTGATGTTGAAGAGGATGATGACTTTAAAGGGAAAAGGTCTGAATGCTGGGATGGGTCAATTTTGCGGTAGTAGTAACTATGGTTAAGGTCTTCTTCTTTAAGTTTACGCACTCGTTCTGAGAGTTGTCCTTGGAATTCACGTTCTTCAAGGAAATCAATGACTGTACTTCCATAAGGAACATATTTTTCATATTGTGGGTGATTTGAAGCAATCCAAATGGCACCAATGTAAGTACCTGTGAAAAGCACACTTGCTTGAGTTAAGCGTTTAAGCAAATGTAAGACTGGTCGCTTAGAAGAGCTGGATAGTGGAGACATATGTGTGATAGTAATTGAATAATGAAGTTTTAATTTATTCTGGGGTATTTTTTTTTTTATATTATATATAAAGTATATAATATATAGATTAGATAGTAAAAAAAAAAATTTAAAATTTAAAAATTAAAATAAAATAAAATAAATAAAAAAAGAGGGATATAAAAAGTGGGAAATTCAAAGTATTTATAATATTTTTTTTTTTTTTGTTCTTATTTGTTTGTATGGAGAAAAAAAAAAAAAAAAAAAAAAAAAGCTACTATGTGTGAGAGGGTCGTGTGCTCCCCCTCCTTCCCATTTATTTCTTGTTAAAAAATTATATAGTTGTCGTTGTCGTCGTCGTTGTTGTCAATAGGAGGGGCAAATAAAAAATAAAATAAAATAAAATAAAATAAAATAAAGTTAATTAATTAATTATTTATTTATTTAATTATTTATTTATTATTAAAACAAAAAATTTCCCGTGGGGCCTTTCAGTGGCTTTGCGCCCAACAAACAACAATAACAGCCTATCTTCTTCTTCTTTTATATTTCATGTTAAGAAGAAAGAAAAGCATTTTTTTTTTTTTAAAATATCAAAAAAAAAAAAAAAAATTTCATTTTTAAATTTTTCATATTTATATTATAATAAAAATAAATTCTTTATATAACCGTTTTATTTTTAATTTTTATTTTTAAAAAAAAAAAAAAAAAAAAAAAAAAAGTCACAGGTTATATAAAGAATTTATTTTTATTTTTTTTTTTAAAGTCCACGGTTTTATTATTTATTTAATTATTTTGAGCTCAAAAATCATGAGATTTGGGCCTCCAAAAGCAAAAAAAAAAAAAAAAAAAAAAAGTTTTCTTTTTAATTTTTTTAATTCCTTTTTCAACAAACAAAATCATGAGATTTACATTCAACTAAATAAAAAAAATAAAATAAAATAAAATAAAATAAAATAAAATAAAAAACCCTAAACCTCCTAAGTTTGTGTTGCTGCTAGCTGTCAGACCGGGTAACTAAACTTTGCCGCTCCTCCGCCGCAATAATTCCCCGTACGCCGTGCGGCGGCGGCTGCCTGTCTTTTTTTTTTTTTTTTTTTTTTTTTTTTTTTTTTTTACTTTCCTCGGTTAACATCACCTAACAACCTCTCTATTCTTCTCTCTCATCTTCCCCCCCCCCCCCATTTACAAGCGTACAAGCGTACAAGCGTACAAGCGTACATATCAGTCTTTAATAGTATATTTAAGTCTTTATCTCTTCCATCAAATCACATCTACTTGTTACAACACATGCACACGTGACTTAGAATCTTATCAGCCATACGTACAGATAGTTCCACGTTTTGTAACAACTTCACTCCTCCTCCTCCTCCAAAAAAAATGTTTGTTTATTTCAACAGCCTTCAATCTCTCAACAAAACTTATCTCTCTAACCAACACACACATACATATTATGGTCAAAACAATCTACATCACAAGAGTAAGTAATACCTTCAAAACAAAAAAAAAAAAAAAACATTCAATTGTTTTCTTCTAATACATTAGTCAATAGCATGGATATAGATCCAATTGGGTCTTGGATAAACCAATGCCTGACCCTCCTACAGGTATCCCTGCAGACCCAGTACTCGCAGACCACGGCCTTGATCAAGCACAAGAACTTGGAACTTACATCTCATCATTCAAAGATTTCCCCGTACAACATATCTACTGCTCTCCCTACTACCGCTGTATCCAAACTGCTACCCCTACTTCTAAATCTCTCGAAACAAAACTTTTCATTGAACATGGTGCATCAGAATGGCTCTCGCGACCCTTTTACGAAAAATCACCACTTCCTGCTTCTACTCACGACTTAGCCCATAAGTATTTCAGCACAGACATTATTGACGAATCTTATGACCCAATTATCCCCCATTCTACAGTCGGAGAGTCCTATGAAGAACTCCTTGCTCGTGCTAAATCTTTCCTCTCAAAACTTATTGCACGTCTTGATAATGAAGCCCCACACATTGAAAACATTCTTATTGTAACCCATGCTGCTACAAAAATCGCTCTCGGAAGAGCCTTGCTCCATGACGAAACTAAAGATATCCGTACTGGCACTTGTTCTCTCGATACTTATGTCCGAGGCGATACCCCGACAAAGTGGATTGCAAAGTCTATTGGCGAAACATCCTTCTTGACCAATGGTGAAGAAATGCATTGGAGTTTTGGTATGAATTTTTTTTTATTTATTTATTTATTTTTGTTTAATCATTTACTAACTATTAAAGACATTGCTTATGCCCCTGGATCAACTGAAGATATTGCTGCCCGGTTACAAGGTTCCGATTCTCAAGTATTAGATAAAGAGGATTCCGAAGTAGAGCCTGAGGAAATGGCGGTGAGTGCTTAATTTTATTATTTCTTTTTTACCCTCTCTTCTTTTTTTTTTTTTTTTTTACTTTTCTATTCCCCTCTTTGGTTAGGTTCTCTTTTTTTTTTTATTTTTGCATTTAAGTGTATATAAACACTGGGTTTCACTATTTTATTTTTATCTTCTTTTGGAGTTTTTTTTTTTTTTTTTGTCAATTCAAAGGTTATTAGAATTCACCACGTATTTAGAATAAATTTCAATATTAATCTGTGGCTATATTTTTTTTTTCATGTAGAAGGCTAAACTTTAGTCATTTAAACCAAAGAGGATATAGATTCTTTTTTATCATTTATTATTATTATTATTATCATTATTATTTTTTTCAATATATTAATTTATTAAAGACTGTTTACGTTACTTTGGATTTATCTCAAGTCCAACAAAACTTTTTGGGCGATTTTGCTTCCTTTTATACCAAGAAAAAGGCCAATGATGATGGCTTAAACTACCAACATAATACTACTGCTTCTGGCGATGATCTAGACTTGGATGAAGACTCTGATGACGACTCAGATTCAGATGATGATTACGAAGATAGCGAAGATAACGATGATGATGATGATGAAGATGATGAAGATGAAAATAGCGAAGAAGAAGATAGTAAAACTTCACTTGACGAAAAACTTAGAAAACGAGCTGGTGCTAGAAGCAATGCCTTTGGTGGACCAAAATCTACTCTTAGAGCTAAACATCTTTCTCAAAAAGAAAAAAAAAAGGCACAAGCATCTGCTGGAGGTGATTATTCACGCCATTTCCAAAACTCATCTCAACGGTCCCGTGCAAGCCGTGCATCCCGTATGGCAGCAGCAGCAGCAGCAGCTCTTTCAAAAAATTCTGTTCTTCAGATTGTTGATTTGGAAAGTGATCATCCACTTTTCAGAGTTGGAAATGATTTGTATATGGGAGTATGGGAGGATCTTGTTGGGACAGAATTGTATACAAATTTTGGTGAGTTTTTTGATTTTTTGATTTTTTTTTTTTTTTTTGATTTTTAATTTCAGATCAAACTAACACGAAATTTTTTTTTTTTTTATTTATTCATTTAGAAGGTGAAGTTGTGGGGAAAACACGAACGCGAATTCGGCTGATTCCTACAAAAGTTAAATCTCGGGCTTTGCACACAGTCATAGAGGGGACTCAGGAACTTTCATTATACTCGCAACCTCTACACGAAAAGCAGAATGAGGAGACTACAGAAACTAATTTAAGTGCTCCAGTTACTCCACGGAAATCTGTAGGTCCTCCTCCACAGTCTGGGGAAGTTAGTAATAATAACAATAATAATAATAATAATAATAATAATAATAATAATAATAATAATAATAATAATAATAATAATAATAATAATAATAATAATGATGATGATGATGATAGTAATCAAACTACAACCACTACAACTACTACAACAACCACAACAACTACAACGGTTACAACCACTACAACTACTACAACTACTACAACCACACCCAAAGCTAAAGCTAAAGCTAAAATAACTTCGAAAGCTGTGACCCCCAAATCAGCCAAGAGCAGTAATAAACTGATTTCTGGGCCTGGAGTAAGTGCAACAGGAACTGGTGGTGTACATGTAGGTCATGTAAGGTTACTTGATCGACTTAAAGAAATTAATTTAAGGCGCATGGCAACTGAAGGACCTCCTGAGCCAACAGCAAGACGGAAAAAAGAAATTGAGGAAGAATCTGAGAGGGTAAAGATGAGGGAGTCACAAAATAAAGAAGAAAAAGAAGAAGAAGAAAAAGAAGAAAAAGAGATTGAAGATGTGGAGATGAAGGATGTAAGTGCAGATAATAATGAGGAGGAGAAGGAAGAAGAAAAAGAAGAAAAAGAAGAAAAAGAAGAAAAAGAAGAAAAAGAAGAAGTTACAAAAAAAACTTCTGAAGAAACTTCTGAAGAAACTTCTGAAGAAACTTCTAAAAAGACTACTGAAAAAACTGAAGAAGAAACTTCTGAAAAAACTGAAGAAAAAACTGAAGAAAAAACTGAAGAAAAAACTTCTGAAAAGACTTCTGAAAAGACTTCTGGTGAGAAGAAGACAACAGGAAAGAGTATTGAGGAAGAATCAGAGAAGAAACATGAAGGGGAAGTTAATAAAGAAGAAGAAGAAGAAGAAGAAGAAGAAGAAGAAGAAAAGCCTATGAAAAATTCTAAGGAAATTATATCAAATAAAAAAAGTACAGAAACAACAACACCAAAGGGAGAATCATCAAATGAAATTTGAAAAAGGACTCTGAGGAACTCATGGGGGGAAAAGAAGTTTGGAAAGGGATTTGAGGAAGAATCAAATAAATAAATAAAAAATGATTAATAAAAAATAAAAAAAAATAGAAAAAATAAAAATAAAAAGTTGTTTAAAGATTCTGAATAATCTAAATAGAATCTTCAAGTCAAAAAGAATTTATAATATAGATTTTTTTTTTTTTTCAAGATCTTTCCAAATTTAAAGATAAAAATAATAATTCATTTTAAAATTTTAAAAACAATTGTTCATTCCAAGTTTTTTTCTTTTATTTTTTTTTATTTTTTTTTTTTCACCTTGTTTAAAGCTTCACATTATTTCTTTTTTTTTTTTTTTTTTTTTTGTTATCTCTTACCCCACATTGTCATATATACATTTTTATTTATTCATTTATTTATTTAACCGTCAAATCTAATTGTAAAGTTTCTTTAAAAAAAAAAAAAAAAAACTTAAACTACAGGAATAAAATTGTCTACAAGATCTATGCGGACAATCTGATAACCGAATAAAACTTTTTAACAATGTCTTTTTTTTTTCTTCTTCTTCTAGAGAGACATTGTTGGTATATATATATATATATATATACCAAGACAAGTAAGGTTTTTGTGTAAAGAAATTATATATATATATATATATATTAAAAAAAAAAAAAAAACGGATAGAAAGACTGACCGTTTTTTGAAAAGGAAAAATCTTGTTATAGTTAAAAAAAAAAAAAAAAAAAAAAAAAAAGCAAAAAATACTTATCTTTATTTAAAGATTTTTTTTCTTCTGATAGACACGTTTAAAAGTTCAGTTTTGATGTTTTTTCAAGTATTTTTTTTTTTTTTTTTTTTTGATTTCAAGAGATAGAAAGAATGACTTAAATGTATTTTTAGTTTTAAAAATCAAAAATTAAAAAAATAAAATAAAAATATATGACTCAGAATGAATCAAAAATAAAAAAATAAAAAAAAAAAGAAATTTATTTATTTATTTATTTATTTATTCTCTCTATTTAAAATGGAGGTTTTTTTTTTCTTTTTTTTTTTTTTCTTTCTTTCAAATGTTTATTTGAATGAATGAATTCATCACCAGTCATAGTTGCGTGCAAATAAAAAATTAAAAAATTAAAAAATTAAAAAATTAAAAAATTAAAAAATTAAAAAATTAAAAAATTAAAAAATTAAAAAATTAAAAAATTAAAAAATTAAAAAATTAAAAAATAAAAATTTCTTTCTTCTTCCAATTTTTTTATTTTATTTTTTTTTTTTTTTTTGGTTGATTGCAATTCTGGCGTCACTTGTGCGTGTTACTAACTTTGCAGCTATCATTAATAATAATAATAATAATAACTTTTTAATTCATTATAATGGTTTTTTTTTTTTAAATCTCTCTCTCTCTCTCTCAAAGTATATAAACATCTAAAAAAACCTCCAATTCTTTAAAAAAAAAATTTTTTATTTCTTTCTTTCTTTCTTTCTTTCTTCTTCTTCTTCTTCTTCTTCTTCTTCTTCTTCTTCTTCTTCTTCTTCTTCTTATTCTTCATCAAAATATTTATAAATATTTCTCACTCTCTTATTCAATCTTTTTTTTTTTTTCTTCTTATTTACCAATCTTTATCATATAAACCATCTTTCAATTAAAAAAAAAAAAAAAAATGCCCTGCGGTTGTTCAAGAGCTAAAGCCCACGCTGCTCCTTTACCTATCTACCAGCCAGGAGATGCTCCTCCAAAGTACTCGGAATCCGACCGTCAAAGTCAAACTTCCACTTTAAATGATGATGATGATAATAATAATGATAATAACAATAACAATAACAATGCTACACAATCTTCATGGCCAAACGAAAAACAAAATAACAACTTAGAATCATTGTCATCCTCATCTTCGTCGTCGTCCCCTCCAAGAGAATCCAAGTTCAAACGGTTTATTTCAAAAATAAAAGCCCATGAAAATCCGGAATCTCTCCAACACAGAATGCACACTTCAAATTCACACCTTTCCAACGACGTAACGCGGGCGTTATAATCTAATTTCTTATTTATTTATTTTTTTCTATAATCTTTTTTAATTCTTTAAACATTTAATATAAAAATACACAAAACCTTTTTTTTTTTTTAATTCTATTATTGTCTTCTTTTTTTTTTTTTTTTTTTTACAACTTGGGTTTGCTGGATGCTCCTGTACGATAACCATAAACAGTATCATTCTTGCGGTCGCGTAACAAACGACGTTGAATCTTACCAGATGCTGACTTAGGAACACTGTCAAGAACAACAACACCACCCCAAAGCTGCTTATGACGAGAAACCTTGTTATCAAACCATGCCTTAATGGCAAGCGGATCAATATCCTTACTAGAAAGAACAATGTAGGCACGGGGGAGCTCAGTACCCTCCTCAGGCAAATTAATGCCAGTAACAGCCGCGTCAATGACATCCGGATGCTCAAGAAGAATGCTCTCAAGCTCTGCTGGGGCAACCTGATGTCCCTTAGACTTGATAAGCTCCTTAACACGGTCTACAATATACCACTGACCATCAGGTGTCACAATACCTACATCTCCAGTTCGTAGCCATCGTCCAGTATGATCAAAAGTTTCGACAGTAGCCTTGGGGTTACGCAAATAGCTCTTCATAATATTGGGACCGCGCAGCCACACCTCACCCCGGTGCTCTGGGCCAATGCCGTGCACGTCGTTACCATCGGCATCCACAAGCCGTGCCTCCAGACCAGGCATGAGCCAGCCGCACGACTCAGCATCGTACTTGTCGAGACCAGGCTTGAAAGACCCAAACGTGTTGATAGAAGTTGTTTCAGTGAGACCATATGATTGGGTAATGGAAATACCATTCTTAAGACGATCCGCAATTTCATCAATTAGCGATTGAGACAATGGGGCTGCACCGGAAAGGAACCCCTTAAGTGTTAGACGAACCTTGTCAAGATACTTGTCGAGAACATGCGATTTTGCAAACAAAACAGCCATGGGAGGAACCACGTGCAAAAACGTGACACCATGTTCTTGAATCTTTTGCAGAAGAAACTCAAAGTCGAATTTATCAAAGACAATGATGGTAGACTGTGCAATGGTTGGGACAGAGTAAATAAAGGTGGTAAGACCGTAAATGTGCGACATGGGTAAAACAGCACCGTAAACACCATTTGGAAGATAAAGGGCATCCCGAGCCGAAATGTGTTGCTGAAGAACATCGGAAACAACATTGAAATGGGAAGTTGCAACACCCTTGGGGACACCAGAAGTACCAGAAGAAAAGCAATAGTATGCATGTCTTTCCTTAGACTCGTCACCTACAAACTTGACTGGGCTGGCTTTAGGAGTTTGAGGATTTTTGGCTTCTTCAAGAAGCGAATCAAAAGTAAAAATGTCTTCAATTGGAACTGGTGAAAAATCCTTAGTAGCAGCACGGGCAATGGGAAGGAATTTTTCTAGACCAATGATAAGCTTAGACTGCGAGACATTGAGCTGATGGTGAAGCTCATGAGGGAGGTATGCAATGTTTGCTGGGGAAATAGCAGCACCAGTGGCAAGAATACCCAAGTGGAGAGCAGGAAGGTAGATGGAGTTTGTCAGTAAGAGACATACGGTATCGCCAACACGCAAGTTGTACTTGTTTTGGAGAATGTAAGTGATGCGGCCCACAAGATCACGATGCTGTGCAACAGTGATGTAGTGAGAGGAATCATGACTGTCAATATAAAGCTTGTGATCAGGATTGGAAGTCTTGGGATCAAGACCAGGACGAGTGAAGAGAAATTCAACAGCATTAGATGTGGGGATATGCTCATGCTTGAGTTCCCAAGGTGACAGATGGATAGTCTGGCCGTTTTCTTTTCTAGTAAGAGCAGACATAATTTTAGACAAAGTAATTTAAAATCTTGATATAAAAGTTGATTTAAAGATGAGGGTATTCAAATAGTTATTAATGAAAAAAAAAAAAAAAAAAAAAAAAAAGATGTATTTATATATCTTAATGAAAAAAAAGAAAACAAAAGAAAAGATTTTTTTTCTCACATTTTAAGAGAAAACTCTTAGGTATTTATAGCTTTAAAGACTTAGTCGGCCAGCTAACCGACAGGCTCCGGAGATTGGAAAAAAAAAAAAATAACAATAATAATAACAACAATAAAAAAAGCAAGTATTTTGAGATTTGCCGACATCGCCGGTATATAAACTTGTGAGTGAGTGAGTAATGGATGGATGGTTTTAAATGAAAACAGAAATCTGAATAGACTTGGACGATTTCATAAGATATATATATATTTGCAACATTTCACGTGACTTGAAGAAGCCAAGAACATGAGAGTGTGAGAGATGAGTTGGAAAAAAAAAAAAAAAAAAAAAAAATTTTTTTTTTCACATGTCTTGCATGAAAAAAAATAAAATAAAATATAATATAATAAGTAATAAAAAACCATAGAGAGAAACATTGGGAACTTAATTAAAGTGTCAAAAAAAAAAAAAAAAAAAACTCGTAGTAAATGGAGACTTTTCGGGAGAGTGAAAATATATTTGAGTTGTTATTGTCTTTTGTCAAACAAAAAAAAAAAAAAAAAGGGTTGGACTTACTGGAAACCTAAATGTGTGGCTTGGAGGGCCTCGGTGTAGGGAGAATTGATATTCATATATATATATATATATATGGAGAATTATTATTTAAGATACCTGGGGAAGCCGCACGCTCATTATTTTCACTTAAAGTTTAAAGTTACGGAAGTTAAATGAACTGATTATGTATTAAGTCGTATACGTTAAATTTGAAAAATTAAACTAAATTAAAATAAAATAAAAATTAAGTTAAGTTAAGTTAAGTTAAATTAAATTAAATTTAAAACGCTCAACCAGCCTAAATCAAGTCCACTTGATTTTGCAAGAAATCAACTTTAATTCCTCCATTGTAATTAATTATTTTAAAATAAAACTTCATTAACACATTCTAACTATTAAAAATCATTAAGGTATATATATATATTTACAAGGCATCGGGCTGCTTGAGAATGTACTCAACGGCCTGGCCAACAGTCTTAATCTCGTCAGCTTCATGGTCAGGAATCTCAATGCTGAACTCCTCCTCAATGGCAAGGACAACCTCAACAACGTCTAAACTGTCAAGACCCAGGTCAGATGAAAAGTTGGTTTCAAAAGTAATGGCAGAAGGATCAGCGACCTTTTAAAAAAAAAAATAAGAGTTAGTCATAAATCAAAAAATTAACTTGAAATATATAAGTAAAAGATTGCCTCTTGTCACAAAAGTACAAAAAAATATCAGGTGAAAGATGAAAAAAAACTTAGAGTTACATGATTGTATTCAAAATTTTCAGTGTGATTGTGATTTTTTGTTCATCATTGTAAATTATGACAAGGTAATTTTATTTTATACATTAACCTCAAAGGGTTAAAAGATAAAAAAAAAAAAAAAATGCATACCTTATCATAAGATTCCAGCAGACCAACAATGCGGTCGTAAACAGAATCCTTTGTGAGTGGAGGAGGACCAGCACTGTACATCCGTCTGGGTATTAAAGTAGCAGCTGCCGAAGCAGTCTTTTGAAAGTGTGAAAGAAGCTGAGGTCGGGCATTGAGCTGAGAACTACGGCACGCCAGCGACAGTGTATATGTGGAAGCAAGACGGACAGAAGCTGGGGTGGCTGCGACAGCGACACGGCGCAGAGACTTGAGAGTGGTGTTTCTGAACATCGTTATGTGTATGTGTGTGATGTAAAAAGGGGGGAGGGGGTATATGTGATTGATTGATGGGAAATAAGTTATTTAGAAAAAAATAAAAATAAAAAAAGAGGATTTAAATGAAAAAGAGAGAGAGAGAGAGAGAGAGAAAGGGAAAGATATATAGAAATGGTAAAGGTTTAAAAAAAAAAAAAAAAAAAAAAATTTTTGGCCATAAAGGAAGGCTTCTTAGTGGTAGAAACACGAGCTTACACACACACACACATATACATACGAAAAAAAAAAAAAAAAAAAAAAAAAATTGACCCGTCTGGTAAAAAAAAAAAAAAAAATTTGTATTGCAGAATATAGGATAAGACGTGTAGTAAGCGTTGCTAGGAGTAACAATATTGTAAAAGTTACTGGCGAATCACACGTCACTAGAAAAAAATCAACGAAATTGACAAGCCATAAAAGTGTGTAACAAAAAGAAGTATTATTATTATTATGTAATGTAATATAAATATTTAATAAAATTGTGTAATATCTTACTTTGTTGTATTGTGTTTACCATATATACTATAATACTAATATATTTTAATTTTAAAATACTTTTTTGATCCTAAAATTTGATTTTAATGATTTTTAGTTACTTAAAAAAGGGTTTTTTTTTTTTTTTTTTTTTTTTCTAATTCATATATTAAAGAGTTAATTGAATTATAATTCCTTTATAAAATACTTTTTAATGATATCTTATAACTAGAAAAGACAAATCTCTATTATTGATACCAGATTTTGGTTCTCCCATATGTCATTTACTCAGTAGATAAAAAAAAAAAAAAAAGTCCGTTAGAAAAATAGTCAACTAACACTAAGAATAATATTACCATGTTATTATAAATATTGAAACCACACAAAAATCAATTGAAAATATATATATATTATATATATATATCAAACACATTTCATATCACTTAATTCAATTTGCTTTAGTTTCTTTTTAAGCATTATCACTCACAAATCTTTCTGTTTTTTTTTTTTTTTTTTTTTTGGTATATTTAGAGACGTATCGTAAATCATAATATTATTCACTTGAAATATATATTTCTATTTCTATTAGATTGATGTTACAATTTTATTAATATTAATAATGTCAAATGTCATAGATCTTAAAAAAATATAGATTTTTTTTTTCTATATATATAGGATCTAATTGTTTCTTGTATAATGCCATTAAAAGCACTTTTTCTGGTAAAGCAATCATATAAATAATTCTTCTCTAATTCAAAGCTATAGCAGTTTTTTTTTTTTTTTTTTTTTTACACATTTTTAACTTGATTGTATAGGTGAAAATCACATATAAAAATAAAAGTCATTTACTGAAATATTTCAAAAGAAAAAAAAAAATATTTATTAACCCCAAAAAAGAAAAAAAAAAAAGAAAAAAAAAAAAAACTAAATACATTTACAAAAATTTTATTTTATTTTATTTTTTTTTTTCAAATTATTATTATTATTATTATTATTATTATTATTATTTTCCAATTTTTTTTTTCAATCATTTTCTCCCCCCCACTTTTTTTTTTGTTCCAAAAATTCCAAAAGTTTTAATCGTTTCAATTTCCTCATACTCACGACATTTGCCCAATTTCCGTGGTAGTTGCATTGAGACCCATGACATTCAAAAACAAATTCAAATTGCCAATCTTCTGGAGACCCATTTCCGGTGGTAATGCCTTGGCCTCTGCCATGACGCCAAAAATCTTTTCACGTACCTCATCAACAATCACACGCTGATGGTCTAGACTGGCAGCAACAGCCAATGACGCCAAAAAGTGCCACACATAAGAGTCGTCAACACGGCGGGGAGGGAAGAGTGATGCAAGGTGGCCTTGAAGGGACTGGAAGAGAGCGTCAAAAGTGGCCTTCCAACTGGCCAAGTCTGTTTCGTCAACGGGTTGGTGCTCGGCATCTTGTTGAGAAATGTACTCGGCTTGCGAAATGAGAACTGTCAAGATAGACAAACCAATCTTGGTCTTGGCTACGTGAACAATGTCGTTTGATGTCTGCAAAATCTCAAGCAAACCAATAACAACGCCAAATTCAGACTCAGAAATGAGTTGGACAAGAGGCGGCAGAACGGATTGCAAAAAGTTATCCACAGACTCCTTGGCGTGAGGCTTCAGGTCTTCACCATCAAGATAAACGCCATCTTGAATAACATCAAGGGTATCGAGATGGTTAATGATGCGGGTCAAAATGGTCAGTCTTTGTGTCAGGTTCAAGTGTCTAAAGATACGTGGAATCAAGCGCTTGCCCTTATTATGGCGCAGAATCTCAATAAACGGGTTACCGACAACATTGCGATTATCCTCTGGCTCGAGAGCAACAAGTTCGAGTTGATCCCAGAGCTTGTGGTATTGTACTTGTAACCGGGCATCCCAGTCCACAGGATCTTCTTCAGTAGACTCCTGAGGCTGCTCAGACTCTTCCTGCTGAGGAGCTTGTTGTTGAGACTGCTGTTGGGATTGAGATTGGGATTGGGATTGGGGCTGGGACTTAGATCGCTCAATTGACTCAATTTCAAGCAAGGTAGAGTAAATGTCTTCAACCAAAACCAACAAGCTTCTCAAGTCTTTGGGAGCAGCTTGCTCATCTCCAGCATTAGTACCGGCCTTGGTAGTCAGTTTCTTGAGAACCAAAGCCTGGCGTGGCTTTTTGCTGTTACTAAGCGAAATCTTACCAAGAGCACCTTCCAAAGAAATCTGCTCCTTTTGAGGATGTTCGCGTGCATATGCCACAGCCTGCTGCACTTGCTGCTGCATACGCTGGAGAGGATTGTCTTGGTGACGGTTACGGCCGTAGCGGCTATTGTTGCCACCACCGCCAAAGTAAAAGCCACCACCACCACGCTGGTTGCCGCGCTGGAACAGGTATGTCTTTGCAAACGAGTTGAGGGGTTGCTGAGGATTAGAACGAGCCTGAATTTGGGACGACACAACGTAATAAAAGTCCTCGTTGAAGGGGTCCTCCGTGACCACACGATTAAGTTGGATACGGGTAATCAGGCTCTTGTCGTAGGCTGTCATCAAGTTGTTGTACTTGTATTGCTGAGCAATGCGGCGACTCTTTTTAAGCAAGCGGTCATTCTCAGCGTCATTCTTCGACATGTCTTCCATCATAACTTGGGCAAGAGATGGGATGGGGTTCCGGGAGACATTAAGATTATAAGGTGGGGTTTCACCATCGACTGAAGGCTGAGTAGGTTGCTGCTGCTGCTGCTGTTGTTGCTGTTGAAGATCTTGCTGGGGGATGGATTGAGCAAGAGGCTGTTGAGGGGGTTGATTTGCAAAAAGCTGAGCAACACCTGCCGAAGTAGGCTGCAGAGGAGGCTGCTGTTGCTGTTGCTGTTGTTGCTGAGGCTGAGGCTGAGGCTGAGGCTGCTGTTGCTGTTGCTGGGGTTGTTGTTGTTGTTGCTGTTGCGGGAACTGCTGCTGTTGTTGTTGCTGCTGCTGCTGAGGTTGCTGGATATAAGGCGGCTGAGCAGGAGGGTATCCACCCATGGGGTTATTAAGAATAGCAGGATCCTGGAGAAACGGACCAGCGGGACCAGGGGCATACTGGCCCGGGAATCCAGCCATACCGGGAGGGTACTGAGGTTGTTGCTGAGGTGGTGCCTGTTGGTATCCGTATTGGCCTGGGACGGGAGCTCCATAAAACATATTTTGCTGCTGAGGAGGAGCCTGAGTGGAAGCCGCCATCATCTGAGCCTCGAGTTCTTCAACTGACAGCATTTTGTTTGCCTTAGGAGGTTCAGAAAGATCTTGCTGTTGCTTGGCTAGGGCAGAGCCAGCGGTAGAAGAAGTTCCTGAGGGAGACCCCCAAAGACCAGGGATAGGCTGGAAGTTGCGAGCTTGGACTGAAGGCGATGACTTGTACTGAGGAACGGAAGTAGCAGGTCCCCCAGCGGCGGCAGCAGCTGCAAATGACATTGTTTGAGGGTTTGTAGTTGCGGCAGCTGCAGAAACAGCAGCAGCAGAGACTACCGAAGGTTGAAGACTTCTGTTTGAACGGTTAAAGACAAACTGTTCTTCGTCGATGGTGTCAGCAACGCGAGCAGTCTGGCCTGCAAAATCAAAGTCCTTGTCGAGAGCTGAGGCGTTGAAGTCGCCAAAAGTCTCGTCATTGAGGTCGTCATTGTCCTCCACAATCTTTCCAGCGAGGTCGTCGTAGGCGGCGGCGTTGGAGAGATCAAACTCCTGGGCCTTAGCGCCCTCGGCTGGAATTGCGTCCAAGCCGAAAAAGGACATTTTTTTTGGGTAGAAAGAGAGAGGGAGGGAGGGAGGGAGGGAGGGAGAGAGGGTTTGTGATGGTTAGGATAGGATGGAGGGTGATTTAAGGTGTTAGCAATGAAAAAGGAGGGATTATGGGTGGTGATGGTGCTGGTTGGATGTATTTATTATTTTTTTTGGGGGTGGCCGTGCCAGGTGGATTTGGTGATTATTTATGGTGGTGGTGAGAGGATTTGGTAAAAATTTTCTTTGTATGACGCATGATAGGAGTCTTTTTTTGGTGGTGTTGCATAAAGTTGGGTAGGGTAACATTTATGCCAAAAGTTTTTTTTGGTGGGAGGGAGGTTGGAAAAAAAAAAAAAAAAAAAAAAAAAGAAGGGACAGACGCCATTCAGTTAAAGTGATATAATTTTAATGCTGGAAATTTTCAACGTTCAACATTAAAAAAAAAAACGATTCAAAGGCACAATGATTGTATTTTTTTTTAAAATAAAGAAGCTAAGAATAAATTATTTTTTAGAGTATAATTGAAGTTTTAAATTAAGAAGGATTTTAAAAAAAAAAATATTAGATGAGGGGTCTCTTTTAAAAGCTATGACCGAAATCTACCATGATTTATTCATTTAAATTTTCTCCGTTAAAATTCTACATTAACTATATTTATATTGACAATTCTATGACCGGACTTTAAGCAAACATTGTTTTTTTAAAAAAAAAAAACAGTTAACCAGACTGTTTGAACAGAGTGGTGCAGAACAATCAGAAAGAAACTAATCAACTTGACCACCAAACTTTGTTAATATTTTTTTTTTGTTGACTATTAGTCTTATAGGACTTGACAATGAATAACATTACTGTCCATAATTATATCAAAATTAACACTTGACCCTTCTTCTGTTCCAAGATAATATGAAGGAGGTCCCATTAAACCATTTTCACTTGACTTTTGTCCAACATTACTTTTCTGACCAGAATTTTAGTACTGTTGATGACAATGGCAATTGAATAACAAATAATAGTTATCCTTGAGTGTCTTTACCAATCGTTATGAGACTCTGTTTGATTCTCATGATGAAATTTTTTTTTTTTTTTTTTTTTTTTTTTTTTTTCAATTGATGAACTTGTTTGGTTGATAAATACAATTGTAAATCCAAATACGAATAAGTAATCTTTAAGCTAAAAGAACTAAAATGAATACATAGATATCAAACTTTATGCGGTTTTAATATGATGAGCATGTTATGTTTATGAATAGTTGATTGAATATTTTACACTTGATATTTTAATTTTTTTTTTTTTACTTATAGTTGAAGTTTAACAATCCAAAAATCAAACTAAGCTTATTTAACGACAACAGATGCAAAACGTAAATAAATATAAAGAAAGTAGTATATGAATCCAAAGGGGTAACTGACCAAAACAATGTACTGGGCTCTACCTGTGAAATAACTGAAATAATAATAAAAAACAACAAAAAAGTAATTGGGAAATAAATTGGTATAAATGTAAGTGTGTGAGATAAATGGAGATTTTTAGACAAATGGATTAGAAGCACAATTTGGGAAAAAAAAGACAAAAATGGAAGGATTTTCAAAACCATTAATGGGTATTTTACTTTAATTAATTTTGATAAATTAATCAATGTATTAACAAAAGTTGTAGGTATCAAAAAGATGAAAAAAAAAAATTAAACTTAATACTTGTTGATCATTTGTAAAACCTTTCAAATCAAAATGTTTTTTTTTTGGTAATTGCTTGAATAGTTTAAGAAAAGAATAAAAAGGGATATTATGTAGCAGATAGTTATATACAGAACTTTAAATACCAATTTTTTTTTTTTTTTTTTCATTTTGAACATTGACAATTACGTATTTCTACTTTTTTTTTTTCAGTAAGGCTTCCTTCCAAAAGAAGCCTTACTGATATAACTTTAAACCATGATCACTGCAACAGAAGGTTAATGCATCAGGCGTCATTGTACAATTCAGTTAGGTTTTTTTTTTTTTCTTTGAAGAAGTTCAGTTTTAAGCAGGAAATTCTTTGTATGGAAGAAAAGAAAAGAAAAGAAAAGAAAAAGCATGTGTTGAGTTTCCAGGTTTTTTCATTATGATATATTTATTAAATATTTAGTAGTCTTTATGACTAGTCTTTGATATTATGAAATTGAATCATATATATATATATATATATATTTAAACTGGTATTTTCTAAAAGTAGTGTTATGGGTTGTTCATGGTTAAAGCTTTTTGATGGTAGTATTATACTATATATTATTATATAGGATACAATAGAATATTTAACCCTAACCTTGGATTATTTACTTTTACACGTAAGTCACATGGAATAGTGTATATTACTAAAATATTACTAAGAAGTCTTTTTTTTTAGTCCACTTAATTAATAAGAAAGAAAGAAAGAAAGAAATATTTTGGTCTGGAGAATTGCAAAAGCGCAACTTTTTTTTTTTTTTTTTGATCAACAAGATTTGAGATTTTCAATTATAAAAAAACAATTTGCTACATTTATTTATTTATTTATTTTCTTTCTTTTTCCTTGATACCATTGCATTAGAATAAACTTCAGGAGATGGTTTTCTATAGAAAAAAGAAAGATAAATAATTATTGTAGGATTTTTTTTATCTTTTTTTTTTTTTTTATTGTTAACCATCAAAAGGTTTTTATTATATATTCTTTCCATTTATTATAAATGAAAAAATAAAACGTCTTTGATCTAATTATTATATCTTTTTATTATTTTATTATTTTATTATTTTATTATTTTATTATTTTATTATTTTATTATTTTATTATTTTATTATTTTATTATTTTATGGTTAGAAAAACTTGATTAGGGAATTACGAAGACAAATAACTTCCATTTCCCTTTTCAAAAACAAAGTTTGGCGCAAGGCACAAAACTTTAAAACACACAAAAAGGCAATTGGGGTGGGAAATAAATCAAAAACAAAAGTGAGTTGGTTTTTTTTTTTTTTTTTTTTTAAGTGATTATTGGATTTATTATTCTATTTCATTAATAAAAAAATGAATATAATAATCTCATAATTATAATAATTTTATTTATTTTTTATTTATTTATTTTAAATTGAAGTAATTTTGGGTAAAAAATCATCTTTAATGTTTTAAATAAATTGTGTGGGGAAAAAAAAAAAAAAAAAAAAAAAAAAAAAAAAAAAACAAACCTCCATCAACACCAACATCAAAACTAAAAAAAAAAAAATTGCATCGCCATAGTGGGGAGGGACTAATTTAGTTATTTGTAAAGAAAAGAAAAGAACAAAAAAACAGACCAATAGTGGAATATACAATACTTAGAGAGTAAGAAACAAAAAAATAAAAAAGAAAGAAAGAAAGAACAAAGACTACTTTAAAATAAACATTATGTATATTAAATATATATATAGAAAAGACAATAAAAAAAAAAAGAAACTAAATATTAATTTTTTATATTAAAAAAAAACACATCATCGTAATCATTATCATCATTCATCATTCATTAACTTCACATCAAACTTATTCTTCTTCTCTTCTACCGACTCACATCAGCACTTGTAATCATCATGGCAGGACCAGCTCCATGTTTACTACCTCCAAAGGGCCCTCCGTGACCATGTCCGGTGCCACCTCCTCCAGCTCTCTTAGGAGTAAACTTGCCAAAGACCCGTTTCATCATAATCTTTTTAGAATTTCCATCCTTTCCAAACCCACCCACTGGAATCATTCCACTGCTACCTCCACCAGATGAGTTTTCCTTTGTTTGATTGTGATTGGAATCATAAGCATAGACTCCAGGTGCAACCACCGTCATTCCACTGGTTACTGGCATTGTTCCAGAAATTGTTGGTGATGATAATAATGATGATGACGATGACGACGAAAACAAGCCTGCAGCAGAAGCAGAGACAGAGGCAGAGGTAGAAGCAGCAGTGGCAGTGGCAGTGGCAGTAACAGTAGTAGTAGTATTAGTAGTGCTGACACCACCCCCTGCATGCATACTTTCATAAGAACTGTCTAACGACTTGCGCACGCCGCCAGCCGCACTGCCACCCGCGTCGTCTAGCCCAGTGTCGAACGAAAAGCGTGGGGTTGAGCCCTCGTCGTCACCTGTGGCCGAGGCATCTCTTTGCCAACCGTAGAGAATAGCTTCATCTGCACGCATTGTTGGTGGAGTGAGGGTGAATTTGAGAGTCATTTCTCGGGGGACTGCTGCTACAAACGCTTGAGAATCTGGCCGTAGTGTATATCTAGTTGTAGAGTGTTTCTTTTCTGGGGTTAATAAAGAAGAAGAAGAAGAACAGGCTGAAGGTTGACTAGCAGCTGTTGAATCATCATCTTCATTACTACTCTTTTTCTTTTTATTTTCTTGGTCATCCAAGGCTTGTTGTTGTTGCTGCTGCTGCTGTTGTTGTTGCTGTGTTTGTTGCTGTGTTTGAATTTGGTCAGGGGTATAGCCGAGAAGCAGGAGGTCTGCAGGGGCTACATGAATGGGGAATCCAAACTCAATCACCTCATCGAACTTGACTTCTGAGACAGCCAATAGTCGTAGCTTATCTTCAATTTCGCGGTCGAGATAGTGTTTTGTGGTTGACTGTGATACAGAAGGTAAAGGAGGAGGAGGAGGATGATGATGATGAGCGAGTGAAGCTTGTCGAGACCGAAATGGGTTTTTTGTCGAAGGCACAGAAAAGCTGGAACTAATGCTACTAAGACTTTTACTTGCCAGCAAGGTTCCGGAAGAGGCAGACGAAGCTGGGGCTGTTGGTGGATGTAAGGCTTGTTGGGAAGGTCTGCGAAAGGTTGAAGATTGTTTATGGTTTAAAGCTGAGGTATAAGTAGATGAGCCCGAGTCTGTTGGATGAAGAGGAAGAGTAGGGTTTACTGGGGAGTATACTTGGGAAAGTTGGGGGTCATGATGTTGGACTGAAAGAGTAGAAGCTGTAGAAGGAGAGTATGGTAGATGAGCTGGTTGTAAGGATGAAGCTGTTGTAGAAGCTGTTAATAGAGTTGTTGTTGTTGTTGTTGTTGTTGTTGTTGTTTGAGTGACTGAAGAAGAAAAAGAAGAAGAAGAAGAAGTTGCCAAAGAAGACGGCAGTTGCTGGTCTGTAGCCGTTGCTGGTAAGGTCTGAGAAGCAGAAGATGAAAATGAGCGCTTGATAAGCATGCTGCGTTTCTTTCTAGCTTTTTGCGATGGAGGAGTAGAAGTAGTAGTTGTAGTTGTAGTAGAAGAAGAAGAAGCAGGAGAATTAAGAGAAGCAGGAGAATTAGGAAAATTAGGAGAAGTAGGAGAAGTAAGAGAAGTAAGAGAAGTAGGAGAAGTAAGAGAAGAAGGAGAAGTAGGAGAAGTAGGAGAAGGAAGAGGGGCAGATGAATCTGTTAAATTAGAACTAATCTGGGATAAAGATTGAGTCACGGGTATTGAAGATTTTGAGCCGAAAAAAGATGGTCGGTGCTTGTCTGCAAAAAGTGCAAAAGAAGAGAATGAAGAGGACTGGGTGAGCCGTGAATTATGCTGGTGTTGTTGGTGCTGTTGGTGCTGATGGGTGCTGGACGAGTTTGCTATGGTAGCAGCAGCAGCAGCTGTAATTTCCATGCGGTTCATGCCAGTTTGATTACCACTTCTGTAGACCGGAGCTTTAAGCGGCATTACGTCCGTGGCCAGAGTTGGAAGATCTTCTAGATGTTGTTGAGGTAAGGAAGCCGAGGGCTGCTGTAATTGTTGTTGTAGTTGTGGTGAGAAATTAGAAGGAGGTGAAGAATATATCTGGTTATTATTATTATTATTATTATAATTATTATTGTCATTATTATTATTATTATTAGTAGTATTATTATTAGTAGTAGTATTATTATTATTAGTAGTAATAGTAGTAATAACAAAATTATTATCACCATTATTCTGGTCACTACTCATAGTAACATCATTGTTTGTGTCCACAAAAGTACCTTCCAAAGACTTCCTAGAAGCCTTTTTTAAAAATTCTTCCTTTCCTTCTTCCCCAAACAACGTCCGCAAATCTTCTTTTTCCTTTTCATCTACTTTAACCTCCTGTGCTCCAACCATCTGGATCCGCCCGGTCGGCGCAAAATGGAATCCTTCCTCTGCCGGCGTTGCCCGGACACCAGATGCCGAATCATTCAGTGGGTATTTTGTCACAGCAACAATCACGTGGCGCCCGAGCCCATTAGTCGCTGTGGTAGTGGTAGTGCTGGTGGTAGAGTTGGTAGTAGCGGTAGAAGTAGAAGTAGAGGTAGTCTTGGTGGTACCAGCAGCAAAAGTCCTAGTATTGATGATACCATCGTTGTTCTTACCGCTTCTGTTGTCAATAGTGCTGCTCTCATTCACACTAATGTCTCCACCAGAATCTTTGTTAGACTTAGCTAACAAAAGTGGTTGCTGATTGTCTTCCCATTGAACAGTTTTGGGTGCAGATGAGACTAAAGGAATAGGAGGGACTAGAGGGACTAGAGGGACTGGAGGAACCTGAGGAACCTGAGGAACCTGAGGAACCTGAGGAACCGGAGGAACCGTGAAAGAATCTTTACGAGTTGTACCATCACGTCCAAGTACCAGTGCCCGCAAAGCAGGCATACTTGTGCTAGCCCGCATTCTTGGGCTTTCCTTTTTTGCCTTGGCAAATGTATCCAGGAAAGAGTGACCAGACATGACACCAGCTTGTGGCTGCTGCTGAGGCGGTGATACAAGTTGATTTGATTTTTGGCGACGTGAGCTAATTTGAGAATGCAACTCAGCTTGTGCTTGACGAGCAGCTTGCATGTTTGATTCTTGAACAGACTTCACCGAGCTCATTGACTGACCAGACCGCACAGACCTCATCGAGTTAAGTGACTGACCAGATCGCACAGACTTGACCGAGTTCAATGACTGACCAGATCGCACAGACTTGACCGAGTTCAGTGACTGACCAGATCGCACAGACTTGGCCGAGTTCAATGACTGACCAGATCGCACAGACTTGACCGAGTTCAGTGACTGACCAGATCGCACTGACCGAACAGACCGCACAGATCCAGTCATGCTACCCGTTCTACCAGAAGAATCATGATATCCAAACAGTGATGGTGAAGGACGACCCAAAAGTCGTGCAGACAAAGACGACGATCGAGGAGCTACCGGTTGAACATTTGTTGTTGTTGAAGAAGAAGAAGTCTTATTAATATTGGCAGAAGCTGAAGAAGATCCAGACCCAGAAGCCGCGGCTGCGGCAGCAGCAGCAGCAGCAGCAGCTGCTGCTGCTGCTGCTATTGTTGCACCAGGAATATTCCCGCTGCCTCCTTTTTTCCTTGGATTGGATTGACTTTTTCTTTCTTGCAAAGATGCTCTTAATGCACTTTCTCGCATTATTGATGGTTGTTGCTGTTGCTGTTGCTGATGGTTTAATGAGCTCCCTATATGGATCGGCTTGGTACTGAATTTCACACTGCGTTGTGGTATTTGAGATTGATTCTTTAACTTTTGCTGTTGTATAGAAGAGAATGATGATACCTTTCCCTCGTTTTGAATACCATTGACGAACGTTGGGGGTGTTTCAAAACGACTGAAACCAGTTCCTACTCGAGAGAAAGTCATGGGCTGCTGCTCTTGCTTCTGTTGATGATACTGGGTTATTGTTTTGAGCTTAGCTGCTGAATCATTCACCACGTTTTCACTTGCCTGAACAGTTATTGTTTCAATACTACCCCGGATTGGTTGCTGTTTTAACTCAGCTCGACGAGGTGAAATAGGTGGCACTTTGGGCGATGGTGAACCCGGCGGAGTTGGTGCCTGCGCTGAGCGAGCAGAAATGTGATTCAACAGTGGCGTGACGACTGGCGTTGTTGTTATTGACGAATCGATTGGGGATGATAAAAAGAAAGAGGGCGAAGACGGTGACGATTCTGATGACGACGATGGAGAAGAAGGACCAGATGATTCAGGCGATGAAGAAGACGAAAAGGCAGATGAAAAGTTGGAAGCTAAGGAAAATGCCGATCCCGCTGGGGCTTGAGGTAATGGTAAAGATGGAGGTGGAGAAAGTGGAAGCGAAGAAGACCGAATAAATGGCGGCAAAAGATTAGGAAGAGACTGGGGCTGAGGGAAGCAAACTTTGGAACTTGTTGATAATGAGCGATTTGACTCTGCTATTGCAATTCCTCCTTGGTAGTGGTGTGGTGCAGATGGTACTTGAGAACCTATATGGAGAGAAGCAGATGAGGATGTTGGGGGGATATACTGTTGCGCAGAAGATGAGGCCATAAGCATGGGGTCTGAACGGCCAGCAGGAAGACAAGCTAGAGGCTGCAAAGCAAAGTTCAAGGCCAGAGTAGATGAGAAGTGAGGATTTTGAAGGTGGTTTGCAATGTGCTGCTGCTGCTGCTGCTGATGATGATGATGATGATGATGATGGATATTCTGAGGATGGGCGTGTTGCTGGATAGGAAGGGGAGATTGAGACAACACAAGTCGTTGGGTGGACCAAAGCTTGTTGCTGCTGCTGTAAAACTTTGTTTCAGTCGTCATAGTTTGAGACACAGATGGTGCCCTAACCAGTTCCTGTGAAGGTCGAGGAGAATTATCCCAGTCATATCGTGCAATCATATCGTCTAGCGCCTGATCATTTGCGTTTTCAATTTTGCTATGGTTGGTGAAGTCGAACTTATCTTCATAATCATCTTCATCATCTTCGTTTTCTTCTTCTTCTCGCTCAAACGGCTGGCGCAAATAATATTGCGGGGACTCAAACGGCTTTGCTCCATCCAAAGTACTGGTTGATGATGGACCACGGTAACTTAGCTGGTTACGACTAATATTATTCCGGAATTTAGGTGTAGTGGACGCTGATGAAGAAGAAGATGAAGGCGATGATGGCGACAAAACTGGGCTAGAAAGACCGGCTGGCCGCATGTCCACAGGCGTTAAAGCTTGTTGCGAAGACGCGTTTAAGGCCGCGCGTTCCCAGTTCATTTGCTGAGGGTCGTGTCGACTACCGGAAGACCATTCTGACAACTTTGGACTACCGCTCGTTGTTTTCTTAATAATATGGAGCGGTGCAACCTGGTCCAGTTGCTGATCTTTGGACATGATAATGCTGATGATGACAATGATACTTTATTTTAAACTGGTTTGTTTGTTTGTTTACAAAAAGAAGAATGAGAAACAAAAGATAGATAGATAAATAGATAGATAGATAAAAAGAAAAAGGTTAGTGGAATGTAGAATTTTTTGGCCGTACCCATATTAAAATCTTCTTACGGGGGAGGTTTATTCTCAAATGTTGAATATTCAATGGCAATCAAAAAGCCCCTGAAATACGCTCAATCGAGGTCCTTACATTTTACCTATTTAAGACTAACAAAGACGGGGCTTATGCAAGACCAAAATGTAAATAAAAAAAAAAAAACAACTCCGTTTTTTTTTAATAATAATAAATGCACATCTTTTTCTATCATAAAGCAATAATAATCTAACTAGTTATAAAAAACAAATGAAAGAATAAAAAAAAAAAAAAAGGAAACTACTAATACAGCTTTACACTCTAGGAACGGGCCCGCCGGGACTAGTGGGCAAACGTGCAGTCAGAACCTCAACTCCATCCTCAGTCACTAGCAAAGTGTGCTCAAACTGCGCACTGCGCTTACCGTCCACAGTCACAGCTGTCCAGTTATCAGGCCACATAGAGTCTCGGTAACTACCCAGGTTAAGCATTGGCTCAATCGTAAAGCACATACCAGCCTTGGCCATACCAATAGCCTTGTTTCGGGCATAGTGGGGAATGTTGGGAGGACAATGGAACAGGCTGTTGACACCATGACCAGAGTATGTTCGCACAACACTCAGCTTATTGGCTTTAGCATGCTTCTCGATAATGTCACCAAACGACCGGAACAAAACTCCAGGCTTGACAGTTTTGATTGACATATCCAAAGCCTCTCTTGTAGTTTCAACAAGTCTCACAGTGTCAGGATCATTTTTGGCCTTATCGCCAACATAATAAGTCTCGTTCAAATCAGCATGGTATCCACCCAAATATATACTAATATCCAGGTTCACAATATCTCCATCTTCCAGAGGACGTTGATCAGGAATGCCGTGGCAAATCACTTCGTTAACACTTGTGCAAACGCTTCGAGGGAAATGGTAGTAGTTAAGTGGCGATGGGTAAGCCTTGTGCTTCATACACTCAGCGTGCACAACTGCGTCAATCTCATCCGTAGTCACACCAGGCTTCACAGCAGCCGCAGCTGCATCCAGGACTTCTCGGCCAATACGGCAAACTTTGCGCATACCCTCGATTCCGTCCTTATCGAGAATCTCAATTGTAGTTGCTCGGGCTCCTTGTTCAGATCGAGGCATACCGTCCCGTGCATAATCGGGTAGCACAACGTCCGGATCAACCGCACGTCTGGGTGCAAGAGGGTAACATGCGTGCAAAGTTCCGGTGTAAACGCCAGCTGGGAAAGGATCGTAGGTCTTGCCCTCGGTATCAGCCTTAGGGTGCACGGCCTTATGAGTCTTCCAGTTGCGCTTAAAGCAAGCCTGCGAGCAAAACACAGACTCCACACCATTCTTCAAACACGTAGGGCACTTGAGACGTGTATTTGTATCCTTACCACAGTCGCTTCCGCAGCACTGGGTGATTCTTGTCTCGTCGTCGGTTGCGCTCATTTTTATTTTTTATTTATTTGGTTGGGAGGGGATTTTTTTTTTTTGTGGGTTTGTGTGTGAAGACAAAAAAAGGCGGTGTGAAACTTAAAAGAAAAGAGTAAAATTTTCAACTAACCCTAGCCCTTATCACGTGCCAACCTAACCCTGATTTCATCACTCATTTTTTTTTTTTTTTCAAAGAAAATTTTTTCAAGTCCAGACAAAAAAAAAAAAACTTCAAAAGTCTACATCCACACATCTCTATCACCACCACCACCACCACCACCACCTCAAACCCATTTCCATCATGGTCAGCAGAGATACCATCGACTACATCCTCTTTGAGGAGGCCGCCGGTTACGCCCTCTTCAAGGTTATCCTGCAGCCTTCCACTATCGGCTCTCGTCTCCCTGAAGTTCAGGAAGCCGCCAACGACGTTGCCAAGTTCCGCAAGCTCCTTGAGCTCGTCTCCTTTGCACCTTTCCAGACCGCTGCCCAAGCTCTGGAGAACGCCAACGACGTTTCCGAAGGTATTGTCAGCGATTACCTTAAGGCCATTCTTGAGCAGAACATTCCTCGCACTGAGAAACCCTCCAAGGAAAAAATCGTCCTTGGTATCTCCGACAAGAATCTGGGTCCCTCTATCAAGGACGCGCTTCCTTGGGTTGAGCCTGTCAACTCTGAAGTTGTCCAAGATATTCTCCGTGGTATCCGTAACCACGGTGTCAAGCTTCTTAAGGACCTCCAGCAAGGTGACCTTGAGCGTTCCCAGCTTGGTCTGGCCCACGCTTACTCCCGCTCCAAGGTTAAGTTCTCTGTCAACAAGAATGATAACCACATTATACAAGCCATTGCTCTCATTGATCAGCTCGATAAGGATATCAACACTTTTTCCATGCGTGTTAAGGAATGGTATGGCTGGCACTTTCCTGAGCTGGCTAAGATTGAGAATGACAATCTGACATATGCCAAGCTGGTTCTTTTCATCAAGGACAAGGCCACTCTGTCCCAAGATAAACTTCACGATCTTGCTGCTCTTGTCAATGAAGACTCTGGTCTTGCCGAGCGCATCATTGAGGCTGCCCGTATCTCCATGGGTCAAGATATCAGCGAGACTGATATGGACAATATTGTTACTTTTGCCCAGCGCGTTGCCAACATCACCGAGTACCGCAAGCGTCTGTTTGACTATCTCTCGGAGAAGATGCACACCGTTGCTCCTAATCTCAGCGAACTTATTGGTGAGGTTGTTGGTGCCAGACTGATTTCCCATGCCGGTTCTCTCACCAACCTGTCGAAATACCCTGCCTCGACGGTCCAGATTCTGGGTGCCGAGAAGGCTCTTTTCCGTGCCCTTAAGACCAAGGGCAACACCCCCAAGTACGGTCTCATCTACCACTCTTCTTTCATTGGCAAGGCTGGTGCCAAGAACAAGGGCCGGATATCCCGTTTCCTTGCTAACAAGTGCTCTATTGCTTCTCGTATTGACAATTACTCAGAAACCCCCACCAACAAGTTTGGTGAGGTTCTCAAGCGCCAGGTCGAGGAACGTCTTGAGTACTTTGACACTGGTAAGCCCCCAATCAAGAACTCTGAGGCTATGAAGCTTGCAATTGACGAAATTGGTGTCCCTAGTGTTGCTGCTGAGGCCATTGAGGAGGTCAAGGAAGTCAAGGAGGACAAGAAGGAGAAGAAGGAAAAGAAAGACAAGAAGGAGAAGAAGGAAAAGAAAGACAAGAAGGAAAAGAAGGAAAAGAAGAGATCTCTGGAAGACGATGAGTCTGCTCCTAAGAAGAAGAAGAAGAAATCCAAGGATTAATGAGGTTATGATTAATAATAATAAAAAATTTACAGTAGAAATTATAATTAAAGAGAAGAAAAAAAAAAAAAAAACTCTGAATTTACAGATACATTCGAGATGATTGCGATGGGAGCGTGGATTGTGTTTGTTGTAGGCCGAGGCTGGTTTTGACTAAGTATGCAAGTGCTAATAGACCATCAGAATCCACTTGCTCGTGATCCACAGGACCTTCGCCTGCAACTACCAAGGCTAGTGCCCGTCTATTTTCCAACTCTGCACGAGCAAGAATTGCAGCGGGTGCACCTTGTAAACTTTCCGGAACACTTAGTGGGGGGACAGCAGCAAGGCCAGGCAATAATAATGGAGAATTTGCAGCAGCACTTGATATAAGACTAGCGACAGGCATTTGTGCACCTCCCACACGGCCTGACCCAGCAGCACCACCAGTGGCTGCCAGAACAATTGTTTCATTTGCCAAACCACCTAATGCTGCAGCCAGTTCATGGGTAGCAGGCACTGGAGTTCCTGGAGCCAAGGGCAGAAGCAATGTGTTTGAGTCAATTTGTAAAATTGGAAGTTTGAGAACAAATGGTGAACGAGATTCTGGGGCAAAGGTCCCATCATCATCATCATCATCTTCATCCAAAGATTCTGTTAGACTCTTTGGAAGCGAAGCTGTCAGAGATACAGTGTAAGCTACAGAAGCTGATTCATATGCACGGAATAAAGGTACAAGACGCGAGGCCACAACCACCAAACGAGAAATTGGCTGGGCTCGGGGTGCGGGGCTTAGGGTGGCGGAAAAAGTTGCTGGTTCTGGGTCTTCAATATCTGCATCTTCTTGGTCGTCCAGAAGATGGCGAGGAGGAGGAAATTCGGCCCAAGGTTTAAACTGAATCAATGGTCAAAATTAACTCTTAAAATTAATTTTTTTTAAAGGGATATTTCGCAACTTACAATCATGATTTAAAAGGATATATAAATATATATATATATATGGTTGGTATATAATGTATAAGTTTGAAATTTTTCTGGTGGTCTTTTATTTTATTTTATTTTATTTTTTTTTATTTTATTTATTTTTTTTATTTTATTTATTTTTTTAGTGTGGCACAAAAACCTTTCTCTCTTTTTAATTTTTTTTTTTTTTTTTTTATACCCACCACCACCATCTAGATCTAACAACCATGAGCGCCGCTCCAAATACTGCCACTCCTGAAGTTAACGAGCTGATCGATCTTCTATCGACTCTCCAGGCCGAGCTTGGAGACTTGATTCGCTCTCGTGAGACTCTTGAAGTCCAACTTAAAGAAAACACAATTGTCAAGGATGAGTTCGACACCCTGAGTGAAGATGCCAAAGTCTACAAACTGACGGGTCCCGTATTGCTACCTCAGTCCAAGGCAGAGGCCGAAACAAATGTCAACACTCGTCTTGATTTTATCAAAAAAGAGATTGAACGTGTGGAGAAAAACATTGCAGCTAAGCAAGAAAACGTAAGTTGATACTAAGACTGTCATTTTAATCTAGTACTAATTAAGTAGATTATGGAGAACCGCAATAAGCTGGCCGCTATGAGTGCGCCGCCTCAACAAGCTGCGTGAAAGAATCTGTACAAAAAAAAATCCATCTAAGAATATAAAAATCAAAAAGAAAAAAAAAGTCAAAATTATTCACGTCTTATTATTATTTGAGCAAATTAGCTGGTCCAAAGCTCATTGGTAATAGTTGTTCAAGTGTCATAATTTTGACCTGTTTTGCATCACTTGTAAACATTACGATGCTAATTTCAGTTCCAAACTCGCGAATCATTTGGCGACACACTCCACACGGACTACACAACTCATTTTCATCAGTAATCACTGCAATCGCTCGAAATGTCTTGGGATCAACACCCTCGGAAACAGCCTTAACAAGGGCTGTGCGTTCGGCACAAATGCCAGCTGGGTAGCTGGCGTTCTCCACGTTACATCCAGTAATAAACTCTCCTGTGGTTGTCAGAATCACAGCACCCACGCGGAAATGAGAGTAAGGTGCGTATGCATGTGATCGTGCTCGCACAACGTTATCGTAGAGGTCCTTAAGTTCATTGAGTGTGAATGGCGCGTAGTCTTTAGAATCGATATCTTCAAGCATTTTGGTTTGTTAGTTTGTTAGTTTGTTAGTTTGTTGGTTTGTTGGTTGTTTATGTATATGTAAGAGATAAGGAAAAAAAAAATGGCTGGAAACGATTACAAAAAATTACAGAAAATTTCAGGGAATTTTATTTTTTATTATTTATTATTTATTAAATTTATATATTTTTAATATTTAAAATATTTACATGTATATACACCCAGTCCACCCCCCAATTAAAGGAGTGCTACTACTTCATGCCGACTTGGCCTTCTTTTTGGCCTGCTTTCGAAGAGCACGCATATTTGGCGGCAGATCAATGCCCAATTCCTTTCGTAGATCGTCTGCATCGCGCTCTAGCTGTTCCTCCCAATAAACATTAAGCAACAGTTTGGCCCTTAAGCCATTTGTCAAAGCCCAAGGAATATAAATGTCCCGAAGACGCTGTCGTTGATCAGTTCTAAGCTTGAATGGTTCTGAAAACGCAGCCAACCCAGTCATTGGAATCCCCATGTTGGCAAACTCAAAAGCCTTGACAGCAACCTCACCTTCCATCACCACAGGGAGTCCTGTTACCGCATGATAAAAGTCATGACACTCCCGGTATCGCTGCATCACGTACGCACATTCTGGGTCCGAGATATACCGTACTGCTGCCCGTGTATCTGGAGAAACATTTTCCGCATCCAACCATCGCACGTATTCACTGCCTAACGTGTTACTCGGTAGCGCTCGCAGTCGTTCAAGGTCTAGCGAAGTTGAAGTAATGCGTGGTCGTTCGCGCAAGATTCGACGTCCAACAGAATCAGCAAGCATTGAGTCGCGAAGCCGTTGCACAGTGTAAGGTTCTGCAGAGGCCTCACCAAACACTGCAACAAGGTCGGGTCGGCGTGGATTGAGAACGGCAGCAAGGCCTGACCCAACAAACAAAAACAAGTGCTGGAAAGGCGTTAATGGGACATTCCCAGGATACTTTGGTAGGGCATGGGCCGTTGCATTGATAGCTGAAGACATGGAAATTAGTGGATTGGTCATTATTGATGTTAGTGTTTATTGAGAAAGAAAGAAAAAAAGAAAAAAAGAAAGTGGTGGGGAGACTTTTTTTTTTTTTTTTTTTTTTTTTTGATATACACAGTAACAAATAACAAATGACAGCAAACGTTAAATTCTCCAAATTTGGTTTTCAAAAAGTCCATTTGGCTCGTATACGGAATTTTAGTTATTTTAGTTAAAATAAAAAAAATATATATATTTAATTGCTTGAGTTAAAAAAAAATAATACAATAATTAATGAGAATCGCCTGATGAAAACGATTTTATCACATAATATAAAGAAATTCCCGCTGCCACCATTGCACCGGCAGTAACTTGATGGCTATATTTGTTGTAAACATCACGCAAATGTGGGGGCAACACAATCTGATTATGAGAAGGCAGATGTGGAGGTTGAACTTCAACGCTAGCCTGAGATGCTGCTGGCTTTTCGTCTTGCTCTTGTGGCTTTTCCGTCGAGCTCCTTGGGCAAGCCTGCTCTTTAAGCGACAGTTCACCAATCATCTTAGACGACTCCATGGCCATTTTCTCAGCGCTTTCTGCCCGATTTTTGTAAATTTCAAGTTGACACCGGGCCTCTGCAAGCTGTTGCGCTAGCTCCTTCATTTTATGATCTGTATTCTCACGTTTAGGCGTGCTCACATCGTCATCCATCGGCTCTGTTACTGTCACAATTGTCTTGCTTTTAATAAGCCCATTACTCAAAGTGGCAGCTGCCGCTAATGACGAAGATGCAGCAGGTGTTGACTTGTACTTGGAAGAATAGCCACGCGACCCTAACATATTCATACTAGACGAAACAGAGCGAACCACCGGCCGCGCAGGCGACACTGGCCTGGCATTGAAAATACCGCGCGGGGATTGGGGCAGGCTTCGGATTTCGGTAAATGGATTTGAAGGACTATGAGGAGGTGACAACGACGGGACGGAAGCTGCACGTCGTGGAACGTGACCGATTTCTGTGACATCATTTTCCTTTGGATATGAAACACGAACATCATCATCTTCATCATCATCATCATCGTCACCAACATAAACATCATTGTATGGATGGCCGTCAATGTCAACCGCCATGGCCATGGGATCACCACCCAAGGCCGTGCTGATTCCAGCGGCACGAATTGCTGGGGGTCCTGCAGCAAGGGAATGTGCTGGTTTTGTAAATGCGGGGGAGTTTAGATTGAGGTTGGAAATGTCAAGAGAAGGTGAAAGTTGATGAATTGGATCGGCATAAAGATCCGGAGATCTGGGTTGCTGTTCGGAATCCAGAGCTTGCACAGTAGTTGTAGTAGTTGTAGTAGTAGTGGTTGTAGTTGTCAATCCTGCTTGAGACGGCACTGCTAATGCTGCCCCTCCTCCTTCTAGAACATTTGTTTTACCACCTTCAAAGTTGTCCTCTAAAGAGCCTTCATCTGAATGTTTTTCGTCAATAGCTCTATCATCTTTGTTAAGCTTTTTGGAATCCTTTTCACTGGGGTCACTTGTAGAGGCTGCCAGCAGCCGCTGCTCCAGATCCGCAATGACGGCATCCTTTTGGGCAATATCGGTTTTGGCCTGCTCCAAGTCCAACGTGAGGGCCTCAATCTGCTGTTTGTAAACATCAAGCGACGGCAGACGGTCCGTAAGGGTCTTGGATTCTTGCTGGTTAGAAGATATTTGTTCAAGCAGCTTGGAAACACTGCGGATTTTTGCAGACTCAACCTTGGCATGGTGAATCTCATTGACAAGACTCTTGACTATTTTCTCCACAATTGCTGTAGAGGTCACGCCTGTACTCATAAAGCCACCACCAACTAGGTTACGTGAATGGTTGAGAGAAAGATCCTCAAGCGAAGCATCAATTTCTCCAAAAAGAGTCACATCTAAACTTTCAGCAGGAGTCGCGCCAGAGCCACCAAGGCCACCACCGCCACCCATTCTTACTAAAGAGTTGGAGCTACCGTTACCAATAACGTGGATACCAGAGCCAAAGCCATTAGCACCAGATGCTCCACCACCATTTTGAAAGGAAAACGATTGACCAGAACCAAATGGAGCATTCGGAACAAGTACAGAGTACGGGCTTTCCGGAGTGGCTTGTAGTGACATCATTGCAATGCGATCGACTCGAGCAGAGATTTTGCGGTGGACAAACGTGGTACGTTCATCATTGGTAATATCGATACCAAGCTCCAAAATATCATTTTTTTTAAGCTCATGGGGCTCTGACTCGCTCTTTTCATTTCCAAGGCGAACTGAGTTGATGTAGGTGCCGTTTGATGACTTAGAGTCCTTGATCCAAACCTTACCTGTGTCCTTGTCAGCCCACACCTCTGCGTGAGACCGCGAGAGTACGCGTGAGTCAAAGTAGCCATTGTCTGGAGCAGGGGCATTCTTTGGCGATGTCTGGCGACCGAGTTTAAGTACTTCAGGATAGAATGGTAACACGAGGGTTTTACGGTCAAAGGTATTGTTGAGAGACACGAGAATGAGAATGAGAAAGTATTGCGAGCGGTGGGGCACAGCTGACTTTGTAGAGGAAGATGACGAGATCTTTGAGGCTGCTGAAGAAGGTATCGATGGAGGAGCCGACGATGGCACTGATCCGGATGAACCAGAAGACCCCGAAGACGACGATGTGCTTGAGGATTGCGAAGGCTGTGGAAGTTGGGGCTTTTTTTTTGCCATTGGAGGTTGTGGGGGGTGTCTATGGGCAGGTGGCATTGACAAAAAAAAAAAAAAGGCAGGAAGAAAAAAATAAATAAATAAAATACAGTGAGATGGTGGTGGTGGTGACGAAAAAAATTTAAAATTAACCAGAAATTATTTAAAAAAAAAAATTAAGCACCACCACCACCACAACTTTTTTTTTTTTTTTTTTTTTTTTTTACTTTGCCAAAACCCATTTGTTATAATTATCACCAATTGAGCCCATATATATATATATCCCTTGCTGCAATGATCCGCCAAATCTTCAGAATACCTACTGCTCGCCGTTGCTACCATGTTGCCGCAACTAGCGCCTCAGCTACTCCCATTGTAAACCATATCTCCTCTGCTCTTGGACTTCCTGTTGCAGCCTGCGAGCTTCTTGAACACGCTCTCGATACTCATGTCCCGACCCTTGGTTTTTCTGAAACTGCCGTTCTTGAGACCCTCCGCGACAATGGTTACTCATCTGCTGCTCGCAGTGTGTTCCCTGGAAGCTCGCGCAGTGGCCAGCTGGATCTGGTTCTTGCGCACTTAGCTCGTTCCCGTGCTCAAATCTCCATTGACGTCGAGACCCAACAGGCTGATCCTGCTACTCCAGTCACACCACAGCTCGGTGATCTTCTTAAAAAACGTCTGTTGCTCAATGCCCCCATTGCTTCTCATCTTGCTGAAGCCCAAGCAATTCTTACCCAGCCTGCCCATGTTCCTTCCGCTTTGACAGAACTGCATGAACTTTCAAGCGATCTTTGGAATCTCACAGGTGACCGATCGCACAGCTTTGACTGGTACACAAAGCGTGCATCTTTGTCGGCGCTCTACGTTGCTGCTGAGCTTGTTATGTCCCAGGACAAGTCCTCCGAGTTTAGAGACACCATTGAGTTTGTTGACCGACGACTTCAGGAATTGAACGACGCTAGCACTGCTACAAGCTCTGTAACAGAATATGCTGGCTTTTTTGCAATCTCTTCGGTTAATGTTTTGAAATCATTTTGGGTACGTGGTTAACGAGCACCTGTGCTGGTATATGGGCTGTTTTCCTCTTCTGTATATAAAAGTAAATAAATAAATAAATAAAAAAAAACACCCTTTTGCATTTAATTTAATTTAATAAATCAAACCATTTTTGTTAATAATAATAACAATAATAATAATAAACCACATCACATAAAAAAAAAACACTCATGGATACACTGGATAGCTGCATTGCCAATCTCTCGTCTGCAGTTTCTTCGGTATGATTAGCTTTCTTATTATTATTTACTATTTGCTAACCACTCACAGCTTCGGTCTGGATCACAAGCTCTGACACCAGTGTGTAGTGACTTCACTCGACTCAAAACAGTTTTACGTACAGACCAAGTCTTTGATATTCTCTCCAATGCTGAGGTCGCTCAAGCTCATACAGACCTCGCTGCTGCTATAGATCCTACAATCACAGCACTATTACGCAAGGCAGATTTAGAAATAGAGAGACTTGAGCGCAAAGAACGCGAACTCATTTCTAAAGGCAATCTTCAAGAAGTCCGGCTAATGCAAATGCGTAGCGGTCAAACAGGCCCGGCAGGTCCGGAACCCTTGTCAAAGTTAGCCAGTTCTTCTGTTAATGAGCCCTTAGCTTCAAAAGATCAGATTGATGAAATTCTCAAATTACAAAGACAACGCGACCGTCTCAAGTATACAAAATGGCAACACCAGCTGGCTGGCCGCCAAAAGTAAAAGAAGGAACTATTTTAAATTTATTAGATTTATTTTTATTTTTATTTTTATTTTTATTTTTATTTTTATTTTTTATAACTATCCGATAAGATCCAAGCGCCGCTTTAAAACATCAATATGAGAAAGTAAAGCACGTAACTTGGCTCCTGACGAAATCAAGCTTGGATCAGGAGACTCTACCCGTACAAAGTCCCGAATTAAGCTTTCTCCAGGGGTTCCAGGATCACTATTACTATCTCCACCACTGTTTCCAGTATTACCTCTATGCACATTTTGGTGCATTAAATTACCTGAAGACCCGCTGTGAAGATGTGCCGCAGAGGGTACACGCAGAAGAGCCGATCCACCTGCTCCAGATTCGTGCTGATTAGTATGCACATGTGCGTGCTGGTTCTGCTGCCCGCGGCGAAACAAACTAAAAACAGACGATAGATCAAGTGAGCTATTGTTCGAACTCACATTGTGCAAGTCGGGATTATCAAACACACGAACCTCTGTCACCACGTTTCCCTCTGACACGTAGAAACTCACCACTGTATTTTCCGGTAAATGTCGCATGAGATAAGACTCCGGGGTCGCATACATAGTGTTTACCAAATCGTCATGCTGATGCAAAGTTATTGATTGAGCTGAAGTTACTGGTGTCAACTTTTCAGGGCTAGTAGGAGTTTGTGCACCACTCAAATCTCCATGAAAGAAAAAGAGTGGAGGTGGACCCCGCAGACAATCCAGTGCTGTACGTACAAGATTCGATAATCGTCCAAGTGTGTCAGAAGCCACTTTAGGATTTGTGTAAGCTGAATCACCATCATCTGCAAGTGTCACGGCCTCACCAAGATAATTTACAGTGTCAACCAGCTGGTACAGCGGCAATGGTGGAGCATCCGGAGTCTGTACTGAGTGCGCTAGCAGTGCTTGCTGTGGTAAATGCTTATGGGAATTATGCACACTCTGATGTTGTTGCTTCTGTTGCTGCAATAAGCGCTCAACAGCAGCTCGTCGGTTCGTAGCATTAGCCATTACTAGTTCGAACGGGTGATATGGCGACTCGGGCCCACTCGGTTTGTAGCTCCCAAACGCAGAAGGCACTGGTCCTGTTATGCATCCAGTGACTGCTGTTGATCCAGGACCTGTGTCACGGTGACTATGTACCGATGATGCAGATGAAGATGTAGTCTGTGGTCCGTTCCCAACTGGGGTATGCACCGGGCTACCTCCAATTGTCACGCCGTGCGTCCCGGCGGCAAGCAGCTTCACTTTGATGTCAAAGTCCACAAGCTGGGTCCCCACCCGCACCAACACACCCTTAACCAAATCTGTGCGCCCACTCGACACTACCAATCTAAATTCACGTTTATCTGTGTTATTCTCACTGCCGTTTATATCACTGGGGGACGGAGAAGCTGCAAGAGCGTCCCTACATTCGCGCAAGTTCGACGCCACGGTAGCTCTCACCTGAGCTTTGGTATCTTTAAGAAGCCATTCAATTTCCTTTGCCCGCGTCTCCTCAAGAAGTTTCTTTAGATCTGCAGGTTCCCGGTTATACCAGGGCTGAGCATTCGGAGCAGAGGCCATTTTGGATATGGTATTGTTAATTTTTGGTTTTTTTTTTTTTTTTTTTTTTTGGCTTAGTTGGTTTAGTTGGTTTAGTTGTGATGAAGGTCGAAATGTCGAAGCCAAGCCAAGCCAATTGTTACACGTATTAGTGGGGTGACTGTGACAGAGTAATTTACTGGTAAGTTCAATACGTTTACCCCAAAATAACGTCCATGTGGGGGGTGGAAAATGTCCCAAGGACTCTATTTAATAATCTATATATGAAATTGTTTCTAGTCTATATATATTCCTCCTCAAGCTCTAGTCCAAAAGACTCTGCAAGTTCCTGGGCAAAAGAATGGGCAGCAGCGGTTACAGATAGGTCAGGACCAGTCTCTTCGTGTGCACTAAGTTGCTGTGCAATGCTCGTTGTTTGTTTGTCGGGCAACCCACAGGCCACAATGCGATCAAACCAGCGGTGAGTATCTGTAGACACATTGAGGGCAATTCCATGAGATGTTATATGTCGGCGCACATGGATTCCGAGTGCACAAATCTTATGATCTGGATCAACCCAAACGCCAGTATTTTCAGTCGTCATGGCACTCAAGCCGTAATGACGGCGCAAAGTAGAAATAATGGTGCGCTCAAGAAGCTCTACATAGCACCGGACAGGCAGTCCAGCGGCATCTGTGGTAGAAGAAAAAGCACGCAGGTCAAGAATCGGATAAGCAACAAGCTGTCCCGGTCCATGAAACGTTGTTTGGCCACCACGAAATGTGGGAACAACAGCCGCCGCGCCACCATCAGATAGATGATGTGCAAGTCCTGAATCATCGCTAAAAGACCCACGGTCGCGGCGACCTAATGTGTAAGTTGGTTCAAACTGGAAAGTAAGTAGTGTAGAAACTGGAGTTGGCGATCCCGCTGGGGCCGAACGCAATTTGGAATCAAGAAATCGGCGAACCGTCTGATCCATGATCTCAGTGCCGCGAGAATAGGGAAGCACAGAGCCGGCAAAGCACCGGTGAACCAGCCTGCTGGGTGTGCCGGGTTTGGGCAAGACTTTGAGGGAGCACGACATGGTGTAGAGGGAATTTGTAGTTTTTTTTAGTGTTGAAAAAGAGAAAGTCCATAAAAAAACCTTTCCCTACAAATTTTTTTTTTTTTTTTTTTTTTTTTTTTGAAAGGACATTTTTTTTTGTTATTATGACTCTAGACGACACTATCACTACTAACCAAAGTACCGGACTGCCACCAGCAGAGAGAAATGCATACTCTCGAACTCTTGCTGCTCTTGTGGCCGCTGCTGATCCGGCCATTTGGGTCCACCCTGCCATCGAACCCTTATATGTTCCAGGGAAAGGTTCGGCTTTTCGCGCAACTCGTGCCATTGCGCCAAACACAGATCTATTGCGCGTAGCTCCGCGTGCACTGCTCAATGTTTCTTCTACAAAGCTCGGATCATCATTGGACTGTGCGGGTCTCTCGGCACATCAGCATCTAGCTTATTTCCTGACAACATTATTTGAGGAAAAGAAAGATGAGGGACTCCGGACAAGTAGCAGAAGTACAAGTAGTCAAAGAAGTAATACACCTACAACCGATGATCTAATCCTAGAACTCGACGATGGCCGGGTTTATGTCCCTCGTGCATCATCATCGGAATCTAAAGACAAAATTATGCTAGCATATCTGCGTACACTACCAACAAACTACGCCAATATGCCCATTAGTTGGCCAACTGAGCATATCCCTAAAGACTTGAGAGCCTCTGTTACGCTACAAAGACGAACCCTAGCATCAGATTATGATACAGTTTGTGGGGCAATCCGTCGTTCTTTTCCAGATTCAACAATTCAACAACCTTCCAGGGCCTTATTCCAATGGGCATGGCTCACCGTCAATACCAGAAGTCTGTACATCGCCGTGACGCCGCACGCGTCAACTAACCTTACCTTGGCCCCTGCCATTGACCTGCTAAACCACACAGCAGAGCCTCACCGTGCTTCGAGTATGCGGTGGGACCGGCTGCGTGGTATGACAATTTACTCGGGACCTGGGGTGGAGTATGGGCCTGGAGATGAAGTGTGTATCACATATGGGCACCACCCAAACGCCTTTTTGCTGCGAGAATACGGTTTCGTGCTTGATGGAAACCCACATGATTCAGTTGATCTTACACCAGCTCTACCCGAGCTTCAACGAGAAGAAGATGATGATGATATAGAATTAAAGAAACCCCAGGCACATTTATCTTTGTCGACTCGGCCCGGATCAGCATTTGATAATATACAAAAAACCGGCTCCCATGTTGTCCGAGATCTCTTAGAGAGTCTTGGATATAACGGTGAATATACACTTGCTGCTTCTGAGCCACATATATCTTTCCGAACAACTGTTGCAGCCGTTGCATTAGCATATCCTGGAAATGCTCGTCTAGTGGAACAACTTGCTATGGGTCTAAGCGATGAATCTCGCTATGAGGCAGAAGTACGCAAAATTGTAAGTGAAGCTATTTCCGATCGCAAAGATCAATTAGAGGCTCAAAAGGAGTTCCTCTCCGACGATGATGAAGACGAGGATGATGCAGATGATACAAAGTCTCTCTGCTGCCAGCTCTTCACTGGATGGCTGGCCATTCTTGATGCTGTCGAACTCAGTTTCCAAGTAAAAGGAGTTTGAAGCATATTTATTATTGCAGAAAAGGTTTTTTGTTTAGATAGACGTTTAGGCTGGTGAATAATATCTAGGAAAAAACAACTTAGAAATCTGGAGTTCAAAGGTGGTGATTATTATGTTGAAATTTAGTTTAAGAGTTGAACTTAAACGCACCTGGCAAATTTAATAAACGACTCGCAAATACAATTCACATTTTGAGTCGTTCAACTTTTTCTTCTATTTTTTCCCCTCATAAGTCTCTGAACCCACTGAGTGCTAAGTCCCATCACTAGTATCCATAAACACTTGAAAATATTAGACTCCCTGGCCCTTCACTCCAATCAAATCCAAATAAAACGTCATCTACTAATCACCCAATTACATAGGCATCAACTTAGATCAAAGAAGAAATTTTGGACTAAAGCAATCATAGACAATGCGTCATAGACAAATGCTCAAATCATCCACGAAAAAATTAAAAAAAATGGGGACATGCGCCATCAACTAAAAAACATTTCAGACCTAAACCTACTTAGATATCATATATTGGGAAAGAGCGTCATTAAACAAAGACGCCATAGTTGACTGGTACTTAGATCAACAGCATAGACATCAACTTCAACTGGGGCTTTAACTGGTTCCTGAACTGGTTTCTGAACTGAAAAAAGCATTTCTGATCTGAGGAGAATGGATAAAAGATCAATAACCAACAAGGACCCCAACGTTAATGAAAACTTGAGCCAGCCAAAAAAATCATCAAATTGAATCAAAACTTTGAGTAGTGCTTGTACTGTGAAAATATCTTAAATAAGAACTCTGGTTATAAATAAAGAATGTATTGTTGATCAAAGCTTCATACCAACTGCGTAGGCCTAAGTTTGGATTGAAACTTAGAGCAGTGTATATACAGCAAAGGTATACTAGATCTGAGAAAGCATGTCAACATCATTAGAAAGGGTATGGGTCAACATCAAAGTTATCAAAGTTAACCGGAACTTGGATCATATGAATAGACATCAATTAGGATTAGGGCTTGGAATTGGTGTATGTGCAGAAAAGACTTCTTGAATCCAAGAAAGGATAAGTGAGGTATCATTGAAAAAAGGGTTGATTCAACACCAATAAGTGTCATAGCTTTAAAACAATGGGGGAATAAGCCATCAATAAAAACATAATAATTAGTAAAGACTTTGCTGACTGAATAGACACCAACTTGGAGGAAGATATAACACTTGGGTCAAGATTTGAGCAATAAGGTCATCATGTACTGAAGCTTGACTCAATCACAATATCATCATGGATCGAGAGTTAGGTAAAAGAAAATATATCAGTATGGATTGAGAAAAAATTCTCCACAAGCTAATAGTAAGATCCTAATACTAACAGAGTGTCAGTCTCCCAGGTAAAAGAATTAGATAGGCTTGACCAGTCAAAGCAACTTAATCATATTAATTTAACCAATCACATAATAATACTAAAGAGGTTTCCAGGCTCCCAAGTAGAAGAATCAAAAAGGTTTCATTAATTAGATAGTTGCCCAACCCCAGCAACCATACCACTGAGATCCTAATACTGAGGGAGTGTCAGTCTCCTAGGTAAAAGAATCAGTTAGGTATAACTAGAATATGTTGGCGGTCGTTAGGTTAAATAGGAGTATGGGAAAAGTTGGTTTTGAGAATAGAGAGAAGATTTATAAACAATATGTATAAGGTTTGGGTATCTTAAAATAAAGGTAGATATGAATTATAAGCGCATGTTGAGAAAATGGGTATTTAAATAAGTGCAAAAGTGTGTTGTAAGAAGAAAGAAAAAAAATTGAAAAGTAATGGGGAAGCGTTTAATTTATATCCAATTTTTTATATTAAAACATAACTTGTGTTGGGAAAACAATGGCTTTCTTGCTTGCTTTTACTTTAAAAAGAAAAAAAAAATAGTTAGGACATAGTATTCAGATTTCCTTGCCCATATTCAAATTCACTGAATTATACTTGCTTTTTTTTAAATTCCCCTGATAAATCTTAAATTTCCAATCAATAGTTCATGAAAAGAGCTTTTGAATGAATATATGAACTTAATATTTTATATTATTTTCAAAGCTCATTTTTGTATAGATAAAGATGGGTATCCAAAATCTTATAGATATGTGAAATTTGAAGCGTCTTAAATTTATTTCGTTAAAGATGTTGCGCAATTTGAAGATGAAAACTACCCCGCTTTGGAAAAACGGAATCATCATGTTATTGGTATCAACTTCAAATATCGGTTTAAAAGATTTTTATTATCAACCTAAATTAAAAGAATAAAAAGCATATTGGCTTTTAATCATACACTAAGGCCTAGTGTATGTTAAGGTGAAGATACAATAATATAATATATATCACGGTAAATACTTATTTGGGCAATTAATTTTGGCAAAAGAAATAGATTTGTATGGCTTTTCTCATATGAGTTTTTTTAAGATTTGAACAACGTTGTTCAATAGTAAATTATTCGGTCTTTTCTTCTTAGTTTAGATATATTATTATGTAGACTAAACTCATGACTAAAGCTAGTTGGGTTTCCTTAATCGCTGTTTTCACTTTTTTTTTTAAAGAAATGGGTTAGGGCCTTGCCACATTTTTTTCATGTATGGCAAATTTTAGAAAAAAAAATATAGATATGGGCCAAGCACACCAAAAACTCAAGATTCCCATCAGGGCTAGGGCTGGATATAGTATTTTTCGGTAGAATCGATAGGTATATCAACTAACAATAAATAGTTCTTAATGAAAACGGTTATTTATATTCTTAATATAATCATTATGCTGTTTTTTTTCTGTCATTTTTAAATATTTACAATTGGAGCTGAACGTTTGGCTCTATCACGGCCCAAAGATACCTTGGACTTGACCAGGTCTAACATCATCTTGTGGTGCAACACACCCTTACCATGCTTATATCCGAGACGTACAACATGGCCACAGATATCATCAATTTCTGTGTCTCGAAGGGCCAGTACATCTTGAAGCATACTGGATCGGTTTTCAGCTGTAGCTTTGATGACGCTAGACACAAGATCAGCAAAGCGTGCGACGTTGAAACTAGCATGCAGCTCGGCCGCTGGAATAATGTCACGATATTCGGCACAGAAAACATCTGCGCACTCGCGGCTTAAACCGTAAACAAGACTATCAAGACTTGAAAGTGCTGAAAGTTCGCCATTGTAACACTCGTAAAGTGCAGTTAGCGGGTTAATCACTGCATTTGCAACCAGCTTATCAACCTGTGTAACCAAAAATTCTGGGTAAGGTACGTAGCGAGCTTTAAGTCCTGGTGCATGCTCCAAAGCTTTCACAAGCGGCGACTGTCGGCTTGCATCTTCTTCTTGTTGTTTCTCAAGTGCCTCATCTGATGTTTCAGCCAGTTGTGGATTGGAAGGCACCCGTGCTATGGTTATGTATCCAGGACTTGCGTGGGTAAACGAAAAGTTAGAGAGGTGCTGTTGATGTGGGGCCCCAACAGAGTTTACTCCATGGGTTGTAATGGCTACATAAAACTGTGGCCGCAGCGCAGGGTCAGGCCAGTATGTCCGGCATAAAGACTCATAGGAACCCATGCCATTTTGTAGCAGCAGAATCGCCGTTGACGGTGTGATGGCAGGAATAAGTGGGCCTAATGCTGATACTGTTTGATGGGTCTTCACACTGACTACCAGATTGTCGAGCGTACTGTTATCAGGTTTGCTTTTGTTTTTATTTGATTGACCCAAGGATGCCTGGTATCGTCGAACAAGTGAGTTTGGATCAACAGCAGGAATTTGACGACTGATTTCCACGGGAACACCTGCCACGGTACGATAGATCGTCAGCGCACCACCCTGGCGCTCATAGTCCCGCACGCGTTCTGGTGATCGCAAAATTAAATTAACGAGTGGTTGGCATGTTTTTCCAGGAGTCGCTGCAAGCGACGTAGCGACTAGCGAACCAATATTTCCAGCGCCGAGGATATCTACAAGATGTTAATTTAAATCAAATGCTGTTGTTTTTAATAAAACTCACGAATTCTAGGGCCAGCCATTTGCAAATGTGCTTAAAATTTTTGTGGTGGTTTGTAAGAAAAAGCTAAATTATTTCAGCCGATATTAAAGAAATTACACCCCGCAAAAAAGGTTTCTTCCAAAAACCATATCTTCTCCGCACAACCACCATGATTATCCTCGGTCTTACAGGCGGTATCGCCACAGGAAAATCTACAGTTTCTAAGCGTCTGCGCGAACATCACAAACTCACCATTGTCGATGCCGATGTGATTGCGCGCCAGGTCGTTGAGCCTGGGACCCCAGCTTACAAGGCTATTATAAACCACTTTGGAGCCAGTGTGACTCTCCCAGATGGCAAAGGTCTTGACCGTCCCGCTCTCGGTCGTTTAGTTTTTGGCAACGAGCCTAACCGTCAGTTTCTTAATTCGGTCGTTCACCCAGCTGTTCGTCGGGAAATGTTGCGCCAGGTGGCACTGGCTTATATGCGCGGCTGCGACATTGTGGTTCTTGATGTTCCTCTTCTTTACGAATCTAAACTTGACCGATTTTGCTCTTCATCTGTTGTTGTATCATGCGCGGAAGATACCCAGCTTACACGATTACTTGCTCGAGATCCACATCTTTCAGAAGATGATGCTCGAAAGCGCATTGCATCACAGATGAGCATGTCAGAAAAGGAGGCCCGTGCACAACACGTCATTGATAATAATGGCACTTTGGAAGAGCTATATGATCAGATTGATGCACTTATCAATAAAGTTCGTCCTAATATCATAGTCAATTATGCTGAATGGCTTGGTCCTCCTGTGGCCACTGGACTTTTGGCTGCGGCGATTTACTGGTTTAATGTGTCTAGGTCCAAACTCTAAGAAACTTGTTTAATGCAGGACATCTGAAAACAATGCTCACGACAATTTGAAAAAAATAAAAAATAAATAAAAAATTATATAAAGTGATGGAATTTCATAAAAATTTGAAATTATTTTCAATAAATTATTCTTTGGCAATGTCTTCGTTAATGATATTACTGAATTTTTGCGAGTCTCAGAAAAACGAACATGAAATACTTTATGATCTTATTTCCGTTAACATTTTGTTAGATAAAGGATTAAGAATAAACAATATGATATCTATTAACAATTTAGAAGGTGTTATTAAAAGTTAAAGTCTTTTTTTCTTTCTCATAATAGAAAATAAAATTGTCGCGTTATTTGATTATAAAAAAAATGATCATACCGTTGCTAACAGCGTTAAACAGAAATCCATATACAATCCATTTATGGATTATATTTTCAATCTTCTAAAGAATAATACTAAGCAGAAACTTGATAGAAAAAAGAATGAAAAATAAAAAGATTTTTTTTCAATATAGTAGCTCATTTTCAAAGACTATTCAAGCCCTACCGGTGAAATTTTTTCGAAAGCTTCTTTTTAGCTTCAAAATTTAGAAGTCAGCTTTGTTTCATGAGATCAATTAAATAAAATTTTAATATTAAAACAGGCAAAAATAGTTGGCCATTTTCATTTTTCGGTTATTGAACAGTTTGATAAGGATGTTGGGAGGTGTTGAAAGTTTTTATCATCAAAAGAAAATAAAATCAATGTTAGCAATTGGTTTTTTTTGTGATAAGATTTGGAAATTTCGGGTCTTTTGCAGTTCGGATGTCGGGCCTATTTTTTAAGGTGGTTATGGTGATACACGTCGGAACTCCTATGCATGGCTTTTTTTTTTATGGAGTCCGAACCATTCATAAATTTCTTTATCTACTATCACTGTTCATTTTATTGATCCATCTTGGCATGTTAAATTCTACCAAAACCAAGATTCTATCTAACAGCAGATAAACCATAAATTAGTCACATTTAGGAAATTGATTTTGATTTTGATTCTGTATATTTTATGGAGGGAGGTTGGCCAGTTTTTGTTTTGAAGTGAATCTGTCAACGCTTGGGTTTTGGGCATCTCTAAATATATTTGCATCATACAATTAATTAATTTGCAATCAATAAATTCAAATTTCTCAGCTAAAAATATTATATTTTTATTAATATAAAAGAATCCATTTTGCCTTGCTTCATATATAAGAATTTTTTCAATCTATTATAATAAGCAAATTCTTTCTTTGCCAATGACATTCAAAATTTTTTCTCACATCAGCCGTGAATTTGGTGTTCATTCTTTGGTACGCGCTTCGCGTGACGTGAAGCTGTTGATCCTAATCAAAGTTGTCAGAATGATAGCTTTTGGACAATCGTCTATTTTCCTAGTCCAATTTTTTCATTCACATGGATACCCTACACATCTTACAGGAGCCTTTATGAGTTGTACACTTGTCGGTGATGTTGTTATTTCTTATTTCTTAACTATGAATGCTGACCGCTTGGGGCGCCGCAGAGTTCTTATTTTTGGTGCATTGCTAATGGCGGTTCCTGGAATAATTTTTGCTGTATCCAACAATTTTTATGTACTATTATTAGCTGCAATTCTTGGAGTTATTTCTCCTTCTGGGGCTGATATTGGACCTTTCAAGGCCATTGAAGAGTCAACACTTGCACATCTAGTACCAAAGGAACATCGCAACGAGATTTACGCTTGGTATTCTTTTTCAGCCACCTTGGCTACAGCATTTGGAAACTTTTCTAGTGGTGCATTCGTTAATTATCTTACGTCTAGTCATTTGGACTTATCTTTACTGAGCGCCTACAAACTAATTTTTGTTCTTTTTGCGTTTTGCGGTGCCCTTAAACTTGTGTTTTCTCTGTTGCTTTCAAACAACATTGAAACAGAAGAATATTTAACACTCAAGCAGGAAGAATCTCAAAACGCTAGAGAAACTTTGCCATTGCTTAACGAAGAAATACCACAATCAGAAACCTCATTTCCAAGCAAAAAGTTTTCTCTTTTACCCAACCTTTCTTCTGAGTCGACTGCTATAGTGATTAAGCTCTCACTTCTTTTTGCTCTGGACTCTTTTGCATCTTCACTTGTGCAGCGAACCTGGATGTCATACTATATATCAAAGAAATTTTCTCTTAGTCCAGAAGTTCTTGGATCGACTTTTTTTTCGACCGGAATTATTTCAGCTTTCACCATGCTTGTGAGTTCTTCGATTGCTAAAAGACTCGGTCCAGTTCTGACCATGTCATTAACCCATCTTCCGTCATCACTTCTTCTTGGATTTATACCTTTGCCATCGACTTTTATAGTCACATTTGCCATTTTTATTTTCCGTTCCTGTACATCACATATGAACATTGCTCCTAGACAGGCTTTTCTTTCAATGGTGGTTAAACCCTCAGAGCGCACGGCTGTCATGGGCTGGACTAATGTTGTGAGAACAAATTCGCAAATCTTTGGCCCATCTATCACAGGGTATTTAGCTGGTAAAGATGCACAATGGATTAGTTTCGTAATTGCAGGCGTACTTAAGGTGGTATATGATCTTTTGATAGTGTTGACATTTGCATTGAAGAGTTTTGATTATTAGAGAAATACAGATGTTTGCATTGTATAGGACATCTATTTTTATCATTTTAGTTTGTTTTTTTATAATATTATAAGTTATAACTTAGAATATCGGAAAAAGGTTAAAAGTTGTCAAAGAATTGTAAAAAAAATATATAATTTGAACAAGAATATAAAAAAATTATTAAGATCAATTACTAAATTGCAATGCTATCATTATAAGCATGCAACCTGGAATACTTTTCAAATAGTGAGTTATTTTGAAGAATCCATTGAAGCAATCTTTGTAAATATTTCCATAAAAGATGAAATGAACGCAATTGTTTACCAAGTTTTAATCTTTTTAATCAAAAAATCAGAACTAAAAGAGTTTCTCTATCGCGTTTCTGACAACCATATCAGGGTTGATCATATGGAACAGTTTGGTTTTAAGAAGTTTATGGAAAATGGTTTGCGATTATGATGTCACAAACTTAGTGTTCGATACAGTTATAATTTGGGGATTATTCCAAAACAGAAGGCAATAGAGTTGAAAATGAAAAAAAAAACATGTTACACCTCTGGAACCATTAGGTAACATATTACATAAGCCTTCTTTTTAGCCATCCTAAGAGCCGGTAACAAGTTCAATTATACTAACATTCTTTTTCAATTAATTATTATATTTTAATTAAAATTCCATTGATTTTTGATTTATAATTTTTGATATCAATTTTTAAATATCAATCAGTGAATTGATATTTTGAATTGATTTCAATGTTCCATTTTATGTTTTTTTCAATTATTAATCAACAGGCCTGTTGTCCTAGGACAGTTTTGATTAATAATGATAATTTGATTTAATTTTTCGAGATCAATTATAATGCCTCTATTTAAAGGCCAGTGGTTTTTGCAAAAAAGTATAAATAAGCATCATTTTTTCCTTCTTCACTGCATTTTATAATTTTTTTAAATCAATTCAAATTCTTTTATATCAACTCAATTTTTTTTTATTAATTCAAAATATTTAAAACCAAAAATATCAACAATGGCATCTACTCAATTGGACAATAAACCAGCTAAAGATCTGGCTGAAGACAATGCTTTTTTCCCTTCGCCATATTCTTTGTCTCTTTACACTTCTAAAAAAACGGATTATGATGGAACAACCTATGAACATCCTTATAAAGGTGAAAAGAAGTTTTTGATGATTGCTACTGATGAAAGATATATTATGATGAAAAATGGCAAGTTTTTTTCTACTGGTAACCATCCGGTTGAAATGCTTTTGCCCATGTTCCATCTTGACAATGCCGGCTTTAAATTTGACATTGCCACTTTATCTGGAAATCCGGTGAAGTTGGAAATGTGGGCATTTCCAACTGAAGATAAAACGGTTGTCGACACATATGAGAAGTATAAGGATCAATTGAAAAATCCTTACAACCTTGATGACATTTTGGAGAAGATAGTGTCTAAGGATTCTCCTTATGCCGGTGTTTTTATTCCCGGAGGTCATGGTGTTTTAGCACATATTCCTGAAAGTACTTCTGTTAAGAAGGTCTTGAATTGGGCTTTGAAAAATGACAAGTATATTATCACTCTTTGCCATGGTCCTGCCTGCTTGTTGTCTGCTAGTGTCGACGAGAAACCAGAAGATTTTCCTTTCAAAGATTACACTATCTGTGTTTTCCCAGACTCTTTAGATACTGGAGCAAACCAAGATATTGGTTATATGCCAGGCCAGTTGAAATGGCTTGTTGGCGACCGTTTATCGAAGTTGGGTGTCAAAGTTCTCAATCAAGATATTACTGGGAAATGCCATAAGGATCGAAAATTGCTTACTGGTGACAGTCCTTTGGCCTCAAACAACTTGGGTAAGCTGGCAGTCGAGACCTTATTGGCAGATCCTGAATTTAAGTAATTGTTGAAGAATTTGGTAAAAAGAAAATTGTTTACAATAATCTTTTTGAATTCAACAGTTAATTCTTATTTAACCAAGTTATTAATATTTAGTTATTTTTAAATATATTTAATTTTTTTTAAAGTTTCATATAAGAATAATTAAAGAGAATTATTAAAAAAAAGAATTAATTAAAACAAATATTGGTTTGTTTGTTTTTACTCAAAGGTTTAGCACCATAAATCCTAATTCCATCTTAAAAGTAACAGGGACCAAAGGCGAACATTCTCAGTTTATTTTCACTTAAATTAAAACAAAAAAAAATTAGTTTGTTTTTATTTAAAGGTTATAGAATTATACAACATCAGCATCTGTGCAATCCTTTATATTCCTATATATTCCTATATATCTTCGTTTTCACAATAAACTTTTAATCTGACTCCAACATTGCATCCCAAATAGTACTAAAAAAACTTTTAGATTCCAGTTAACAAAAAAAATTAAGTTAAACATTAAAATATTTTTAAAATAAAAAACAACCCCACTAGCATTAGAAACTATGAATTTATTTCTTTTACTTTAAATAGATTTTGTGTTTTTAATTTTACAACTAAGTGTGGCGGATTTAGCTCAGTTGGGAGAGCGTCAGACTGAAGTAACAACTTTGGTCTCTATATCTGAAGGTCCTGTGTTCGATCCACAGAATTCGCATTTTTTTAGTAAAAAATTGCTTTGTTAATTTGAACCAATTGTTATATTTTTCTGTACCAGGTAAATTTTTTCGTTATTTTGTCACTATTTTTTTTTTTTTTGTATGGTTCGATAATTTTTTTTTTTTTTTTTCATCATTTTTCATTATCTTTGCTTCACTTGATAACGACCCGTATCTTCTTCGGCACAGAAAGATCAAAACATCTAATACGCAATAATAAAATTTTAGTAACGACTTCCATCACTGCGGCAGACTCAGGAAATTTAACTCTGTGTCTGTTCTACACACTATTTTTTTTTTCCCTCAAACGACCTTATCATCACACTCTCCCCTGTAAACATTCAACATTTTGTGTCAATATACACGGGCCTGACCCGGAGCTGGATTTCACACCCACCCACGCGCACACTAAACCGTTTATTAATATTATCCGTCCAGACTGATGAACAGCGAGCCACTTTCTCTAATAGGAGTGAAGCGAACGCGTTCTCCTTCGCCGCTAGGCAACGTACTGCAAAATGTCAAACAAGCGCGCGGTCCCGAGTCTACGTCGGTAAATACAGACTTATCAAGGACTGGTACTGAGTCCGTCTCAAGTCTTGGACCTAAAGTTGCAAATAAAAACGTACCTTCATCTTCATCTTCGTCTTCATCTTCGTCTTTGTCTTCGTCTTCGTCTTCGTCTGCTACTTCTTCATCGACTCAAAGTCAGCCTTCTTCTTCAAGTGAAGTATTTGGATTGCGATCTGGGTCTTCACTTTCATCATTGGAAACTTCGACTAACCCCACTGTCGATATATCTTTTGGATCTTCCTCGACACCTACGTCCTCAATCACTCCAATGTTTAATAACACATCTGAAACGGCAGCTGCTGATTCAAGTTCTGCTTCGGCTTCGGCTTCTGCTTCTGCTTTGGCTTTGCGGTCAAAGTCTCGTCAACCATCTACTACTGAGCTTGCGTCTGCTTTAGGCGTGAGTTCTAAACCTCGGGAGCGACGTAAGTGGACTGAAGAAGAAGACACCAAGTTGCGGACCCTTGTTGCTGAATGGGGCGATCAAAGGGGGAAAAATAGTAATTGGGATAAGATTAGTGAAAGTATGGAAGGCCGGAGCAGCAAGGATTGTCGTAAGCGATGGTTTCATTCGCTTGATCCGACATTACGAAGAGGCCGGTGGACGCCGGACGAAGACCGAATGCTTATCGAGGCATATGAGAGTATGGGGCCGTCGTGGAATCGTATTGCACAACTTATTACGGGCCGTACCGATGATCAATGCTCAAAAAGATATAACGATGTGCTTGACCCGCGCATTAAAACTCGTTTACGTGAATGGACGAAAGAAGAGGATACTATGTTAATGCAACTGTTTAAAGAAGAAGGTCCTCAGTGGAAAATCATTGCAAACAAAATGGAAGGTCGCACTGGCTTAACTTGCCGTAACCGTTGGCGAAAACTTGCGAACAATTCGGTTGGAGGATCAAACTCCACAAGTAGTAATTCTCAGCAACAACAGCAACAAGGCAGAAACTCTTTATCTGAGGTACGAAGAAACAGCAGCCATAATAGTAACAATAACTCTCAAAGTCAAGATACACAAGATACACAGCCATTATCACCAGAATCAGAGCAGGCATCATCAAATCATTCTACTCCATCATCAGTTCATTCTGCAAGTGCTGTGCCTCCTCCGCCTTTTCAAAATTCAAGGGAGGCGGCTAACCCTACAGCAATTGTACCAGATAATTCGAGTGCCATAAATGTGCAATATTCTGGCAGCCCTCAATTTACCGCCAACTCTGCTCAACCGACTAACAATAACAGTAACAATAACCGTAACAATAACAATAACAATAACAGTATTAACAACAAAAACAACAACAGTAATAGTAATAGTAATAGAGCACCCGGTCCCGGATACTTAAACTCATCAGGTGGATATTCAGGGCAGGAAACGCTGCTTGAGCGATCACTTTCAATTTTACGAGGATCAGAAGCCACTGCGTTTCTTCAAAATGTTTCCAACTTTGCTGCTGAGACAGAAGCAGCTGTTGCTGCAGCGGCAGCCATACCTGTTGGAAATAACCAAGTTTTGAGCAACAATTCCAGCGCAGGCGCTAATAAGACGACAGGCACAGGTGCAGGTGCAGGAGGTTCAACCTCTCGAACAAACAATGGTCTGACTACTAACGTTGTTAATCCGCAAAACAGTACAAACAGTACAAACAGTACAAATACAACGAGTTCAAAAAACACTCACTATACATTTGGATTGGATGGACCTTCAGGTGTGCTAACCCAGAAACCTTCTTACGATGGTTCTAATCCACAGTTTTCATCAGCAATAGATGACAATAATGGCAGTACAGTTGCTCTTAAGCAAGAAGACATTGAGCGAATTGTGATGACAGCTAAACGACTTGGAGTCGCTGTAATTGTACATCAGCATAATCATCACAAGCACGAGAATCATCACCACCATCATTACTATAATGGCGACGCGCGGGCCGAAGGCGCCAACTCAGCAGATGGGCCAACCTCAGACACCAGCAACAGAGCTCATGGTACGGCTGCTGTCAACAACAGTAATAACGGTAACAATAACAATAACAATAATAACGATGATGATGATGGATCAACCCCTCCGTTCTTGCGGGCACACCCTGAATTCCGGGAGTTGGAACAAATGGACATGGACACAGATCCACTTGGATGGTTTGGAACACCGTTCCCGAGTGCCAATGTTTCAAATAATATACCAGGTCCTACGCTGACGGGTGGTGTTAGTAGGGGTGTTGGTGGATATAATAATTCTGGTGGAGACAATTATTCGAATGGATTAAATGGTGGATCATCAATGATGAATAGTTATTCTGGGAAAGGTCCTAGTCCTAATCATTATGAAGATATTCCATTCAATCCGTCTTAAAAAAAAAAAAAAAAAAAAAAAAAAAAAAAAAAAAAAATATTGATTTGGACTGTTTTAAACATAGAAAAAAAGAAAAAAAAATCATATATAGAACGTTTACTATTTTTTTTATTATATATATTTTAGTGCTTCTCGTCTTGTTCATCGTAACTGGGATCAATAGCACCCAAAAGCATTTTGACTAGCCAAGTTTGGGGGTCGAGATTGACACCCAAACGGGCCATTTCGTCTTGTTCAACCTCAAAATTAGATGTACAGTCAACCATTCCACCTACTATTGGGTCAACATCGAGCTTGGCTAAAAATTCGCGTGCACGAATATCATTGCCGACTTGTGCAAACTGGAGACCAAGAGCACCTGGTCCGTATTGTGTTCTTGAGAGCTCATTCTTGGCCTGAGCAATAACATTTGTAAGAGTTGAAGGTGACTCACCGGCAGGAGTACCGTCAGTGACTGTGATAACCAAAACAGGCTTCTTCAGGGCACGGTTACGAGCAGGACCAATAACCAAGGGGGTAAGAACCTTTCGTTCGAGGTTTGTGCCAAGGGGAGTAAGACCACGGAATTGGACGCGAGACACGAGATTTAGCACTTCTTGTTCAGAACGAAGACCATTACCCTCGGTAGAGTTATTCATGAAGCGGACCTCAATACCATCATCATCAAAGAGAGAAGCAATGTATGCTGCACGAGAAATAATAAGTTTCAGGTCATCAATACGTTCACCATTTTCTTCAAAAGACATGGAACCTGAATCATCAGCGTAAATGATAATATCGTAAAGAGCAAGGCGTACAAGATCAAGTGCAATTTCCATAGGAATCTTCCAATATTGAGACACTTGATCAATTTTGTTGCCAATGGAGCCGGCAATTTGCTGAATACGTTGAGGACTGTAAAATGCCTGTAGACGGTTTTCTTGGACTGCCTTCATTAAGCTATTGTAGAACCCTTGAGTACCTGCGCCACCTTGTTGTTGTTGTTGTTGAGGTTGGCCATAGCCGCCTGGTTGTTGGCCATATTGAGGCTGTTGCTGTTGACCGTATTGCTGCTGGCCATATTGAGGCTGTTGCTGTTGACCGTATCCAGGTTGTTGCTGGCCATATGCACCAGGTCTTTGTTGTTGACCATAGGCTCCAGGTTGCTGTCCGTAACCGCCAGGCTGTTGACCATAAGCACCAGGTTGTTGACCATAGGCTCCAGGCTGTTGTTGCTGACCATAGGCTCCAGGTTGTTGTTGTTGCTGACCATAAGCGCCAGGCTGCTGCTGTTGTTGGCCGTAAGAACCGGCTCCGTATTGTTGTTGTTGAGCAGGTCTGTTTCCGTAAGCTGGAGCTGGAGCTGGAGCACCTGATCCATAAGATCCTGGAGCACCTGATGGAGGGGCACCATAAGTATTAGCTTGTTGTTGTTGAGGAGAACCAATTGTGTTTACTCTTGCGGGAGCGTTTTGAGCTGAGGTTGTAGGGGCAGCACCTGGAGGTGCGCCACTTTGAGCGGATGCCAGTTTACTAGCAAGACCCATTTTGGATTAATCAATTAACTTGTTAAAAAAAAAAAAAAAAGAGGTTAAAAAGTAAAAAGATTGGGAATAAAGAAAAAAAGAATAAAAGAAATATGGATTTCTTAATTTGAGTTGTTTTTTTTTTCTTGTTTTAAAACGGTATGGTGTGTGGGAAAGGGAAGAGTTTTTTTTTTTTTTAAAAGGCAGAGGAAATATCTCAATATTTATAGTTTGCCTTAGATTAGTCAATTGCCACCATACAGAAAACATTACAAAATTTATTGTTGTGGGGATCTATCTTTTTATGATCATATATATAACTATAATAAAATTATAAGAAAGTAAGACTTAGATTAATATTCAAGAATGATTGAATTTTAATAAAAATGACTATTACAATGATTAATGATTAAAGTACTTGATTTTTATTTTTGTTCCATTTAAAAGATAGATAGAAATAAAAGAGTTCCAATTGATGTCATTTCATCTTTCATTTCATTTGCTTTGCCTTTGTGGTCCATCATCGCCTCCACATAGACACATAAACATATATATGTATGTTTTTTTTTAACTTTATAAGCAAAGACAAAAAGGCCTTTTTTTTTTTACAGTAGAGTAAGAATTAGAAAGTAAAAGAAAAAAAAAATTAGAAGTATTTCAAGTATTTAATGAACAATTGAGTGATCATGAATCTCCCGAGGTGCCTCGATCGGTTCATTGGGCTGTGCAATTTTGATGACCAGTTGCTCAACTGCCAAACTGCTAAACTGCTGACGTCGTCATTTTTTTTTTTTACTTCTTAAAGCCACAGGGCTGGGTTATATATATACTTAAACCTTGGGACTTAAACAATATATTATATCGGGAGCACGTGTTTTACTTCATTAAGTCTCAAATGTTATTTACGCCGCATTAAAGTTGTAACATAGTTTGTAATAAATAATTAGTGCCAGGAAAGCCATTTCGTTTTATTTTTTTCTTTTTTTTTTTTGGTACACACAAGCCAATGTGGAAATTTCAGCTCGGACTCATGCAGTTTTAAGAACTTTCTCACCACCACTGTAACTAACTAACTACTACTACATCTCAAACTAGCCAGCCTGTCAGTCTGTCAGTAAGTCAGTCAGCAAGCTCAAATGTCTGAGAACGACCCACTGCCTGAGCATTCCACAGAGCCTCCAGCTACTTCTCTGCTGGACTCATCTCATCAACTTGAAGAAAATGAAAATGACATTTCTCAGATTCCTACTAATATTTCTGTCCCCGAACAAACAAAGCAGCAGCAGCAGCAGCAGCAGCAGCAGCAACCCACCCCCACACAAATAGAACCCGAGACAAAAGAATCCTTTGAAGAAGAGAAAAAACAAGAAACTAACAATCTCAAGCAACCTGAAAATATAGAAACCGAGGAATTGCCTGTTGAAAACTCTGATAAAAGCATAGAGTTAAATTCCACTAATGAGTCTGAATTAACTTCCAACTCAAATCTCAACAAGGTTGATGACGATAACACAGATAATAACTTTGTTTCTGAAGTTTCCAAACCAATAGAAGATTCTTCTAAAACTTTAGAAATACCTTCTGAACAGACTGAAAAGATAGCCGAAAAGACATTGCCAGAGTCTGTTTCAACTGCTGATGGTGTTGAAAAACAACAAGAGCCAATATCTGACCAGGTTTCTCCATCTAAATCTACATCTAAATCTACATCTATATCTTCACCTTCACTAGCAGTCTCTACAGCACCCAAAAAACAGGAATTCCCAGAATCCTCTAAACAAACACCCCCCACCCCACCACCAAAACCTCAGACAAAACCAAAATCATCTACCAGTTCTTGGGGTGGTTTACTGAAGCGGGCCGTCGCTAATGTGGAGTCGACTCTTGACCGAATGGAATCCTCTCTCGACAAGGTTATTTCCGATAGTGCAACGTCAGAAATTGGACCTAAACCAACTGAGCCGGAACCCGCAGCAAAAATTACCTCTCCCAAACCTATCAACGTAACTTTGCCTGCGTCATCAAATTCGTCGTTGTTGTCACCAGCTACTCCATCACCATCACAAACACCTTCAACGGGCCGTTTGTCATTACAAGAGCGATTGGCCAAGTCTATTAAATCATCTAGTAGCACACAATCTCTTGCACAGTCGCTCGCTCAAACCCCAACTGATTCACCACGTCAAAGTTTCGATAGATCAATTACATCTCCTAAAACTTCAATTGATAGTTCAAGACCTTCTATTGAAAAGTTAGAATCACAGCCTGAACCATCTGAATCACCAGCACCACAAAATGTACTTGAGCAGGAAAAACCTTCAGACTCAGATGTTGATGACACTTCCAAAACTGAACCCTTAACTTCAAACATCTTAGACTCTTTAAACCTTGGCACTTTAAGTTCTCTTGTTGAAGAAATTAACACTCTTGGTGAGACTGGTTCAGACCCTATCCCCTTGGCTGATCTCAAATCTAAATTTTCTCGTTTTATGGAAGAGCTAAAGTCTCGCGAAGAAACAAACAATGAGGAGCTTCACTCTTATAAGGAAAAGGTTACGTCTCTTGAGTCAAAACTTGTATTTTTAGCACGCGAGGAGTCGGAAAATGCCAAACAAGATAAACTTAATAGTACAGGAATACAAAAGAAACTTGCTGAAAAGGAAGAGCAAGTTGCTTTACTGATTGAAGAAGGCCAATTACTGTCTAAAAAGGAACTAAAGTATATGAACACCATCAAGGCAATTCGCTCCCGAGAAAAAGAACAAGAGAGATCAGCGCTCGAGGCTCGTGATAAACAGCAGCGCTCAGAACGCGAGCTTAAGCAGCTACGAGAGCGTGTTCAACAACTTCAAGATACTGAGAAACGCAACACGGGAGACCAGCGTATTCGTGCCAAACTTGAAAACGAAGTTGAATCTCTACGACGCGAAAAGGCAAGTGCATTGGCCAAGGTTGAAAATCTTGAGGACACAGTTGCTGTATTGAAGCAGCGCAACACTGCAGAACAAACGGCAGCCCAAACAAAAGCTTTGGAAGCTGAACGTACTCGTGTAACGGAGTTACAACGCGAGCTTACACAAGCACAACTGGCGTTGACAGTAAGTAACGATACTCACAAGAGCGAAATTCGGGAACTTGAGACGCGGATGAGACGGGATGCAGCGAGTTGGGAACGGACCCAGGTCAAGACTGAAAAGGAGATTCGACAGCTTGAAGCCAAAGTTGAAATGTACCGCAGCCGGTCTGAGGAGTTATCAAGCGGGTTAGGAAATGGTACTAATGGTACTAATGGGAGCGGTGCTGGTGGCAGTGCCGCCGGACCCGAGTCCTCACAATTGGCACTTTTACGGCAAATTGAGGTTATGCAAACCCAGCATAGCATTGCAACAGAAAATTGGAACGGTATTGAAACCAATCTTCAAAACCGCATTGCCAGTCTTGAGCAACAAGTAGAGGATTCTAATGCTCGTGACTTGCAGTTTAGAAAGAAGATTAAATCGTTGGTAAGTGAGTTGTATTTTATTGAGATGTGAGAGACTAACATGATAAAAAAAAATAATAAAGACTGAAAGCCTTAAAGTACAGACGGCTGAAAATGAAACCTTGGCTGATCAGCTTGAAGAACTTCAAGATAAACTTAAAGTGGCCACAACCACTGGAGCAGATGCATCTTCCAAACTTGAGGAAGCACAAGCTCGGGTACAGGAGCTTGAAGAAATGCTTGCTGATCACAAGAAAAGCAGTGATACTCGAATGCATAAGCTTGAGCAAGAGCTTAGGGAGAGTGTTGATGCTGCTAATGCATCAGCCACTGCTGCTCAGCAAAAGTTACAGATGATTCAGCAACAACAGTTGCAACAACAACAGCAGCAGCAACAACAACAACAACAGCCACATTGGCGAGGCCCGCAACAAGCTCAAGCTCAAGCTCAAGCTCAAGCTCAAGGTCATTTGATGGGCCGACATACCAGCTTGGACTCTGGAAATTCGGATCCCTTATTAAACAGCTCTACATCTTCGGCTTCATCATCTCAAATTTCACTAACTCTTCCACGTCGTGGTAGCGGTGATGTTCAATCAGGGCTCGACGATTTTGGTCCTGGAGGGCTTTACATTAACAGTGGGGCTGCCAATATTCGTGGCAACTCTACAATGGCCAACTACTTGAACGGATTGACATCTCCAACACCGTCACCATCGACATGGGGCTTTGGAGCTCAAGCTGGAGCTGGAGCTGGAGCTGGAGCTAAATCTCCAATGATGATGCGACGATCTTCGAGAGGTAGTTTGCATTCCAACATGACGAATCCTTATGAGAGTGCACATTTGGGGCCGAGTGGTCCAATGGGTATTTCAGAGGTGATGTATGAAGAGAATGAGGAAGAAAATTTAGATAACGATGATGAGGGTGGAGAAAGTGCTGGTCGTGCGGCGTCATTTGTTTCTGTGGGGGATACGAGTGTTGAACTTGGAGGAGAAGCACCTGGAGGGTTCCCAAACTTTGAAGATTCTGCGTCGACAGTTGGTGGAAGTATTGGTATTCGGGAGAGTGAAAGTGATCGACGGGATAGTGCGAGCGGAGCAGGAGGAGGCGGGGGGGCTTCGATTCAGTTGGTTGGGCGCATGTCACGGACGATTCGTATTCTTGAGTCTGAGCTGTCGAGCGTCAAGCTTGAGCTTGCACGGGCTGGTGCCAAAGAGGAACAAGCCACGCGAGAAGTTTTACGTCTTTCTGCTGCACAAGAGGAGGCAGAAAAGAGTCAGGCACGGATTGGAGAGCTTGAGAGTAAGATTGAAAATATGAGTAAGCGAGAACAAACAGCTTTGGAGATGCTTGGAGAAAAGTCGGAGCAAGTTGAGGAGCTGCGGGCAGATGTGGATGATCTTAAAAACATGTATCGGACTCAGATTGAGGATCTAATAGATCAGTTAATCAAGGCCAAGAGTAAATAACAATATGAATATAGATGAATGAAATACATTTAAACGTGTTCATTTTTATTTTTTATTTTTTTTATTTTATTTTATTTTAATTCATAATAATCAAAAAAATAATATACAACAACATTAATTGTTTCCTTGCGCAACGGCTCTCTTTGTGTGTTCGGTAATATCTCTAGATTCCCATGGGTATGCGATCCAGACATCTGGAACAGTACGGGCAGCAACATAGCGGTCCTCAGTCATCATTGCTTCTGGGAGTTCAGCACGTTTAGGTTTATCCTTATTGTGAAGGACAAAAATCAAAAAGGTAGTTTTTTCATCTTGACGGCCGAGGCGTTCTGCTTGTTCACGGACATCCTTTTCAAGTTCCGAGAGGGCATAGTGAAGGGTAGTACGAGTATCATCAACCTCGTCAACAATAAGAACAGTTTTGCCGATAAAGTCGACAGAGCGTTGGGCCATAGTACCAAAGTCAAGCCACTGAGTACGAACAACTTGGGCACCCAAAGTTTCAGCAGCATTAGCTTCATCTTCAGCACCCAGGTCTTCATACAGTGACAGACCAATGGCTTGGATAGGGATATTTTTTTGGCCGGGTTCCTTAAGGAAGGTACGCAGAATACGCGCGGGGATAAATCCACCACCACCAATGGCCACCATAAGGTCTGGGCGGAATTTGGTCTTCATTCGCTCGGCACCTTCCTGGCAGAGTTTGTGAATGTGGTCATAAGAGATGTAGAGTTTTTCAGTCATGATTGATAGAGAAGAAAGAATGAAATGAGTTAAAAGATTGTTATAAATGGATGTATATATATATATATATAAATAGGTCTTTAAAACTTTTATATATAAGTTTTGAATGTTTAGATAAAAAAAACAAAAAAAGAAGAAAAAAAAAAAAAAAAAAAAAAAAAAAAAAAAAAAAATTAAAATGGGAGGAGGAGGAAGAAAAGGGCTGCTTATTTATATATTTATATTTATTTATATATAAATATATATATACATCTATAATATAATATACAGAAAAAAAAAAAAATTTACAACAAAATATAAACTCGCGTGTCCGAAAAAGGCCACAAAGTCATTCACATACACACACATACATACAAACAAACAAACAAACAATATAGTGCGGCCACGGCATTAATTTGTTTTTCTGGTTTAATTGCTTATCGCCAGAAAGTGTGGAGGATGAAGAAGAAAAGGAGAAAGAATTAAATAAATAAAATAAATCAAATAAAAATTCTACAGCAGATTTACTTGAAATATCCAATATGAAGAGCTTTAATGATGATTATTATTTATTCTAAGAATAATAATTTTTAATTCAATAAACTTTTAGTTAAAAGAAATTTTTTTTTTTTTTTTTTTTTTTTTTTTTTTTGATTGATTGAAAATTATTAAAAAAATTTTTCCCCTTTGAAGTGAAAAAAAAAAAAAAAAAAAAAAAAAAAGATAGAAAAACCGGTAAATCCAACGGAAGAAGCCGATAGTATTTAAACCAAATAAAAAAATAAAATAAAAAAATAAAATAAAAAAAATAAAATATTTTCATTTTTTTATTCATTTAAATTAGAAATTTAAATTTTTTTTTTTTTTTTATATATAAATATATATTTAGGACTTTTTTTCATTTTAAAATCTAATGGAGGATAAAAAAAAAAAAAAAAAAAAAAAAAAGAGAGAGAAGAAATGAAATAAAAATAAATTTGTAAATAAATAAATAAATAAATTCCAGCATCATCATCAAATTTCTAAAATGACTTTTCTGTCAAAGTTTATCCGAACTATTAATGCTGTATAAATATATATAGTCATTAATAAAAAAAAAAAAAAAACTTCTTTTTTTTTTAAAAATTTATTTTTATTTTTTTTTTTCCATCTCATATAATTTCTACATTTCTGCTTTAGCCGTACATATATCCCAAAATGGTAATTTGTGTGGCTTTCATATATTTAATACCATATATATATATATATATATACTATGTATCCTGGATATATCTTAAAATATTCTGCTTCTAATCCTTAAAAATTGTACTAGTTTTATGCTTATTTTCTTTTTTGCAAATTCTTTAATACATACAATTACTATTTCTTTTTAATTCTTTTTATTCTGTCCCTAACTAATATCTTCTTTTCTTTCCTTTCCTTTCCTTTCCTTTTCTCTTCTTTTATATCTAACATATTACTTTTCAATATAATTCAATATAATTCAAATTCTTTATTTTTATTTGTCTTCTTCTTTCCCGTATTAACGACGACTAGCCCCATTGGCCTTCTTAAAGCCTCCCTTCTTGGCCCCGCCACGCTTTCCAACTGCCTTCTTCGAAGAAGATCGCTTGCCAGCTCCCATCTCGTCATCACTAGCATCAGGAACTGCAAGCTTCTCAACTCCCTCGGCCTCCACATCACTCATATCATAATCCTCGTCTTGTGCAAACAGTGCTTTCTTATCATCCTCCTCCTCTTCTTCTTCTTCTTCATCTCCATCAGACTCTTCAGCTTCCAATTCAATGAAATCAGAGCCCTTGGTAAATCCATCTTCCTCATCGTCATCCTCCTCCTCTTCATCTTCATCTTCATCTTCATCTTCATCTTCATCATCATCCTCCTCCTCATCATCCTCATCCTCATTATCATAATCTTCTTCACCATTAACAATCACAACATTATCATCCTCAATGTAATCAACATCAGAATCAACATCAGAGTCGTCCTCATCATCATCCCCAGATCCTCCACGAGCACCAGCACTGCCATTCATCTGCTGTGTAATCTCACGGCGCATTTGCAACTGCGTGCGCAGCATCTCCACACGACCTTGCAGAGCCAACAACCGCGGCAGCATGCCAACCTTGTTGGAAAGTGTCAGATGCAGAGACGACAGAGATTGTGCCAGATTGGGAACACTCACAAGGTAACCACCATGTGCAATCAATGTCCATTTGATCCAAACCATCAGTTGACCCGCTCGTCCAGGGCTTCGAGAAATCTTATCCGCAAGACGTTCTACCAGTAACACAGCTTGAGATGACTCTAGGCGCTTCACAGACACCTTGATGTTCTCCTCATTGTGTGTGGTCAAAAGAGACTCCAGCAGAGCATGGTCATTGGTCTTGAGCGACTGCGCCAAAACAAGCGTAAACGACTCAGGTGTCTTGAGTGACATTTCATCAAACTCTTTGCTTAAAAGAGTGGTTGAAATATCTCTGTTCTTATCGCTCTTCTTTCCAGTAGAAGATTGGCCAGATCCGTTAGTCTTGTCCTCCTCATCTGCTTCTAAAACATTAAGGCGCTCAGCAAGAGTGCTAGACTCCTCGTCATCCTCATCTTCATCATCATCCTCCTCCTCTTCATCATCTTTGCTCTCTTCCTTCTTACCGCCATCTAAATGCGACAAGTCATTGCCACTCTTAACTGCAGATGTGTCTTCAGTATATCTCTTTGCAGTAGCAACATCCTCACCCTCATTGTTCAAGTTGTTCTTAGACTCAAGACCTTGTAAAACCTTGATAGCTTTGACAAGACTAATATCTCCAGTCTTGGCATTGCCATCCTGGTTCTTCCACTCAACCTTTTCAAAAACAGGAATAGTACCATGTTCAATCCACGTAAGTGTAGCGTAGTTATCATTGACTGGGAATGAAACATCTTCAACAATAACACGAAGTGCTGCCTTTTGCTTCACAGTAAGAGGCTTCTTGCTTGAAGTAGCAGGTGCAGGACGAGTCACAACAATAGTGCTAGTAGGTGTCAAAGAAATAGCCGCCAAACTCTTCCTGCTTCTAGTAGACTTGCTGGGTGTGGCTGCTGCATTTGCAGCAGAAGAATCCGTAATGGTAGCTAATGGGTTATTGAAAATCTCTACAGTGCCGTTCTCAGTTACAATAGCTGCAACAGACTCATCACTACTCAAAACAAACTTCTTGACATTGGACTGAGCAACAAGCAGAGCCACAGGCTTTTCCTTAGAAATGGAAATGACACTAACATTGCGTTCATTGCTGGAGTATGCAAACACAAGATCTGTATTGCTGGTAGATGGAATAAGTTGTGTAGCAGGCGAAGCAAACGCAGGAAGCGACTTGATGGTGTTGGTTGGTTGGTTCGAATCAATCAGATATATCGAAGAAGATGCCAAAAGAAGAGGGCTCTTGTTCTCGTTTGAAGCGGCAGAAGAAAGCTGCTTGACTAGTGTAATATCTGGCTGCGCAGCCTTGAAGGTGCGAAGAGCAGACTTGGTAGTCAAATCCCATTCGACAATCTTTCCAGAGTTATCACAAGTCCATATCGAAGAAGAAGTCTTGATGGCATCACTAGTAGATGGCTTGGAAGAAGAAGCATCAATGCTACTAATTGGAAACTCATGAGATCCTTGAAGCTTGAAAATGATTGCGTTTTTAACAGGTGAGTACACAAGAATTTCACCGCTGTTGGTACCGAGAACCACAACTGCAGACTCAGGAGAGTAAGGAGTATTGGCGTCCAAATATCTCTTTCTCTTCTTCTTGGACTGGCTTGCAGAAGAAAAGGTCTCGGGGAGGTATGCCCAAGTCAAGGTGCTTACAGAAACACCCTTTTCGAGAACTAAGCTAACATTCAGTGCAGTACTTGATCCTGTAATGTCTCCACCAGTAGAAGAGACTTGGACTTTCGAAAGATCAAGACTGGGGACAACTGACGCAAAAAACTGGCCCGAGACATCAAAAGATGAAGCCACAAGCGAAAGAGCGTTGTTGGAAGCAGGTTGGTTAACAGATTTACCAGTAGCCACTGCCATTATTGTATATTATTGAAAAAAAAAATGTCTATGCTTCAAATATTAAGGTATCTATCTATCCGTAGAATTTCTGGTTTCACTAAAACCTGGATGTAAGAAAAAAAAAATTCCTAAAGATCTTTAATTTAAGAAAAGGAAATTTTTAATTTTTAAAAATCTTTGTTGAATGTTGAATTTTTTTTTTTAATTTGTTAATTTTTTAATTTTTTTTTTTATGATTTCCAGTTGATTTACTTTTGATTTTTTTTTTTTTTTTTTTTTTTTCACCCAAAAATTTTTTCTTTTGGGAAAAAAATGATACTTACATAATCAAGGCCGGGTAAACTCTAAAGGTTACTGGAACCGCATGTCTTGCCCCTCTCCAAAAAATATAAAAAGCGAGCAACGTCCAGCTTTTGACACACAAAAAAAAAAAAAAAAAAAAAAGTAAATATAAATAAATAAATAAATAAAAGCCCGCCTAACCTTCAATTCCTCATCAACAAGAAATCTAGAAACCCTCAATATTTATTAATTTTTAAAAAAAATTTTTTTTTTTTCCAAGCTACTTTTTGAGGATAATTTATAATGTCAGATAGAGGAGACCACGGAGGCGATGATTTGTCACTTCCTAAAGCAACTGTCCAGAAAATCGTATCTGAGATAATTCCACCAGACCTTGTCTTCTCTCGGGAAACACGTGACGCCTTAATTGAGTGTTGTATTGAGTTTATCATGATTTTAACTACTGAATCCAACGACATTGCTGAGAAAGAGTCAAAAAAAACAATTGCATGCGAGCATGTTTTAAAGGCCTTGGAAACACTGGGATTCTACGATTATATTGAACCTATAAAGGGCGTCATTGCCCAGCATAAAGAAGCCCAAAGGGTCCGCGAAAGAAAGGTGGGAAAACTTGAACAATCAGGACGAAGTGAAGAAGATTTGATGCGTGAACAAGAACTCTTGTTTGGGAAAGCAAGATCAAAACTTCAGAATAGCCAGCAACAACAACAACAACAGCAACAACAGGATCCCCCTTCGTCATCTTAGATTTTCTTTTAAAAATAGACTAGTCTCTGTTTTGTGACTTACATCTACACTTTCCGCAACAACTACAAAATACCTTTCCTATGCAACACTTTTGTTAATCGCTGTATTTTAGCAGCAATGACGATTTGATGATTTTTGATGACCGGCAATGACACATGATGATGATGATGATTATGATTACGATTGGATTTTTCCTTCTCTTGCTACTTTTTTTTTTAATTTTCTTCTTTTCAATTACCAGAAGCTAGAAGATACACATACTGAGTTAATAAATAATTTTCAAAGCACGATCTAAACATTTCTCAAGGTTTATTTTTAAATTAGAAATCCTTAAAGAAACGCCAAACTTTTTTTTAAAAAAAATTGGATATAAATTATACAAGACACTTTGAATTTTTTTTTTTTTTCGAGATTAAAATGTCTTTTATAATTTCAATATTTGCAAAGAAAAAAAAAGAAAAAAAAACAATGAATTTAATATAAGCAATCGTTTCTCTCTAAAAAAAATACTTGAATAATGAAACTAAGAACTCAAAAACTAATGACTAATGACTAAAAACAAATAAAAATAATAAAAACAAACAACTTTTTCTGGAGCTTTAGTTTTTCCCAAAATATGAAACTTTCTTTTTCTTTTCCCTTTTTTTTTTTTTTTTTTTTTCTTCATTTTAACAAAGAAACGCAAACCAGAATATATATGCTTTATGCAGAAGAAACACACTGCTCAAAGATTTGGGCTTCTTCAGGAGTGTAACCACCAGTTAAAACATTGTAACGAGCAGGATCGTTGGTTTTAATAGTAATGAATGCGTCACGAACAACAACATTAGGCTCCATCTTATCAAGAACAGTTTCCGTCAAAGGTTCTTCTTCCAACTCATCTCCTTCAATAAATCCAATACCTGTGCCAGGAACTTGAGATTCTAAAAATTCAAGATAGTCAGTAGTGGCCTGTCTATCACCATCATCATCCACTTCATCTTCATCTTCGCCTTCGTCCCATTGTTCGTAAAAGTCTTCCCCATCAAAATTGCCGTTGGCATTAAAGTCCTTTTCCATGTCTTCCTTATTCTTAACAGCCTCGGGGAACTTCTTAAGAACACTAACCAAACCCTTTGAAATTTGACCAAGGTTATTGCGGATAGACTCAGGAAGTTCGCTATCAGGAACACGGAAAAGACCGAGCATAGCTAAGATAACAAGCTTAAGATCGTAAACACGTGAAAATGATTCCATCTTCTCAAACCATTGGGTAAAGAAGTCTTGTGTCAGGTTCTTAGATTCTAAAAATTTAAGAGTATCTTGAGGGTTATAGCAAATGGAAGCAAGGATTACCTCCAAAAGACTGACAAGGTATCGACGGTTTTTAAGCTTTTCAACATTGTTTGTGAGGTGATAAGTAATGCTTTCCAGAATTTGAGGCACAAACGCATCAATATGGCCGTACAAGCTTAAAAGCATCTTTTGAGCGATAGATGAAGCAATAATGCGATCTTCAACACCCAATCTGTCGTTCTCAGACATAACAGTACTAAAGATATCGAAAAGAATATCCTTAAGGCGGTCATTGTTCCCAATCTCTTCAGATCCATACTGTAAATAGTTGTCAATGCTAGGGAATATCTCGCTCAAGTAATCAATAGCATCATCTTTAAAAACGCTATGCATCTGAACAAAAAGCTCCCACATTGTAGGGGAAATTGATTTCAAACAATATGTGCAATTTTCAATCAAACCAAAAACATCAGCATAAAATTCGGAAAGTTTTTGAGAGAAAATGACTTCAATGACAGGCTTCAAAATATTTTCAAGCTCAATAACAACGTTACGAGCATTATCCAAAGCCAGAAGAAGAGTAGACATGGTGTTTAGTAGACCTAATGCAGTCATGGTCTTGTCTTCATTGGCTGCGTCATCATAGTCAATATTTTCAAAGTCCATATTTTGCTGTTCAACCAATTCGCCCAAAAGTCTTAAAAGTTGATCACGCATTCGGGTAGCAAGATCAACGGCAAATGGAGTAAGCTGTTCAGAAAAGACTTCAACAAACTCTCCAATAACACCAGAAATGGCGTCAATGTCAACCCTGCTAGTAAGATCCAAAAGACGAGTCATGACTTCAGGAATTCTAGAGGATAAAGAGGCATGTACACCTTCAATTGTGACCATTGGCTGAAGAGCGAGAGCAGCTTCAACTTGGACTGGGAGATATTTATCTTCCATACAACTCAAAACTGACTGGTATGCAATTGAAACATTATCGACGCTTTCAAACTTAACATCGGCGTAATGATTTAAAAATTCGCATGCACGTGCTCTTAAAAACCCATGAGGACTGTTAAAATCAGGGAAAACATACTGAGCAATGAATGATTCCATTTTATCTGCGATAGGGCTCTTCTTAGAAAGAACAAAATGAGCAATAGAGCCCATAATGCGTAAAGCTGCCTCTTGTTGACGAGCTAACTCAAGATCAGCGGGATTCGACTGATGAGCAGTAACAACACCCTGAACAAAAGTAAGAAGAGGATTAAGTGTATGACGTGATCTCTTGCGAATTAATGTCACTAAGAAATTAGTGGCAGCAATATCAGGAGTGTGGCTCTCTTCATAAACATCAATGTTCTTGTGAATGTATTCGTTAGGATCATTCTCAAAAATATCAATGTCATTGTCGGTGGTGCAAAGAAGTGGGAAAACCACATGAGAGACAATGATTTCAGTATGAGGCTTCAACAGAACCCAAGTTTCCTTGTAGCTAATGCATTCTTCCAAAAATGCAAGAATGTTATAAATCGAAGCATTTCCAAGCCAGATATCCTTTTTGATCCAAAGTTCAATTTGCTCAAAATAAGCCTTAATAATTTCGGGAACATAATTGGAAATGAAAATATTAGAAAAGTCAGCGTACTTTCCGGGTTGACTACCAACCTTTCTAGGAGCTGCATATTTGTAAAACAGACGGTACAAATTGGCAAATGCCCATTTTTTGCACTTGACCCAAGAGTTTAACTCACGATCTTCCTCGCTAAGCTTCATAACTTCTTCAGGGAGTGGTTTTCTAATAACAGAAAGCATAAGATTACCCCAGTTTGCGAGGTTTTCGGGTTTTTGTAATCTCTCAGGTAAAACTTGCTATAATTAAAGTTAATATAATGATTCAAAAATAATATCAACTAACGTACCTGAATGGCGCACTTGTAAATTTTAAGGACATGACGAAGCATATCTCCTGCTGCAGCACTGTTTTCATTGACCAAGGAATTACCAATGCCTAAGACACCATCAAAAGTTGCTTCAATTACAGCATCGAATTCCTGTTGCTCGTCACGAGTCCATCTATAATACTTGCAAATCTCTAATAGACAAATGAGACCCACTCTAATGGTTTCAACATCATTGGACTGAAAAAGATTTAAAGTTACATTGACAAGATTAGGCCATTTTTTGGGGAAATCTCTAGCCACTATAATATTTAAAACTTTAACAAGAACCTGACGAGAAGGAGGAACACTTTTGATTAATGCGGGAACAATACGATCTCTAAAAACAGGCTTTTCATCTTCATCAATAAAAGCATCTTTTGGATTTATCGGAGTCCATCCTTTGGTGATTTTGTTTTTCAAGTAAACAGCAGCTGCTGACTTCACTGGATCTGAAACTCTTGGTTCAATGACAATATCCAAACAAGCATTAATGAAGCCAGGTGTCTTTTCAGCTGCCTTAAGGTCAAGCTCAGCTTGCATTCTAATATTGGCATCTGCTTGAAGGGTTGCCTCAAGACAAGTATGCAAAGCGTTTGTATCCATTTTAATATGCAAATACCAGAAATTTTATAAAAGGAATCGTTCAAGAAATCAGTCTCAAAATAAGGTATCAAGAGGTTCAAACCAAAAGATGATGCAATAAATCTTTAGGGTATTAACTGAATTTTTTTCTATAATTCTTTTTTAAGAAAAAATATACACCCTTTTATATAAAATGTGCCGGAGTACCGCTCTTTTCAAGAGGTCTTGACTGACAGGTTGCAGTTACTGGTATCGTAAGAAAGGTGAGGAGAGGAGGAAAAAAAATTGGCTGAATTGGATAAACTGAAATTTTTTTATTTTATCACGTGCTCTTCTGCATAAAGAAAAAGAGGGTAACTCTAAAAATACCCTAACATCAATAGGCCAGCACTTAACTTTTCAATACCAGACTTATCTAATCAAGTAAATCGAATGTATCATTTTACATAAATTAAATTAAATTAAATTAAATATATATATTTTCCATAATCAAACTGTGTTTGCAAGATCATCTCTAGAGATGTTTAAAGTAAAAAACTTAATAATATGACCGGTTACTATGTATATATTTTAATTATTTGGAGAAAAAAAACATCTATTTAAAAAACTCTTGAAGCCAGCTCATCGAAAAGCTCATTTTTAGCTTGAAGATCTTTGACATAAGCATGATTAGGTGCTGCCAATTTCAATTTTCTAAAAATTGTTAGAAATAGTCAAAAATAGTTGGTAAAAATACATACTCTTCTTGTTCTTCATAAGATTGACCTAAAAGAATTGCGAGTGAAATTGAGCTTATAAGAGCGTCAGGGTTCTCCGGATCCACTTCTAAAGCTTGTGTTACGACCGACTCAGTTTCAGGAAGTCTTCCTAACAAAAGTTGAGATACAATCTTTCCCAAAAGCGATTTAGTTGTTATAGCACCGCCTGAGCATAGCTCATCATAAATATAAAAGCCGTCCTGGTAACGGTCGTAGCCACCTGCCCGGAAAAATGTCCAAGATTCAGCTATATTAAACGCGGTATTATCTTGAGCCCAACTGCTGATAGCCTTAATTTTTTGAGAAGCAGTTTCGAGTTGGTTTTGAATGAGATAAATTTGAATAAGTAAAGTAGCAGCCTCAATATTAGCGTCACGATCTAATAATTCCACAGCCTCTTCCAACCGCTCTTCAGAGACTAATATGATTCCACCAATAAATTGAACAGTATGGTTATCAGAACTTTCGGATATTAATTTTTCAATTTCATTGACAGCATCAACTTTCTGTCCTTGGGTGTATTTGGCCAGTGCCGAAACTGCAAGATAGTCCTCATCGCCTTCAGTGCATGAGCTAAAACCTTTTATGACTTCAGCCTGTCGACCCAAAATAATCTTAGCTCTAGCAATCAAAACATTAATGTAAACAACTGCCGCTTCAGAAAAAGAATTTGTTGATGTATTGATGACCGTCTCGTAATCACCGGCATAAAATGCACGTTGAACATTGTAAACTTCTATGAGATTTGAAATTAAACAACAGTTAGTCAAAGAATATTTTGGTTATTTCAAAGTTTCTCAATTTACAAAAACTATTAAAAAAAGATTCATACCCCGAGTATTAGCCATTTTTTTTTATTGCGGAGCTACTTAGTACCTGGTAAAATACTTGATAATAATATTTGATGATGTAAAAAAGGGTGAGAAAAGTGTTAAAAAAAGGTTTCAAAACTTGGCCCAAAGAACACGTCAAGAAAACAAATAAGTATATTACTAATCAATTACAAATACAAGCTGGCACAAAATACAATATCACGCTTAATTTTTTCTTGTGCCAGTTCCATTTTTTCGTATAGAGTGGCATCTCCAATAATCCTTGCAGCATTCATTACTTGTCTGCAAACTTCGTCAAGTCTAGTAATCACACGAACAATGGTTCCCTCTGGAATAGTTGTCAATTTCATAATATCGCTGAAAGCCATACCCCTACCCCATTCATAGATGGGCTCCATAAGAGCAAATCTATCACTCTCCAAAAATTCAGCTTCTTCTTGAGTGACCAGGACGCTATGTTGCTCAAAAACATCTAATGTCGAAGTAACAACTTCCTTAATTTTTGCTTTTCCGTAGTCAAGCTTCGGGGTTATAGGCCCACTAGTAACATTAGAAGCGCCTTGAAAAAGAAAGACTGATAACAGAGAAACAATTTCTTCCGGCTCATATGACGCCAAAAAGTTATCCAAAATAAGCTCAGTAATAATGAGCTCGAAACCTGTAGTTATCTCACAAGCAACTCTTCCTTTGAGCAAGACGTTCTGATCTTCATCAATATAATTGAGAACTTTCAAAACTTCAATTCGTTGCTCGTAGTCTGGAAGTAAATCCATATTTTCTCCATGAATAAGTTGCTTCAATTGCTCAATGTTATGTTGAGTTTTGTATCTTTCATTTTCAACAGCATAATGTCTGACAAAATGAGGGCAAGAAATAGAATGCGATGATGAAATTAGCTGAAAAGTCTCGGAACGTTCTTTAGAAACAATAGCCATTTCAACTGCTTTCAAATCTTTTTGAAACTCATTCCACTGATCTTGGAAAGAAAACATGGAAGCAAGAAGTTCGATCGCCTCCCTGTACCCAGGATTTTTTGGTTTAGTTAAAATCCAAGGAGAAACTTTGAGAGTTAGCTTAGTGATAAATTCCACTGAAGCCACAGGAATTGAAGTTTGGCGAAAACTAGATGCAAGCACAAAATGATTAGGCATGTTTCTTTTAACGTACCCACCAATCGTAGAGAAAAATGGTGCGTTATCCTTGAACGAATCTGCAGGCTTTCTTGATAGTATAAATACATTAAGCGTTCCTCTGGTAGTATCAAGGTTCGAAACCAACCCAACATATCTAGGTTCGTCGTCATTTTTAAAAACGATGATGCGTCCTTTGGGAAATGCTGACAGTCCATTAACAAATTTTGCGTAGAACTTGATCAAATCAGCAGATAATTTTCTATAAAGATCAATCTTAGACACAACAAATTCAATATCTTTGTCACAAAAATTGCAAGATTCGCGATTAAGTTTGGTTAAGGCGTCCTCGTTAATTTTAACATTCCTTTGGTGTTCAGGAAGCATAACCTGATTGGCATTTTCAGAGAATGATCTCTTAATCATTTCTTCCACTTTCAAAGCCTCAATTCTAAGGAGATTTAAAATCATGTTGTAAGTGAGTCTAAATTGACTCTGAAGTTTTGTAGGCGTACCCATAATTAATTCTCTAAATGATTCTGGTGATCCTAATTCTGAACCAACCATAATCATTACTGTCCCTGTAGTGTCAAGACCTCTACGACCAGCACGACCAGCCATTTGTGTGTATTCACCGGGAAACAATTGTCTAAATGTGTGACCATCAAATTTAGAAGTATTTGCAAAGACAACAGTTTTTGTTGGAAGATTGAGACCCATGGCAAACGTTTCTGTAGCAAAAAGGACTTTCACAAGTGATCTAGCAAATAAAATCTCAATAATCTCCTTAACAATAGGTAAAAGACCACCATGATGAGTACCTATTCCTCTTAAAAGCAATTCACGTATTTCTAAAATTTGTGGCAATTCCCTATCTTCTTTACGCAACCGAGAAATAGCGTTGTTGACAAACATTTTAATTTCAGATTTTTCTTTGCTGGTTGTAAAATCGACACTAGTAATCATAGATGCGTAAGAAGAAGCTTGTTTTTGTGAAAAAACAAATATAACTGCAGGAAGAAGAGATTCTTTTTTAAGATGTTGAAGAAGTTGGAGAACAGTAGTTTTACCGTGTATATTGCTATTAGGACGACGTCCATTTGAATTATTCTTAAGTTGTGGAGAAATGAATAGCTGTCCACCTCCACGACCGCCACGACCGCCACGACCGCCGCGACCACCTCTTCCGCCGCGACCACCACCGCGACCACCACGACCATTAGTATCGGTTTTATCTCCATTTTTGGGACCTGTTGGGACAGCAGGAGGATTAAGCAAATTATTAGCAGCAGAATAACCAACTTCCAAAAATTTCTTATCTGAATCAACTATTTTTATTTGGTTGTTTTTCAGCCAGAGATAATGTTCAAGGGGGACTGGACGTTTAGGCGTCGAAATAACATAAATATCTTTCTGTTTTGTTCTTCCAACCCAATTAGCAAATTCAAATGTATTGGGAACAGTTGCAGATAGCAGAATTAACTTAATATGGTCAGGAAGCATGATAATAACTTCTTCCCATACAACACCCCTATCCTGATCATTAACATAATGAACTTCATCAAATATAACAAATTCAACGTCACGAATCAAATCTGCACCTCTGTAAAGCATACTGCGCAAAATTTCAGTAGTCATAATAAGACAGCTTGCTTCAGAATTAATCTGAACATCACCTGTTAAAATGCCAACATCTTCAAATATATCCTTAAAATCTCTGAATTTCTGATTACTGAGAGCTTTGATGGGAGATGTGTAGATAGCCTTTGTCATATTTCTAGAGGCCATTGCTATAGCATATTCAGCAACAACAGTTTTACCTGCAGATGTATGGGCAGCAACAAAAACTGAATCACCCTGCTCCAAATGATAAACAGCTTCTTTTTGAAATGTATCGAGTTCGAAAGGGTATTCTTTTGCCATAGATGGCACTAATTCTCTAAAATTTTTAATTGTTTTGTTAACATCAACAACATGAGCCCAGTCTTTAGATTTGGGAATTGACTCAATATGATTTTGAATTCGCCCAAAAGTAATCTCATTTGGAAGTAAAACATCAATTTCTGTTGATTTCACAACTGAGCTGTCATTGTTATTAACTTCATCATCCAGGTCTGTATCATCATTACCATCAAAGTTTTCATTTTCTCTTTCGTTATCGTCATCATTAGACTCAATGGAATGATTATTAATGCTTGAGGGAAAATCTGAGTTATCAGAAATTTCTTCTGAATCTTTTAAGTCAACTAAAACATCATTACTAAATTCAGTTTGGTCTTTCTCTTCTTCTAATTCATCCAAAATTCCTCGAGACAATCCAGGAGCAACGTTATATAACCCATTATTATCACGAGAAAAATTTTCAATCTTCTGATTGTCTTCCAATATAGATACACCTCCAGGTGCAAATGGCATATAGCCAGGTCGACCTCTTACAGAATCTGCTTTCGAAGTAGCTTCACGGGTGATTGAAAGTGAATTTTTTGAAGTTTTTGTAGAGAACTCAGAAGGAACAGTGTATTCAGAATATCCAACAATTGATCCTTCTAACCCTGCACGATGAAATTTAAACCCAGTAACTGATTTGTAATGTGGTGGCGTAAATAGTTGAGAAGTGTTGTCATTTAAAAAATCAACTGGAGGAAGTCTATTTTAATTTTCAAGTTAGATTATCATGAAATTATACGAAGTGAAAAAATCATTTTAATTAAACAAATAAACTTACTCTTGAAGATTGTCGAGCCAATTAGATGTAAATTGAGGATGAGGTGTAAGAAACTTTTTTCTAATATTTTCTTGACTAAGTTCTTTTTCAGTAAATTCGTTTAAAGAGACTTTAAGTGATCGATCTATCAAGCTTTGATCACCTGAAATTAAATCTATTTTTTCACAAATAGAATCAAGACAGTTCTTGATTTCAGTCATTTTCAAGTAAGATTACTTGTTTGTTCAAAAGAAACTGGTTGATATGGTTATTTGGTATGTCAAAAACATTGTGGTTAGGGTCAGATAAATAATTGTTGGGGGGTACAAAAATAACAGGTTAGGGTTTGGAAAAGGACACTTAAAAAATTTGTTATTTAAAAATCTACTAGAGTACTGGAGCACTGGAGTATCAATTTTTAAGTTAGATTATACTTTATCCAACTTGAATGATAATTATCATAAATTATAAATTTTTAAGAACTGAAAAAAAAGAATTTATTTTAATCAAAGAACAAATAAATTACTCTTGAAGATTGTTGAGCCAATTAGATATAAGCAAGAAAAAATTTCCCTTAAATACCAAAGCTACCTTTTTAAGTTTATTATTTTTTTTTAATGAGTCGTAATTACGAAAAGGATGAAGCATATCTAAGTTAATCAAAAATAATATATTATATTGGAAAAATATAGATTTCTAAATAAACAAATAACTTAGATGGTTATAACCAACTTCAAATTTTTTTTTAAAGGTGTCTTACTAAACGCTTTGAAAACAGAAATTTTAAGTGACTTGAATTTTATGAAGTGTAACAAAGTATGCCCAAAATATTCTTGTGGAAATTTTCATATTATCTTTTAACAGAGTAAGGCTTCTGTCTTCGTCTTTCATTCCAATGAAGGGTTTTGCTAAGTCCCTGAAACCAGTTTTCCATCTTTTTATCATTTTGTACCTTAGGGAAAGGATATCGCGATGCTGAAACTGTTAAAAAGTCACCTGGATTAAGCTCTATCTGACCTCTACCATCAAACCCACACCATGCACTAACACGAGAATCATATGGCACTGCAATTCTAATGATTATGGAATCAGGTGCAATAAGAGGTCTAAACGATAAAGAGTGCGGACAAATTGGAGATATTAAAATACCAGGTATATCGGGATGAACTAAAGAGCCACCTGCAGAAAGAGAATACGCTGTAGACCCACTGGGAGTAGAAATCACTACACCATCTGCTTCGATCGACGTCAATAGAGTGTTATTTCCATATAACTGTGTCGTTGTCATTACATGATTTGACCCACGATCCTAAACCCTGATTAGACTTAAAAACACACACAAACTTCTCCAATTTTTAAATGAAAACTCACCACTACGACATCATTAAGTATGCAAAAAGTTTTTCCACGTTGGTGCGTTTTAGAAAAGTCGAATACTTCACCACTACCTGATTTAATTTCATGTTCTAGAGAATCTCCAGTTTTTCCTTCTGTAGACAGCGCTGTCATGACAGTACATTCAAATCTCATTCGCAGCGAACATGTTACACCATCGGCCATAATTTCCTTCAGTATGGATTCTCGGTCATCGTAATTGTAATCTCTGTTTAATAAAAAAAAGTTCTAGAATTTTGAAACATGTTTTATGACTATCAAATACTCACGTCAAAAATCCTAAGCTCCCGAGAGAAAAACAAAGAACAGGTGGGACAACTCGCTGAAAAAGCCAACTACTGTAAAGAACAGTCCCGTCACCACCAAGCTAATAGAATTAGAATTTTTTATATAAAATATCAAATTTTATGTTCTTACCGTTATGACTAAATCAAACTTATTTGGCTGATTTCGACACATATCGATTGTCCAAAACTTAAGACGTTCACTATTTATACTGTTTGTCGTGATAATTTCGTGGTAATTGAAAGTCTGGTCGGTTTCTAAAACATCTTGCACAAATCTAGTTTGAAATTAGTATTATGCCGACATCTCATATGAAATAGTTTGGTTCTTACACATTAAGATCTCCCCATGAAGACTTTGTATTGAGAAGGCAAAGAGCCAAATCTCGAGTGTACTTTATAACATCCTCGTCAACTATTTTAGTGACTAAAAGAATATTGCGCATTCTTAATTTCATTGATAAACTCACTTAAAATGATTAAAAAAAGTCCAACTAAGATTATGTGAAATATTACTTACTAAGACTTTGACTAAGGTCGCGAACACTCACGACCAGCTGCGATAAACTGGTCTTAGTCATAGGTTCTGCTTCATAACCGGATACATCTGTATTTTCTGAAGTTAAGTTGGTTAAATTAGCATGGCTTTTGGTAGCTTTGTCTTGAAGGTTATTTATCTCTAATAACTCATGAACAAGACAGCTGGAATTTTGACGTCTATGACTTATTCTTTCTTTTGATCTATCTCCTGGAAATTCCAAGGTGACTGACTCCCTATGTAAACCCGACATCACTGATCGTTTGAAATTATCAAGCTCTTCACGCTCAGTTAATCCTGTAGATGAATTTTGAACCATTTTGACATCAAAAAAATATTTATTAAAAATGAATTAACAGATTCTAACTAGGTATTGTGGATATAAATGACTAGATTTTGTGGACTGAGAACGAGCATGATAAGGTCTCAAATCGAGGAGTATCTAAATTAATAGCCGTTTATGCCCTTACCCTTTACTCACGTGATATTTAGAATTTTTTATTGAAGATTTACAAAGCTTGTTTTTTATTTCTTAATCACTGTAGTAATTTTGCATAAAGTGAGAATGAAAGCTCCAGTTATAGAGCCGTGGAAATCATTTGATGATTTACTATATCTGAGAGTTTGCTTTTTTTCTACCGAAGACCGGATAGAAGAAGGATTATCAAAGGTAGGTGTTTTTTTTTGTTAAAGGCTATCATGAATAATACTAAAATATAAATAGGTCAAGGCATATCAGATTAGAGGCTCTGTACCTCATCCGGTGGAATGTACAGCATTTATTCTTTCAGTTATATCTTCAGATAATGAAGATATAGATAATTATGTTTTGCGATTATCTTATTCTATGGCTTTAGTACGTTTGGTTAATGGTTATGTCGATAACTATGAAGGAAATTCAAATTTTCCTGTATACCATATTGCTAAAGCTATTGGGATTCCTTCTCATTTCGTAGAGTTAAGACATACAGCAACTCATGACTCTTTACCTTCTTTAGAATTGTTACGTGATGTATCAAGGCAAGCACTTAAATGGCTTTGGAACAATTATTGGTCAACGTTAGAACAGACATCTCTTGAATCCACGAACTCCATACCAATCCCCAGGAGTAAGGAACATCAAAGTAAAAAAATAATAAGTCAAATCAAAAAAAATTCTTCATCAGAGAAAGCACAGAACGAAATTAAAAAGTTATTTGTATCTTGGAGAAGATTAAGAAGGAATGACCCGGAGAGCGAGGTTGATAAATGGTCCCCAGAATTATCAACCATAATCACCAGTTTAAAATCATATATTTTGTCTAATGAGGAAGATCTTTATGAAGTATTATTTGAAAAAAATATTTTAATACCAAAGTATGCCTTATTATTTTTATTTTTAAGTTTGTTTTTTTCTTTTGCTAATGTTATTTTTTTAGATCTGATCCAATTGATAAAAGGGCAATTTTATATGGACCTTTATTAAACCAACTTGCAGGTGATTTTTTCATTGAAAGACTTGTTATTCGCTTAAGTAAAGTACTTTCTTCTGTTGGAAATGAGCTGGACCTTAATTTATCCTTACAAGAGCACGCTCTTACTCCTGATTCTCGAGAACTTATGGATCATAAAATTGCTTCATTGTACTACTGGATTGAATATATTTTTTTTGAAAAATCGCAATCTCTGAATAATGAATGGTTTTCTTCTTTGGAAATTGTTGTCAAGTATTTTATCTCATTTCCTCAACCCTGGTATGTTTATCATTTGTGAACTTTTTTAAATTTATTAAATTTCTAACAATGACTAGGAATTTAAAAATTCTACGCCGCTATTTTAATGAAAAAGAAGCCGAAGATTTTATCTCAAATAGGAAAACATCTAGTCTTGTTGACGATTTAATATCTGTATTTGAGTCCTCCCAATCTCTTGATGTTAACTCAATGGGGTCTATCAGATCTTTAAAAAAAGAGCTACAAACATTTAAAGAAAAATTTTCAGAAGTTTTGGAATATGCTCATCATTCAAAAAATGAAGCGGATGATTTAGTGAACAACGAAATCCTGAGTAGCTGCGGGTGGACACTACAATATAATTGATTTTCTTTATTTATGTTTGCTAATGGTCACAATGAAATAAGAATATGTTAAGGAGAATTCATGAAAATAATTGCCCTTGTTTCTTCACTCTTAAACCTTGTAGGGTTCTTTATCCTAATTAGGATATTAAATTATCACTGAAGTATTTACAATAATTTGCATAAAACTCTAGATTATATAATCATTTTATAATTATTTGAGAGGCTTGAGAAAAAAATGTAACCATTTTTATTTTGGAATAAAAATAGGATTTATTGGCTGTTTTATTATAATGTAATTTTTCTATACCCACTAACACCACCAGCATCACCCTAAATTGACATTTAAAAAAGATGAATAGACCGAGGAAAAAAGCTAAGAAAGAAGTTTCTAAAAACAAAATATGACTTATTAGCTTACAAATTAGTTAGTGTAAACTATTTTTTATAGCCTTACTTCATTTAACTAACATAATATGAAGAGTTTTGGCTATGTATTAATTTCGTCGACCCCCCAGAAGAAAATTACAATCCATACGAAATTTTCACAAATGCTTGCAACGATCCGGAACAATCTACTTATTGTATTGATAAGTGGAAGAAAATTTATACTCCAAAACTACTTCTTGAAATTTGTGGTCCAAAATTTTCAAGCCCTTCACAAATTCGTGCAATGGACAATTGTCTTTGAAGTTTTATAGCCAACAACACATCAATTTTTGATCTCTTCAATACATGGATTTGCAGTACCACCCACACTGCGGAATACCGAAAAAAAATGGGCATAGATAAAAGAAATTGGCAATTAGGTGACATTGAAAAAGCAAAGATTTTGTATGCACTTTTAAAGGTCACTGGTGAACCATATCATGGACTTTCAACAAGAATAGTTTTTAAAGATCTTGGAATTTATGACCCGGGAAAGGTACTTGAATACTATGATGAGCGATACCAAATTAATAAACATCACATTGCAACTATTCCCACGCGCTTGTTAGATAATGATAGGAGTCGATTTATTCATAATTTTAATACAGACGATGAATGGAGGATTGATCAACTAAAAAGGTGGGGCGAAAATTTTAAGGATAGATTCAGTGATAAATATGATTCTGAACTCTTAGAACAGACACGGCAAGAGGCTCGAAAAAAATTCAATTATTCTGGACGTACATTAAGTAATGACATCAAAGCTTTGGAAAAGCGTGTTTCAATATCATTGAAAAAAAAAAACAAAAGAGGAAGTTTCTCGCCAAAAAAAAATGGATTTGTTTTACCAACATTTGTCGGAAGCTGATCTCAAAATTTGGATATACCTTTTTACATTTATTTATATCGATTTTTGAAAGAACTTAAGAAAAAAGAAGAAGAAGAAGAAAGAGAAGGGGGAGGACAGAAACAAGAAGGTAAGATCTAATAAAATTAAGAAATTTCCATTTATTAACTTTTTTGATATAGATTCGACGCAGGAACTCAGCAAAAAAAATATCTTGGAAAAGGAAGAAGACGAAGAGGACGAGGAAGGAGGTAAGATTTAATAAAATTAAAAAAAATTTCATTCATTAACGTTTGATATAAATTCCTATAGAGGTCATTGAAGACGTAGTCTATGACAATTATTACCCGGATTCAAGCAGTTTCGATAATTTTGATTTTTTTGAACAAGAGGAGTTTTATGACGACATGTCTGATGAGTATTATGACAACCTTGTTGATAAATACTATCCCGTTATCCCCAAACTATTCGAGGAATAGTAAAGCATGTTACGCCGTGGTGACTGGTCTATAGGAGTTAAAGTTGTTTATTTTTGCAGCAATAGATGGATGGCCTTTTCAGGTTTTAGCAGCGATTTTACAGAATGTGTTGATTATGAGAAGACTCGTTGCCGATGCATAGATATTTTTATTTCTCACCTTGTGAAAAAGTCAGAGATTTTTTTGAAAACACAGGCTTGCCTAGAGTCATGAAGGATGCCCATAAACGACAAAACAATGAAGAAAGAGTAGATGATTTTTTTGACGACCAACTATAAGCTTCTCTCACAAAAATGCATTCAAAACGTTCAATTAGATAAAGATTATCAACAAAAAATATCTCTCAAATATTTTGAAAGTCCTTGGGATCTAGCCTTTTCGAAATCATTTGATGCGATTCTGGTGCCGTTTAATAACTCTTCTTACAATATTTTTATTGCTCGATGCTTAAATCTACCTCCTGAGGAGCGCAATAAATTATCAAAAAAAAAAAAAAATTGATGGCATTTCCGGCTGGAATTTTTTGAAATATTTCCTTAGATCTAGATTTGGAGGTTTAATACACTGAAGTACGTGTTACTTATAATAATAATAACAACTGAAAAATAATCATAGATAATATTTCCCATCTTTGAACACATTAGGATTAATGCGATTAAATCACCATTTATACTTGTAAAAATAAAAAATTAGTAAACCACTCAGTAATATGGATTTTTTAAGCAGGAATTAAAAGAGAAACATTATTATTAGATAAACTGTGCATTGGCCAGTACACTAGGATATACAGTTTATGATGATGATATATGGGTCATGAAAACTGTAAGGCACCATTTGTTTTATCAGTTGCAGATATGTCGGTTAGCTTTGAGTTATCAGGGTTAAGTGGACACACGTCAGATTATCATTGCTGTTACTGTTCAGACGAAAATATGACAGCAATAGTTTTACCCCAAAGGGAATCTATGACTCATATGCCTGAATCATTAGATCCATTACCTTAAAGTTCGAAAAATAATAACAAATGGAGCGGGCATGGACTCTATGGTGGAAAGTCCATAAACAAACAAAAGGTTTAGCGACATACCGTCATGATAATCTACTTCTTTCCTAACCCCATACATATAGAAACTCGAGAGCTTGAGACTTTAAGTGAGACAATACCATATTTAAGGACATTTTCAAGAATCCAACGAGCTTCTTTTCAAACTGCTCGCAATTCACTGAACAAGGCTTAAGCTGAATTTCGGCCATATTTTGTTTAGGTTTAAAATTATAAATAGAATATTTCATCGTAAAAATGGCCCAGATATTTACAAGTCTGAAGCATAGGAATCAATAATCCAATTTTTGGAGAGTTTCAATAATATAAGCTACAATTTTGTTGAAAGGAAGTTCAATATGGCTGAGATAGCCTAGGGAATTAAAACATATACACCAGTTAAGCTTATGGCACACCAAACCACAAATATCCTTACTTTTTTATTTGGTATTGTTATGAAGTCAAATTATAAATATAATAGTTATTAATGTCTTGTTACTAGCTGGTGCAACTTCTTCGATTGCTCTCTTTACCTAAGTTTTCAAAAAATCTATAGAAAAGACTTAAAAATGGAATATATAGAAAACTTTTTAAAGGTTTTTGAAGAGGTATATTTGAAGGATGCTAACAATTGAGCCTTCATGACTTTACCAATACATACGCTGCGTCATAGTGTTAAAGCCATTCGAGAGGTAAATCCACATAGGGTGATATAGGGCTTTCCCACTGAAAGAGCTTGCTCTTTATTAAAGTCTCAAATAAGTGGATTTTGATTTAACGTGATATTTCAAAATCCTTAAGAAAAAAAGTATTTGGACGTTGACGACCATGTACTTTTTCTGATAGGTGACACAATATTGAGAATACTGAAAATATTGAAAAAAGGAATGGAATACCTTCACTCAAAATTAATCATGCGTATATATGAGTATATAGCATAAATTTCAGCACTTTTAAAATTTCCTTTACTTTTACTTTAATTTAGTATGCAATTTATAAATTAGATATAATCAATTTGACACTTTTCTAGATATTAAGCCGGATCAAATTTATTGAGGATATTAGAAATACATAGAAGTTATCAATAGAAAATGACCGACATTAAATCTGGTGGTTTAACTACTGCTTCTATAAACACAGAAAATATGTGCTCTTTTAGCCCAACTAAAAATCTTAATTACCATAAAAATCAGGCAGAAATTAATTGTATTGATTTTGATGACGATGGCGATTTGGCGCTTACTTCAGCAGCAGATGAATCCATTCAGCTTTATGATATGAAACAAGGGAAACATAGAAGCACAATTTACAGTAAAAAGTACGGTGTTACTCTTGCTAAGTTTACACATAACCGTATGAACTGTATATATGCATCTACAAAAGAAGACGGTATGAAACGCAAAAAAAAAAAAAAATAAATAAATAAGTTATAAACTTATTTCAAATTCAAATTCAAGCTTATTTCTTATTTCTTAACCCAAATATTTTTAAAAAAAAACTGTTAGATACTATAAGATATTTATCTTTACATGATAACTCATACATTCGTTATTTTAAAGGTCACAAAGGCCGTGTTCATAGTCTTGAAGTCTCGCCTTTAGAAGACTTGATACTTTCGGGTTCAGATGACAATACTGTTAGATTATGGGATTTGAGGTCTCCTACGTGCCAAGTTAGTATATATTTAACACCTTAACGAAACTTTCTAATATTAAAAAAATATTTATCTAGGGTTTATTAAACACGCCTGCACCATCATTAGTTGCATTTGATCCTTCAGCAGTGCTATTTTGTGTTGCCTCAGAAAAACTTAACTGCCTTTCTCTTTACGACGTCCGAAACTTTGATAAGCAACCTTTTAGTGTTTTTAAACTTGACAGTAACAGTCGACCATGGCAAAAGGTGGAATTTTCAAATAATGGAAAAACTGTTTTAGTCAGTACATCTGAAGATATTCACTATCTTCTGGATTCATTTCATGGTGAAATCAAAGCAAAATTAACAGGACATTCACCTATACCAAGACCTTCACAAAGGAATTCAGGTCATACTTGCTTTAGTCAAGATGGCCGCTTTGTATTTTCTGGATCGGGCGATAAAAGAATCTATATATGGGATACAAATAAACAACCTGATCATGATTTAAGATTACGTCATATTAAAGCTCTTAATTCACCTCAACCACCTGCTTTATTGGCAATGAATCCTAAAACAATGCTTCTTGCAACAGCTAATACAGAGCTAACACTTTGGCTTCCATCGCTCAACAGAGAAAAAAACAAATAATTTATATTTTACATATATAAATCAGATGAAAGCACATCTTCAATGGGCGGATAGTCTATCTCAGATTTATTATAAGACCATTTTACCCATTGTTTTAGAAATTTACTATTCCCTTTTGTTAAAGTTTCTGTGTTGCCAATAATGCATAAGTGCCTCTTTGGTCGAGTTATAGCAACGTTTAATCGACGCTCTTCTGCGAGGAATCCAACCTCACCAGTATCATTGCTTCGTACTAAAGAAAGAACTATTGCAATCTTTTCACGACCTTGGAATCCATCAACAGTAGATATTTCTATTTCACGATGTCTAATATGAATGATTTTTGATAGCAAAGAAATTTGTGCACTATACGGTGCAATGATACCAATTTCTGTAGGTTTAACACCTTTTTTGACTAATGAAAAGACATAGTTGCGAGTTAAATAAGCTTCATTTTCATTGTATTTGCTGAATTCGAATCTGCTGCCTTTTGCCAAACTTTCATCACTATTAGCTTCAGGGTAATCATACCCTTGTGTATCCAGCCATAGAATGGGTGGGATATCTTCTCCTTTATCTAAATGTATAACTTTTTCTGCAACAGACTCATCTGCAATCAGTTTTGATTTATAAAAAAAATTAGAAGGAAATTCCATAATGAGTTTATTCATTCGATATTGAATGCTCAAAAGTTTAATGATATGATTCCCACTAGGTAATTTTTCTAAACGATCAAACAAAGTCTGCTCCAGAACACTTTTTATTTGTAAGTTCTTTGACATAACAACAGGGGGAAGCTGTTTATTATCTCCAGCAATAATTAATTTTGTGACTCCAGGAAAATCCATAATTGGAATCCAGCATTGAGCTTCCAATGATTGTGAAACTTCGTCGATAATAATAACGTCAAATAAATGCTTATTAGATGAATCAAGTGCTCTTCGAACCTGTCTTAATGAATAGGATCCGGCTCCATGAAGGGTAGAAATAACCACTTGGGATTCTAGAATAATGTCAATAATTACTTTCTTTTCACGTTCGCGGTAGTCTTTTCTTAAATCTTTAATGTTATTATAAATTTCTTTCCTTTCTCGTCCCGATCTAGTTTTAGAAATTTTTTTTAAGGTTTCATCAATTTCTTCCCGAAGCTCTCGAACAACTTGTCCGTAGTCATTAGATTTGGAAACGATATCTAAAGAATGTATTCGGTTGTTTTCCAACAATCTTGCTGGATGTCCAATTCTTATTAGCTTATTTCCTTTAATATGATTATGCAACCTTTCTAAAATATTGTCTACTGATATATTAGAAGGCCCACATACTAAAACTCTTTTGCCTTGAGATACGAATTGGCGAATTATCTCAACTAGTGTATAAGTCTTTCCAGTTCCTGGAGGGCCATGAATCACAGCAACTTCACTTTCACTGAGGGAAAATTTAATTGCTTCTTTTTGTGGGCCATTTAATGCAGAATCAAAAAATTGAATGTCTGGTAATGAAACCGGCTTTGAAGGATTAATGTTTCCTAATAAAATTGATTGAACTCTTGAAGGAGATTCTATTTCTTTTAACAATTTTAGTGCATATTCCATTCTCTTGTAAGTAGCATTATTTGTCAATTTAACTATCCATAAACGAGTATCGGATGAAGGTATAGCGTTTGAAAATGCTTCTTCAATCACAACATTTAAAGAATTGGAATTCATAGATACGACACCTTCAATGATTGATCCATCGTTTTTAGAATCAGATGTGTCGAGCTGTTTTGTCTTTTTTTTAATTAGAGTTTTTTTTTTTGTATCTGCTGAATTCAAATATGGGGAAACTCTCACAATATCACCATTTCTTATTTCTCCAAAATCCAATTCCTGATTTTTTTGAGTAACTGCCGGATCAAGCTCAAGAGATATTACAGGTCTGCCGCTTGTTCCAGTTCTGATAGAACCTATAACCAGATTTATAATAGCTAATCCCCTATTAGCCAATTGCTTAGGTGACAAGGAAGTTAGAAGCTTATTGGTCTCATCAATATCTGCAGCTTGCTCCTCTTTCAAGGCTGTGCAAAGTTGTTCTGAAATTTTAGTAGAGCAGGCCATAAGCTTATAGTAAATTTGTCTAGATCTAGATGTGTTATCTAACTACAAATCAGTGAAATGAGGTTTATAAATTTAAGTAATTTACTAATGCAAAGTATTTAAATTATTACAATCAAAGCCCTGGAATCTTGGGTTAGGTTTTTAAATAAGTTACTTAAAACGTTGTAATTACTGTATACAGTAATTTACGTAAATATATCAAACTGATTCATTTATTAATATTAATCTTGATTAATAATATTATTAATCAATCAGATAAATTTGGGCATAAGTAAAAATAAAAATTGTATTTTATTAACTAACTTAACTAAATAATAAAATAATAAAATAATAAAATAATAAAATTCCAAAATTCCAAAATTCCAAAATCTGATATTTTAATGAGCATGTCCAGCATACTTAACATTTGGTAAAAATTCTTAAATATAGTTTTTATCAGCAAAATTCCAGATAATATTAAGAACTGATTCTGGAAACATTTCATTGACAATATTTAAACGTCCCAAAGTATCTTTCTCATTTTCAATGTGTGGCTTAGAAATAAGCGAATCTGGAGCATTGCTTATGACTCCGGCTTCCTTAAGCAAAGGGGCAGCCAGAGAAGCAAAATGAGCAATACTTGCTGAAGCAGATTCCACATTAAACCCGCCCTTTTTGTCGCTATGGGTATTAACAAAATCAGTGAATTCGGCATATGCAAATTTAATGAGCGGCTCAAGATTTTTGGTCATGTTGTCACTGTAACCACGTCTCCCCAAAAGATCATTATTTTCAAAACTCATAATTAACTTTTCAGTAAACTCATCAATTGAAGGAATTTCTTCAATTTTCATGTCACTCAAAAGAGATGCACCTATCTTTCCGACAATAAGAGCACGTTTATCAAACTGAGGTAGACCTACAATCTCAAAGTTGGTGTCGTCACGCTTTTCAATAATGCGATAGTCACGCTCATAAACTGATTGAAAAGCTAAATCATCAATCGACTTCAAATTTTCCTCAGGAGAATTAGTAGCCATTGCTTGAGCGGCTTCAAAACCTAAAGCAGGTCCAGTGACTGTGTTAACTCTCGTAGCCACACGTCCAATAAAGTTAGTGTTGCGAACATCGACTGGTCTCAAAGTCAAGACTTGGGCTCCAGCGGGAGGTCCGTGAGTTTGAGCATGAACAACAGGCTGAGTTACTGTAGCACCAGAAATAGCTTCAGAGTGTGTTCCAGCTGGATATGTGGCAACCGGGGCAGGATTTGCAACAGCAGGCGGATTAGGGATAGCAAAAGGTAAAGATCCTCGGGAGGGGGCTCCTGCAAAAGGATTGGCAGAATTACTAGCAAACACTGGCAAGGGATTGAAAGGTAAAGATGATCCTGGAAATTCAGCGTTTGAACCAAGTTGTTGTGAAACTACAGCTTTAATTTCAAAATCTGGGGAATCTTTACCAGAAATCAAATCCGGAGCAGAGTATAAAGGGTTGGTTGCTTCTTGGGCGAGAATGCTATTAAAAGCATTAAATTTAGATAAGTGATCCGACCCTTCAACATTCACGTCTCGTTTTTGAGCTTCAATAGAATCTGGAGCATTGGTAGCATAAGAACTAACAAAGTTATCACCTGGGCCAGTAACAGTATTTGGTCTAACAGTTGCTACTCGACTTAAAAAGCCTTCAGCACGACCTATATTAACAGGCTGAACATTAATTGCTTCTCTTCCATCATTTGGTGAAAAAGGCTCACTCGCAGCATCCGGGTTCTCAGGAACTGTGACACCAACAGGAATAGGGGTATCAGCAGGAGCAGCGGCGTCGGCGGGAGCTGAATCAGCTGATGAAGAAGAGTCAGCTGATGAAGGTGAATCAGGAGAATCAATAGAATTTTCAGGGGAAGAATTAGCAGAATTTTCAGAACCAGTGGAAACTTGAGAAGGAACAGAAGCCTCAACTGAAACTGAAACAAAAACAGGGGAGTTTGTACTAGAGTCGGGCACGGCATTAGAAGCCTCAACAGCTGAGGAGTTAATACCATTATCAACACTTTGACCTAAGTGAGGGCGGAAAGCAGAGCCAGTTTCAAAAGCAGAGGCTGAGGTAGAACCTTGACCTGACTGAGAAACAGAAACACCAGCAGTTATACTTTGTCCATTTGAAGTAATTTGTTGATGTGAGCCACCCATTGTGGCACAGGCCGCAGTAACAGTGCGAGTAAAAGTGGCAGTAACGGTAGCAGTTACAGTAACTGGAGTTACATTGGCACAGACACACTGACTATTAGGGTTACATGTACCTGTTGGGAGGGTATTCATGGTGCTTGTTGTTGGATGAGTAGAAGTGAAAGTAGTAGGGCATGGACCACCGTTTCCACAAGTCAAAGTAGTAGTACTAGGTCTCCAAGTCGTTGTAGAGGTTGTTGGACATGGGCCGCCGTTCCCACAAGTTAAAGTAGTAGTACTAGGTCTCCAAGTAATTGCAGAGGTTGTTAGACATGGACCACCGTTTCCACAAGTCAAAGAGGTAGTAGTAGGATGGACAGTGGTGGTCGAAGTAGTTGGGCATGGGCCTCCATTACCACAAGTAAGAGTAGTAGTACTAGGTCTCCAAGTAGTTGTAGAGGTTGTTGGGCATGGGCCGCCGTTTCCACAAGTAAGAGTAGTAGTACTAGGTCTCCAAGTAGTTGTAGAGGTTGTTGGACATGGACCACCGTTTCCACAAGTCAAAGAGGTAGTAGTAGGATGGACAGTGGTGGTCGAAGTAGTTGGGCATGGGCCTCCATTACCACAAGTAAGAGTAGTAGTACTAGGTCTCCAAGTAGTTGTAGAGGTTGTTGGGCATGGGCCGCCGTTTCCACAAGTAAGAGTAGTAGTACTAGGTCTCCAAGTAGTTGTAGAGGTAGTTGGACATGGACCACCGTTTCCACAAGTCAAAGAGGTAGTAGTAGGATGGACAGTGGTGGTCGAAGTAGTTGGGCATGGGCCTCCATTACCACAAGTAAGAGCTGTAGAAGTCATTATGGTAGAACAAGGACCACCGTTACCACATGTGAGAGTAGTAGAACTCATCATGCAATTACCGCCAATACAAGTGGAAGTTGTCATACAGGTTCCACTCATACAAGTTGTTGTAGGCTTCCAAGATCCCCATGTGCAAGTTCCTCCAGAGCAAGAAGGCTTCATCATTGTCTTGCTTCCCCAAGTGCACATTCCATTTGAACATGTTGGCATCCAAGAACCCCAAGTTCCACATGTTGTACAAGTTGTAGTCATAGTAGGACAAGGACCACCGTTACCACAGGTCAACGTAGTAGGATGAGTAGTTGTAGTAGTCATAGTTGAGCATGGACCGCCGTTGCCACAGGTAAGAGAAGTTGTGGACCTCATAGTGGTCGACAAAGTTGAGCATGGGCCACCATTACCGCAAGTCAATGAAGCAGTTGTAGGATGAACAGTTGTAGTTGAAGTTGTAGGGCGAACCGTTGTAGTAGAAGTTGTGGCGCAAGAGCCACCATTACCACATGTTTTTACCACTGAATTACCGTTGCTATTACTGTTTCCGTTTCCGCTTCCGTTTCCGCTTCCATTGTTATTGCTATTGACATTGTTGCTACCATTTCCATTGGAGCTGGTGTTGCTTGAAGAATTGCCGTTGTTATTGTTATTGTTGTTAGTGTTAGTGTTTCCACCATTATTGGAATTATTGTTATTGTTTCCAGTTGTACCAGTGTTTGTATTTCCAGTAGTAGATGATCCTCCAGTACCGTTTCCTCCATTACCACCAGAAGAAGACCCACCGTTGCCTCCAACACCACCTGAGCCACCGTTACCAGCATTTCCAGAACCAGTTGATGAACCGCCATTTCCACCAGCACCACCAGCCCCTCCGTTGCCACCTATAGCATTTCCGCCATTACCACCAGTACCACTACCACCGTTTGTGATAGTTGTACCAGCACTAGTGGTTTCACTAGGCCATCCATGAAACTTATGATGCTTAATATCAATACCTTGGGCAATATCAGGAGGCAAAAGACCATGACGGGAATCAGAAGGAATAGAAGGGATGGCCGGAATTTCAGGAATAGTTGGAGCTTCGGCAACTGGAGAATCGGTTCCATCAGGGGCGGCATAAAACGAAGAAGCTTCAGGAGAAGCTTCAGCGTGTGTACCTTCGTTAATAGTAGCGGGATCAACTGTATTGATACCAGTAGCAACACGACTCAAAAACCGGTCAGCTCCAGGAACGTTAACAGGAACAACTTCTAAAGGTTGATCTCCTCGGGCTTTTAGATTATTGTGATCTAAAGCCGCACCATTATAGTTAACAGAAGTGGCCAGCGCAACTGTAGACATAGAAGACATTAAAGCCGCGGCTTTCAAAAGAACATTTGCATAAACCATTGTTCACGTGCTTTTAATATAAATGTTTTATCAATATAATAAATATAATCTATAACTGTTAGAGTTCTGAGTTTCAAAATTGTTTAATTACCAGTTTAAGGTTGAATCGGTAAAACACTACGGAAGAACCCGAGCAATAAAACTTACTTTTTTTTTGAAGTAAAAATTTATAATATTCAAGGTTTTTTTTAGTTTTATTTGAATTGGCGAAGTTTTTAAGGTAGGGAGAAAAAAAATAAATGAGCGACTAGAGATAAGATGAAGGCTGGAAAGAATTCCAGTTGAAAAAAAGGGGGACGAAAAAAAAGATGAGGGAATAGGAGAAAGAGAAAAAAGATGTTTTTGTGGAAAATAACTATAAGAATAAAAGAATGTGATTAATATATTGAAAAAAAAAATTGTGGGAAAATCCATCTTATTTATAACCATTCATCCTTAGACTTATATTCAATTATATTTTAAAGGATATCTAATAATAATGTTTCTCTTTTAATTCCTGCTTAAAAAAAAAATCTATATTACTGAGTGGTTTACCAATTTTTTTTATTTTTACAGGTATAAATGGTGATTTAATTGCATTAATCTAAATGTTTTCAAAAATGGGAGACATTGTCTATGATTATTTTTCAGTTGTTATTATTATTATAAGAAACACATACTTCACTATATTAAACCTCCAAATCTAGATCTAAGGAAATATTTAGAAATATTTGGAAAAACCCCCATTTCCGTTAAAAAGCACACACTGCCGAAACTATTTGTAAACATTGATTACTTGCATAAATATTTAAGCTTCAACATTTTGGCTTTGTGGTTCAAGGTTTAAAATTTTTAATCTTCATTTTCATTTTCATAAATAAGAAATAAACCCAGTATTGTCTAAATGTACATTTCTTTGTATTAGAAATTTTGTATGTTGAGTTAAATACTACTAGTAGTACTACTAAAATTACAAAAAAAACAACTACTGCAAAAAGATAGTCTACAGATAGTATGTTTGTCACATATGTAGTCTAATTTAAGAAATGGATTCATACTTCTCCAAGTTTTGTGGATTGAAGGTAACAAGAAAACATGAAAACATGAAAACATAAAAAAATTCATGCAAAAAAAGTTTTTTAACTCTATTTCATCCCTTAAAATCAGTTTTTCAATGAATAATCTGTTAGTACAAGATATATTATATATTATTTATCTATTTAATAGTTTTATTTTCCAAATCTTTCAAATTTTTGATCAAGTTCTATAGCCAATTTAAAATTGTGTCTCATACCAAAACCTCAACTGTCCAAGTAATAAGTTATTATATCCAATAGAGAGTGGATTAAGATGTCAGTTCGATTGAGTTTTTCGGATTGATATTTACATTCTAAGTCATCTCCAGCCACAAACAGATTTGGCCAATTTGCCTTTGAAAACATTTAAAATAATTAAGTCTTCGAAAATGTTGAAAATATGGCTAATTAGCCATATTTTATTTATAAATATTAATTTGATTAATCATGAAAAATAATTATTATAAAATTTCACATTAAACTTTTTTAAATTTTATAACAATTATAAATTATAAATTATAAGCTTACTTTCAACCTTTTCCTAAGGTTCGTAATATACAAACATTAAATATCCACATATTCAAATGAAAAATAAAACTTAACCCATTGATAAAATTACCGGTAAGTAATTTCGCTTATTTAATTTTTAAAAATTCATTTATCATAGAATAATAAAAGTTTCACAATATTCTGTTTTTGGTATGCTTTTAACTCCTATTTTGTAGTTAAATGAATTTTATTGTATTCTTAAAATGGAAATTTTTTTGGACATTTGCCACATAATTAAACCGAGACTTGTATTGATTTATTCATTATTCAATAAGCAACTGTCTTGAGATATATTCTTTTTCTAAATGACTGTTTTTAATGATTAATATTTTATTAAACGATATTATAAAATCGTAAATTAATTATTTTTTATTTGCGATTTCTAAAATTTCACTTTTTTCACGCCTTGCTTTTAATAAGACCCTTGGAAGTCTTAGTATGAATTTACTTATAAGTAAATTCAAATCTAATTAGATTTTTATTCAATTAAATGCCTTTTTCAACTGAAACCATTTCAGGAAAGATGGTATTTGGCTCAATTACCATATATATATGAATTTAGATTTTAGAAATTCTCCTAAATGAATATAGTTTTTTTATTAGTCAATTATAAAATTCATTTTTTTAAATTAATCCCTTAGAAAACTACCTTTTTCATGTTTTAATCGCAAAGGAATGTATAATTTCAAAAAAAATATATTCGAATTTATTTATGAACTTATTATTAAATAATATTAAACAAACAATTAAAGAAATAGAAATCAAATATTCACAGTACTGTTTCTAATAATTACAAACATCTAGATCATTCCTTAAGAATTTTTTGTATACGTAAAAGCTTAAGAGATAATCTTTTCAAGGTTCTCCAGTTGTGCAAGAACAGCAGATTTAGCAGTTCCACCGATAGCAGTTCGTCTTTCAACACTGGCCTCAAAGTCAAAGACTTTAAAAACATCCTCCTCAAAGCGACTGTCAATTGATTTGTACTGTTCCAAAGTCAATTGATCAATACCAGAAACGTTAGTGGATTCAGCAAGGTGAACAGCCTCACCAGAAATGTGATGAGTCTCTCTGAAAGGAACACCCTTGCGAACAAGATAATCTGCAAGATCAGTAGCAAGCATGTCCATAGTAAGAGCAGCCTGCATTTTTTCAGGAATAACTTTGAGAGTAGAAAGGACACCAGTAGCGATTTGAATTGAATGGCTGACAGTCACCAGATTGTCAAAAAGAGGCTCTTTATCTTCTTGCAAATCCTTATTGTAGGTAGAAGGAGTGGCTTTAAGAGACATCATGAAGCCAGCCAGATGACCAAAAGCACGACCACTCTTTCCACGAAGAAGCTCCAAAGAATCGGGGTTTTTCTTTTGAGGCATCAAACTACTACCAGTAGAGTAAGCGTCAGCGAGCTTAATAAAACCAAACTCAGCAGTGGAATAAATAATAAGATCCTCACTAAGCTTAGCAAGATGGTTAAGAACAAGGGATCCCCAAAACATTGTTTCGACCACAAAGTCACGGTCAGAAACAGCAGCAAGAGAGTTACCAATAATACCATCGAATTTAAGTTCATTGGCAATGTATTCGCGGTCAATTCCATAAGGATGACCAGCGAGAGCTCCTGAACCAAGAGGCGAGACGTTAACACGCTCAATAACCTGCTCTAAACGCTTAAGATCATTTGCAAGGAAAGTTGCATGAAGAGAAAGCCAGTGAGCCCATCTGATGGGCTGGGCACGTTGAAGATGGGTATAGCCAGGCATAAGAATCTCAATTTCTGAACGAGCACGATTAACAATGACTTGAATAAGAGCTCTAAGCTGGGTCTGAGTTTTAGTAAGCTCATCTCTAACATACAAACGCATGTCTGTAGCAACCTGATCGTTACGAGAGCGACCAGTATGGACCTTGCCAGCAATTCCCTTTCCAATCAACTCTCCGAGACGACGTTCGTTAGCGGTATGAATATCTTCGTCACCAGGCTTCTCAACAAAAGTGCCATTGGCCCATTCAGCATGAATGAGTTCGAGACCACGGTGAATTTCGGCGAGCTCCTCCTTGGTCAGGAGACCCAGTTTTTCAAGAGCGGATGTATAAACGCGGGTTCCCTCGAGGTCTGCAGCATACATCTTTTTGTCATAAGGAAGGGAGGCATTGTAAAGTTCCATAAGAGGATCAGTGGCACCTAGTGTAAAAAAAAAAAAAAAAGAAAAAAAAAGAAAAAAAAAGAATAAGATTAGCAATCTTATATTTATGTACAATCAATTGATAACTTTTTTCTGGGGGAACGAAGCAAATTCTTATCATGATAAATATGATTACATACCAGTAAAACGGCCACCCCAGAGTTTTGTTTCAGTAGGAGCGTCAGTAGAAGCCATTGTAACAAATCAATTGATAAAACAATAAAAAAATTATGACAGTTGAGGTAAAATATTTAGGCTATTATGAAAGATTTCGGTGGAAATGACGATGTTTATATAGTTGAATTGTCTAGTCCACGAAAATTCCTTTTTGGGTTGTTGTTGTTGAAAAAAATTTTAACTTTTTGCAGGTTTTTTTTTTTTTTTGGGAAGCGGTTATTCTGACTGAAGCTGTTACATATTTCACGGGGTTGTAATGAGAAATTTTAGAAGAATTCCATTTCATCCCTAACCCTAATTCTAGTAATACCCTGCGGCTTTTTCTATTCTTAGGACAGATTGATACCTATTTGTGTCTACGTCTCTATCTCCAGCCGTTAGGGGTCAGGTTTTTTTTTATTTCTGACTTTCTGCTCTCCTGTACTCCTCAACAATAAGTCTTTTTTCAGAAATCACCATCTTTGCCGCCCCTCGCTTTTCACTGCCGATAAACGACTTCACCAGGGATCTTGTTCTTTTTCGGTCAGTTTTTTTTTAACCCATTAAGCCATAAAAATGGCAGTATCTTTATCTTGGCCTATTTTGGGTGTGATAGTATGTTTGATTGACAGTCTTTCTTTTAATCACAAGGGCATTTCTGTCGATACGTTTAATCGGTTATCTGCTAAACTTTTCTTTCCCACTTTTTTTTTTTTTTTTTTTTTTTTTTTTGGAATTTTAAAGCTGATTTTTACTAATAAAACCTTTGGCTATAGATTCCTTGCATTTTGATTGCAGGGCTTGGTTATGGCGTTCACTTTTTTGTTTTGGTACCTACAGGCGAAAGCAAATGGAAACTCTTGAGTTTCCAGTTTGCTCTTACGATGATTTGGGTATCATATTATTTAGCTATACGAACACCACCAGGAAGCCCTCCATCAAACTTTTCACCTCCACCCGGCACAGTTCGACGATGGTGTTTTAAATGCAACGGATATAAGCCCGAAAGAACTCATCACTGTAAAACTTGCAAAAAGTATGTATATCAAACTTGTTTCGTTTATTTTGACAACATGCTGACTTATTTTTTTTTATAGATGCGTGACCAAAATGGATCATCATTGTCCTTGGACTTACAACTGTGTTGGATTTAATAACATGCCTCATTTTGTTCGTTTCCTATTTTGGGTTGATATCACCACTGGTTACGCTCTTTTTAGACTGATTAAACGGTGTATTGAATTTTATCGGCTTAGAAACATGCCTTCGGTGAGTGTTATATGTAATCAGTTTCGTATATGTTTTACTAACATTTTCTAAAGTATTTAATACCCAGTTCTGAAATACTCATGACAATACTTCTCACACCTGTTACCTTTTTTGTTTGTTTTACAGTTGGGCTACTTTCAATACGTGTTCTTATAAATGTCACAAATGGCTACACACAAATTGAAACATGGGAAGAGGAAAGATTAGCTTCAGCAAAAAGACGTGGTCTTATACCTCGAAACACTAGATTTCCTTATGATCTTGGAATATATACTAATCTTATAAATACCTTTGGTCCCATCTATACTTGGCCTTTGCCCTGGGGTCGGCCCACTATTCTTAACAGATCTGACAGTTCCAAAAACGCCATAAAGTTTGAGCGAAATGAAAGTGGATATGATGACGAGGGTAATGAACTTGCATGGCCCCCAGATGTCTTGACGGTAGATCCGTCACCAGAATATTTGGAGCAACTTAGCCAGCAGACTGAATTATTAGAGACCAATAATGAAGATGAAAATAAAGAAGAAAGAGAAGACACATCTAATCAATCAGAATACATCACGCAAACACACCATCGCAGAACAGGCTCTGATAATCATTCTAACGATTCGGTACCTATCACATTTGCACAAACAGCACAACTTCAGCAACAACAATATCAGAATAGAAATTCAATAGAAATGTCAAACATTCGAAACTTTTCTCAACCCCCACCATGGCTGGCCCAACAATATAACAGTTCTGATAATAGTCATAATATTATTCCATCATGGCGTCAGGCTAGTAATGGAGCTCCAAGAAGTAACAATGATTTTTATAGTCGTGAGCTATGGTCTACCTTTGAAGGAGAAAAATTATCCGACTATGGTGTTGACCTAGATTCCGAAGTTGATTTTTCTATTTACACTATGAATCGAAACAATTTAAACTCTCAACAACCTCACACTTCATCATCTAATCATGATCCAAGATTATTATCTCGTTACAATTTGCCTAATGCAAATTTGCAAACAACGTCAACACAAGAGTTAACAATAAATAAATTTCCAACAGACCAATTTAACAGAAGTGATGAACAGACATCAGTTGCAGAATCAATTGGCGCCTCATCTTCCGCAGCTCTTTCTCGTTCATCCAGTCCGCTTCTTCGACATTCTCCTAGCTCAAACTCGCCTTTAAACATGAAAAGTGTATCATTTTCCACTCTTAATGATGGAAATGGCATAAACTCTACATTACAATCACCAATTGACAGCATCGATTCCCGCATAGATCACAAAGATGATGGCCTTGAAGATGATGAAAACTTTCTTAGAGAATCATTGAGAAAATTCGAAAGTCGAGAAACCAAAATAGAGGGTTTGGGTGAAAGCACTTCAGGAAATACCAGTGTTACTGGCATTGGTTCCTACAACGAAGAAGATTTACCTTTAGCTAAGCTCCTTGTAATGAGAAGGCAGGAAAAGATCAAACTTAGAACTCAGTAATCGTAGCATAACCGGTTATGCTCCATATATATATGATGTTTAGGATCAAAAATTTAAAATAAAACTGACAAAAGCTAAGCGCTTAATCATTATAAATTGGGTGGATATTTTTTTATGTACTAAAGTTTAAATATAAAAAATTCAAATTAAATAAAAAATTAATTGTAATTACTAAAACGACAAATTTCAATCCATTGTAACATCACCATCTTTATCCTTCTTGGTATCATCTGTCTCTTTAGAATTAGTTGACAGTGGTGGTAATGTTGTCACATCTTTCTCATCCTGCTTTGATGCGACATCTTCCTTAGCTTCAGTCTTTTCTTCTCCCTCAGCATTTACAGGTTTTTCTGCAATTGTCTTAGAATCAGCTTCATCATTCAAAGATTTAGTGTCTTTTTCTTCTTCAATAATATTTGAACTGTCTTTCGTTGAAGCCAAGGTAGAAACAAGTGGATTTTCCACTAAAGGCTCCTTTAGAGTCTCTCCAGAGTCTGAAGATTTTACCTCACTTGACGATTTATCAAGCTGATTATCTGAAGAAGCCGATTGATTTGTGATTATATGATCAGATGCCTCCTTCAGTGGAACTTCCTCAGTTAATTCAGCAGGTTCTGAAGAAGTCTCCTTTTTATCACTTTTAATGGACTCCTTTTCTTTTTCCTGTGCAACTGGCTGTTCCAAATCTTGTTCCGATTTCTCCTTGAGATCACTTGTTGGTTTATCATCCTTGATATCCTCAGTTAATACGACGCGGTTAACTTGTAGCGAAGAAGCAGTGGGAATCACTGAGTCTGAGGGTTCTACCGCACTTCGAGTTAAATCTGCCGAAAAATTAGCAGAAGTACTACCAGAAACTCCAGAAACATCAGACATGGTAACATCGTTATCTTTTTGAGCAACACCTAAAGACCCAGGGTTTTGTTCATTGGTAGAAATATGGGTTTCAGTAGCATCGCCAGCGACTGCTGCAACAGCAATTGACGGTTGCTGAGTAATATCAGAAGGTTCTGTTGATACAGGAACTGAAGTTTCTGCAGGACCAGATGCCTTTGCAGCAGTAGCACTCACTAACAAGCTAGGATTATCATATTTCCAGGCATTGTAACGAGCAGTTGCATCAACAGCATCATGGGGTGGAAGATCTTTTTTCCATCCTTTCGGGCCTTGATACACTTCATGCCATTTGCTTTTTCTTTTTGCTTCAGCAGCATCCGAAGATGAATTAGAAGAGACTCCAACCTTACGCGTGAAATAATCGGCTGTATTAGGTTCGAAAAATAAGCGATATGTAGGAATCGAAACCCGAATGGCAAGTCCTTGATCTACAACATCAATAAAATCGCCATCATCTTCCTTCGTAACATCGGCATCTTGGCCTTCACTACCAGCCTCCTTATTTTCTTCTTCCTCTGTTTCGGGAATAGACTCGTCAGTAAGATTACGTTGCAAAAGAGGAACATGAACCTTATCCGCAGGAACGCCTTCTGTAGGTCCCGACATCAAATAAGAAGTGAGGTAATAATTCCACTCCTGTTGGGCAGATCTCTTGTGTTTCAGTGAAACATCATCCTGGCTCAAAAATTGGATGAGCATGTCTTTAGTCTTGTTATTCCATTCAATACGGAACATGTTTTCATCTGATCCCAAAACAGATTTGACACGCATTCTGTATAAAATTTGATCTTTAGTGGATGTAACAAGATTAGTTCGGTCATGCTCCCACAAAACTAATACATCAGACGATTTAGCATCAGAAACAATATTGTGGAGGTGCTTGACGATGGCTTGAGCAACTTTATCGACTGTGTAAAGCTTATAAGCACGGTTCCGGTAGGCTTGACGAATCGCCTCTTCGTACCATTGATGTTCCAAATCGCCTTCAATGAGACGTTCAACAAGATTGAGAAGCTGACCGTAGCAGTCCTTGCTATCAAATGATAATGCCATTTGAGCCATGCGATGATCATAAAGGTCTAGGTCAATGGCAAACTGAACATTTCTGCTGTTTGCAATTTCATTTGACACAATAGATTCAAACTGTTTGACTTCAGCAAGACGCTCATAGAGAATGACAATAAGTCTAATAAAGACATAAACGGTATTGTTAGCAAACAAATTAAATGTGTCCCGGGCTTTGCTTTCAAAAAGGTTTATCGAGGGATTAACGTGGTTTAGCCAAAGATCTCCAGCTCTATCAATAGGATCCTCTTCTTCTTCTTCAGCTTCTTCATCGTCTTCAGCATTACCAGAATCTTCGCGGAAGCGTTTAGCCTGCTTGGACTTTTTCAAAATGTCTCGGAGCATTTCTCCTGTTGTATCACGGGGTCGCTTTTTACTGGCAGAATTTCCGTTAGTGGATATACCATTGCTGCCTCCACTAGAAGTAGAAGAAATAGTGCCGTTGGTGACAGGAGATCTCACATCACCGTCAGCTGAAACATTGTCACCGTCAGTGGAAAGAGGAAGCATATCTTCTGGAAGTGAAAAAAACAGGCGAAGAAATGATTTGAAAAAAAATTCCATTCTCTCACGGTCGTTGCTAGAATATGTAGTTGCATGGCCTAAAAAGCACATAACAATTCTTACTAAATCCATAAGAACTGAATAATCGCCGACAGAATAAACAAGCTGTTCCTTGGGTTTGGCTTGAAGAGGGCTGATACGTTTATTAGATTGCTCAGTCTTGACGGTAGTGATTTCGGAAACAAGCTGGCGGGTAGTCAAATATTTCTTGTCTGTTTGTTTGAAAGTCAGACCGCGGTGATCTAATGACTTAAAAAAGACTTTTTGCTCAGTGTCACGCCAGACCTTGTTCCATTCACGATGGGCCCTCTTCCATTCTTCGTCCTTTTGTTTCATTCGTCGTAAAACAATAGGGACAGCAACAGCAGGAGTATCCCGAAGAGCTTCCACTACTTCCTTGTATCGGGCTTCGCCATAAATTTTTTTCAAAACTTTTTCATAAATGGTAGAAGTATGGCCGAGATTGGGAGGTAGTTTGAATGTCTCCTTTTCTTCTTCAGGCATGTTAGCAATGCGGCTGGCAAGAGTTTCAAGAGTTTGAATAGATCGGAGATTTGCTTCGATATAATAGTCATACTCGTGGCGTTCCTCTTCAACACGATGCATGATTTCTTCATATTGATTTTTACGATGAGCAACAAAACCCGCTTCTTCTGATGCCCAAACAGGGTGACCAACCCATTCATCATTTAGTACTTCCCAGCACATTTCATCACGGCCAGAACAAGGCATGTAAGGTTCCGACTTAGGTAAAAGGCGGTAAGAACGTCCATATGACCGACAAAGAGATAACTCAAGATAATGTTTTTTGTATGGAATGTTTTCAATGTGGAGAGGCTTGCCATCATACTTGACAAAATCCTTAAACCATCCCATGAGTTCACGATTACCACCCAAAAAACCCTCAACACGTTCAACCAGCAAGTTCTTGTCAATAATACGCTGTGAAAAAAGATTCAAAACTTTTAAAAACTCATTATAGGTGTACTTGTTAGCAATAAATCGCTTTGCTTTGTCAAAGAATGTAATCTCCTCCATTAAAACAGCATTTGCACCTTCTCCAGTGAGTTGGTTACCACCAGAAATTGGCTCGGGAATAACCGGAACCAATGTAGGGCTTGGAGGAGCATCGCTTCGGTTTCGAGACTTCTTCAGAATCTGGCCACGAGAGTTAGGAACTTGATTAGGAACATCATATCCATGGGCATGGTGCAAATGCTGTTGCTGTTGCTGTTGGATTTGTTGAACCTGCTGTTGATACATTGCGTTTTCATTGTATTGCACATTATTTGTGCCGCTTGAATTAGCAGCCGCACCCCTTTTTTTGCGCTCACCTCTACCAGCAGGAGTTGATTGTGCCGAAGGGGGAGGTGCAACCATACCCACAGACATAGGATGGCCATGAGTTCCACTTAAAGGAGTGCCATTGTTTTGAATTCCCGACCCTGCAATATTTGGAGGGGAAAAGTTTCCAACAGGAGGAAGACGCAAATTATCTACCCCAGGACCAATCATATGTTGCTGCTGTTGTTGTTGCTGCTGCTGCTGCTGCTGTTGCTGCTGCTGCTGTTGCTGCTGCTGCTGTTGCTGTTGCTGCTGCTGTTGCTGTTGCTGCTGCTGTTGCTGCTGTTGCTGCTGTTGCTGTTGCTGTTGCTGTTGCTGTTGCTGTTGCTGCTGTTGCTGTTGCTGTTGCTGTTGCTGTTGCTGCTGCTGCTGCTGTTGCTGCTGCTGTTGCTGCTGCTGTTGAGAGGGGGGTGGAAGATGAGATGGCTGTTGGGGTGGAGGAAGAACATGTTGCGAAGGCTGTTGAGGAGGAGGAAGACCTTGTTGTGGTTGCGACATATCTGGAAGAAATTGCTTGAAGTCTTCCAGAAGATCCGGAGCATCATGGAAAAGCTGAGTGACTTGAACGTAAACTTCATTAATTTGAAGTTGTTCACGGTGATAAGTTTGAAGAATTTCCAAAAATGTATTGTAAATATCAGGTTGGTTAGCAAACCGCGTCTTGATTTTGTTAACATAGCTAATAGCATAATTAAACTCCACTGGGTCACCCGGACGTCTGTAATCAGACCCAGAAGCAGGTGAACCACCAGAATTGGTTTGAGGAACAGAGACAGAAACAGATGGAGGACCCTGTTGAGCTTCAGCAGGTTCTATTGACGGGTTCATAGCAGCACCAGGTGTACCATTGACTGGAATGTTTCTATTTCCGGAAATTCCGCCATACCCAGGATATGGCTCTTGAGAAATTGGATGCTGTTGAGTAGGAGATTGCTGAACAGCAGCAGGTTGCCACTGGTTATCATATGTGACACTAGATTCTTCATTTGGTTGAGAAGTAGTTCCTCTAGGAGTAGTCACTCTTATAGGGTTGGGGTCTGAAGGATCCAAAGAACACTCAATACGATAACCAGGAGGCAAAAATGTATTGAAGCCTTGTATAAGATTATTGTGGCCTCTAAACAAAGTAGAAACACGAGAAATGACACCGGGTGTATCAATATTTTGACTCTTAAATTCTTTCATGATATCCAAAAATCGGTTATAAACGTCGGGTTGAGTTTCAAACTGTCCTTTAACTTGATCCAAATACGATAGTGCGTCTTTTACATTCAATGGACGATAAGCAGACATAGACTGAGAAGCCGAGCCCTGAGGTTGTGATTGCTGGGGAGGAGGAGATGTCATCTGCTGATGCTGAAGATGGGGAGGCACAGTATTTATACTAGAGCTTTCCTGCGAATTCTTGTTGAGTGTTGTGTTAGCTTTAAGAAAAAAATAAATAAATGAAAAGAAAGTAAATTTTCTAGGGTGACATGAATTTATGTTATTTTTTGAGAAGCCAGCCACTCAAAATAAATTAGAATCCATGCAAAAACTATCGGGCATTTAAGACAAAAGCCCGTTCAACTGTGATTTTTGTTTACAACATGTAAACAAAATAAAGAAAGTGCTACCAAGCAAGTTTTGATAAAAATTTGTTGTTTACTTACCGGTATACCCGTAGGAGGCGGATAATAGTGTTGGCCAGGTTGGCCAAGAGGTTGAGAAGGCTGTTGAGCTTGAGAAGATCCTGAAGCCTGAGCACCATTGACGGCTGAAGAAGTGGCACCTGCTGCAGAATTAGATGGTGCACCAGAAACATTTGATATTCCCGGAAGTGATGGAAGGGAGTTATAGTACTGAGAAGGTTGACTTGTCGCTAAAATATTAAGAATGTTAAAAGCGATATCTTAAAAAATAAAAAATAAAATTATACTGACATGGACCAGTTTGGTGGGTCAAAGAAGACGGAGGTGGAAGAACCGTATGGCCTTGTTGTTGACTGTAGATATAACATTGAAACGAGTTGGTTAGTTGAACTTGATATTTATTTAAAAAAGATAACAAAACGCCACAGCATGAAAATACGTACATGAAGCCTTGGTGACGATGAGGTTGTTTATCTGATGGCTCCTGAGCTGAAGCCCCTGGATTAGACCAGTGGTCCTGTTGTTGACTGGCCATACTGAAAAGATGAAATTTTCACTTGTTGTTTAGACCTGTTTTGACTTGTTTTTGTTATGTTTTTTTTTCTCTTTATTTTTTTCTCTTCGTTTTGAAAATTTTTATTGTTAATGCGTCTTGGTTCAAAAAGAAACAATCGAAAATGCTTCTCCTTTTCAGTCCGTTTCAAATTCAATCGGAAAAAAAAATTGAAAGGATGGAGATCCCAAATCCAAGAGTTTTTATAAACTGCAAGTAGTGGGGAGGGGTGGGTAAAAAAAAAAAAAAAAAAAAAGAAGAAAAAGAAAAAGGGAGAGAAAAAAACCAGCGTAAAAAAGTTTTATGTTCTCTATTGAGTATGCCTTGACACAGATCCTTTATATATATTTTGCAACGCGTAACTTATTTTCAATTTGACACTGATCAAAAAAAAAAAAAAAAAAATAGTACCATGAACAAGAGTAGTTCTAAGATATGAATATATATATATATATGAAGATATCAATATTCTTATTAAAAAAAAAAAAAATTATAAAGAAACCTAATAATGTGAATGACCTTTGCTTTTATTTTAATGAGCGGATTGTTTAAACCTAGCAAAACGCGTGTGTATTGGTGAGTCTCTGCGCGCCTCACATAGGAGCCCCGATGGGCACTAATGCAAGGCTAAAAAAATATAATATTTGTCATGATAGTGTAATCATTATGTAACATGTTACTACATTGTGTAACACCTTTTTAAATCTGTTATTATGTTCTATTTATTTTTTTTTTATTTCATTTTTTTTATGGTATATTTTTTTTATATTTTTATTTTTCCAAACACAAAAATGTCACGAACGCCATCTGTCGCGTTTTGTTCTTATTTTTTCTATAAACCTTGAATTTTTCATCCACATTTTTTTTTAATATACAAGTGTCATTTCAACATGAATGCCCCTGATAGATTTGAGCTCTTTATATTACCCGAGGGTGTTTCTAAGTACGCATATTTTTTATTTTATTTTATTACAACTACAAGTTTTTGCTAACTCACCACAAGAATTGAAATATCTCCAGATCCGCGTATGCCTAATGCTGCTATTATAAAATTTGAACGTGAAGATCATACCCTGGGTAATCTCTTGCGCTCCCAGCTTTTACAAGACTCCCGTGTTCTTTTTGCAGCTTACAAGGTTCCTCATCCTTTATTCCCAAATTTTTTAATGCGAATTCAAACAGAAGAAGGATACTCCCCTAAAGAAGCTCTGAAAAATGCATGTCAAGCTGTTATTCATCAGCTTGGCTTACTTTCAAAAAGATTCAAAGAAGAGTGGGATCTTAAGGCTATGATTGGTGAGCCTGAGGAAATATAACGTTTGAGAATGATATAAAAGAAAATCCAAGTTTTTTTATCCCTCTTACAATAATAATTGAGTTTTTGCATCAATACCCTGGTTCTCATCCCTGTGTCTACTGAACGTAGCAATTTTTGTATTATAACTCACCAATATATGCCCTATTCACGACCTAATACTGCGAAAATACAATTATTAATTTAAAATCAGTTCTATAGATATTTCTATATGTTTTTATTATTACATGGAAAAACTAATTCGTCACAAAATATGGCTTAATCATTAGAGGGTATTCTTTTGAATTTCACAAAAAATGTGAGATTGATGCATTTAATAATTATGTCGTTAGCTGTCATAAAAAAAAGTTAATAATAATGTGTGAAAAAAAAAGTCTTTGAAGGGCCTTCAACTTCTTTTAAGTAACTGTTTTTTATAAAAGAAGTTGATTAGAATAATTTTAGTCAAGTAACTAGCCCATCACGCTTTCTTTGAGTTCACGTTTGCACATTGCCATCTTCCCTTTGATAAAATTAAATATCAAGTCATCTTGTACCAAACGATTGTACAAGCTTTGGCAGCATACGTGATATTGAGGTGTTCCTACACTATTGATGCTATTTTCCTCGTCTCCTCCGTTCATGTATTGCAAATCCTGGAGCCCCAAATAATGTATTTGATCTGAATCAATAATTGCAACACCCTCTCCATGAGCAAGAAAAACAAACTTTGTGTGATCAGAAAAGTTAACTTGACAGTCACCATTGGATAGTTGAAACATAAATGAATCTCCTAAACGAGAGAAATCATACAGATATATAGTGGATTCAGCTGGTCCAAGAGGTGGATTAAAGTTGTCTTCATTAGGATCAAAAGATGAATTATGATGCTGTGGAATATCACTATTTTGCAGGGATTGTTTTCCACAGTCAATGCATGTAGTGTTTCGGTCACCACATTCACGAAGGTTTTTATCCATGTATGAATGCATAGAAGTTGCCAATGCAAGCTGCTTTGATTCATTTGATCGAAGTTGTTGGCCTGGGATATTATGAACTCTTTGAAGAACCATCTGCTTCAAATTGCGGCTATAATGAATCATATCTAACGATCCGCTATAAGTGTTAAGTTGAATTGTCGAACTGTCTGGCCGTAAAACACCTGCCATTCCATTCGCAAGTTCATATCCAATTCCGTATTTGTTTGAATAATCAACCCACTTAGTAATGTAAGTCACCATTGGAGCGGGGATCCCATGAGTAGAAGCAACTATAAACTCTCGACCAGGATTCGTAATAAGATTATTGAGATTATTAAGGCCTACCCCAAAAACATCATAAGGGTGTGGAACGTCAACAAAATCAAAATTAACCACAGTGACACCATTTTCATAAGTTACATTATTTGTTGGTTCTGGTGCTGTGAGACCGTCAGAGCCGTTTCGATAGTTTATTATGGCATACTGATCGGTAGCAATATGTTGTTGTTTCTGTTGCGGCTGGCTTTGCTGGTTTTGCTGATTCTGATGCTGATTTTGTTGTGAATAAAGTTGTTCTTGTTGTATGTGTTTTCCATCATGAATACTGTTGGTATTATAAGTGTTTTTATTAATGATACCAGTCATCGACTTTCCAAGCTCTTCACCACCTCGTTCCACTCGTCCGTAGTTATTGGTATGAACCATAACCATTTTGTACTTGTCTTTAGTAGTTGCTGGAGAAATAGAGCTTGGTAATATGCCATTATCTGGAACTGAGATATTGTTATTCCTACTTTCATCAGAAAGAACGTCCAAAACAGTCTTTCCAGTTTTTGGTCGGTGTTTAAAAGTGCGATCTATTAGCCGTGTTTTAATCATGCATTCAATAAAATTGTGCTCGGCAATTCGAAAGTCCATTGGAATAAAATGTGTAGGAACAGTAGTAATAATTGAAGGATCTAATGCCTCGGGAAATTCTCCAAAAAAAAATGGATGTTCCATTATCCGGTCAAGAGAAGGTCTTTTTTCGGGATCAAATGTCAATAACGACATGATCAAATTTTTAGCTTCATCAGAAACAGTTCTGTTTTCTGGAAATGTGTAATCAATTCGTTTGATTCGATCATAAATTGCTTCCACATTTTTTGACTGAAATGGAGGCTTTCCAAAAAGCATAACGTAAAGAATAATGCCAATCGACCAAATGTCAACTTCGTAGCTATGACCTTTGTCCTTACCAAAAAGAACTTCAGGAGCTATATAGTTAGGTGTGCCACAAATGGTTTTCTTCCGATCAGTTTTAGAGTCAAGAAGAGCTGCCAATCCAAAATCACCTATTTTAACATTCATATCACCATCAAGAAATATATTCCCAAGTTTTAAATCTCTGTGGATAACGCCAATGTCATGCATGTACTTAACAGCTCCAACGATTTGGGTGATATAAAATCTGCATTCAGGTTCAGTAAGGGACCCCCGCTTACGAATCAGATCCATAAGAGACTATAATGTTTGTTAGAAATATAAGAGAAAAAAAAGGGAAAAACTTACACTATTGGGGCACATTTCCAGTAAAATATAGACATTTAAATCATCTTCAAAGCCATCGATATATTGGACAATGTTTGGATGTCGAAGAAGCTGGTGGATTTTTATTTCAGCGACGATTTTTGCTCTACTCTTTTCGGTCGTAAGAGAAGCCTTTGCTACGGTTTTTGCTGCATATATTTGTCCAGACTGATCCTTAACTTGAAAGCATCTTGCAAAACCACCCTATAATAATTTTGTTAGAAAAAAAAAGTTCATTGTAAGTCATTTAAGGTTATACTTACAGCACCAAGACATAGACCACGCTTAAAGCTTTTATTCTTCTTTGGGTTTTTAATAGTAGAAGGTGGGGTCTTGCAGAGCGAAGAAAGTTTTTCTTTATCCTTCTTTTTTTCCTTCTTCTTGGGCTTAGGAGTAACATTTTCGCTATTTGTCGGTTGAATATTTTGTTGTTCTGGAGCCGAAACAGGAATTGGAGCCGGATACAGCGGTGCCGGGATTGGTAATGGAATCGAAGCAGGAAATGACTGGATAGGCTGAGAAGGTAGTGGTGCTGGATATAGAGGAGCTCGTTCAAATGTCTCAGGGTTGTCATAATGAATATCATACATTTTAACGTCTTTAGATGGAGATGCAGGAGGTGCAATTTGAGTTTGGTTTGTGTCTATGAATGCGTTTCGCAGATTATTTCGTTCAGAAAGAGGTTGAATTTGCTTTTGCAAGACAGTTGGATCATTGTTTTCAACTTGATAAGTGGGAATAGAAGGGAACTTAGAAATGTTAAGTGTCGGATCAGTATTAGAATTTCTTCTGTTTAAATCCAATTGTTTGACACTTTGAAGAGGGTATCGTGCAGACATTGTGCAAGAAAAAAAAGGAATTTTAATGCCACCTTTTTATGAGTGCGTTGAATATCCAGTATTTTTATAAGAAGTTTTTAAAAAAAATTTTAAATAAAAAATATTCTGGATATTTAGATTTTATAACAGCGATGTTGTGTTGGAAAAGGTTGTTTATGGGTGTGAAGAAATCAAAACAATCGATAACCTGCATACTTTAAGATGACCACTGTGTATTTATCTTCCATGTTTACTTTTTGTTTGTTGTTTGTTTGTTTGTTTGTTCATTTCTTTATTTATTTATTTGTTTGTTTATTTACTTATTTATTTATTTATTTAATTATTTTCTTCAAATGTCACTACAGCAACTAGATTTTAAATTTGTTACAATATTTTGCTACTTGTTTTTAATTTATTACTGCATTTTATGTAACAATCTTGTAATATAACAACTTTGTAACTATTCATAATCTTAGCTCCTGCTTAGGAGACCTGTTTTTCGCATGTAAGCTTTTTCAAACATAGTCAATATCTTGAAAAGGTTCAACACATAAGTGAAAGGGGTTCTTAAGAGAGAAAAGAGTAACATTAATAATTCAAGATATATTTGGTTTTTTTTTTTTTTTTTTTTTTCCAATTTTAAAAAGCAGATTTTAAGACTTGATATAATTTTTTATGAACTTCTGATTAAGAAATTCAATGGTTTGAAAACAATATTCACCACGTTATCCTTAGCTATTGCCTAACCTTTATTAGTTATTGTTACCATGATTTCATCTAAGTAGTTATTATATTTAAAACTAAAAAAAATGCTTAAACTGTAATTTTTTTTGGTTAATTTGTCTTTCAGATCATCTAAATAACTGTACAGAGAAAGAGCTAAAAAGTTCTTACCAACACTAATTAGTCATTTTTTTTAGATTCCATTTCCATTTGCCGGAATCTTCTTTCTTTATTCTTCATGTCTCTTTCTCCTTTTAAGACTGTCTATCTATATACGATCGGGCTGGCTTGAAGCTATTTTAAATGAGACGCTATACAAAAAGATGTACCCGAAGACCCGGTTAGAAACTATTCGGGTACGGAAGGCAGCTTGGAAACATCTCTTACAAGGGGAAGCCTCTTCTTGGACAGAATAAATTTCTGGACACAAAAAGATGGCTAAATTTAAAAGAAGAGAATGAATATAAAGAAGAAGACGACAACAGGAAATGAAATCTTAAATAATTGACTAATTTTTAGCGTTGGAATCAACTTTTGAGCTTTTCCTTTATACTATATCCACATAATCTTTTTATTCAGTTTCTTTTAGACAGATAGCAGCACCGCCATAAAAAAAAAATACGAAATCTAATAGCTGGGCGTTTTTTTTCAACAGTATTAAGACATTAGCTTTCCTAAAATGTAGTATCAAACCTATGCATAGGTTTCCATGGATTGTTGAGTTATCATACAACACAAGCAGCATTTAAGCGCAATCAACTACCAATGGGAATCAAGAAGCAATATATTCAAACTTTTTTTGTTCTCAAAAGGCTTTTCTCAATTGGGTGCTGGTAAGTCAATGTGATTTTTCATATTTACATATGCTTGAAAATAAATTCAATTTCTAGTTATCGGAAAAATTTTTTTTCATGACGTTTTGTGCAGCCACAGTTCCTTTGGCTACAAGTATTTCCAAATGTAAATTGAATCCAAAAATGTGTTCATAAGATAAAAAAAAATTAATGGCATAAATGCATCTGACGATAATCGATTTATGCCATGCTGAAACTTATTTTGGAAAGTCATTACAATGTGATGATGTAATTTGTTTTTTTTTTTTTTTTTTTTTTTGAAAATGTCTGCTTCTGCAGGGCTAGTACCACAAGCCTTTTTAAGAAAAAAAAATAACAAAAAACAAAAACAAAAAAACTCATTCCATTTGTAGTTAAGGACTTTTTTTTTTAATTATTTCCATTTGACCCTCAAACTAAATCACTTAAGCCGCCTATCACCTTGAAATATAAAATTTATTAGGTTTTTCTATCATAAAGATGAAATTATCAAATGCCAGTTCATTTTTTAAACACTGCCTCGTCTGTAAAGACGACAATCGGTTTAAATTAATTGGGATCAGTCATTTAAAATATTCACTTTAGTCTAACAAAATATTTATTTTGAAAAAAAAAAAAAAATAACTTATTTAAATAAAAAATATCAAAAGAATTTTCCAAACATGAAATAAAATTATAATCTAGACTAGATATAACTTGTTATCGTTTTTTTTTTTTGTATGGTAAAACATGGATATTACTATGTTCTGTGCATATTGTAAATCATAAAACTTATTTTTGTTGTATTTTAAGTATTTTGAGCATGTGTTTAAGAAGCTTGTTATTATTTTTATTATTATTATTATTATTATTATTTATCTCATATAATCCGGTAGGTACCTTTACTTTCAAAGCCAAGTTTAGTGTATGAAGCCTTTTTACTACATTTGGAAAGCGTGGAGTTAGAGAAAAGTGACTTTCATTGGTCACAATAGGTCTAGATTTTAAATAGACTTCGTACCTAGCGCCTCGCGCTTTACGCTTCACGGTATGCACATTGCTCACATATGATGCGATTAATTCCTAATCCTTATTCAAGCAAATGATGCAGATGTCCCACAACTAAACATATCCTTCCCCCTTCAATAGCCATTCCATTATAAGGTCTAAAACCGCATCCCCCCAAAAAAGCTCCAAACATTGAAATCCAAAAAGACAGATGCCCTTCAAGCTTTTATCCACATCAACATCACCAACGAAAATTTTTTTTTGTATCATTCACATGTAATTATACAAAAGACCAATTAAATGGAATATCTTGCTATTATTATTACTAAAAGTAGTTGCGGGATTTTATTTCAAGTTTGAACAAAATACGTTTTCATAAAGCCTTTTCTTCATATTCATTTAATCCTTGTAACAACAAAAACTGTTGAGCTTAGTTAGTACTGTCAACCTAAAATTTTTTTTTTTTTACATGACATCACTCTATTTCAACTAAGTAACCCCTAACAAAAAAAAGGTTCGCCTTAATAATAATCCGTTTTTTTTTGTTAAAAAAATTAATATTTGTTGAGAACAAGTTAAAACTTTGTTTTGGAAAATTTTTATAAAATCCTTATAAAAAAATATTCAAAAATTTTAATAACTTATATTCATTATGGAGAAATATGTTTTATGGTAAACCAATTAATTTTTTTAAAGAAGCAAAAAGCAAAAACTAAAAAGCAAATATTTCACAAAAAGTAGATTCATTTTCATATATTTTTGAATAAAAAAATTATAATGTTTAGATGGACATTATTATCATTAGTGGGGCAATGGAAAAAATGTACCTATGAAAATGAAGAATTTATTTAATTTTTTTTTATTGTAACCAAGCTTTTTTTTTTTTTTTTTTTTTTTTTTTTCAAAGAAAAAATAAATAAAAATTGTTTGGAAGTTTAAAAGCATACAGTAGCATAGCCCCTAAAATTTTAATATAGGGGCATATCATAAATCTAAATTATTTTTTTTAATATGGGCACATGCCTTCTACTCACACATCTTTATTCAAAAACAAATAGTACAAATAAAAAAAAATTAGGAGTGAGCGATTTTGAAAACCATTATGTAGAAATGTCCATGTAAATTGTTTAATAGAAATACTGAAATTCAAAAAAAAAAAAAAAGAGAGAAACTATATAAAGTCCCAAAATTTTTCAATCTTTGAAATTTATTTCTATACACAATACATTCATACATTTCTATCAGTGGTAATCTTTATTAAATCTACTCATTAATTCGACCCATGTCTCACGACAGTTCCAGCGAGCTCAAAAGAAGCTTGACTTCAGAAAGTCAAAGCTATCTTGAAAAGAGCAATAGCAATCTTCCAGAGAAAAATATTACATTTGATGTTGATATTGAAGCCCAAAGACATGTCGCTTTCGGAGCACCTTTGTCAAGAAGACCTTCTCTTCATCGTCGTCTGTCTGATGTTTCTCTGCAAGAAAGGGTTCCTGCTGAATCAGTGTTGCCGATTGCCTTCCAGACAATCTCACACCAAATCAGCGATGCTGGAACTGAAGAACACCTTGATGAAAAAGCTAAGCAGTTTGCTGACAAGAAGTGGCACGTTATAGAACCAAATGAAGTGGCTCTAGAGTTGAACACAAATATGGTTTCTGGTTTGAGTGAATCAGAACACTCAATTATTTTAGGGGAAATTGGTCCAAATGTTCAATCAAAACCCCCTTCTGGAATTTTCCGTAAAATTATCAGCTACTTTTTTGGAGGATTCGGTCTTTTACTAATGGTTGGTGGAATTTTATGCTGTATTTCTTGGAAACCCTTGGGACAGCCTCCACTTGTGGCTAATTTGGTTCTTGGTGTTATCTTGTTCATTGTTTTTATTTCTCAAGCTGGTTTTAATTTCATTCAGGATTTTTCATCCTCAAAAGTTATGGATTCTATTCAAAATCACATGCCTGCTGAATGTAAAGTTATCCGAAGCTCAAATACTTTTGAAATTAAAGTCAGAGACTTAGTTCCTGGTGATATTGTTATTTTGGAAATGGGAAATAAAGTTCCTGCTGATGTTAGAATTTTTGAACATTCTCATGACCTGTCTTTTGATCGGTCAGTCTTAACTGGTGAATCAAAACCAATTCCTGCTTCAGTCAAAGCGGAAATTCAAGAAAGCAATTACTTAGAATCTACTTGTATTGCCATGCAAGGTACCTTTTGTGTTATGGGAACTGGTAAAGGAATTGTTATTAGTACTGGAGACAGAACGGTTTTTGGACAAATCGCAAAGATTTCATCTGTACCAAAAAATGATCTTTCTCCTTTACAAAAAGAAATTTTGCGGTTTATCATAATTACTGTTTCAGTTGTCATCTTTTTAATTGTTCTTGTCTGTATTTTATGGGGAGCTTGGTTGCGCAAAACATTCCCCAACTGGATCACTGTTCCTACACTCATTGTTGATATAGTCTCAATTGCTGTAGCTTTCATTCCCGAAGGCTTACCTATTGCATTAACAACTTGTCTTATTATTACTGCTGGTGTCATGAAAAATAAACAAATTCTTTGCAAATCACTATCTGTTGTTGAGACTTTAGGGTCTGTTTCTGTTCTTTGTTCAGATAAAACTGGTACTTTGACTAAAAATAAAATGTTTGTCACTGCCGGAACAATTGGAATTGAAGAACTTGATGCTTTTAGGGAAGAAGACAACGATACTGAGACCAAATTACATCAAATTGAGGGCATGCAACTGTTCCATGCAGTCACTGGTTTGTGTAATACTTCTTCATTTGATCCACGCACTATTCATTTGCCACTCAAAGAAAGGGTCATTTTTTCTAATGCTACAGATCAAGCAATCTTTAGATTTGCTGAAAAAGTTGGGTCTACAGAAAAATTAAGAAATCTTTGGCATATGATGGCAGAACTTCCTTTTAACTCAAAAGTCAAATTCATGGCACGTTTATATGAGCCTCGTGACTCCTTGGCTGGTGAAAATTGTCATGTTCCTAAAGGTAGTCTTCTTTTCACGATTAAAGGTGCCCCAGACATTTTGTTTGAAAACTGTTCTCATTATCTTCAAGGAAATGAAATTGTTGAGTTTGATGAAGAGACTAAATCTAAAATCATGAAAATCCAACAAGATTGGGCCAGTCAAGGACAAAGAGTTGTTCTTCTTGCTTCAAAAGTTGTTCAAAACAACAAGCCTCAAGATTTCTGGCTTGAGCAACGAGATGCCTCAGACTACCTTACTTCTCTTTCTGTGAACGGCTTAACACTTGTTGGGCTAGTTGGTATCACAGATCCTCCAAAGGATGATATCTTCAATGTTGTCAATGTTCTTAGGGGTGCTGGTGTTCGTTTATCCATGGTTACTGGTGATTTCGAGCTTACTGCGGTTGCGATTGCCCGTAAATGTGGTATTATCACTCATGATACTGTGGACCGTTCAGGTGATTTATTACTGTATCAAGATAATGAAGGACTAATCGATAGAGCGGTGGTAATAACTTCGACAGACTTGAACACATTGCAAGATGAAGAATGGGAAGTTCTTACAAATTATTCGGAAATTGTTTTTGCAAGAGCCACACCTGATCAAAAACTCAGAATTGTTGAGAAATTTCAAGCTGCAGGAAACGTTGTCGGTATGACTGGTGATGGTGTTAATGATGCTCCCTCATTAAAAAAAGCAGATGTCGGTATAGCTATGGCTGAGGGTTCTGATGTTGCAAAGGAAGCATCTGATTTAGTTTTGCTGGCAGAGTTTTCTTCAATAATAGATGCCTTATTATATGGACGTCTTGTTTTTGAAAATTTAAGAAAAACAATTGCTTATCTTCTTCCTGCTGGTACATTTGCTGAGTTGTGGGCCGTTTTACTAAACATTATTTTTGGATTACCTCAAGCCCTATCATCTTTTAACATGATTATCATTTGTTGTTTGACAGATTGTGCAGGTGCTATCACAATTGCTTATGAGTCTCCTGAAAAAAACTTGCTAAAGAAAAAACCCCGTTCTATTTCGAAAGAAAGATTAGTCGACTTTAAGTTGTTTCTTCATTCTTATTTTACCGTTGGTACATATTACACATTTGCTTCCATGCTTGTTTGTTTTATTCATTTTCAAAGAAAAGGCATTCCTTTTAGTGCACTAACTTTGTCATATGGCAACTTCAAAGATGGTATATCAGCTGAAGAAGTTGCTCGTATAGGCGAACAAGCCTCTTCGGTTTACTTCATTAATCTGGTCATAATGCAATTTTTTAATCTCATGGCTGTCAGAACTCGGTATTTGTCTATATTTCAGCATCCACCGATTTTTAACAAGGAAACACAAAATTTATTGATGTTTGCTGCTATGGCCTTCGCATTGGGAGTTACATTTCTTTTTAACTACATTCCATGGTTTCATAGAGTTGTCGGTACTTCCCATGTTCAAGTCGAGTATTACTTTATTGCAGTTGGTTTTGGGTCAATGTTGCTGGCATATGATGAGATTAGAAAATACTTCGTAAGAAAGTATCCGGAAGGGTTTTTGGCCAAGATTGCTTGGTAAATATAGAAATTTATTTGTCTTCGTTTATCAATTATATAGCTTATATATATATATATATTCATTAATTATACTATTATACTACATAATTACCCCCACATGGTCTAATGTTTTAATAAAAATGTTTTTAAAAAACCTTGAAAAGTTTTGAAATTTAATTAGGTTATTAACAATGTTTAAACTCATTCATTTTTATTTTGATAGTTATACATCAAAATATAGCTGATCTAATTTAATAGAATATTTATATTAACAAAAGATACAACGACTTAAATCTTTTATCAGATATCTTTTTATAGATGTAATTAATTAGCTGAATCAGTTGATTATATTTCAAATGTTCTAGTGAATGATTTTTGATCTATTTTTTTTTTTGCATAAATTGATTTAAATATTTTTTTTTAAAAAAAATCACTCAAAACAAGCCAAATTTTATACCTTTTTGTTAATGATAAACAAATTTGATATAAACTAAACTGAACTACAGTACGGTTAGATACAAAAAAAAAAAAAACATACACAGAGGAAGCTTAAGTCGCTAGTCAAGTTACAAATCCGCTTTTTGCCGCATGCCATCGTGTTACAGAATAATTGAAAATTTTTTTTGGAGAATTATTCTGAAAGTTCAAAAAGCAATAAAGTTGTAACAAAAATTTACAAGTTACATATTATGTAATAAAAACAAATTAAAAAAAAACTTAAAATAATCATGGTCACGTGCAACATTTTTTTATATAACATATCTCCTTGTTTGTCTTGAAAAAAAATCTTCTCTTTTTTCTTTTTTTCAAAAACAACAATCAAATAAAGAATTCTTTCAAAGTTCTCAAGATTTTTCGACAGAATAATCTGAATATTTTTGTTCTTTAATTGAAAGTATTTTTTTTATTTGAAAAATAAATTTACACAAACGCGTTAGTGGTTTTCTGAACTTATTGGTAGCTTTTAAGAGGCCCCTGTTCGTGTCTTATAATGCGATTTCCACTCCAGGTATATTCTTTGGTCTTTTTTCTTTTATTCATTTAACTAATATTTTTTTTTCTTGTAGCATTGAAAAGTTCTCTTACATATATCCCTTGCGAAGATTATCATTTATTTTATCTTAAGGTAATTATTTTTTTTTTTGGAATTTCGATCTGTCATTAACTTAAAATTACTAACTTTTTTTCTTAATTTCTAAAGAAATTTAGACCTTTTCATTCAAGCAGAAGCATAAATCCTGTCGCTATGAGTGTAACAGTAAAATCCGAGCGTCAATCGACGCAGATTGATGTAAAAAACGCGTCTGCTTCAGTTGCAGAAACAAAAAAGCGTAAATCAACACCATCAACTAATGGCAGATCTAAAAAAGTTAAAACCGAAGACGAAGATAAAAAACCAGCTTCTGCTAAGAAAAAAGAAACTGTCCCTACCAAAACAAAATCTACTGCTTCTAATGGTAAATCGAAGCCAGCTACAACTAAAAAAAGTACTCCCAAAACAAAGGCTTCCCCTAAAGCTGCAAATACCCCTAAAAAAGAAGAAAGCGAAGACCTGGATGATTATCCGGAGGATGATGAAGAAGAAGAGTATAAATGGTGGGAACAATCTGAAGATACTGACAATTCAATCAAGTGGACTACTCTTTCTCATAATGGGGTTCTTTTTCCACCTGAATATGTACCTCTTCCTAAGAATATCCATCTTATTTATGATGGAAAGGCAGTCTCTCTTCCCCCCGAAGCAGAGGAGGTTGCAGGGTTTTTTGGTGCAATGGTTGAAACCGATCATGCCCAGAATCCTGTTTTTCAGAAAAACTTTTTTAATGATTTTGTTGCGGTATTGAAAGAAACTAAACAGCCAGCTCTCGATAAACAGACCAATACACCGGTCCGTATCCAAAGCTTCGAAAAATGTGATTTCACGGTTATGCATAATTATTTTTCAGCAGAACGAGAGAAAAAGCGTAATCTTCCGTCGTCTGAAAAGAAAAGGATTAAAGCTGAGCGCGATGATCTCGAAGCTCCTTATAAATTTGCGTTTTTAGATGGTCGCAAAGAGGCTCTTGGTAATTTTAGAATTGAGCCTCCTGGTCTTTTCCGAGGACGTGGTGCTCATCCCAAAACTGGAAAGCTGAAAAGAAGGGTTAAACCTGAAGATATTACAATAAATATTGGTAAAGAGGCTAAGATACCTGAACCACCATCAGGACACAAATGGGCCGAGGTCAAACACGATAATACTGTTGCCTGGCTTGCAACTTGGCGTGAAAATATCAATGGTGCTACTAAGTATGTCATGCTAGCTGCAACTTCTTCTCTTAAAGGTATGAGTGATTTCAAAAAATTTGAAAAAGCTCGCGAGCTCAAAAATCACATTAATCGTATTCGAAAGGACTACGTAAAGGAACTGAAGGATCCTACCATGCTTGCTCGTCAACGTGCTACTGCAACTTATCTCATTGATGTGCTTGCCTTAAGAGCAGGTGGTGAAAAGGGAGAAGATGAAGCCGACACTGTAGGTTGTTGTTCTCTTCGTTATGAACATGTTTCTTTAAAACCCCCCAACATTGTTGTTTTTGACTTTTTGGGTAAAGACTCCGTGCCTTACCATAATGAAATGGAAGTCACACCTCAAGTTTTCAAAAACTTAAAGATTTTCAAAAAGCCGCCCAAAGTCACTGGTGATCAAATTTTTGATCGTTTGGATCCATCTATTCTTAACAAGCATCTTCAAAATTATATGCCTGGTCTTACAGCTAAAGTGTTCCGTACATTTAACGCTACACATACAATGCAACAACAATTGGATCTTATTCCTAATAAAGGTACAGTAGCGGAAAAAATTGTCGCCTATAACTCAGCTAATCGGCAAGTTGCTATTTTGTGTAACCATCAAAAAGCAATTGGCAAAACCCATGAAACTACAATCGAAAAGATTGAAGATAAGATCAAAGAATATAAGTGGAAACGAACCATTCTCAAAAAGACCATGGTTGCGATTGATCCTAATATCAAAAAGAAACGCAAAGCTTATTTTGAAGATATGTCCGAATTTACCAAGGCTGAACTTGTTGAAATTGTTAAAAAGTTTTACGAACGTGAAAAAGAAAGATGGACTAAAAAGTTTGAGCGAATGTTTGAACGTCAAAAGATAGAAAAGGTTCCCGTTGAAGACAAGGTCTATCAAAAGGACTTAAAGGAAAAGATTAGTGGCATTAAGGCACAGGAAAAGGCATCTTTGGCGGATGTCAAGAGTCAAAAGATTGAGCCTAAGCCTAGTCAAACAATTGAAAAGCTCGAAGCTCAGGTTGCCAAGTTAGATGAACAGATTAAGAATACTCAGCTTAATCTTCAAGACAAGGAGGATAACTCACAAGTTGCATTGGGCACCAGTAAGCTCAATTATATCGACCCTCGTCTAACAGTCATGTTCTCCAAAAAGTATGATGTTCCAATTGAAAGACTTTTTGGGAAGTCCATGCGTGAAAAGTTCAAGTGGGCAATTGAGAGTGCTGATGAAAATTGGAGATTTTAAAATAGATTTAGCAATTGAATGCTGTTGTACCTAAATTATAGCCCGTGTATATTAACAACCACTGATTTTCTTATGAATTTCTTTAAATAAGTAGAGTAGTAAATCAATATAAATTTGCCTTTTAAAAATAGTGCACTTCTTATAAATAATTTCGTTAAGCTTTACGAAGCCATTGAGGTGCGAAATCAGAATCATACTCGATAACTTCCTTAAAACGTTCAATAAATTCCAAATCAGCATCTGATTTACCATTTGCAAATTTAATATATTCATCAAATGTTGTTGCAAGAGACCACCCTTGAAGTAAAACTCGCATAACGCCAATGAGGACGCCAATTCGATGTTTTCCTTTGTTTGAATTCAAAAGTACTGGTAAGTTTCTGGTATCAAGAATAATTTCGAGTGCTTCTTTGATAATGTCTTTGTTGTTTTCTCGAAATGGTTCTTTTGCCGAAGGCTGATGAAAATGAACTAGACGAATATTTTGCTCTTTGGCCCATTCTTGATACCGCTGAAATATCTTCACACTGTTAATGTCCTTTCCTTTGTCTTTGCTGGAGGGTGGATCTCCAATATAGACTATTGTGCGGAGATTCAAATTCTCAATAAATGGGTGGTTGATTTCCAAAGGGTGTCCAGATCGATAAACATCTTCGGCTACTAATGCAAAATTAAGTGGAGGAACTAAAAGCTTTACATTACATAATCGAATTGTTTTTTGAAGCTGACTGTCCTGTGTACTGGGTTCTTGTTTAGTTCTTTGAACCTCATATGACTGAGATTGAAATCTATTACTAGGTTCTTGATCCATTTGTGTCTCTTGTTCAACTTCATTCGAATTCGCAAAACTGTTGTTTCCATAAGTATTTTCTCTATTGACATCATCAAATTGTAAGTCTATTGAGTATTGGTTTCTATTTAAAAGATTTCCGGTACTTGTTTGGATATTGTTTGATGGTGGTATTAGTAAATCATCTTCGGTGTTCTCATTAAAAGATCCAGAAATAGGAACTATTTTTTGTTGATCAAACCCAGACATTTATGTGACTTTTTTCTGATATATTCTGATATATTTATTGATAAATTTAACTATGAACTTATTAGGAACTCGTAATGGAAAGTTATTTAATAATATGTTTACTCGAGCATGGCCTTTAGCCAACATATGTATATTAGAGAATTACTTTGTTACAATTTATATTCATTTAAATTTTGTAACATTATTGGCACGTGCAAAAACAGTTCAATTTGTATCAGATGTTTAATGCCGACAATTCCTTAAATTGTGGCTTATAATAATAAAATAATAATAATAATAATAGTAATAAAAATACTAAAAATAATAAAAATAATAAAAATTGTAAGTTCATTCTTGTATTTACTTCTTTTCTTCATCTAGAATTTCAATGCTTTATTAACATCACCTTAATTTTGAGGTTAGAAATTCTTGAAACAAAATCGTTTTGACCTACATTCATTATGCCTGACCTTTACTAAATATTTTTTGATTGGTTGCCTTAATTAAAGGCCACTAATAAAATTGTGAGTCATATATGTTACAACTAAAACATTTCAGCACTTATGCAGTTTCTCTCATTTTGAGATTGCAAGCATTCAACTATATTAAATATTCATGTCTTCAGAAAGTCCTATTAGAGTTCTGCTTGTTGGAGCAGGTGCAGTTGGTTTAATTTATGCTAGCTATCTTGATTGTCATTCTAATGTACAAGTCACAGTATTAGCCCGATCAAATTTTACCTCCATCAAAAATCATGGTTCAGAAATCAGAATTTTGACTGATCCTCCCAAAATAACGACTTACAAGCCATATGAAGTTATTGAATGGAACGAAAAAACACTTGTATCATTTAATAAAGAAAATGCTTTTGACTATGTAATCATTGCGACTAAGTCACTTGGAAAAGATGCTCTTCAAGGACTGCAAAATTTTATGACACCAGAAAAAACGTTAATTATTTTATTTCAAAACGGCATTGAGATTGAGAGACCTTATCTTGATTCTTATCCTGGAATTCCACTCGCTTCTGCCGTTGTTCGTGTTGCAGCCAGTTCTGACGGTCTGAGAGTAGCAGAAATGTATCCAGGTGGCATGCGGGTAATTGCTGGATTAACCCACAATTATGCTGGACAGATAAGCCTTGAGAAAAAACTTACACAACTCATGAACTTGTCTTTGAATGGAGGGATTGAAAAGTTTTCTTTATCCTCGAACATTGACGCGGCAAGATGGGAGAAAATGCTATGGAACGGCACCTTTAACATGTTGGCATCTATTATGGACCTTAATACTGGTGAACTTTTAGAAGCTGGTTTAGAAGGAATGCTTCGGCAAATGATGACTGAAATTTGGCAAATTGCTCATGCCATTTTTGGTTCAGAATCCAAAGACTGGCCTTCTATCTCTAAGGTTGACGAATTGATGGCATGGACACTTACTCATGTTCCAGCGACATTTGTTCCCAGTACACTTCAAGACGTTCGAAAAGGAAACCAAATCGAAATCGAAGCAATAATGGGTAACACTATTAGAGCTGCTGAAAGAGAGAAAGTAGATGTTCCAACATTGAATAATATTTACCAACTTCTTAATGCAGTGAATTACAGATTGAAATTAAAGGCATCTCATAAATTTGCTAAATCGAAATAGGAAAAAAAACATGGAAGAACAAGTCATTGAAATTTATATTAATTCAAACCACCAAATTACTTTTTTTTTTATATTTATCAGTAATACATTTTTAATCAAAGATCAACATATGAAACTATGAATTTCAATAAAGCCATAAAACAATGTTTCACGACTTAAAAGAATTTGTACCCTTTAAATTTTCGAGCTGGAAGATTTAGTTTGAAAAGACGATCAATTTCGGAGTATGTTCTATTAGCAGTCTCAGGAAGTCTAAAGTATGTCCAAACTAACGTCAAAATTCCTAATACGAAGAACACAAAGCATGTTTTTCCGCTCCAGTTTGCCTTTTGAGGATTCAACATGTATGGCACCGCTATTTGAAAAACAACACCCCATAGTGAATAGGCAGTAGTGGCTAATGCAATTGTTTTTTCTCTTAATCTGACAGAAGGAATCTCAGAAACAATGATAAACGCAACAGGGCCAATGGTCAAGTCATAAATAAATGCAAAAACAAAAAAAAAGATAGACTGGCCCCAAGCATATTTGGTCGAATTATTATTTTTTCTAGGAATATCTAGTATTCCAATAAAAAACATCACTAAAGCCATAAGAATTAATCCTCCCAGGTAGTTTGCTCGACGGCCAAAGCGAAATGTTAAAAACCAGGATATAATATTTCCAATGAATCCTACTGCTGTGAGTCCTAAAGCTATTTTAAACGCATTTGTCTCGCTGATTCCAGCCATTTCAAAGAAATATGCAACATATCCAAACATGGGATTACCACAAAGAGCTTGACAGCTCCATACCATACATGCAATTTCCGTCCGGCGTAAATCTGTTTCACGAAAGCAATCACTCCAAGTAATGCTATTGTCTATTTTTCTTGCCTCTTTGTCTGTTTTGACAATTGTATTTAAGTACTTCTCTAGCTGATCCGTGTTATTAAAAGATGTTAGTCTTTTAAGAGATTGTCGTGCGTCGCTAACTCTATCCTTTCTGACAAGCCACCAAGGAGACTCGGGTGCAAACGGAAGAACACATAATATCATTACAGGCCATATCCATTGAATTCCAAAAGGTATTCTGTAAGCCCATTGACTTTTGACATTAACAAAACCATTCATGACACCCATGTTGATGAACTGACCGATAACCCATGCTAAGTTAATATATGCAGTTAGTATACCTCTAAGCTGAAGTGGGCAAACCTCACTAGCATATGTAGGAGCCAGTGTGTTAAAAACACCCCATAATATACCACTAAGTATCAAACCTGCACAGAGCATTCCAATTGAAGTGGCGAAGAAAACAATAAACAGTATACCTATAATCATGATTAATGCACCTATTAGTGTATATTTTCGACCAAATTTGGAAGCAAAATATCCAACACCAAGTCCACCAATGACTCTCCCTACTGGAGAACCCATACCTAAAGCAGTCTGCCAAGCCGCTGAAATTGAATAAGTCCCATCATGAAGCAGCTCACCGTAGTATTTTTGAAAAGCTGGTTGTGCATAGAAACCACTGACAAGGGCACCGTCATATCCATCCATTACTATCGTTAAAGATACAACAATGCACCAAAACACTGCTTTTTTGTATAGTAAGAAAGAATCAAAGACACTAAGCTCGTGTTCAAATCTATTAATATTATTAATTGGAAGTTGTATACATTCATCATCTTCAAAGCCAGTAGAAGTTGATGTAATGATTGTTTCTGTAAGAAAGTTGGATTTTCGATTTTCAAGAGAAATATCTGAAATCATGGAGACTATTTCATTTTTGTTTTTTTATTTATTTAAATTTGATGGTAAGCTTCCTCTTTATATCTCAGAATTTAATTCTATATCTATTTATGCTTGTGCAAATTTTAATTTCTCAATATAATACGCAAACTATTGTTTAAAAGAAAATAGAACCATCAGTATCTTAATAGGGAACTCGAAGCAATAGACTTTTATCTTTTTGGAAAAAAAACTCAGTCAAAAATAGAGATTAAAGTTTCACAAATTCACGATAGATATGTAGTTATTATCATAAACATTAGGGTAATATTCTAGATCCATCAAGCGCTCAATTTAGGGAAATATTTATAGTCTTGTTTTAATCTGTTTATGTTTGAAAAAAAAAACAATAAAAAAACTGTTTAAAAAGTCTTTCAAAACTATTTCTGTGTCTTCAAAATATAATTTTAAGAAACACTATCCTGAACATAATAAATGCCTAGTTTTATTATAATTCATGCTAAGAATCATTTTAACTGTGCTTATAGTTTACCTCTTTAAAAAAGTAAAGGCTTTTAAGTCAATACTTTTTTAAATAAAATCAAAAAATATATTTAAATTGTAAATTATCTTAAAATATTTACTTTTCTAATAAAATTCACAAGTACTTCTTTTTGAACTATATATTAGGTATTTTTATAAGCAGTTTTTGATTAGTTCATTTTATTTATGTACCTTTTTTGTATTGACTGTTGAAAATAGGTAACGCAAAAAATAAAACGGGGTTGACCAGTTGATAAATATCAAATGGTCATCATTGTTATAAATAAAGTGTTTTTTTACATAACTCCATCTATTTTAATTGTAAGAGAAAAGAAACAGCCGTTGAATCTTTATTATCCAAAATAAAATGTATCGTGTTTCGCTATCTTTTCAACAACAAAAAATCTTATAATTTCTGGCTTCTCCTGCTCTTTCATAGTTCTTTTACCCAGTTTTAGTTTAAATAATCTTTTTAGAAAATTCCATTTTCATAGAAAGAAAAATTTTGGTTTAGTGTAATCAAATTAATTTGTCAATAGTGTTTAAAAAACAGTGCATGTCAGTTATCTAGCATACAAAATTGACACATTGGTTACTACTCAAAGATCAAGCATGAATAGTTTTGTAGCTTAATCTCCTTCATCAACAACTTCTTTTATTACAATTGCGAGTATTAAAGTTTGAAATCTTTGGTGGGAATTTCACTACAGTTTTTTAAAAAAAAAAACTCAAGCAAACCAAATGTTTTTTTAATGAAAAAAAAGATGATTCATGTTACTTTTAGGAATACAAAGGAATCATTCAAACAACTAGTAAGGACCTATAACTGTATAATAGTGATTCTAGTAGGTCTAGGTCCTTTTTTAAAATTCAGATGTAAACATCATATGAACAGCAAGTTTAAGTACCCCGCAATATTAAAAACCTAAAGGAAAACAATGACAGCTCATACTGTGAATTTGAGATATGTTCATTTTGATCAGCACCCTCTAATAAACTTATGTTTGATTTTATTAAAGACCTAATTTTTTTTTAAAGGAATCGTTCTAAGATAGAATTTTCTTTAAAAAAAAGTTTATAAATAACAGGAAAAATTCCTTTTTTATTTTCATTTTGTTTTATTTATCTACAATCCATTCAATACAATCTTGAAAAAGAATATTCATCATCTCGAATCTATCTCAACTTTCAAAATTAAGCCGCACAAATAAGTTTTTACTAATCTAAGTAATAAAAAATAAAATGCCAATTCCAACTTCTGCCAATTTCCTTGAAGCTTCCGAAAGCATCATTGATTTCCAGAATTTTGATGGAACAGGTCTTAAACGCCCCTCTGACTTGCCCGCCCCTACCTACGAGTCTAGAAAAAAGTTGCTAGAACTTTTGTCTGAAAGTCATCGAGTTTACAATCTCTTGTACTCTCAAGAGTTGCGCTATCATAACCATACACCCCATGTTTTAATTTCCATGTATTATTTGGGTTGCAGTGCTCAGCAACTTGAAAAATACTTTCAAAATATCGTCAAATCTCTTTTGCTTTGGAAAGATATTGACAGTTTGCCTGTGAGAGATGAAACATGGAGTGAATATATTGCTGATAAACAGCATGTTCGAGGCTATTTTGACTTTTATTCCGAAAAATCCGTAAACACTAAGAAGAAAAATTGGAAATTATTGGTAAACAAGTATTTGACAAAATCGTTTTCTGACAAACAAACTGGAAAGTTAAAGAGGCTTTTAGATGGATTTTTTGGAGGACTAATGCATACAGTGATTCATTTAGGAGTAAGTCTAAACAAGAAATAATGCAGTTGAAAATTTCTAACTTTTTTTTTTAATAAGTATGCTATGGAGCTTGACGACGAAAATTTAGGAATTGAAGGTGAGTTAAAAAAAATCTGTTTAGTCTAGACTCTTTTTTTTTTTTTACTAATAGTATTTTTGTATAGCAATAACCTTGGCAACCACAGAATATAATGATTATGGTTTAGATAAACTTATGGGAGAAAATGCAGTTCTTACCAGGTCATCTTTAAAGAAAGAGTCTGATGGGCCAGGAGATAGTGTATTGCATATTCTTGAACTTATTCAAGGAGATCATAGATTTGATACTGGCCCTGTTATCATTCATCCCGATCAGTTTTTTGCTGGGTTAATTTCAAAACAAGATCTTATTGCTGAGTATGCAAATAAACTTGTGATAACTCAAGAAAATCTAAATCAGGTATTGCATGAGCTACTCCACGCAGCTGTTCTTCTCACGTTTACGACCTATAGGGATGAGGATGCTGAAAAGGGACAGCCTTGTTATAGTTTTTTTCTTTTGCATCTACTTACTTCTCTTCATGCCATCATTGAGATTTGGAATATATCTTTCGGTAATCAACAAGCGAAGGAAGCGAGCCAAGCAGTTATTGTTGAGGACGAGTTTGTGGGGGTTGTTCTAGACTATTGGATTACATTTATTGGGGTATATGTGTTTCAATTACGGCCTACATTTAAAGAGTCCCGTGTGGATGTGACTATTGAGGCTTTTGGCCGCAATAGGCAGCATATGCCGGCTCAAAATAAAGTCTGGGGTGAAATTCACCAGATATTATTTGGCGACGGAACCAAAAAGGTTGACTACGACTGCCACATTCTCAAGTGCATCCGATGTCTTTTATTTGTCCAGGAGTATTTGAAAGATGAGTACGGAGACCCCAGTATTTATTCAAAGATGGCATTTATGATGGCTGCAACAATGCCTGGTAAAAGGTTTGTTGGGTTCCCTGGTGAAGACGGTTTGATGTTGGATATTGTCGGTGGTGGGGAGAAATAAGACTTAATTCTTGTATTAGGTAATCTCTTGGAGCCGAGATTAGCGAAATAGGATTAAAGCAAGTTTTTGAGCCTCCCCAACAGCATCTTTACAAGTGAAATATTTGCTGCGTGCTGTCAAATCACGGGTCATGTATTATGTATTTATTATAATTTATGTATCCAACATCTTATTCAAACGAATGTCGCACGCCTTTGCTTAGGACTGCGCTAGTATATATATATATATATTAGATATATTCTTGGTGACGAGTAGGTCGAGCGTAAATTTTCTAAACCTTTAAGATTTGCCACCTCCTCACCAGTGGGTGGGGCATTTCTGCTCACCATCAAAGCGATCTGGTATTATTTTTTTCTCAGTATCGGAAAAGGATATATATATATATATATATGCCCATATTAACAAAGCTTTTTTTTTTTTTTTTCTTTGGAGAGAAATATGACAGACAGCCTTTGGTGCTACTAAAAGCATCTTTTTCTATCTTTCAGTCCAAAATGAGCAATTTTGTGTTATTGCCGGTATTGCAATTGGTAAATAAACCCGATGCCAAGATTACACAGTCCTTTATGGCACAAACTAAATCCGTTGCCGTTGCCGATATGGAATCACAGCGGCATGCGCACATAGTCAGCCCGTGACTTTTTGGATCTCTACCGCACTATGTTTTTTTTAAGTTACACAATATCCTCGGATTTTTCCAATGGGCTAAGCTCCGGGGTTGGCCCAGAAAATCTTATTTCTCGTCTTTTGTTCCACTCCACAATCTTCTTTTTTTTTTTTTTAATATTTTATTTTCATCCCCTTAATATTTCTAAATATATGAACGAAAAAGTGAAAACACACTGTACAGGTGTGGATATCATCTTTCTGTTTGAATCTTTTTTTTTTAAAAATAACCATCTTTCTTTATGCTGCGAGACTGTTTTTGGTCTTTAAGACAATTTTAATAGTTGTTGTCCAAATTTCACGTTTCAAATTTCTTTTTTTTATTTTTTTTATATTTTTTTTTACTTTTCTTTTTGGCTGAAATATGAGCCCTAGAAAATCAAGTTCTTCAACTTATTTTCTTCTTTACTCTTTGATAATACTAAAAAAAGAAGAGTAAAATATATTGGTGTCAATATATTTGACTCTTAAATTATCATCTCCTTTTTTCTGAGATCATGGATAAAAATAAATCAAGCACCCCACCTCCAAGAAAGAGAGTGCGAAAGACCCTCTCTTGTGCACCTTGCAGAAAAAGGAAAATAAAGGTTCGTTAAAAATGATATATCTTTTAAGAATAAATTTTGATCAGTTTGGTCGATTATTGATAGATCAACCAAATTTTTTTTTTTAATTTTTTTTTAATGTTTTCAACTTTTTCAATTTTTAAGCTTTTTTTTTTCAAAAATTTGTTTTAACATATTGTCTAGTGTGATCACAAACAACCTTGTGGCCAATGTATACTTAGAGGTTTTAAGGATCAGTGTCAATACGAAGTTTCTAATCGTTGGGGTTATTCCAATGATCCACATGAATCACCTGAACAAACGCCAACTCCAACTCCAACTCCAACTCCAATTCCAACTTCAGTAACAACTTTACCTTCCATCTCTTCTGATTCTATTCCTAATGTTAAGTTTATTAATACGTTCTCCTCAACTTCCGTTTCTTCTACTCTCTCTACTTGTGCAGTTATTCCGTCAATTATACCAGAGTCAGGATCAACTTCTATTTCCCCTACAGAGTCAACCTGGAATGGGAGCTCCTCTTCTGGTTCAAGAGGAGTCTTAATGTATCCTCATAATGGTTTCCCAAACGATTACAATTTCAAACACAACCAATCGTTACAATTTTCAAAAGAAAATCGAAAATATTCTACTTTGGATTCAAATAATCGATCTCTTCCATATCCAGCCAAATTATCATCCAGCTCACAATTACCTTCCAACCTAATCGAGATTACCAACTCACCAATTTCTCAGCAAGATGGCGAATTTCTAATCAATGAAACTCGACGATTATGTTCATTTTTGCCAGTAATGAACTGGGACAAAATTTACCAGACTTTTCAAGAATGGAATAAATTGGATATAACACCACCAGGCTCAAACTGTGACCTCTTATCAATGTTGATGGTGATATCTATAGGCTGCAAAATTTCATCTCACAACAACCTCGCAAATCCAATTTTCTTTCAGCAATGGATTGATAACTTGATTGGAGAAGCAAGTAAAGAGCTTTATTATTATTACCCTCCTTCATTTTACGGGATGAACGATATAACAGCATATTTATTAAGTGCAAGTTATCTTTGTTATGATGATACAGATCATATTGGAATATCGTGGACAAAAATGACAATGATTACTGCTTCTCTACAAAGACTAGGATACAGATTTAACATTAACGATCAGCAAAATATAATCAATACAGTATGGTTAAGATATTTTAAAGGAACTGAAAAACTTATCGCCTTTAGTATGAGAACCCAGTCTCTTTTGAACTCTACGCTTTTCCCCCATATCTTAGAGGCTTCAAGTGCTGATGGTACTTTTCCATCTGTAAGGCTTTCTCTGTTTGAAGCCATCGACAATATTCTAGAAAACATATATTCCGTTCGTCATCTTGTTCATCCAAGAAATTTAAGCAAGTATGAAAACTTGGTGCGGAAAATTGGCACAGATTTTGCCAACACCTTTACTCCCCAACAACTCCAGGATCCTAAAATTAAATATCAGATCCTTACGATTCAATCTCTTTGTAATTCTATTATTTTACTCATATACCGACCTTATATCATAACTATTCCTGATACCACAGTGGAAACAGAAATTTTTCGGCGAAAAGGAACATCGGCAGCCATTGGTACAATAGAAACAATGATTCAATTTTTGGAGGGGGATCCAGCTACATTCAAGATTTACAAATGGTTTTCTTGGGTTGATATACTAATGGGCGCATTTGAAGCATGTGTGCTTTTGATATTAGACCACAATACACGCCAAAAGTTGTCTATTTCTCCCGATCAAAGTTACATGATTCAGAGGTTTGCCATTCGATTATTTAAATGTCAAGATGCATCTACGCGTTCTTCTGGTAATAGCGCAAAGAGTAGTAGTAGCACAAGTCAGGCTAGTCCTCAGCAATCAAATGATGGTTGCCCACAGGCTCCAGAAAAAAACTCAATAGAATCAGTCTGCTGGAACTGTACTGATTTTAACTGGCGAGTGAACTTGGTCGAAAAGTGTCGGATCCACTTTATGAGACTCTCAACAGGGGAGCTGAGTAGGCCCGCCAAAGCTGCAACAATACTAACTGCCATGCTTGGAAATATGAAAGTCACTCAAGTTCCTAAGCTTTTTGGGCCTTTCACAAAAGCTTTGGAGGGTTCATCGCGTTATATTATTGCACAATATGATGAAAGTTTTTTTGCAAAAGTCGGGTCGGAAAGATCAATTGAGTTTAATCAAAGGATCGGGCTCGCAATTAATGACACTATGACTTTTTAATGATTACAATTACAAAATATAATAAAATAAATTTTTTTATTTTATAGGAATACGCTATATACTTTTTGAAGGTTATTGAAATTAATAACGGAGTTGGTTGTATTCATTCCGAAAAAAATATACATGCAAGATTGTGAGCCATGGCTTAGAATGTCACTCGATTTCGCTTACATCATGATATTATTGAACTATGATCATGTATAGTTCAATATTATAAATTGTAATAAGCTCATTTGTAATTTGTATTTATCAACTTCAGAAATGATTCACGCAAAGCCCGTAAATTCAGATGTCAATTTTAGCGTTCATAAAGAAGAATGTTCATCCGGGTAACTTGAAAAAGAAATTTTGAAGAAAAATGATAATCACCACCAAAAATCAAAGATACGAAAATCATGGCAATTCAGCATATTACCGAGAAATCAATTCTTTGACAAGCCATGATACCTGAGGTATGGCCATTTCATAATTATGTTATAACATCAAAAACTTGTATTTTCCCCTATAGTAATCATTTAAACCTAAAATTTCAAGACCTAGGACAAAATCTTTTATAACTAACATTGTTTAGAATAACATAAATATATATAATTATGATAAAGGCGGTTAAAATAACAAATTTCCTGGAATTTATAAAGAAAAGCAGATTTATTTCAAACAAAAAAAAAGAAAAAAAAAAAACTAAAGTATTTTATTTAAAAAATTTAACATTCATTCATCATTAAGTTAGGAGTCGCTAGTTCGAAAAACAGAAATGTACAAATAAGTGCAGGTTAGATTTGCCTTCAACTTGGAACAATCGGTTTGCTCAGATCCATCCTTTTGTATTATCGTGGAGAAATTAAAAAAAAATAAAAGCTGCTTTTAATTACAGATTTAGTAAATCAAAGCACCTCCAATTTGTTCTGTGTGAGCTTCAATCACGTCATTGTCGCCAATGTCAAGAGAAGCAGGTGTATCAGTATCTCTGATACGTTCGCCATCATACAAGAATCTGAGAGCAGAGTGATCCTTGCCCGTTCGCTTGCAGAATGCGTCCATGACTTTCTTAAGCTGCGTTGTCTTCTTAATCTTAAAAAAGACGTCTGTACTGGAGTCAGTGACCTTGATGTTGATGTGTTCAGTTTCAGGCTTTGGTTCCTTGGGTTGTTCAGACATTGTTGAAAATAAAAGTTGTTGATGAGCTGGAAACAAAAAGAGTTGGACGAATCCTTTTAAATTACAAGCTGTTTAATTGAATTAAGTTAATAACTGAGGCTCTCAAGATAAAATCCCGAAACGTTGGTAGTTTAGTAAACAAAGTAAAGAGCAAAAAAAAAAAAATAAGAAGGAAAAGTTTGAAAGGAAACGAAAAATGTAAACAAAAACAAAACAAAACAAAAACAATAAGGTACACTATTTTAGATTTTTGGCTTAGTATGTAAGTCCGGGTAAGTGCAATTTTTTTTAACAATTGCTGATTAAAGTAAGACTTATCTCAACCATTGACTTAATCTATGGATCACTTGAAAAAAGTCCTACAAGACATGATGATATTTAGAAATAAAAATTTATTAAAATATGAACTATATAGTTGATCAATACTACAACAGAAATGACAGCAATCTCCCAAATCAAAAATATTAAATTGCAACTTTGAGCAATCTCAGGTATTAAAAAATAGCCAAAAGGTGGTGAGAGGCGGCTATTCTCCACACAACCCACTCACATCAAACTTGGATTCCGAGGAATACAAGTAAGCAGTGTGAGAATAAACGGTTAACAAATACCCATCATCATCGATTGTTTAGTTGTGAGGAAAAAAAAAAGAAGAAGAGAAGAATGAAAATTTGAGTGACTTATATATAAAATATTTTTCAGCCGGGTAACTTTAAAAATTTTTCACTGAACATTCAAGTTGACGCATAGTGTGTCATAGTTGCTTGGTAACCATCTCAACCACCCTAACCCACAATATTTGGTCGTCTGAGAACCAATACTCCAAGAAATTTTCTTTGCCTCTTGCAAACTGTGCTTATTCAACTCAATTCATGTCCGGTTCTATATGCTGTTATTAGAACTCAGTCTTTCATTTTCTTTGGAAAACTTCATTTTAAACATAAGTTATTAAATGTGAGTTTCTGAAATTACAAAAAAATTGGTTTTTTTGATGGATTTGAAAAAATCAAACAGAGAAAACTAACCCTCATTGTATTAGATCAGAAATTACTTATGGCAGAGCGGCCCACAGAAAGTTGGGGTACCTTGAGTGCCGAAGCTCCTTTCCAGCTTTTGAAAACATCGCCTTTTATCCGGGCTGCTTTCATTGAAAAACTTGCAAATCTTGCAAACAAAGAAGGTATGTGTTTAATGGAGTTCCTAAATCATCAACTGTTTCTAACTATACTATAGGTCTAAAACAAAATGATTCGACTGAAATTGTAACCGCAATTTTTTCAAAATATGCACACTACAACGACAACCATTCACGACTAGCTGCTCAAAAAGCTATAATTTCCCATATCAATGGCACCTATGGGTCAGCTGTTTTAAATACTTTGGCTAAGTTGATCACAGTTACTATTTCTCAAACTAAGGCCATTGGCAGTAACTTCACAATATTGGAGTGGGTCAACTCATTTATTCTTGATAAATCAGCCACTTTCGATTCAAACAAGGAAGCTGTAAAGACTTTAATTATTTCTCAAGGTGAAATTTTATATCAGATCGTTACTTTTGCTGAAATTGAAAAACACCAAAGACAATACGTATCTTCTTTAAGGAAAACCCGCACTGCTATTGCGAAATCTCTTGGCCGTCAAAATGAAAAATCATTAGAATTCGCCGACTTTTACATTGAAACTCTTATTTCCAAACCCAAAAATACTATCGAATATATCCCCCGCTTTTTGATCATTTCTGCTCTTGCGGGTGCGTCGATTGATCTTTTATCCGCAAACCCCTCTGTGCAGGCCAAGGTAGAGGCAAAAAAGGATGAATTTTTCAAAATTTATATTCAAAGTGTCCTCGGAACAAAAGTTCCATTGACAAGGCATCTTGTTGACTCATTTTCTCCATTCTTTGTTGACTTTATCACCCAATCCGATTTTGACAAAGTACTTGCACCTGCAATTTCTAAAGCAATTTTACGAGCCTCCGAAAACACACTTTCAACTATTTCTATTTCTCTCTTTTCTAAACTTTCTCCACTTGTCGATACCTCTGATTCCTTGAACTCATGCCTTCTTGCCCCTATTTTATCTTCTTTTGGCTCTTCTAAACCTCAAGTTCGTGTTTACTCCTGTGACAATCTCAAGTCTCTTTTGCAGTTGGCCCAGCCCTCTGAGAAGCTCGATAAGGTTATCAGTTCAATTGTTACACCTCTCAAAACAAATAAAATTACAAATCCGGAGCAACGAGTTTTTTATGGTCTGGCACTTTCCTCTGTTACTCCTTACATCGGTGGCTCTAAGGCAATTTACAATAATCTTCTCACTACTTTAGGAAAAGATGTCAACGAAGCATCTCTATCTTCATTATCGGACGCATTTTTTAAGCATTTGTTTTTTGATTTACAAAGCAATGCTGTTTTGGAGAAATCTGTTCTTGACACCACTTTAAAGGGTGTTTCTGAAAAGAAAGCTAATCTCAAGAAAGTCTGGATTGAAAATCTGGTAAAGCAAATTTTAGATCTTACTAACTGCTCTGCCGAACTCGAAAAATTCATTTCAGGTATCAGCAAATCTTTGACAGATGCTTGGAAGGATATCAACAATAATGCTTCTTTGGCAGTTCAAAACAAGGTTGTCACTATTGGTCATGCCGTTGTTTCTCTTATTGCTAAGTTACATCAAATTGATGAGAAGATTGTGGTACCTTTTGATAATGCCAAAATTATTTCCTCTTCTTTAAAAAGTGAAAAGGCATCTTTTATTACATCTTACCGTGTTTTTACAAAGCTTACAGAGCCAAGTGAGGTTGAATGGGCCATTCGCTCTTTGAGCGCTAGTGCCAAGGAGGTTGTTGCTCTCAACGATGCTGCTATTTCAAATGACTGGGCTTTAGCTTGGATATACTATATGGTTACACCTGTTTCCCCTTCCACTTCTCAACTCGCACTTTCTTTCATTAAAGATTTATATGCAACCTATCAGTCATTTATTGGCAAGTTATTTATTGATAACATTTACAAAATTATTTCTCTGCCGGAAGATTCTAAGCCTATTGATGATGATAACTTGACTCATATTCCTCGAAGTGCCACATTCAATCACATCTTGACTGCTTTGTTTTTACCACAAAATGAAGTTGATGTGTCTGTTCTTGAAAATGATCTCGTTTCATTGTTTGTTATTGCTCACCATCCAAAGTCCAATATTAAAGGTGGATGGGTTTCTCTTTGCTTAGAGTCCAACATCGATCCTGGCAAGGTTGTTGAAACTCATGGCGAGGTTATGCTTCAGAATATTTTTGCCGTTTCTGATGATGCGGCAAATCATAACGATGATGTCATGCTTGATGCTGCAGTTTCTGCTGCTGCTACTCTTTCTTTTATTAACAACTCTCTCATCACTCCCAAGCTTACTGAGTCAATTGTTTCTGGACTTAACACTTCTCAGTTCCCTGAGTTTGATGAAGAAAAGCTGGCTGTCTGGAACACACCTGAGGGTACTCTTGCCAAGAATCCATTTGAAACTTCAAAGGTCTATGCTGAAAACAAAAATTCAAAGGACTATGAGACTAAGAAGTGGGAAGAGTCACTTAAGAAAGAGATTGAAGCTAAGAGGGGTACTAAACCCAAGTTTACCAAAGAGCAACAAATCATTGTCAATGAGCAGCTTAAGAAAGAGAGCGAAATTCGCTCTGAGTTAAAAAAGATTTATGCTAACGTTCATAGGTCTTTGTCTTTGATTTCAAAGCTTTCTATTTTATCGACAACTGCTTACAATGGAATTGAAACTTGGTTTCCGGAATCGATAAAGTCCCTTGAGAATCTGTTTAGCACTGGTCCTATTCTTTCTATTTTTAATGGTGAACCTTCCCGTGTCTTTATTGAACTTTCTCGTAACGTGACTGATCGCATTGGTTCCCACCGCGATATTGCTGGCGTTGCTATTCTCCGAGCTCTCAGCGTCTATGATATTGATTCAACCGCTCTTTTGGAAAAGGATACTTTGAAGGACTTTTCTACCGGTCTTTTGTATAAGATTCAGTTCCAAAGTGAAAAACGGCCTTTGGACTCTATTTCTCTTATTTACCTTCTTCCTCTTATTTTGAAGACTCTTGAAGGTCGAGGAGGCATTGGTACTACTGTTGATGAAGAGATTGAAGAACAAGCTATTTTGTCGCTTGACATTCTTACTGCTCATGCTGAAGAGTTTAAACAAGAAATAACTCCCAGAAAGCATCTTCTCAACACTCTGTTATCGTTGTTAAGCACTCACCCTTCCAAGGTCAAGTCTATTAAAGATTCTTTGGTTAGAATTGTTCAAAGTATTGGTGCAACTTTTACTGATGAAGAGCTCAACTTGTTGATCAAGGCTACTATTTCTTCCGATCTTGCTATTCGTTCTATTGTTCTTGAAATCATTGATAATGAGCTTGATATCTCTCACGTGGATTACTCCAACGAAATTTGGATAGAACGTTTTGACTCTGAAAATCTTTCTGCGATAGCTGACTCTATTTGGAACGATAATGAACTTGCTATCGATGAAACTTCTGCTTTCAAATTGGTTCCATTCCTTGAATCAAATCAATCGTTTTTGCGTATTGCTACTTCTAAGGCAATTACTGCCGCTGTTGAACCATATCCCGATATTCTTGATACTTTGTATGAGAACCTCACTGAGCTCTTTATTGAAAGAACCCAGCCTCCTATTCCTGTTAAGGATAAGTACGGTATGGCTGTCAACAATGGCGGTCCTACTGACACTTGGGAGGTGAGAAGCGGCATTGCTCTTACTTTCAAAGAGCTTGCACCTTTCCTATCTAATGAGCTTATTGAGAAGTTTTTCTCATTTTTGATTGACACCGAGGCTTTGGGTGATAAGAATGCTGAAGTTAGATCCGAACTTCAATTAGCTGGAAAGGCTATTATCCAGCAACACGGCTTAAACATTGTTGAGTCACTTATTCCAATTTTTGAAGCATACCTTACTAAGGAAGTTAAGAAATCGGAAGTTCATGATCGTATTCGTGAAAGTGTTGTTATTCTTTATGGTGATCTTGCTTGTCATCTTAAGCCTTCCGATCCCCGTGTCACTAACATTATTGACAGACTTCTCAGCACTCTTGACACTCCTAATGAGTTTGTTCAGTACGCAGTTTCAGATTGTCTTGCACCTCTAGTCAAGCTTTTTGAATCCAAACTTTCTGATTATTTTCAAAAACTTGAAGAAAAACTTTTCTCCGATTCTAAATATGCTGGCAGACGTGGTGCTGCATATGGTATTTCCGGTCTTGTCAAAGGTGCTGGTATTTCTGCCATGTCAGACTACGATTTAACTCGTATTTTAGTTGATGCAGTAGAAGATCGTCGTGACCCCAAGAAGCGTCAAGGTGCTCAGTTTGTTTTTGAATGTCTCTCTCAAAGCTTGGGCCCTTATTTCGAACCTTATGCACTTGAAATTATTCCTTTGATTCTTGCCAGTTTGGGTGATAGTTCTCCAGAGGTTCGTGAAGCAACTTCTTATGCTGCCCGCCAAATTATGAAGCACTCTACTGGTTACGGTATCAAGAAGTTGATTCCAATGGCTTTGGAAACTCTCGATTCTACTGCTTGGAGAGCTAAAAAGGGTGCTGTCGAGTTGCTTGGTATCATGGCTTACCTTGACCCTAGACAGCTTTCAACATCTCTTTCCACTATCATTCCAGAACTTGTGGGCGTGTTGAACGATTCCCATCGTGAGGTTAGAACTTCTGCTAACCAAAGTTTACAAAGATTTGGTGAGGTCATTAAAAATCCTGAGATTCAATCTTTGGTTCCTGTTCTTATTCAGGCTATTAGTGATCCTACTCAACATACTGAAAAGGCTCTCGATGGCCTCCTTAAGACCCAGTTTGTCCACTATATTGATGCACCTTCTTTGGCTCTCGTCATTCACATTTTGCACAGAGGTTTGAAAGATAGATCTGCCAACATTAAGCGCAAGGCTGCTCAAATTGTTGGTAATATGTCTATTCTTACTGACTCTAAGGATCTTATTCCTTATCTTTCAAGTATTGTTTCTGAACTTGAGGTTTCTATGGTTGATCCTGTTCCTGCTACTCGTTCTACTGCCAGTAGAGCTATTGGTGCTCTGGTTGAGAAACTTGGCGAAGATCAATTCCCTGATCTCATTGGAAGACTTATGGCTACTCTTAAATCTAAGGATAAGGTTGGTGATCGTCTTGGTTCTGCACAAGGTCTTGCTGAAATTACATACGGTTTGGGCATCCGCAAGCTGGAGGAGCTTATGCCTATTATCCTCAAAAATACTACCAGCTCTCAGGCCCATGTCAGAGAAGGTTTTATGCCATTGATGATTTATCTTCCTGCATCATTTGGTGCTTCTTTCAGTCCATACTTGACTCAAATTATTCCTCCTATTTTGGCTGGTCTTGCTGATGATGTTGAGGCTGTTCGTGAAACTTCTCTTAAGGCAGGTAGACTTCTTGTTAAGAACTACGCCACCAGAGCAATTGATTTGCTTCTTCCCGAGCTTGAACGTGGTCTTTCTGATTACAGTTATAGAATTAGAACCTCTTCCGTCGAGCTTACTGGTGACCTTTTGTTCCAGCTTACTGGTGTTAGTGGAAAGACTGAGCTTAGCGAAGAAGATAAAATCATTTTTGGTGATGTTAGCAAGAGTATTGTTGATGTTCTTGGTGTTGAACGCCGTGATCGTATCTTTTCTGCTATTTTTATGTGCCGTACTGATACTTGGCCTCAGGTTCGTGGTGCTGCTGTGGAGGTTTGGAAGAGTCTTGTTTTCAACACACCTAGAATGGTTAAGGAAATTTTGCCTACTCTTACCCAGATGATTATTCGTCGTTTGGCCAGCACCAACGAAGACCAAAGAACTATTGCTGCACAAGCACTTGGCGAGCTTGTGCGCCGTGTTGGTGGTACTTCGCTTTCTAGACTTCTGCCAACTCTTAGTGAAGGAATGACGACTAATGATGCTGATGCCCGACAGGGTATTTGCATTGCCATTACCGAACTTATTGGTTCTACCCAGGTTGATGATTTGGAAGCTCAACAAACTTTGTTCATTAACATTATCCGTATTGGTCTTGGTGATTCTGATGAAAAAGTTAGATCTGCTGCTGCTAAAGCATTTGATTCTCTTCAGAGTGCTATTGGAAACCAAATTCTTGACAAAATCTTGCCCGACCTTATTAAAATGCTTCAATCTGAAGATTCGGCCGAGAACGCACTTGCTGCTTTGCGCAAGATTATTTCTACAAAGGGCTCTGTCGTTTTCCCTATTATAATGCCCACTTTGTTGACTCCACCTATGACTGTTTCTAACGCTCGTTCTCTTGGTGCTTTGGCTGCTGTGGCCGGTCATGCTTTGATAAGACGGTTGGAACAAATTATTGATGCTTTGGTTGATGCTATTATCGATGCAAAGGATGAGGAATCGAAGAGCGTCTTTTCTTCATCTTTGGATTCTGTCATCTTGTCAATTAATTTTGATGATGGCACCCATACTCTTATGCACCATATGCTCACTCTGGGTCGTCATGTGGAATCACCACGTCGTGAGATTTCCTTCAACCACATGGCATCATTTTTCACAGAGACATCTTTGGACTGCTCTCAATACACAGAAGACTGGGTTCAACTTTGTATTTATTCTTTGGAAGATTCAGATGAGAAGGTTGTCAAAGCTTCATGGACTTGCCTTAACAGCCTTGTTAAAGCTCAAACTAAAGATTCACTGGAAGAGCTTGTTAAACCTGCTAGACAGGCACTTAAAACTACAGGAATCGCAGGCCAGGAACTTGCTGGTTTTGCTTTACCAAAAGGTCCAAGTTGTGTTCTGCCAATATTTTTACAGGGTCTCATGTATGGAAGCAACGAAAACAGAGAAGTTGCAGCTCTGGGTATTGCTGACATTGTTGAAAAGACGAGTGCAGCTAATCTCAAGCCATTTGTTACTCAAATCACTGGTCCTCTTATTCGTATTGTTGGTGAACGCTTTTCTTCTTCTATCAAGGCTGCAATTTTGTATACCCTTAACATACTCCTTCTCAAGATCCCCGCATTTTTGAAACCATTCTTACCTCAATTGCAGAGAACATTTGCTAAGGCTCTTGCTGATCCCCACAATGAAACCCTTCGTTCTCGTGCAGGAAAGGCTCTTAGTACATTGATTAAACTTCAAACAAGAATTGATCCCCTTATCACTGAGTTGATTTCTGGTGCTCGCAACACTGAGGATGAAGCAGTTCTTGTCTCGATGCTTCAAGCACTTTCTGAAATTATGTTGAATGCTGGTAAACTCATTAATGCTTCTTCCAAGGCCTTAATTCTTACCTTTGTGGATGAGCAACTTGAGATTGCTGATTTTTTAAAAAGAAAAAGTCTTGCCAAGCTTATGGGCGGTATTGCAAATGCAATGGACAACGAAGAACTTAGCAAACTCATTACCACAAAAATCATCCAAAATCCCGATCAAAAATTTGCGGTATTGACTCTTAACGCATTACTAAGGGTTGCTGGTTTAAAAATCAGCGAAGCTGGTGTTAGTACTGAAATTGCTCATTACATCATTAACAACATGGATTGTACAGATTCTGAAATTTCGGAGAATTTAGTACGTGCCGCTGGAAAATATTTGCTTGATACTTACTCTCCTGATCCAAAATCTGAACAAGACGAGGAAGACAAAGATATTGTGAAACTAAACTTTGATTACAGTCCGGAAGTTATTTCTCAGTTTGTTCAGGCGCTTTCCACTGTTACGGTAAAATCTCCATCACGGACAGGTGAAGCTAGAAGATTATCATTTGTTGTAATCCGCACTGTTGCTAGACACAAATACTCTCTGTTTTGTCAAGAAAAGAGCCTGGATGTTTTGGTTCCAGCTATTTTTGGTTGTGTGCGTGAAAGTACTATTCCTGTCAAGCTTGCTGCCGAAAAGGCTTTTATTCAAGTTCTCAAGCTTACTGATGATCTTTTATTAACTGCTGGTAAGGAGGGTGTTGCCCCTTCAATTCCTACATTTGACAAATGGTATAAGCATGCGGTGGATGATAATGTTTTGTCTGGTGCTATCCCAAGATCTCTTTCAGAATTTACAAAGCGTGTTGGTCAAAAACTTGCATTGGCTGAAGTCGATCGTATCCAAGCTGGTGGTGATTACAGTGCTGTATACTCTGACAGAATTGAAGATGAGATGGATGTTTGGGCTATTGGTTCTCCTGACTTGGAAAAGGAAGAAGATGAATAAATGTAATTTTTAATAAATAAATAAATATTAACATAAGTTTTCTATACAATGAAATTTATTGATAAATAATGCAACATTAACGAACGAATGATGATTAATAAAAATTGAAAAAAAAAAGAAAAAAAAAGAAAAAAAAAAGAAAACGAGAGAGAAATGCGCATAGATAAATTTATATGACAGAAAACTTCACATTGGGAAGCTTGTTAAATTCTATAAAAAAAATTGTTTTATTGTGGAAGTGCTGGCAAAGTATGTGGAATTGTAGCGTTTCGTGAATTCAAGGGGCTGGAAGTGCTAGGAGGCAATGCTGAATGCATTGGAGGTTGTACAGTGTTTTGAGACAGAATATTTTGCTGATGGATAATTGCCGAATCAATGGGAGGCACTGGAACTGTGCCAGTTCCTGTTTGAGAAGATGAATCATTAGCTAGATTTTGAACCTTTGATGATGCTACACCATTGTTATTTGAATTTGTGTTATCAGCCAATACTATTTGGGGTGGCTGTGATTGATAAACATGAGGTTGCTCAGAGTTCTGACTTGTTGTGGCATACATATAAGACTGTGGAATTGGTCTAGAGGTAACTGCGGTTGCATCTACGTGAACGGAATGCTGTTGAGTAGTTCCTGAAGGCACAGCATATGAAATAGATGGTAAAACATTGGTCTGTGGATTTGCATAATAGTTTCCATGAATTGGTATCCACATTGGTGACTGTTGAGGATGCTGCTGAGCCATATGTTTCATTTCGATAGGACCCATTTGCCTGGACGATTGATCAGTAGGGTTGGTATGTGAATTTTCGGCAACCTGAGATAATTGAGGGTTTGAGGACAGTGCTGGAAGCAAATGGGATTGCTGAACTTGGGGATGCATTTGATTTTGAGAATTCTGGTGATGAGCATTAGACGCTGCAGACATTGCTGCTGCTTGTTGTTGTTGGATTCGAAATTGATCTATTTGCTTTTTGCGTTCAGCAGCAGCTAAAACTTGAACTGTTCGTGTCAAATTAGTTGGATGATAAATAAAAGTTTTAATATCAGCAACAAATAACGGGTATAAAATATCAACTATTCGTTCACGTGTAGAAAATTCCAAAGCTCTTTCATAAGGAATCCATACTCCTTTTAAATACATTGTTCCGATTTTAACAACATGTCTTATTTTTTCACTTTTTAAAATTCCATCTCTTCTACCTCTTGTCATGCCGGCAACATTCAAAAGCTTTGTTCCATTAATCATATTATTATCTTCTCTTCTTGCAACACAAATCCCTTTCACTTCTACCTGGAAGCATAGTGTTCCTTCATCTTCCCAGAGTGAGGTTGTTACACGTGGTTTTATTCCACCAGCTGGGGGTATTTGCCCTACTGCATCTTCAGAGGGTTGTATTGTTCCTAGCATAGATGGAAATTGGGCTGCTGCGTTTAAAGAAATAGCTGAAGGTGCATGAGCTTGATGTGAAAACCCCATATAATGTGGCGCTGCAGAAAATTCGTATGGCATGTGTGGTGGCGGTGGAGCAGCGTGAAAATGATAATACGCATTTTGTTGAAAAGGAAATGCTGGTCCAGGGTGATTTGAGATATAGGGTTGTGGAGGCATTGCTTGTTGTAATTGAAACTGTGGTTGAGGTTGAATCTGTTGCTGTAGATGAGGCTGGGGAATCGTATGATTTTGACTTTGACTTTGACTTTGATTTTGTTGCTGAGAACTGGGTGTAAGTTGTGAGTATGGCTGGGTTTGTATTGGGGCTTGAACTGGTGTTGATATTTGTACTTCAGCTTGAGATTGGGATTGAGATTGCAACTGAGACTGAGGATGGGACTGAGGTTGGGAGTGGGACAGAGAAGTATTTTGAGATGGTGGAATTTGAAATTGTGGTTGCGGTTGTAAAGGTGGCTGCATAGGCGGTTGTAGGGATGACTGCCAAGGCTGTTGCAATGGCGGTTGAGGAAGAATCTGCAGCGCTGAAGGCAAGTTTGGATGCAAATTTTGCTGTCCTTGAGAAATAAATGACCCTTCTTGTTTCATCTGCTGTTGATTTTGTTGAGGCTCGCCTTGTATTCGTTGAACCACATCTTGTTTATGCTGTACATTTGATTGACCTGAGAATTCCGTTGAGGAAGAGGAGAACACATCATTTGACATTGTATTTCGTATCGAAGACTGTGAGCCAGGAAGGGCCTGTTGAAAATCTTGTTGGTTTGGTGGTGAAAATGGATGCTGTTGAGAGGGCAGTACCATGTTTTTTGCTATTGGATAGGCTAAAGATATCATATCCAAATGACAAAGTCAGCCATATTGTTGAATGTTGGTAGCACTGTAGCTAGTAAAATATTTAAAATAAAGAAATTTTGAAATAAATATGACCTGTCTTCTGATTTTTAAATAGTTATTAAGGGCAGTTTATCGGATATAAGGAAAAAAAGTCACTGGGTTCAAATCAGAGGAATAATTAAAAAAAAATATATCTAAAAAAAACAATAATTAGTTGAGTTTAGAAAAAATCTTCTTTAAAAAATTTCGAAAAATAAAAATAAAAAATAAAAAATGAAGGGAAGGGAAATTCTTTTAATGCAAATTTTTTTTAGGATTTTGATTTTCTATTATGAAAACAAGTTTTTTTTTAAGTTAAAATGAGGCTGAAAAGTTTTTAACAGTTGTGATAAATATGAAGGTTTAGAAGATAAAAAAAAACTCCTGTTTTGTTTTAATGATCTCTTGAGGAATTTGGGTTTTATTTAAATCCTGTCCAGCGCTATAAAACAATATTATCAAAAATTTATACTTATCAAAGTAAGGTTTTGAAAAAATAATTGATAAATTATTAAGCCAGAATGGTATAAAATACTGCTAAAAGGGTTGAAAGCAGGGTCATTAATGTAATCAGTTATTTGGTTACTTTTTTTTGTTTTTTTAAGGAGGGGGGTATTTGGGAATTTCAACTTTTTTAAAACTTGGTTATTAGTTGAATCCATCCTTTTATATATTTAAAATCGTAATGAAGGTAATGCAAAAAATGAATGAAAAAAAAATTTGAGTTAGGATTTTAAAGAAAAAATGTTTACAGCTGATTTTGTTTCTAATATAAACCATAAATTTCCAAATGAACAACGCAAATGAATAGAAAAAAAAATCCAAAGAAGAAAAAGGAAAAAAGTTCTTAAAGGATTTTTTTTACCTTATGTTAAAGCTTATTTTTAAATCATCCGTATTTTTGGTGCTTGTAATCAATGGCGAAAAGGGTTTAAAAAAGAAAAAAATAAGGAATCTACTCATATTTATAAAAAGTTGTCAACACATTTGGCCTTTCATATTGATAAAAAAATAATAACCTTTCACAGCAACACCATAGCTTTTGTGACAAACGGACATTGTATGGATATTTTAAAATAATATTTTAGATGAAATAAAAATACAAAAAGTTACAAGTCTGTTTATTTAGGATTTAAGTTTTTTTAAAAGATATTTTGATCAAAACTAGGTTTTATTTTTTGTACTATTCATAACCAAATGATTTCTGAAAGCAGTTTACTAAGACTTTATATATATCTTTTAAATATGTATTTATATTTGTATTTATATTTATATTTATATTTATATTTGTATTTATATTTATATTTATATTTATATTTGTATTTATATTTATATTTATATTTATATTGACTAAATATCTTATCTGTCTTTTTTATTTATGGGAAATCCCCAAGTAAGATATATATTTTTAATGTTTCAGCACATATTAAATCAGATGGGTAGTATACGTAAATAGTGCTTACTTTTGAATCTTTAATTTTTTTTCAAAAACGTCGATTTGTTGGGTTTTACGACATGAACGCAAAAAAATCTTACTCGGGTATTGAGCTTAGCACTGTAAAGGTACTTTTTAAATGATTACCTGAATTTTTTAACAATAACAATGAATCACTAGTTCAAACAAATTATAATGCTCCTAATCCAGTCATTAGGCCAAAGAAATGATTCCTCATTAAGGATTTGCAACTACTTAAAGTCTTAGTTAGAATGAATCTATAATTAATGGCAATGACCTAATTCCAAAAAACCATCGAATAAACAAATAGTTCATATATATATATATATATATATATATATATATTTGGTGCAAAAATAAGTGAATGAAAAAAAAAGTTAATTCTGATGTTTGTTTCAAACTTAAACAATTCTGGAAGTTAAAATTCTTTTCTTTTTTGAAATAATATATATTATTTATTATCGTTTTTTTTTTTTTTTTTTTTTTTTGATTCTGACGAAGTATTGAATAATGTTTTCAGCCAGAAATACATAATATGTATCGAAAAATAGTGATTGGGTTGGTATTGCCAAATAAAAAAAAAAGAGGAACACATACTTAGGTAATTAATTTTATCACCGATTTCTTTAGCTGTTTATTTTATTTATTAACTGATGATCATAATGGGCCTGGATTATTGCATTAGGGTTTACTAACAAGTTTAACAGTTGTGAAGAAAGTTTAAAAAATAAAGTCAATCAGGGTTAGAATTACTACATGTATGAAAAAAATTAGTCGTAAAAGTATTCCATGAAAGCAGTTTTTTTTTTAATATCATGACTTAAGCAGTTCATCAAGAGGAAAATACCCTATTATCAACAAACCAAGTCACTAATGGTATTTTATTCAAGCAGTATTTCAGATTTAGCGGACTTTGAATTTTTTTTAACGAATATAAGCATCCGACACATTTCAAATTTAGGTATTGCGCAGATAGGTTATGTGAAAAATAAATGATAATTCCTTTTTTTTTGCCTTAACTTTACTTGTAAAAAATGATACATGTTGTATCATCATTATTTTCAAATTAAATCTAAATTCTATTTGATAAAACTTAAGGCTTTGGTTAGAAATCCATTAAAATGACCTAAAGACGACTGTATCAAAGCGACTAAGCTCAAGGAATTGTTTATTTTAGAAGCAATTAAATTTTTAGTCCTAATGATGTTATTCATCGTTATTGCAAAAGTCATTTCTATTGAGTCATGTTTTAAAAAAGGCGACTTTTTGTGTTTTAAAAGCGTACATAAGTGTATTTTTTAGGGAAATAAACTAATGGTAGCTTATTTAATGTCATTTATTTATTTTTTGTAATTCTATCAGCACTGGTATTATTCTTAATAATAATAATATTATTAATTAATAAAAAAAGATTGTATTACAGGACACAATAGCTATCAGAAGCATCAGAAGCATCAGAAGCATCAGAAGCATCAATTGCAGTTCAAACCATAACCCAATGTAACATATAAACAATTAAAACAGAATATCAGCTTAAAAATACGTATTAAACTTTTCTTTGACGGTTCTAAGCACCTCGAAACTAATTCTGGTATCTATTTCAGCTAATTGGCACGCAACACTCAAAAAATTGGCACATGTTCACAAAAGGTAAAAAAAAAATTCAATATATTAATAATTTCATCGTGCTATTGTTACGAATCGAAATGTTTAATAGTTGTTTCAGATGAATGTTACATATAGGCGGTATTTCGCTTAAAAAATGGTATATCAATAAAAACTAAAAGTGATAACATTGCTAAAATAGTTCTTAAATAACTAGTTTCAACCAATTTTCAAACTTGTTATTGCTTTGTACTCAAATAATAGGACAATAGTTTTAACTATGAAACAATTTCTAAAAGTTCAAATGGACACACAGTAATTCAATGAACTATTTCTTAGGCACAAGATTTACTCGCAGCAAAGCATTAAAATATTTCGGGAGGTATATTTCTTTCGGAAAAAAAAGTCCAAATTCGACCTAAAGACCGTTGCTGCTTATACTTTTTCATGAAAAAAAAAACGAAGTCTAGGTTTTAAACATTTCAATATCTTAATCTTTAAACATTTTGGGGTGCAGCACCCTTTAACTTGACACAATATATTAATGACAATAGCCAAACTTATAAATAAAGGTTGATTTATTTCTTTTATTGTGGTTGAATTAGGGATATAAAAGGCATTTTTATTTATGCTTATAATATTTTAAGATGGAAAAAAAAACAAGTTTTTATTTAAAGGCCTACAGACTCATAATAATAGGTACAACGTCAGTGATTGAACAAAATCCATAATATTACATAATATTACATAATATATTAGCGATGATATGTAATATAAATGTGATAATTTTGATTCAAGAGGTACGATTCAACTGGTTAAGATCATATGTTAAAAATAAATAGACTTAGAATATTCTTTGTAAAACACTCCATTTTGTAATGATTAAAACCATAAAATATCATAATTGAAATAAGTAAAATTCTACTTAAAGTTTATTTTTTGTTAAGGAAGTTGTTGGTTGTTAAATCTTACATTCCTTAGATTAAGTTTTTCGTTTCGTTCTTCACATTCAAACCCTTGATAATCCGCCCAGGTATTTAACAAATGGACAAATACGAACAATATCTTTTGAATCAAATAAATAAATACCTAAACTCTAATTGATTCTTTATAATCTCTTGAATTATCTATATAAATGTAGCCCATGAATATATATATTCTTTTTCTTCTTGGTTCAAAGAATCTCGAAAACGTCGTTGTTGTTAAATGATGAGTTTAGCGATTAATATAAATCTACTTTTCATTTTATTTTCCTTAACTGAGGCAATCTGGTCAACTATATACACTGGAGACAGCTTAGAAGCCTATGTTCATTTTTCCAATAATGTCTTATTGTTGGTGGGACCGGCAACCCTATCCCCACTGCCAATGAAAGAAATTGCACAACCTCCACAGAATTCAACACTTGCATTGACCGCTAATAATACACTTGTAGCGTTTCATGGATCTTCATTTTGTAAACCATTAGAAATATCGGCATATTCTGTGTTTGAAAACAAATGGAGCAAACTTTTATTAAATTCGTTTGATTCTGCCGCCATTCCAAGATATATGGACAACTCGTTGTACATTTCTTCACCATCAAGGTCTTCAATTTATATATATGGAGGAAGAAATTTAACAAACTCATGTGATATCTTTCTTTTAAATTATTACTCGTCTTCTTTAAAATGTCTGGAATCTTTGTCGGTTATTGACAATCAAATATACGTCTCTAATGATATTTTTGAATTTAATTTGGCAGATCAAAGTTTTAAAAAGTGTCAACAAATTTTGAACCCATTGAAATTTTTGGTGCAGGAATTTTTCATAAATCAAATTTGTCATCTCTCATTATAGGAGGAAAGACTTCTCATGGTTGGGTTGGGTCAAATCAGTTGTCAATTTGGGAATATTCTTCATGGGAATTTATATCTGCCAAAAACAACGAAAGAGTGGACTCAAGGACCAATCCTTTAATATTGCCATTATTAACACCTCTTAATTCTAGTAATTATTCAAATACCAATTTTGAGTTATCCAAAGAAGTTGACAACTTTTTAGTAATTGGTGGAAGCGTTAATGGGCATGACGCGTTACCTTTTGTAACAAGTTTGTCTTTCAATACTAGCACAGGATGGGTATGGAGATCGCTAACTACTCAAAACATTTTAAATTCGTCTACAATTTTAAGTGCAGTGACGTTTGGAGATATTTTAATTATATTTTCTCAGGAGACAAGTAATAGTCTATTGAGGAGAAGTGGAGACAATCTAAACATTCAATATATTGATACACATTCTTGGGGAGAAATCAAAAATTATTCTCCTTTAAATTCACAAACTCAAAGTTTAAAGAGGATCTCAACAAGTGTGAAATCTGGAAACCCTGTAAACTTTAAGGATTCTAGTACATCTATTAATTCACCCCCATATAGTAGTACAGTCTTAAATGAGTTTTCATCGACAGAGACTTTCGAAACAACGGAAAATGATGACGCCTCAGGGAAAAGTACAAAATTCGAACTTGCTGTGGCCTTACCTTTACCATTAATTTTTTTTGTTGCACTCTTTGCAATATTTTATAGGATGTATGCTCAAAATTGTATTCCTCTTCGAGACCAGAACAAAAGGAAATTATAAACACCTGGTTCACCTTATTTAGGACCACTGATACCTTCAAACACTTTGCAATCTTCAAGTGCAGTGGAATACCCTGACTTCAATCTTTTTGACTCAATTAGTAGCTGGGCAGAAAAGAGATTGGTTTACGAACTGGCTGTTTCAAAAGCCCAGGGCATTCAAAGGTCTTTGGGGATTTCAATTCACCAAGAGCCGTATCAATCAGTTAAAAGTGTGTCTGCGGCAGTGAAATCCCCCCAAAGCGTTAGAATAACCCCATATTTTGAAGAATTTGAACCTTTTGTGGGATCTAGCGAACTAAAGAAAGATGGGGTATTCCAAACAATGGAGCGGCTTCAATCAAAACAATTTATTCAAAATCTTTCCAGTCCAAACAAACCACAAGGCTTTCTTCTAAGACGAATGAGCACACTTTTTGAAAAAATTGGAACAAAAGGGAGGAAAAGTTCACATAGTCTTGAGAACTGTGAAGACGGCATTGGATCACCAATTTTTTTACAAAACAATACAGTCAGACAAACTATGCAGCCTAATGGAAGCTCATATAATGTCCTGAAACAAGATTCCCATGAGCTTTTCCAAGCTGACGGTTTGAACCACGGAAGACGATTTAGTTTTGAAAGTATCGGGGTTCAGGCTCTTGAGATGAACAAAGAACCCTTTTTAGATAAAAACGATGATGATGATGATGATGATGATGATGAGGAGGACGCTCTCGAGGGCATTTTCCATGGCCGGGAGGTGCAAGATCTTATTTTTTCTCAACGACAAAATCAACTGCGGGTAACAAATCCCGACCCCGCAGCAAGCCGCACCAATAGCCAAAGATCTGTTATTGGAGTTTCAGTTGAGATGGATGAGAAGGAAAAAAAGAAAGGTGAAGGTAGAATAAGGCGACTGGAGGTGAGGAAAACACGGACAGCAGTGACCGAGACTATGAATAGAGGGGGGTCATCTGAACAGATTGAGGGATCTAAGAAACAAATCTTGGGAGAAATTTTTGGTGGTGGCACTCGAGCAGTTTCCAGTGGAAGCACATTTGGACGACTACGAAGATGATGGGATAGGATATTATACTACTCTAAACAGTTTAAAATTATTTATTTTTTCAAGATTTTATACATTAAGTTCGTAAAAGTTTTCGTTTGATGATCATCTTGCTTAATCTTAGGCCGAAGACTTTTGAATATAAGAGAAAGTAGATTCACGGGCAGCCTGGATAAGCAGGGCATCGGCCAAAACAAGGGCAGCCATGGCCTCAACAATGGGGATGGCACGGGGGACAACGTTGGGATCGTGTCTGCCACGAGCAGCAAGAACACCCTCCTCACCCTTGTAGTTGGCAGTCTTCTGCTCCTGGGAGATAGTGGCAGGAGGCTTGAAGGCGACTGAGAAATAAATGTTCTCACCGTTGGTGATACCACCCTGGATGCCACCAGAATAGTTGGTCGTTGTGCGGAATTTTCCAGTCTCGGGATCCTTGTAGAAGGGATCGTTGTGCTTGGAACCAGACATGGTAGCACCAGTAAAACCGGAGCCAATCTCGAAACCCTTAGTAGCAGGAATAGAGAGCATAGCGTGGGCAATGGAAGCTTCGAGCTTGTCAAAGACGGGCTCACCGAGACCAACGGGAATGTTGCGGACGACACAGGTGACGACACCACCAACACTGTCCTTGGCGTCTCTGTGTTCCTCGACAAGCTTGGTCATCTTGGCAGCGGTCTCAGAGTCAGGGCATCTAATAGGACCAGACTCATCGACCTGGTCACGGGTGATTGTGTTGAGAAGCTCAATGAACTTGGGGTCGGAGGGATCACGGTTCATGCTGACGGGGCCGACAGCCGAGACAAAGGCAACAATCTCAACATTAGACTTGAGCTTAAGGACCTTTTCAGCAATAGCGCCAGCAGCAACACGGCCAATGGTTTCTCTGGCAGAAGAACGACCACCACCGGAGGAAGCCTTGATTCCGTACTTGGAGAGGTAAGTGTAGTCGGCGTGGGAAGGTCTGGGGAAGCCGTCTGAGTCCTTGTTAGTTTCGGTGTAGTCGTGGGGTCTTTGATCCTTGTTATTGACAATCATGCCAATGGGGGTACCAAGAGTCTTGCCAAATTCAGTGCCAGATTGGATAATGACCTGGTCGGCCTCGTTTCTAGGAGTCGAGAGTTTGCTCTGACCGGGTCTTCTGCGAGTAAGCTGGGGTTGGATATCGGCCTCGGTGAGGTCCAAACCAGGAGGAACGCCGTCGACAATGCAGCCGACAGACTTGCAGTGGGATTCGCCGTAGGTAGTAACCTCTGAAAGAAAAAAAAAAAAGATAAATTAGATGAAGAATAAATAGAAAGGCTTGAGTTGTTACGTACTGAAGATTTTGCCAAAGGTAGACATTGTTAAAGATGGTGGGTTGGGGTGTTTGGAAAGGAAGGAAAAAAATCAGGGAAATGACGAGGTTCTGCAGAAATTTTAGTCTCGCCATGATCTGCCCTGAAATTTTTTTTTTTTTATTTTTAAAAAAATAAATGCAGAGTCATAGTCACGTGGTTATGGCGTGGTGTTCTTCCGGGACTTGTTTAGTTAAAGAAGTGGATTTTCCCACTACCCGTTTAAAAAAAAAAAAGTTGTTGGTTGGTTTTGACACCACCATTTAATCCAATATATTTGAACATCCCCCCCCCCCCCCAAACCCCCTCCCCCTCATCATCATCATCATCAGAATGGTTGTCGAATTTTTATATGCAAATATTACTGGAATTATAGTGGCCCTTGTGTGTATTCTTCTGGGCATTGCTTTGACTGTCTATAGAACAGGCAATAACCTCCCAGGTGGTCGCAAACGCAACTCACAACCTACAATTATAATTGCGGGGCCCCCATCAGGAGGTAAAACATCGCTCTACACTCTGGTAAGAAGAAGAAAGACTTTTGATTATTTTATAGCTAACTGATTTATTTTTTTTATTTTATTGTATTTTATTTTTTTAGCTCACTACTGGCAAGGTTGAAGATACTGTTACTACTCAGATACCCAATGTGTACAATTCCTTTAGTATTCCCTTTGATTCGGAAACAGACGCCTCTCGCATTACCCTAATTGATCTCCCTGGTCACCCCAAGCTGATACACCATTTGGACGAGGCATTATTGGTTAATTCCAATATTAAGGGCATTTTGTTTGTGTTAGATGGTGCTAGCGGAACTCGTGGCATTGAACAAGCTGCACAGTATTTGTTCAAGGTTCTTTCCCGGACAGAGTATCGAATGGGTGGAATTGACATGATGATTGCATGCAATAAGGCTGATTTATTTAGTATGGTTCCTGCAGCCAAGCTGCGCAAGATTCTTGAGCAGGAGCTGACATTTATTCGTGATGCACGGGCTCAAGGATTGGGTACTGTTAAGAATGAGGATACCCTTGGCGGAAGAGCAGCTAGAGATAACCCAGAAGATGACGATGCAGAAGGAAGCTGGTTGGGTCAAGGAGAACCGATTGATTTCAGCAAGCTTGATGGAGAAATTGCCATTGCAGATGGTAGTGTTAAAACTAAGAGTGTGGAATCATGGAAGCGATGGATTGAGGGTGTTGGTGTTAATTAATTAAAAGATTCAACAGTGTATATATAATATTCCAATGATTATCTCTCTCTCTATCTAAATAAGACAACATGAGCATATTTGAATTAAAGACAATATAAAAATTATTATTATAACTACGTAAAATTGATTAAAGTTAGGATATAAAAATAACAAATATAGTTTCCAAAATAGTAATGGCTTTTAGACAAGTGTCTCAGGGCTTTTTTTTTTTTTTTTTTTTTACAAAGGCGCATCATTACTTCCATCCCCGGGAGGCGGTGGTGTTGTTGTTGTTGTTGTTGTTGTTGTTGTTGTTGGTGGTGGTGGTGGTGGTGGTGGTGACGTACCTGAGCCGTTTGGTGATTGTGATGATTTTGGTTCCTGCTTTTGTTCCGAGCCTGGAATGTGGGTGGGGACTTTGGGAAAAGTAAGAGGATTGCTGAGCATTTGGTCAACCTTTTTACTAAGTTGGGCAGAGCGATGTGAGTTAATGCGCATAATATAGTAATGCTTGTCAAGGTTAAAGACTCGCGGTGGCTTGTCGATGATAGCTTTGAGCGATTCCTGCGTTTCTAAAAGCTTATCGAGAAGAGCTTGTTCCCGATCCCAAGAGTTGTTCGTGGTAAGAGCAGCACTAGAAGTTTCCTTATTTTCTTCCTTGTCATCTTTCTTGCTATCTTTTTTATCATCCTTTTTTTCAGTATCCTTGGACTTCTTTTTAAAAAATGAAGCAAGATATCCTGGCTCTGCTTCTTTACGTTTGGCAGTCACCGATTGCGTGAGGGCAGTGATTTCGGGTTCAATTTGTGCAAGCTTTGACTTTGCATTTTCAACCTCCTGATCAATTACAGGCGTTGCAAAACCAGTATCCTTTAGATGGACTTCACATACGTAAAAAAAATCTGCCTAAATAAAAAAGAAGGTTGCATTTCACCATGAAGTCTGTAGATTAGATGTATAAGAATTTCCCAAAGATAAGCTAGAGAGGGGGGAGAGAAAGTTAATTTCATGCACGTACCTTTCCATCATTAGACACAAGAACGGTGGCAGTTGGTTTACAACAAATAAAACAAGCACGAGATGATGCTTGAGCAACAAGTCTTTTATGATAGATGTTTTTAAAGGGAGGAACTATTTGTTTGGAAGCCATGATGGCGATGATACTGATTGATAATTTTGAAATCTGCCTGCGGATGTTTGGATTTTATTTATGTAAGGATGATAGTTGTATTTGTTACAAAAAGGTGGGAAATACTGGGGGGGTTATTTAATTGTAACAAAAAAAAAAAAAAGGATGGCCGGCAAAACTGAGTGTGCTCTCATAATAATTTATAAATTTAAAAAAAAAAAAAAATTGAACATCCATATATGGCTGGCCTCCTCTTTTCTTCTTCTTCTTATTCTTTCTCTCCCCCAACAATTTTACTAACAACAATCTCTTTAATTCTGAAGTGATTGTTCCGAAAGTGTTTTTTTTGATATATTTGAGACCCGTTTCGTCATTTGTTTTGTTAAAGGTGGCCGTTTTTTTTTTTAGGGGATAACGTTTATTAAATTTTTTGGGAGTTGGATACGCTGAAATTCTAAAAATTCCAAATTACAATTAAAAAAACAAGTTTATCAATTCCGAACAAATTACTTCTTTTTCTTCTTCTTCTTCTTCTTTTTATTCCTTCTTTTTTTTTTTTTTTTTTTTTTTGTTAAAAAATAGACTCACTGTTTTATTTATCAAGAAAATTATAATATTCATCATTCTTTTATAATGGCTTTCAAAAAAAAACGAACTTTTTTCTACGCAGGCAGTCAAAAACTCCCTGAAAGTGGAGACGGGAATTCACAGCAAGGCTCGTCAGGAGGGGCTGGAGGAAGCGGTGGCTACAATAGGTACAACAGATTTAACAGAAATAATAACTACAATAATAACGGCGGTGGTGCTGGTGATGCAGAGGATGGTGCCTTTGCGAATAGCGGGCCCTCAATCACACTTCAAGTATGTTTAGTGGGATACTTTTGACGCGTTTACTTGAGTGAATGTATATATATATATATATGCTAACAATAGGATTAATAGTTGGACAAGCGAAAAAAAATCACTGTGAGGTCATACCACGGTGTCAAGCTGGTTGATATCAGAGAATTTTTCACAAAGCGTAATGACGACGGAATGCAGCAGGAACTGCCAGGAAAAAAGGTATGCGGGGAATAGTTTTGTTTTGTGGTGGCGTATGCCAATTGAGGAGTCCAGGATTAACACGTCATTTTAGGGAATCTCACTGACAGAAGAAGCTTGGAACAAGCTTGTGAGCCAGATTGATGCAGTCAAAGAAGCACTAGCCAAGTTGGATGATCCCACGGCTGCTGCTGCTGCCGCTGCTTCTTCTTCTTCTGCTGCTGCTGCTGCTACCATACAAGAGGAGCCCAGCAAAAAGAAACTCAAAACGGAAGACGGTTCTGCAAAGGCTATTGAAGAACGAAAAAAACCTAAGAAAAAAACCAAGGAAGAGGAAGACGCTGAGCTGGAAGATTCTGAAGATGAGGATGAGGATGATGATGATGATGATGACGACAAGCCTATCCGACTCGCAAACCACCCGACTGCAAGTACAAATACGGCTAATCAGGAGGACAATTCTTCAGATGATGATTCATCTTCGGACGAGGAAGAAGGCAAGGATGATGTTGTTGGTGAGCTTGAGGCTGCGATACTGGAAAATGAGCTTGAAGATGACAATGATGACGATGAAGATGATGATGACGATGATGATGATGATGATGATGATGATGACGATGAAGAGGATGAGGTTGACATTGGAACAAAAGCAAAGGCCGCCAAGCCTGGGAAATCGCGGCAGGACGATAGTGAGAGTGAGGAAGAATGATTTTATGAGTTGATTGATGAAGTTGATGAAGTTGATGAAGTTGATGTGAAGAAGGGAGATTTATTGTCCATGCTTATGTATATATATGAATAAGTTATTTGAAAGGAACACTTTACCGTAAATGAAGTTACCAGGTAAATTTTGTTGAACTAAGTTAGGTTATTTTGTGGTAGAGCTATATATACATGTGTTATGGCTAATTACGTTCCCAAGACAGCCATGGGCCTAAGCCCGTGGGTAAGCATTCCACGTGAAAGCGCGCGTGGCATGCGTGTCTGCGGGTCCCATTCTCGTGTTTATTTTTTTCCTAAAGAAGAAATTTTTTGCGATAAGACATAAATAATAATATTTTTGAAAATTGGTCAAGAAAAAAAAAATATTTTTGAAAAAAAAAAAAAAAAAAGTTTTGATGAATTTGCATTCCGTTGAAAAAGGAAAATTTATAAGATACTAACAAGATGAGATGAGAGGAACAAGCGCGCGCAAATCTTTACGGGGGAAAGAAGCTGCATTTTTCCTTCCTGGCCGATGGCCTAACAGGGTACAGTCAAGACAGACTTTTTAGCTGTGCCTGTTCCTGATTCACTTTGGGAATCCCCTGGAAGCCTAAATCTGTTGTTTTCAAACAGCTGCTTACCTGGTGTTGATGCCTGGCTGCTAATATTGATGGGATCTTTTGTTTGATGATGTTGTTTACTTTTGATTAAAATTGCAAACGGGCCAAAATGCAAGATATAAATAAAACAATTTTTCTTTTTTTACCAGAAAAAAGATATATATATATATATTATTAATTATTAAAATAGCCTGAAAATCTTTTATTTAAACGGAATTTAAAGAAAGAGATTTCTTCTAGATATGTCACGTCAAAAACAAAAAGGGGTCCTAAATTTCTATGTAAAAAAAATCTTTCGAAAATAATGTATTTAGAAAATTGTAATGAAGTTTTCCACAATATCGTAAACAAGGATATTTTAGTTATAACAAAAAAAAATTTTAAAATCCAGTAGAGAGAATGGAGAATCTCTATAAATAATAATAAACAATAAATAATTATTTATTATAATAAATAATAATAAACAAATGCACGCGTTTATCACTTAGAAGGTTGGCTGTATATAATTATAAGTAAGTTTTTTTGGAGAGAGGAAGGAAGGGCTTTTTCCAAAATAATAATATTATATACTGACTAACAGCCCATCGCCCTTTTTTCAAAATAAACAGCACAGCAACATTTCTGCGTTTGTTTTGCTTTTCCTTTTTTTTTTCTTCTTCTTCTTCTTCATCTTCATCTTATTCTTATTCTTATTTTTTCTTATTCTTCTTCTTCTCTTTTTACTTGAAATTCAATATATAAATCTTGGTGGTCGGCGATTGGGGAAATCATTGTTGACACTAGTCTAGATTGTTATTATTTTTTTTTTTTTTGTTTCTACAAATCACTAATAAAAAAACAACAACAACATATATACATTCCATACACAGAAAGATAAAACCTCTATTCCGAATCTCATTATCACAACAAAAACACCAAAAATGGTTGATCTAACTGACCAAGGTCCACCAGTAAAATCATCAGACTCTGCTGTAATTAAAAATAAGACTAGGAAAAAGTCTCTTCCGTCAGCTTCTCCTTATTCTTCTTCTACTCAGCGACGTAAGAGCTCTTCTCCTAAAAGCCCAGATGATAATATTAACAACAATAACAATAACAATAACAACAACAACACTGCAGACCCAGAAATAACACCAAAGACTAAAAAATCCAAAGGAAAAAGCATAAAATCACAAACATCTACTACTTCTACTAAACGACCCTCTCCTTCGCAAATTTCTCACCGGTCTTTCCGGTTCATGGTCGAAACCACCTCTTCCAATGATGGCAAATCGCTCGATGAATCCCGAATCCAGTCGGCCATCGACCTTGTGGAAGAAAAGGGGTTGTCACGCCGCGTTGCAGCCAGCATGACACGCATCTCGGCAAACACCCTTAAGCGACGGCTTCAAGGATCGTTACCCCGCGTTGAGTACCTGGAAAAGCTTAAAAAAATTAGCAGCAGCGAGGAAATGATGATTGAGTGTGCCATTGCAATTCTTATTCATCAAGGGGCAGACCTTAAACCCTCTGGGCTTCGATCAATCGTAGCTCTTTATCTCAGCCACGTTGGATCCCGTCCTGCAGTCAACTTTTTCTCTTCAAGCGATCATATTAAACGAAAATACCCCTTGGAGGACCTCACCTCCGTCCGCAAAGGTTGGTGCAGCAGGTTTTTCAAGCGCGCGCGATTCCTCCAACTGCGTGATGGTTATATCCGCATCAAAGACGACGTGCCCAGTATCATCAACGCATTGGATATCGGCTCAGAACCCATTGACAACCAACAAATTGTGCTGACTCCAGAACTTGAGCTTCGAGGTAGAGTTTCAGACAGCACAAAGTACCACCGGCTGGATCACCGGTTCATGTATCCAAACTCTGGCCGAGATTCCATTAGAGCATCAACACTAAAAGCCAGTGAAAAGGTATATTTAGTAGATGACGAAAATGAAAGGGAACATGGAGAAAAGGATCAAGACAATGATGAAAATAAAGAGCCAGAAATCATTTACAAAAAGGAGAAAAAAGAGAATAATGGTGGTGAAAAAATTAAAGAGGAAAAGCAAGAAGATTCTGTGCAATGTATAGTCAGTACAACCTCATCTGGCCAGATCTTTCAACTTTCCGGAATGCCTGTACCTTTACCAGAGCATAAGTCAGATCTATCTCGGTGGGATTCATTTTACGATACTTCCGGAACAGCCGAAGCCCAGGAACACAACCGCACGCACAGCCCACATGTTCTTGTGGAAGAGGCACTTTCAAAGCTCAAAGATCTGACCCAGACCACAGAGTACAAACTGGTCAACAGCATTGCACAAAAAATTGAGCTGGTCCCCCAGCAACAATCACTCGGAAGCCCAACAGAGGAATTAACACCAGTCAAAGTAGATCTCTCAGAGTACCTCCAGTATCTTGGCACAGTGGTCCGCTTAGCTGAAACCACCCTTAAAACTGTACTCAGCACCCAAGTCTATGCCGACTTCCAGTTGGTTTCTGCCTTGGAAACTGATGCAGATTACTGCTTGCATAAAGTTCTCAACACTGACGACGAAAAACCGGCAGCAAAGGCCTCCTCCAAAACTTCATCAAAACCAGTAACTATTCCAACAGCTTCAGTAGCAGAACTGGCCAGCTCGAGTTCAGAATCTTCGTCGCCTAATTCAGAAGTTGCAGGTAAAATAGACCCTACTTTGTCTACAACGTCTCCAAGACCACTGGCTTCTTCACCATCCTCTTCAACGTCTTCAGAACGTTCTGGCTTGTTGAGCCCTCAAAGCCAAAACAATGAAGATGATTCTATGGCGCAGGATCTGGATATTCTGCGAGCTGAAGAAAAAAACCACTGTCTTCAAGAAATGTACTCTAAAACTTTTATATCTCTCCGGTCTGTGTTGGGGCTTATCAGCAACGTGGTTTACGATCTTTCAACCTCAGTTACTATTGTTGCAGACAACAAAGTTGTCCATAAGGGCCGTGTTCCCACCAAACCCATCTCCTCTGCTTCACAGCTTCCCGTATCATCACGACCCGTTTCCACAGATGCTCGGTTTAAAGCTTCAACATCTTCAATTGGTAACGGTCGGACTGTCATGACTCCACCTGATAGCGACCAATCGGGGGAAAAAAATCGTATACCTTCAACTGTGTCTATTACAGCTGCATCTGTTGCGCTTTCGCAACAACAGCAGCAACAAGCTCAAGCGGTGGCTGCAGCTATGAGTAAGACACCAACACCTACAGGCAAGGTCCCAGGTAGTATCCGGCCAGTAGTCGGAACCATTACGCAGAAATTGCCTATTCCAACTACACCAGACACCCCGCAACTGGACTCTGGGTTTGGACCAGGTACAATCCAGACTTTGCAAGTAGCAGTCACACAACAGATGCAAGTACAACAACAGATGCAGATCATGGCGCAAAACCAGCAGCAGCAGCAGCAACAACAACAACAACAACAACAACAACAACAACAACAGCTTCCCCCGCAAATGTTTGTAGGCGGGCTTCCACCTGGTCCAATACTAGCTCCTGTTAACCTGGGAGCTCCGCCAATAATTCCCATGGTGCCCAGTAGCAGCAGCATAAGTCATCCCGGATCCCCGGAAAAGTCAAAACGACACCGGCCACAGGATGACGCAGACTCATCTACTGAAGATATTCAGTTTAATACAATGGTGACGACATCGCTGCCCATTGCAATGCCCATGCCGCGTGAACCTGAACCACCATTGCCTCCGAGCCCAGTCAAACCACCAACAAGCGGATCGCCACAACGAGCGTCAACACCCAAGCGTATTGTGTCCCGTAAACGAAGTCGCACAAATCTTAAAGGCCAATACGCAGTTCCTAACGACCCAGATGAGGTTCCTCCACTACCTGATTTGCCTAAAGAAGGTGCTCTTCCTCAGCAGCAAGTGGAAACGCCTATACTTCATCAGGGCCCAATGTCAATGGACATCATGTCAAGTGCATCATCGTCAAACATTGGAGCTCATGGACTGGGGCTTTATACAACACCTGGGTTTATGCCATCGCCTGATTTGTATGCTAATGCAAGGTTTGATACTGATTCTGCGTTCCAGACTTATTCGATGGCCCCACAACAACAGCAACAGCAGCAGCAGCAACAGCAGCAGCAGGATCAGCAACAACCACAACAGTCTCGGCCAGGGATCAACACAGAAACCTACTTCATCTCATCGTTCACAGGGGTGCCTGCAACAACTGCACAACTAGCGACAGCTGGTGCTAGCATGTTTACTATGGATGGCAGTGAGGGCTACGGAAGTGGAGTGGTGATGGCCGATTTAAATGCGAGTTCCCCTGAGCAACAGTTTTCCTTAACTTCCCCTCTAGTTGCGGGACCCACTGCTAGCACAGATAGTGGTACTGGTGGAGGAGGTATGGGAGGGTTTTCTGAGCAGCACCAACGGCATCAACAGCAATTTACACGCGCCATGAGTACTCCAACTCTGGACATGTCTTATAACTTACCTGGACAGCCTGTTCCCCCACGAGTTGTGGGGCTAGGCCCAATGAGCCCTATGTACTTAAATGTACGGCCAGAATCCCAGCAACAACAACAACATCATCATCATCATCATCATCATCATCATCATCAACATCAACATCAACAACATCAGCAGCAACAACAGCAACAGCAACAGCAACAGCAACAGCAACAGCAACAGCAACAGCAACAGCAACAGCAACAGCAACAGCAACAGCAACAGCAACAGCAACAGCAACAGCAACAGCAACAGCAACAGCAACAGCAACAGCAACAGCAACAGCAACAGCAACAGCAACAGCAACAGCAACAGCAACAGCAACAGCAACAGCAACAGCAACAGCAACAGAATATGCACGCCACCATGCAGTCAGGGACTCCTGGGAGGTCTGCTTCAGATATTGTGGGATTGGGATTGCTATCATCTAACGACACGGACAGGTATATGGTAACAACTGCAACAGGAACACCTCCGGCAGCAACAGCCACAAGCAATGATTATGTGGGAACATCTAGTCATGCTTTAAGTGAAAACATGGGGCTGGCTATGCCACGGAGTAAAAGTGTGTCGGGCGCGGTGCCGGTGCGGGGCGCTGGCATCGGCGATCCCCAGCAGCTCTTAGTCCAGCAACAGCATCATCATCACCATCACCATCATATTCCTCAGCATCACATACCCCAACATCATCAATCGCACCAGTTACTACCACTGCTGCCGCCGCAGCAGCAACAGCAACAGCAGCAATTACAGTTTATTTTCTACACACCTACCGGTGGGCCTATGAAAAATGAAGGAAGTGTCAGCAGTGCAGGTGGTGCATTGTCGGACTCTGGGTCAGTTGGAGTTTCACCTGTAGAGATTCGTCCTGATGGTGTGCAGGCGGGTATGTCGCGGTTTGGTACCAATACGTTTCGACGGTACATGCCTGAGAATGGCGGCGGGTTTCACGAGACACTATAGATAGACTTTTTGTTATTTTGGTTTTTTTTTTTTTACATTTACTTCTTTTTTTTATATTTTGGGTTTATATTGTATATTTTTAGTTTTCAAAAGTCTTTATACTTTTAATAATTAATTGTTAATTGTCAAAAAAAAAATTCTTCAATTGATATATATCAATTCAGTTCAATATTGAGTTTGCTTGATTTTGGAGTGTTGTGATAGTCCTGAAATTTCGGCTTGTCACGTGTGAAGTTTGGGGGTTTTTCAGCCCAAACCTCCGTCTTGCGGGTTTCCCGTCCATCCAGCTAATTAATTAGCTGGCAGACCTAAATAAACACTCGAAAAACCTCTCAAAAAAGGTCCCCTCGAGGTCTCAAAAAAGCAAAAAAAAAAAAAAATTAACTCACAAACAAAAATGGATCCGACCAGCCACGGCCCTTTAGATGTGAACCAACACGGACGTGTGCGGGCTTCTGTGTCAAGCATCTTTGCGGGTGCTTTAGTCTCAGACACTTTAATCCATCATCGTCCTGACTTTGATTTTCCACAAACTCTGCCGCATAACACAGGCCTCCAACATCACCAAAACACCCTCCATAATAGCCACAATCAACATCTGCCTGACTTTGCCGGGTTTACAGCCAGTTTCCACGAGTCGACACTCCTTGCATCGTCGCCCGTCTTGACCGTCTCGTCGTTTGAAGCAGATCTTGCCCGTCCCAACACAGCGGCATCCAATCCGCATTACCTGTTCCCACGCCGGCGCGACGCGGACGCCGAGTCTGTGCACTCTGTAGATTCAGCCACAACTGCACTTTCTGCTGTTTCTGTTGCCAGTATAAGTGTGCACGGTAAATCGCGGCGGTCAGTAAGTAGCAGTGCGCGGTCTGGGAGTACGACGCCGTCGCAGCGCAAGCTTATGGAAACGTTGTCGTCGTCACCTTCAAGTACGTTTGCATCCCTGGCCCAACGCCAGGTACGTAAAGTGTCGTCGGCCATGTCTTTTTTTTCAAGAAGACGGTTGTCTGCTGCATCTGGATCTCCGTCTATCTCGACGCACAGCCCGGTGTTGGATGCGCAGAGCAAGGATTTGCCAGACGATTTAGAAGAAGATGAGGGGGACTATGGAGGGCCAGTTTCAGTGTTATTGCATGGAGATATCAGTGGTGGTTTCTTGAGGGAGATTCAAGAAGACTTAAATGGCCAAACTGACCAAACTGACCAAATTGATCAAATCGACCGAAATTATCAAAATAATCAAAATAATCAAAATGATCAAAATAATCAAAATAATCAAAATAATCAAAATAATCAAAATAATCAAAATCTCATTTCCATGCCCATAGGCGTGCCAGATTCGGAACAAAACGACATGCACAGTCAACAACCAGAGCACTCGAGAACCCCGTCCCAAACGACTGTAATTCCAGGTAAGTCCGTTCTAAAAATCAATTCATTTCTTATTCCTTCTAATTGCTTTTTTTTATTCTTTTTTTTATTTTGATAGATTCGTTGGCCCTTTTGGACCCTCCTGCTACACCAGTGCTGAGCCGCGGGTCCTTTAATCCTGGGCCAAACCTTGTTCACAGCCATCACTTACACCATAACCACAACCACCACCTCCGCATTTCTCCTTCCCAACAACCTTCTCAGTGCGGGGCTCCCCAACACACAATCTCATCTACTACCACAACTGCCTGTTCCTCTACAACCACTCCCACCATCCTTCTGTCGCCATCAGTATCTTCGCATAAACTAGCAATCATGGTAACCGATAATCAAGCAGAAAAAGAAGATATTCTCCCCGATGCTGGAAAAAAGAGTCCGGTTGCAGCCACGGCTTCGCCAGTCTTATCTCGCTCGGCCTCTAAAGCAAGCCTCGTATCCTCTAGGGCATTGTCCATCCAAGACCTTACAAAGCTGGCATCTGCATCTCTTGAGGCTGCATCCCTAACTCCGACCTTGGATTCTTCATCTCCAGGACCTGCTATTGCCCGACAGACAACGTTTGCTGTGACGACACGCAGTCGAAGTGGAAGCAGTAGCGGTAGTGGCAGCAGCGGGGGGATCGTCATGACATCGTCTGTAACTACCATTCATCATCATCATAATAGTCATCATAATAGCAACTATCATTATCACCACCGTGACCACGCCACTCCAGGAAAGCGACTGCCCTCACGCAAGTCTATGACGGCTTTGGCCCGTTCCGGTGGCTCACGCAACGCCTCTCAGTTATCGCTTGCAGATTTTGTCGGGTCTTCGCGGTCGTCACTCAAGCGCAACTCGCTTGCGAGCCAAAGCACTAGCACACTTGCTAGCCCACGATCCAAGCCTGAACCGCTGACTTTGTACACAGGGCCTTCGTCTCGGAGACCCTCCTCGGCAGTTAGCGCAATCAACTCCACAGTGGATTCTGGGAGCCGGCACCAGTCGCTGTCCGAAGTTGCAGCAGGAATGTTGAGCCCGCTGCTTGCTCGGACAGGCTCGCGTGTATGGGAAGAGATTCGCGAGAGCAAAGGTCAAGGGTGGTTGTCGACATCACGAGCGCCGTCAGTTGGATTTTACGATGAAGATGAGCGCGAGGCATTGCGAGAAATTGAAGAGGCCGAGGTTCAAAGTCGGCTAGAGGAGTGGCGGGAGCCTGATGAGCGTGATGATGCTGAGGGTCTTTTGTTTGAAGAACAGATGTCAAACAATGCTGAAGAGGATTATAACCCATTGACGTACCAATCGCGGACTATGGTTGGGGTCGAGATTGATGACCGTGATAGTGATACCGAGAGCGAGATTTTGGGTGAGTCTGGTAACTCTAGCGATGAAGACGATGGTGAGCGGATTTTGCACATTGGCGATTTGCGCAAACTAAAGCGAAAGCTTCAAGCTCAAGAGAAGATTGATGAGGAGAGGGAAAATGAGGATATTGTTAAAGTTGCTACAGCTTCCGGCGAGGTTCCTGGTTTTGGCGGGTCCGAGTACCTTGACCTTGGGCGCAGGACTCCCAAGAAAGAAGAAGAAGAAGAAGAAGAAGAAGAAGAGGGAGATTATTCTACATCCGACAACGACTCAGACGACGACGACGCCGAACTTTTATTGGAACCCTCTCATAATGTTTTCTTTGAAGTCGTGGATTGGGTTCTGGGACTTGGTCATGAAAGCGTTTCGTTCAGTGTGCCGATGGCTGTTCAGGCGGCTTCAGCCAAGGCCCGTGCGCGCGCTGCTGCTGCTACGGCCGCTGCTGCTGCCGCGGTTGCTGCTTCCGCCGAATCGGGCTCCTCTGGGATTGGAGGCAAGGCCGAAGAGGCTGAGGCTGAAATGCGGCGACAAGAAGCCGAGTATAAGGCTCAGCGACGGCGGGTCCGGCGCTTAGAGCGGCGCCGAGCAGCGGCTGCGAGTCGGGCACGGCAACAAGAACGGCGGGATGCAGAACAGGGACTGGAGTTTGATGTAGGGCTTGCACTTGGGTATGCGGCTTACCTGGTAACTTAATAAATAAGATGATTAAATATTAAATAGGCATTACTTATTACGGATAGTTTATGATAATTTATGATAACTTATGGCTATGTACACACACAAAGGAAACGAGTAACTTGAATAACTTAAACTACTTGATAAACTTTTTTTTTTTTAACGTAGGCTTTGAAGAAAAGATGATGCAAATGAGAGACTCTAAAAGAGCAACTGAAGAAAGTACGATCAAAGCACACTAACTCCAGTTGGATGGGCCGGAAGAGTACTTGGAAAAAACACCAGTAGCTGGAATGACAGGAGCCGAAGGCGGGCCTGTAGGGACGATGCCGGCAGCGGCAGCAGAGCCCTGAGGAATGTCTGCGTTATTGTAATAAAAATGATTGTTATAGTTGCTCTGGTGGTTCTGGTCATTCATCCACCGTAAAGCGTTACGAAGGTAACTAGCAGCAGGAGTCAGGAGTTGACCCGAAAGCTCGTTATGGTTATCAAGTTTGTGCTGCCAGCCACCGTATGCAAGGCCAAGACCATTTGCACGTTTTTCAGCTTCCTGAAGGGCCAGGACCCACGCAGCAGCGATTCTATCGTAAGCGACTGTGCGGGCATGGTTGTTTTCTGGTGAAGCCCAAGTGGGTAGTTTGTGGAGAAGCATTGTTGCAGCGTCCAAAAATGCGAGGGAGTTACTGGGCTGGGTCTCATTAGGCGGAAGGAAATGGGCAGTATAGTCTGCGAGGGCTGCGAGGAAATCGTCAATAGCTGGACGCACGCGTAGATATGCATAGTCACCGGCCTGGTCGCCCTTGTAGGGGAGACCCAGGAAAATGGTTTCCAGCTTTGCTGAGAGCGCGGTAAGAGCCGAAGCTACAGACACAGCCGGAGCAAGTGCATGAATGGCTGGAGCCATGTCTGGTCGTGCGTGGACGAGAGCTGTGACAAGGGTTTCCAGAGCCTTCTTGTCGAGGGTTTCGACAAGTCTAGCGACAGGCAAAGGACGTCCGGACATGCGGTCAAAGCGGGCGCGCTTGGTCGGCTTTGATTGTTTCAGGGGGGATTGCTTGCCGATTTTGGCCATATTTTTTTGTAAAGTAGAAGAAGAGAGAATGCTAGAAGAAGATGCTAATGGTGGAGAAGGTTGTTTACGGAGCAAAGAACGCCGGGATTCTGTAGAAGAAAAAAAAGAAGAAGACTGCTTTTGTATGCTGGATTCTTCATCAGAGTCGTCTTGTCGGGGGATATCATCGTGAAGTTTCCGTTTTGGACGAGATACGGATAGGTGGGATAGATGCAGAGCTGTAGCCGTCTGGTCACATGGATTAGAAGAATTTAAAGCTGATGAATGTGAGTTTGAAGCAGGGCCATGAGAAGCTGTCAGGCTTTGTTGTTGTTGTTGTTGTTGTTGTTGCTGATGAAGGTGATGGTGATGGTGATGATGGTTGTGAAGTTGTTGCTGGTTCTGAGCAGCTGAAGCGTGAAACTGGAATCCCCAGCCAGTACTTGGAGGCAAAACAGCGTTAAGACCCATGATATATATTATTTAGAAATGAATAAGAAGATATTTCTTGAAATATTAATGGAAATAGAAAAGGATGAAAGATTTCTGAAAGAAATGAAAGAAAAAAAAAAAAAGTTGGACGTTTTCTTTGTAGGAAGAAAAAAAATTTTTGTAAGAAAAAAAAAAAAAAAAAAAAACCAGGCAAAAGTAGGCCAAAAGCAGGTCTTTTTATATTTGCTGGAAAGGCGCTGGGCTGTGCTGTTGCTGTGCTGATGGTGGTAGGTATTTTTAGGTGGCGGCATCACATCACACTAAAAATTTTTTCTGGCGAAAAGATGTAAAGCCTTACACTAAATTAAAAATATTATGTAATCATATGATATTTTTGCTGGGTGGCTTCTTTTAGCTTTAACCATTACATTTTTAGCATAATTTGGGAGTTTGGCCGAGTGGTCTAAGGCGCCAGCTTCAGGTGCTGGTCTCTTCGGAGGCGAGAGTTCGAACCTCTCAGCTCTCATTAATTTTTTTAAATTTTTTTTTTTTCTAGTGTAATTTAATTTTTGTTTTGTTTTTTTATTTCCCAAACCAGCCAGTGCCTTGTGTGCGCCGCGCCACGAGCACTTTTTTTTTTTTTTTTTCTGTGGTGGTGGGTTTTTTTTTTTTTGTTTCCTTACAGTATTTTTGAAACATCCACCATTGCAACAGACCCTTAAAAAGGCTATTTTTTATATATATATTTAAAAAGTCTTTCTTTTACAAAAGTATAAAAAGATCCTTTTATCCTTTCCTTTCTTTCTTCTCCTTCTTCTTCTTCTTCTTCTTCTTTTTTTTTTTTTTTTTTTTTGCTTCTTTTGTTTTTATTTGTGTGTCTTTTAATTACTCAAATAGAATGGCCTCACAGAATCTTAAAAGTCCTGTTGTTGCTGCTGCTGCTGCTGCTTCCGCTTCTGCTCAAACTATTCCCTCGTCCACAATCTCAACAACCACGCCATCTTCAATTTCCCTAATCTCCCCTTCTGATCCACCCAATCATTCATTTCCACCACCACCAGCCCTCTCTACATCTTCCTCCTCTACCTCTACCTCTACCTCTACATCCTACTCAGTATCTGCTCCGCCAAGTAACGTCAACGTCAAAGTCTCGCTCACAAAAACTTACTCGGGTACGTCCGAGCGGGAGCTTCTCCACATGGCCTCGGACATTTCTTACGCAGACCTTAAACGTCTCTACACGCTCAACCCATTAGCATCCTCAACAACCACAGCCAAGTATCCTGCGGTGCGAGCTCTCAACCCGTTTCAGAAAAAACGTATTCTCGTGACGGGCGGTGCCGGGTTTGTTGGATCCCACTTGGTGGACCGGCTCATGCTCATGGGCCATGACGTGCTTTGCATTGATAATTACTTTACCGGGCATAAAGCTAACGTTGCCCAGTGGATCGGTCACCCAAACTTTGAACTCATTCGCCACGACGTAATTGATCCCATTATGCTTGAAGTCGATCAGATTTATCACCTCGCTTGTCCTGCATCGCCTGTCCACTACCAGTCAAATCCTGTCAAAACTCTCAAAACAGGGTTTCTGGGGACTTACAATATGCTGGGACTTGCCAAAAGAGTCAAGGCCCGAATTTTAATTGCATCAACCTCGGAAATTTACGGTGACCCTCTCGAACATCCACAGCGTGAGTCCTACTGGGGTAATGTCAATATTCAAGGTCCTCGGGCGTGTTATGACGAAAGCAAGCGTGTGGGTGAGACTCTGGCATATTCATACATGATGCAAGAACAGGTGGATGTTCGTGTAGCGCGTATCTTTAATACCTATGGGCCTCGCATGAATTGGAATGATGGCCGGGTGGTTTCCAATTTCATTTTGCAGGCCTTGAAAAATGAAGACTTGACAGTTTATGGACCAGGAGACTCTACCCGGTCTTTCCAGTACGTGATTGATTTGGTGGACGGTTTGATTGAACTCATGAATTGTGAGGAACCCACGGCCTCGGAGCCTGTCAATATCGGCAACCCTGAAGAGTACACCATTTCTCAATTTGCACAAATAACAATTGACCTTGTCAAGGCTGTCACAGGCAAATGTGACTCACGTATCGTTTATCTGGACCCCCTAGTTGATGACCCACACCGTCGGAGGCCAGATACGACCCGTGCACGAGAATTACTTGGTTGGCGGCCCAAGTGGTCAGTGGACCGAGGGATGCGTGAAACAATTGAGTATTTCAAGTGGCAAGTGGAAATTATGTCTAGTTAGATTATTAGAAAAATAACAAGGGCATAATTGGTTAGTTTAAGAGGATTTGTTTAAGTTTTAGAAGACTTTTTTTTATTTTTTATTTTTCAGCATATTTTTATTCATTGTACATATAATTTTTTTTTTAAAGAGAATACAAGCCTTGACCTCGCACAAGCACCTAGAGCCTGAAAAAAAACTTTGACTTATGAAATTGTTAAGCTTAGTAAAGCATTCTTTTTTTTTCTAGTAATTAAATGATGTTAAATTACACTACAAACCCTTTATGTAGAAATGTTTTCTTTTTATTTAAGTTGCAAAAGAAAGTTTGATAGGGAATTTGAAATGCTAGAAAAGTATTTCATTTTGAGACCAATTATAGCCAGTTTTATGAATAACATTGATGTTTCTGTTATGAATCCAATTAGCAATTTTGTAAGTGATTGCATTAGTAGCAATTAACAAAGATTTCATTATTGTTTCATCTCATAAACTTGCATCTGGTAAAATGTTTAGTATTGTCACGAATTGAATATTAATTTTTAAAAGGATATGATTGTCTGGTATGTTTTTTTTTAATTGCAATTATAAATATTCTTTATCAAAGGTTATAGCATGTTTTATGTCATTTGGAAGAAAAAAAAATCTTTTGCTGATATATGAGGTTTTATTATTCTGTCATAAAAATATTTTTATAAACATTTAAATTGTAATTAGATTACTGACTTCCTGGTGTTCGCTTCATTCTTTTGTCTTCAGTCTTTAATTAACTAAGTTATGTTTAGTTTTGATACTATATGATTGAATAGAGTAATTTAATCTCATTATTTTTGTCTATTGTGGTATTGAAGACATATGAAAATGTTATGAATGCGAGTGAAATTGAAGTAACGCAATTTTTTTTTTTAATAATTGTCAAAATCACAGATGAGACATTTGTGGAATAATAATTCATTCCAACTTTTATTACCGAAAGTTATTGTGTCTAATAGATTTACTTTAGTCTACGATTAATATTATTTGAATTCTAACTAAGCTGGGGTTTAATTGATTGATATCTTTCATTGCCTTGAGAACAATATTCAGGTATTATTTGCATTGTATTATTGCATTAATCTAATTCACTGATTAAATTTATTTTGAAGACTTTTTATTTACACCTTTGGGATTTTTCACTAACAAAAAGTGACTCCCACCACACAAAATGAAAATTTTACTCTGGAGCTTTTGGAGTCCTGGTTATATAACCCAACCCACCTGGTTAAATAAGCACATTATTTATTTTCATCTGGTGAAATAAACATTTGACGTGGTTAAATAAGCATCTTTTTTTTATTATTATTTTTTAATATTTTTTATTAAAAATCAACAAAAATATTTATTTTTTCCCACACAAATGAATTTTGGTTTTTTATTTTTCTATTTTTTTTATTTAAATTTATTTTTTTATTAAAATTTATTTAAAATAAATTTATTTATTTATTTATTTTTTGTTTTTCCCAACACAAAAAAATTATTTCCCAGCACACTGACATTTATTTTTCTATTTATTATTATTTTTTTTTTATCTAACAATAATAATAAAATTTCAAATATAAATATAAAAATAAAAATGCTCTGACTGAAACTGTAGTAAAAATATATATTCTTTTTTAAAACTCAATATTTATTTTATATTTATTTTATATTTATTTTATATTTATTTTATATTTATTTTATATTAATTTTATATTAATTTTATATTTATTTTTTTATCTTTTATTTATTTTTTTATCTATTTTTTATTTAATTTTTTATATATTTTATATCTATTTTATATCTATTTTTTATCTATTTTTTATCTATTTTATATCTATTTTTTATCTATTTTTTATCTATTTTTTATCTATTTTTTATCTATTTTTTATCTATTTTTTATCTATTTTTTATCTATTTTTTATCTATTTTTTATCTATTTTTTATCTATTTTTTATCTATTTTTTATCTATTTTTTTTTTTTTTTATCTATTTTATATCTATTTTTTATTATGTCTTACTAGTAATACGCCCTCTATCTTTTTTAAAAGATAATATCCCATACCCAAACCACAAGTTCTTTCTTAATCATTTTCCTCCAATTCACAAGCACATACCACATAAATAAAATACATCATGATGTAATTTACATCTGACAAAGATGGCCCAAATATAGAATCTGAATTTCCATACGTTGACTGCTCCTTTAAGTCCGTGTCCAAGTACTAAATAAATTCCGTGGCATTATTACTAGAAAATAGATAAGTATATATATAAAATATATAATACGGATAATTGGTTTTGTCAACAGCTTCAGCAGGACTAAGTTTTGTTGAGCCTTAATCAATCATTATGTAACCATAAGTTTATATGTTGATTGGAGTGTGTTATAGGGTAGATCTTTTATCTTTTATTTATTGTTAATATGATGAATATATATATATATATATAGATATAAAAAAATAAATTGATTGTTAAGTTGGAAATAATAGATGAAATAATATTTTAATTTCTAGTTTCTTACAACAAAATAGACATATTTAAACTATTTATCAAACATAACAATAAGATATTTCCATAAGAACAATGATTACTAATATAACAAAATTATGATAGAGCCAATTAGACTTAAAGTACATTTTTACCACAGTGCATATTTCTTTCCTCAGCCAATAAGAATTCTCTTTAGATTAAATCTTTAAAAAAAAAGTATAAAAAAAGCTGCTCTTCACCTTTTTCTTTTCTTTCTACACATCACTTTTTTTTTTTTTTTCTAATACAATTCGCCTTATAAGATATGGAAATTTCAGAAGTTTAAAGTACTATAAATCTTTTTTTTTTTTTTTTCAGAAAAGGTCATAATATTAACAACTTAAAATAGTTTTACAACTATGAAGATGGCTCACTTGCTGGCGACAAACGATTTTGACGCGTTGATACTTGGAGGAAAGAACGATGATGCTCACTTGACGAATAAGTTTGATGCATTGATACTTAGAAAAAAGAAAGATGATGCTCACTTAACCAAGTTGACGCGTTGATACTTAGAAGAATAACCGATGATGCTCACTTAAACAAGTTGACGCGTTGATACTGAGAAGAACGAACAATGATGCTCGCTTGAAGGACAAGCTTGAGGCATTAATACTAAGAGGAACTAATGATGATGCTCGCTTGACGAACAAGCTTGAAGCGTTGTAACTTGGAAGAACTAATGATGATGCTCGCTTGACGAACAAGCTTGACGCGTTACTACAGAGAAGAACTAATGATGATGCTCGCTTGACGAACAAGCTTGACGCGTTACTACAGAGAAGAACTAATGATGATGCTCGCTTGACGAACAAGCTTGACGCGTTACTACAGAGAAGAACTAATGATGATGCTCGCTTGACGAACAAGCTTGAGGCATTGCTACCAAGCTATATATATATATAAATATATAATTCTGTATTTTATAATTTAATTTAAGGATTTTTTTAAAAAAATTTCAAAAATTTCAAAAATTTCAAAAATTCTAAATTTATTATATGCGGTGAATTAAACATTTAAATTTGCTTATTTAACCAGGTGGTTGTGCTTATTTAACCAGGTGTGTGTGCTTATTTGACCACAGAAAATATTAAATTTACCAGGTGGTTGTGCTTATTTAACCAGGTGTGTGTGCTTATTTAACCACTGAAAATATTAAATTTACCAGGTGTGTGTGTTAAATAAAAAAAAAAAAATGTTTATTAAGCAATTTTTATAGTGGGGGAAAAAATAAATTTACCACGTCTATTTGTTTAGTAAACCACCACTTTACTAGGGGAAAAAGTGCGAAAAATCCCAAAGGTGTTAATTTTAATATCAATGTGACTGTAATGTTAATATTAATGTTATTAATGTTTGTTTAGATGTTGATAGATGTGATGATCATCACCATGATGATGAGAGTGATATTTGTGTTATAATTATTACAATATTATTACTAGTATATCACGTCAGTTAGACATGAAAATAAAATAAAATAAAATAAAATAAAATAAAATAAAATAAAATAAAATAAAATAAAATAAAATAAAATAAAATAAAATAAAATAAAATAAAAAATAAAATAAAATAAAATAAAATAAAATAAAATAAAATAAAATAAAATAAAATAAAATAAAATAAAATAAAATAAAATAAAATAAAATAAAATAAAATAAAATAAAATAAAATAAAATAAAATAAAATAAAATAAAATAAAATAAAATAAAATAAAATAAAATAAAATAAAATAAAATAAAATAAAATAAAATAAAATAAAATAAAATAAAATAAAATAAAATAAAATAAAATAAAATAAAATAAAATAAAATAAAATAAAATAAAATAAAATAAAATAAAATAAAATAAAATAAAATAAAATAAAATAAAATAAAATAAAATAAAATAAAATAAAATAAAATAAAATAAAATAAAATAAAATAAAATAAAATAAAATAAAATAAAATAAAATAAAATAAAATAAAATAAAATAAAATAAAATAAAATAAAATAAAATAAAATAAAATAAAATAAAATAAAATAAAATAAAATAAAATAAAATAAAATAAAATAAAATAAAATAAAATAAAATAAAATAAAATAAAATAAAATAAAATAAAATAAAATAAAATAAAATAAAATTAAAATAATATAATATATAATATAATATAATATAAACCTCTTGTTTCAACGACGCTTGACTACGAGAGACGAGTTCAAAAGATTGAGTTCTTGAATGGTATGAGGAAACTCATTGACTCCATACTCTTTGCGTGGAAAGTTGCTCACAAAAACAACAAGCGCAGGATCATAATCAAGCCCCAGTTCACGTACAGCCGCAACAGCAACTTCTCCTAGCACGGTATCGACGGGGAACGCGAAAGCCTTTGCACCTCCTGGAGGAGCATTCTCTGCACGTAATCTAATTTTTGTATCTGTTGGAGGGGGTCTATTCGCGGCAGGCTTTGGTTGGGCTTGTGTAGTACTTGATTGAGTAGTTGAAGGCTCTGCACTACTATTTGCCTTTTTGGCGGCTGCACGAGCACGCTTATCGGCCTCGATAAGATCCTTGATACGCTGTTTGGCAGCAGCATCTTCGCGAGCTTGCTGTCGTCGTTTCTGGGCCTCCTTTGCGGCCTCTTTGCGCTGAAGTTCTTCCATGGCGTTAATTGATTCTTGGTCACGCTTTTTACGAATTACATCGTTTTGACGTTGCTCCTTGGCCAACTCCTTTTCCTTTTCTGCACGCCGTAGCGCTGCTTTTTCACGCAACACAGCCAGTCGAGCTTCACGCTCTTCAGCAGTTAATGGGATTGGTTCTGGGGTGGAGGTATTATTCGATTGAGTTTCTGAGCTGCTGGATTCATCCGCAGGGGTAGTACTAGAGTCTGAGGCTGTGGTGGTAGTATTTGTGGTATTACTTTGAGCAGATTCTTTTTCAAAAGCAAAGGCACTATTAGGGTCATCTGCTAGATTTGCTGTAGAAGTATTTGTTGGTCTATTTTGAAGCTCTTCAAGCCATGTTACAGCATCTTCAAGTGTTCCGGAAGTGTTTCTAATAGCAGCTTCTATTTTCCCTGCGGAGAAACCCATTTCGACGAGGGCTCTTCTTGTTTCAGCCATTGTGTGTGTGTGTGTGTGTCTGAGTATATAAACCAGGGTTAACAGGAATTATAAATTCTTATAAATCTTTACAAATGGAATTGAATTTTAAAAAAAAAAAAAAAAAAGAAGAGAGAAAGATTTTGAAAATTTTCAGAGTGTTTTAGAAATCGTCGTTTAAAACGAAGCAATCAAAAAACGAAGATTTTCAAAATCCTGGTGGGTTGGGAAATTGACACGCTTTAGTTAAATTGAATTTTTTGTATGAGAGCTATTTAACATATATATATACATATACATATTAACATCAGGGTTAGGGAATTTTCATAGTAAAACGCGTCTTTTTTTTTTTTTTTTTTTTTTTTTTTTTTTGAATTTTTGAATTTTTGAATTTTTGAATTTTTGAATTTTTGAATTTTTGAATTTTTTGTACCTGCCATTTTGGATTGTTGCAAAACATAACTTGGGAAAATCAAAAAGCCTAAATGAATTGTCTTTGCAGCAAGCAACTTATGAACTTTTAAAATTTTTTTTTTTTCTTTTATTCGGCTATTTTGTTTTTTATTAATAAAAAAAAAATTCTTTTTATTTTATTTTTTTTAAATATTTTTTCTTCTCTTGTGTGTGTGCACGTTAAAAAAAAAAAAATAAAAGTTTCTGCGCGGTGGCATCTTTTTATTTTATTTTATTTTATTTTATTTTATTTTATTTTATTTTATTTTATTTTATTTTATTTTTTTTCTTTGCAAATTTACTGTTGTTGGCCACCATAAAAAAATCCGCCCTCATAAAAAAAAAAAAATTCCTGCCAACACAATACTTTTTTTTTTTTTTTTTAATTTTTTTTTTTATATTTTAAAATATAAAATTTATTATTGTTTTATTATATTTTTTTTATTTCACCACCACCAAAAAATAAAACCTCCACTCAAATTATCACCACCACCACCACTAAAATAAAATAAATAAAAAAAAAAAATCTATCATCACTGCCACCTTCACCAGAAAATTCAGCATATCTGCAAAACACATTTAAAGACCACCACAATGGAAGTCTCGCCTAAACACCTGGAGTTTTCTTGTACGTCTCAATTTATTTTCAATTGCTATTCATATATATATATATATATATTTATTCATCAATCTTTTTTTTTCATACTTCTTTCTCTTTCTTTATCAGCTAACACTACTTAAATAGCTCCCTTCACCTACCAGAACCAAACTTCCGTCACGCTCCACAACAATACTTCGGAGCGATTCGCCTTCAAGGTCAAAACAACCGCTCCTAAGCGTTATTTTGTCAGACCAAACACTTCAATTGTTGAGCCTGGTGAAACTCAAACTGTGACTAGTATGTTTCTATTCTTGAGGTTTTTTTTTTTTCTTTTTTTTTCTTTTTTTTCCATCTAATTCTATATAACTAACCATCTTTCTTTATAGTCATACTACAACCATACAGTGAAGAACCACCACAGGACACAAAATGTAACGACAAATTTTTGCTCATGCAGTGCCCAGTCCCTGCAGACATAACCAATGATTCTTTTGCCGACTTTTGGGCCGCCCAGGAACACGAGCACGCTGACACCCTGATAAACAAAAAGCTCCGCGTCCACTACAACATTGCCTCTCCGGAAGAACTCCCGGCCCTGCTTGCTGCCGCCTCGGCTGCCGCCGCCGCCGCAGGTGTTGCTACTGGCACAGGCGTCGGAGTTGCCAGCTCTGCTCCTCTTCACCACCATCATCACCACCATGATGACTCTGGTGCTGCTGGCGCTGTTAATACTGGTTCTGTTGCTACTGGTGTTCCATCTTCTGTTGCTGCTACTCCTGCTTTGGGTGTTGCTGCTACACCTATGATTCCTCAGTCTCCTTACCCTAACCAAGCCCCAATTTCACAACAACCCGCACACGACCAACATCCACATGTAGCAACATCAGAACTAGCACAAGGAGCTGCGCCAGCCGACCGGGCGCTTCACTCTGAAGTTCCCTCTGCTACTGCTGCTAGTAAGATTCCTGGAGCTCCTTCTACTGCCCCAGTTTCTTCTCCTGATGGTTTTTCTCACCTTGCAGAAAATCCCTCCACTCCATCCCATATCTCAGCTGCCGATCATGCTGCAGCCTCCGTTGAAAATCGTTCTAAGGCTGTTGCGGACGAAATTGAGAGAGAAAAAGCTGCCGTGTTTGGAACCACAAAGCCTCTGGCAAAGTCAACCACTGCTACAGCCGCTCGAGGCCCTACAACTACCTCCAGCACAACTACCTCAGCCATTCCTAGCAATGGTCCCTCTTCTTCTTCTTCTTCTTCATCCACTTATGGCACCCAACCCCTTCAGCGCAAGATTATTGATGGCAACACAGATATCCCACTTCACCAGGTCATTATCATGGTCATTGTATCTTTTTTGATTGGTTGGTTCTTTTTCTAATCTTTGTGTGTGATTTGTGTTTTAATATTAAAGAGATTGATATAAAAAAAATTCGAGGTAAAGTAAAAAAAAAAAATGAAATGAAATGAAATGAATTGAATTGTAAAGAAAAAAAAAAGAGATTGATGGATTAAACTATGAGAAAGATGGAACTAATACTTTTATATATATAGCAAAATATATATATATATATATATATATATATATATATAATAAATAATCTTTATATAACTGGAAAAAAAAAGAGAAAAAAGAGAAAAAAAATTAACAAATTAAGTATTTCATTTTCTCAATCTACCTAATTAGAGAGGGTTATAACCTTCTCTTTCGATTTTTAATAATCGTCACCGCGAGAAAGAACTTCCTTAACAGTGGGACGTAACAGAATAGTGTGCTCGTACTGAGCAGTGTAAGATCCAGGGGAATCGTACAATGGTGGGTACTCGTCTACAATACCCTGGCGCACCAATGTGTTAAGACCCAACAGGTACTTGTCCTGGCCCAGGCGGTCGAGGTATCTGCGGCAGAATGGCAGGGTGCCAAAGTTCTTGTTAATAACATTGAGTAGGGACTTTGCCGAGTTAAGACGCACAGGAGCATTGCCCATATCCGCATTCATGGCATAGTGCGAGATTTCGCCCTGATTGACTACATGACCGCGACCAGTCGAGCCAAACGTCTCAATCGCAAACACCTCACCTTCTTCCATCTTGGTGGTGTCGCCATTGTTGACAATTGGAACACTCTTACCACCATGGATCCGGTACGGCAGAATATTGTGGCCATTGAGGTTGCGAATGCACTTAATAGGATAGGTCTTGCCGTTCAGCTCAAGCTCATAAGACTCCATCACCTCCTGAACCTGAGCGCCAATGTCACACAAGCGCACGTCAATTCCAGCCTCGCGAATACCAGTGTTGGTAGCATCACGCACCGCATCCAACAGAGCATCGTACTTGCCCTCCTCAAACGTCATAGTGAAGGCCGAATCAATGATACGTCCATTCACGTGCACACCAAAATCAACCTTCATCACATCCGAGGCCTTGAGCACCGTCGTGTCGCCCTTGTTGGGTGTGTAGTGCGCCGCGCAGTCGTTCAGCGACAACCCAGTAGGGAACCCAATTCCGGCATCCTTCAAGCTTGAACCCTCGCTCAGTGCACGAGTACCATTCTCAATCATATTGGCAATCTGAACCATCTTCATGCCAGGCTTGATATGCTCGCGCGCATACTTGCGCACCTGTCGATGGATCTCCGCACCACGGCGCAGTTCCTCGTACTTTTGCTCAGCCTCCTTGCTTCTCTCTAGAGCACGCTTCTCCTCATCAGTCTCTCGCTTCAGATTCTCTTCACCATAAGTGTATGTGCTAGTTTCTCCAACAGGATACCGTCTGTCCACAAAGATCTTCGACAGCCCCACACGAGGTGGGCTGGTCTGCTTTGCAGGCGTCCCATCAGTTGGCAGAGCGAGGTCAACAACAATGGGACCAGGCTGATCTTGGCCTTCATCATCATCAGGACTAATCTCAGGAGCAGTCGATTCAGATGATGAAGTTGTACCATCACCGGACTCTCCTTCACTGATCTTCTTTTGCTTCATTTCTTCGAGAAGGGCATCCAAAAAGGCATCATCGTCGTCGGCAGTAGCAGCTGGCTTAGAAGCAGTCTTCTTAGACTGAGCTTTCTTATTATTTTTCTTAGGAGCCATTTTTTTTTTTTTTTAAAAAAAATTTCTTATTTAATTTTTAATGTCGAGAGATTTAGGTCCGATGTGGGTTAGTTTTTGGTCAAGTGTAAAATGCTCTTTTTTATTTTATTTTATTTTATTTTTTTTTTTTTTCACCATCAAATTTTTTCTCTCCTCTTCTACCTTCATGCTACCTAAAATACCTAAAATACCTAAAATGCCTAAAATGCCCAAGAAGAAAGTCTCTCAATTAGATAACTGATTACGTCACTCCGCACAAAGATCGGCTGTCGGCGCTTCTAGCCAAGCGCTTAGCCTCGGCTTCATTCGGGTCGCGTCCCGGTTACTGGAGACCCTCGCACTTCGTGCAAAAATGGGTTTGTACTTTTGTACCCGCTCCCAACTGCAAGCCCAGTTTCATACCCGGGCGGCGTTCGCGATCGTGGCGTGTGAATGCTACTGCTTCCATTTCCACCAGTCGGCGTGGCCAGTCCAGAGTGAGTTGGCGAAGGAGTTACCGATGACGGTCCGCCCCGGTACCCTTTTTGAGCAGCATCCAATTTAATATCTGTGGCAGTGGATGCTGCTGTCGACGTCGCCCATGCACCAGGAACAATATCTGGCGTTGCTCCAAATCCATCCGACTGCAAAGCAAGACCCGACAGCAACTTGTCGGCGTTGGTCCACACAAGTTCCCGCTGAACCCATCGGTCTTCGGCTGCAAGTCCGTGATGCTGCAACTGCTCGTCGCCAGTCTCCCCCGTTGGCAACGAAGACAACCCGGCCACCAATGTTGACGATCCTCTTGGTGGTGGCGGGGGCTCGCTGACCTTGGTGACAAGGTACGCTGTGCTTGCTTCTGCAATTCCATATGCCACAATCCCTACAAACGGTGTCTTCAAAAACAAGTAAAACACAGCACCAAAACCAAACATGATGCCTTCACGGGCCCGGAACCACTGCTCGCGTTCTGCCCGCGACAACGGCAGCCGAGAAAAATACGGCGCAAGTAGCTCACGCACCAGTGACCGTCCACCCCAAAATACCGTCAAAAACTTGACTGCATACCGACGAGGAACATTGTAACCCAAAGCAAAAATCGCCACAGCTGTAGGGGTGCCCACAACACTGTTGAAACTATAAAACGACGCAATGGGCATCACCACACGTCCCAATGTAGGAATAAATGACAACAAGTAGAGGGCCATGCTAAAGGCTGCTTGCCTCAAAGATCGTCGCACAAATACATGAAAAGGATGGTTGCTTTGAATATTTTTCGCGAACCCTGACACCCCGCTAATTGCTCCCTTGCACTGTGCCAGCAACTTCTGGAGCTGGCCCCGGCGTCCACGCGCATATTCCTTCTTCGGCACCGACTTCTCCAGCCCAATTGAGCCCTTTGTGTACTTTTTCTCATCAATCTGTGATCCTGTTCTCAAGCTGATGCTTGACCCAGTGTGCCGTGCCTTTTCAGAGCTAGGCCGTAGAATCAGTGGTGCGTAGTACTCTCGATGAGATTCGGGATGCTTTTTCTTGTATACCTGGTCCACAAACTTAAGTGACATCAAAAACATATCGTCCATTTCCGGTCGAAAGTATCGCATAGCAGTCACCAAAAACGGACCCAAGTTTAGCACATTATTTTGAATAAAGTGTAAGGTATCGAGAATCGCTTCGAGTGTTACACCAGCTTCTTCAGATGCAACCAACTTTAGCACCGCAAAAAATAGTCGCAACAGTGCAAGTGGGATCCAAATTACCAATTGAATAATTACAGATACAACTATTGCTGTCAGCACATGACGATAATACCCACTTTCCACCAAGTATGGATTTCGCAGAGCCCTAATAGCGCCCAGAAATGTCAACTGAACACCACGGATTACCGCCAGCAACGAAAACCCTGCCGGAGGACGTGAGATAAAGATTGGCGAAGGCATTTTTAGTTAAAGTAAATGAAGAAAGTCTCTTAGTTTGCTTTTTTTTAAAGTTAAGCAAAAATAAAGAGACTGTGGAGATGACGTGAAGAAGAAAGAAAAGAAAAGATTTAGGACTTCAGATGTCATAGAAATTCTAAAGAAGAAAAAAAAAAGGTGCTGAGTAATTATTTAAGACTTAATACCTATCACTTAAACCGTTTATTTATGCGCGTTAAGTACGCGTCTAAAGCCATGTAAAAATTCGCGTTTTTTTTCTGCTACTTTTTATTTTTTTTTCTTTTGTTTACCAAACATCACACAAAGCATGCCCACTCATATCGACATTGACTACGACACCGAAAAGTCGTCCGGGACTTTCGGTCATCCATATAAACCATATGATATTCAGATTCAATTTATGAAAGAACTTTATGAGGTGCTCCAGAACAAAAAAGTAGGCATTTTTGAGAGTCCAACAGGTAAGCTATACCATACTTTATTGATATATTAAAGCTAACGCCTGTAGGAACCGTATGTTAAAATGCTATCTGTAGTTTTTTTTAACTAACAATCTAGGGAAAAACTTTATCACTAATTTGTGGGTCCGTTTCATGGCTACGAGACATTCGACGCAAGCAGTTTGAAACCACGGGTGAGGATGAAGAAGATGAGGCTGCTAAAAAGCTTCCCGCATGGGTCCGGGAACAAAGTAAGCAAATAAAGCAAAACGCCATTGTTGAGCAACTAAAAGATCTAGAGGTCGCTTTAAAAGAAGCTATATCTTTTGAAGAAAATGAGCTAAGAGAAGCTCAGTCGTTAAAACGTAAACGAATACCCCCAAATTACATTACGAAACGCCAAAAACCCGCTACGGATGATCTTGACTCGGACTTTTATGTCCTCCAAGATCAAGAAGAATCATTGGATGACGAGTTTCTCACACAACAAGAAAAGGAGCTTCAAGCAATGAAGGCTCGCACAAATGCCCTTCTCCAAGCCCTTGAAGAAGGTCCGTCTACTAAAGACGATCAACCAGTATTTGGCAAGGACCAACCTAAAATCTTCTTTGCCTCCCGAACCCATTCACAGCTCTCCCAGTTTGTAGGACAGCTTCGTTTACCCACATTTAAACCATCTGTACCAGAATTCATGCCTGACGAGCCCATCAAGGAAATTTCCCTTGCGTCGCGTCGCCAGTTGTGTATCCACCCCACCGTGTCAAAGTACAAATCCACCCAAAAAATGAATGATGCATGCCTTGACATGCAAAAGGAAAGTTGCGGCTGTGAATACATGGTAAACACACGCGATATCAAGTCTCGGGTCCGGTATCGCGAGTTTCGCAATGCTGCTTTGGCGAAAATCAGAGACATTGAAGATCTCGCGCAACTCGGCAAAACAAAACGCGTTTGTCCGTACTATGCAACCCGCGAAATTGCAAATAATGGATGGGCTGAAATTATTGCTCTTCCATACCAGCTATTGCTTCAAAAGGAAGCTCGTGATGCCCTTGGGATTAACCTGACCAATTCCGTTGTTGTCATTGACGAAGCACACAATCTGCTCGACACGATTTCATCTCTGTACTCCTTAGAGCTGACTTACTCGCAAATTTCGCGCGCGCTCACAGGTCTCCAAACGTATCAAAAAAAATTTCAATCAAGACTATCAGGAACAAACCGCATTTGGCTTGCAAAGTTAATCAAGACGGTAAAATCTATTGCACAGTTTCTCAAAAAGGCACAGAAAAAACCACCACAAGAGACTGGACCAGGCAAAAATATTCCAGCTTCTAGCTTTTTTGAAAATTATGATGGCGCTGTCGATACCATTAATGTACACGATCTCGAGCAGTTTGTCAAAAAAACCAAGCTGGTCTTTAAAATTGAAAGTTATCTAGACAAATTGGAAAGCCAGGAACAGCAGCAGCACCACCATTTAGTCCTAGGGAAAGTTATTTCTTTTCTTTTAGCAATCGGAAACCCATCGTGGGAGGGAAAATTTTTTTATGGTCGCAACGCAAATAAAGAACTCCAAATTCAGTACATTTTGCTCGACTCCAGTGTTAAGTTTAAGGAAATAGTTGACGAGTGTCGTTGTGTTATTCTGGCGGGTGGCACTATGAAACCAACTGAAGATTATCTTACATATCTATTTCCTTATCTACCTAAGGATCAGATTTCAATCTTTAGCTGCGACCATATCATCCCAGACAGAAACCTAACCGTCTTACCTATTGGCCGACGGTCAGGTGTCAAGTTTAATTTCACTTTTGCTGAACGCAACAGCAAGTCGATGATTGAACAATTGGGGTTGACTCTTATTGACATTTGCAAGACAGTTCCTGACGGTGTTGTTGTATTCTTGCCAAGTTATGTGTATATGAGCTCTGTCATAAAAATATGGGAGTCATCGACAACAAACAACCGCACAATTCTCAGTGCACTCAAAGCAATCAAGTCGGTTTTTTGGGAGCCTCAGAACAGTGGCACAGACTCGTCTTACACAACTTCTTTAGAAACTGCTGGTGCCACCACCAAGATTCTTGATGAGTACACAAAAAAGATTGAAGATGCAACTGGCCGTGGTGCTATGTTGTTTGCAGTTGTCGGGGGGAAAATGTCGGAGGGTATCAATTTTTCTGACCGATTGGCACGAGCTGTAGTTATGGTCGGACTGCCGTTCCCGCATGCATTCAGTGCGGAGATGGTTGCAAAGCGCGAGTACGTTGAGCAAACCACAATCAAACAGAGACAACAGACTAAAAATGACAACAACGTAGGTAAGACTCTACCTTCTTTGTCGTCATTGCAACAACTAGGCAAAGCAAAGGCTCGCGAGTTTTACGAAAACGTCTGTATGCGCGCTGTCAATCAGTGTGTGGGCAGAGCAATCCGCCATGCTGGAGATTATGCTGCTGTGATTTTACTTGACGACAGATATGGCACACTCCACATTCAAGGGAAGCTGTCACAATGGGTCCAGAAACGAATTGTAAGCGTTCAAAATGGTGGGTCGTTGGACAACTCGGATGCGCTGAATAAGCTCTCCGCGTTTTTCCAGCGGTGAACGTTGAAATTTAACAGTTTAAGCTTAGAAAAAAAAAATTAGCCTACTATTTAACGTTGATACGATTAATACGCTACACGCAAGTACCTGTGGAGAACCAAGATAAATTTGAAAAAAAAAAAAAAATAATTTTCTTTTTTCTTTTCCATTATTTTTTTTTTAAAGGAAATTTCATCAAGCCATGGAAGTGCCATCATCAAGGAAGAGCGTTATCCCCGATATCTCGTCACTGCCTCCGTCAGATAGAATTGTCGAGCTCGATAGGGACGCAAAGATAGACTCGACTGTCATCTCCAAAGATATTGTCGATCCTGGGTACAGTGACGATCCTAAACCAGAATCAGAGCCTGAAGAGCCCTCTTTTTGGGAGACACAGCTCATCCAGATTCTCAATTACCCAGAACTGTTGCTGCTCTTTCTGCCTATGTACTTGGTGTATCTCTATTTCTTAAGCGTTGAAAGCCGTCCTTTTTTTGGAAACTTTTCTCAGGTTAGAGTATTTCTCTTCATTCCAATTAGTGCAGATTTTGTCATCCAGCTGCATCGTGTTTTCGAAAACAGGTACAACTTTAACTTCCCTCGTATATCTCCGCTAATCTTACTGATTACTCTTTGGGCTACCGGCCGCATCGTCAACCAAGTCTGCCAGGCCTCTATGGACATCAACTTTGTCGAGGCCGATACCCGCCAAGGCATTGCTGTCTTTCTCTCGTCATTGCCATTTACCATAATTGGTGGCCAAACAATCTTTCTTGCCAAATACGAGCGCCATACAACGTCTTTTAAACAGATTGCATATACATATGCGGCGGCTTTTGCTCTCTATTTTATCCCCATCTCAAATTCAATCTATCTTTCTTTAATTGTAACAACTTTCTCTTTTATTGTGTCGGTGTACCGCGATGTTTATGTTAATGATACCCCTAGGAGTATTGCTGTGCAAACCACCGTTGCTATTGCCTTTATGGCGGCCTTTTCAGGCTACTACATGAGACCCCCTGCCCGTTCTTTCCTTTCTTCCGCCAGTTTTCCCTATAGCAGTGCCGACCAGTCAATAACCATTTGGAACAGCACTGATAGCATCTCCGGAAAGGTTATAGTTGGCGATTTGATTCCTTCAAAGCCAAGCGCTTTTCCACAAAAGAAGAGAAAAGGCGGGCCAGAACAAGATTATGACCAACCGATTAGATTTTTACGCATTGACCATTCGCTCATTGGTGGTATCTGGATGCCCAAATACCCGTCCCTTGAAGAATCACAATCTATTTATTCCGCTTTTTATCTGCAAGAAATTTCTCAATATGTCGTCCCGCCTCCTTATGCCAACCCTAATAACAAGTCAGTTATTTTGCTTGGCGTCGGTATAGGAGCCTCTGCAAAGGGCTTTGAAGAGAATGGATACACTGTTGATCTCTTAGAACTTGATCCTGCCATTTACGAAAACGCAGTCAAGTACTTTGGCTTGAACCCTAATTACCATGTGCAGTTTGGCAACGCGCTTGATTGGATCTACAGTTATGATAAGGACAATGTACCCAAGAAAAGATACAGTGTCATTAACCACGATTTTTTTTCTGGCGAAAATGGTGACTCCAAGCTTTTTGAAGAAAAAACTTTTGAAATCATTAAGAATAAAATCTTAGAAAAGGACACTGGTGTACTGACCGTCAATGTTTATGGCAGTCCTAATGATTTTAAGATTCTTCGGATTTACGAAAACTTACAGAATGTGTTCAATCAACAGTGCGATATGTACCACGACAAAATCACTGACAATATGAGAAAGGGCTCTATTTACGTGGAACGTGAAGAAGAATTAAACTTAGTGTTCTTGTGCAGACAGAAGTTTGGTGAAAAAAAACTAGTTATTGACGATGAGTTGATAAATAAAACCGTCAAACAAAACATGCGTGGTGTTGTCCTTTCTTCCAACCATGTGCGCAAGATTCCACGCCTAAGCATTATCAAACTTCAGGATTTGATTGAAGTTGGCGTTAATGAAAATGACAGTAAAGAAACTAGATGGCGGATTTTGTCGCGACAGTCCCGTAAACATTGGAACGTTATGGATAAGGTTCTTCCACGAATTGCTTGGGCATATTATTAGATAGAGACAAAAAGGGTTTTTTTGTTTAATTTAATTAATAGAGTATTTATGTTTGTTTTTATGGCTTAATTGCTCTCCACCGAAGACGCACGTACCCGGCATAAGCTTGCTTTGAGTCTTGAGGGTCGTAGCAAATAGTAGTAAGTAAGTCGCAGACTTCCTGAAGAAACCTTTCAGAAGAAACCCGTTCAGCCGCCGGAACATTTTTGCGTTCCTGAAACTTTTCAAAAGCGTCCACAAAACTGAATCCAAAAAGCTTAATCCATTCCAAAAGACCTTTATTGCCATGGGGAAGTGGGGTCGATCGGTAAACACGCTCTATTTTTTCCACGACAAATCCAGCAATTTCCAAGAGGTTGCGAATCGTGTCTTCGTGCGGAAAAAACCACGGGCTTGCACCAACACGCTGTGCTTCGGCTGGGGTCATTCCATACCGTGCAAGAGTTGCGAGAAAAGCCGTGTGAATCTCAGCCACATTACCCAATCCTCCCATTTCTGCTGCAAACACAGCGCCGACGCCAGATTTGAGAGAAGCAAAAACCTGATTGAAAAAGTTTTGGCGGATTGTATCACCCAAAAGTTGCGTTTCGCTTGAGGAGGCTCCAGCATTCAGTTTAGCCTCAGCTTCATTCTCTCGATCGCGTGTATTTAAAACCCAATGAAGGGCTGCATTTGACATAACCTTATCAAAAAAAATGCCATTGTTAAACTCAGAGACCACCTTTTTAGCGTTCAGGTCGCGCCCGTCGAGTAGCATGACATTAAGGCCATGGTTGGTGCGCGCAACCTCGAGCAAAGATGCGGATGAATCAACACCGTAAATTTTATTGCAAGGAATGCGAGAGGTCAATGCACCGTCACCGCAGCCAATGTCCAAAATTGTGTCAGTGGGTTGGGGTCGTAGAAAATCGTCCACCAAAACTGAAGTCAGTTTGGGCACGAATGCCGCGTTATTGATGTAGTCTTTAGCCACCCAGTGATCTTCTTTGTCAGTCATTATAAATTGAAAAAAAATATGTAAAAATTATCAAAAATATAGAAAAAAATAAAGAAAGAAAGAAAGAAAGAAAGAAAGAAAGAAATAATTGTTTAGCAAAAAAGAGAAAAAAAACAAGCATAATTCATAGGATATTTATACTTGGGCCAGGATTAAATTATTATTTACTCGAACACAAAAGCTTAAAATTACGGGGTAAATTTCAAAGCGAAAACGGTCGCCAATCGGCAACAATCGCTCCTATACCGGGCCGTAAAGTCATTTAACTTGAAAAAGCAAGTGGGGGAGCGCATGACCGTCTGATAAAGGAGCAAAGTGCATTAAAAAAAAGCAGTTGCATGGTTCCAAAACCTATCCCCACCCATTTTTCCACTTATAAGATAATTATAATAATTATTTTCACAGACACCAATGTATTTCTTAATCCCTTCCGACAAAGATGCGGTCCGTAAACACATTCGAACATAGGAGTTGGGTTTACTTCTCACCAGGGTAACCGAAAAGTTCTGGCGAAATGTATACTCCATCTAAAAAAACGGGTTATCTGGGAACTGAGCCCTGTATCTTTCGTAGTCAAATGAATGTGTAACCCTTTATATTAACTAACACTTTCATTAAAACCCAGACACTTTTGTTAATCCTTCTGATTCATACTATACATCTTTTCATTTTAATAATAATTGTTTGTTTGTTTGTTTTTATTCAAGGGTTATAGAATTATATAACATCAGCATTTGCGCTATCCTTCTTGTTCATACTATATATCTTTTCATTTTCATAATAAACTTTTAATTTTAGCTTCAACATTACATCTCCAACAGCCCAAAAATAATTCCTGATGTCAGCTTAGGGGGTTAAAAAACCAAACCTTCCCAAAATCTTTCTTCATAATTGTTTGTTTGTTTGTTTTTATTCAAGGGTTATAGAATTATATAACATCAGCATCTGCGCTATCCTTTTTATTGTCTGACTATGTGACTTGCCGGTTTTCATTTGTACCTTTTTAGTACTGGTGGTTTCTGTTCTGTGCGTCTCCGGTAGCCCGGAAGATGGGCCCTGATGCCAGCTTACGAGGAACAGGGAGAACCAGTCTGTCGGTCCCAAAACCTTCCCAACCCATTTCCACTTATCTTTACGGACGCCAATGTATTTCTTAATCTCTTCCGTCAGAGATACGGCCCGCAATCACCTGCAGGCTATTTAGACTGTACGGAAGAGTCGGCATTCCTGTAACCAGGGTAGCCTATGGTTTTCAGTCTAGGTGTATACTCCCGTACACATCCTCAGGAAAAGGGGGTATTCTGGGAATCGAACCCAGTATCTTCCGCTATCGAGCGAACGTGTTACCCTTTACACCATCCAGCCCTTTCCCCCTTTCTTCATAATAAAAACCAGACACTCATATCACGTGATACTCAGTAATTTATAACATTATTTTAAATATTTTCCAAAAATTATTATTAAATAAAAAGGTCGTATGGCGTAATGGTAGCGCATCAGATTGCAGATCTGCAGGTTCCTGGTTCGATTCCGGGTGCGACCTTACTTTTTGTACTATAAATAGTTGGATTATTAAAAGAGCTAGTTGAGAGAGATATCAACAGAGTCAAAAACATTTTAACCAAATACTATGAGTGTTTATTTCAAAATAGGGGTATATGCCCATGTTTATTAAAGAAGTCTGCCATTTATAGGATATTTTCGTGAGCAAGAAAACAGGCTTTATCAAAAAAATAACTTTACTTGAATTAAAGGAGAGATAAAAAAAATATCATAGAGCTTTCCATGTAATTTGTTTGTCAAATCCATCCGTCAAACTCCGGGCCCTCTTTCACTTTAAAATCCTTATTCCAATTATCAACCCAGTCATTAGCCAACTTCTTCGTTTCTAAAGCAAATGACTGCTGTTTTTCCAACTCGATAACACATTCTAGGCTCCCTTCAGAGTTCTGGGTATGGGTATGGGGCCCAATGCAGTATACAAATGGCAATTCAAAAAGCTTACTATAAACATTGAAAAAAGTGCTTGGATAAATGTGGTCTTTTTGCAAATCATAATACATGTTCATGCCCAAGTATGAATCATCTTCAGGGCCGAAAGTAACAAAAATCTGCTTGATATTTCCATCTTTGTTCATGAGTTCTAAAAAGTGCGGAGAAAATGGCATGAAACTATTGCTTTTAGAATTCAAGTAAAAGTATTCCAGTTGCTTCAGGGATTGAATCGCCTTAAACATGCTTTCTCTCACCCAAATCCACCGAAATAGATCCTGGAATTCATCTGCAAAATTGGAAAAATCTGTATTTTCGGAGGGACAAAAAATAATTCTCAAAATTGCTTCTACTATTTCATAGCGAGCGTTGAAAATAGGCTCAGTATTGTAACACTTCAAAAGGTCAGACGAAAGAATCATTTCAATCGTTTTGGCTCCCTTCTCTATGATTTCTGATATATTCTCTTCTTCGTAATTTATAAAAATATTGAGAACCGAGTGTACAACTGCAGTTTCAGGCAAATCATCCTCAGCCCATCTGGAGTATTTCAAGTCTAAGCGCCGCAAGTGCTTAGTCTTTCCAAGAGTGTCAGCTAATAGTTTCATAAGGCTCATGTCACGTTCGAGCTGATAATAAGATAGCTCCAGTGTGGTTATATCAATAGAAATGGTAGGTGTAATACTTGTAAATTTGTAAGACTCTGCATGAAGATTAAAATATGAAACATTGGGGAAAGAAAAATAATCAAACACAAAAGGTGGATTAAATTGAACCAATTTATATTCAATTCCAGTCACATCGGGAACTACTAACTTGTTAGATTTTGAGCCGAATTGTTCAAGTTTTTGGCCGGTATATATATTAACTTGATAAATGGGAAAAAATTTAAGTATAAAAGTGTTGATTGTGTTTGGGAACTTTTGGGTCAATACCGTAAAGGATTTTTCCATCATATTGTTTGTCTGTTGAAATGGAACATCAAGTTTTAAGTATTCCAAATGAGGTAGTTTTGCTAGTTCATTTGGCAGGTCCATAGAAGATTCCAGTTTAATGTGAAGTCGGTTAATGCTCTTGAAATCCAAAAATACCTTGGCGCAAGAGTCTTTTTCTACATTTAAAGATAGAGCAATGACCATTTTTCCCCAATTCATAACATACGAAGAAATTTTATCTTCACGGAGTTTTAGTCCCAAAACAAAAGAATTCATCATGTTCTGGAACTCAACAACCTTTAATCTGGGGTAATGTTTTTGGAAGAATTCGTCAGTAGCGAAGTATGATATCAGCTGATCAAAGAGTTCAGTGTTACATATTTCATCGGATAACCGTATTGTGAATATATATTTTGTCTCAAACCAGCTGTACTTTTCTGGACTCAGGAATACATTCAGAGGGACGCTGGGATAATTCAATCTTTTGCGGTCGCTCTCTGCTTTGAAAACAAATGTCTTGGACCATTTGTGTACAGAGTAAAAATTGCGGAGGTTTTGGGATGTCTTGCTGAGGTTGTTGAGGTCTTGTTGTTTCAAAAAATCCAAGAGGTTTGTGTGGATATCTAAGGGGAGGTCGTTTAGAGAAGTTATCATGATAAGAAAATGATGGTCCTGGGACTTAGAGCATGGAAATATCTTGCCAGCTGAGATGTTAAAAGAAAGTAAATTGTACCAAAAAATACTGGTTGGTAGGTGTTTTTGTTTGTATGTCTAAGTTATATGAGAAATCCCGTGGAATTTAGAAAGAAATATCAGTATGGCTTATTTCTGTGATAGTTAATTCCGAGGTTTCTCGAAGTGCCTCTGAGCCCCCCTCCCCGGGTTTGGGTGGTTAGGTTTAGGCAGGGTTTAGTGGCAGCATAACCAGATACTAAGAAGTATCACCGCATGATCAGCACAGCACAATAAGATATTACTGAGGAGGAAAATCAAAAATAAAATGACTTCCCACGAAATATGGGATTGGAGTATAATAACGGTATATTTGTTAGAGTAATGGAGTTGACAATTTTTTTTCAAAAAAATTAGTTCGCTGGACTCATGTTTAGGCCCTTTTGTTTAATTGGATCGTATTGACTATTTATTGTATTATAATACAACCAATATTGAAGAATAAGACCTATACCTTGCTGTGGACATGAGTTTTTATATAGAATAACAAAAAATCGTATTCAGGCTCAAGCTTTAATATGGTGGTAATAATGGTCGATCATTTAATTTGAAAAATTAATAAGCTTTTGTCCTTAAACAAATAATCGTATTTTTTATTGCCAATGTATTATTTTTTTTAACTATATATAGTTTAGGATTTAACAGGTTTCATGAAAATCTTTGTGACTTTCAACAGAGCGATACAAATTACGTTATAACATTAATCATCAAATAATTATTTAATGATTAATGACTATTGTCAGAGATCAGTTGATTCCGTATAGAATATTTGGACAAAACCCTACCGACATTAATAAATATCAATCATATTTCTCCTACACAAAAAAAAAATAGAAACAACTAAATTACAACTTGAGAGCCATGAGAGAGCCCACAAACGAAAGGATAAGGCGTGATCTGACTTCGTTAATATCTTCAGGAACAAGGAATATCAGAGCTCCCAGTTTACGCGCAATGGAAATGGCAAGCTTGGCATTGGCCAAGCGCTCTTCCTCAGTGCGTCCTGGAGTAACGAGGTCGTAATCAACATAACCAGGCTTGATACCGTTAATGACATCCAACAGGAATATACCTGTAGCCAAACTGGAATCCTTGAAAGAACGAACCGTTGAGTTGCGGCCACCCTTGTGGACGTGCTCTTGAGCCCACTTAAGAATATCCGTATCAGTGAGCTCGCGACCACCATGAGACAAAGACTTGAGCGTTGTAATGATGTTGCGACGCATAAGTTGCCAAACGAGGGCGAGTGTGAGAGTCTTTTGGCCATCAGTGATATCTGCACCCTCAATGCCAACAAGAGAAAACTTATTAGCCTTTCCGAGCTCGACAGCATAGTTGGTGTTCTCGACAGCTTTAAAACGAAGCATCTCACCACCATTGGCAGGAGGCTTGTTGACGTGACGGGGGTTAACGGATCCAGGAATGACCTTTTCAAAAGCTTGGAGAAGAATAGTACCGTCCTTGAGATCCTCAAAAAGAGAAATGACGGTGGGTTCAACGTCGAGAGAGTTGAGCCAAAGAGTGAAGACACGGGCTTCGCGCTCGCCCTCGGCATCAAAGTCTTCAATCTCAATATTATCGGCCTCGGTAATGGGATCCAAACCAGGGTGAGTGTTGAAGAGATGGGCGACAAAGGCCAGATTCAGCTTAGGATTTCCGGCTACAAGCGCGGTAGGGGTAAGATACTTGCGGGCTTCAATCCTTTCAGCATTGTCCAAGACCTGCTCAGCACGCTGAAGAAGGTTTGTAGTGTTAAGAGGCTCGAGACCACAAACTTCCGGAACGAGCTGGTGAAGAAGGACTGTGTAATTCTCACCATCGGAGACATCTTTAGAAAAGTTGTTGACACGTCGAGGCCAGTTAGCGGCCTTGAGATGATAGTTGAACCATCTGAGAAGAATCTGCTCAGGAGGGAGTCGCAGGAACTGCTCGAGAGTCTCATCTTCCTCAAGTAGACGGTACAATTCAGGATGGAGCTTGATATCAATCTTGGAGAGCAGACCACGACGAATTATTTGCCAGATGAGACCGAGAATCAAATGTTCTTTACCCTCAATAATATCCTCAGCGTGGACATTAACGACAACACAGCCAATACCTTTGGCAGAGTTAATGACAACATTTGCGTTTTCGGTCATGGTGAAATTGTTCAATGACTTTCCATTCTTGGGTTTGTTAAGAATACGGGTATCGATAGTATCAGGAACTGAGTCATTAATGAGCTTAGAAAGAATGAGACCGTCACGGGCCTCATCAAAAATCTGAAAAGTGTCGGTGGGAATGGGGAGACGAGAGCCAATGTCTGGGTCTCCAGCAAGAACTGAATTGATGTGGCGGGTAAATTCAGTGCGCTCTTCTTCGTTAATAGTATGAGTGGTACCGGAAGAAGAGCCAGAAACAACAATGTTAGCAGAGCCGGAACTAGAACGGGTATGACTAGAATGATGACCACCAGAGCCGCTAGCAGAGCGGACACGATTGCCAAAAGTAGGCACGTCAAGACGCTGACGTGGGGCGGCGCCAGGACCGCGGCGGGACTCACGGAGCTTAGAGACGAGTTCGACGTAGTCTTCAAGCTCGACACGTCCTGAAGCGTCAACATTGACAGTTTTAAGAGTATTACGGATTTCGTCATAAGTTCCCTCGCCTGAGTCGGTGAGAGTCTTGACAGCCTGCTGCTTATCGAGATAGCCCTTGTCGTCAATATCGACAGAACGGAACTTTTCAATAAGCGAGAAGATATCTTCCTGGCTGACAATGGGAAATTTTTTCTATAATAAAATGAAAGTGGCAATGAGATGAGAGATGGGAACAGCACCAAACAGAGTGAGTAAAAAACGCGCAAACAAAGAAGTTTTATAATTCTTTTGCCTCTAGTTTTTCGTCAAGAAAAAGGTCGTGTCGTGCTGCACCATAATCATCTCCGGAGCTCATTGGGCACGGATGAGTCAACAAATAATTCTTTAACGCGTCGTAAATGGATGTCAATGCTCACATACATGTAGTTTAATTGCTTCCATAATGGATATTGGGAGGATATACTAGTTTCGACTGGAAAGGTCTTGCGTGGTGATTTCGTAGAAAAAAATAATGGTGTATTTTATTGATATTTTTGGATGAGCAAAGAAGGCGGAAGAAAAAAAAAAGGCGGAGCACAGGCTGTGCAATGCTGAGCTAAGCACTAGTCACGTGAAATTATATATGACATTTTGTGTTACATTTGTGTTACATTTTGTGTTACAAGATAATGATGCCTTCCTATTGCAGCATTTGTAAACAAACAAACCTCCAAAACCAGAGAAGGCATGTTTTCTCTCTTTGCCCTCTCATCAATTATAACATAAACAAATAAACAACTAAAAGCAATCGCAGAATAAATTCTATAATAAACTTCGAAATATAATGACTCAAGAATCTAAACGTATTCTTCTTGATTACCATGCTCCAAGATTACCTGCTGGTGCTCGCCAGCTTTCAATAGACTCGACTCGAGTGGCCGGAGATGTTAGTGTACGCTATTCCGCCCCTCCTACATCTGCCGGGTCCTCGTTTTCGTCGGCTGCTGTAGTTTCTGAGCGAATGCCCCAACTTCCAGAAGACCTTCAGGCTAAATTAGCTCATGTTGGTATGCGCACTCGTAAGAGTGTAGCTGATGGATACAAGGTCCAAGGCTCGATTCCATCCTACCAATCCACCGCTACGTTTTACGGTGGTGCTATGGGATTATCTACCATACAGACTCAACAACAACAAGCTGCCCGTAAATACTTTTCGGAAAGCGACAAGTTTTCTTTTCAGAGTGGATTCAGCGCCCCTACTCTGGTAAGTGTTCCCCGACGACAACTTAAACGCACGCGCGAAGAGTCTGCGCTGGACGCCGACGCTGGCGCTGATACTGATGATGATGACGATTGCAATGATGCCAGTGATGTGACTTTAAACGACGACCATGGAGGTGCACCTGCTTTAGGAGTAGGTCTTTCGCGCGGTTTAGTAACTCCATCGCAGGCGACGTTGACTGGTGCAACTTGCAGTTTTAGTGGTGAGGAGCCAGTACCCAAATCATTGCGTCAATCATCAAATCAAGGATTCTCCTCTGTGAGTGATAAAGCAAAATTTTATGAAGCGCAACAGAAACAGCAGCAGCAAAACGAAATTGATGGTGGATGGATTCCAACAACAGCGTCAAAACTTGTATCGAGCGACGGAAACTTTGAAGAAGCACCGTTTCTTGACAAGTCCAATTTGTAAGCATGATCTTCTTGCAAGCGGCTTTTTATGATTAATGGTGTTTTTTCTTGTTTTATTTTATTTGGCTTATGACTCTTCTATTCAATTGTATTTTTTCTGTTTTTTTTTTCATTATTTATCAGTCTATATTTCTTAATTAAAAATAATGTGTACAAGGTGTTTTTCTATAATGCAAAAAATAAATAAAATAAAGTACGAAATCAAACAAATCCTTTAAAATTTCAAAAAGGTCTGTTTTTTATCCGTTTTCATACGTTTGGCCGTACTCTGTAAAGATCCACTTGCACTTCTTTTTGACCCTCCATTGCTCTTGCTTGTGGAAACAAATGACGGTTTAGATTTAGGTATTGGCGTAGGTTTTTTAGTCGTCAGCTTCAGAGAGCGTTGTGGTTGTACAGATTCAGATCCACTTGTACTTTTACTCTTGTCTTTGTCCACTACAGCCTTATATTTGGGCGCTGTCTTGAAAAATGACGATAATGACGTGTTGCCTAACCGCTGTGCACGAGCGATGTCTCGTGCAAGATGCCAATCACGATGCTCACTAATATCTGAAAGTTTAAGTGCACGCTGACATCGAGGGCATTCAACTGTTTTAGTAGTAGAAGTTTCCCCATTTGCTGTCACAAATAGGTCTTCAAGCTTATCCCAGTCTACATTATCTTCTCCATCATTATCATTTTCATTATCTTCATTTTCAGATCTGGTCTCTGGGATGATTCCATTCACATCAGGTTGAGAAGACACATCAGCCCATAAACCTTTCTTGGAAGAACTCTGTACAATGGCAATTGGTGTCGGGCTTCCTGGAGTCTCATCACCACCATCAACATTGTCCTCATCTTCTTCTAGAAATGGTACATCTAGTTCCTTTGGTTTTTTAAAAGGACTGGAATTCTTGCTTAAATTTCCCTCCCGTTTTGGGCTTGTATGTTTTTCAGCTTCCACGGCGGACCGAGGCTTAAAAAATGAGGAAATGGGTCGCATAATGTTTCCTCCAGAGCCTGCAACTAAATTATTTATAAATCCGTGAATTTCCAGCGACAACATTTCACATGGGTATCGTGCCTTGACCTTACTTGAATCCTGCGCTGTTTCGAGCTCCCTAAGAATGTTGCGTCCCATCTCAAACAGTTGGTCACGAATAGTTGCAACTGTTGCACCCACAGGAAACGGAGCTTGTTTATTTTGTGCACGCGACATGCCCTTACTTTTAAACCCCAGCGAAATGGTTCGCGGATAGAATGATAAAGGCATTTTTTTACTAGAATTACTCTTGTGTAAAGATTCTTCAGAAAGTTCAACCACTCGGCCAGCCAAATCTGCAGAATAAACCTTGAGCCATTCAATCGCCTTCCCAGAGTTGGACAATGGAAAGTATGTGAAGTTTTTGACCGAAGACATGGACTTGACATCGGTACGGGTATTTACGTGTGCGTATTCTTCACCGCGTGCAAGACTTTTGAGCCGTTTTGTGAGTTGAGGGCTTAGTCTTTCAAGCATCTCTTCACGCGGCATCGCGTCAATAAATGCAATTGATCCGGTCGGAGGAAGTCGTAATGCGGTCTTTATGTGTTCTCCCAGCTTCCCGCCAAGTCCACCAATCTCAGTGATTTCAAAGCGTGAAAGAAAAGATATAATTGCAGCAGATCGCACAACATTTTGGGTAGCTGGTTTTAGCGTTCCAGATGCAAGTTTAGCCAAAACCTTGGTTCGCGCAATGCCTGCGGAGCATGTGAATCCGAGTTCGTTAAGAATAGTATGCCGTAGTTTTTTAAGAATAGTACTGGATATCATAAGAACAACATCATCCCAATCAGTAACTTCAAGAGGGATATCTTTATGGCGTGTTTGAGTTTCTTTATTCTCGTTAATATTTTTGACCTTTTCATCTTCATCTTCATCTTCATCTTCATCTTCATCTTCATCTTCATCTTCGAACTTTTTCTCGTATTCAGCTTGTTTTTTTTCACTATCTTCTATTTTTGTTTTGTTTTCGTCTTCATTTTTTTCATTATTATCTTCCTCATAAAGATCTAGGCCAATGGGATCCCCTTGGTATTCATCTCCACAGCTCCCCAACACTCTTCCTTCCCATTGCAACCCAACAGTTTTTAATCTCTCCATTGACACAATTTCAGGTAACTTATCATCTGGCCCTAAATCTGCGAGCCCAGGAAATTTTTCTAACAATTCTGCGTAAACTAACGCACCGAGATCCATATACGTTTCATCAATGCTAGCCTTTTCCAAAACACTTACTGTTCTCCGCAGAATCTCAAAAATCTTTCTGCTTTCACGCCGGTACGGGTCCAGTGATACCTTGTGAGTTTCTTTAGCCGGTGGGTATAATCCAGGAGAGGAAGTTGCAGGGTCTGCATACTCCCAGTGAGTTGCGCCGCGCGCAAACGTAGCAACGTGTGCAGCTATGAGCTTAGGACACTTAAGTCGTGCAGAAGTAATCGTTTCGTGACGAGAAATTCCATAACGGCGAGCACCGTAGCTCACAGCAATAATGCCTTGCCACTGCTGACATACAACAGGCGCGAGTTTGGGGAGCCCGAGACGTACCTGCTCGCACTGAGCATAGAATGCGTCAAGGTCGAGATGTACAATAGCAGCAAGAGGGGTATCGTATGACCGCTGGGGGTCTGCAAGCGCATGCAGATCTTTGCCGAAAAACCGTGACTCTGAAGGGGATTCCCCGGAAGTCATTTTTTTCCCGTTATAAGTAAGTGTTGCGTGCTTTTATGTTAGATCAAGGGGTGTGTGTTAATAACCAAAAGAGCAACCTAACGGTATTTACACAAAAAAATTCAAAAAGTAAATAATCACAGAGTCAGATGTGTAATTTTCAGAACAGCAAAATTAGGAAAATTCCTGGAAGCAGCATGTGAAACAACAATTAAAAAAAGTTAAAAAAAAACATTAGAATCACAGTTTAAACTGTTATTTAGAAATAATAAAAGAGACAAGTTAAAGAAAGTATTGAAAAAAAAAATACATAGTCAATACTAAAGTTAAAAATTAATGTCAAAAGAAATTGATCTCTGGCGGGATCGAACCGCCGATCCTCGAGTATACAATGAAGTTGCTTGTTTATTAGCACGATGCCTTCAATCATTTTTTCAATAAACTGAGCCATCAAGCCCGACAATTCGTAAGCTGGCATCAGGACTTATTTTCGGGCTGTTGGAGATGCAATGTTGAAGGCAAAATTAAAAGTTTATTATTAAAATGAAAAGATATATAGTATGGACAAGAAGGATAGCGCAGATGCTGATGTTATATAATTCTACAAGCGGTTTTGGCGCTCGTCGCTTCGCTCCTCGCGGACCCGCAAAAAGTAGAATTAGAAATTTTAAACGGGTAGCAAGAAAAGTTAGATATTACGTCTAAAATATTAAGTATATAGCACTGTTTATAAAGTAGATTATGAAGTTAAAAGATGTAAAAAACAAAATAGCTTGGTATTTACGATATTTCAAAAGGTAAAATTTCTTTGGATTAGAATATTCATGGTTAAGTTGTCAAAGTTGTCAAAGTTGTCAAAGTTGTCAAAGTTGTCAATATTTTTAATATGATTTAAGGTGATATAAGCGTGGAGTTGAAATATTTTGTATTTTGAAATTTTCATAATATGAAAGACATTTAAAACAATTATTGTTGTAACTACATTTATTATTAAATAAGAATATATATCCTTTTTGATGTTTGTTTTTTACTTTTTAATCTTATTATATTTATCTGACGGTTATTAATATATATATTATTAATATTTTGGTCAAATTCAAATGGTTGAAATTGAATGGTAGAATAATTTATTGATGAATCAAAGAAAAATGAATTGATAAAGTTTTTATCGAAACCCTAACCCTGATGTAAATTTTGCGATTCCTTAATGTTTTCAATCTTGTCAGAAATTAATAAGATGAATAGAATAGTATAGGTTTTTTTATTTTTTTTTTATTTATATTTTTAATTTTGCACAAAATATTTGCATATAATATGGACAGATCTTGAAATGAATTATGTTGTGCTTTAAAAATTTCAGAGATTTCAGAAATTTCAAAAAATTTCAAAATTGAAAAACATTCAAGATAATTCGTGGTAATTATTTATCACCGAATAAAAAATATATATCTTTTTAAAGGTTTAATTTTCATTTTGAAATAATGTTACAGATACTTGATGATAATTAATGTAGAAATTATTAATAGTTTCATCAGTTTTGACATGGTTTAAATAAAGTAATTCCATAATTTATTGATGAATCAAGAAAAATGAATTGATTGGGTTTTCATCAAAAACTTTAATATTGATACCAATTTTGCAATTCTCTAATGTTTTTAATCAATTTTATCACAATATAATTAAATGGGCAGGTAGGGTAACTCCCTGACTTTTTTTTTTTTATTTTTCAATTCTGATTTAATTTTTTATTTTTATTTTTATTTTCAATTCTGATTTAATTTTCCATTTACATTTTCATTTTCATTTAAGATTTTTTGATTTTTTGATTTTTTAGTAAACATAAAATAAATGGATATATAATTTGTGTTGATATTTTCATTTTTATAAACTGTTTGATTTAATGTATATACATTCCTAATTAGTATATTTGCGGCTTTTATTTGTTTTTGTTTTTGGATTTTTTTTATTTATAAACTGAATACCATTTTATATTTAATTGATAAATTCAAAAACAATGATAATATAGATTTTGATATATGGATATATATATATATTTTCTAAGGGTGTGATAATTTTTGTTTATGGATAATCTAGTTTTGACAAATTGATGATTTCAATGTAAAGAATATAAAAGAATAATTAGAGCATGTGATTTTATATGTGGGGTGACTTTTTTTTTTTTTAAAAAAAAAAAAAAATTGTCGAACAGGAAAATATCACCTGGGTGAAGTCGTTTTTTTTTTTCCAAAAAAGTGAGACTTGATGGCCAAGTTTATAGATAACCCTTGAATAAAAACAAACAAACAAACAAACAAAGATAATTAAACTTGACTTTTTTTTGTGAACTAAAATTAAAAATTATCTTTGGGTTTGTTAAAAGTCAATTTTTAGTTTCAAATTAATTTTTTATTGTGAGAACGGATCTTTATATAGTATGAACAAAAAAGGATAGCGTTGATGCTGAGTCTATCTTGAATAAAAATACAAAAAAAAACATTTTTGAATAAATTTAAAAAAAATATTAATGTTCTTTTCTTATACAAGAATAAAAGGATAAATCTTATATAAACTTCATAAGGTTGGGCGCTAGTTAAACGCTATTAACATTAGGAACGACCAAAGTTACAGCTACAACCAAACCTAGAATAAATTAAGCTCACATTAATAAAAAATCACTTTTTTTTCTTAGTCTAATCTTATATCAAAAAAAAAAATCGATAACTAAATTTTACATATATAGTCTCATTTATCGCCTCCTCATTTTAGTGTATATTTAACGCTTTAAAATGTCGATTGAAAATCTTCATTCATAGTCTTTTTCTCGAATCCACGTTCTGAAAGTCATTTGATTATGTAGTCTATCATAGCAAAAATAGGTTTAGGTGAGAGGTCCAAATTTTTTTTATGTGTATTCACTTGGTGAATTTGTTAAACAAATCTAGCATGGGAATTAAGTCAACAGTGTAATTATAAGCAAGTCTTTTTTTGTGCCATAATAACTAAAATGTTTTGTGTTCGACTCAGGCCCGGGGAAAAAAAATTATTTTTCATTACAAAGTATTTTATTTGCTATTTAAAGGTTGACTAACTTACAAGTTATAAGTTAATTAACATTTCAAAATTTAAATCATATATTTATCTACATATAAACAGTTGGTTAATTAATGCATAACATATTTTACTACCACTCATGGTAAGTTCATTTTCTTTTCTTTTCATTCCTATAGATTTCGTTTTTGAATTTTTATTTACTAACACTGTCCAGGTTTGGCCAATTGTTGCAAGTTTAGTTGGGGCTTTGGCTTTCACTTCAGCCCGAGCTGCGTGCCGTGCATACGGTCGTCTTAAAGCCATGCCACCTGAAGCTTTCTACGGAAACTTCAATAGCTATGGTGGAAAGTCAGCTCATGACAAGTACAACCGGCCCTTTTACGAGGGTGGATTTGATGCCCAAATGACAGTATCAGAAGCCCTTGATATATTGGGCATGACTGGCGAAGCTGAGTTGACCAAGAGGGCGATTCGCACAAATCACAGAAGAGTCATGCTTCAAAATCATCCAGACAAAGGTGGTTCTCCATATCTAGCGACTAAGATCAACGAAGCTCGCGAAGTGTTAGATAAAGTGGCGACCCGGTAAGATACTGCGACACACGTGTACTGTATATTACGCAAAGCCCTTGAAAACTTGAGAATGGGCTGGCAGTCACAAACAACAAATAAAAATGTGATTTGACTATTCTCTATCCATTGTAAATATTTTTTCTCCTTAAAATGACAAATAGACGATCTTTATTATCAAGAAAAACTGATCTTGTATATTTAATATACTTTGTTCAGCATGCCGTAGTCACTTTGCTCATTGACTCAACTGTTATTATTCCTTCGCAGTATCAATTGGGAATCCAGTCTTCACTGGCCAACTTTCATATCAAATCCAATAATGATGTTCTTCTCGAGTCTCCGCCTACTTGGTTAAAATCATACGTTTGGTTAGAAGTTTTATTTCAACTTCCACTTTTTATCGTGGGCCCGTACTATTTGTACAAGGGTGAGTAAAGCCAGAAAGGATTATGAAAAGTTTTATTCTAATTATTATTGTTATATGTTTAGACTCGAAAAAAGTTTACATTCCTATGCTGGTCTATGCAGTTGAAGCTGCAACAACCACCTTTGCTTGCATGATTGAAATTTTGGGAGTAAACAATCTGACTTTTGCTGAAAAAATGAATCTTCAGCTACTTTATGGTCCTATTATAGTTGTTGCTTTATGGATGGCTGTCGATATGAGTCTGAGAATTAATAGGTGGATCCCCAGTGACGACTTGTTTTCAAAGTCTAAATAAGACTTGACGAGCCGAGGTTCTAAATAAGTGGTGGAAACCACGAAAAAAAAAATGGACGTCTCCACCACCACTTTTTTCAAACCTTTTTTTGATACTTTTTTTTTTCCCTCCACATTTTAATTTTCAACCTTTGAAAGAATCTTTATACTTTTCAGTAAACAATTAATCTTCCTTTATTTCCATTTCCATTTTTATTTTCGATTTTATTTTTATTTTTATTTTTATTTTATATATTCATTTTTGAAAATAAAATGCCTTCAGCAGTGCCCATTGTGCCTGTTGCTGGAAGAAGTCTCAAAGAGGGACCTAAGTTGCCCCGCAAACTAACTCAAAACACCCGCACGGTGATTTTCTTTTCGGATCTGATTCCTCAAGATCATGTTATTCTATCCAATCAAATCTATCAGAAACTATTTCCTTCTGCGAAAACAACTGGTAATTTCGTTGTGTTAAATAGCCTTAATTGTAACAAGTGGACTCTTTTTGCAGTTTTACCCCGCCATGAAACCCTTTCTTCACAGCTAACGGTTGAGCAACTTCAGTCTCAATTTCCTCCCGACTCATGTATAGTGTCTTCACACTCTCGCTATGCGGTATCTTTTCTTTCTAGTGTGGCATTAGTTTGCTCGATTATTCCTCCAGTTTTGGATCAAGTGTTGATTCTATGCTCTCCTGATATCTACACTACCCTTCACCAGAAAGATCATAGCCGTCTTGTTGAAATAATCCAATCCTCTGGATCCATTCTTCGACAGGGTGAGTTTTGTTCGGCTTTGGGAGGACTTGTCAAGCTATGTGATCCCGTCGATCAAGGTATTGTTGATTCCCAAATAACTAAGGTCACCATTGTCAAGGACAAGTCACTTTCTATGATACCAGCCGCACAACAAACACCACATCTTACCAACGAAATCTCTGAACAGCCTGGCTTTTCCGATGATATAGATCAAATAGATGCGGAAATTTCAAGATATCTTGATTTTGTGAACGACTGGGACTCTCCAGAAGACAACCTAGAATCTAGCATACTAAATACATCTCCAAATGGATCAACATTGGAAGATAGTAAGACGGAATCTTCTGCAACCCCGCTTACCTTTTCAAAACCAATAGCAATCAAGCCCCTTGAAAAACCAATTCATCCTGCTGCAATCATCCCCCTTCCTTTCCCCAAAGATGACCCTGAAGCTCGAGGGTTTGCTAAAATTGAGTTTCTTGCTGAAATTGGATGTTTCTCTGGTGATGTGGTAAGTATTAAACAAAATCCCCCATGTGATTTAAGAGTGCTAATCTGCTATTTTCTAGGTACTAATTAAAACAGCCACAGGCAAACGACACATAACTCTTTTTTCATACCCAGAACCCAATACTTGCCCTTCACGTACGCTTTATGTGTCCCCTGTGTTTTTTTACAATTTAGGTTCTCCTTTTGAAATTCAAATTGCAAAACTTTCTGCGGGAAAAACAGACACTACCAAAATTAAGGAGGTATCTTACACAGGATGTCTGCAAACAGCCAAAGAGGTTACAATTTCTCGAATTGCTTCTGCAATTACAACAGATCGCACTCTTCAAGTTGCCTTTCTCTCTGGTCTTCGAACTTATTTTGAAGCCAGTTTTCGTGTTGTCAAAAATGGTGATATAATTGCTATACCTATTGATACCATTCTTGCGAAAACATTGGAGGATATTGATGATGCTGGTGCAATACCTGTTGGAAGACCTAATGAAGTTGCTTGGTTTAAAGTTACTGCTCTCAATTACGCGGAGAGTGATTATGACGATGAAAAGCCTTTAGTGACTGATGATGACAATGACAATGACTATATTATTAATCCTTCACAAACAAGGATGGTTCAGTCTGGTATTGTCACAGAAAATTCTATTCCAACAAGTTTACCATGGAAACAGTACCTTTCACTTCCATTATATCCTTACTACAATCTTGATGATTATTCCTCTCCTAAGTTTGAATATGCTCGCAAGCTTCACCAATACTTCTCTGCAAGTATTTCTCCTTTGGGTGTATCTTTGAAAACCACGATTCTTGTTCATTCTTCTAAAAGAGGTACCGGGAAGTCTTCTGCTGTCCACAGTGTTGCAGCGTCTATGGGAATTCATGTCTTTGAGGTTGACGGATTCAGTACTATCAGCGACAATGATGCGAAGACTTTTGGTGTTTTACGTGCCCGTCTTGAGCGCGCTTCTGAAGTTAGTCCTTGTGTTGTTTTTATTAAGCATATTGATGCTTTTGCAAAAAAGTCTGAGCAAGATGGAAAGGAGGGTGCAGGCATTACTTCCAATATTATTAACTTGTTCAACACTATTCTTTCAGAGAAGGAAAATTTCATAATCACTGCTACAGCTGCAGATGTTGACAAATTATCGGATTCAGTAAGAGCCCTTTTTAACTTTGAAGTCGAAATTGGTGTTCCTTCTGAAGATGAGCGCAGAGATATTTTTCGTTACATTTCCAAAACCCAACTTCCGGAACAAGTATCTGAACAACGATTTGGACAAAGAAAATTATCTTATACATTTGCTTTACGTGGTGATGTTTCTATTGATACCTTGGCATTACAGTCAGCAGGTTTGACACCACCAGATCTTATTTCCATTGTTCAGACTAGTAAACAAAAGGCACTTACTAGATTACAAAATATTTCTAAGGAAACTTCTTTGGAATTATTTGATCTTATTTTAAGTTCCGGTGGTGTCATTAAAATTACACCTGATGATATTGAAGATGCTATCGGCGAAGCTCGTCGCAAATATTCCGATTCTATTGGTGCTCCTCGTATTCCTAATGTTTCATGGGAAGATGTTGGAGGTCTCGAAGGTGTTAAGAAAGAAATTCTTGATACTATTGAAATGCCACTTAAGTATCCCGAGCTTTTCAGTGGTGGAATGAAAAAGCGCAGTGGCATTTTATTTTATGGACCACCTGGTACTGGTAAAACACTTCTTGCCAAAGCTATCGCCACAACATTTTCCCTCAATTTTTTTTCTGTTAAAGGTCCAGAACTTTTAAATATGTACATTGGTGAATCTGAAGCTAACGTCCGAAAAGTTTTCCAAAAAGCTCGCGATGCAAGACCTTGTGTTGTTTTCTTTGACGAGTTAGATTCAGTGGCTCCAAAGCGTGGTAATCAAGGTGACTCTGGTGGTGTTATGGATCGTATTGTATCCCAACTACTAGCAGAACTTGATGGCATGAGTGGTGGAGGTGGTGAAGGTGTTTTTGTTGTTGGTGCTACAAACAGACCAGATTTGCTTGATGAGGCTTTGCTACGTCCTGGTAGATTTGATAAAATGCTTTACCTTGGCGTATCAGATACCCATTCAAAACAACAAACTATCTTGGAAGCTCTAACCCGAAAATTTAAGCTTTCTGAAAATGTCTCTTTAGAAAAGGTTGCAAACAAATGTCCATTCACATATACTGGTGCCGACTTTTATGCTTTATGTTCCGACGCTATACTTAATGCTATGACTAGAACAGCTGGTGAAGTTGATGAAAAGTATAATAGGTATAACCTAGAAGAGCGCCAAGCTAAGGATCTTAAAGAGATTTCAATTCGATCGTGGTTTGAAAATGTTGCTACCGATAAAGATATTGATGTTCTTGTGACAGAATCCGATTTTGATAAGTCTCTCCGCGAGCTGATTCCTTCAGTGAGTGCTGATGAACTAAAACATTACATGAGGGTTCGTGATAATTTTCAAGGAGGAAAGACCAAAGCTAAAGGTGAGGCTCAACAAGTTGAAAAAGGAAGAATTGAAGAGATTGATGATATTGATGGTATTCTTTCTGAATCAATTAAACAAGCGATTGGTGAAGCTACAAGACAGGCTGGTGCTTTAAACATTAATGGAACAAATAATTTTTCTGTTTCAAGATCAACCGAGTATGCCATACCTAACAATATAGCTTCCGAAACTAGTTCTTCTTCATCAACTCCACTGGCAATTCCAGCGTCTTCTGATCTTCACAGTGTTAATGGCGCTTCAGAACAAGACCTTCTTACTCAGTTAACTAATGGAAATGGTGCTGTTAATGGAAATTCTAGTAACCACGGTGTTACTAGTAATGGAATTAAAGGTGATGATTCCGAGAAAAATAAAAAGAAAAGTAAAGGCAAGGGCAAAGGAATCAGTAAAAAACACTTGACTCCCTGATTCTATTACTTACTAATCTTTATAGATGTGTTGTTATTAGAATATGTATATAAATAATTGAATCACTATTAACATAACTACTCAACAATTAAGCTAGTGTTTCAGAATATATATGCTTTACAAAATCATCATATCTTTGAGTACCCATTCGGAAGAACAAGAAATAACTTACGGGTGGAGATCATAATTTATTTAAATTTGACTTTTGTCGATAAAACGTACCAATAGAATTTAGTTCATTTATAGTTAATAAAAAAACAGCCCTACGGGGGGCTCGAACCCCCAACCTTGAGATGATTTTTTTAAGAGTCTCACGCGTTTTCGATTTAGCCCAATTAGGAAAGTGTACTTTTTTTCCTCAAAATCCGCCTTTTTTTCGTAACGCGTTTTTTAAGGATCTGTGGTATCATAATATCACAGTGGAGTCGAGGGAAAGGGCTGGATGGTGTAAAGGATAACACAATCGCTCAAAAGCGGAAGATACTGGGTTCGATTCCCAGAATACCCCCTTTTCCTGAGGATGTGTACGGGAGTATACACCTAGACTGAAAACCATAGGCTACCCTGGTTACAGGAATGCCGACTCTTCCGTACAGTCTAAATAGCCTGCAAGTGATTGCGGACCGTATCTCTGACGGAAGAGATTAAGAAATACATGGGCGTCCGTGAAGATAAGTGGAAATGGGTTGGGAAGGTTTTGGGACCGACAGACTGGTTCTCCCTGTTCCTCGTAAGCTGGCATCAGGGCCCATCTTCCGGGCTACCGGAGACGCACATAACAGAAACCACCCGTACTAAAAAGGTACAAATGAAAACCGGCAAGTCACATAGTCAGACAATAAAAGGATAGCGCAGATGCTGATGTTATATAATTCTATAACCCTTGAATAAAAACAAACAAACAAACATCACGAGAGGAACCCCTGTTACTTGTAAACTGGCATCAGGATTTATTTTCGGGCTGTTGAAGATTCAACTTTGAAGCCAAAATTAAAAGTTTATTATGAAAATGAAAATATATATAGTATGGACAAGAAAGATAGCGCAGATGTTGATGTTATATATATAATTCTATAACCCTTGAATAAAAACAAACAATGCGCATCCCAACCTTCAATATTCTGTAGATGCTCTAAAAACTACCATCAAGTAACCTGTAAAAAAATACAATTGATCTTGATATCGGCAAAAAAAATAACTGACACAGACAGGAATCGAACCTGCAGCCTTTGGATTTGGAATCCAATGCTCTACCATTGAGCCACTGCATCAAAATCCTGAAATAAAAATATGTATTGCTTTTTCAAAGATATTGATTAAAATTACAAAATATCAAGTAACTGAATTTTAATTTTTTCAAATAGAAATAAACAAAAGATTGTTTAAAATTTTTTAAAAAACATAAAAAAAAGCACAAATAACGTTTTTTTTATTTTTTTTGTTCAGATATCATCTCTTTTCCTTCAGGGAGTATACCGGACCACTCACCTTATCTGAAACCCTTAGTTACTCTGGACAAAGCTAACATCCATTCAGTATAATTATCAGAAGGCGACCACGGGCCGTATCTTTGGCTGAAGAGATTAATAAATACATGGGCGTTTGTGAAAAGAAGTGGAAATGGGTCAGATAGATTTAGAACCGACAAACTGGGTTTCATTGTTCCTTGTAAGCTGGTATCAGGGCCAATCTTCCGGACTACTGGAGGCACACAGACCAAAACCTCCCGTATTGAAAAAATACACCAATAGATGGTAAGTCACCTTAGTCAGGCAATTATAAGAATAGTGTTAATGCCAATGCCAATGCTAATATACTTTTATTCTTTGAATAAAAACAATCAAAGTCTTAATTCAACTTTTTTTTCAAGAGATATTTATATCTAGATCTGGTAATTAGTGAGATCCAAAAATCCTTTTGCTAACTTTCAAAGCAATTTGTTTTGATATCTGAAACAATCCAAATATTTTTGATCACAAGTATTTTTAAAGTGAAACCTTTAGATGTTGCCAGGTTAAAGTGTCGCTGAATTAAAATTCACAAATTGATTGAAGTTAAGAAAAAAAAAAGCTTCTATTTGGTAAAACCCTTTCTAGCTAATGCAAATAATGAAATTATTCTTTTAATTAATATTAGAAACTTGACAAACCCTTGAGCTTATAAGAGTGCCCAAATGGAGAAACCTGGTTTAAGATTGTACATTAGCGCCTATTATGTGGATGGACCAATAAGTTAGTTTTCTGTGTCGCTCCTCCCAAAAATATTTTTTTTAAAAAAAAAAATCCAAACCACCAGAAAAAGCTAAAAGGTTTGCCACCAAAATAAGAAGGAGTTAAGAGATACACGCATAACTTAGTCTGTAATTTTTTTTAACACCGTCATTCTTTCTTGATTGGAAATATATATATATATTTCATTTTCATTTTCATATTCATATTCATATTCATATTCATATTCGTTTTCATTATCATTATCATTTTATTTTTAATCACCTTTTCACCTTTTCTCGAAACGTTTTATCTCAACATTGGTTTTTTTAATTCTACTTTGTATGGTCACTTGCTGCTCACTCTTATTCTACCTTGGACCTTATCGCAATGGTACCTCTTAACGACCCACAGGAAAATCTGACGTCAAACCAAGACCCTACCAAATATGGTGAAGGAACTTTCCAGCGAAGTCTTTTAGGCCACCCTAAACAACAAAATCAACCGACATCTCAGATCCTAAATCCTCATCAACAATCGTTTGCTTCACAACCGACCCAGCAATCTCTTTCTTTTGATCGGAGCACCCCAAGCTACACGTTTGATCCTTCATTTTATTCGCCTGCAGGGCAACCAACAGGACCACAGGATGGATCCGTTTCTAGCGACTCAAAGTTTTCCAGTCAGCTCTCAGGATCTTCATCCACGAATGGTGGCATGCCTCCTCAACTAAAAAATCTTCTGGATTTAACTTCTCTCATGTCTATGCCTAACAATCAATCTTCACTTCCTCCAACTCCTAATAACAGCAATCTTACAAGAGAACAACCGGGCACAACTTCAGCGCCCTCTTTTCTTAGTTCTTTAGAAGAATCTTCTGCTGATTCAGGGAACCGAGTAAAACCAAAACGTCGTCGTAAACCTATTAACTGCAGCTTTTGTCGACGAAGAAAACTAAAGTGCGACCGTAAACAACCGTGCTCTTCTTGCATTAAAAGAAAGATGCAGGCTTCTTGTGTTTATGTCACTGAGTTACCAGGTATTTCTTCCTCAACTTCTTTTTCTTCCAATACTCCCACTCAAGAATATGAAAATTCATCAGAAACTCCTGGTGATAATGGAAGTCGCTTGTATTCAGGAAACAACTATGAGAACTATATGAATGGCGATTTTGCTATTCCTCATTCCACAGGAATAAGGACGTCTGTTGAAAATAGCACACGTCTTGCTCCAACATCTGAATCACAACAATCGTTATCCAACTCCTCGATCACTGGAAATATAGATGAGTCACCTATGGATACCACCAACCCATTATTAAATCAAGTTCTTGCCTCTAATCCAAAATCTAATTTGTCTCTAAGCGGTTCTTCCCTTGATAGCAATAACAAGAAAAATGATGGCGTTCATATTATGAGTAATTTACCTCATTCCTTGGCCTCTTTCCGTGATGATCAAAATGCTCGTGACACTCCTTTTTCTCTGCCTTCATCTGCGCCATCTATTTCACTTTCAAACCCTCCAACGGGAACCCCTATTTTTACATCATCGACAAATGGTATTGATTCAACTCCAAGCTCTTCTTATTCTGAAAATAACTACTCTAGAAATTCATCTCGTTCTTATGCAAATAATGGTGACAGTGGCACTAGTCGTGGATATTCTCGGTCTTCTTCATTACATTCTGGTAATTCACCGCCTTATTCTTTGCACAATGGAGCTGTTCACCTGCGAAATGGTTCTAAAGTCTCGAATTCCCAAACTTCCATTGGGTCTCTTGCGCCATTATTTTCTAGTGCTTCTCGCCATAATAATACACAAACTCCCGGGATAAATAATACATCTTCGCCTTTACAATCAACACCCTCTTCTTCTAGTGGTATTTCATCTACTGGCACTCCTGGTGAGCTCCAATCTAGGTTAGACACAATGGAAAGACTTTTGATGACACTTATAAAGCAGCAACCTAGCTCTAGCGATAGAAATGATCAATCTGGTAATAATAGTCGAAATGGAAGCATTCAAGAACCACCTAATAAAAACTCATCTTCAAGTAACCACCGTGGTAGTATTGAAAGCGACAAAAATCTATCTAGTTCTTTGGATGACAATCAAAAAAATGATGATACTATGGCTACACTTCGAGAATCACTTGGAATGCTAAAGCTAGACACAACTGGGAAAGCTGTATATCATGGCGACACACATTGGGGCTCACTAATAACTGAAATTGACGAAGTTACCGAGATTTTAGGGAAACTTAAAGCTGAATCATTACGTTTGTCGAATCAGACTGACACCTCAAATGAGAACCGCACTAGACCTTCAGCTAATGGAGAATCAACTCAAACACCTGAATCCTCAAATGGCCATTCCGCTCAAGGTCCTTTGGGGAGTGTTAAAAATCCTGCTGATCAAATGACAACAGGTGGGTGCTTTAGTAATAATTCTTACTTTGCTACAATTCAATCTAATGAGAGTTATATGAAAGTACTTGATACTTTACCTCCTCGAGATCAATGTGATATTTTAATTCAAAGATATTTTGAATCTTTCAATTTAGTCTTTTCGATCATTAATAAAACAACTTTTGATGTTGAATACATGGCATTTTGGGAGGATCCTTCTATAACAGAAATGTCATGGATGGCTGTTTTTCTTGGAATGCTTTGTCTTGGGCTACAATCATTTGCAACAGATACCATTGAATTATCTCTAGATGCTGATGAAAAAGCACCTACACCCGAAGCAAGTCGAAAAGTTTTTCCTGCACCATTTCGAGAAAATCCGGAGCAAATGTGGAGTTTGTGGCTAGAAGGTGCTGAGTACTGTTCAAACTCTTGGAAACTTAACTTTAAGCCTTCAATAACAAATATTCGAGCTATGCTTATACTCACTCTTTGCCAGCACCCTTCATCCTTTGATTACGATTGGATGGATCAAAATTGGATTGATATTGGGGATATTGTTCGTATTGCACAGACAATGGGTATGCATCGCGATCCTCAATGGTTTGCTCTAGATATTTTTGAACGCGAGGAGCGTCGTCGCTTATGGTATCTTATCCAAACATTAGATACCTACCAAACTCTTCTTCAGGGTTTACCTCCACTTATTCGTACTGGTACTACAGATGTGCAGTTCCCTGCTCATACAAATCTTTCAACTGTGGCTAAGTATTGGAAATATTTTCAGCCAGAAAGTAAAGACAGCTCACCTGATTCTGTCCATTCAGGTGTGTTAATGTGTGCACCATTCCCCATTCGAACAGACATGTCGTTTTTTTTAGCAAGAAGTGCTATTTCAATGTTTAGTACTCAAATATATAATATCACGACTAGTCTTGAAACTCCTAATGTTCCTTATGAGCAGATTCTAGCCTTAGATAGCAAGGTTCGCCACATGTTTAACCGCGCGCATCCATATCTTCAGCAATCAGTTATTGACAATAACTCTATATCTGGAATCGATGAAAATAATGGTGACGAAGCAAATAGCCCAGATAGCATCAGCAGTGTTGATACTTCTGTTGCATTGTTGGAGCGATTTTTATATGAGATTGACTATCTTAAAGCTCTTATGGTTCTTCACAGAAAGTATTCATCCAAAGGCTTGGAAAATCTAAAATATCGCCGAAGTCGGGAGGAAACAGTTTATAGCGCAGAGCGTATGCTTATGTTACAAGAGTGGTTTTACAAGTCAAAACGTGCTGCCAAATTGCGTCACAAGTATTCTTACATTGTCACTAAATTTGTGTTTCCACAGTTCACTCATGCTGTTATTTTGCTTGCTCTATATTTCATTGGAAATCATTTTGATTCATATCCCCTTCACACCGCTCGAACTCAATTAAGACGTATTGAGGTGTCTTGCAACATTGCATTTGATGTCGGTCAAAAAACAGGTGACTTACATGTTTCTAAGCATATGCATCTTCTTGTTATTCTTCTTCGTGAAGCTAAAACAGTTTTTAAGATGACTCCAGCTGAGCGTGAAGCGCTTAAAGCTCAGCGTCAGGAACGAAAGAAGCGTCATCCAAACAAGCAATTTACTGCTTCATCATCTGAAATCATGGACCAATATTTTAAATCTCCACCAGGAACTTGCACTAGATCTGAAACAGATGATTATTCTTCAGGTTATAATACCTTTTTTTATGCATCTTGGGAATTTGATACCATGAAGCGACAGGTTGCTACTTTCAATCAAAACCCAGATCAATATTATAATGAATGGAGACTAGAGCATTTTATGGATGTTGATGATGATCTTAATAGTGCACTGAATCCTAGCAGTTTGGGGTACAATATCCAAACTACGAATATCAACGAGCAAAATTCCAACCACCGTTCCAATCAACCTCAATCTTAAAAAAATTAATAAAATAGTTACTTACCAAGCCATCATCATAAAACTTAATGAAGCCCAAAATTCTGGTATTAATTAACTGATTATTAACCTTTTTACTTAGGCTTTTCAAACAATGTATATACTTATTAATTAATATATTTAAATTTTTACAAAAAACTAATTTAATATATTGAATAATTATTCAATATATATATATATATATTATAAATATATATATTTATATTATTCATGAACAATGAATTTTTTAAAATCGTTTGATTTACCAACTAAATTGTATCTTATTCCTTGAAGCTTTTGGATAATTTTGTTTTAGAATAAGAAACATTAGTGACTTGCCTTAATGAAGATTCAACTTTTGGTCGATAATCTTTCTTTATTTCATATTGTTTACAGGGATTTTTTATGTCGTTAAATAATTTAGGCCATTGCTTGAAAAGGGGGGATCTGAGCGTTTTGCTATTAATATTAACAAAAACATAATCATTTTCTTCATCATGATGAAATATATCATTTAACACCTCTTGATCATTACAGTATTGTTCGGTTTCATTGTAAAATTGTTCTTCTTCTTCATTTTCGTTTTCTTTACTATCATGTTCACACTGTTCGCCATTATTGCAATTGTTGTTAAAATCGTTTTCATTCGCATATGATATCTCGAGTGATGCGTTTAGTATTGGGCCTGCCTCAAAATCTTTAAAAAAGGTTGAAGAAGGTAGTTCTAATAACGTCTCCTGAAATCTAACTTTAGAAGATTGTTTAGGTGATTGAGAAGTTTCAAATGTGGTCCATAACTGCTTTGGCGATACCAAAAAAAACTTTTCATTGAAATTATCACTAGTCTTCATATAATCTTTATTGTTATTTAAAAAGTTATTCCCATTTTTGACATTAACAATAATATCATTATTAGTATTATCAACTGACTCAGAGCTATGTAAAATTCCATTAGTTTTTGATTCATTAAAAAATTTGATTTTTTTGTTGACATTTTTGATAATTGAATTATCTAAAATGATTTCTGTAAAGTTGTCTTGAGTGAGAGGTTCATTGTTTCGTAAAATATTTTTTTTGATGACATTATCACAGGTATTTGCAGAAAATAAAATAGGATCAAAACAGGATTTCATTTCATCAGCTGTAGGATTTCTATTCAATAAACTAGAATCATCAATCATATTTGGGTTTGATTCTGAATTCATTGAATCATGAATCAAAGTCTTAGAAAATATTTGCGTATACATTAACGGTATTTTGAAAATGGAAATGAAATTTTGACAGTTGTAACAATTTTTTTAAAAAAATAAGAGCAAGAAGTTTTCTATTATACATATAATCTTCAAATATTTATAATAAAAATTGAAGTGAAGTCTTCAAGTTTATTGGTAACCAGATCTGTTTAAAAAAAATATTTAAACAATACTAACATTTAGTATTAATGCATTATAAACGATTGTTGAGTTAAGATCTAATCTAGCATTATATGATTAACTTTTTTCTATAAAAAATCTAAAGAATAAGCAAGATACATCATAATTAATGCAAAATATCTGGTTTGAAATAGGTCACCTTGAATAGTGACAATCGGTTTTCAGTATTAATAGTATTAGTAATAACCCGATATAACATCCAATATAAATTTGAATGTTTTTTTTTTTTTTAAATATTGAATTGATTAATATCCTTATTAATTTTTTTTAAAAAAATAATTAATGCTGGTACCTACTGTTACTGATCAATAAGTATCATACACCAATATAAAATCGGGAAATTTTTGATTTCAAGACTTTTTATTTGATGCAAGGTTTAAGAAAATTTTGAAAGTTGTATAAAGACATTTAAATTTATGACCTAAAAAAATCATTAAAACCTTTTGGATTAGCGTACTATTCAAATGAATAATAACTATATAAACAATACATTTATTAGGAACAAATTTTTATTTGAAAAAGTATCACGTAATGTGTTTTTAAGAACATTCACAATATTGTAATAGTTCCAATTTGTTAAAAATACAAAATAAATAAGATATATAAGATATAAATTTATAAACATATATGTACATGATAGGGAATATTTTCAATAATAGAGGGCAAATAAAACCCATTTAAACCCAGGTTAGAATAGTTTGTGACCTTAATATTATTACTATGTAAAAAATTTAAAATTGAATAATAACACAGTAAAGTGTGTTTGAAACAAAAGATATTGGTTTGAGTAGTTTGGGAGTACATGTAAATTTTAAAAAAGAAATATACTATATTAATATATTAGAAGTTTAACTAAAAGATATCTTTTCTTTAAAAAAACCTAAAGAAGTCTTACAAAAAAAAGTATTCAATTATTAGATATTTGTATGATAATTACATATATATGTAATATATATATTAGTACCTAACATTAATCAATTTATTAATGTTATTATTTCTTTAACTATCTTTGAGGAAAACAAAAAAACAGCATTAGTAGTAGCAAATAATATGACAAAAATATCTTGTAATGAACTTCAAGGCGTATTAAACTTTGTTTTACTTTAAACATTTGTAGTAATCGCTTAAGTTGCAGAAATTAAGAAATCAGGGTTTTCCATGGAATGTATTTTTATTTGAAATAAAGAACTTTAAAGAAGTGAATGCTTATAAATATATGTTTAGCAAAAGAGAATGTTTAAAAACGCTAGAATACGAGTTTGGCAATTCTCGTGTATCCACATAACAGACAAGATGACATAAACTTTCAACCCTGTCTTAAAGGAATTCCCTAATTAAAATTATTATAATAAATTTTGGGTAATTAGATTAAAGGAACCACAGCCTTTTCATGCGTTTGTAAGTGTGACTATTTTGTTTGCTTAAAAGATGAATTTAATTTTTTTTAAAAAAACAACTCATTGGATACGCAAGATCTTGCGCAACCAACAAGGTTATAAAAAATTAAAAATTCTGTTAATTATTTAATTCTAATAGGTTTTTATTCAAATGAAACGTTTTTTTTAAAAATTTCAATAGAAAAGAAAAAAAAATTCAATTGGCTATACAATGCATTAATCACAATATTGTTAAACCGATTTGCGCTGCAGTTAGCACTTGGTCAAGTGAAACATAACATATGCCTGTTAAACATGGAATGTCTCTAGCTTTAGTAAGCCAATTAACTTTTTTAATGGTTTGCTACACTTTGCTTTTCGACGTTAATTAATATCATTTTTTCAAAAAAGTTTTAAGTGCATTTCACTTTGAAAACTTGTCCGGATTGTTTACTAATAATTTCACCAAAAAAATCGGGCAAAAATGATCGTTAAACTTTGATATCATGACTTTATTTGCATAGAGAGGTTCTGATAATATATTTCTTTCATCAAAATAAATTTCCCGGGCATGATTTCACCATGATGTTTTAAAACTCACTAACTGCCTTTTTAGGTCTTATTAGAATTTCGTCAGCGAACAATTTTTTATAAAAAAGGAAAATGTGAAATTCGATTAATTGACCCTAATATTAGAAAAAATATATTAATAAACAAGTAGCTGTTAAATATATTTTACTTATTTCATAATTATGGAAACTTATAAGTTTTTGGCAAAGCTTTGATACCACTTTTTAAAAAAGGTGTATTCACTTTACCATAACTGGTTTTTATTATTCCCTCTTAATCTTTTACAGTTTCAATTAGAATGATTATTTATATTTATTATATTTATACGTTGAGAGCAAGAATATAATAATTATTAAAATAATAAATCAGTAGCTAAATAAACATTGTTTGTTTGTTTGTTTTTTATTCAAGGGATAATTTTATATAATATCAGTATCTGTGCTATCCTTTTTATTCTTTCTATTTATATTTTCCTTCTCATAATAAACCTTTAATTTAACTTCAACATTGCATCTCCAACAGCCCGAAAACAAGTCCGGTCATCTTACAATAAACTTTAAGCTTAAAATAACCATTGTTTGTTTGTTTGTTTGTTTGTTTTTATTCAAGGGTTATAGAACTATATAACCTCAGCATCTGCGCTATCTTTTTATTGTCTGACTATGTGACTTGCCGGTTTTCATTTGTACCTTTTTAGTACTGGTGATTTCTGTTATGTGCGTCTCCGGTAGCCCGGAAGATGGGCCCTGATGCCAGCTTACGAGGAACAGGGAGAACCAGTCTGTCGGTCCCAAAACCTTCCCAACCCATTTCCACTTATCTTCACGGACGCCCATGTATTTCTTAATCTCTTCCGTCAGAGATACGGCCCGCAATCACCTGCAGGCTATTTAGACTGTACGGAAGAGTCGGCATTCCTGTAACCAGGGTAGCCTATGGTTTTCAGTCTAGGTGTATACTCCCGTACACATCCTCAGGAAAAGAGGGTATTCTGGGAATCAAACCCAGTATCTTCCGCTTTCGAGCGAACGTGTTACCCTTTACACCATCCAGCCCTTTCCCCTTCTGCAATCCTTGTTTGTTTGTTTGTTTTTATTCAAGGGTTATAGAATTATATAACATCAGTATCTGCGCTATCCTTCTTGTCCATACTATATATTTTTTTATTTTGATAATAAACTTTTAATTTTGGCTTCAACATTGCATCTCCAACAGCCCGAAAATAAGTCCTGATGCCAGCTTACGAGGAACAGGGGGTTAAAATAACCAAACCTTCCCAACCTATCTCCACTTGTCTTCATCAACGCTGTAATTGTATTTCTTAATCCCTCCAAGCAGAGATAAAGCTTACAATCTCTTGTAAGCCAGTTAAACTGTTTAAGAGAGTCGACATGTCCATCTCTGGAGATATCCGTTTCAGTCCTTTTCTTTCCTCTTCAAGCAAAGGACACTCAACTAAAATGTGATGAACTGTTTCCAGCTCTCCACATTTGCAGTTGTAACTATCCTTTTCAATTCCAAACTTTTTAAACCATGCGCCAAAGTTGCCATGGCCTGTGCGAAACTGAGTAATATTACTCAAGATCCTTCGACTATCTTTCTTCATGATCACTCCCGTAACCATTTTGGAAAGATTATCAGTACATTTCGACTCCACTGTGATATTATGATACCACAGATCCTTACTGCTGTTCCAATACATTTCTTGCCATTCTTCCATTGCTTGTTTCTTCAAAATTCCAATCGTCTGATTTTGTTGTTGTTTCAGTGTAAGAGGTTCAACCCTCTTGCATTTTCGTTTTCCATCCTTTTTATTCATATAGTCTCTATCATCTTTCGCCAACATGTAAAGCGTGGTTAGCTTTGCAATTGGAGATTTCTCAATCAATGTTAACAAATGACCATTAATAGGATTAGTTTTGCTAATATTTAGGTGTAAACGAATAGCTTTTCGTGCCACCATAAATTTTAGCCTAATACTATATGGCATAATACCAGCTTCCTTTTGTAGTACCGCAATAGGAGTTGTGCGATAAGCACCAACAATTCTTCTTAAAGCCATATTCTGCATTACTTCCAACTTGTGGATTTCTCCTTTCAAAATTTTGTGATGCCAAATTTCTAAGCCATATTCGACAATTGGTCTCACGCAAGCAATATACAGTGATCTGACTGCAGACCCTCGCATACCTTTTGCACGCCACCAAGATGCCAAATAGCACCAACAGCTTTTCTTGCTTTATTGATTTTATTCAAAATATGAGATTTAAAATCAAGCAGATTGTTCAAAGTAATTCCAAGCAATTTAACTTCCTTCTGGGGTTCACGAAGTTCTCCATTAGGTAAAGTAAGTTGCACTTTCTCATCTTTAGGTTTCACATTTTTTGTAAAATGAATAAAACCCAATTTATCACCCAAATCAATTTTGGTCATTCTTGATTTAGCCCAATTACAACATTTTTCTAATATGTTGCTTAAGCTTTTGGTATTTTCTTCAATTTTACCTTCAACGGTAATAGTCACATCATCAATAAAGCCAAAAGGAGTTCCACCCCATTCTTTAATGGCATGATACATTGGTGTGGAATATATCAAAAAAAGTAGTGGTGAAATAGGTGAGCCTTGCGGAATTCCAGTACTAATTTTTTGCACTGATCCTTTTCTTCGGTCCATGAGCATACTAGCTTCTCTTTCACTTACAAATTGGTACGTCCAGTTTATAAGTGCTTTGGGTAGTTTCATATCCTCCATTGTGTGTGCCAATATATTTCTGTTAACATTATCAAAAGCTCCTTGAATATCAATGAGCATAGCTGAAATTTTTTCTTTACTAGTTTCAATTCTTTGGACAAGTTCCAAAACAGCATCAGTAGCACAATAACCTTGTCTTCCCCCATATTGCTCTGGTGGAAGTAAGTGTGTTGTAAGCTTGGTCATTCTTTTTTGTATAATTTTTTCCAGTACTTTAGATGGAATCTTAAGTAAGGAAATTGGTCGGTATGCTCTTGGCTTTGAATAGTCAGGTTTCTTAGGTTTAGGTATAACAACAATAATGCCATGTCTCCAGACTTTTGGGTGGTATCCAAACTTCACTTCTGCAATCCTTTACCTATTTTAATATAGTTAAATTTTAATAGTTAGTTTTAAATTGTCCTTAAAGTAAAAACTTTTAACGAAATTATTTGCCTTGCTAGCTCAATCGGTAGAGCGTGAGACTCTTAATAAAGTCATCTCAAGGTTGGGGGTTCGAGCCCCCCGTAGGGCTTTTTTAATCTTTTAATTTGATATGGTTTGAAGGAATATATGGGTATTCATAATTTTTTATTTGCTACGTTTATTATATATATTACTTTCATTTAATTAAATCTGCTATAAGTCCATTTCCAATCATTATTTTATTATCCAAAAAAATTTTGATTTGTTGAAAGCAAGCTGTTTGTTTTTATTCAAGGGTTTTGAAAGCAAGTTTGTGAGTTTAGGCTGAAATACTTTGAATTAATATACACGAGCCTAAAATTATACAAAATAAACAAAAATAATTTATAATTTATAATTTATATAATATATTAACTACCATTCAGTATAGTCAAATCGTGCTAACTCTTTGGCACAAGCAATTACATCTTTTTGTGCCTTTTTCCGCATGTAAAATATGGGGCAATCCTTACTGGAACAAATAACTTCTTGATGCATTTCACCCTGACAACGCTGGCATTCAGTCCAAAGTTTCGAGAATTTGCTTTCAAGAGAGTTAAGTTTGGTTATTGTCGACTGATAATAGTAGGGTGCGTAGTCTAGGCAATCTAAGCATAATGCACCTTTTTCTTCGTCAATTACAGAATCATTTTTTTCAGCAGTTGAAATGGAAACTGATGTATTAAAATTTTCCTTGCCATCGAACTTTGACGAGGAAGAACCAGGTTTTATCATTGAGTTTGTGGATTTAGTTTTCTTGCGCTTAAGTGGTCGTTTACAGTGCATACAAACTTCAGTTTTCACCGCAAACTTCATTAAGCCACCTGTTGTAGGAGCGGCAACCCTGATGGTACGAGTATGATCGCCTGTCAGTAGCAAGTGAGCCTTCTTTTGACCAAGAATAGGCTCAAAAATACGTGTTAATGGATTAGAAAGTTGGTTGTCGAGATAATACTTGGTATCAATAGGCAAATTGTGCTCAAGAACGTAAATTGGGTCTTCACTTTTTTCATAGTTTTTTCCATTTGCACCACCTTTTATAATAACATAAGGAACACGATCACCGAGTTGAGGAGCAGAACCCGGATCGCGCTTGCGCATGCGCTCGGCGAGCTCAACATGAGCCTGCTTAGCAGCATAATCAGCACGAGAAATTTGTTTGGTGATGACAAGCAGGGACAAATCTACCTGATTCTGCATAAGCTTAGAAATAACCATCTTAACATATGCTTCAGCGCCAGCAACATCCCGCTCCCGTAAAATTTTTTGAAGGACTGTCTCAATAACATTTTGAACCAACCGACAGTTATCACGGCGAACAGTTTCAATACCCTTGGTATCCATTTTATCGGGTTTGTCAGTTTTGGTCCAGTACAATCCAGCATAACGTTTCTTATTGATGAGCAAATAAGGGAAGTAAACCTTTTCAAATTCTAATTTAATGGGCTTTATAAACTTTGTGGAGACAAAGTCGGCAGCTTCTAAGCCCATCTTCATGCATGTTTCAAGATCGTTTGGCCCAAATTTAACCATCACAGAATCAGTATCACCATAAATAACAGTAGCATTATGAGAGTACCCATTCTCTATTCTGTATTTTTGTTCGACCTCATTTTTTGTCCGTTCAATCATCACACGGCCAAAAGATGTGACAGAGGAAGAAATAGCAAGACATGGAAGTTTGCCAATAGTAGCACCAGTGAAGCCATAAACTGAGTTAGCAGAAATCTTCAAGGCAAGCTGTCTACCATCAAGAATAGCACGTTTGAAGGGGTCGGTTTCTTTCTTGAGATCTGCTTTGGCACGCTTACGGGCACTTAGAAGTTCGTTTAAAACATCGGGCAAAATGCCATGCCGTAATTTTGATTTTACAAAACAATCATTATTAGGTGTTCTGGTGTAATCTTCGTCCTCTTTAAGATTCAGCCGTTCAATAGTGTCTTTGTCTAGGAGAGTAGTATAACAAAGATTGTGAGCCATCATGATACTAGGATACAGCGAAGAAAAATCAAGAGTAGCAATCGGAACATCATAATAGCCGCGAATGGGTTCGATAACAGTAGCACCTTCGTATTGTTCGTCAGAAGAACCTTCGCTACGTAAACTGGGAATAACGAAGCCGAGATCCAGAGTCTTGCGAAAAAGTTGAGAAATAACTTTAATTTGTTGACCACGAGTCAAAAGATAAGAAAACGGAACTCCAGTGACACGAGCCATTTCGGTATAATTTACTAAACACATGAGTTTTTCCATTAGACGCATCGGTAAAAAGGCATCTTTAAGACAGTAAACCGCAAGACGTCTGCGTGTTTCACTGGTGCCGTTCTGTAAATCTGTAATAATTGAATGATGAACATCTTCTTTTTGTTCACCAAGAAAATGAGCTGATACACTATTAAGAGTGTAGCTACGGAGTTTAAACTCACGTCTGATGAATTGCAGCATATCAAATTGCATTCTGCCATCAATGTTGATTGATTTAGACTCGGAGGCTCCAAATGCTTTCGAATTAAATGTGGTCTTTTTGGCCTGTTGTTTAATGTTTGTCATACGTCCAAAATACGGGAAATCATTTAATCCCAATGCCTCTGCACGGTCTAGAAGATATGGAAAATCAAAGTTTGTTGTGTTGTAGCCAATTATAACATCTGGATCGCTTTTACGGACAAAGTCTCTCCACCTCATAAGAAGTTCCCGTTCTGTTTCGTTTTCAATTATCTGTGTACTGACAATTGGAGCGCACGTATTAAGTGTAAAGACGTTTCTGATAAATGGAGTAGACTCGCCATATGTATTAACTGTATTTGCAATTTGAATAACAGGATCTATTTCTGCCTCAGGAAAAACACCTTTGCGACCAGCACATTCAATATCAAATGAAAGGATACGCAAAGGAGCCATCTTTGACCAGTCTCCTTCAGCTGAATGAGAAATAATGTCGTTGTAATCAATCTCAACTTCAATCTGACAACGAGATAATCGCTTATTTTTTGGAACTTCTTTATATTTTCCTGCTGAGAGTGTGATCCAAGACATACCAGTGATCTTACAGTCAATCATAGCTCGAAGGACGTAGTTTATATTATCATAAGAAGTTCCTGGGTTGTTGAAAAAAACTGAGCCATTTGATGAAAAGTTGATTTCGCCACGTTCAAATGCGGCACGAATACGTTGGATGGAACGGGTATCTGAACAAAATATTTTTAAAAACGGAGACTTTACATTGCCATTGTATCCCCAAATAGACTCTTTAAGAACTATTTCAATGTCTTTGATTGACCCAAGTTCTTTTGTTTTGATGTGTTCTATTAACTTAGAAATTTCAGGTTTACGAAAGCCGACTGGCGCAGGAAAATAGAAATAGTGGCTGAAACCCGTCATGTCGCAAACAATAGAATGACCATCTTCTGTTACCCCAAAGAGTCTCACAAGGGAATTTCCATCATGAGAAGTCGCTTCTTCAGCGTCAAGCTGTTGAAAGTCTATGGACGTTAATAATGAAAATGAAAATATAAATATAAATATAAATATAAATTGCATACTTATTGTGTGTGTAGACGGATTAAAGTCATCTGGTATTGATGGTCTTTCCCACATTTGTTCTGTATCTATACAAAGATAAAAAAAAAGTTAGTTTGAAATTAGTTGAAAGTTATTTTTACGTACTCTTGACAACTGTATCTTGAGAGATCTGGCTTAGATCATGCTCAAAAGAACTGGATTCAACAACTTTTGAACGCTTATTACTGCTCTGAGAAGCAGGTGTAAAATGACCACGCTTCACCGGTGTTGGTTTTGCAGAAATAGACATTAAAAAGTTTGTATTAGTTATTAGTTAGATCAATAAATGAACAAATGAAATGAAATGAAATGAAATGAAATGAAATGAAAAGAAAAGAAAAAATGGAGTTGGTGAATTGTTTATCTTTGTAGAGGGTGGTGAAGGGAAACTTTTAGCAACAAACAATCAAAAAAAAAAAAAAAAAAAAAAACAAACAGACAGACAGACAGAAAAACGCGAAATTATGTAATACGCGTCTAGCCCGCGTTTTGTTGTTTGTAATGTTACGTGATATATTTTTGCCACGTGAAACCCCGTTATTAGTAATCTTGTTTAAAAACATTAATAATATTTTCTTGGCTTTGCATGTATTGCCTAACCGCAAACAATTACAATTTTTACGTCACCTGCGAAACTTTTCTGCCAGCCAGTCAGCCTAAGTGAACCACCCATATAGCAGCCAGCCAAACAGCCAGCTAAACACCACCGCTCAAACCTACTAAAGTTATCGCCGCCACTAAAACCTACCAAAACCACCAATTTTTGCTTTTTCATTCCATTTCTTCAGCTACGAACATATCCATTTCACAACAGGATTTCCCCCTGTTTCTCATAAAAATTTTCTAGCAGACTGCATTTATTACGCAGGCTGACTGGGTTTTTTTTTTTTTTGGTTTTTAATTTTGACCAATATATCAAATTAAATTAAATAAACTCCATTTTCTTTTTTTTTTTTGTTTTCACCACGATTTAATACCGGACCATTTTTATACCCTTTCAAAGCCTCCCTCTTTTTCATCCCCTGATTTTTAGCCACCATCACAATGTCATCAACTTCCAGCGAGAAAAATGAAACGAATTCTCGGACCCGAGACCATAATCAAGGTCGTCAAGATCGCGCTTACACATCTGCCCAAGCAGCAGCTGTAGAACGAGTCCGCAAATGCAAATCCACAAACTACTATGCTATTCTCGACATTGAGACTACCGCTACAGAAACAGAGGTTCGCAAGGCCTACAGAAAACTTGCCCTTGTTATGCATCCTGATAAGAATGGCGCCCCAGGTGCTGATGAAGCTTTTAAGAGTATGTTACCTTTGTGAGACTATGGTCGTATTTCCAGCGCTGAATAATCTTACTAATAATGTTCGTTTTCTGTCTTTTTAGTGGTAGCGAAAGCTTTTCAGGTACTTTCTGATCCGGACAAAAAACGGATATATGATCAAACTGGCTCAGATCCTGAATCTCGAAGCGCTGCTGCTTCCGGTATGAACGGGTTCAGCGGGTTTGGCCCAGGAATGGCTCGGGCCGGTGGTCCCGGTGCTGCCGGATTTTCAGACGATTTCGCAGACGAAATATTTCGAGCCTTTTTTGGCGGCGGAGCAGGTGGTGATGCTTTCCAAACTTTCGGTACTTCCTTTGGACCTAACATTCGTTTTCAAACTTTTGGAGGACCGCGGCGAGGTCCGGCCGGTGCGCGGCAAGCCAACGGAGGCAACGGTGTGCCTCAAGAACCTCAAGATTTTATGTCGAATCTGGTGCGTCTACTGCCGCTTTTATTGCTTTTTATCACACCGCTTTTATCTTCGCTTTTTGATTCCTCATCATCGTCAGGATATGTTCGGAACACCCGGTTTGAATTCACACCTAGTCCACCATACACAGAATTACGCACAACTTACCAGCACAATATTCCTTATTTTGTGAATCCATCAGACGTTCGCAGCATGTCAACAGGAAAACTGAGGCAATTAGATAACCGCGCTGAGTTGACATATTTGCGGTCGTTACGGGATATGTGCAATCGTGAGTATGAGACTCGACAACAGAAGATCATGGATGCTCAGGGATGGTTTTCCACAGATAAGGATGCTTTGGAGAAGGCAAAAAAGATGAAGTTACCATCTTGCCAAAAGCTTGACAAGTTGGGTATACAATATTGATGATTATATGATGTAAATCTTTTAAAATTTCAAAATGTTTTTTATGACTTAAACTGAATTTATTTTTAGGCGCGGCTACCATTCAATTATATTTTTACAAAGTTTGAATAGCCGTTTTTTTCTTCATTGGGATGATAATTGATTACTTTTCGCTTAATGAAGCCTTTTAAAAATTAACTATCCTTTTATTTAAATACCCCCTCTTCCCCCCCTTTTTTTTAATATATATATATATTCTTTTATTCTTATTATTGTTTTTTTTTTAGTTTAAAGCCATAGGTCAAATCAATTTTTTTTAATTATTCTTTTAGTCATTTTTCCAATACTACTTTTGCTTCAGCATTCAAGATACCTTTGTTTCAATATTATGTATCTGCTTTGGGTTATTGCTGTGATGATGGTAAACGTAGTTGCCTCAACAAACATAGGCACTACACGCATTTTCCCCATCAAAAAACTTGATAATGCCAGTACCAGCAGTTCCAAAAAGTTTCGACGGTCCATATCATCTTTAGACCCATCCACACTACTTTCTGTCGAAGACATTATTTCCAGCAGCTCTGATAATTTCATTAACAGTTTTCTAGGAGCTCACGCGCTTAATTCTGATGTTGCAGCAACAATTAGTGGCTCCACACAATTGATAGACAAAGGTTACTGGAAAAAAAATTCCCGCGGCGCTGTTTTCAAACACGGCTCACTTGATAGCCGCAGCATTATTATCGATAACAATAACACGTCCGATTCAATTTCATATTATGCTGAGATAAAACTAGGAACATTCAATGAGTCAACTGAGGAAAAAGTGTTCAATGTTATTGTTGATACTGGCTCCTTTTTTACTTGGGTCTACTCCTCCAACTGTACATTGGCTGAATGTGCTGACCATACGCTTTTTGATGCCGAACAATCAAAGACGGGCACTTTCACAGGTTTGCCTTTTGAAGTTATTTACAATACTGGACTTATTAATGGAACATTTATTCAGGATCGTGTTCGTCTTGCAGGCTTTGATTTTGGTAATCAATACTTAGGCTTGGCGAACAGTGGCCAGTCTAGTTTCTATTCTTATGCTGTAGATGGAATCTTAGGTTTTCCGTCAAAGGACCCAGATAGTTCAACGCATGGAATTCTTAATACTCTATATTTAGAGTCTCTTATTTCTCAGCGTGTTATTGGAATTAGTTTAAGCGGAGATAATGGAAATTTTACTGATAGTAACGAAGGAAGTCTTTCCATTGGTGGTCTTGATTCGGAAAAGTATTCTGGAGAAATTGAATATTACTCTATCAATAACTCTTCAATTTTCTGGGAGATTCCACTTGCCCGTACTCTTGTTAATGGAACAGAAGTTTCCTTTGCAGCCGGAAATAGCGACAATGGAACTAGGACAGTTATTGTCGACACAGGAACTACTCTTCTACTTATGCCACCTAATGATGCTCTCATGCTTCACAGTTACATTGGAAATTCATCCACTGATGGATCAAACTTTGTTATTCCGTGCAATTCAACAATTGAGTTTGCATTTTCTTTCGGTACCAATAGCTCCTCTCGTAACTGGACCGTTGGCCCCGATTCTTACATTGGTGAGCAGTATAATGATGAAGGATTCTGTTTAAGTAACATTCAAGGGCTTTATGTTGATGAAAAACAATGGGTCCTAGGTGATGTTTTCTTGCGTGGGGTTTATTCTGTTTTTGACATGGACAATGCCGTTGTTGGTTTTGCCACCAAAAAGTCTTCAAATACTAGTGTTACCCCTGAAAGCACTTTTGTTTCCTTATCTTTAAATTCATCTATAAGTACAACTTCAGAATCCTCTGCTACTGCTACTGCTACTGCTACCTCAACTTCTGGAGCTTCGGGACTCTATGTTGGGGTTTACACTTTAACATTATCTCTGATTTTGCAGTTTTTATTATGATTATAACACTATAGATTTTTTTTTTCTGTCTTTTAGAAAATTTTTGAGTTTTAGATTTAATTTTTTAGAAATGTTATTCTTTTATTTATCTATTTATTTATTTGAGAATTTAGAAAACTTTTATCTCTAATTTTAAAGAAGTAAACCATTTGGGACTATCCAAAACTTTTGGTCGATTGTTTGGTCTCAAACCTTAACTATATGCATTTAAGGTATTTTATTCTCTACATAAAACCAACAGAAAATTTTCCAAAAGAAAAAAAAAAAAATTTCAGCCGTCCTCGAAGCAAATTCAAAAGAAAATCTTCAAAACTACTTTCATCAATGCCAAACCTCTACGAATCGGCAGCAAAGATCCTTGAGTCATTGGCAAAGCCCAATGAACCAGTAAATAAAAAGAAAGACGCTAAAAAAGATACTAAAAAAGAATCTCAATCGTTTCCCTCTGTGACTAGTACCCAGCTTAAATCGCTCATATATACAAATAGTCGCAGTACCACCACAAATACAATCACATCTTCTTCTAAGAAGCAAGTCAAAAACACAAACAACCAAAACAATAATAATGATTTGCGTCAGCTGTATGCTATAGTTGCATCTACACTCAAATATGCTCCAATTTTAAGACCAGTTGTGCGAGCTTCAGATTTGCTCAATCCTAAGTTCCCCACTTTTCGTTACTTTGTGAATGAATGGCATGCCATGGCCATGGTCCAAGATTTGCTTTTTTCAAAGAGCGGTCGTATAACAGCACCCAAATGCAAAGCAAAAGAGGCGGTACTTCAAAATAAAACTCGTCTTCATGGTGAATTTGTTAAATGGAAGGTTCGTAACCGTGTTCGCGACCCCAAAACAGATCTCGAAAAGTTTACAGTTCCTATTCTTAATGATGCACAGCCAGTAACCAACCGTCATGACGATGACGACGAAAATTTAGACGAAAACGATGAGACTCCTGTGCGTTGGGTTCGTTTGAATGCTATTAAGTGTACCACTCCCGATGATCTGGTGTCTCGTGAGCAAGAACTTACTAATGAGGGCGAGCTTAAGTTTGTTTCTGATTGGCATGACATTCGAAAAAACACCGACCTTGTTGTTTACAAAGACAAAATTGTCGCAAACCTCTACGGTGTCCACCCCAAGCGTTTCCCTATCATCACCACTAAACTTTACACCTCTGGAAAGCTAATCATTCAAGACCGCGCATCTTGTTTACCTGCCACAATCCTTGTTCATAACCTCAAGGCTCTTGGTGTAGATCTGAAGCCACCTTCGGAGCTCCAAAGCGGACAAAAACTCAAAAAGGGTGAAGCTGACAAGAGTTCTATTCAGTTGATTGACGCATGCGCAGCGCCCGGAAACAAAACCACACATTTGACTGGGCTTTCTCTGACTGCGTATCCTCGCCTTTTTGCTGCCGCTTTTACCAAAAATGGTAATAAAAATCCCTTACAGCACAAGTTTGTGGCTGCATTTGAACGAAATGAGTTTCGCGCAAAAACTCTATCCAAAATGCTGAACGTTGCTGGAGCATCCAAATATGTAAATGTCAATGTTCAAGACTTTACCCAAAGCAAGCCTAGCGACTATCCAAATGTTTCTGGATTTGTCGTAGATCCCTCCTGTAGCGGGTCCGGCATTTTTGGTCGTAAGAACGCTGCTACGCTTGCTAACGAAAACAATGCAGAGGAGAACGAGGAGAATAGCGACAACAAGAAAACTTCTCTCACCCAAGACGAAGAAACACGGTTGCTTAAGCTAGCAGGATTTCAGTACAAAGTGGTCAAGCACGCTCTTTCTTTCCCAAATGCCCGTGTCGTTGTTTACTCAACTTGCTCGATTCATGCACATGAAAATGAGCATGTTGTAGACCGTCTTATGAATGACCCTCAAGTCGCACAAGCATGGGGGTGGCGTGTGCAATCACGCAAACATGTTGTGCCAGATTGGCCCCGTCGTGGTTTCCCTGAAGAGTTCCCGGTCTATGCCCAAAAGCATGCAGGAGAAGAGGATGAGCTTTTTGAGCGTGAAAGAATGGCAGAGGGATGTGTGCGTGCGTTACCTAAGGAAGATGGTGGCATTGGCTTTTTTGCAGTATGCTTTGTGCGTGATTTGCCTGAAAGTGAGGACAACAAGGGTGAGGGTGAGGATGAGGACGAAGTCTTGGATCAAGAAGAAGAATGGGGTGGATTTTCAGATTAACTTAAGACAAGAGGGAGAATAGTGAAAATAAATAGTTAAATAAATAAATAAACTCATTAATAACATTAGGGTATGGTTAAGGATTTCATGAAGCCATTAACTTAAACTCAAGGTATCGGATGTCCGTAAGTTTAACTGGCTTGCGGCAAATGCTACATCGCGGATTATACCCAACAACATTTGCTGCACAATCACTACAATACAAATGTCCACAAGGCATAGCTACTGCAATATCAGGCTGTTCATAGCAGATCGGGCACTCTAAAGCCTCGAGTGCAGATACTTCTGTGTTTTCTGGTCGTTCTTTGGGTGGGTTAGCCAAGATGTTTTGAATTTCGGAGAAATCCTCGTCAAAATCATCGAAATCATCAAAATCGACAAAATCATCAAAATCATCAATACGCGGTCTTTTTAAATTTGAGCGACTATTCTCTGTGGCAGTTTCTGTATCGGTCTGTTGCTGTTGTTGTACATTAGAGTCCTGCTCTTGATTTGTTTGTTGGATCGTGGTTTGGGTGTTATCACTAATATTGTTTTCTTGAGATGCAGATAAAGGCACAGCCCTACGTCGCAGCTCTTGAAAAAGTTCCTCATCAGCAATATCTTCTTGACGTATTCGACGATTGACATTAGACAAATTGCGAGAACTGCTGCTTCTAGATTCTTCAACGGTTTCTCGATGTCTTGGTCTAGAAGAAGTGTTGGAATAAGGTCGGTTGTCTGTAAGATCAAATGAGTTATTTGTTTGCTGTTGATGCTGCCAGTTTGCAGCAAAACTTGTAGATTGTTCTGTAAATGCAGGGCTTTGTGGGTCATTGTCGTTTTCTAGTGTCAAATCATCAGGATTCTGAAAACTTGGATCTATTAGTTCGTTTTCTAAAGCATCGGTAATAGAATGGTCATCAATAGAATTCCAGTCGTCCTCTAATGACTGCCATGCAGCTGATTGCGAAACTTGTGAAGTTTGAGAGGGGTTAGAAGTTTGTAAATTTTGCCGTGATGTGCGTTCAGTAAATGGTAATGATGACTGAACGCTGGGTCGACGTGAATTTTCGCTCCTCCTTTTCGAGGTGTGTGTTCTAGTACTCATTTGAGATACTTTATGGTTGGTTTGAGAAATGCAAGAGTGATGAAATGTTACTGGTTTATTGTTGGATGTCTGTCTCAGCTCAACTATCGCCATGAGACAAATGAAATGGTGTAAAATATATTTAAATGATAAATCAACTTAATGACAAAAAAATAAGTCCCAAATTTAATTAATATGCAATCTTTTTTCCTCAAAATTGTACTGATTTCTAAAATTTAGTGAAGTGTTTGGGTGTTTGAACACTTGAAGATTCTCAAAAGTAAAAAACTATATGTATCTAGGACAGGTGGGAAAATTAATAGCTGGTGGCAAGACGGTGAAACCATTAAACCCCTAACCAGATTGGTCATATGATAGACTGTCTATATAATAATTTATTTTATTCTTTTTCATTCTTTGAAAACAAACAAAATAGAAAAAAAATATATTGGTGCAATAAACTCGAAGTGTATTATAGTACTTCAAAACTTTCAATCTACTTAGTTTTATAACTCCATTCTCCAAATCTAATAAAATCAATCAACAATCCTATTGATTAATTTCTGAAAAAAAAGGTACCCTTGAAAAATTTAAAATTTATATTGATTATGTAATATATAATTAATGTTGCATGTGCGGCTTATTCAGGAAAATACCATGAAAATACTATGAAAATCACAATTTTGAGAGTTCAGGCCAGTAGTTATTCGCCAACTCTTCTTCTTCTTCGTCGCCCATGTTTCTAATGCTCTTCATATTAAAATTTCTGCTAGCGCGAGGCTTATACTTTGGCGCAGTTTCAGGATTCCCCAATTTTTGATTTGAAAAATCCTCCATTTTGCCTAAGATGTCCACAATGCCAAACTTCAGATCGCCCACATATTCCATGCGGAACTGCTTAATGAATTGGTGGGGAAGAACTTCCTCAAAAAGCAAATTTTTAAAATCCAAGTCATATGAAACAAGTTCATGAATGGCTGAAACTACCGTTGAACTGCAAAGATTTTTGCAAAAGACTGTCAGTTTAAAATGATCTTCCCTCATACTAAGAAGTCGGCCTTTAAGTTCTAATGAAATTGGTAGGGTGACGATTTTGCGCCATAACTGTCGTTCACCTTCTGACGAAGCCTCATTATCAAACAAGCACTCAACAAACCATTCCAACTCGCGAAAAAAGGTCACATTTTCTTCTGTTAAACTAAACTTTGCTGGAATGAAGCTTAAAAAGTCCGTGTGTGCCTTATTTATAATTTCAAAAGCAGTGCGCGATGGCTCAGGAGATGAAAACATGGCAAAAGAAGCAATTTTTCGTGAATCTCCCTCTCTGATTTTAGGATCAGAGAGACCTTCTCTACCAAAATATTTAAAAAGATCTCGGCTAATGTAAATGTCTTTTATCAACTTTTTGGCGATTTCGTTATTTGGAACCGTGCAAAGTTTCCAAAACTTTTCCAAGTGTTCGTGGCATATAGTCTTTTTACCAAATTCTCCCATTAGCATATTAAGTGTGATAAAAGTTTCAAAAACGTCAATCTCATTAAAGGCAGAATATTTTTCATCGAGTTCAAAGGGATACCTGTCACTAAGCCTTAGTCGGCGGTAGTGTGAAACATCTTCCCGGCAAGTTTGAGAGGGTATTTTTACCACGGTCGGGACCAAATGAAAGCGTACCCGTTTTGGTTCATTACATTTCTTGCTTCCTGGCTGCTTAAAGTTAGACTTTAAGGTTTTCTTTTTATTTTTATTTTTGGAAGAATTCTTGGAATCAGAATCCTTGTGATCTTTCTTTCTGAAAATATTTGCCATTTTGATTAAATTGGTAATTAAAGAAAAGTGAAAGTGAAAGTGAAAGTGAAAGATTATGGGGAATCTAATCTCTTTATATATTTTCCTGAAAAATCAATGAATTCATATGCATGAAAATCTGGTTCCGTTGGAATTTTATTTTCCATGAAAAATGTGCTTGCATGATGATTCTGTCTTCGACTCGAGTCAACAGATCCCAAAGTAAATGCTCTTCAGCCGCATATTTCTATGTAACCTCATGAATTATTTTTTAATGCTTTCCAAAGTATATACTTAAATAAGTTTTTTTTTTTTTTTTTTCAATTTACAGTCTCTTGATAATGTCATTGATGACATCCTGGGTAGAAGAGCTGCCACCCAAATCAGGAGTGAGAATCTTGCCCTCAGCAAGGTTAGCATCAACAGCCTTGTAGATTCTGGCAGCAGGGTTGGGGAAGCCGAGGAACTCAAGCATCAAAGCGGTAGAGCGGATAGTGGCAATGGGGTTAGAGATACCCTTGCCCTCGATATCAGGGGCAGAACCGTGGCAGGGCTCGCCAATGACGAACTCATCACCAACATTGGCGGAGGGGACAACACCAAGGGAGCCAACGAGGGCGGCAGCACCGTCGGAAAGAATGTCACCGTAGAGGTTGGGGCCGACAACAACGTCAAAGACCTCGGGCTCACGGAAGAGTCTGTAGACCATGGAGTCGACAATCTGCTCATTGACATTGACAGAGCCGTACTTGTCCTTGTTGGCGTCGTAGAACTTACGGATAGTCTCACGGAAAAGACCGTCAGAAAGACTCAGGACGTTGGACTTGTGGGTGATGGTGACAGTGGAAGTCTTGTGGATGGAGGGGGCACCAGCATCACGGAGAGCCTGGCGGGAAAGAGCAATGTCAAAAGCCATCTTGCCAATGCGCTGAGAGGCAGTTTCGGTGATGCGCTTGATGGCTTCAGCAACTTGAGTACCGTCCTCGGCGGTGTATTGGCGCTCCTGCTTGATGTAAAGATCCTCAGTGTTTTCACGGACAATGACGAGGTCGACGGGACGGCCAGGGGCACCGTCAACAGACTTGACGGGGCGGACGTTGGCGTAGAGGCCAAGCTTCTTGCGGAGTGCAACAATGGGGGAAGAGTAGCCAGCAACCTTGGTTGTGGGGGAGGAAACAGCACCAAAGAGGGCACCATCGCACTCCTTCTTGAGAACCTCGACAGTTTCATCAGGAAGAGCAGTGCCAGTCTGCTTAAAGTGCTCGAAACCGGCAAGAAGGTTAACGAACTCGAAAGAGAGACCGTCCTCCTTGGGGAGAGCCTCAAGGACAGCCTTACCCGCGGGGATGACTTCGCGGCCGATACCGTCACCGGGAATGAGACCTAAATACAGTAAAAGGTTAGAAGAGTCATGCAATAAGAATCAATTTGCATACCAATCTTGAGGGTCTTGGTAGAGTAGGCTCTGGCAAGCGTAGAACGGGATCTGACAAAAGAGGATCTGAGCATTGTGATGACTGGAGATGACAGACTGAATACGAGGAAGAAGAAGATGAAAAAGAAAAGGAAAGGGAAGGGAAAAAAATGTGTTATTTTTTGGAGGTTTTGAAAGTTTTTTTTTTTTTCCTTTAGTAGTCTTACACTAGACTTAAAGGGTCAGTTCATGGCTGTGATTGGATTGTGGAAAGTTGCGGAGTCCCCCAGATGGCCGCTATCGGTAAAGTGGATGTTACAATTTTGTTTCACGTGATCAATATTTTAAAATATATATATATATATATGTGACATTACAACTTTGTGACAGGCTTCGAGTCATTTCTACTCACATTGTGATTTTTCACGCCTCTAATTTTTATATTTTTTTTTTTTTTGCAGTATATAATTAATATATATATATATATAAAGGCTATTAATGTTGCCTCTGAAAATATTTCTTCATCCGCCAAAATAATAAGACCTATAATGCCTGATCTAGAGGTAGAACATAGTCATGAAGACTGTCATGGCCATGATCACAATCACGACCATAAAAATGAACATCAACATCATCAACAACAACAACACGCTCATGTTTACGACAAGCTAGATCTTGCCGAATCTCTGCTGGCCGAGATTGAAGACGGTCAGTACATATGTCTAGTGTGTGCCGATGAGCTTGACGCCAAATCGCCCATTTGGAACTGCTCGGTATGTTACCGTGTGTACCACCTTCCATGCATCAAGCAGTGGGCTGAAAAGTCGCTTGCGTTTCGTGCAGACTCGCCTGATCCGACAGTAGAGTCTTGGAAATGTCCATCTTGCTCAACTACCTCCAGCATGATTCCACGCGAATACCGATGCTGGTGCAAAAAGGAACTGAACCCTACATATGATGGAATTGCACCACATAGCTGTGGGCAAACCTGTGCTGCACCACTCTCGTGTATTCATAAATGTATGGCTATTTGTCACCCGGGCCCACATCCAGAATGCACGGCTTTGGGCCCAATGATCAAGTGTTACTGTGCTAAAAAGTCAAAACAATTGCCATGTATTCTTACCAGCTACAGCGGTTGGCAATGCAACAATATTTGTGGAGAGCTGCTACCTTGTGGCATGCACAAGTGCCAAAAAAAGTGTCATCAAGGGCTCTGTGGCGATTGTTCGGAAAAAATCAATGCCACTTGTTACTGTGGTGAAACAGTTTTACCGGTGACGTGCAACAATTTGGAGCCAAAACAGAGCGTTGAGATTGATGCAGAAACCGGAAAGCAATCTAAGTCTTGGATTGGGTTTTTTGTATGCGACAAAATCCAGGAAGGCAAGTACGAATGTAATGTCCATTCATACAAGCTCGAGTGCAACAAGCGTACTGCAGATACTTACAAGTGTCCACTGAGACCCGTTGAGGGCGAGACATGCCCCTGTGGTAAATCTCCAGTGACTGATATTCTTGGGCACCCGAGATCCTCATGCGAGGAAACAATACCCACGTGTGGCCAGGTGTGCGACAAGAAACTTAAATGTGGTCACACATGCAAATACCCATGCCACGAGGGCGAGTGTCCTCGTTGTTATTTTGTGACAGATATGCGGTGCCGATGTGGCTACAATCGGTTTTTGGTTCCATGCGGGTTTGCAGTTACTGGCGAGAAGCCAATTTGTGCTAGACGATGTACAGGCAACTTGAACTGTCGTCGACACCGATGCACAAATGTGTGCTGCGAGTTTGAAAAGAAAGCTATCAAGTATGGCAAGAATGCTGTTTGGGGCAAGGGTTACAGTGTATATGATGAGACGATTGAGCGGGAATACAAGGAGAAGCATGGGTGTACGCAAACATGTAATGCAATGCTCAACTGTGGCAAACACCGATGCAACAAGGAATGTCATGTAAGGCCGTGTGGGCCATGTCTGGAATCGTCGAGTGAAGACTGGGTTTGCCCCTGTGGGCGAACAATATTACGAGCTCCTGTGCGATGCGGAACTATGTTACCTACGTGTCCGTACGAGTGCACGCGTCCGACTCTGTGTGGGCATCCGACGCCTAAACACCCGTGTCATGGGGACGACAAGGAATGTGACCGGTGTCTACGGCTTGTTAGCAAGCCATGTGCGTGTGGCAAGAACCCTGAGGTGAAGAATGTGCCGTGTTACCAAGAGTATGCATCATGTGGGCAATTGTGCGGCAAGCCCATGGCGTGTGGACATCCTTGTCCAAAGATGTGTCATCGGCCAGGGGAATGCGAGACTAAGTGTTCGCGGGTATGTCGACGAGAACTACCATGTGGACATTTACACACGACAGCAAGGTGTCATTATCCAAAGCTATGTGCTCAAACAAATCCAAAGTGCGCTGAGGTGCACATTTTGGGGTGCAAATGTGGAGAGATTTCGAGGACAATCCCCTGTAAAGCTACTGCGGCGGACCGTGAGATGAATTTATTGATTCCATGCGAAGAGAGTTGTTTGGAAGCTGCGCGGCGACGGCAGCTTGCAGAAGCGTTTGGGATGGATCCTGCAAGGCAAGCACCTGGGGAGTTTGAATATTCGGACAATGTGATTGATTTGTATTTAGCCAACCCTGGGTGGTGCACGAGCACTGAGAAGAAGATTCGGGACTTTGCATTGTGTCATGTGGGTAACGGTGATAATGGAACTAACAAGGTGCTAAGGTTCCCTCCGATGAAGAAGTATGATCGGATGTTTATTCATGAGCTTGCTACTGCATATAACATTCGGTCTCAGTCGTATGATCCTGAGCCTCAGCGTAACGTTGTGTTGTTTGCCCCGCAGCGAAGTGGGCCTACCTCGGGTAGCAGCACACCTGGAGAGGCTGGGACGGTGACTGTGAATGGTCCAGTGTATATTCCACGGTTGACTGTTGGTCGGTATATTACTGAGCATGGGATTGCATAGTTGAGAGTTTAAGTTGAGAAGGATAGAGTTTTTTTTGTAGAGTATATAAGAAAAAAAAAAAAAAAAAAAACAATTGTTATATAAGGTCTATGAAAATTCTGGGGTTAAATTAATAAGTGGAGGGGAGAGGGATAAACATATATATTTAAAAAAAAAAAAAAAAAATAGGTTTTTTCATATAGAGGGGAGATTTTACTGCTGCAAGATGTAAAATTGCAAAAATAACGGGTTATTGTTGCATGTAACGTTTTTTGTAACAAAGTACTAATTGGGAAAAGTGCATAAATTAACAAACAAACCTTAATTTAGCCGTGCATCTGATAAGCGCATGCATGCAAAAAGCAAAAGAAATGAAAAAAAGATAAAAGAAGAAATAAAAAAAAAAAAAAAGAAAAGAAAAGAGCTAAGCATTTTATTTTTTCTTCTTCTTTTGTTATGCGTAAGCCTTTATCCAGCAGTGACTGTGAGTCAAAAAGTTTGAGCTCAAAAATATATATAAAATAATGAAGAAGAAGAAAAAGAAGAAGAAGAAGTAAATACTTCAAAATTATTTAAGTGTAAGTTGGAAAAGAAGAAGAAAAAGGTTTAGTTTATTTTAGAAAAAATATTTTTTTTTTTTTTTTTTTCATTCTTGCAATTGTGGGTCGTTAAAGTCTAAATTAGGACTAATGAAAAATATGATGATTAGCAAGTATTGAGTAGTGTATTTCAATTCAATGTTATTAATATTAATTAATATTTTAAAGAAAGAAAGAAAGAAAGAAAGAAAGAAATAAAGAAACAAGCAATCAAGCAAACAAGCAATCAAGCAAACAAACAGACAAAAGAAAATTGGCCATATATCAAAGCATTGATGTCAAGATTGATTGATTGATTGATTGATTGATTGATTGATTGATTGATTGATTGATTGATTGATTGATTGATTGATTGATTGATTGATTGATTGATTGATTGATTAATTGATTGATTGAATAAACGACTCAGACACATACTGCTTTTTATTATTATGTCACATATATTAGCCCCATTAATTTTTTCCTTCCCCCTCCCCAAATGACTCAATTAGGTAAATATACGCATAAAGCGAGGATGTGATCGATTAAGATATTTTCAGCATCATCATCGTCATTGGGAAACAAGAAGAAAAAAAAAAAAAAAAAAAAAAGTATTGCAAGCTGGTTGGATGGGTGCTTTTACACATTACACTTTGGTGCCGCCATATTGGAGAACAACAACTTTCACTTTCACTTTCACTTTCACTTTCACTTTCACTTTTTATTTTTTGTTTTTTGATTCAGGGATGGGTTACAAAAATAAATCGTATACTTTGAATGAAGTATATTGTTACATTTGTCATATTTTTTTTTTTTTAAAAAAAAAAAAAAAAAGTTCTTTGTGCCGGATCGATTTCAACTTTTATTTTCAATTATTATTATTTTTTCTTCTAGATTTAGGTCTCGACTTTTTTTTTTTTTTTTTTTTTTTTCAACATTATCGGAAGAATCACGTACCGGGGAATCGTTTTGTTTTTTCTTAATTTCCGGATATATATAAACTCTCAGTTGTTTTAAAAACTGATAGATGATCATATATTGGGTTTAAAAGAAAGTCATCAAGACCTTTTATTTTCCTAAAAATTCCAAGAAGAAAAAAAACAAAATTTTTTTTTTTTGTAAATGTTTTAGAAACAGAAAATTTTTCTTCCGTTTAAAAAAAAGAAAAAAAAAAACAGGCTTAATCTACATCTTTTTTTTTTTTTTTTTTTGCAATGTTTTGTGTGTGCCCGAAACCGAATTGTCTTAGAACTGATTATAAAAACCTTTAAGGTAAGGTAAAACTTATGATACATCTAATGTATTCAGAATAGGCTTTAGATATTCCAATGTTGCAAGAAAATCCACCCCATAAGCTTAGACTTAAAGGCCCATTGCGTTTGGGTTAGAGTACTTTTTATAAAAAAAAAGTTATTTTTATTTGCACATCACAACGTATATATATATATATATATATCTATATATAAATAATCATTACTGTACTACAACACTAAGCGAAATAATTATTATATTGCAAAATGCACGTCTTGATATCTTCATTTGCGCAAGCAATTATAGGGAAAGTAACAAAAAAAAATTGGCAATATTTTATTGGCGATATAGACAGTTGGAAACCAGATTGTTGAGTTTCAGGTATTTTGAGAAATTTGGGAAATTTGAAAAAAAAATGGCGTCAAATATCTTCTTTTTCTTATTATTATTCTTATTATTATTTTTCATACGCTTCTTACGAAGGTTTAGTATTACACTACCAAATGTGTTTTATATAAATATCTAAATATATATATTTTAAATTTTAAAGTTATTGAAAGAAGTGAAGAAGAAGAAGAAGAAGAAGAAAAAAAAGGCCATATATACACGCAGTCTCGCATTTTAGGGAGTCCGCCGAAATTTTTTTTTTTTTTTAAAGAAAACATCACAAATAGGTTTATATACGTCCCATCCCTTCTTCTTCCTCCTCCCCTCCCCCTCTTCTTTTTCATTTTGTGCTTGATTTTCAAAAAGTGAAGCAACAAACGTGAAGATTTTGTCACTTTTTCGCAGGAAATTATATAAATCTAGGTCAATGATAGGGTGGAAAACAAGGCAAAAGTATTAAAAGTATTAAAAGTATCAAAAGTATCATGTAGTTTCTTATTTTAACGTTTAGACCACAATAATTGTCTTTACCACTACGGCCATTTTTGACCATATAGTAAATATTCTTTTTTAAAAAAAAAGAGAGAGAGAGAGAGAGAGAGAGAAAGAAATAAAGAAAAAAAAAAAGTAACTCTAAGCATATGAAACTTTTTTTTTTTCTGGTCAAAATAAGGAATACAGAGCGTGAATTATAAGAGTGAAAAAAAAATAACAAAAAAAAGTCATGCAAATATTGAAGTCTTTATAAGCATATATATATATAGATATATATAGATATTTATGGTCCAATATACTAAACTCTGTATTACACGCAATTAAAGTGAAAAATATTAAGGTCTTTAACCAGCAATCAATTGTGAAAAACAAAATAATAATAACAACGTTTATAAACAAAAGAGTTACGGAATGAACAAAACAGATCTTTTTTAATTTTTTTTTATGTATAAGAGTATTGCACGTTGATTAATTTTATTTATTTTAATTTTAATTTTTTTTTTTTTTAAAAATTATAAAGTAATATCTTTGAATTATTTGCTCTGGCTTGGCCCGATTTGTGATCTTGCTGTGGAGAAAACGTCTTAAGGAAATGTGCGCCACAAACGAAAGGTCAAAGAAGAAGAAGAAGAAGAAGAAGAAGAAGAAGAAGAAGAAGAAGAAGAAGAAGAAGAAGAAGACGACGACGACGAATTAAAGTCTTCAAATATTGTTTTTTTTTTTTTTAAAATAAATATTTAAGGTATTTTTTTTTTCTCCTTAATATAATTCTTTAACTTGTTAATTGTAAGTAAAACCAACAATTCTTTAAGAAGAAGAAGAAGAAGAAAAAAAAATCCAACTTTTGGTGCCTTTCAATGCAACGTGGCTATCTCAAAAACATACACTCACACAATAAAAAAAAAAAAAACAAGGGCTAGGCAGCAACAGCAGCAATAGTGGCATCATCATGGCCATTATCTTGAAGTCTTATTTATTTATTTATTTATTTATTTATTAGTTTATTAATTTATTTATTAGTTTATTAATTTATTAATTATTACAAAGGTCGTCTAAAACCAGAAGCAAATAAAAAAAAAAAGTAGAAAATAGAACTTCAGGCCGTTAACATTAAGAAATTTATAACAAAAAAAAAATAAACAAATCAGTCCTTTATCTATATAAAATATATGCTTATATATACTTATCTATGCGTGTATTTGTATTCTAGTTAAAAAATAAAAGTAATAATATATATAAACAAAAAAAAAAAAAGCAGAAAATCGATGCAATGGATGGATGTGCTGCTGCTGCTACTACTGCTGCTGCTACTCATGAAGCTTTTAATTTTTTAATTTTTTAATTTTTTAATTTTTTAATTTTTTAATTTTTTAATTTTTTAATTTTTTTTTTCTTGAATTTTTATTTTTTATTTCTTTTTTTGGTCAAATTTTCAAAATGCATCCTGCGCACAAACAAGTGTAGACATTAGTATATCTTTTTTAAACACTGTCTCATCGCTTTCTTTCCTACCCCACGCCCCCCTTGAATTGCCCATTCATTTTCCTAGCTCCTGATTACATGTATCCATGCTGCACAGGTGCTGACATGTATACCTCTCCAGCAGGCGACATAATCTGCTGCTGTTGTTGTTGTTGTTGTTGTTGCTGCTGCTGCTGTAAAACTTGTAGAGGTACAGACATGCCTTGAGCCAAACTTTGTGCGAGTCCCGGGTGCAATCCTGAATGTAACCCCTGAGGCAACCCTTGAGAATAACCTTGTGGCAATCCTTGGTGTATCCCCTGGTGTAATCCATGCTGTACAAATCCTTGTGTCGGAACTTGACCTTGGTGTAGCCCATGGCTCCCCATAGGCCCTCCAGGTGACATTCCATGAGGGGTAAGACCCGAAGACCCATTGGGCGTGGTTGCCGTTGGTGCCTGTTGGGCAACAGAAGTAGTCACAGAAGAAGAAGCAGAAGAAGAAGCAGAAGCAGAAGCAGAAGCAGAAGCAGAAGCAGAAGCAGAAGCAGAAGCAGAAGCAGAAGTAGAAGACGAGGAAGAAGACGAAGACGAAGACGACGAAGGAGGAGGAGGAGAGGCATGCTGTGGTGGTGCCATACCTACCATGGAAAACGGCACACTTGCAGGAGGAGGACCCATGTCAAACATGCCCAGAGGCATCCCATTAATATCCACAGGAACAACCATCATCTGGTTCATTTCTTGTGTATTCAATGCAGCTGTGGTTGTACCTGTAGTCGCCGTGCTATTCGAAGTTATGCTGTTTACGCTGTTATTTCGACTATGGCCATTGCCATCATGACTTGTGCTTTCAAACTGCGCTTGGAACCGCGGTTGCAACATAGGCCCATCGGATGATTGAGTAGTAGCTGTAGGATTACCAGGACTGGGAATTGCTGCTGCTTGCATGTAGCGTATTATTTGCTCATGGCGTTGCTGATGATTATTCCCCGCATACACTATTTGATCCGCCGAAGTCCCTGGTGGGCCAGCCAACAAGGGCTCCGGTACAAGTGCACCTGTGCGTGGATCCACAAGCACGTACCGCACAGCTTCGCCAGGAGCTCCCGTAGCACCGGTATTGACAGCATGACTATGAAGGTTAATGCTAGTATTGGTGGTAGTGTTGTTATTTGTAGTGCTTGTCATGGTATTGTTAGTAGTGCCGTCGTGTATATACATGGGTGGATAGGATGCAGGCGAGCCGGCGGCTGAGGCCGGGGTGTAAGGGGTGGCCGAAAACGATGTCAACAGTGGTGACGACGCTTGGTGCTGGTGCTGTGGTGTAGCCATGACATAGGCCATGGGTTGGTGCTGTGGTTGATGATGGTGATGAATCTGCTGAAGTTGATGATGTTGTTGTTGATGATGATGCTCAGTAGGACTTTTGAGAGGAAGCGGTTGATGTTGATGTTGATGTTGCTGGTAGATAACTTGGGTGTATGGAGTCTGTGAAGCATTAGCATAAGACGGTGGTGCCTGTGGAGTTTGTGGCAGCACTTCATGCTGTTGTTGTTGTTGTTGTTGTTGTTGTTGTTTGATTGTCTGTGCATTTGAACTAACAGGGGCTGCAGGAATGCAAGATGGAACTTGAACAGTAGTTTGTGAGACCTGAGGAACAGTGTGCATTTGAATCATTGAGGTTTGAACAGAAACAGGAGCAACATGCGAAGACGTTGTCTCCGCGGATGCTTGAATAAGAGGCCGTGTTGTTGATGATGATGATGATGATGATGATGCTGCTGTTGTTGTTGGTAAGACCTGAGGGGTAGATGCTACCGAAGTGGGCCAACCAGAAGTTGCTGCAAATGCAGAAGCAGCCGAGACTGGAGCAGAGGCTGGAACAGAAGAAATCGATAGACCTGTGGTAAATGTTGGTGGTGGTGCAATTGAGGTAGAATTGGAGCTAGTAGAAGTAGACACTGGTCTAATAGGAACACTGTGGAAGCCAGAAACAGTGGTTGGGGTAGGAATAGGAGTAGGCAGTGGTGTAGTTGTTGGTGAGATGGGTGTTGAAGCAGTCAAAGTTGGAGCAAAACCTGCTACTGCAGCTGATCCACCACCTGCATCGGCTATTGAAGTTGAAAGAGAGCAAGCACGCTTCTTTGTGGGTCGAGGACCCGCTTTAGAAGAAACCCCACCAATGGGCGGATTTGCGGAGGCAATGGAGGAGATGGAAGATACTGAAGCTGCACGAGAGGGTCGAGTGGTTGTAATGTAGGAGGAGGAGGAGCAAGAAGAGGATGCTGAAGAAGAAGTTGATGAAGAAGAAGTGGATGTGCGAGCCATTGCATGCTTTAGAGCTGTAAGGGCGTCATCTGGGTCGGGTCCACGAGGAGGCGAAGGTGCGACATGTCTAGACTTGAAGCGAAGACTTGGTGAGCGAGCTATAGTATATAGATCTGAATAAGGATCCGTGAAGCTATTTTCATCTTTGTAGTGACGAAGGGGGTTATGACTGTTGTTGTTATTGTCATCGTCATCATCGTCATCTTCATCATCGTCGTCGTCGTCATCATCATCATTAGTACGATGGCTTGTTTGGCTAGAATCATCTGCAGAGTAGCTATAATCATTACTGAAAAGCAGACTATTATTTGTTGAATCGTCTGGGTCTGGGGTTGGGACAGCACAGACCACAGCACGGCCATTGGATGAGATGGAGAAGTTGACAGAGCTTGCTTTACGTTTTTTGGGTGACACAGGGATGCGGGTGGTAGTGGTAGCTGCTGAAGAAAAAGAAGAAAAAGAAGAAGATGAAGAAGATGAAGAAGAGGGAAAGGGAGAGGAAAAAGAAGAAGATATGAAAGGTTGGGAAGGACCTCCAGAAGTCATTGATGCGATGGCTGAGCTACTAGCTGAGAACTTAAGACGTGGAGGTCCAGAGTCTAATATTCTAGTTTGGAAGTTTGAGGTGGGGATGCTATTGATACTGTTGATGCTGCTAATGCTGTTGATGCTACTGCTGCTACTATTGTTGCTGGTGGTGGTACTATAAGAACTACTGATGCTACTATAGGAGTTACTATTGGGGATTGTAGGGGGAGCATTGGAGGATGCAGTGGGGATCTGAGGAAGACCTGTATAGTAATGTTGAGTCCTTAGATGGGCTGCGACATCTGCAGCAGACCGGGACCTAGGCGGAGCTCGGACCTGAGGAGGCCGGACCGGCGAGGGGGGTTTTTGGGGAGGAGGGGGTGGAAGCATAGCCGAGGAGGATGATGAAGATGAAGATGAAGATGAAGATGAAGATGAAGAGAAAGATGAAGATGAAGAGGAAGTAGAGGAAGAAGAAGAAGAAGAAGGCCTTGAGAAGGAAAAAGACCGGAAAGACCTTGAGGTCGACGGCAGCGATTGATGATGGGCTAAATGTGGAGGGGTTTGCAGTAGAGGGGATGGTTGTGGTGAAGAAGAAGAAGAAGAAGAAGAAGGGTGGGAGGAAGTAGTAGAAATATAAGCAGAGTTAGTGGTGGTAGTAGTAATGGGAGTAGTGTTAGTAGTAGTATTAGTAGTACTACTAGTAGTATTTGTGGTGGTAGAAGAAGAGGAAGAAGAAGAATTTGTTGGAGGAGAAGCAGAAAGGTTGCTGGTGGTGGAAAATTTTCTAGGACGAAACTCTTTGGATTTGGCAGTTGCCGTTGACGAAGATGAAGATGAAGATGAAGATGAAGACGAGGAAGAAGAAGAGGAAGAAATTTTCACGGACGGCCCAGGCGCTGCGACGGCAACCGCGGAAGGCTGGAATTGGTGGTTGAATTGGTGGTTGTGATTGTTAATGATGAAGCTGTTACTGCTGTTGTTAGGGTGGTGGTGGTGGTAATGTTGGTGCTGCGGCAAAGAAGACGGCGACAATGATGGTGACGGGGACGACGACCTTGACGAAGATGACGAAGATGACGAAGATGAACTGGAAGAATAAACTGATGGGGCCGATGGGGCCGAAGGAACTGAATTAACCGAAGGAACCGAAGAAGAAGAAGAAGAAGAAGATAATGCAATGGGGTAATTGGAATAAGACTGGTGGTTATTAATGCTAGATGGGGGTTGATTAATCAAGAGCTGCTGATGTTGATATTGAAGGAATTGCTGGGATGATGATGATGATGATGATAATGATGATGGAGCAACAAAAGCAGAGGACTGTTGTTGTTGTTGTTGTTGTTGTTGTTGTTGTTGTTGTTGTTGTTGCTGCTGCTGCTGCTGCTGCTGTTGCTGTCGAGTACCGGACGGAACTTGTTGGCGGACCAGCGGCGGAGTAATTGTGGCCATAGTAATAAGCGAGCTGGAGATTTTTAAATGGCAGGACTTTTTCGGAGTTGAATTTTGAAACTTTTTCCAACAAAAACAAAAACAACAACGATAACAACCGATTGAAGAAGATTTTAAAATTTTATTTTAAAGATAGTTTTTTTTTTTTAAATGAAAGGAAGAAGAGTAATAAAAAAATATATATATATAAAAGAAATAAATTATTTTAATAGTAGATAGAATTCTATATTTCTTTCTTTCTTTCTTTCTTTTTTTATTTAAATTTATATAAATTTATAAAAAAAAAAAATTACGAAAATAGCCAGGCGGACCTAATAAATAATTCATAGTTACAAGTTATTAAATTGATTTAATTTTTCAAGTAATAAAAGTTCAAAATGATTTTTTTCCCCTATTAAATTAAAAAATTAATTTACTTAGTCATTATTTTATTAATTTATATAAATTTATAAATTTATATAAATTAATAAAATAATTACTTTACAAACATCACATCACATCACATCACAAAACAAATTCGTCAAACAGCCACCAAAAAATAAATAAAAAAAAAAAATTTCCATTCTGAGCTTAAAAAAAAAAAAAAATTAAACCAAAAATCCTATTCAATCATTTCCCATCAATCCATTCAAAACTAAAACTATGCGAGCCATGCCTGACAAAAGAACTTATTTGGTAAGACAAATATATATATATATATATATATATATATAATATAACATCAAGTTATAACATTCCTTTCACTCTCCTCTTCAATCCTTCCACTTGACCCCCTTCTAAAAAAAAAAAACCTCTTTTTTTTTAACTTTGCTCTCAATCATATATAGAACGCTGTCAAAGCTCTCAACAGCCTCCAAAGCAACTATGCTACCATCCAAGCTGCCCAAGCTGCTGGACCACAGCTTGATAAGGCCATCCCTCATATGATTGAATGGGCTCGCCGTGCTGGATACTCACCTTCAGATCTAGACAAACTCCGAGTTATCCATGTAACCGGCACAAAGGGCAAAGGTTCCGTCTGCGCTTTTGTTCAAGCCATTCTCGCTCAATACCCAGCTGCAACAGGTAATAAAACTGGTCTCTACACATCACCACATCTCAAGTCTGTACGAGAACGAATTCGTATCAATGGTGAACCAATCTCCAAAGACCTCTTTACAAAATACTTTTTCGAACTCTTTGACCGTCTCTCCTCCTCCACAAGTGACCTCTCCATTTTCCCTGAATTTGCCCCTGGAATTAAACCAAACTACTTTCGATTCCTTACCCTCCTTTCTTTCCATGTCTTTCTCAGCGAGGGTGTCAAATGTGCCATCTATGAAGTCGGTATTGGTGGCGAATATGACTCTACAAACATTGTCCCCCATCCAGTCGCCACAGGAGTAACTTCCCTCGGCATTGACCACACAAACATGCTAGGTAATACCATTGAGGAAATTGCTTGGAACAAGGGAGGCATCTACAAGTCATCAGCCCTCGCTCTTTCTGTCCCACAATCCCCTGCAGCCCTCAAAGTTCTTGAGGATCGCGCACGTGAAAAAAATACCCCATTTGTCGTTCTCGACCCTAATACCTCTCCAGTCCGCTCACTCAAACTTGGCCTTCCTGCTCGTTTCCAATACATTAATGCTACACTCGCTGTCGGCCTTGCAAAGCAATTTCTCCTCAAATCAACACCTCCCATCCCAGATCTCAATATTGACCCAAACTCCCCACTCCCTGAAAAATTCATAAAGGGTCTTGAAACTGCCTCCTGGCCTGGCCGCTGCCAAACTGTCTCAGATGGACCCAATCTTACTTGGTTCCTCGACGGCGCACATACCCATGAAAGTATAACCGAAACTGGTCTTTGGTTCAAAACTGTTGTCAGCCCTAAAGCAAACCATAGAGTCCTTATCTTCAACCAACAAAAACGCGACGCAGGTGCGCTTGCAGAAACCCTCTACAATGCAATTGGCTCAGATACACCCTCCTTTGACCACGTTGTCTTTTGCACAAATGTGACTTGGGCTTCCGGACAATACTCGGCTGAACTGACCTCCATCAACACCTCTGCGACCTCTGTCGACTCTCTTATAGTCCAAAAGGGGCTTGCAGATGCGTGGGCCAAAATCGATCCCTCTAGCCAGCGTCACATCTTCCCAAGTATCCAAGAAGCTGTAGAGTTTGTAAAGGCTTTAGATGGTCAGACTCAAGTTTTGGTCACAGGCAGTCTCCACCTTGTTGGAGGACTACTAGCCGTTTTTGATGGCCCCGATGAAGAGGAGTAAAAGAACTAGCCACCGATTGAAAATGGGACAGTCATGTGTGTGATGATCTATTTTCTTTTGCTTAAATTTTTTTTTTATATCGAATTGGATCTAGTTATATCATTTTTCTTTTGGTTTAGACTTGGTTTTTTAATTTTTTTTTTTTGTTCTCTCTTAGACTAATACTAAAATAAGCTTAAAAATCGCAATTAACTGTATGGTTATCGCAACTATCTTTCCTTTTTTTTTTTTTTTGCTAAAAAAGAAAAAAAAAATAATAATAAATGACTTGATTTTTTTTTTCTTTTAATATTTAACCCGCCCCACCTGTCATAAAATCACCGAATTGAACCATCGATGGTAAATGGACTTACATTTATATACCACTGCTCTGGCACGAACTTGGGAACGATATTATAATAATTATCAAAAAAATATATAATTGATTTTCAATTTCTTTTAACCGATTGAAGTGAATCGCCTACAAAATTTCTAAATATATCATCATAAAAACTTATTAGCCTATATATATATAAATAAATAAATATATATAATTATATTGACTTATAAGTCAATAAAGTCAATGTCTTCAAAAAGGACAACTATCCTCAATATTCTACCCTCAAATATTAACATACCACAGGCCTCAAATATTATTATTATTAATTATAATGTTCCACCTCAAATTTTCTTTTTTAGAAAGAAAAAAAAAAACTCCCCCCCTCATTGAACACATTGCCACTGCCTTTTTTTTGATATTATTCAACTTTACCAGATGATAAATTAACTCTTCTCTCTCAAGCATCTTTGTTTGATACCTGAAACCTTTTAATCACCTTCCCTTCTTCCTCATTACTCCACTGGCCGTGCCTTATACCCAGCCCCAGTCATGTAATCATAAAACATCTTCTCAAACCGTGTAAACACACTTGTGTCTGGAACAATTCCATCACGCACCCATACAGAACACGCACCCATGCTATGCGCCAGCGCAACATCAGTCAATAACCGGTCCCCAACAACCGCAACCTCAGCACCACGCTCCGCAAGTCCTTGTTCCCTCAGATGTGCAAGCACCTCAGCCCCACACCCAGGCTTTTTAGATCCATGGTGTCTCAGCACATCCACTCCAGTCGCAGCCTCTAGTCGCTTAGCTTGACTGTCGTCGTGGTCTGATGAAGATCCTGCTGTGTTGCTCACAATCAGCACCCGTGCTCCGGGGTATGCTGCTCGTAACCGAGACCACGTGGCTGCGTAAGCGGGCCACACTTCGTCAGTGTGCGGCGCGGCAAAGCAATTGTCCTTGTCGAGAACCACAACTTTGATTGGTGTTTTAGATCCTGGTGCACGGAGGGGAATTGGCAAATCGGCAAATGTAGAAATTGTAATATGAGGAAGAAATGCAGAGGGATTGTAGAGCAACCGAAGTGCTCCAAGAGTTCCAGAAACGTTCATTTTTTATTTTATTTTATTTTTATTTTTTTTTTTTTTGCAAGTTTTTGTATTGTCTCTAAAGTTAGTGGTGGTGAAAAAAAAAAACAAAATTTGAAAAATTTTATTGTGCGGCTTTAACATAATTTTTTTTTTAATTTCATTTGTTTTAATTTAACGTGACAAAACTTGAAAATAAGTTACTGCACAGCCGTACTAGATAACGCAATTTAATTTTCATCTTATTCTGAGCAAAAGCAACAAACCCATCTTTCTTAAAAAAAAAAAAAAAAAACCCATCGGGGTTTGCCTACTTCCCGGACACTCTTGCAACAAGCCCGTCCACCAGAGTTAAGTCTGGACCCGGTCCACTGTCATTTTCTTAGTCAGAAGTACCGACATAACAAGGAAAACAAACACGACTTTTGTCTGCCAAGCTCGTTTGATATTCACTTTAAACGGACATTTCCAAATCCCAAATTTCAAATCCCGCAACATCCTCCGTATATATAAAGTCCTTTCTTTGTATCTTTTTCTTTTTTTTCTTTATTTTTCTTTATTTTTCTTTATTTTTCTTTATTTTATTTTATTTTTATTTTTCCTATCTTTAAACATTTTGTCTTCATCTCAAATACAACAACAATCAAATGTTCACATACTTCCAATCTGCTGTGGGCGCGTTCCTGCTCCACATTGCAACATCCACACAGCTTTACGGCAATGGTAAGGTCTTTGGATGCTCCTCCATGCTTTACAACACATTTGCATCTCCATCTATCTTCAACCTCCCCGCTGTTGCAGGTATCGTTTCTTCTGTCGTTGCTGTTGCTAAACTTCTCCCTCAATATCTCCCCTCTTACGACAATGTCCGTGCAATTGCTCCCGTCTTTGGTTCTTACTCCGCCACTCTTCTTCTCTCTGGCTTCCTAACTGGTGCAGGCACTCACCTCGGCTCTGGATGCACCTCCGGACATATGCTTTGTGGCCTTGCAAGACTCTCTGTTCGCTCTCTCGTTGCTACTGCCACCTTTTCACTCGTTGGCATGATCACACAAGCAATTTTTCACACTGCACCTGCATGCGTGGGCGGTCCCTGTCACGAGATTGCAAATCCGGCTCCTACTGAAGTTAAAGTTTTGCTTGCCCTTCTTGCCGTCATCTACACAACTTCACTTGCCATTAAAAAATTTGCATCCAAATCAAAGCAATCTGAAACTATCGTTTCATATTTCTCCGGGTTTGTTTTTGGCTTAGGCCTGCTCATTTCCGGCATGGGCTCTCCCGGTAATACACTCGGTTTCCTTGCCGCTATCCCTCCTAAATTCAATCCCTCTCTCATCATGGTGGTTCTTTTTGGCATTGTTCCCAACCTTGTTGAAATTCTTCGCAAGCCTCTTGTTAAGACTCAGGAATATCCCACAGCAGTCGAAAACTTTGATCTGCCCACAAAAACCCAAGTCGATGCAAAGCTCGTTGCTGGCGCCGCCCTCTTTGGCGTCGGTTGGGGTCTTTCGGGTATTTGCCCGGGCCCTGGAATTATTCTTGCCACCTATAACGGACTGGACGGTTTGTACTGGCTTGCCGCATTTTTAACAGGCTACAAGCTTATGAAATCCGCTAACACTTGTTAAAAGTAAATAGTAAATAATAACAGTAATAGTAATAATAGTAATAGTAGTAATAGTAATAATGATAATAATTTCTTATGATCACCACTAGTTTTTTTTTTTTTTTTTTTTTTTGATTTTAAGCTCCCACTGGATTATCAATAATCAAATTAGAACGTTTTTTCAGCCGAATAAAGAAAAAGACCCGTGACTTATTTTTTTTTATCTTAGCTGTGGTCAACACAGTTGCATGAATCTTGACCGGTATCGGGTAATCAAACAATTATCGTCTGTGCAATTCCAGCCCAACTATGTTAAAATTAACATTGCAAAATAATTTCAGCTGAGAGTTTTAAAGGCAAGTCCAACTAGGGTTTCAAAAACAAAAACAAAAAACAAAATAGATTCAACATTCAGGGTTATATTTAGATGACGTGAATAACTAATTTCCTTTATTCGCATGAATACAAATTTCAACACATTTTCTTTTTTCTGTGAGATATATATATAAATACACAAATGAGTCCTCATCATGACTCTATATATAATATATCCAAATAAATATAAAAAAAATGTTTCCTACGGGGTCAACTGACAAGCTTGAAAGAGACTTGGTGACGGTCACGGTTGAAAAATACAACCCTTCAACTCCTTCATCTTCAGTCGAAAAATTTTCTCATGTGGAAGAGCTGTCTCAAGATGATCTAGCTCCTCAAAAGATAGATAATGGGGAGGGCCAAATCACATTCATTTACAAACAATCCCAATTCCCGCCAGACTCAGAGCTCGCAAGATATGCCGCTAATAATGACGACAAGATTACCTACACACAATCTGAAGTCAAAAAGCTTTTACGTCAATACGACAAACACATTCTAACGTTTGTATCATTTCTTTATTTCCTTTCCCACCTCGACCGAGGAAACATAGGAAATGCAAAACTCGCAGGCATGCAAAAGGACCTCAATTTTGAGGGCCGCCAATTTGAGCTTATTGTCATCATGTTTTTCGTCGGTTACATTTGTTTTCAGTGGGGCATTCTTCTTTGGAAAATTGTGAAGCCGAGTCACTTTGTTCCATGGATCATTCTCGGCTGGGGCATTGTTTCCACATGTTGTGCTGCAGTTCAAAACTGGAAACAACTTTTGGTACTTCGCGTCATTCTGGGTATCTTTGAAGCTTGCTTCTCTCCAGGGATTTATTATTATTTTTCCTTTTTTTATCATAGAGAGGAAATTGCTAAACGCATTGGAGGGTTCCAATGCTTTTCACCAATTAGTTCAGCCATTTCAGGAGTTATCGCATATGGAATCACAAACCATGCTCCCAAAGGTATCGTTCCATGGCGTCTCCTCTTTATTGTTGAAGGAGCTCCAACTATTCTTGGAGGCCTTATCGCATTTTTTGCAATAATTAATAGCCCCCACTCTTGCTGGTTTCTCTCAGAAAAGCAAAAACTGATTGCCCAAGCACGCACCCTAGGCCAATCAGGTAGTGTCAATAGAGGTGGCCATGGCCTTAATAAAAAGGAAATCATCGCCGCATTACTTGACTTTAAAATTTGGGCCAATACTATCCTTTTCTTTTGCATCACCATGTGTCAGGTTCCTCTCCCCATTTTCCTGCCTTCCATTATTGAAGGAATGGGCTATCAAAATATAGAAGCCCAAGGCATGACCTCCCCGCCTTATCTTGTTGCTGTTATAGCCATTTTAACTGTTTGTTATTTCTCCGACCGCTACCTTAAGCGCGCCTTTTTCCTTGTTGCAAGCCTGGCTTTAGCTGCGGTTGGATATATCCTCTTAGCTGTATCTCCAGTAACTGGTGGCCGGTATTTTGGTCTTTATCTTGCTGTCCCTGGAGTATATGCTGCCCTGGCTATGATTATGGCATGGACCGGCGACAACCAAGGTTCCGATTCAAAGCGCGGTGTTGGATACGTCATTCTTCATGTTTTTGGAATGACTGGCCCTATTGTTGGAACATTTCTCTTCCCAGATTCAGAACGTCCGCATTACAGAAAGGGTATTTGGGTCACATTTGGTATTGTCATTTTTACCATTGTATTTGGCGCTGTTTATGGCTTGTATTTGTTTAGAGAAAACAAAAAGCTGGATAAAAAACATGGGCCTGCAGATCCTAAAAAAATAAGAACTTGCAGCGATGATACTCAAAAAGATTTTCGTTATGTCATTTAGAAATTATGGATAATTCGTTTTATTTAGAAAGAATCATAAATTTAATTAATCAGAAAAAAAAAGTTTTATGGCTTTTATGTTAATTCGTTTGAAAATCAACCTCAAACTGATTTCAGGGCTAGGGTACGGCTAAACTACAAAATTTTTTTTTTTTTTTTTTTTTTTTCAAAACCCATCTTGCTTGTAAACCAAAAAATCCCACACAACCAGCTATGACTGCCTTATACAAACACCAAGCTCTGCTTAAAGTTCTTGGGCGGGCTTCAGGTGGCTTATACTCATGTGTCAGGAATTCTTCAAACATTTCTGTGGCGACTCGCTCTCGTCGAAGTAACCCTACCCTTCGCGATTTGAACGCTGTAGGACATCGACTAAACGCTGTAAATCGGTTGCCTCCATCGACGGTCCGCAACGCGCTACGACGTAAAGTTCAAAGAGAAAAGGAGCAGCGAAGTAAATTGGCCGCTCTCTTGGATCTTCCGCAACAACCAGAATTTACTGAAATTAAGACAGTAGAAGATTTAAAGCGTGTCGTGCCTTTTATGCCTCCCGAGCAACAAGAGCGTGTTCAGACGTTAATTGCTGAATATGGCGACGGTCTTAACGAGTATTTAGAGCAGGCTGCAAACATGGCTGAACAGGGTACTTTAGAAGAAGAGCTGGAAGGTGTGGCACCACGAGGTGGCAATGACAAGATCAAGGGTGGCGAGTATGGTGCTGCAATTGAACTCTTGCAGCAAATGGTAGAAGAGGTTATTGAAGAAGAAGAAACACCCCCATCGCATGATTCCCTTTGGCGCAATGTTAATATTTTTAAAAAAATGCGTGTGGATCCATCTGTGCCTCCACCGCTCGAGTTATTGGTGATTTTATTTCAAATTGCGAAAAACGAGACAGACGAAACAGTGCGCAATAAGGCATTGATGCTTGTCGGAAACATTCTTTATGGTTACCAGCTTGTTAGACTTGATCCTTATAATGAGGTTGATTATTTGAATGCATTAGTCAAAGGACGCAAAGTAAAACGTGCCATTGACATTTGGAAATCACGACGTGCCAAACAGGACGTTGAAAATTCAATCTATTGGGTCGAAGTCGGTAGCTGTTTATACCAGGAGGTGTACGATATGAAAAATGCCGAGAAACTAGCAGCTGAACTTATTGAAAAATTTGATTATGTTCCTCCAAAAGTGACTTTGCGTTTCATTAAATGCTATGTCAAGATGCATAAAGCTGATGATGTTTGGCGATGGACAGAATACATGATTGATCAAGTCAAAGCTAATGGTGCATTTGGCGAACCAGTTACTATTTCAGGAAACTTTGATCCAGAAGAAGCAGATGCTGTGTTTAACGCCAAACATATTCCCACTGCACGCGATATTTTAACCACTTTTGATCAAATCATGGTTACTGGAAACACAGTATATGGACTTTTGTGGTTTGATAGAGTCACAGACCTTGGATTATCTGTCAACGTGAAAAGCCTGCTGAGTATCTTTAATTCTGCGGCCAAAAACATTACTAAAATTAATCAGCCAAACACATTGAAATTACTGACCGCCCTAAAGCGCACAAAGAAAAATAGTAGTAATACTACTGCAACTAGCCTTTCATCGAATTTTCACATTGGAAATAACTTGATTGACCAACTGGCATTCCGACTATTAAATGAATCCCCTGAACTAGCCAAAAATTCTCAATTTTACCAAATTTGGATTTACGGACTAATGCAGCTAAACGATATGGAGCGTGTAAGTGAAGTCTTACAAATGGAAATTAATCAAAACCTACTAGTGACATCTTTCGCCTTTCATTCGACACTAAAAACTCTTCTAAACAAAAAGAAGTTAAACCTAGCATTAGAACTTTTGGATTGCGCCGAAAATCCAGGGAAATTCAAACTTAATAAGCCACAAGCTAAGCACTATGCCCTTTTCATTCAATACGGCGCCCGGCGACACGACGAAGAGTTTGTTAAAAAGATTTTAAATCGCATGACTGAACACGGGGTAGGATACGATGAGTCTGTAAATTTGGCTCTATTTCACTTTTACTATCGCATGCGACAATTCACGAAATTTTTTAACCATTTGGAAGCTGCTATTAATCTTAACGGTCATCAATTTTCTACGGAAGGGTACACAGTAATATGGACCATTATAAGAGATTATCTGCGGTCCAATCCTTCAAAAGTGTCTAGATACCTTGTCACTGGTTCAATATCTGAACCAGATTTGCATTTTGATCTTAATACCAATTTTTTTAACATGCTTCTGCTAAGAATGATGCAGAGCAAAGATTTTGTACCATCAACTACAGTCTACGAACGCGCTATTCAGACATTCTTAATAGTTCATGACTACACAAAGGTTTTTGCCTTAGTCAAATTTATGGGGGAAAATAACCAACTAGCTTTGGACCCTGCATTCTGTTTTAACTTGACAAATCTAGCCAAAAAAATGGGGAAGATTGCACAAACCAACCGCATACTTAAAAATCTAAACCACCAGCAACGACCACCAACTCTTCCCAGCTCTTTGTTTTCTAATTCACAAAACACTGCCATCAACAGTATTGCCGTGGCCAATTCTATTGCCCAAAACCGCTCCACTAATGTTTCCATTCCTCTTGAGACTTTTACTGAGTCACTATGTTTGGCCCTAAACTGTAAATATTCCGATTATGAGGACTCGGTCGCGGAGCTGGTCTCCCAGTTTGCCTAAACGCATTTCTTTGTAAATACTATTTATCTTGTTTATAATGATAAAAGTTTTTCATAATTATTGCTTTAACCTATCTATTTTTTTTTTTTTTTTACTTTTTTGGTAAATTTAAAGGCTGCAGATGAATGTATTAATAACAATGTGAACTGAATAGTAAGCTGAGATAGAATATGAAACGCCTAGTATGATTCGTCAGTGTTAAAATACAGAAAAATCGGTGCTAAGCTTTGTAGAGCTAATGGATGAGATAGGTGAGATTAAAGATGTATGGTTTATTGTTTTTTGATGGAATGAATAATAATAAGAAACGCCTCGAATGGAATTTCTTCTTCACAAGAAGCTTTACTGGTTTTCGTGAAAAGCGACACTAGAACATTGGGGTTCGATGCTGAATCATACAACGGGGAAGCGTGTCACATATAACTCCAAGTTATAGCAACGTACTCACGTTAAGGCATGCCACTTCTCAAAATAATTAAATAAAATCATATCATTAATACTGCTTAAAGGTATTTTGATTTGCTCTAGAGCATCATAAATATCTTTACTAGTGACAATACGTAGTACTAATTAAAGTTATTACTTATTATAATGCGCGAAAAACTTTTGTATGCTTAAATGATTCTAAAATTTAAAAATTAGTTTGCAGGTTGATATGGTCTTAAATAAAAAAAAATGTTAAGGACAAATCTATTACGTTTAAAAAAAAGAATCCAAATCTTAAAGAACTAATCAGTTTCAGAATTATTACTGAAAAACTAGACTAATTAGTATAATAAGAGATGATAAATGAAAAACAAGAAATAATTGTTTCTAGAAATTAACAGAATTCTTTTAAATTTATTTATGGCGATTTACTGTTAATTAACTTGTTATAACAAATTATCAAAATATTAACGTTGATCAGTATTTTTTAAAATTTACGACGGAAAGAAAAATATATAATCACGTGAATTGATAATTATAACTAGACGTTACCCTACTAACCAGTGACATTTTTTTTGTTGAAACAAGCCGTATTGTAACATTTTGAAAACTTCGTGTCCACTTTAATTTAACGGTTCTCACATCATCAATACTTTGCAACTGACACCTCCATTCATAATCTTTTAAAACTACAATGACATCAGTATACGGAACTCAAAAGGACCCTATTAACCTTTATAATACATCTTTACTTAAGTCAACATCTGATGATCAAGTCCCATTAGCTCTTAAGGAGCTGGGTTATTCTACCAATAACTACCTCGTTGACGTGCGCCTGGCACTGGGCTACGCGTCGGTCATTGTCGCCGCACTAACAGCGTTTTATGATCACAAGGTTGGCTTCTTTGCCGCAAAATACCCTTGGACAGTTCTTGGACTTTTTTTCTATGCTGCCTTCAACATTGCCTACACTTATTGGATTTGGTTTGTCGAGGCCGGTGTTATCTATAGTGGCACTAAGGGCCCTCTTAAAGTCTCAATTGCCACCAACAAAGGCAGCAAGAAATCAAAGTACGACCCTGTCTATGATATAAAAGTTACTGTTTCGTCAGAAAAGACTAAAGCTGTGTCAGAAAAGACTGGCACATTTGACGGCTGGTTTGCCACCAACGGCATGATTGACTATAAAAAGTTTGCTGCGTGGATTTCAAGTGCAGTCTCAGAGGCCGAAGCTAAAGTTTCTGAAACTGCCTCCAAAAAAAAAAATTGATTTAAAACAAATTTGTACATTATTTTTTATTATCAAAAAAAAAAAAATATTTTCCATTCATTACTTTATTTAATTCAATTTTCCAATCAACCGCTTTTTTCCAAACGTTTGCATTTGATCATCCATTTTTGTGATTTTGCGAAAACCTTCAGTAATAAAGCTAGGAAGTGCCCAAAAAGCCCACGAGATACGCGTGTAGAATGGCATGCTTAGAACACCCGTTTGACCAGTGACAATTGCTGCACCAATTTCATGTGCTAAGTCATTGGCTCGCACTAGTGGCGCAATGAATGTAGACGGAGTATCAATTGTTTTGAACATGCTTGTATCCAGCTGACCCGGGGTCACAAGTAGTACATTAACCGGGGGTTTCTCATCAGAGGCAGAATAGTAAGGCTCTCCAACCTCGTGAAGGAGACAGTCATGAAATAGACGGATGCCGCCTTTTGACGCACAGTAAGCAGTCAATTCAGGACATCCAATTGTTCCAAGAACTGATCCAACATTAACTATTGAAGCTCCACGGTATTTGGTATCAGAAGCAAAAACCTGGCTTAAAAGAGCTTTGCAGGTCCAAAAAGGGGCAAGAAGATTAACACTAATTGTGCGTTTAACAGTTTCAGGATCAATATCTATCAAAAACTTATTATGAGTGACTCCAGCGTTGTTGATTAAAATAGAGGGTAAAATACCCTCGGGAAGTAAACTCTTCAAATCATCTTTAAAAACCTTGGCAACTTCTTCGTATTCTGCAACGTTGCATTTCGCAAACTGAATTTTGGGAAGTAATTCGTCTTTTTCTGTATCATCCTGCCATTGAATATCAAGCACTATAACAAAGAATCCGCGCTTCTGAAACCATTTTGAAATAGCCCTACCAAGCCCATCCTTAAGACCTCCACCAGTAACGACCACCGCATCTTTTTTAGGGTCTGGTAAAAATGTTGCATGACCACCACGTCGCCGGGCCAAAAAGGTATCGAGTACAAGAATATCCCAACATGCTGTCACCACAAAACAAAAAACTAGGTACCATTTCCACCCAGCAGACCAAGGCAGAATGTTTGTCTGTATATATAGAAAAACGGTGAAAAGGATTTTGTCAAAACTGCTTTCTGCATATGTAGCAGCTTGGATAACCTTTTGCACACCTAAATCATATGATTCGATTGCGAGCTGGAGACCGGACCGCAAAATTAATGGAGCCCAACAAAGTGTAGGGCTCAGGACTGTAGCCTGAAGAACAGTTACGATCGAATCCAAAGAAATGGTCATTTGTTATTTTGTTATTTTGTTATATTATTGGGATGAAGAAAAAGTGAGATAGAAGGAAAAAAAAGGGTTATTGTTAAAAACTACAGCTGTATGACACGAAAGCCAAAAAAAAAAAAATACATATTGCATCTTTCCGGAACATGCAACTCAACAAAAAAATTCCAAAAGTAGCAGTTAAATAATAATTTAACTAACAACTCGAGCTCTTCACAACTTGACAATTGTGATAAAATAGAAAATAAAAATGCTTCTTCGAAAAATTTTTAGGATCTTTTTCTTTCTCATATTAACACCGAATACAAAATACAAAAGGAAGGAAAAAAATTAAAATGAAATCTAAATCATCAGTTTCTACCACAATTGACAATCCAAGTCTCATTTATTACCTTGAGACGCGCTTCAACTTCGAGGCTGAGCTTTTAACTCCAAATACTTTTTTTCCTGGAGTGTCAAAAAACATTTCAACTTCACCTACTTCATCTATTGCTCCTTCACCTTCAACGACTTCACCTTCAGCATGGGAGTATCTTTTTGAAGAGTTCCACAAGTCACATACTCCTGAAAACTTAATTAAATTTGAAGGCGAATTACGGTCACGCCAGGCTCCAGGGCTGGAATACAGTGATGCCACTAGTTTTATTTACGATGCCATACTATTGATAAGTCAGTTTTACGAAAAAGACGTCGGTCTTTTGAATGCTATTCTTAATCTGGTTAACGAATTGACCCACCATAGTAGAGCTAAAAAGTACTTCCCCTACATTATTGTTCCGCGCAATGTTTTGTTGGCATTGTCATTTGCTGTAACTGCAAGTGTTGATAAAGGACTTTCAGCAACTTTTTTTGCCTTGGCAATGCAGGTGATCACATCTTTTGATTCAAGCTGCCTACCAGTCAAATTAGTTTATAGCTTGTTTTTGCCTAAGGAATCTTTTGGGGGATATTTTCCACATAAACTCATCACCTCTATAAACGCTTCCCGTTATGTGTCATGCCCTATAGATTCTCATCCATTTTCGTCTTTTCAAATCTCTTCCAATGATAACTTTGGCAATGATGATGAATATGATGAAGAATATGATGAAGAAAATAAAGTTGATTGTGACATGAACTCTGACTCTTCTTACATATCTCATTTACGTCGTTGCTTATGGCTTATGACTATTCTTAATGCTAACAAGGCAAAAAAAGAAAGTTCTGAATCCCAAGAACTGTGGGATTCTGTAATGGCTGAAGCTGGATTTATGAGTAATAAGCCAGGCTTTAAGTTTGCATCTTTATATGAATGCATTCCTAAGTATGTTTCAATTTTATCTTTTATGTATTTGCTATCTGACCCTATTTTAGAATTTTTTTACTTGTCGGATCTTCTGAGACAGACTGTATTATCAACCAACTCAAGATGAATAGCCATCGACCTATTTCTATTTATGAGATTACGGCCATGTATTTAGAGATTTTTCGAATTCACCCAGAAGTATATTATGAAATGATCAAGACTGCAGAATTTGTCAAATGGATTCCTGACGCAATATTAAACTTTAGTCCAATAATGTCTTTAAAGAATTTGCCTTATCAATCAGCGAATCCACGCATTCGGGCTCGTACTGATGTGCTATTTAACGGAGGAGCCATTCTGCCTTACTCATCTTCAATTGCACCATCATTGACTTCTACAACTTTCTTTGAGGCTGTGGAGTCTCAATCATGTCTCGATGAAAATGAAACTAAGCATCTTTCTCATGAGCAAGGAAATATTCTACCTGTATCTACCCCTTCAAACTTGAATCGCATGGATAGTACCAAAAGTACTGCCACTCATATGACAGTGGCAAGTGAAGCAACAATTACTCTTGCAAACTCAAAAGACTGTACTTCTGTTAAATCATGTTTTGAGGAACCTTCTTCTGCTTCTAGTATGTTTTCCGAAAAATCTAAGCGAAGCATGGTTCTCGATGTTGTTCCTGATGATGATGAGGAATCTCAAGTCAACCTTGGAAATGACTCAATGTCAACTGAAGTAATTGAAAGACCTGATGACACTATTGAGATTCAATGTGAAGCTTTAACCGCTAGCAATAACCCAATACCCATAAGCTCTAGTACTGCGGAAATATTGGATACTTCTAATTCAAACGTTACTTTAGTTGGTTCAAATAATGCTAAAGTCATTTGTGTTGATGAAAAACAAAAAGCATTTATTGAAAAAAACGAGAAAAAAGATTATCGAAATAAGAAAAGAAATGGTATCAATGAAAGTGGCAGTGATACAAAGGAACAAAATGATGGGAAAAAAGATAGTAATTTATCGTTAAACGAATTTCGCGCATACCTCAAGGCTCCACTTAAAGATGCAAAAAAAAATCATCATACCAAGGAACATAATTTTTGTGAACAAAACCCAACCAAGGAATCTCAAAGGCGTCCTCGTCACCATCATAGAAGTGGAGGAAAAAGTACCAGATCTAAATCAAAGCCAGGAAAAACTAGAGAAGCACTGGAGAATGCATCTTTTTTAGAAGATCTCAATCAAAACCAAACTACTGAATTGGATTCTTCTGAAACCCAAGGATTAAATTCTAAAAGTGTTTTGCTTGAAAAGAATTTAGTCCATTCCAAAAAGACTGAATTGCCAAAGTCACCATTAGAATCTATCTCTATCACTACTAAGATCAGTCACAAAGATACCACATTTTCTAGATCTGATTCTAAAGCCACTTGCAGTGATCAAATGAATAATGGTGTACTGAGACATGTTCCTATGGGTATTGTGCAAGTGCAATTGGCTCCTGAAATTAAGAAAACTTCTCATAGGACCGCTAAGGGAGCTTCTAGTATTAACTTTGCATCAGATATTGTTTTGATTCCGCAAAAAATTAATTTTTCAGGTATTGTTGTGGAGCCTGAAAGTGCTGAAATTGGAAATTTTAAAGATTCAAGTCTTGAAAGCATTTCTGAGGGTAATTGTTCTTCTTCTTCCACTAAATTAGAAAGAACAACTAGTAGAGCAAGCAAAGATGAGGAAATGGTGCTTAAAGGAGAGGAGATGGCACAAATTGCAAGTGTCATTGAACGACTTGAAAGCGCCGACGGATCTATTGGAAGTTCTGATAAAGAAGTTGTTCAGCCCACTGATGGAGATGGTGAATCATTTCACAGTACTCAGTTTCAAGAGAGTTCTTCAAGCGCTAATTTGGAAAAAACAGGGAAGGACCAAAAACAAATTTCAGGGAAATTTGAATTTGATAAGTGTGAAAAGTTGCTGAAAGCAAAAATAGTTGAAAAAGAGATTAATAAAGCATATCGCAAAACTTTAGAAAGTGGTGAATCTCTACTAAGAACATCTAACAAAGCTCAACGAACTCTTTCTGAGAGGTTAACACAAAGCCATATTAGCAACAAGTATATGGCATACAAGCGAGTGTTCCCGGATGATGAAATTCAAGAAATGCAAGAAGACATGATGAAGAAAAATATGCTAAAAGAAAAATAATTGTGACTACAGTGATTGTGACCTAATTTTATTTTTTTATTTTATTTTGAAAGGTTCGGAAATGTAAACAAATAAAGAATTACAAGTTAATAAAGATATTTTTTTATTAATTTTTATCATTATGATATATTGTTTATTTTATTTAATTTTTTTTTTTTTGATAAATCTCTAGTATTGTCCTAAGTCAAACAAACTGCCTCGGAGATTCTTTTCAGTAGGACTAACACCATGGTTACGTACAATCTCCATAATAACTGTGGTATGAATACTAGGATCTGGGTGCGCCATGGAGATTATGATTCGTGGAGACCCACAAGAATGACTTCCGCTGTGAACAGGAGGTTGGCTAGAGCGACTACAAGTAAGCAATTTGATATTGCGACCAGTAATGACCTGAACAAGAGATTGGCTCAAATTATGTGCTGTCACTAATCGTACCTCAATCAATTGTGGAGAAAATAGCAGTAAATAGGGGTACCATAGATATGCACTTTCAATTTTGTGCAAATATTGAAGTCGGAACGGCTTACAAGCACCCATTCCGCTTCCAGCACTACCAGCACCATGGCCAGGAGGGACATATAGATCGCCATTTCGGACTGACATTACAGCAAACTTATGGAAACAATGAATCAAGTTCGGCTGATTGTTAGTAGGAGGAGCAGTATTCGATCCTGAACTAATGCTGTTACGGCTTTCAGCACTGGTAACACTAACATAACTATTACTTCGAGCAGATGAAGGTTGTCCCTGAGACGGTTTCCGATCCCAATGCATAAATGAGACTGATATTGTGCGTGCATTTTGAAGTTGTGTTTTAAAATCGGAAATTGCAGCATCCGAAAAGCCAGCATTGTGAAGAACACTGCCAATGGTATCTGTTCGTGGGAGAGGCTTTGGGTTTCTGACATTAAGTTTAAGATGATCGAATGAGTTATTGGTAAGGAAGAAAAAGTACGAACCAAAAAAACTGAAACCATGTATTTTTGTAGGGGAAAAAAGTTCATGGGCAATAAGAGTTGGTTTTTGAAGTACTTCAGCAAATGGAGAATCATGACCCTTAAATAACCGTGAAAATCCTTTACGTTGAGACTCGCGTGGTCCATTTTTTGTAATCTCATAAACAAAAACATCAGTTTTCTCAAGGCCTTTAGTTGATTTGTTAGCGTAAAATAGGTAGTTTTGACCTCCAAGTTCACCAGTATGAAAGCACTCAACGCTATCGCTAACAAGAACTGGCGAAGAAATAATAGACTGAGTTTGCCGATCCTGCGGCGAAAGCAAATCTACTAAAATTTCATTAAGTTTGAGATATACCAAACGATTGTTTGACAAAATAAAAAGAGCTGGATCGCAAATCTCAATATGTGTAACGTTGGGAAGCTGTACTGGAATCCGCCATTTCAATGGTTGAAGTTTTCCTGTTGAAGACTTAGTGTGTCGAGCACAGTAAAGGCCAAGAGAAGTGCCAATAAATGTTACATCTTCATTCATGTATGAGTAGTCAAGAGCACAATTGACATTAATTAGTCCGTTAGGTCCAGACCCTTTAACAGGAGTGGAGCGAACAAATCCACCAGCTTCTTCAAGAGCAGTATCAACAACATCTCCATAAGTGAAAACTGTTGGAGGCAATGTTTCTGATATATCAGTGTAAGGGAAAGATGACTGATCAAGAACTTTCAGACCGAGAGGGACTTTATGATGATGTAGCTGTGATTGGGCATACTTTGCTTTTGTTTCCAAAAGTAAATCAATGAAATTCTTGCGATCTTGTGGTCTATCAAAAGCAACCCGACATTTGTGGTCATTTTCAATATTACGTATCCTCACAGGGTATATTAGTTTATCATTTTGCTTAGGAGCTAAATCGACAACCATTGCATGAGCTGGAGCTGAAGTTTTTAATGCAAGAGGTGCTGGCGAAGAAGAAGAAGATGGAGAGCCTACATCTGAAAATTGTACTGAAGACGTGGTAGTGGTAGGCGATGATACTGAAGAACCTGATGGTGAAGAAGTCAAAGAAGAGGTCGATCCTGTTGATTTAAATGAAGGCGTGGAAGGTGTAATTGGAACACTATGGTCAACTCCATTGAGTACTGGAGAATTGATACTACTATCTGTCATTTGAGTCTGCACTGGAGTCAATGACTGTCCCTGGCTCATAGTACTACTGCCACTACTAGAAACACTAGAAACGCTGGGTTTGTGTTGAGGTGGTGTGTATTGTGAAAGAGAAGCTGGCCTAGCAGATCGGGGCATATGTCCTGCAGCTGCATGTGTAGGCTGCCGTCTTACAGCTGCAATAACAGCAGCACCTGTGTTTTTGTAAATAGGAGGATCTTGTAGACTCTCTAGACGCAACAAATCCATATGAATTGGTCGTTCAAGAACTTGCCATTCATTGTATGAAATCTTTTTAACAAGAAAAAGAAAATGATCAAGTAGAATAATTGTGATAAGATGTGTGTCCCATGAGCCATTTTTCTTCTTTCGATACGCTTGCTTTTCGGCAACCTGAGTATGATGTACAAAGTTAAGCAAAATTTGGTCTTCTGGGTACTTAAACTTAAAGATTTGTTCATAGCGTTGCATTAAGAGTCGCGATTCTTCATTCCTCTGAATTTCATTAAGTTCTTTCATGAGGACATCAATTTTTGCAACACATAACTTTAATCCCTCAATTGTATCCTTATCTTTAAGAAGTTGTTGAGCATTAACATTTTCAGATCCTTGTTTTTTTGTTAAAAGCTTGGCCAATTTTTCAAAATGTGATTTGTAAAGACCAAATCGAATACGAGTACTGTGCATTAGCGAGCTGAAGTCTTTGCCACTATGTTGTTGTGCTCTCTCATGTGCAGAATTCAGAAAAGATTTAAAGTTTTCATTTGTTTCCATTTGTTCCTTAGTTATGCTGTCGGCAAGAGGGAATTCTTTTGCAAAAATCAAAAATGGTGTTTTCACTTTGTCCAGCCATTCAAGAACGTTTGGTACAAGGAAATCTAAAAATGGGTTTGGCTCGGGTTGTTCAGGTGTAATATGATTATGCGTCATTCGCTGTTTAATGAAAGGCATAAGCAAGTATTGATTGTTGACTGCAACAAGTTCCTTTAAAGGTTCGAATAACGAATCAACAAATTTTTTACGCGTAGAATTTGAATCAATGGTATCTGCAAGTTTATCATCGCAAAAAACATCGAGAAACACGTGTAGACCGTTAACATAATTTTCTTCTTGCTGAACAAAACTATGCAACTCGCTTTGATATTGAACATCATACTCATTGAATTCGCTGAGTTTTTCTATTGGAATATTCCAATACTCGTGCCAGGCACCACTGTTTTGTTTAACTGAAATATTGTATAGTTCAGGTTTTGTATTGTCGGAATCCCATGGAGCATCGAATGGCCGATCTGCATTGCTAGACGATACACTGGAGTTTCTGCTCAAAGAGGATTCTAAAGCAGCACCGGACGTATTTGGTCGAACAGAGTTGGAGCTGTTGTTGCTACCTGGAGGTGGTGGTGCGGGAAAAGATGGTGCCAAAGGATTATTTGTTAGAGTAGCTGAGGTAGAAGCAGCTCTTCCAATTCCTATATTGCTATTGCTTGGTATTCTTCGGTGAGCCAAATTAGGGTTGTGAGGTGGAGGAAGTTGGTCAACTGAAGGATAATGACGACGAGCAGCGGATGAGATTGCAGCCTCAGGCGCCGAAGGTGCACGTTGTAGAACAGAATTTATTGTAGAGGATGTCATGTAGTTATAGGTAATTTTTGGAATGGGAGGAATAAAAGATTTAGTAGAAGTATTTGTAGAAGTATTGGTAGAAGTATTGGTAGAAGTATTGGTAGAAGTATTGGTAGAAGTATTGGTAGAAGTATTGGTAGAAGTATCGGTAGAAGTATTGGTAGAAGTATTTGTAGGAGATACTACTGGTGTTTCTTGAGTCACTGTGCTAGTGGTAGAAGGTACAAACTCCGTGTTTAGACCGTTTCCAAAACTGAATGGAGAGTTTGACATGTCAGTAGGTGACAAAGCTGATGAGGAAGTGGGTGTGGTACTTCTACTACTACTATTGTTGCTATTACCGGATGGAATTACTAGACTCACTGGTCTAGAAGAGGGTTCGGTTCGAATGGAGTCTACTGAAATGATTGGAATATTTGATAAAAAACCAGCGTCCAAGTTCCCTGGGGTTGGTGTTGTTGGAGAAGAAGATAGAGCAAAAGAAGGGGAAGGTGGTGGAATTGCTTCTAATTTTGCTGGAGGGTTATTAAGGTCTGAGACATTCAATTTCTCTGCGTCGAAATACTGGTCATGTTGTAACTTCTTGTCTGCGCCAGCGCAATTTTGAAATTCCTCCTGGATAAATGGAGTTGAAGTTGATGGTGCCCAAGACCGGCGTCGATTTTCGGTATTTTGAGGTACATTAAGTCCTGGAAGAAGAGTGTTCAACTGTTTTTGATTAGTCATTTGCGGAGGAACTGGAAGGGAAACTGACGACGAGGCAGGATTTGAAAGAAGTGAATGTCTTCTTAAAAGTTTTTCAATTTTTTTGATTCTATTAAAAAAAAAATATTGGTAGTTTAAAGTTAGTAAAGAAAAAAAAAAAAAGGGATAACTTGGATTGGTGGTAGTATTTAGCTACTAAAGCTCCAAACCGTGGATGAAGTAAAGTTTTAGACGTTTGATTTTTCCAAAGTTAATTTTTTTTTTGTTAGGTTTACTTACTCGGCAGCTTGGAAATCCGGAAGCGATTCAGGAGATATATCATGTCGAGTATAATCATTAGAACGCGAATACCTTCTTGCAATCGATGTTTTACTTCTTAAATTCCCAGGATCAGGAGGATGTTGTGGCAGTTGTTGCTCTTGACCATAAACAATTTTTAGATAATTGTCATTGCTGGTATAATTCTGTTCAGGTCTAGATTGAGTTTCAAACCCAGAGGATGAAAGAGTTCCAGAAAAAGAAGGAAGAGGAGGTGGAGGAGCACTGCCCAAAGGCTGTGGTGATGATCTTGGCGGAATGCTATGTTGCTGTTCCTGATGTATCGAATTCGTGTCATCTTGGCCAGTATGATTTTGTGGTGCATAAAACAGGGGCTGAGATGGAGTAGGGGCTTGACCAAAATTTGATTGCACAATAGAGCCAGCAATCGAATGTCGCTTAACATGATTACTAGTTTTAGTTTGATGGCTAATAGGTTTGCGAGGAATATGAAATGGATGCTCCACCGTCGTTGTGTTAGATACAACTGTGTTTTGGGATGAAGATGCTGGTTGCGATTCAAGTGGTGGTTGTTTTGGCAACTGAACATTATCTGCTTTTGTATCGTTTGTTGGCAAAGCTGATGATTTTCTTGCTAAAAACAAAGGTGGCACAGAAGGAACCGGGTCTGTATTAATTTGAAGTTTTGGAGGAAGTGGAGGTGCCATATCTGTATTTGATTTGAAAGTATTTTGCATATTATTTGCTGATTCAGAAAAGGATGGATTGTTTAAGTCTGAAAACGGGACTGGGAAATGGGTATATAAAAGACGTGAACTATTTGATTTCTGCTGGCCTTCAGAATGCATCAAATTATACACTGGCTTTTTATCAATATCAGAGTTAACAGATGTTCGAAAAGGATTGCTAGATGCGGGCTGTATCGTATTTTCTGTTAAAGGTAAGTTATCAGATATATTGTTAGATGGATTTGAAGTGTTAATACTCTCAAATGCAGACCATCTGCGGTCATTTCCTTGTCCAGATTGTGACTCTGGGGGCGTGTGCTGTGAAGAAGAAGACATTGGTGATTTATCGAAGCAGCAGCTTTATTTTTGACACTAAAAAAAAAAAAAAAAAAAAAAAAAAAAAAAAAAAAAAGAAAATAGTAAAATAAAATGATAAATAATGAAGAAGTTGCAATGTGAAATGTGTTAAAAAATATAAATAAATATATATAAATATTTCTTTTTTTTTTATAGTTATAAAATCATAATAACTTATTGAAATGGAAAGAAGGAATGTCAAATAAATAAAAAAGTGGAGGCAAAAAAAAATAAAATAAAATAAAAAATAACAACAAACAAACAAACAGCTAAATTTATAAAATTTTGACAAGGGCAAGAAAATAAAATATTGGAGGGCACGTGATAGGTTATCAGTATTAGTATTATTAGTATTAGTATCAGTTCTTTACACGAAATGCATAAAAAAAACATAATAATAAACATAATAATAAAAATAATAAACATAAGGGGCTGAATTGAAAATATATCTATCCAAGTTTATTAAAAAGAGCAATTTATCTCTCTCTCTCTCTAAAAAATATATATAGACTTAATAATAAATTTTATATAAAAATACATCAACAGCGTCATTAAAATAATACTCGTACAAATTCTCATTATTCATTAGTTTTTTTTTTTTTTTTTTCTCGGGTCTTTTCTTTTTCTGTTTCTTTTGGGGAAAAGGAGGGGGAAGGATTGTTTCAAGCAATCTATAATCCAAGCAAACTGCTATTGTCATCTTCAACAACAAACTCATTTGGAACAAGTTCCACCAACAGTTGCTGGTTGCTATATTTAGGATGAGCCATACTAATCATGATTTCTTGACCTTGCTTACTGCGTTTACTCCCATCAACAACTAGTCGAATATGTTTGCCTGTAATAACCTGCTTCAACTCACAAGAACTATAATCCGATCCTTGGAGATTGGCACGCGTAAACTGGGATTCTTGAGGTTCAATTTCAATTTCAATTTCAATTTTGGAATTCCTTTTGGCCTTGGGATCCACAGCTGCAATTGCAGCGTTTCTAATTTTACGCGATGCTGCGGCACCGTGAGCTGCAGCAGATCCAACATCCATCTTGCGTACTTCAATCATTTCGTCACTAAAAAGAAGTAAATATGGATAGCTTACTAAAGCAGATTTGGCTCGAGCAAGCAAGTTTATGACTATTGGTGAAGACATTTCACCAAATTTGTCAACAAAAATCCCAATCTGTTCATAAACAAGCAAAATGCAGTTATCATTAATCATAAAAGCACCAACAGGTTTACTACCATCAATTTTGCGTCGCACAGCGTCGCTTAATGTTTGTGGCGATGGTGATAAAAATCCACCATTTCCAGAACCATGATGATGATGATGATGATGATGATGATGACCACTTGGTTTATTGGTAACAGCTGCTGAACGATTAAGAGCATGACTGATAGAGGCAGCATCAGGAACTAAACGAGGAATTTTGTATGAAAGAGCCAAAATCTCAAACCCACGGCCCGTATGTGCAAAAAATGTCGAGCCAAAAAGAGTTATACCAAAAATTTCTCCATTGACAGTTACACTGTCATATTCGCGAAAATATTCAGTAGATGCATTGCTTATTCCAGCTCTATTAGGTATGGTTCCTGAGCGTATAGCTGCACCAGTTTCGTCAAAGTTATCACTCCGTGTATTATCATTGGATTTGTTAACGATAAAATGAGATCGCTTCTTTTGAGAACCTCGTTCCTTAACAGGCTCAACAACTTCAACAGTCATACTGCCGCCATTCTTTTTTATGGCTTCGCGTGGATCCTTTGGTCCACGTTTTTTGACATTGTAAAACACAAGTTGTCGTTTACTATCTGCAGTCATTCCGGGCCCGCCAGATGACATATAGCCTGTTGCAAAAAAGGTAACTTCTTTGGCTCGTGAAATAGCATAACCAGTGAGATTGGAATCACGAGGCTTGCGATTGTTGTTCATCACAATGGCCAAGATCTGATCAAGAGGATAGTAAGCAAGCGTACGTTCTGAAAGAACAATTAAAACATTGTAGTCAGTTAGGATCTCTAGTTGAGTAGTCTTTTGTAAGTCAAGAACTTTCACCCATTGGGGAGCCACCCATGTTGCTGTTTCTTCATTTTGCACTCCACTAGTTACTTCTGTTTCAGGAACAGTAGCCAAAGTTTTGCCTCCCTTATGGGGACTGCTAGACTGGCTCCTTTTTGGTATATCAGCGGGTGTAATTTTTTTCATGGACATGTCACACGCGTAAATTCCATTTTCGAGACCAACAACCATAAAGTATTTCCCGCCAAGACTACAAGTCACACTGCAGTTGATCCGAGACGTAGCTGTCGTCAAAGTGCCCACACGAGTAGATCCATTAGCAGCCTCGTACTCACATATACCGCGGTCAAGGGCAGTTGATTCTGCATACACAGCCAGTTTAGGGGCTTCGCCATTGTCGTATGAAAAAAATCGATCCTCAACGACCCGCACACGGAACGGCTCTGAATTCTGAGCAAATGCAGCCGAACTGTAGTCTCGTTTAGCCAAAAGCATCTTAGACACCCATGCACGACGCTCTTCATCAGTCTGTGTGTACAAATAGTATACAGCTTTACTTGCATGGTTCCCCGTGGCTCCAAGGTCTCTAACTTTGATGGGATAAATGATGTTTTCATTGTCGTAGACAGCCCCACTTGATCCAGATCCAGCTGGTGTGCCTGTGCCGTTATTACTACCGTTTCCATTTCCGGAGCTTCCATTACCGCTACTTGAATTCTTAGATTGCTTTTTGGAGTCATGGGATCCTCCTGATAAAACACCCGTAAGCATTTTGGTATTGGATTTAATCACTGGCTCTCCATCGGCTTGTTCAATAACCAGCAACTCAAGAGGGATTGGTCTTTTGGTAACCATGTATTTTTCCAAGTTGTCCTTTTTGACTTTAGCAAGAATAAGATAATTATCGAGCAAAACCATGTGTGTGTCAACATAGTCAAGCCCAAATTCACCTTTGCGCAAAACATCACCCTCATAATATATTTTGCGGCGGGAGTCCCGCAAGCGTAAATCAACCTTTTCTTCAAGGTTTGGGAAAGTTATGCGTTCTTCCAAAGTCATGATACTGGAAATGTCTTCTGATTCACCATGGATGCGGTTATATTCCTCAACAATTATACGGCATTCATCAATACAACGGCCCCATAATCGATATTCAGGGTCATCAACAGGAGTGCTAGCTCGAATGCGATCAAAGAGTAAATTGTAACGGCACAGACGCATAAATGGACTAGACATTAAAAAGTCAAATTTTTGTACTCTTGTAAGACGAGGATCTCGTTCAGCTTTATCAAGCCATGCAGCAAAAAGTTCATTTTTTTTACTTTTTTCGCTAGACACAACACGCATAGCATAAGAATATGTTGATGCGCGTTGTAAGTAAGGAGTTCGGGCAGCTTTAAGCCAATTAAGAACCAAGTCTGCAATTGATTGAATAAATGGACCTTGTTGAGCTTGTCGAATTTTTAAATACGTCAGTAACTGATTGTCATTTGAGTCGATTAAACCTTGAATGCACCCAAATGTGTCATTCCAAAAGCGTGCTTGATTGGAAACAACAGGTGGCTTTGCACGATTGAGATAATCCCCGTAAACATTAAGGAAAGCCTTGAGTCCACGTACATAAATTTCCTCAGTGCCAATAAGTTCTTGAATAGCGCATTGTCGCTCAATGACCTTTTTCTCAAGTTTTGATAAGTCGTCATCAGAGAGGTTCCAAATTTTAGCCCAGTTGACACGATCACTGTCGTTAAACTTTTGAGCAAGATTTATGTTAGGAAGAACAGGTTTATGTGGAATAGTCCTGGAACACCTAGAGCTATAGCATCGATAAATTTGCTTGTCTTTTGCCGTGTTATCAAACTGATGACTCCTAGATGAGTAGCAGCCTCGTCCAGTAATTGATGGTAAAACGCCAGAAATAGCATGATATGGGTTTACCATCAACACACCAGTATCCTCATTGATTGTAAGGAAAGAACATTTTGTGAGAGACTCCAATAAAGGAACTGTGATACGCTCGGCTGCAACCCAGCCAAGAGTTGGGACAATATGGCAGAACAAATTGATTAATGCTTCAGAGAGTGTTTCAAACGACATTTCTGCAATAGTATTAAGGTATTCAATCCATAAGCAAATTGATGAAATTGCCCATGGCGTTTCACAAAGATCAAAATCACGAGAAGAGAGTTTGTCTGGGTCAAGTCTAGTTCTTGAGTCCGGTATTGAAGGTAAATCAAGTTTAAGCATAAGACTGTAATCTGTTGCTCCAGAAATTAGGGAGCTTCTCATCGATGACTTGGATATAGGAGTGGACTTAGATATAGTAGAATACGACCGAGTTGGAGGAGGTAGTATGTCATGATGATCATCTGTCATGTCTGTATAGGTTTGTGAGCGGTGCATACGAAATTGGTCAGAACTCTTGACTGTGTCTCCCGACATTGATGACGTTGAATCCATCAAGACACCAATTTCGCCAGTTTTAAGCGAGAAATTTGCAAAGCTTTCAATCATATCCTGCCGGGAAGAACTCTTTTTTGGTGGACTGGAAGATATAGGAGAAACGGGATATGGTAGAGTTGTTTCATCAATTGGGTAAGCCAAAGGTTTTTGTGCCGGCTGAAATGCGTCTGGTGGAGGATGGACATGTTGAGGGGAATAAGAGCTAGATGAATAAGACGAAATATTAGAGTAAGTGGAAAATGCTGATTTTCCTGAATGCCCAGAGCTATTAAGTGCATCTACTTCACCATTTGACTCCATTGATTTATGGCGATCCAGATTAGGTTTTGAGACAGTAGGTGGTACTGTTGAATTTGAAATGGATCCAATTGATTTGCTATGAGAGTGAGTAGGCGATGTCGAAATGTCTTTACGTTTAATTAAACTTAGAGGACTAGTAGAAACAAAAGGCCCAGAAACTATAGAGCAGTGGTCAAAAGACTGATAACGGTATGGGTCGTCAATGATGGAGGCGTCTGAATAAGAAGGTGGAGAAGATCCTGCAGGGAACTGACCATACAAATTTCCTAAACTGTTTGAGTAGCTGTGACCAGAAGAAGACCCGGTAGATCTGGATCCGCTAAGGCTATTACTATGTCGGTGTGTCGGCTTGTTTGGTGTTTGAGGGGGATCTCTTGGAGATTGAGCCGAGCGTTGGGCAGCTGACGAAGTACTAGAAAGAACAGCAGAAGATGAAAAACTTGATGGAGGTAACCGAGGTCCTAAAGGTTTACGGTCTAATGGTGTTGACTGCTGCGAGGAACTTGAACTGCTAAATTGTTTTGTTGGAGAGGAAGATCGAATAGTAGTGTCGACGCGAAGAGGAATGGGAGAACGTGATGATGAGGTATTTTGAGTATAAATTGATGAGATACCAGAGGCACTAGCAGGAGGCGACCTATTGGGAGATGAAGAAGGGAGATTTGTGGGAACAATTGAAGCAGAAGGATATGTGTTATTGGAAACATATTGAGAATACTGAGATTCATGAGTATATTGTTGTTGTTCATAATCCGTAGTGCTTGTTGCTTGGTAGTGGGGAATGTACGCGGTCGTTGTATTGTTAATGTTTGTTTGAGCTAAACCAATGGTATTTTGAGTGCCATAAAGATATATTGGCGAAGCAGAATGAGGAAGTTTGTAAGAGTAGCCATTGTTTAAAGATTGGATGACTGTTTTATACTGAGTAGGCTTTGGCGGAAGGTTTGGTGGATTTGAATCTTCTAAATCTGAAGGATCCATAGTTTCAGTAAAAGGATCAGGACTAAAAAAAAAATAGGAATGAGTATGAACATATATATATATATATATAAAAGTAAAAGGGGAAACAAAAAGTAAAAATCCTATCATTCTATTTATTTTCAATAGAAATGAATAAAAAAAAAGGTCTTTTTTACTTACAGTACATTCGAACGAGAAATCGGGCTTACAGTTCGAGGGAGTTCTGCATACAGCCTTGTAGGGCTAGAACTGTCAGCGCGGTACACATTTACAAGAGGGCTTCCGTTGGCATAACGATATTGGCGTTGTACATTGTCTTTTGGTGGAAGTGGAGGTGGGATTTGCTGTTGTTGATTTTGCTGAAGCTGTTGGTGTTGTTGATAATATAACTGATGTTGTTGCTGCTGGTATAGTTGTTCTTGCTGTTGCTGGTAAGCCTCGTAAGAGGTCTGAGCAGCATTATTGCTAGAAGATGGTATATAACCAGAGCCCCTAGGTGGAGATGAATTGTTATATGGGTACATTATCAAAAAAAGAGTGACATTGTGTTTTTTTTTTTTTTTCTCAGTTGGCGATATTGTCTGGTGGTAAGTTATAAGTTAAAGATCTCTAAGGTTCAAGATGCCGATGTAGACAGGCGGCGGATGCGAACGGAGGTTTGCAGAGGTAAACAAACATGCAAATAAACAAACAATATTACACGCCTTATGTTACAAAGCATGTGACCCCAGGAAAAGAGATGTTATTCAAAAAAAAAAAAGAAAATGTAACATATTAACAATGTTGTAATATATTTGTAACATGTTTAAAACAAATTTTGTAATATAATTTAAATGATTTTTGTAACACATTTTGTAAATAGGTTTCACGAAAACATTTAGTAACAAAACTAATTTTAATTGTATTGTAATTACAAGCGAAGTTATGTAATTGGGAAAGCAAGTATATAAATATCATTTATGATTTATGATTTTATATAAATGGTGTAATCTATCTAACAAATATTTCCTAATAATAAAAAAAACAAAAGAAATAAAAAAATTATTATTTGGGTCAAGGTACTGAAATACCAACCAGTAATATTTTAATGTTACTGTTTCTAGCCATGATGGATTTGATTGATTAATTGATTAATCTGATTAAATGAAAAATTTCTTCAAGCTTGTTAAAACCCGGAATTTCAAATTTCCCTCGTATAGCTGCTACATCCCACAAATTTCTACTATAACGTTAGTATACCCACACTCCCACACTCCCACACTCCCCCCCCATAGAGGTTGTGGACCAGTTGTAATTACTCTTGTCTCGTCTTGCCCTGCTTAGCCTAGCCTAGCCCTTTGACTTTAACTAACAGCCCATATGAGCATTTTAAAATACCTTTTCGACTCTCAAGGTTGTCAAGTCGAAGAAATGTACCTTGCATGAAATACAAAATGGCCCATCGAATTTGAAAGACATAAAAGAGCCCATAATTCCTCTGGTTATCATTTATTTCAATTCAATTTTTTTTTCCCCTTTTTTTCTTTCATTTTTTTAATAAAAAATTTTCAAGTTTTTTTTTTTTTTGTTCCCACACATACCCAGACTTGTTGCACACACAGACTCTCGCTAATAGTCAGTGTGCTCCACCCATGATACCAAATTAAAATCCAGCAGCCACTTCATGTCGGGTTTTGCAAAAGTCACACACACCTATTTTACCCTCACACCCATACCAAAACATGCTTTAAAGATGATTACAATAACTGGAGGAATGAATGCTACCTAAAATATTTAAAAAATTTAAAAAATTTAAATAAAAAAAATAATAATAATAATTTAAAAAAACGAGGAAAACAGATTTGGAAATACGTCAACTTTCTTGCCAAAATAGGCAGTCATTATTGCAATTATTTTGCATTATTGAAAGAAAGTTGCTATGAACCATTTGTTCTGGGCCTTCCGGAATTTCAGAGCTTGATAAGCCAATTTTAATGTCTGCAAACATATAAATACTTAAGATTCCCTTTTAATATCTACTTTTTTTTTCTATTTCTTTTTTTTTTTATATTATCATCTGTTAATTTTTCAATATTCAAGTTTTTTTTTTTTTTTTTTCCAAGAAACCTACATTTTCACATATTCTCATAATTCATTAAATAATTAAAAATGGTCACTGCTGGTAAGATTTTTGAAATTTTTATTGCTTTAAAAAATCAATTGGCTAATCCCCCTCATTTTTTTAGTCGCTGTCATCTCCGGTAACTCTACCGTCACTGGTACTATCACTTTCAACCAAGCATCAGCTGCTGAGCAAATCAACATTGCCTGGAACATCACTGGTAGCACACCCAACTCTCTCCGTGGTTTCCACGTCCACGCTTATGGTGATCTCACCAATGGCTGTGCTTCTACTGGCAGCCATTTCAACCCCCTCAACGAGACCCATGGTGCTCCTTCTGACTCTGTCCGTCACTTTGGTGATCTTGGAAACATTTGGACTGATGCTTCTGGTGCTTCCCTTGGTTCTACCACAGACCGTCTTTTGACCCTCTTTGGTGAGAACTCCATTCTCGGCAGAGCGGTTGTTGTTCACACTGGTACTGATGATTTGGGCAAGGGCGGTAATGCTGATTCTCTCAAAACTGGTAATGCTGGTGGCAGAGCTGCCTGCGGTATCATTGGCATTGCTCCTACTCCTAGCAACACTGGCACCACTACTGCTGTCACCACTGTCACTGTAACTGTCGCCGGAACTGACTGTGCTACTGCTGCTGAGGCTACTTCCACTGCTTCAAAATAAACTCCTCAAATCTTTTGTATTTTTTTTTTAATTTTGTTTTACCCCGAATCAAGACAATTTAAAATGTCAATTAAAAGTTAAATTATTTTTAATATATAATCCTTAATTAGATTTTTCAATAAAAAAAAAAGAAAAAAAAATCATCATGCAAATTTTTTGCTTTCAATTAAAAATGTTGTGATTTTTTTTATTTGAGAACTCTACTGTGTAGGATTTTTTCTTGAATTCTTTTAAATAGTTTAGCAGTTCAAATCGAACGCCATCTTTTATTTACACTGGGTCATATTTTTTAGTCATTGAATAAGATAATTGTCCATAAACATAGTTATCTTATTGATGCTGTATTTGGTCATGACTACCATTTAAACTATCTAAATTCCAAACTATGTGGGTGGCTGCTTGCTGTGGCTGCTTATATAAGATTAAATGAATAAAGTTTAGCCAAGTTAATTTTAAAAAAATTCTTTTAACAGTTTTTAAAATTCCGTATAGAGAAATGCCCCTGATTATGATCCCTAGTGTGCCAAGGAATTCACATTAAATGTAACAATGTAATAGCTTGTATAGCTTGTAATAATTTCAAGGCGAATCGTGATATATTTGCCTTTAAAAAAAAATAGCGGTTAAACATGAAATGAAGTTGTCTAGTTTCAACAAATGTTAAGGCTGGGGTTTGCCTATGCTTAGCAGTTTCTAATCCAGTGATATTAAGAGATACGTAATACACCTTAAAACTTAATTTGAAGGTTGTTTTGTTGTAAAATAGATAAAAAAGAAAAAAGAAAGCACTTCTTCCTGGAATGTTTAAATTAAAAAGCTTTTTTTGGGGAAGAAAACAGAGTAGTCAAGAATTAAAATGTAAGTGATGTTTAGAATAAGTATTAAGGAATGATATAAACAATAAATTGAAAAATGTTTAATTATAGTGTTTGCGGAGTGATTTTTACAGGGAAATAAAAAAAACAAAGTTAAAGAAAGTCTTTAAATTAAAGACGACGTATTACGTTAAGAAGCTTAGACGTTAAACTTATTACAATCAAGTCTTTAATTTACGTATAACTTCAGTGTGCTAACATTTAAGCTTCTTTTTGATAACTTAGTATCAATTGAAATAGTTTGGAAACACAGTACAAATTTCACTGGGTAATAAACTTGCTAAATTGTAATCAGTTTTAAAATTAATTTTTTTTTTAATATACTCAAGATAATGCTTCTAGACTCATTATTAGAATCTTGTGATTTAGATGATATAAACTAAATGAAATCAAAAACGGAAACGAAGTTTAAGATAACGAAAACATATTGTTATGATCAATAACTCAATTTAAAAGTTTTCAAAACCT